TAGCTGGCTATTCTTGTACAACAATGTTAGCATTAATGTTTTCTATTTTGGGATATGATAATTGAACTAATAAGCCGACCCAATGATGATGCTATGAGGTCGTTTTCAAGTAATTATTTAAACTCAGTTTCATTTTAGTAGTAACATGAAATTAAGCAGAAATTTGTTTTAGTTTTGAAAGTATATAGAGTAATACATATTATACTTATTACCAAAACTTTCATATGCAATACAAGACCTTAGCACTTTGGGAATGTTGATCAATTACTTCTAAAAAAATCAAATTTATAAGTTTCCTAGTTCTCGTATTTTATTCTAAAGAGAACATAATAGTTTATTCTTAATTTACGAAATAGACGCTTTATGGCATATTTCAATTCAAGACATGTTGAGATTAGTCACAAAGCCGGTTTTATATTGAGCTTTTGTTGATGATAAACTTCTCATTTCAGATAGTTGATTAGAACCTACATAAATTTATTCTTTAAGAGATTCACGCTACCGAAAGAAGGGATTGAAACGTTTGACTTGATGTATCAATCACAATTCTCGTAAAACGATAGTTTTTTCATCTTAAATACAAAAGAAATTTATTCACACTGGATGAACCGATTGATACTAAATTCTGCTTTAGATCAGACTACCAATATCTGTATTTATAGATAAAGTAATACATATATATTTTTTTAGTAAATTTGATTGGTTATTGTCAGTTTTGAGGCTATATTCTGATTGCTAGATTCTTCAAGCATGTGTGATTCGATTAAAATACTCAGGTCAAATACGTTTCCCATAATTTGATCACACTGTTATTAACTCTATGTACTTTGGTGTGAAGTGTTTCCCCAGCTACAAATTTGGCCTTTTATATATCATATGGATAACATTCGACTCATATTATTAGTTTTTAATAATATCCAAGGTATGTACAATTTATTATTCCTTAAGTATCTCCCAAAAGCATATTGATTGAACATAAAAACTCATGGATTTACTGATCACATTCGATTTAAATTTATCGACTCTGATGACAGATAAAGATTTGAGATTACTTAATTATATATTATTTGGGCAATTAAGTATCAGAACCTTTAGTATGAGCAAACTATTTCTAATACTTAGTGATGCCGCATGCCAAATTATATAGGAGGACATTTAACCATTTATTAAAGAATAATTTATACCAAAGGATGAACTAAGCAGTTAGGCTTCAATCCAATACTATGCTATTGTAGATAAACCATTTAAGGAGAGTTTTTCTTAACATTAAATAGGTACTTAACTCTCAGAGTCGTAATCGAACATTCTTGTCTATACAAAAGCTACTATTTTATTTCCAAGTACAGGCAAAGATATTCAATAACAAATGAAATTGTTGAGGCCATTAAATATTGATTTCACTTTCATAACAATATGTATAAAGATGTGCTGAAGGAAGTATTGAATTTGCATTCACTCCAATTTAAATACATATCTCTAAATTGTTTGTATTTGGTTTTAAAAAGAAAGAACTAATTAGACTTGTGACTTGAATTTAGTGTTGAAGTGGAAAGTATTCGGGTTGTTAGGTTATTAAGGTCGCTCAGAATATATTGTTAGTCAATAGTAAAGTGTTCGAGTAATATATTAATTTAAGTTTTGGTATGAACTTGTGGAATATTTAACAAGTGTAAGCCAAGACTAAATGCACGTAAAAAGGTATATTATGCAGTGAAATGCCTTCCCAACTAATTTTTTCATGCCAAGAACTCAGTACTTGGCTTGTATTATTGTTATATATTGTAAGTTGACCTTCATTCTTTTTCCAAATTATAACCAGGAATAACAAAAGGACACATATCAAAAAGCTTATCATATACATGTGCAAAACTAATCAGAATTGTTTATGAAGCAACTTGACAGTTCGCAACCGCTAGCTCAGCAATGGACGTTATCAAAGACCCCGACTGTTACAACTAATAGTAACAATGGCATTTGAACCGATAGCATGATTTTCAAAACAAGATGGCCCTTTGGTTCTGTGTAAACCATGGCTATTTATTGTATGTTCTCTAATAAAGGTTGGATTTTATGATAGTAAGCCTTCATATCTAGCTCCTTTGGTGAAAGTATTGAGAACCAATATATACTGTGTCATTTACTGCTAATAGTTACTTATTAGTCAACGCAACATTTTCCTCAATAAACAAACGGGAAGAAAGCTCTTGTACGATGCTTTCTTTTCATCGATGCTACCATAGGACACTCTAGTGCCAATACTGCAGAGTGTCTATAAAAGTGTGAAGGAATGTGTAGTGGAGTTTTGTAGTGACTTCATTAGTTAGAGTTGCCATTAGGATGTGAATTGGAATAACTAACATGGTTAACTAAACGGGAATGAAATGATAATGCAGTAGGCTAACAGTATTAACATAACTCATCCATCATCATATTTGAATGCATTGGATAAATTAGGTAAATTGAGAACTGCTTCAGAAATATTGGCTAGAATCTTTAATTTTGTAAAGGGGCATGTATTAAAAATTTTCCTAGAATAACACTATCGTCAGCACTATCATCAACATGCATTGAAAGGGATTTTGAGAATTATAATGTGTCCCCATTCTGGAATATTGTTCAATCTGCAACCAATATATAGCAATAGATTGTGATATGATAATGCCTATTTTACTCAAGGAAGCACTCCCATTATATCTGATACAAGGGTAAACAAATTGCATAAAAGTTATTACTAGAATATGTTAGGATTTTCCAGCATGATAGAAAGGGAACCTAGACTATAAATGGCTCTTGCATTGGTCTTAGTGATATAATAACAATGACTTTCAAATGTGCTAGGTGATCCATGAAGTGTTCCTTTAAAAAATAATAGAAAATCTATGATCTCGGTGTATGACAGCGTAGAAAATATTATCGGCGAATTATAGCTAAGAACATTGATAGTTCTAAATTTTTTGCATTTTTCAGTAAACTTCCATTTATAATACTAAATGGGGCCATTTTGCAAGACAATGATCTTCTACTAAAGAGCGTCAAACAATCAAAATAAATCAACGATTTGCAAAAAGAAACTGTAAGACATAGAAATATAACAAGATAAAAATTCCTCCTAAACTTCTGCGATCTTTTAGCGATATCACAAATATTATTATTTTAAGTTTATTACCAGCTTATCCATAAGCTAAGACGAGACTTGAGAGGAAAGTTGGCTAGCTGTACTCGGTCAGAATTTACACATGTTTCACCTTTACCACTTCAGACAGGAAGATATCACTTGTTTAGTGTTTGAAACGAATTGTAACATTTATGATTTTCTCATAGACTGATCTAGCAATTATAGTAATGAGTATGAAATCCTTACTTACCCTAATTGAATCTGAAAACCATGCATATATTGCTAAAGGTTAACTTTACTGTACTTAATTGATGATGAAATAATACCCTAGAAATGTATAGTAACAATAACAACGCGTCATCCTTTCATCTATATATGATATTCGTGTGAATTGTACGTGGCTTTTCGAGTTAGTTTACAAAAAACATAAGCGTGGCAAACAGTATTATTGCCGTGAAGACTTTTAGCAACTAATGAAAGCAGATATTGAAAATGAAACCCAGTGTATGACTCTCTACCATTAACAAAAGCGAAAATTCAACAAAATTAAAAAGAAATAAGATTTTTTATAGGTTTAAGACTTCTTTATGATATCCTATTATTTCTTAGAACTATTAACTTTACAGACACTATCTATGAATAGAAAGTAATCTAATAAAACACTGGTACATCCCACAAAACTTTATTTATTTTTCAATTGATAAATTCGCGTCCTATAGCCTAACTTTTAAAATATGCAACAAAAGAGAAGAAAATAGAAAAATTAAGTCAACGAAACCGATTATTTTCTAATAAGTTTCACATGAATACAATATATCTTTTGCTAAGACTCAACTTCTGCTGCAATGGATAATATTCAGTCTTCATCTCATAAAACCAAAATAATTATGTTTTGAACTCACCAATTTGGTGACTATTTGCATTAATCTTTCCAGTAGTAAAGTTGCAGTACAACCAAACTCAAAATGAATAACTTAAAATAAATTTTAGTATTTTCAAATTTCATGCAATGAAATATCAGAAAGTCTTCTATGAAGTCATCAAGTTTTCAATTTCTTATCACTGAAGGCTGTAAAAAAGTAAAACACATGAAAGATAATTGTATTTAACACAGATAAATGAAAAAGCAGTAGCCTTTAGTCTAGCAGTGTACCTTTACTTAAATCTTTTCGAATGCCCGCAAACATTAGTTTCAACTGTAATTAACAAAAGCTTGCCGTTGATATAAGGGTGAATCAACTAGTTAACAAGATAACCTTATTTCGTATTGCAGAAAACTCTCTGGGGTAACTGATAATGACAACTTGTGGACTATTTAATTTGCCTTTGAATTATTTTAGTGGAAAAACAAAAAGTAGAGGTAATGTTATCGTCCACCTTTAGTATTGGTTCTATTGCGAAGTTATCATAATTTTGACCAATTTTTTAGGATTTTAAAAAAATAATTTGAATTTCTGCATTGCTAATTTGTAAGAGTCAAATAATGAGATAGAAATCCACTGAAGCTTTATATCTCTTAAAGATGTGTCTTTCTGCATCACAAGTGATATATTCTTGGCATATTAAAAACTTACTTTTTGGAATTAACTATCTACACGAGTTCATGAATAGTACTTAAATATGAACAATGGAACACTCAAATTCGATAAACTTCCCACCGACATTGTTGACTAGTAATTATGGATAGTAATAATCTCGTGGCAATGATTTATTTGTATCAAGTTTAGGATATTAATCATATTACTGAATCCGTTATGGTAAAATAACATGAAAAGACTCAAATTATAAAATATTATATTAGATAGATATTAATGAATTAAGCTGAAAAAAAAGAAAATAGACTATTACGTTGAAGGGCTTGATAGATATGATATTAATAGATCATTTAGGGTTCAACCATTACCTTTGTTTTAGCAGCTGCTTCCTTTTCTCTGGTTACGTAGCTGCTATAGTCTAACCATTGAAGCACTTGCCACACGAACCAGGCCAAAATAGCACCTAGTAGAGGACCAATCCAGTAGATCCAGTGATACACTGGGAAGGATCTTGCTGCCAAGGCTGCTCCAAATGATCTTGCAGGATTAACACCTGTTCCTGTGTAACCGGTTAATGCAAGATGCCCAATAAACAGAGATATACCAATTGGCAATGCACACATGAAATTGGACTCACCTTTCTCCACAGCTGTCATTAGTACTGTTAAACATAAAATAGTTGTGCCAAACATTTCTAAAAACAAACCTCTAGTTCTTGAACAGCCGTTGCCTAAAGTGTTTGCGTACAAAACAGGACCTGGAGTCATACCACTAGCAGCTCCACCAGCAGCCATACCTCCTAACATTTGAGCAACCCACATCACTATACATCTCATTGGTGTAATAGTTCTTGAAAGTGCTAGTGATAGAGACACAGCTGGATTTAAAGCACCACCAGAAACACCTGCAAAACACCAGATTGAAAACATCACTGAGAACCCAAAACCCAGCGCAATCATTATCAATTGGCCTGGATGGGAACCATCTGGATATACATCTAACAAGACATCATGATTTGCAATATTTGCAATAACATAGGCACACCATAAAAACATGAATGTGCCAACCAACTCCCCAAAAAAGGCAATAACATGATTTCTCATAGTGTCAGGTCCTAAATTGAACCTAGAGCGTAATGTACTATATTTATTGGGGGGAGCAACGGTTGATCCACTGTCATAACCCAATTCCGCATTTTTGTCTGCCTGATGTTCTGTTTCCATATTATATTAATTATTACTGAGACTTATTTGAGATGAGATCAAAAAATAGTTGAATTCAATAAAAAAATTGTTTAGTATTCAAATCCGCGAATATTAAATCACCTTTGATTTATGGGTGATCTTAGAAATTCTAATTAATAAGAACTGAAAGCAATCTTAACTTGATGTATTTATATCTTTCTATTTCGTCATTTCAAAGACCATGAAAATGCTAATAAGACCACATCCACCAAAAATAAGGGTTGAACAATCTAAGGAACATAATCTACTAAAAATAATCAAAGTCATGATCTATTTACTACAACATAGAATCATCAAATTGTCAGTTAAAATGCCAAATAAATCAATAGAATTGCAAAAAGTACACCAAGGGAAATTAATTTGATATGTGTAAATTGAATGTCAAAATAACTTACTATAATAAAATCGGCTCTAATTGGGATATGCCCACAAGGTTCAAAAAAGAACTAACAAAAAACTTTGATGATCTAGGTAAAAAAGTGCCATCATTGGAGATACATACATGAATTTTAATATAGACAATGAGATTTACCACATGATAAAGGCATAGAGAGATATGAATTAAATTTGACAAATTCCTACAACAAAAAGGCCGCATTGTACATACCCCAGCTAAACGAGATCAAGAGCCATTTAGACATGGTGTATGACGTGTTTTAGTTTGATATATGATTCATAGGTAGTCAGTTCTCAAGAATCGGTGGTATTGCTCAGTTGCCAGTCCGTAGAGCTGACCTTATTAGAGAATGATACACAGACTATAATTATTCTGTCGTGAGTGTAGCCAGATTACTGTTAATGCAGGGGGTAAGGCAATAAGAAATCCCATTCTAGTGCGTGCGATGAACTTGTGACTAAAATTCATCAATTCATCGCAATAGAACCGATAAAACCCATCAACTATGATGTATTTAACATGACTGAGGTGCGGGTGAAGCTCCAGAACTCTTCAAACAACTCCATTGTCCAACATAAAAATTTACGCACCGTTTCAGTGGTTTGTGTAGTTATGGGGTATGAATCACTCCCACTTATTTCAATTGGAGTGTCCTGTGCTCCAGAGTAGTTTAAACATATACGGGGAGTTTTCATTCAAATTAATTGACCCTTTGAATAGCTAAATAAGTCATCAAATAATATGTTTACAAAATGTACATTATTAAACTCATGTATTTCCATATCCCCTTAGTGACGAAATTCACACTCCTTCAATATCCTTGAGAGAATAGAACTCACTATTAAAAACGCAGCCACATCCAACCCAACTGAGGGTGTAACCACGATTAATCAACAGATGATTAAGTAGTATCCACTCTTGATTGACCCGTATGCATAGATTGTTGCCACTTCCGCATTTATTTTTAAATCAAGAATTTATTTTTTTAAGGGAGATCGAATTTTATCCATGATATCCCCTACTCAACGTTAGTACGTAGAAACCTTCACTTTCCGAAATTTTAAGGGCGATGCGATGAGGTACCAATCTGGTCCGCTATTGCGTTTCAATATTGACAAACAATACAAACTCTCTGTGCGGTGTTGGGATACCGGATCCGGTGCGGTGTGGGTTTGCGGTTCTTATTAGGAGCACACCTTAATTAGATTTAGTCAATCCACTAATCTAATCAACCGTTGAAGTATTGTCTGATATCTAGGTGTAAACAAACTATCCCAACTCAATTTCGATCTAGTGAAATGCTGCATACGAACCGACGTCCCTATATGTCTCCCATGAAACCTATACATCTCATTCCAATGTTCGGGGATTAGTATTGTCGCGCCCTCTGTACTGAATTTACAGAGGTATCTACGCCTCGGAAGAATAGCTATTTTTGACTCATTATTTTGCATTTACCTGCCTCTTCCCCACCCAAACTTTTACCCCTTGTGAATTACTCTTCTCAACGCTAGAGGAGCTGTGAGACGGGATTTTGTAGTTGCACTCTACATGTCTTTGATGGATAAAATTAAAAATTATATCCTTTTTTTAACAAAGCAACGACGGAAATTTTAAAAGCAAGTCGTGATGCCTTGTTGATATTTCAATACATTAATTCCATATGCAACTAGGAAGGGTTGATTTGTAGGCAGCTTTTTCTCTATGATTGTATAGAAGCACATATTAGCGTAAATACTCAACTTTTCATCATTTCTTGTGAATGAATTCCGTGAATATTTTTTTATATCAAGCTATTGCATCACTTTTATGTAACGATGACGTTCAAGCATTTCTTTTTCATACTTGTTGCTATAGTACCATACACTATCACTAGATATGATTAATTATACAATAAGGGGGACGTGTTCTTCTTATTCCAACTCAATGCATGTGTATATATGCACAATGACTTAATTATTTCAAAGCTATATTTATTCTATCATTGAATATGAAAATATGATGGCGGTTTTTACAAGCAGTTTATGTCTAAAACGTTTGTGAATGTATAGCAGATTTTGAAAATATAGTCTTCTGCTCAACCTCACTTTTATACCTCAAGTTCTAATGCCATTAATTAGCTAGTAGAAGAGAAATCTATATAATGAAATGTATCAATTTATTTCAGATTTTCTTGAATTGTATTAAGTACTATCAGGTAATACCAATGATATACATCTGCAAGCCTCTGTTTGTCAAGATATTCACTCATTTAAAATAGAAACCAAGCTATTTTTTCCCTTAAATCTTATAGTAGTCGAAAAAACAGGTTTATATTATATATATTCTACTCAATCAAAATGCAGATTGCAACTTGAATTAAATGATACTCAACCCCATAGAATGTTTTACTGGAACCCATTTTGTGGGAGCTATAGGAAAATTACTGGCTGGTGAATGTTCTTGGAATAGTATTGAAAAACAATGCAAGTACACTATTTTGATACGATTATACACGTGAAAATATACTTAAAAAGTGATGATAGTGTTATTCAGGACCGGTAACGGTCTATTTGTTATTAAACATTTGACCAAAAAACCTACACTGTGCGTGTTAGACAGTACAACTCCACTCTGTAACTAAATAAATGATTCATTCAGATACTTTGGGTGGAAAATAGTAGACAGTTTCGTGAGTACAGTTGCAGAGTTTCAACTTCATGCGATTGTGAAGAAAGTCATCACTTCTTCGAGAACTCTTTGCAACGGGTTGTCTGCCTAATAGATAAAGATTTTGATATCAGTTGAGGAGCCAATAGATAAGGATCTCTCAATGGACAATCTTTTTTATGGCAACGGTTCATTGTCAGTATCACTCTAACACAGAGCAGCAGGGAAAGATTCACGAAGGCTCGTAGAAGACGGAGTGGAGAATGATCAATATTGTGTGAGGCAATAATCAATCTCTACTATGTAGACACTCTTAATGTTCAAGTAGGCCAGTTTGTGAGAGACACCCTATTGTATTCTCCCCCCCCTCTTTTCTCTGAAAACAGTTGCAGAACTGAAAGGAAAGCCAAAAGGTCTTATCGATCGCCTTATCTATTGGTCAGATTGAAACTGATAAGAGATAGTAGGAAATGTGCGAGTTATGTAACGTTTGACCAAGAAACAATCGCACAAACAGAATTGACATGACTTTGCTTTAACTCATTTTCTCTGCGGTAGTTTCACACAGCGCAGAAAACAGAGTCAAGGTGGAGCTGTAACCCCCCCTTCCCTATTTTTCTTCTGGGAAGACGTATTTTGAGTTTTTTTGGCTCCTGCATACGAACTCAAAGGCGTGTTTGCAGTGGAGGGGTCCCAGAAACAAAAATGAAATAAAAACGATTCTTCCCCCAGTATCGTGCCTTCCTTTACGGTCATTTCTTAGCGATGCCTACTTCTACGAACAAATGTAAGCGCTTCCACATGGCTTCTGATAGCGTAACACAGGGCAGGTTATCGTGTCGACTATTCCCAATCCTACTAGAGTTGAGCATATTCATAGGATATCCTAACTACTTCCTTAATGGTAGCGCAAAAGCCTTCTCGTTATGAATCGTGTGCTGCACAGTTACATACCGGCGTTCCTACTATTTTTTACATGTATAACAAGCAGCGTCGAGATCAGCTTGTAGTCAAATAAGAGTGTGTTTTAGTATCTAAAACCTCGAAAACCGCTCGCTATGCAGCCCTGCGTGTCAATTCAGTAGAGAAGTTGATCTACAGTTTGCTCTTCTTATTCCTCTTTCTATACTTACAATTCCATTTCCCTTCCCTCCCTCGATATTCTATAGAAGGCTGGTGGGACATATCAATTAGCACACCAGCAAGACTGGGCATCTCAAATGATGACGAAGCAAGAAAAACAGTTGCTATTCTATTCAATTCCTTCTACTCTTTCCAGCTGAAACTAGTATCATTCAGTAAAACTAGCGTACCAGTGTTGGCCCCAGGGCAAGCCTAATTTCATCACTATCAGTAGAGCATTCTATTGGCTTATGTGGAAATGGATGACTTTCTTTTCCCCTGTTATCAGTCTTATCTGTTTCGTAATCCCCAAGGTCTTTGGAAGGAAGATGCCAGAGGACCCGAGGAAATGCTCAGAAACTACTGCAGTAGAAGTTGCAACAGTACACATACGTCATAAGAACAATCCGACGAAGAGTGGACCCCAAATAACCCAACCAACGCCCATATTCCCTCCTTCCCACAAAAATCGCCCTTGCGAGAAACGACCACTCACATGGCAGATAGATAACAGAAACTGCAAAATTGCATGTAAGATAAAGAATATTGGCATTAAGGTACCAAGTGAGGAGACACCCGTACGGGCATTTGGAAGGAAAGCTACCATTACAAGCACCGAAGAGCAGCAGGACTGGGTCTTCTAAGGAGAAAGATACGTACAAGTCCCTTCAAGCTCTTCCATTTCCATCTGAATCTGTTCGGTCTACGAAGTTTCTCAGCTACGTGTTCATGAAAATTCCAAAAAGCACTCAATATTGCGCACGAAGAAACACAACCTCTGAAAATCGAAGATATCGAAGCATCTCTTCTGCCTGAGTGAGAGAACAATCGCGGAGCAAGCAAATCCAAAACAGAACAGATAGATCGAAGGGAAAAAAAAAAGAAAGAATGATGAAAAGCAAATCCTAACGAAGAAACCCATGCAGGTGCAACATACATAAATGAAATAAAACAAGTAAAAAAGAAGCATATAGCCGGTACTGCACTTTCTCCGTACACTTTGAATGGTATAGCTAGCTGGATAGCTGAAGGTATTTTGACTCCACCTTGAATTGTATAACTTTGGCTGAGAGAAGATGGGCAAGGAATAGAGCGATGTGTTTGAAGCAATCACTTGGTAAACAGCTAACAAGATGAGCTTTTTGGATCAAGATGAGCCTTTGAACACTGTACAGGCCATGTACTCCAGGCTATCCAGAAGAAATATCAAAAGAAAGAAGCTAGCACAATATAACAAAACAAGAACACTCACACAGCTGAACAGAAGATAAAGCCGGTTTTGAAAAAAAAAAAAAAAGTGAATGAAAGTGTTCTTTACAGTCAAGATAAACTGATCAGTTAGCAGGAATAAGAAAAAAACCATCATAGTAAACAGTGTGGAATGAAAGGATTAGCAGTCCTTTTTGGAATTTATCCTACAACGAAAAATATATAAATACCAAAGGATGATTCATTATCATACCATTTATCTAAATTCTTCTCTCTTGGTGTTAATGTAATATTTTAATTTAGAGTTTTACTTAGCAAAACTTTTACACAAAAAATAAAACACTTTCAAGTGCCACACAAAACATCAAAGTAAATCTGCAATGTCTTCTCAAGTTAACGAACCAGAATTTCAACAAGCTTACCACGAAGTTGTTTCCTCTTTGAAGGACTCTTCTTTGTTCGAAAAGCACCCAAAATATGCTAAGGTTCTTCCAGTTGTCTCTGTCCCAGAGAGAATCATCCAATTCAGAGTTACTTGGGAAAATGACAACCACGAGCAAGAAGTTGCTACTGGTTACAGAGTCCAATTCAACTCCGCTAAGGGTCCATACAAGGGTGGTCTACGTTTCCATCCATCCGTCAACTTGTCTATTCTAAAGTTTTTGGGTTTTGAACAAATCTTCAAGAACGCTTTGACTGGTTTGGACATGGGTGGTGCCAAGGGTGGTCTATGTGTTGACCTAAAGGGTAGATCCGACAACGAAATCAGAAGAATCTGTTACGCTTTCATGAGAGAACTACACAGACACATTGGTGCTGACACCGATGTTCCAGCTGGTGACATCGGTGTTGGTGGTCGTGAAATCGGTTACTTGTTCGGTGCTTACAGACATTACACTAACTCCTGGGAAGGTGTCCTTACTGGTAAGGGTTTGAACTGGGGTGGTTCTTTGATCAGACCAGAAGCTACTGGTTACGGTCTAGTCTACTACACCCAGTCTATGATCGACTACGCCACCAAGGGTAAAGAATCTTTCTCTGGTAAGCGTGTTGCTATCTCTGGTAGTGGTAACGTTGCTCAATTCGCTGCTTTGAAGGTTATCGAACTAGGTGGTATTGTCGTCTCTCTATCTGATTCTAAGGGTTGTATCATCTCTGAAACCGGTATCACTACTGAACAGATCGCTTCTATTGCCGAAGCCAAGATCAAGTTCAAGTCCTTGGAACAAATTGTCGGTGAATACTCTGCTTTTGCTGAAAACAAGGTTGAATACGTTGCTGGTGCTCGTCCATGGACCTTAGTTGGTAAGGTTGACATTGCTCTGCCATGTGCTACCCAAAATGAAGTTTCCGGCGACGAAGCTAAGGCTTTGGTTGCTGCTGGTGTAAAGTTTGTTGCTGAAGGTTCCAACATGGGTTGTACTCCAGAAGCTATTGATGTCTTCGAAAGCTCTCGTGCTACCGCCTCTGCTCCAGGTGAAGCTGTGTGGTACGCTATGGGTAAGAACTCTAACCTGGGTGGTGTCTTGACCTCTGGTTTGGAAATGGCCCAAAACTCTCAAAGAATGTCTTGGACTAGTGAGGAAGTCGACCAAGAATTGAAGAAGGGTATGGTTAACTGTTTCAACGACTGTATTGAAGCCGCTGAAAAGTACAGCAACGAATCTAACAAGAACGCCTTGCCATCTTTGGTCAAGGGTGGTAACATTGCAAGTTTCATTAAGGTCGCTGATGCCATGTTCGACCAAGGTGATGTTTTCTAATTCATTTGACAGTAGAAAATAATTCTTTATTGTCATTTTATAAAAAAGGTGTTACGTTATTCACCTGTCCTTCCTTTCTTTCATTTCAAACATTTAGATGCATTATATAACTAATAGTATATACACAAGGCGATAAATTTTCATTTAGTGTTCAAGCTGTGGTATTGTTTTTGCACATAACGAATAGGTGAATGTGTAATAAGTTCAATAGCATTATAATAATATATTCATTACCTTTTATACTGGTTGTTTTGCTTAATGTTATTTATGGCTAGTATTTTGGAGTCTGTATGTTTCGATGGTAAGGAGGTGGAGTGGATGGATTATTAGTTAACAACCTGCTGGAAATGTAATATATATAGTGATGTGAGGCAATTAATATTTCATGCAAAATAAATACCTTCCTAGACGAGTGTACTTACGATACCATTCATATCTACTCCTTAATGGTAATCAACTACTAAACCCGAAACGTCTGGATATTTTAGCATATGAAGTAGGTAAACATCATTCTATATCGTTCTATGATTGATATTGCTCCTATGCTACTTACACAATACGTATCATGAAAGTGAGTCTGTCATTTCATTGTAATTCTGTTACAACTTGTCGGTGTTATAATGTTTCGATAATCAATCTTGAATCCCCTGCTATTGAAGTACGTATTAGTGATTACGTCATCGGCTTGTAGAGGTTACTTCAAATGACATTTGTCAGAAGAGTAGGTTGTTGAAACATTCATAACGACACACTTAAACACAATGGCGATCTGAGGACTACTAACTTACACTTTTTAGTCAAAATTGGTGGGGGTGATTACAGAAAGCACATGTAAGATAAAAAAGTAAGCAGTAAATACAGAGAAGAAATTACTTCTGGTTTGCATTGTAGTTCAATAACAAGTATGCGGGGATAAAGACACTAGTGCCATACTATGTGAAAGTTTGTAAAAGTAACACAACGGATCCATGTATTTTGCTCATATATACCTTCCAAGTCTCAATAGATGTATTGCGTCAGTATTTTTTGTTTTTTATTCAATTTACCTGTATTTGTGTTTACTTAATAGAACATGTTACAGAGTCAAGAAAAGGAATGCCTTTCACAACAAATGTTTGAGACTTGGAAGGCCTTTCAATAATTAAAGTTTGATAATCCATTCCCATTTCGCGAGATCTTATTTGTCGTTAAGATACATCCTGCGACCTGATAACAATGCAGGAATATCATGATGTAATTCAAAACTTTGAAATCGCCTTATTATTTTCTGTATTTTTACTACAGTTTACGGATATTGTATTGAAAATGCGAATATCACAGTAGTTATTATTAAGTAGGCCAATTTCATCATATAATGCTTTTCAGGTTATACAACAAAAACAACTGAGATATCTAACTTTTTGACATAAGAAGTTTACGGGAGAGGGCAGGGATAAAGAATCCTTTGAGGGCTACTCATTATGAGTAAGTAGTTGATAGAAATTGACAACAACATAATACCGATTTGCAAGAGCCCTCCACAACTTTCCACCCCTTCACTCCCACATATTACCCCTGACTATTTAAACATAGAAAGCTGTTTTCTGCAAGATATTAGAGGTGCAACTTTGGAACGGCGGATGTAGTTTTAATGCATCCGATCGTTTTATCCCAATACGAACGAGTGTGCTTGGAACCTGTATTACTGTTAAGTTACATTTCGAAATAGGACTATTATCGGCGCAATTGTTTGTATCCCACAATGGAGATCAATGACGTTTTAACTATACGGAACTAGTGCTTTTATTTCCACAAGGTGTGAACAAAAAGACTAAAGGCCTTCTACAAAAGAACAGAACACACTGTAATATCCTGATTGCCCAATATCCCCATCTACCAGCAGAGATAGCGGCGTTATGTAGTCGTGTCACTAAGAATAGAATAGAATAGAGCCAAATTTTCAACTATACAAGGATTGTAATACAGAAGGCTATTTTGTAGGAATTTGGTTACAACGAATATTTTAATCCCGACACTATTTTCTGCTCCCGGGTTGTTCCTTTCGAAGAGCCACTGATGAAAAAATTCGTTGAGCATCCCTTAAAAAAATTCCATCCCGCAATTCCCCTTGAAATTTTTCAATGTGGGGAGGCTCTCGAGAAAGTGGTATTATGAAGCTTGTTGAACAGTAGTAATGGTTAGAAGACGAGCATGATTGTTTCAATTATAATAGTGCCAAACAAATAAAACCTCATTACATAATTTTTTGTAGTTTTTGAAATGTATATAAGCAGACATCATATTCAACAAACATGCAAATTCAATCCAAATATTTTCATTCTTTCTTATTAATTTTTGCCATTGAATCATACAAGGATAATCATTAATCCAATATAGAACACAATACAATTCAAAACTATTTGTTCTATTAATTTTCAGATACAAAGACTACAGATTCAGTTTTTTCTTTACACTTCAGTTCCAGCTTACCAAACTATTACAAGATGAGATCATTAGCTTACTTTAAGACAGGTGATATTCATTTTACTGACAAGATTGATACTCCAAAGATCAATAATGATCATGAATTGATGATCGATGTGGCATGGTGTGGTATTTGTGGTACCGACCTGCATGAGTTCTTAGAAGGTCCAATTTTCATGCCAAAGGATGGAGATACACATTATCTTTCCGGACTTGATCTACCGCTACCAATGGGTCATGAAATGTCAGGTATTGTGAAGGAAGTAGGTAAGGGTGTGACTCGCTTTAAGCCTGGTGACAGGGTTGTTATTGAAGCTACCACAAGTTGTGGTGATACTCACCGTTGGCCAAAGTCTAAAGTCGCTAAAGGTGAACTATGTCCTGCTTGTGAAATGGGTTTACCAAATTGTTGCACACACGGTAGTTTCCAAGGTTTAGGATCTGTTGGTGGTGGTTTTGCCGAACAAGTTGTTGTTGGTGAAAAGCATGTTGTTAAAATTCCAGACAAATTGCCATTGGATGTTGCCGCTTTGGTTGAGCCTTTGTCTGTCGCATGGCATGCCGCTAGATTAGCCGAATTCAAAGAAGGCTCTAATGCTTTGGTTTTGGGTTCTGGTCCAATTGGTTTGGCCATGATTCTTGCTTTGAAGGGTATGAAAGCTGGGAAGATTGTGGTTTCTGAGCCTGCCAAATTGAGAAGAGAACTAGCTGAGAAATTGAATGTCGTTGTTTTCAACCCAACTCATACAAGAGCACAAAATGCAATTGAGAAATTGAAAGAACTATCTCCAAAAGATCACGGTTTTGACTACACCTTTGACTGTTCTGGTGTTCAGGATACATTCAATGCAGCAGTTAAAGCTGCTTGTATTCAGGGTCACATTGTGAATGTGGCTATTTGGGGTCCCAAACCGGTAGCCTTCCATCCAATGGATATGACCTATGGTGAGAAGAAGCTTACTGGTACTATGGGCTATGTTACCAGAGATTTTGAGGAAGTTGTTGATGCCATTGATAAGGGATATATTTCCATTGAGGAGTGTAAGCTATTGATTACTGGTAGAGTTAAATTGGAAGATGGTATGGAGAAGGGGTTCCATGAATTGATTGAGCATAAGGAAACTAATGTCAAGATTTTGTTGACCCCAAATAATCATGGAGAGTTACAATGAGTACTCTCTAGACGAAGTAATGATATAAATGTCAAGCCATTGAGGTTTAGTTTTCTAACGACTGATGAGATGATACATTATTAGTAAGTGAGATAGAAAATATCTTCGAACTACTAAAAGTATATATAAATGATGATTAAAATTAACGCTCAGGAACTTTTTTTAGCAATCATAGTGTCCTTTTACCCAAAAGAAATGACTGTAATGGCATCATGCTTGTGTATATTTTCTTAGCTTTTCAGTATTTAAATGTATAGTTGGGAATAAAAGAAGTTTCTAAAGTCAAGCTTTTCTAACCGCATTAGGACTAGTAGCTACCAGCCCTTAATATCAAAAAAGTCACAATAGATATAGATATTGATGATTCGATTTAAACTGGGAAATGTTTCTGAATCACTATCAATGGTCAAATTGGGCAGTGATGATCAGAAACATCCTTTTTTGTCGTGTCTACGTATTTTCTCTGATTTTTGAAAATTTCTGAAAATTTGCGATGAGCATCGCATCGCAATAGGTATCGTCAACTTATTTTATAGTAGTAACCGAAAAGCCAATCATTCAAAATAATTCTGTCTTTCATATAATCAAGATTTTATTGAATTCCAACATTATAAAGTAAAACGTTACCGGTAAAATGGCTAAGAAAATTTCAAAAAACTCCAGAGCTGCAAGACAATATGATCTAACTGATTTAGCTCCCAAAGAACTCCAGAATCTTCCGAGAGCAGAAAATACTGATCTAACTAATATAATGATCAGAACAGCTGCAAAAAATGAGTCTCTTTTAGAAGCAAAGATAAGGAAGAAGAAGGACAGCAAGAACAAAGTGTCAAAGAAAGACTTTGAAAAGAAAATTGCCAAATCAGTCAAAATCATGGAGAAAGAGCGTCTAGAAAGGGCTTTGAATATCACAAATCGTCTCGACGGTAAAATTGCCAAATCTATTTCAAGAGCAAAGTATGTGCAAAGTTCGAGAAAGGCTGGCTGGGATAGTATAAATGCGTCAATTAAAAAGGAATTGCTGGTACAAGCTTTGGAAGCAGAAGAAGAGGAGAAGAAAAATGAAGAAGCTGAAAAGGAAGGGGACATTGAGGTTGATGAAATGTATGACTCAGCTAAGATAGAAACTACAACAGAAGTCAAACCCCAATCTGTTGAGCCACAAAATTTGTTTGCATTGCTTCCGCTTGATACAGACGAATGATTTAAGGAGTACAAAACATTTTTCATAATTTTATATACTAGTTTTGAAATAATCGATTAAAAGTATTGCATTTATAGACATATTTGTTTACCATCATTAAGTATTATAAGAGATAAGAAAATAAAATCCAAAATATTCTGCAGTGATACACTTTCTGACTTTACCAATTTTGCGTGATCATCATTATCAAGATTAGAAAATTAAAATTTAAATGAGGGCAGCTTACTGCATGAGCCGATTGACAGATCTAGTACTAAATTCCAGCATAAAAAAATCAACCAACTACAAAGGGTAAACAGATTCAAAATTTAGAATAATACTCACACTTTAGTACTATTGTTTAATCTATCGATATGAAATCAATTGGCTTATTGGGCCTATTCTTTACAGCAGCACATGTCCATGGACGTCACCTACCTATCAACAGTACAAATATATCTGGCTTTTGGGAGGACTTTGAGACTTATAAGACTAATGAGGATCTGAAGGAAGTATGGCATTCTTCAGAAGCAGTTGATGAGCATGGTAGAAAATTATTTCCTGCCTCTTGGAAGCTCTTTCATAATCCGGACTATGTGGAATCAAATCGGAAAGGGTTGCTTGTTAAGTCACCTGGGAAGTATGCTATGATTGGTAGAAATATCGAAAAACCTGTAAACTTATCAGACTCTGAACTGTTGGTGATACAATATGAGGTTAAGAGTACGAAAGATCCACATTGTGAGGGTGCCTTCATCAAGTTATTTCATAATATGTATCTGGAAAGCCTTACTAACTATGATAGAAAAGCTGGAGTCAAATATGATCTTTTATTTGGTCCTGATTTCTGTCTACCAGATACAAACATGGTCCGGTTCGAATGGAGGAATAGGAAGGACAAAGAAGAGAAAAAACTAATTTTTAGCCCCAAGAGTAAATTGAATGATGGTCAGCACAAGAATCATCTATATACAATGATATTGGATCTAGGTAATAAAATACTAGAAATACGAATTGATGGGAAAGTTGTATTAGCTACATCGCTTAATGACAGTCAACATTTTAAGGATACCAAATACATGTCTACAACTGATACTCATGAGGATTCATCAGAGTTTAATTTTTCAATTGATGGTCTTACGTTTGATATCTGGGGCACATTATCCGGTATTGTGTTCAAAAATGTATATATCGGGAACAGTATTGAAGAAGCAGAAATTATAGGCAATAATACATACCTTCCCAATGCTTTAAAAGAAAATGATCTCATCTTAAAAAAGTTGAAGGTCAAGAATGATGGAAAGGTTCCAAATGCAAAATCCCCTTATGATGACAATATATATTCGCAGAATTTGTTTGATATTTTGTTTGATAAATTGGTAGGTTTATTGGAAGGGCTATCGATAAAGCATATGATAACTGTGCTCTTAGTACTAATTCCATATATGCTTTATTATCTGGCCAGAAATCATGAAATGAAAAAAAGAATTCGGACGGAAGATATTGTAGAAATAAATAAATAAACATATATCACAATGAGACGCCCTACAAGATGCTCTGATCACCTTGGTATTATAAATTATCATATCTAGTTTAGATATTAGAGCTGGATATGTAAGTATTCATATTGAATTATTCATTTATAGAAGTTACGAATAAGTATGTTTAATTTACAAAAAAAGTTTTTTATGATATGCAACTGTTAGCTAAACTAAAAACTTCAGCTTCTATCTGCTGTTGATATCACTCTCGATAATCTCATTTTAATCAACTAAATGAACATTTTCTATTATCTGGCAGGCAATTCGAAAAACATGCTCATAATTTTGGGCAGTTCTTCGACTCAATTGTTTCGTTACTGGGTTTCTACAAAGATTGATGTATTTCAATTGAGTTGTAGGTATAGCGCGAAGAATATTTTTTAAATCATGTAAGTCATTATCTGTAAGATCCAGACGTTGAACTGTAGGGATAATTTGATATAAATTTGATGGCAATTCCCGTAGTCCACTAATATTTGAAATTTTTAGTATTTTTAAATTTGGAGGAAAATATTCCCATTTTGGAATATCACAAATTGCACCATTACATATCTCAAAAACCTCAATATGTGGCGGACATATTTTCCATTCTCTTAAGCATTTGCATGCATCAATGTGTAGCTCTTTTAACTGCATTAAAGGAAGGCATTTTAATTCTAAATGAGGTAAGTTGAAATTCTTCATTAAACTTACAGTTTCCAAGTAACGTAATAAATGCAGGTTGTCTACCTTCTCTAAGTTGTTATTGTCTACCAATAATACACGTAGATTGGTTAACAAGTGTATATTTTTTAACTCTTTAATTTTATTGCCCGTTAGACACAAATATTCTAATGAAGCCCATCCTAATTTATCTCTTGATCCATGCATTAGTTCACGAAAGTCAATGCAACCTTCTATTAAATTATATGAAAGGTCTAAATGTCTCAGCGGAGTATTTTCTAAGGTAGTTAAGCTTCTAACTTGATTATGAGACATATTGATTTGTGTAAGGTGATAGCCATCATTCAAGAATTCGAGATCGGCTATACAATTATAAGAGCAGTTCAAAGTTTCCAAATCTCTATAATTGTTTAGATTCAAATGTAATAATCCTTTACCTTGAACATTTAATTCTCTGATTATTTTTGTTTTCGGTTTAAATGGTATCTGCGATATACTAGCATCTGTATTACATAAAAAAGAGTAAGGTTTCCCTTGTGTGTCTGTCAGATTTACCCTTCCAGAAACGTTTCTTTCTTTAAAGACCAATTCATCTCTACTTAAATCCAAGCTATTATCGAGTTGTGTAGCATACTTGAATTTATCACTGCTTTTGCTACCATTCGAGTTATCATCAATATCATCATCTTTGAATGAATGACTGCTATACGGTATTTGAAAGCCTCCATTTAAATTCAGTGGAGTTAAGGCTCGATCAGGGGCAATGTGCATGACTAATTTACATTAATATCCACTCTCAAGTTTGATATCACCCTTTTCTTACCGATAACAAGAATGGAGGAATATATGAATCCAAAAGTAGACTAAAATTGTAAATTATTCTCTTGAAAATAGGAAAGTGTTAAGATCCTAAGTAGCTAATAAGAAATTTCACTTTTTTAATTGATTGTATCTGTATAACAAATCAATTCAACCACAAGATAGGTAATAAGAAATGAGCAACCGATAATAAGCACAGATAGCCTTCAGTTTTGTGTAAATCCGCAAAGTGAACTAGGACCTATAGTTAAAGTTTGTGAAACTTGTGGTTTGAAATATATCTTATTTGGTGTTTTCGACAATGATGTCACGGATATGCCAAAAAAGGTCTGTATGAATGCCTTGTACTTGGTCTGCTATGTCAAACAGCCCCTGTAAGAAACCGGATTCTCAATCTAACAATTATTCCTTGGTTTAACTGTATTTGTCTTTGGAAGATATATTCCTATTCCAATGAATATTTAAAGGTGTCTTGACAGCCGTAGGTTTGTACTGTAATTTCAACACAATTTCCTGGTGATCTTTATGTGCCGGTTCTTAGTCAAGTTATTATCTCCCTTTAGGAAATCACAGATATATGAGAAAGCTTGAAGTTGCACAAAATTTGATTATAATATGAGGTAGTACTCAATGATGGTTAATGAGAAAAGAGACAGTTAACAGGACAATCAGTATTCAGTGGTGGAAACACAAAGTCATCCGATCTTGAGCAGGCAAGGTCTGTATCTTAGTATAGACCAATTGATGTTTACCAAACTAATACCAATGTTCTAAACCTAGATATTCAATGATTACTCCTTGTGAGATTTTGGTGGGAAGAGATCAGCCACTGAACTGAGACCTTTGTGCCGCCAAGGGGAGACCGGGAGAAATAACATCATATCATGAAGCACGATATAGTCGCATGGTATGAATTTTAATACAGATCATAAGGAATGTGCACGTAAAACGTATAACGAAGCTACATCTGTTAAGGAGAGACACAGCAGTCTATAACGCTGTTGGCACAAGCCATGCTGCTATAGTATGGTGCATTGGTATTTCTTTACTTAGTATAGATTGTTTTTATTCGTTTTTGTGAGAACGATATTATATGCTGGGCTTAAGTCCTTATACAACAAGTGACATGATGTCATTAGTGAATCCCCTTTTCATCTAGGGAGTGCTTTAAACCGGATTTTTGTTTTGCGGGAAGAGATGATAACGACGGCAATATGTTTCACATTACACTGGCCAAAAATTAGTCTCTAATGTGCGAGCCGTATTGAAACCTGTATGCTAGACAGTTCATAAGTGCATTTCAGAATTTGGGCATCGGTTTTAGTGATCTTGTCCCTGGGCACCACCAATTCTTTTCTTTTAACGTTGCGCATTATGTATTCGACAAGAGGCATGAGGCTCTATAAGCTGAAGAGGTAACAAGATTCGCATTGATTCTTTCCAGCACAGAGACATCCTATGTTGCCATTCACTGCTCTACAGTACTCTCAGGCACATTAATTCCTTCCCCCCACCCCCTCCGCCATTGTTTTGCGCTATTCTATGTGCGAAGTATCTTCGGCTTGGAAGTACAAACCAGCACACACATACACACCCAAAATTATAGGCAGACATAAAGCTACGATAAAGAAAAGAAAAAAGAAATAGTCAATAAACAATAGGCAGGCTTTTACAGCCCTATACTCTCAGAAAGCCGCGCACCAGTACCAATTCACATTTATTGCCCGTATTGTTATACTTTCAAGTGGAAGAAAAAGAAAAGCCAAATCGAGATCCCAGACGCATCAGAGTAGAACCAGTACGGAACACTCAAACGTTCCCTGTAAATGGGTAGTGTCTACGGCACAGGAGCGCTACATTTGAGAGCACAAAACCAAAGAAAACACCCAAAAAGGAAGGTGCACAGTAAATCAGCACGGATATCCAATATAGGAAATAGTGGGTGAGCGGGAAGGGGAAGAGTGTAAGGCTACCAAAGCAAGGGCCCTACAAGCTTTGAGAAAAAAGAATGAATAGCTAAACGGTGCATTTTCTCTGCCTGCCACACAGAAAACGCTAGGCAACCACTGTAAAGAAAAAAAAGAGTAAGAGGTGACGTGAACTTTCAAACACTCTACGCTCTTTCTTAGTTTGATTACCCTTCCCTTGCTAAGAGACTTACATTTTCCATTATCCTTACGGTAGAGCTTATTATTTCCTTGTAGGATAATATTAAGATATATTTAAGATTATACCGGTGATCTGTACGGAGAGTACTGTGAATAGGGACTATCAAAGACAAAAAAATTATGGAAGAAAAAAAAGAAAAAAGCAGCATAAAAAGAAAGAAAATGGGAAAAAAACACTCACAAAATGTCGTAGAGCTTCTCATTGCCATTTCCCATTTTTCAACATATATTTTGATAAATGGAGTCTCGTTGCACTTAGAAAAGGCTGTAGCAACACTGTGTAATAACTTTAGAAAAGTAAACTTTTAACTGCGTAAAAAAAAAAGAAAGGTTCCATGTGAAAGAAAAGAGAGGAGCCCTGTCTATTTCTAGAGATTCCTTGCACATATTGTGCAGAGCACACCGCACAAGAGGAAGCAAACAAAAAAAAAATGGGATAGAAGAATATTCGGCCACTTCTTAATTCTCTACAGTGATGTATGAGAAGTTCAGGGATTGGAGGACGTAAGACAAATCCCCGCACAACCAGAGAAAAGGGCTAGTAGTGAAATGAGGTAGCACTTTTTCTTGCTGCTAATTAGCTGTAGCCGAGGAAATAAGAGGAACAACAGAAAAACGGGAAAAAAGAAAGGATGAATGGAAAAGCTTGGTAAAGTAGGTCGGATGTTTCTACGGAGAAGTAAGAGAAGGGGGAAGAGGGCAGGGAGGGGAAGGGAAGGGATCAGAGAATCGAAGAAGAAATGGTATGACGAAATTATATACAGACAAAGAGAGTATGGAAGGGGATCTCTGATAAGTTAATTGGGATAACTCTCCCAAGAGAAGCTTCCATTTTCTACTTTGGGACAGTAGAATTCAAGCTTCGATAACTTATCTTAGCCCACCAAAGGAAAGGACAAGGGAAATACGGAATAGGATGAGGCTATATTTCTGAACAAGGACTATTAACGGCAGACACGAAGGTCCCTATTACTATCTATACCAAGGGGCGAAAAATATCATTCCCATCAGTTGGAGAGTTGTTACGTCGCAGAGTGTATCTTCCCTGGCTCTGGCCGGTGTTTGGCGAGAGTCACAGGAGAGCACACAAACAGAGGAAGGAACACAAAAATGACCACCAACAGGGCCAGTAGACAGAGGTACAAGAGAAGACTCTCTGCACGAAATGAATGACTGAACGGCTTTTTTTTCCTTTCTTTTTTTCCCTATTTTTAAGGTTGCCTCCAGAAGTACACTGAACACGAAAGTGGGCTGCGGAACTTCTTGTTTGATTCTCTCCTGTTATCACGACCTGCAGCTCTGCGACTTTTATTACTTCCCAGACCTCTACCGCAAACTCATAAGAATCTGGAATTTTCTCATGGGGAGTCACTGAACCAAGTGCACAATTATGATGTGTCCGGGCACAGTAAACGCCGCACAGTATTTATGCTCTGTTCTTCCTCCCCCCACCCTCCACCCCTCTCACTCACCACTTACCGTCTTTCTAACCCACCCGCTACCCTCTGGCCATTGACCTGTTACTGAAGGACCAATGCACATAAATACGTCATTCCAAGGCGACCCCATATATCCTCTCTCTGTGCCTTTCTAGGTATAACTCCTCTAGAACCCTCAAAATGCGTAGAAACCTACTCTTGGGAGCCTATATCATCCTGCAGATGCACCACTGCAGCTAGAACCACGCCAAAAATACGTTCTAGCCTAACTTCCACCTCCGAGTAACAATGAAGGTACTGGAAGAGACTACAAAGTGGGTTGACTACTAAGGGAGGCCAGCTGGGAGACCAGCTGCACGTCTAGTGCTGAATGCCTAAATTCATCTGAAATGGCAGCCATTAAAGCTTGACACGGCCAGTAGCAAGATACCCTTTCCCTCCCCACTTCCCACTAGAGAGATCGGAAGGGCATTGCACTAGCGTAGCTAAATGGCTATTATATGTTCCTGCTACAGATCTCTTGTACATTTCCCTCTCAGCTGCTATCTCTTCCTTCCCATTGTCTGGCTCCTGTCAATTGCTGTGCCAGTTGTTGAACTGCTCATTGTAAAAACTCTAAACAGAACAACTGCAATCTACAGTACAAAGGGAAAAGGCAACGAGTGAGGGTCCTCTTGCAATCGAAATTGGTACTGAGTCTGCATTGCTGTGTTACTTCCTCGATTCTAGGTTCTGGATCGCAGAGGCAATAGGTGATTCTAAAGAGGGCTGTCAGAGAGTCCTGAAAGAAAAGATAAATAAACTAAAATAGAATATTCCACCATCGTGAAGTGATTACGGGTTCTTCCTTACCCATACCCATTTATATATATATTCAGATGCCATTTTTGAGATTCTCGTGTATACAACTGTCTCTATTCTTGATATAAATATTTTGCGTTGTTGATTCTTGCTGGCGTTTAGCTTCTAATAAAAAGTCTTTCAGACGTACTATTAAAATACAACAAAATAAATATAGGAACTTTACTAGAACAAAAAAATAAAATTAGAAAGAATAATATGAGTAGGAAAAACAGTAACATCAGTGGGCTCAGTAGTGAGTCCAGTAGCGACCAACTATATGCAGACGCTAAAACGGAGAGTCTCCCGATGGAGGACTTTGAGAGCTCACAATTCGATGATATTGAGAGCGGGCTCATTGACGGCAAAGATGACGCTAATAGTAAGAGGAACAAAACTCACATAAAAACTTCCTTGAACGACATTATACAGCAGGTTCGCCAGCGCTCGCGATTACTAGCCAATAGGACCGGTTTAACCTCAACTAAGAATATTATTATTAGGCTGCTAGTGGTTAATGTTGTACTTTTCCTAATATTTATACACTTCAGCAGCTTTAGAAGTCACCACTTGAAGAATGAGGCCAATATAGGAAATGGTGGTATAGAAGAGCAAGGCAATGAAGAATCTATTGCAGGTTTGGATATTTCCATCGGACATGGTTTGGAGAATTCCGTGTCAGTGAAAGGAAGGATAAAGGATTATAATAGAAATCTGAATAAAATATTACAAGGCGTTCCTCAAGTAAACGATAAATCAGAAATGTCCCAATATGATACATCAAAATTTATAAAAATGCAAAGGTTTGACCTGATGGCAACAGCCAACGGATTCCCAAATAATACTTTTCTGCCCTTCGAATTGACCTCTTATCAATCAAACATGTACAACTTGACTGGGAGTGAGTCTAATAAATGCGATGCCATAAGTTGGAAGTCAAGAATACATTATTCACAAGAGAGATTACCGATAGAGGAAGACTTAGTGGCAGCGAGAATAAAATTTGTAAAAGAGGATAAGCACCTTGGTAAAATTGTGGAAGAATTACATAACGCCAGTAAGAAAGAAACTATAGAGGAAAGTGTAAAGAAGCAATGGCTAAGATTTGGATCATCAGCGCAGTGGCTGGAGGATCACCAATGTTATTTAGTGTTTAGTAGGATTATTGTAACAGAGGGGGGATTTAAAGGTGCTGGTAAAATGTCACTGGTGAGCGCTCAGGCATTTGATAAAGATTGGAATGAAATCAAAGGTAAACGTATTCCATTCATTGATACTGAAATACCAGATGATCTAGAACAACAACTAATTGCCATTGACAAGAAGTATGATTTATTCAAGAATTGTGATGAAGAAGATAAGACAACCTACCAGTATCAAGTATGCGTTCAAAGTAAGCAATACATGAAAGAAAAGGCAGAGGAAGAGAAAGATGAACTATTGGGTAACTATTATAGAGTATATCCAACAATTTTGAAAATTCCTTTTGCAATGGAAAAGAAGTGGTTTTACAAAGGACCAGAAGATCCGAAGTTGATACTAAGAACTAATAAAGATGGCATTCAGGAACCAATTGTTGTGTACAATATTTATGATCCTACACATCAAGAACGTATGATGCAAGTAGTATTGCCTCACAGAAAAATTAGTCCGGTCATACCTCTAATAGAACAGGATGCTATAGTTGTTGGCCGTCAAAAAAACTGGACTCCATTTATTAAAGATGAAGATGCTGGTGGCCAAATCTCAAGAGGTAGTTTACACATGTTTTCAAGAGCAGCTCCTTTACAAATTGTTAAGTGTTCACTTGATACTGGTTATTGTAAGTTTGTTTTTGATGCTGCAGAATACTCCAAGAAAGATTTTGAACCCAATGAAATCAGGGGAGGCACTCCTTTAATAAAACTACCGCCAGTCGTTCCTCAACTGAAAGGAAGGAATCTTTGGTTTGGTTTGATGAAAGGACATATAAAGGAATGTGGAATATCGGATCGTCTTTACAGACCATCTCTTGCTATATTAGAAGAGGAAAATGGCAAATACTTTTTCAATTTAATAACGGATACTCTCCATTTCAATACTGAGGTGCTTGGGTGGTCCGAGAAGAATTTCAAAGCTGATGGTTATAATGTCCTTTCACCAAACAGTGTCATTTCTTGGGATGTGCTAAGCCAAAACCCCGAAACTAAATCTTATGATGATTATATGCAGATATCAGTAAGCCAATCAGATAAGGGAAGTTATGTAATAAAAATGAAAGGCGTGCTGGATTTCATTCTACAATCATACACCAAGGAAGGTCTTAACAATAATATGGACTGGGAAAGTTCTGGTTTGGAGGATAGAATAGAACTTGGTGGGGTATGTTTTAGAAAGCATTTAAGAAACTATTGTGAAGAATACAGCAAGTCACATAGCTGAACTATATATATATATAAAAATTGCATTGGTATTTATACACAAAGTAACATACAAGCATCGTCTAAAGAATTTCTTATGATCGCTAATTTGGACATTGACAAATAGCCGAGTATAAGTATCTTAATCATTCCTCAATTATTGAGTACACTGGCCCAGCATAAGGGAAGAATTATAGAGAATTAATATAGTATACAAATATGTGCTTCATTACCCGGAATAATCTGGAAGACTAAGTATATAAAGCTCTACAAACCCTTGTTCGTTAGAAATTCTAAATTGGAGGGTTGGCCGAGTGGTCTAAGGCGGCAGACTTAAGATCTGTTGGACGGTTGTCCGCGCGAGTTCGAACCTCGCATCCTTCATTAATTTTTTTTTTATTTTGGGACATTTCTATAATGAAAGAGAACACTAACTTCAAGACGAGAAGTTAATGAAAAGTTAGGAAACGACTTCGTTTCTATGAAATTTAAGCGTACGTTATCGGTGAACTTGGAAGAACTTAGAATCAGGTTCAAATGCGGACTGTTTTCCTTTCAGACAGTTATTCTTGCACGAAAATCTAAAGTCAAGAATTGTAAAGACAAGCACTATCATGTTCATATTTATTTCTTGTCTAATGATAAAACATCCTGTACTAGTGTAAAAGAGTCGGCTTTCCATCCCCGATTAGTAGTAGACATTGCACCCCATCTACATATTCATACTGAAAGGGACATGTTTCAACTCTCTTACTCATAGCAAACGATTCTGTAGAGCAGAAATGAAACTTGACCATAAATGTCTTCCGTTCAAGAAATGTCCTTAGGAGTTCAGAGATTGTTGCTATAAACAATGAATACAGGCGTCACTTATATTTGTACATTGCTATAGTCGTTGGTTCTATAATTACGATAAGGTATTAGTGGTTACTGTTTTTCTCTTGAATGATAGATCGCTAGACTCAGAACTTCATAGGTAATAAAAATTGGACTAATTTGTGCTTCAAGAAACTAAGATCTAGATAAACAAAGTCACATGTAGTTGATCTATCAAAGATATTATATAAATTGTAGCCTTAATGGAAAGTGCGGAGGTCATCAAAATGGCCTGTTGTCTGTTTTGATTATCTAGAAATAAAATGCTGGGTTTTACAAATCTTTCTTGATTTCACTATAAGGAGGCACGAAAATCTTGAAATTTTTCAATTTCTTTCTGAAATTTATGAATGGCAATCTTTTCACCACCTCATCGCGAGACACAAATACTGCTGATTACCAAAGTAGTCGATTCTAAGAGCAGTTTTGATAATTGTGATTAAATTTAAGTGATTGTCATTTTACAAGCAAATATTCTAGTTAATTCAATTCCTTAAAAGGAGTTCCTATTACGAGGTTGCCCAGTTGTTAATCTATTCGATAGCCATCCTTTTTAGATTTTGCGATTTCAAGAGTTTTGCTGAGCAGCCATCTATCTATTTGTTAGGTTTATTTTACCATTAATGGTATTATAAAACTAGAATAGTTTGATATTTAGTGGAAGACAAAGGACTTGGATAGTTTTCTTTGCTTTCCATCAAGCAAAATAATACCTTACGCAAAGTTTTCGATCAACTACATTGCTCTTATATAAGACATTGCTATAATAAGCATAATCAGAATTTGAAATTGATATCATGTTCAAGAAGTACAAAAACCAGGACTTGGATGTTTCATTCTGGTGGAAGAAAAATCCAAAGACCCCATCTGACTATGTGAAATTGATAAATGAACAGTTGAATAAGATAGAACCAACACCTCTTCCTAATGGTACCAATATAACTTCGTCTTCCTCAGATAATAAGCGAAAAGCACAGGAAGAGGTTGCTAAGTATTTGGTTGGAATGAAGCATTATATTCTGGGTGATGTGGACCCCAAGCCGACATCAGAGGCAATAGACGAATTTTATTCTGCAATGCTGTCTTCAGATATATTTCATAATCTTTTGGTACATATTGCAGACCTTGATTTTGAGTCGCGAAAGGAAGTTCTTTTAATACTTTCTATTTGCTTAAACTATTCAAAGGATAATAAGTTTGTCACTGTAGATTATCTGGTGTCTCAATCCAAAACACTATCATTAATGCTACGAACAATGGGCTTGACCCTTCAAAGAAGAGATACGTATGATATCTTTATCATTGTCGGGAACATGATTATTGAATGCATTAAGTATGAGCAACTGTGTCATATCTTTTTAACAGATACTCAATTGTGGAGTTTGTTTGAATTTGCAGGAATTGCTAACTTTGAAATTAGTACCCAGTCAATGCAAATTTTAAATTCTGTACTAACTACCCATCCCAAACTGGTTGCAAGGGAGTTCTTTAGTCAAGAGAAGAATATTAATTTATTTATCAGGCATATTAATAAGTTGATGGCTCACGGTAGTTATGTGACAAAAAGACAGAGTTCAAAGCTTTTAGCTTCATTGATAATTATCAGAGCTCATAATGTCCTTATGATGACATACATTAATGCACCAGAAAATTTAAAGCTGATTATGACTTTGCTGACTGATAAATCAAGAAATCTACAATTAGAGGCATTTAACATTTTCAAAGTAATGGTAGCAAATCCAAAAAAATCAAAGCTGGTCTTTGATATTTTGGTAAAGAACAGAGATAAATTACTGGCTTATTTAGAACTGTTTGGCAAAGAAGTTCAAGACTCAACCTTTTTGGATGAAAAAGAATTTATTATGAGGGAAATTGAAAGTCTGCCAAGAATTAAGCCAAATACAAATGAACATAACATTAACATGTCCAACTCACCACCAAAAGGTTTATTACATTCGGATCAAAAAAAAACGGCATCAAGTCAGCAGTTCAATGAAAATCATAATGAGTTATCTGGTAACAATTCTTCTGGTAATGTTACGAAAAGCTTAGCATCAATAGGCTAATGAGTGAATGTAGCAAAAAAATAAGCAGAGAAAGGTTTTGCTAACTAACCGTAACCTGCTTCTGTTGAGCTTTATAATAAGTATTTTTTCCTCTTCTTAAGGCAAGCTTATTTTGGCAAACCCCATACATATATCAGACTAATTTTGTAGGTAGATATAAATTAGATGCAAGTATGATATTAATGAATATATAAATGAATGATTTTTCACTGAAGAATATTAATTACAGATGCAGATCATGTTATGTTTTCTTTTTCTGCTTCTTTTTTAGAAGTTTTGAACTTTCACTGCCTTTTGAAGATAGTAGGGGAAGTCTTCCATTGTGATTAATCTTTCTAGTCGCTGATTTGCTAGTGAACTTCTCTGTGTCAGCTCTGGTCAACTCTGGTATATCAGAGTCAGTAGTTGCATTTGCCATTTTTTGAAGAGTTTGCAAATCTGTTTCTGATTTCCGAATCACATTAGATTTCTTAGCATCTAGCAAATCCCTAAGTCTTTTTTCCCAAAGAGGAACTTGCTGGTCTAATAAGCTATTCAATTCATTCAACCTTTTCTCAGTTTCGAGTCTAGTTGTAGCATCGAATTCACCGAATTGATAACTACCCTTACCATCAAACTTAAGTAGATAATTGTGGAAATGCCACAGAGTTGTCCTATGACAGACAGATATAACCGAGATACCTAAGTTCTGCGCATTTTCATACATTTTTTGTTCCATTTCTGGTGAGACTGCAGAGGTACACTCATCTAAAACTGCAAATTTTGGTTTGTGGTAATACATTCTTGCCATAGCTAATCTTTGCTGAACACCAATGGACAATTCTTCTGACCAATTTCTTTTTAAATCAAAGGCCGCTCTAATTTCAGTAAGATTTTCCTCATCCAAGTTATCAGACTTCTTGGTCCCCTTTCCAGCCAAAACTAGAGATAGGTTTTCAGTAATTAAATCAGTCAAATCCAAAAGCTCAAGAACAGAAATCAGCTTCTCGTCACCCATATTGTAATCCCCGTTAAATCTCTCTTCGAAATCTTCGATAGTGTCAGGATAAATTATCTGTTCGCGGAACGTTGAACCGTTACCCATATAAGGTTTCTGTGGTAAGTAAAAAATTGCACAGTCTTGTCCTATCTTGCGTGGAGGTACAGTTAATTTCGTTTGAACACCAGTCTCAATCTGTCTTATTGGCCATAATCCTCCTAATAATCTGAATAACGATGATTTACCACATCCATTTGGGCCAATAATAAGTAAATGGTCTCCATGTTTTAGTTCGAAGTTCAGTTCAGGAACTAATACTTGGTTAGCTGGGGTAATTAGGGGAACGTGCTCGAACTTTATCAAATTTTCATTATACTCAACAAGATCTAAAACGTCCTCATCTTTCTTATCAATATTCCCAACTGCATACTTGTCAAGTAAATCGTTTAGGTAATTTAGTCTTAAGCTTGTACCGCGCAATTCTTGTATATTTTTCTTTAATTCGACAAATCTTCCTACAGAACTGGATGCTGTCAAAAGCAATCTTCTATTTGTGATAAAGTCAGCAGTCGCATCTGTAGCATCAGGTTGATCCCCATTTTGAACCTTACCTTTGAAGAATATTGGTATTGAACATAAAGCTAAGCCAGCTGCACCCCATGTGTATTTAATCACAAACGTAGAAGCTAGATCATAAAAGGCCCTTGCTTTTATCTCGCGCCCCATAAAAAACGCCAATCGGTAAAAAGAGAAGTCTAATGAGGTGAGCTCCCTAGATTGGCCACGAAGCAACGCTATTTCCTCATTGTTTCTGTGAACACTAGAATGTAAGGATCGGAACCAACTTTCAAGAGATGATCTCATCATTGTAATCTTAGTGAAATTTGGTTGAATTAGCTTTAGCATGGAATTAGATATGTAAACAATCAATCCTAAAACTAATGTACCTTCTCCCATAACTCCAGAGCCAGACATCAGCAATTTAAATGAGCATAAAATCAAATCTAACATTGGTTTCAAAAGTTGATTCAGTAAAACCGAAGTATTGTTTGAAAACTTGCTAATGTCCTTAGTTAAATTATCTTGTACTTCAGAGGCGCTGTCTGCTGCAGCCACGGCATAAAAAGTGCGGTGGTTAGAAAGGTACTTCCCCATTAAATGGTTGGTCACTAACCTATTTATAGAGACAGAACACAGTTTAGTGACATAGTTAATCAGTGAATTGATAAAACTTGCAGGTATACCTAATACCATCCATTGACCTAACAGAATCTTTAGAAATTTTCCATACTGGGCTTTGACTAATGACGATACTAATCTACCATCAAGGGTTGCAACATGCAGGGAAAGAAATGTTCGTAATACCAGTAAGAAAGCCTGAGTCATGAACAAAATCATGACTTTCTTATCCCCCAGTAATAACTTCATCAAAAAGTCAGTTCTCTTCAAATTAACATCTGTAGACTTTTCAACAGGAGAGGTTTGTTCTACTACATTGGTGTTCTCCTGGACATTAGAAGATCTTCGAAGACTTAGGCTTCTCGTTCCTCTTGTTTTGAGTACAATCTCGTCACTCTTGGAGTCAGACTGTTCATCGCTGCTAACATCAGATGCCAGCTCATCGGGACTTGAAATAGAGTCCTTCCTGTCTCTTAATTTCTCACTTAGTCTACTTAAAGTGCTCTTCTCCGATAAAGTTTCGCTCCTGTCTCTATTAGATGATGTTTTCTTCTGTTTTGTAGATCCAGAACTGGAACCGGACCCATACAGCGATACAAAAAGCAGGAGTATATATGAAGTCCTCAGAATGTTCACTCTATGATTTTTATATGCAGTGAGAAGTGTCATACTTGGTAGTAAGTATTGTACAGAAAAAGGTCCCGTAAAGAACTCCGAGCAATAATAATATTTCTGGGTAGAGCTGTAAGTGTTCTTATCCTTTGGTCTAGGTTACTAATCTATAGCTTTACCTGATAATACAGTTTACCACCTTTCAAAGAGCTATTATGATAGGCGCAACTTAGAAACCACATCTTTATTTATATAGTGAATAAGAAATCAAGAATAGGGAAGCGATGACTCTCGGTTATTATGAGGAAGGATTCGATCACCAGAGACGTAGTTGTGGGGAAGACCTTCATTCTTAACTTAAAGAGCGGACCAAAATTAATACAAGCACCAACACACACCAAACATCAAAGATGCCCAAAGCACTCTCCATACTCTCCATTTTCCAAAGACGATATGGTGGAGTCAAGAGGCAAGTGTAACCGAATGTATAGAGTAAGTCATCATTCCAGAGCAACACAAAAGGAACTGTATTCTGATGAAAACGAAAAACTTGATGTCATCTTAACTCAAGGTAGAACAGTTAGTTTGAATAGAAGAAAAAACATCCCATAGTAGTGGATTTGTAAGGCTTCTACTGTAAAGGGTGCTCTGACTGTATCATCTCGGTTGGGAAAATTATCACCGGTCAGCAAGTCCCACTTTGATGTCCCCGTGAAGTCTTGCCTGGAAGCTACTTTTGTAGGGCCAATTTTTTGCTCGTCAGTCAAGAAGATGTGTTTCGGTTTAAATAATTATCGCCGAAATGTGTACTATTTTATGAGAAAGATATCTCTCTTGTAGGTCAAAGTGCACCGTAGTCTCTTGGACGTTCTATGTATCTAGTTGCAATTGGTTTCAAAAAGCTACAATGTGGTCTTGTGAAGACGTTCTTCAAAATTGCTTCTACGTAGAATATTCTACCAAGAGCAAGATCAGGCCAGTTATTCTCTCTGTATGGTTTGGGTGCTATGCGTGGATACTGTATTTTATGAGTGAATCGAGACTGCGTCTTGGTAGAAACCGTAGCATAAGGTGCTGTGTTCATTATGATTTTCTTGTGGAACTAACCCCGGAATCATAGTCTCGAGACATTGTTTCAAAGCCCGTGTTCCTTTTATTTTTAGCCAACATTCACCGAACGCATGTCTATCATCTCAGTGAATTAAAAGCCCACTTTACCTTCGCAGCTCTAAACGAATAGCCTTATGCCCAAAGACTAAATTCAGAGTTCCACAAGGTCTCGATTACATACTTCTTAAAGAACAAAAGTTGCTGTAAATCTCGGGTTTTGAAAAATTAACAGCGTTAGGGACCTATTAATTCACTTAGCAACAGCAATATATATATAAGAAGCGGATATATTCATAATCCTGCAGATCTTGTTTTCAATAATAATTATGTTAAATCGATTTTTTAAGTACTTAAATAAAATTTGATATACTAATAGATAGCCCAGATTGATAGAGTGACATATAGTATCTTTCTAAAACACATTGATAGAGAGATAAGCTATTAATTCAGATATATGGGGCATCAGCACGGATAACTTTGTTAGTGTTGTCTTTTATGGTTAACAGGGTATTGTTGAAAGCTCTAACGACTAATGGTTGAATTATATTATCATCAAGTTCAGATCTGGTGAACACTGTCTTTTTTTCTTTCGAGAAGAAGACCATATGATTCGCGTCATATGAAAACGGTACACATTACCTGAGCTGAAGTATCAATTAACTAATATCGTATCTTCGTTACGAGAAAAGATTATAAAAAATATTATTGTAGAAATTAAAATTAAACAGTGAGGTCCCATTAATTGTGTATTCGCAATTATAAAATAATAGCGAATAACATCAGCGGCACCTTAAAGAACTTCGGATTATGTGGAAAATAAATGATACAATCAATGCACATTTATACCAATTAACTTCACGGAAAGAAGAGGTTAATAAAAATAAAATTAAAATTATCAGATAATGAAATGCAAGAGAAAGATATTTGACTATGGGCAGGGACGGGGTAATTTTCTGGTCATTATTAGTGTCACAATTATCCTTCTGAATAAATGTTATAATAGAAGTACGACAAACTGACTTGCTCAATGGATGGACAAAAAGTAGAGACGATGATGTATGATGACAATAAAAGAGTTTGTCAAACTTTTTAACTGAACCACTAAAATTCAGAAAGATGTAAAAGTGTACCGTATTTTTACAAATTTGGATGCAATGTAATCACAATACTAAGAGGAAACAAAGAGAACACGATTCATATTTCAAACAATAATGTCTGTGTCCTTTGGTTGTTGTTTGTTAACTTGCTCTGGCGAAGAGCTATCGTCCTCATCAACGTCTGCAACATCAACGGTTTGAACAACCTTCTCAGATTCATAATTGTTATTCTCACTACTATTGGACATACTGGACATATCATTATCATATCCTTTCTCGTCACCAAATGGTTGACCACGAGGTTTACCAACTCTTGCGTAGAAGGCGCAATATAGAACTATCAAGCATGCAAAGAATGCCACTGCAAAACCTGCCCATACACATCCAGAGTAAGCACCACCAGTGCTGAAAACGACATTGAATTTATCATGACTTGTACCAGATTTAATGATAGAGATCATAATGGCGATAATACCAGCACCCAGACAACTGAATAAGGCAGTGGATAGGGTCAATACAACTGTGTAAATCCACAGACCTAGTTTTCTGTTATACTTTGGAGCTATTAACAGAATAAAACCAATAATGCCAAAGAATGAGGTGATAATGGTTAAGATATTCATAGCAAGAACAGCCTTGACAGCAGGTACATATTCGTGTTGTCTGTGTAGTAATTTGCCTTCTAGGTACAAGTCATATTTGCTAATGTTCAATGCTTTCAAATAAGGTTGGAAATCGGAGTCCAATAATGCATCATAGATGATAGACCTGAAGTCCAGATTTTGAACAGCGTGTGGAGAGTTACAGTCGGTAATTTCTCCCTGTCCATTAACGTGGCAAAGTGTGAAGATAGATAGTCTAAAGTCAACAGGAACATGCAGGAAGTCAAGTAAAGCAGGTGTCATTGCCTTCAGTTGTTCCTGGGTAACAGGTTCGACGGAGTTTGCATCCTCTAGAATGCTGACAATTGGTCTGAAAGTATCTGGGTTACTTGTAGCCCAGGATGTTAAGGCAACTAAGGATGTGAATGAGTTTGCAGGGTTGTCAGAAGCTGAAAGTAAGTTGAACAGAGCTGGGACTGCATCAGTGTTAGTGTTTGGATCGGCCATACCCGCTTGCAAAGCTGCAATGATGCCCAGAGTTTGAACTGGGTTAGTACTGACCTGTAGCATTCCTTGTAGACCTTCCAACTGAGCTTGAGCCAATGTAGTGTTCCGAACAGCGGCAAGAATTGGCAAACTTTGTAGAACCATAGTTTGGTTGTTGGAGTGATCAAGCAAGGTAGACATGGCTTGGAAAGCTGCTTTTGCAGATGGGGAGGTAGTAACATTTTGTCTTAACAAACTTAGTAAGTTGTTGATGGTACCGTTCTTGTTGCTGGAGTCGTTTAATAAAGCTTCTACCGCTTCTACTGATTGTTTGTTATCTTCTGGGACAGATCCTCCGATTCTGTCAAACAGTGGCGACAGATCTTGGTCAGCCTCACCGTTCAAAGAACTTTGAATGGTTGTTAGTAGAGTGACACCTAATTGAGTTGGCACATTAGCGTTCATCAGGTCACCCAAGGCATCGACAGTGTTGTTAATGTTTGTAGTGTAGCCAAATAGTTGGAACACTGGTAGTAGCTTGGTCTTTTCTGCCAAGGTCATGTTGTTCAAGGTAATCAAAGAGTCAACAGAGGCAACTTTGTTGTCTGATCCTTGTAGGATACTTAGTACAATGGAAGTCGAGTTATCGGAAGGTTGGCCGCTCTTCAATTGTGCTAGGGTTGGCATGACCAGGTTACCTAGGGATTCCAAAGTTTGGTTAGTGTTGTTGGAGAACGAGAGCAGGCCGCTGATTGCGATCAGTTCCTTAGTAGACGAGGAGCTGTCGCTGCTGATAGCTAAAGGAGCCAACTCAGTCAAGGCCACTACGGAGTCCGAAGTGTTCTTGGCGTTCTTTAGCAAGTTTAGCAGTGGGGTCAGAGCTGGAGTATCGGCGATAGCTTTCAATGAGTTGAAAACTTCAGACAAAGAGCTGTTTGGGGCTGACAGAGCTGTACCCAGCACTGTTAGGATAGGAGCAATCTGTGGCAAGACTTTAGTGACGTTAATATGCTTGATGTCGGCATCACCGATGTAGATGTTATGGATTGGGGAGTAATTAGCAGTGGAACCTGCTGTAGCGACGATGAAAGTGATGAATGTGGTGAATAGGAACAAGATGCACACTGAGAACAGCAACACTTCAGTGGATCTTTTCAACTGTTTTGCGTTAGGATAAGTATCCGGATGAGTATATTTTTTTGCAGCACGGTGTGCACTACGGTGGACTGCTAGATTAACCATTTTGTCCTATTTCTTTAATTGTAATATTGTAGACTAAAACCAAATAACAAGGGTTGATTAAAAGGGAAGTTGAAAAATATTTTGGAGTGCCAGATGAAAAGAGTTACTATTTTATACTAGATTTTTTTTTTTTCCTTTCTAAAGCCAAGTTATCTTCAAAATTGTTTTTGTTGCAGGCAAGTTTCAATAAAAAATGGTGTCTTGGTTGTCAGTTTTTTTTTTCCCACAAGTTGGAGAGTCGGAGTTCAGTTCAACTTAAGCGTCAAGAGAATAATGGCTATCCTTCTAGATATTGGTATTTTGGTATCTTTCTTGCAAGAGAATATTTGGAGAAGTCGGGGATAAGTGTTTACAGCGATGGGGTACCATTTGCCTATTCTTTTTATACTTCATTTAGATGGGAAGTTGCCCTATGTGTTGCACAGTTGCATCCCGTCCCATTTCTTTGTTCAAATTTTGGCAGTATCGTACAGTTCTCTACAACTCAGCTTGGAGTCGGCAAGTTGCAGGTAGAGTTGGTGTTTGTATGATCTGCTCGGGCAGGGCAAGTGGTTTAGGGCTTCGAATTAAGTGTCCTTCATCATCTGTGAGATGTCTTGTAGAAGTACTTCGGTAAGTTCTTCGGTAAGTTCTTCGGTAAGTACTTTGATTGTGCTTGTTGTTGAGTTCACTTGCCGAGGAGTACAGGAGGGGGGGGGGGGGGAAGTGTCTCTCACTACAGGATCTCTGTTTGTTGGATCTGACTCGTAGCAACCGAGGTTGGGGTTTCTAGTTTGTGTACTTGTGTATCACCCTTGCGTATCAGCTTGCGTACATCTCTGTGCAAGTCTCTTGTAAAAGTAGTTTCCGTTTTAGGGTTAGGGCTTTTTTAGTGGAAGGGGATGCTGTTTTTGGTTGTTACCGATGCCCCAAGAACCCCAACAGAAACGAGTCGGGAGTCGGGATGAAGATTTACTGTAGAGCGGAGAATGGGAATACTGTTTTTTGTTGAATTGGGTCAAGCAGAGAGCTTCGTAGAAAGTTTGTAGCTTGCTGAGAGGATGCTCGGAGGGTGCCTGGGGGGGAGAGAGTCATCTCTACGGTGCGTGTGTGACCCTTCCACTCAGTCTCTGAAAGATTAGACGAGAAAGCGGGGAAGGGCTATCAGGTAGAAGGAAAGTGATTTGTTACTCGGGGGAAAGGCAGGAAACGTTCTCTGTACGATATCTGTTTGCGATCTCTGTGTGCGATCTCTGTAGAAGCTTTTGGGGGGAGGGGGGAGTGGAGAGCAAGGGACTGGCAAACTGGCAATCGCTGGTAAATTGTCTGTAATGCCGTCGCGGTGATGTAATGTCGAAGAACGAGCGAGGGGTTGGGGGGCGAGGAAAAGAAAAAAAAGGGGAAGGAATTTGGCGGATCAGAGACGATCAGAGAAGATAAGGTAGGGAAGTTCTTGACTGTGCCTTCTTTGGGGAACTACCTTTGGGGACCACCTTTGGGGGCCACCTTTTGTTACCTTATTTGGGAACTCCACTTCTCTTAGACAAACATATTCTGTTGAGAAACCCAGTCTGTACTGTGCTGTCCTGCGGCACAGATGGTCCCTGGGTGAAATCAGATTCGGGGTTTTAAGTAATCCCACAGAGCGCAAGGATTACTGGGAAAACTCAACAAAAATTGCATTTCCGTCTCAAACCCACAATTCAAGAAACTACCCGATTAGGAATAGTGATAGATACACTCCCCCCCCTCCCATCTCATCTCATCTCATCATTCACACACGCCATGTATTTCTGCCGTCTGCTCCTGCTGATACTCCCGCTGTTACATCCTGTAATGGCACATGACTTCAAATGGTGTCAATCGTGATTTGTCGCAACGAGAGATGTCGTGTCTCTCACACTAGGGGACTCCTTGCACTGGACATCGTGGTGTGGGTTTATGAGTGGTTTACCATGATGGTATTGTCATCGTTCCTTACTTCGTGTTATGTGCAAATTCTTTTCCTGCATGGTAATGTTATTGATGATGATGCTTATGATGATGCTGATGATGCTGATAATGCATTTTAAATCCTATTTATTTTTTTATCGGGTTGAGGATATTATGTATATATATATTTCTTCAACTTCAATTGTTGAGTTTTCTCTTCAATTGCGTCCCATAATACACAACATATGGATAAAAATAGAAAATTATGACGTTGTATCTATCTCTTAATCTCCGCATGTAGAATATAAATCGACGATTATCTCAATTGATCTTGATGAGAGAGTCCTCTGGCTTGTACACTATCTTGTAGTTCAACGACGTTATCACACCGTTGATGTCATTGCGGAATATACGGTCGTCGAGACATAGCTGCAAGGACACGCCAAAGTATGAGCCCCACAGCGGTCTATTGTTGTTCATCCTCTTGGCACCACTGGGTCCCATCGGTATCACACTGTCCTGGCCCATCTTGTCACGCCCACTCTCATCAAACCGCACTTTGCAGTTCACGTTGCATATTATCGTGTTGGATGCGCCCGTGGGTATCACGTGGAAATCTAGAGCAGAAATGATGTGCTGCGTTTGTACCACCTGCTGCGACCACATAGTCAAGAAGATCGATGGGTCCGCGAAGGGCATCGAGTTGTACACAACTTTGCTCACCGTTGGCGAGGGTGGCATGTTCTTACTCGATTGGAACAGTTGTAGAAAGTTCATTAATTTGTTTGGATCCTGTTCATCTAAGTGCGCTAACACTTTCTTGACGAAGATGTCTATCAGATGATACTGGCTGTTATTGTTACTATTGCTGTTCATGTTGTTTCGAGGTTCAGTCCACCTATTTTAGACCTAGTTTTTAGTTGTAGTTGAACAAAATAGGCAAGCTTAGCGGATATATAGCCAATTTTAGTTTTGAGGGTCTCTGGCACCTGAATTTCCAGCAAGCACTTCGCTCAGAAACTATTGAAATTGAAATTTCAGCGTTTTGGAACTTCTGATGAATTTTTTGTAATAAAAAAAAAGGGCATATTATTTACGTGTGAGATGATGCCTACAATCTCAGAAACATATAAAGATGTCCAAAAATTGGTCTATTCTATCTCATATAATAGTTCATGTAGTGATACAAAAAGATGAATACATAGCTATTTTAATTACTTCCATTATCAGATATCAAGAACAATAGAATCTTTATTGTATGTCCCCACCACAGTAGACTCTGCCAAGATGACATTTTTTTATTCATTTTCTTACTTAATATTTCCTCAGTGGATATTTTTGCAATTCATCATTTTTTAATATATAGAATACAACGGTACATGTTTCATAGCGCTGTTTGAATTATCTCCATGTAGAATATCATCTTGATTTTTGTTTGGAGCCTTCACATACATGCCCAAAGTAAAATATTTTGAACGTGCAAGATGCACGATTAGTATAATTAGAACCTACACCAAATTACAATTCGTTATGGAGGTTATAAGAAGAATTCAGAATACTCTCTGTCGAAAAAGAAACATATATATGTACAATTGTTGTATATTCAAAGCCTTTTTTCTAAGCTAAACCTTAAACGCACAGATTTTGCTATTCTTCTTTTAGTCGCATTCCTTCTTTACTCGTAACTGTGATACACGAACATAACAATACAAATCCTGAATCGCTAGTACATGGGAATACAGTGTTATTGGAATTCGCAAGAGCAATCACAACTTGTCCAAAATCAAGTACGATGCCCTAAGCAATTTTCCTTTTCGTCACAATCGAAGTGGGCTAAGACACGGTATTTCCCTTTTCGGAAAAGTAAGTAGTTGACCAATTACCCATTTAGGAAATGTGATTAGATTTTCTATTGTACCATATTTACAAGAGAACCCAGCCATCTGTATTTTTTTTCCACTATATGATCTGTCTGTAGTAGAAATCTAGGTAGTGGGAAGTGCTGGTTCTTCGGTACGCCTTAGTGATTGGGCTAATTTGTTCTAATACCATCTCCGGGGTTCTTGTAGCAATATCCATTTTGGTTGAGATTCACTGAAGCAAGTAGTAGCTCAGGTGGAACGTACGCTGATTCAACATCAGCTTTTGAGTAGTCCCAAAAGGGATATTTACATGGGGATCAGATCCCTTGAAGCAAGACGATAACCAGAACACTCGAGCACCCACTGACTTCTCGAAGACAGAACTATCGCTAGTAGTGCCTCTGTGGGCCTCGAGATTTGGCAGTTGTATATGCGTTAGTTTTATAGACAGTATTCTGTTCATTATCTTCTAGTGTGATTATTTGTAGGAAGCTGATCAACATTTTAAAGAAAATAAAATCTGAATTGAGTCTATCTCTCATAGATACACAGAGATCAAGCAGAGCTTGCGGATGAATACTAGACTCAGAGTATCGAGTCTTGTGTCATTCCTTTTCAGAAAAGAAAATCCTAGTTACCATTGGCATTCACCGAAAAACGGTGGGCAAATACGAGTTGTGTTATTCAATATTTGGAAAGGCTGGTTCCAAAATGGGAAGGATAACTCAGTTGCGTAGGCTCGCTTTATTTCTTGTTAAATGACGTTCATGAATAAAGACAAATTAATTGAATGAAAAAAAAAAAAATGAGCTGCATAATTCCTTGATCCACCTTCCACAAGCTTTCCTAATTGCATTACTATTCTAATATAGGAAAAAACAGAAATACTAAAAAAAATGCTGGTCTTTCTATTTTAGGAATTAGCAATATATTATACCAGCAGTCGCAATGATACTATATAAGCATCACGGTTTTATATGTAAACCTTTCAAATTTGTGCTATGACTATCTGCTTTGATCTATCTCGTAAGACCTTTTGATTCAATTTTTTTTTTCTTGATCTGATTTAATACATACCTTAATTATTTTTTCTTTCATGCTATTATTATTATATTATATATATTTATACTCCTCAATAGAAAAACCAAGAATAACAGGAATAAAAAACGCTTGTACTTAACAATCAATTGGTATCAGGATTAAAAAAACTGAAAATTTATCACTCACTCATTTCATTCATTTTAATATCGGCCCATAAATACTTCAAGTTTTTGATCTGACCAAATTTTCAATCATTTTAAGTACACAAAAAGCTATAATCAATAGAAAAATCAAGCCAAAGACTAATCTTCATTCATTCATTATTAATCCTTACCATTGAAATTCATTCATTCTTTTGTCTTTGGACCCAAAAAAAAACGCAAATAATAATACATTCGTTTGAACCCTTTCTTTAAATTTAAGTTAATCAATTACAACATTCATCAAGATAAAACTATTTTACTGGAGGTGTAATTTATATGTCGCTCCCATTGAATGAGTTACCAGTGCCTATTTTAGGTAAAACTTCATTTTCATCTGCAAACAGATCATCGTACATTTCTTCTGCTGGTTCAGAAAGACATGCTGCCCTAATGGAAAATAGTGAAGCATTGAGGTCACCATCTCACTCATCCAATCAAGGCTTTCGCTTGCAATCTAATGCACACACTAGCCCCATCTCCAAAAATTATTCTTACTTCTCATCGCCTATTCCTTCCACTAGCAGATTATCTCTAAATGTAGGTAAAACCGGATTAGCAAATATTACCGCTACTGATTTGCCCAGGGAATCAATTAGCTATCAGGCTAGATCTTCTTCATTTGGTCCACAAATTGAATTTCCATACAGAAAATCAAATACAGCCCCAGCTTCGCCTCACCATTTTAGCACCAGCAACTATGTGTCTATCATTACACCATCGACGTCCCCTGCTGGCTTAGAAAATAGAATGGTAGGAAGCACAGCCCAATTTTCTCACTTACCTTCACTAAGAGCCGCAAGCATTCCAAACATATCGTGCTCACCAACCTTCCAGGAAACTACAAATTCCTTATCTGATCACTATTCCGGCAATAGTACGACGCACATTTCTAGCGTTAAAAGCGGAACTATTCTGCCATCGCTTAGACATTTACAATTGTTACCTGATCGTTCACTACAGGAGCATTCTAAACTCTATCCAGACACTGCGAAAATCAATGGTGCTTGGAGACAAAATGTGATTAGCTGGTGTAAGGAAAAATCCTATGAAGATTATGTCAAGGTTCAAGAAGAAGTTGCAAAAGTTAGAACTCAATTCCCAATCAGTCAGTTGAGGAGTCATCCTGAGAGCACGAAAAATCCTAATATGCCAAAAATCCCTTCATTATTAAATGCTAAGGATCAATTCGAGAGTTTATCAAATTCTCCTTGGAGCTATGAAGCTCCAGTAACTCCGCCTATGAGCCCAAGTGTTTCCAAGAGGAGACAAAACTCCAACACATCTAGTTCGAAACTTCAAAGTGTTACCTATAATTTGACACCTAAAACACCCGGTGATGATCTTAAGGATTTCACACCGATCATCAGCGAGAGGCTGGTGCAAACCGTAAAAATGAAACAAATGGAGACTTACTATCAATCTTCACCTGGCCGCCATAAAAAAACAAATAGCTTTAAGGCTCTTCAAATTAAGAAATTATTGGACAACAGGGATGTGCTTTCAATTAACTCTAAAAGTGGTTTTAAAGTTTCAAAGCCTGGAAGGCCAATGTCCTCTGTGATTGTAAGCGGCATATCTACGCAAATAGCCTCAAAGCTTGAATCAATATCGTCCAATTCCAGCTCCTCCAGTGCAAGTAGCAGTCCAAAGTCAAGCAAACGAAGCTTATCACGCTCCCCTACAAGGTTCACTACATTTGTACAACCATCGACGCCAAGGGAATATAATCAAAAACAAAAAATAAATTCTTCTCGTTCGAGATCAAGGTCCCCAATTAGACCATCTACGCCAACTCAACAAACTCCAATTTACAAAAATACATTCCAGAATTCGGATAACAGCAATTACAACGTCAATAGCGCTAGTGTATTTAGTACACCCGCTTTAAAATACGGACAATCCTCGACAGAGTCTCCAAATAGTGCTACATTTAATAGTATTGGTGCCCATACGACGTCCATTTCGGTTACAACTTCACCTAAACACTATTATAGTAGCAAGAAAATATCGGGGGGCTCTAATTCTCCCAAGAGACGCAAGTCGAACCCAACGTTTACCAGTGTCACAAGCACTCCAACTGCTAGCCATGGTGCAAAGAGTAAAAGCGGAAGCAACAGTCCTAAGAATGGTGCGTATCATCTAAGGAAGTGTGTTTCGTGTAACTCTAGTGATTCGCCATGTTGGAGACCATCCTGGTCTGGTAAGAAGACTGAGCAATTATGTAACTCTTGTGGATTGCGTTACAAGAAGACGAGGACTCGTTGTCTAAACGACGGTTGTCGGAAAATTCCAACCAAGGGTGAACTAAATATAATGAAATCACAGGGATTGGAAAAGGAGTACAACACACAACTTCAACGTGAAGTAGAAGGCTACAAATGTCTGTTCTGTAACCACATAACTGAGACACGCTAAGAAATCGAATCTAATATAACATGCATAAGCCAGTAATTGGTAAGATAAGACATTTCGCTTCTTTTTTCTATGTGGATACAGGTATCTATAGAAAGAAAAGTCAAAACAGAATTCTTATGGTATGGCCTAATGGCTATTCCAATACAATTTGAGATGGGAGTTGATCTCCTGATAAAGTAACAAAAAATTTATTTCTACACAACAAAGCAGAATAGAAAATTTACTTGTAAGTGTTGAGCGAAATGTAATTTAGAGAATTTTGGTGGTATTCTTATAATACATTGTACTCAATTATACAAGTAGATTTTCTATTACTGCTTTATGACTTTTTTAAATGCACACTGTGTGTGCTCAAAGGCACTAACGCAAGTCTTGACATTTTATTTTATTTTATTTTTATATCATATTACATTTAACTTATTCTACATATATTTTATTTTTACATAAAGAGGCCTTAATAATATTAATGATCATTAACATATTTCAATTCTAATAACATCAAGTCCCAACTTTTCCGAACTATTTGGTTCTGATACAGAGATTTATACAAAAACATAAAAGGGACACACTCCTTGCGTTGGTCCCATACCCACCATAATCACGTTAGTAACCTATAACGGCATACGTGCAAGTTGTTAGAAAGCAAAATAATCTTACCCGGCTAGTTTTTCCAGGGAAGAAGTCAAGGATTGCGCTCTCTTTGCATGGGGGCAGAGACACCCCCCCCCTACTAAATACCGGTTTGTGTATTTCGGAGAGGGTTAGTGCTAAGGGGGAGTTGAAGAGACGATGATATCATTTCTCATCAGTAGCGTCAGTTAGCGGGGAGATCTGCCGGGTAAAGTTTCACATTTCTTTCTTTTTCTTTTTACCCTCGTTGTAAGAGAAGTTCTTAGAAGGGGGAGTGTCTGCAAGTGGAAGCTACGAGGCAGTTTGAATAAGACTAGACAGCGACGAGATAGAAATCGATATTGCAGTGCCCTGGCAGGACAGAATAAAGGCCTTCATGGGGGATTCCATGCCTGGATATCTACTGACCTTTCTTAGATAAAGAGGGGGGGGAGAATTGCGAGGATTGAAAAGCCGAAGAAAGGATTTCAGAAGGCCTTCTTTTGAATGGGGGGCTTTCTCACTCGCATACGTTTGGTAATTCGAGGGGGGTGGGAAACCATGGACCTGTTAGAATTCGAGATGAGCTCTTGAAAGAAAAATTCACTGAAAATTTGATTGCTTTTTGCGAAAAAAATGATAAAAAAAAAATTAAAATTAATATTTAAAATAAAAGCACTAGTAGTAGTTTTGTTTTGGATTGACATATACTTCAAATATATAATAGAATAGTGGAATAAGTAAAAAAGATTCTATCCATAAATATCAGATTGCTGTGTTGGTAGCAAAAAAGACAAGATACTAAGGCAGAAAGCAAGTCAGATCAATCAAAGTCTTGGAATTGCATTACTTCCCTCAATTTTCTTTAATTTGTGAAGTATAAGAGTTATTTATTTCTGACCCTTTGTGAAAATTATTTAATTCATTCAACTGAACTAGAAGTTTTAACTTGGGCTTAAAAAAAAAATTAATAATAAAAAGGAATAAGTTTTAGATTAGTAAATTGAAAGAAACTGTTTGTGTGATAAACCCATTTCATTAGAGAAAGGTTAAAATACCATAAAATAGTAATAATAATACAAAAGAGAGATAATACAAAATGGCTTCTCAACCTGAAATTGCTAAGAATTTATTTGCTTCCACTACCACTTTGGTTGATTATCCTGCAAAGGAGGAGAAAAAATCACATGAGGACAATGTCGACACATATTTGGAACAACTTTTCTATAAGTTGAAGAATGACCCTGAGATCAGTAAGCTGCCTCACAATGAAGCTCACTTAGAGATATACAACGCGTTGAAGAAGAGGGTCGATGATATCAACAATGAGACTTGTGAACCAGGTGAAGAAAACTCTTTCTTTGTATGCGACCTAGGTGAAATTGAAAGATTGTACGCTAACTGGTGGAAAGAACTACCAAGAGTTCAGCCATTTTACGCTGTCAAGTGTAACCCAGATTTGAAGATAATAAGAAAATTGGCTGACCTCGGAGCTAACTTCGATTGTGCCTCTAAATTGGAGATAGACAAGGTCTTATCAATGGACGTCAACCCAGAAAGGATCATTTACGCAAACCCATGCAAAGCAGCTTCTTTCATTAGATATGCTGCCACGAACAAAGTTATGAAGTCCACGTTCGATAACGTTGAAGAACTTCATAAGATTAAAAAGTTTCATCCTGAATCTCAACTATTCCTGCGGATTGCAACTGATGATTCTACAGCACAATGCCGTTTATCTACCAAGTATGGATGTGAAATGGAAAGAGTCGACTCCTTATTGGAATGCATCAAAACACTGGGTCTAAACCTGGTAGGTGTTTCTTTCCATGTTGGTTCTGGTGCTTCAGATTTCTCAAGTTTATATAAAGCTGTCAGAGATGCTAGAATCGTCTTTGATAAAGCAGTCAACGACTATGGTCTTCCTGAACTTAAGACACTTGATGTTGGTGGTGGCTTCCAATTAGAATCATTTAAGGAATCCAGTGCTGTTCTAAGACTGGCATTGGACGAATATTTCCCAGAGTCAAGCAAGGTAGACATTATTGCAGAACCAGGCAGATATCTCGTAGCTTCTGCCTTCACATTGTCAGCAAATGTTATTGCTAAGAGAAAGTTAAATGAAGCTGAATCAATGATTTATGTCAACGACGGTGTTTATGGAAACATGAACTGTATTCTTTTTGACCATCAGGAACCAACACCAAGAACTCTATGGCATGATAACAATTATCATTATGATGATTTTGATTCTACTTCACCAAACCCAATCACAACTTGCCCATACAAAGTTTCTATGTGGGGACCTACTTGTGACGGTCTAGACTGTATTACCAAGGAGTATTACATGAAGCATGACCTAGTGGTAGGAGACTGGCTCTACTTCCCAAGATTGGGTGCCTACACCTCCAGTGCGGCCACGCCATTCAATGGGTTTGACCAAACTGCTGATATTATATACATCAACTCAGAGAACCATGACAATATATGAGATGCAATGGAGCCCTCATCCGGTTCTTCTGACTGTAATGACCATCGCAATGGAGTAGAAAGCTTCAGGAATAATTGATCGAAGCCCGAGTCATATTTGAGTACAAATAATCATTTAGTTATATGTATCTGACCAATACATGCAACTTACATATGTACATTATTTCATGCCTTATTTAGACATCCATATCATGAATATCTATTTATTCTTATCCCTTTATTCACCGTAGTGTCAGGGACTCTACGTGCTCGTTTTGAAGGTGGTTCATCAAAGGAGCAGTTTGCATCCCCTAACATTACAAGTGAAAAAAAATTCCATTGTTTAAGATAATTTACAGTGCAATGCCGAAAATTTTGAAAATCTAAGCTGTTTAAGAACAAAGAAAACGGAATACAATGTGGATTTGCCATATATGGGCACACTAAGGGCTACTGTGTTGACAATAGTGTATTATCTTCGCTAATTCATTCTCACCGAAGTTTGTATAGAGATTCTTTCCAGTTGGGATGTCTGAAAGCAAGCTTGTGTTCTTCAAGCCTACACTTGAACATGTGATACCGTGGAAAAGATATCAGTTAGAGCAACCGAAGGTGCTGGTCAACAACGAGCTCTATGATGATAAAGAAGGCAAGTTGATTCTATATGGTGGTGGGAGAGAGTTTCTGTTAAGAGACATAGACAGAGGTGAAGAGGTAGAAGTAGAGGTTTACATCCTTGAAGGGCGGTTAATGCTCTGGATCAAACATCCTGATATTAACAAAGGTGTAGAGATACCGAATAGTAGTATAATATATCATGGCTCAAGGATCAACTACGAAGGTCGTGATGGACATCGACTAGAGTTGGTCGTGAGTGTCTGCAGGGACAAGATCATAGACGAACTATTCGGCAGCGATAAATCACGTGACACTGATATATATGGTGGCACTGTCCTTAATGGTGGTAACGAACTCAATGCAGGCCATGAGGGCTCCAGTAGAGGTGTTTCTGAAGAGCTGCCGATGTATACGCTTTCGAGTGTTGAGTTAGTGCTGAGGCCGAAATATTCCAGTTTTGATAGATATTACAGTGAGGAGATAGAGCAGCTGTTTACATTTGACAATTTTGGACTGAACCGTGGTGATGATCTGATAGAGAACTGTCACAATCAGCTGGCATTGAGTATTGAGCACAGTGCGCAAGAGGAAGAGGTATTGTCATCAGATAATGCTGGGATGAACGAACAGCCAGGAGAACCTACATCTATGAGCACACTTTTAAACAGCATGAACTCAACGAATGGTATGTATCCTACAAACATCGCACAGTCCGACCAGCGATTTGAGAATTCTAATAGCGATACGCCAGTTATCGGTAATACCGGCAACTGCGATGATTTAGATGATATGAATTTTGGGATGGAGATCGGCGATGCTTCAAGTTTTGCAATCGAGCAGAACCAGCTCAACCCTGCATCGGCTATTCTAGGGAGACGCAGCCGTGATTCTTAGGAGGGGGGTAGTGATATTCAACCGTTTGAACTCCAGAACTGCAAGTCTTGCAACTTCCAATGTCTTTCTTTTTAGTTTATTTTTAATTTTTTTTGTCTTTCATATCATCAAAACATTTATCGGTTTGCAACTTCCACTCTCTCTCCCCCCCACACGCACACATTCTACAGTGCAGACTCTATTTATCGATGAAGAAATTCATCATCGGACTTTCAATCTAAGTAACTGTTTTCGTGTAATACTAGTGTATATTGTGAATACTATGTGCATCGAAGTACCTGCAGTGCCAATGATACAAAGATACAAAGATACAAAGATACAAAGATCAGCACAGTACTTGTGTAGGACCTAGACCCGAATCAGGCATCCCAGAACAGAGAACACGATGGGCCAAGAAAAGGGAATGTCTAGTTCTAGTCCAGAGTCGGTGTGAATCTCAACAACTCAACATCGGTGAGGACTAATATACGTCATGCAGGGGAGTATCAACCTCGAGAGATCCTACCAAGGCCCCCCCCTTGCCCTTTGTCACTGGAAGTGTGAAAAAACCCAACAAAAAGCCGAAAAATGCAGCCGCCAGGAAAGGATTCCACGCCAAAAAATAATGAACGAAAACAATCCATATCTGTGTTGTCCGCAACTGCTAATATGCTTCCCCAGACGGTGGTAGGGGGGCGGGGAGAGATCCCAGGTAGAGATCCCAGGAAGATTTTATCGGTGACGAACAACAGAATGCGCTTCCCAATTTTTGTTGAACAAAATTATTGAACATAGTTGACAGGCAGACCAAAAACCGGGTAACCCGTCAAGAGAAAAAGTAGGCGCAAGCAATTTACAAGTTTCGCACAATCCAACACTGAAAGGACAGTGCCGGGTCCATCTACTGAAGAGGTGTCGTATAGTAATATCTTAGCTACTTGCCCCCCAGCACCACAACGAAGAGAAAGGAACTTCACATGGAGGTAAGCCGGTTAAATGCTGTGCTTGGTTCCAGCTGTGCAGGCTCTCTACACGTAATGTCCTCTCAGAGCTGGAGGGGAAATCTCCACTGCCCCAGCAATTTTAGGGGCTACGACAAGAGAGTAGTGAAAACGGAGTGGGAACACTAACGAACCTCGCGAAAGAGGTATTTTAGCTACTGCCAGATAACCCGGGTAGAGAAGTCGTAGAAGGCCAAAAGGCTCGGAGAAACACTTAACACACACACAGACACAGACAGAGACACGCACTACCTAAAGCAACGTACCCGAAGCCCTGCCTCAACATCCCACGTACCGGTGGTTCAAGGAATGGGAAAAATGGCAAATCTCTGTGGGCCTGAGGCAGAGAAGCACGTAGAAATCCATGAGGAAATCTCCAAAGATGGCAAGACATGTGAAAAAAAAATTTTTTTTCACATGTCAAAACCCAAGGGTGTCTTGTGTGTCTTGTCAAGGCTCTCTTTCAGTTTCAGAGAACTACGCGTCAGTATCTTCCTCAACATGCCAAAAGCAAGAGATAGCTGCGAGAGTGGTCCTTCTAGGGAAGCAGAACTCACTCACACTAAGCCAAGTGAGTGGAAGAGCGACCAGAGAGAGAGAGAGAGGGTTGACATGGGACGAAACCAATGGAAAGGTTGTTGAATCGCACTGCTCTCGCTATCACACTCACCACTCACACTATACAGTAGCCCTACCCTATCAACTTGCGATTGCTACGGGTACTGCGAACCTGGCAGGTCGTTGTTGAATTTTCACTTTGTGCTTCACACTCTCTAACGTAATAGAGTGGAGAGTATAGTACTTGGACAAAGCGAGCGAGGATCGCAGTAGAAAGAGCCATCCCATAGTTCTCTCTTATAGTTCTCTCTTTCCAGTCCTTTATTTTATTTTCTGGATTATATTTTCTTTAACGTTTCAATCTGATTTTATTTTTAATCAATTGAATGGGTTGCCTCTCGTCGCTTGCTCCAGGAACGTCGACAACCCGACAAAAACCAAGGAAAGAAAAAAAAAACCTAAAAAAATAAAAAAAAAATTTCTTATATAAACTTGATAGATCTTAAACTTCTCATTTTTTTTTCACATGCTATTGTATTTACCAATCGAATCAGATATAAGTGACTCCCAATCCCCCTATCTCCAGTTATACAAATAAAGAGCTATCCTTTTGGCAAATTCCCAAAATAATTCTCTCTAAATACAGAATCTGTGATAGATTATAACTACAAAGGAAAACCATAGCCTTAAGTCTCCTTACTAAAGATTATAGATTTATAGAATATTTTAGTTCTCTGACAACTAAAAAAAAGATAAAGAAATTTCATTCTGGGGAAAGGTACTGGACATATCCTGAAAGGAAATTAGATAAGAAAGTAACTAACCAATAGCAATGGATACTAGACCTTTCACGATATCATATGGCTCAATTGAGCATACATTGGTTATTCCAATCTCTCAATTTTTTTTAGTGTCTCAATTGAACGACCAGTTCTTGAAACTAGAATTACCTAACCATCAGCAACCATCGGAAGATTTCCAAAGTGACGAAGAGCCTACTTCTCCAGTGGAGTTGTTGGGTAAGTTCATCGGCTACGTCACGTCTTTGATCGACACCGCTGGTTCTGATGAATCCCAGCAGAAGAAAATTACCTCGATACTAGAGTTGACTTTCAAGGACTTCGAGAGCTCTTATTTGAACGGTAACGATATTCACACTTTGGCAGCTAAGTTACTCCAGGACAATGATATCGCTCTGGAAGAACAAGTAGAAGCTGTGGAGAACAACACGAATAACAAGCAAGAAGTGTTCCCAACCACATTACCAAAAGTTAAGGAATTGGTGAAGAACTACTTAAACGCCAAAGTGCTTTTGCACAAGCTTGGTGTCATCACTGTCCAGAATAGTCAAAACAAGATAAACTCTGCATTGTTCGGTAGCGATATCACCAAAATTTACGCCATCTTCGGTGGCCAAGGTAACACCGACGACTACTTCGAAGAACTGCGTGACTTATACCAAACATACAGCTACCTAATAGAAGATATCCTAGATTTTGTCTCTAAGACACTAAACAACTTACTGAAAAACTCTTCCCAGGATATGGAAAAGATCTTCACTCAAGGTTTAGATGTTAAGCACTGGTTGAAATACCCTAACGCTACCCCAGAGAACGACTACCTGTTGTCTATTCCAATCTCTTGTCCATTAATTGGTGTTATACAGCTCACTCATTATGCGTTGACTGCAAGACTATTAAACGTTACCCCAGGAGAATTGAGAAGCAAGATTCAAGGTGCTACTGGTCATTCTCAAGGTCTAGTGGCAGCTGTATCCATTGCCGAGGCTGACTCTTGGGATGCTTTCTTCAAATCTTTCGAAAAGGCCATCACTTTACTGTTCTTCATCGGTGTGCATTGTTACTTGGCTTACCCAAAAACCTCTCTACCACCTTCTATTCTACAAGATTCTCTAGAGAATGGTGAAGGTGTTCCATCTCCTATGTTAACCATCTCTAACCTAACCAAAGAACAAGTTCAAGAATATGTGGATAAGACGAACAGCCATTTACCAGCTGAGAAGCATATCGTCATTTCTTTAGTTAACGGTGCTAGAAACCTAGTTGTATCGGGTCCCCCACAATCCCTATACGGTCTAAACTTGACTCTGAGAAAGGCTAAAGAACCAAGTGGTCTTGATCAATCAAGAATTCCATACAGTGAGAGAAAGCTAAGATTTTCCAACAGATTCTTACCTGTTGCATCACCATTCCATTCTCATCTGTTGGAACCAGCTAACGAAGCAATTATTGACAATCTAAAGGCATTTAATGTTGAGTTTTCTGCCAAGGATTTGAAAATTCCTGTATATGACACATTCGATGGCTCCGATTTGAGAGATAACTCTGGATCAATTGTCCAGAGAATTACCGATTGCATTATCAGATTACCTGTTAACTGGGAAACATCGACTAAATTCGAAGCTACCCATATTCTTGATTTCGGCCCTGGTGGCACATCAGGTTTGGGTGTCTTGACTCACCGTAATAAAGATGGTACTGGTGTTCGTGTTATTGTAGCTGGTACCCTAGATATTAATCCAGATGATGACTATGGTTTTAAGCAAGAGATATTTGAAGTTGCAAGCAACAGTGTTAAGCAAAATCCAAACTGGTTGAAGGAATTCTGTCCTAAGCTAGTTAAGACTAAGGCAGGTAAGGTATATGTTGACACTAAGTTCTCAAAGATGATTGGTAGACCTCCACTATTGATTCCTGGTATGACACCAACTACTGTTTCGCCTGATTTTGTTGCTGCTACTATTAATGCAGGTTACACTATTGAACTGGCTGGTGGTGGTTATTTCTCTCCTGGACATATGACCCAGGCTATTGATGAAGTTGTATCCCAAATAAAGAAGGGTTACAGTTTAGGTATCAATCTAATTTATGTCAACCCAAGAATGCTACAGTGGGGTATTCCATTGATAAAGGAACTAAGGGAAAGAGGATATCCTATACAATCCTTAACAATTGGTGCCGGTGTTCCATCTCTAGAAGTTGCCACAGAATACATAGAAACTCTGGGTTTGACACATCTAGGTCTAAAACCTGGTTCTATTGATGCTATTTCTCAATGTATCAACATTGCAAAAGCTCATCCAAACTTCCCTATCGTACTGCAATGGACTGGTGGTAGAGGTGGTGGTCACCATTCTTTTGAAGACTTTCATCAACCTATGCTTCAAATGTATTCTAAGCTAAGAAGATGCAAGAATATCATATTAATTGCAGGTTCTGGTTTTGGTGCTGCTGAAGATACTTACCCATACTTAACAGGTGAATGGTCTGCAAAAATGAACTATCCACCTATGCCATTTGATGGTTTACTGTTTGGTTCTCGTGTTATGGTAGCAAAGGAAGCAAAGACTTCTCTAGCAGCTAAGAAATTGATTGTTGACTGTGTAGGTGTCCCTGACAACCAATGGGAGCAGACATACAAGAAGCCAACTGGTGGTATTATAACTGTTCGTTCAGAGATGGGTGAACCAATCCACAAAATTGCTACCCGTGGTGTTTTGTTCTGGAAGGAAATGGATGACACTATTTTCACTCTACCCAAGAATAAGCTTCAAGCTGCTTTAGATGCTAAGAGAGACTACATCATTGAAAAGTTAAACAGTGTCTCTCAAAAGCCTTGGTTTGCTACAGTGAATGGTGAAGCTCGTGATTTGACTAGTATGACATATGAGGAAGTCGCCAAGAGATTAGTTGAGTTAATGTATATCAGAAAGACAAACTCCTGGATTGATATTACTTTGAGAAACTTCACAGGTGACTTCTTGAGACGTGTGGAAGAGCGTTTCACCACTCAAAAAACATCATCTGTTATTCAATCTTATGCGATTTTGGAAAAGCCAGACGAGGCCATCAAGCTGGTCTTTGATGCATACCCATGTGCTAAGGATCAATACTTAAATGCTCAAGATGTTGACTATTTCTTAGCTCTTTGTCAAAATCCAATGCAAAAGCCAGTTCCGTTTGTTCCTGTCTTGGACCAGAGGTTTGAATTTTTCTTCAAGAAGGACTCTTTATGGCAATCTGAGCATTTAGAAGCCGTTGTTGATGAAGATGTTCAAAGAACATGTATTTTACATGGTCCAGTGAGTGCTCAATACACCACTAAGGTCGATGAACCAATCCAAGATATACTGGATGGTATCCACAACGGCCATATTGATATGCTATTGAAGGACTATTATGGTGGCGATTCATCCAAAATCCCTGTAGTTGAATACTTTGGTGGTGAAGATCCTGTAGAGATCAATAACACAGAAATTGTCAAAGATGAAGACACTTTAGTATTGGATGCTTCTACCATCAAGGATGAAGCCTACTGGTTCAAGCTACTTTCAGGTTCTAAGAGAAACTGGAGACATGCGTTCTTCTCTACTGATAGATTGGTTCAAGGGTCATCTTACACCGAAAATCCAGCAAGAAAGGTTTTCAAACCAAGTAAGCACATGTTTGTTGAGATTACCAACGCCAACAATGAAGAAAAATGTGTTATTACATTGAAGGAAATGGTTCAAGGTGAACTAAAGAAGACAGCTGTTTTGAAGTTAATCCAAAAAGATTTAATTGAAATGGACATGATTGAGAACAGAACAATGGATGGAAAACCTGTTGTTTTGCCATTGTTGTACAAGTATAACATTGAAGACGGTTTTGCTCCAATTTCAGAAGTTATGGAGGACAGAAACCAAAGAATTAAGGAGATGTATTGGAAATTATGGATTGGTGAACCATTCAACTTGAAGTTTGATCCAAGAAAGGAAATTAAAGGTAGTGATTTTAAGATCACTAAACAAGATATCCAAGAATTCACCCACGCTATTGGTAACAATTGTGAAGATTTTGTACCAAGATCGGGTAGAGACCTTCTTGCCCCAATGGATTTTGCCATTGTCGTAGGCTGGAGAGCTATCATCAAAGCTATTTTCCCAGAAACTGTTGATGGTGATTTGTTAAAGTTGGTTCATTTATCCAACGGCTATCAAATGCTTCCAGGTGCTAAGCCTTTGAAAGAGGGTGATATTATCTCTACTTCTGCTTCGATCAAATCTGTCGTCAACCAACCAACAGGTAAGATCGTTGAAGTTGTTGGAACCTTAAGCAGGGACTCCAAACCAATTATGGAGGTCACATCATCTTTCTTTTACAGAGGCAAATACTCCGATTTTGAGAATACTTTCCAAAAGACTGTTGAACCAATTTATGAAATGAACATCAAGTCTGCTAAAGACATCGCTGTGTTACGTTCTAAGGAGTGGTTCCAGTTAGATGATGAAGATATTGATTTATTGAATAAGGTTCTATCATTTGAAACCGAAACAGAAGTGACCTTCAAGGATGCAACAATCTTTTCTTCCGTCAAATGTTCTGGTCCTATCTTTATGGAACTACCAACTAAGGAAAAGATTGAAATTGGTATTGTTAACTATGAAGCTGGCGAATCCTACGGTAATCCTGTAATTGACTTTTTGAAGAGAAATGCTGCTACGCTAGAACAGAAAGTCAATCTAGAGAATCCAATTCCTATTGCTGTTCTTGATTCATACACACCAAGTACTAACGAACCATATGCCAGAGTCTCAGGTGATTTGAATCCAATCCATGTTTCTCGTCACTTTGCAGCTTATGCTGATCTACCAGGAACAATTACACATGGTATGTATTCCTCTGCTGCTGTTCGTGGTCTGATTGAAAATTGGGCTGCTGATAGTGTATCTTCTAGAGTTAGAGGTTTCAACTGTCAATTCACAAGCATGGTCCTGCCTAATACTCCACTGAAAACCAGTATTCAACATGTCGGTATGATTAACGGTCGTAAACTGTTCAAGTTTGAGACTAAGAACGAGAATGATACAGTTGTCTTGGTCGGTGAAGCTGAGGTTGAACAGCCAGTTTCCGCATTTGTTTTCACTGGTCAGGGTTCTCAAGAGCAAGGTATGGGTATGGATCTTTACGAAAAATCTGCTGTTGCTAAGGAAGTTTGGGACAGAGCTGATAAACATTTCAAAGAGACATATGGTTTCTCTATCCTAAATATTGTTAAGAACAATCCAAATGAATTTACTGTTCATTTCGGTGGTGAAAAGGGTAGAAAGATCAGAGAGAACTACTCAAATATGATCTTCGAAACCATTGTTGATGGTGAATTAAAGGCTGAAAAGATTTTCAAAGAAATCGATGAGACAACTACTTCTTACACTTTCAAGTCACCAACTGGTTTGTTGTCTGCAACTCAATTCACTCAACCAGCTTTAACTCTGATGGAAAAAGCTGCCTTTGAGGATTTGAAAGCCAAGGGTGTTATTCCAGTGGAAGCTGCCTTTGCTGGTCACTCTTTGGGTGAATATGCTGCTTTGGCCTCCCTTGCTGATGTTATGTCTATTGAATCCTTGGTTGAAGTTGTCTTCTACAGAGGTATGACCATGCAAGTAGCTGTTCCAAGAGATTCGGCTGGAAGATCTAACTATGGTATGATTGCAGTTAACCCAGGAAGGGTTTCCCCAACGTTCACACAAGATGCCCTTCAATTTGTAGTTGAAAAGGTTGGTTCTAGAACTGAATGGTTACTTGAAATTGTCAACTACAATGTTGAAAACCAACAATATGTTGCAGCTGGTGACTTGCGTGCTTTAGATACATTGACCAACGTACTAAACTTCATCAAGATCCAAAAGATTGATATTGCCAAGTTGCAAGATGAGATGTCTCTAGAAAAGGTTGAAGAACATCTATTTGAGATTGTTGACGAAATATCTAAAAAGTCTACTGCTAAACCACAACCAATTGAATTGGAGAGAGGTTTTGCTTGTATCCCATTGCGTGGTATTTCCGTCCCATTCCACTCTTCATACTTGAGAAACGGTGTGAAGCCGTTCAAGAACTTCTTAAACAAGAATATTATGAAGGACAACGTGAAGGTTGACAGATTGATTGGCAAGTACATCCCTAACTTGACTGCCAAGCCATTCCAAATCACCAAAGAATACTTTGAAGACGTCTACAAGTTGACCGGATCCGACAGGATCAAGGAAATCCTGGATAACTGGGAGAAATATGAAGCTTAAATCGCTTCACACAAAAATTCAAGCTTTTATATAGCATAACTAAATTGCATTTACTGTTTTGTACTATAAATTTTGTTGATTATTGTAACTATTGTGAAAATGTTTCTGTAATTAGACTCTAAGGCCATACCTATGACTATGCTATGTGGAGACGTGACTTTCAGCATCTAAAGAGAGCAGAAGTCACATGCGTGGCTGCGGGTAACTGGTAACTAGTAACTGAAATATTTTTCATTTCGAAAAAATTTGAAAATTTTCTCATTGTGAACAATTCCGATGCTCATCGATGACCTTCCGAATTAGGATTACAATCATTGGTTAAGCAATAATGGCTACAATGGTAAGGCATTGATCCTTTTAATTTAGCTACTAGTTGCAAGAGTTTGAACTTTTTGATATACTGGGTTTTATTTTTGATTAGTTTATTGTTTTGTCAAAAAGTAATGATTCTCGTCTAACCCACCAGCGATTACCCATCTTCTAAACCAAGATTAACTTTGTTCTATCAAGAACCTGTTCCACTTTTGAGTACAGTTCTTTAACTGAGAATACATTACAAGGTATCAAAAAAGTAGCTATTACTGTTTTGTACACCTGAGGATACTTTTCAGAGTTTTGAAATATATTTATTGCTATAAGACCTATTTCTTTTTATTTGCCAACTCTCTTAAAGTACTTCATTGAAAGAAGGACAACTTATAGAGGAGCTTAAGACATTGACTTATTACCAACAAGATAATATTAACAGAAATGCGTAAGTGCAAAGTTTTTGTTGGTAACTCTCATCCTGAACTAGGAAATCTAGTTTGTCAGAGATTAGGCATTGAGCCTGCCCCATGCACTCTAAAAAAGTTTGCTAATGGTGAAACCTCCGTCCAAATTGGTGTTTCGGTTAGAGACGAGGATGTCTACGTGATTCAATCTGGGTCCCCAAATATTAACGACCACATTATGGAACTCTTGATTTTAGTTTCGGCCTGCAGAGGTGGGTCGGCTAAGAAAATTACTGCTGTTATCCCTCAATTCCCGTACTCCAAGCAATGTAAAATGAAGAAACATAGAGGTGCCATTACCGCTAGAATGTTGGCTAATCTTTTGGTCATGGCGGGAGCCGATCACGTTGTCTCAATGGATCTTCATGCATCACAAATGCAAGGTTTCTTCACTAAACCAGTTGACAATTTATATGGTGGTCCAAGTTTAGCTAACTGGATCAGAGAAAATGTTGAAAACTATGAGGAAGCTGTGGTAGTTTCAAAAAATCCAGGTGGAACAAAAAGAGTCACTGCTTTAGCTGACGTCTTGAAGATTAACTTTGCCATGATTCACACTGATCGTCGTCGTGCCAAGGATCTTTATTCCCAACATAGGGATATGAAGCAACTGAGACAAAGAAAGCAATCTTTGTTGAGGAAGAACAAACCAATTATTAGACAAGGTGATGACCCTGATGAAGAAGAAAATATCATTTTGACTAATGGTATCCAAACCGCAAGAATTAGGAACGGTCATGTTATTGGCGATGATGAAGAAGATTTCATTCCTGAATCTGCAGATGAAGTTGCTATGGAGTCTGATGCAGAAGACGCTTCTGTTACTGACACGTATGGTTTGGGGGGTACTTACGATGCCGTTGATTCTGAGGATGAGGAAGAAGTTTCGGAAGCAGTTAAGGAGAAACTTATTACTTTAGTCGGTAATGTCAACAACCGTTCCGCTATTATATTAGATGACATGATCGATAGGCCAGGTTCTTTGATTAGTGCAGCTGAGCATCTTGTCAAGAACTGTGGGGCAAAGAAGGTCTATGTTGTCGCTACGCATGGTCTGTTTACCGGTAACTGTTTGGAAGAATTGGAAGAGTCTGAAGTAATTGATAAGATTGTTGTCACCAATACATATCCAATCTCCAACGACCGTATAGAAAAATCGGAAAAGCTGGTTGTTATTGATGTTTCAGCCATCTTTGCTGAATGTATTCGCCGTGATCACTATGGTGAGAGTATTTCCGTGCTTTTTGATTCTTTATCTACCCTTTAGAATCTAGTCTACAGATTTTATCTGTATGTTTATAGTTAATTATATTATCTAACATTGTATATTAATGTCAATGGGTGCTAAATCCATATAACTTCATTTCTATTATCATTAAGTATATTTTAAATATTCATCCATAATCTATTAAACTATTATTTCGTGTGATTATAAGTAGAGTGATAGTACTATAGCTTAAGAGATATCTTGAAGCTTATTATTAATCACATGTTGGCCCATTTTGGCATAGAGAATGGCTACCACTATTCAAAGTTGTTCTCATTGTTTATGTTAAATCTGCCAAAGTTTTCATTGCGTTTTTTGTTTTATCTGTCCTTTGTTTTTCAAGAAATATTCTTCGACAAGACAAATGCATCAATTTGTCATGTTCTCTATCTTTATACCATGTCAGTTTTTCATTGGAATTGTTAACAAGTTTTCTTTTACAAAGACTGCACAACATTGCCTCGGATACAGTGGTATACTTTGATTTCTCCTCGTTTAATATACTGGTTGTTTTGATAATGTTTGTCTTTACTAGGTCCTTTTCGATGAAAGAATCTTCTACATGAAAAGTGCTCATCTTCATTATTTGAGATAATAGGAATGTCAATTTTGAGAGAGGAATAGAAGTTGGAATTTTCTGCAAAAGTTGCAATGGGTCCATTTTGAGGAAATTATCTTCTAAAAATGATTGTAAATGCATTTCGCTATAATCACCGCTTTGCAGTATTTTTTCGAACAGAGTCAGAAAACATTCAGAACCGATTTGATCATTCACCTCATAAACACTGTTACAATATGAGATAGTCTTTTGAAGGTCATGTAATTGATCAAATAAAATGTTTAAAGAGTCAACATGACGATTTAGATGAAATAAAAAGAAGGTTTGTAGAAACATAACAAACTTCTTATCGGATTGTGGCAAGCCTGGAAGCCTCTCCTGAAGAGTTTCTAGGCATTTAGCTGGATAATCATCTTTTATTAGTTTGATTAGTGATGCTAATTTTGATTTGGCGTCTTGATTTGATAAATTCTCAACATATCTAGATATTAGTTCAACTTCAATAAATTCTTGCCTAGCATCATAGACACCGATAATATATTCCAGATATTGCAAAGACAATGTACTGTCGGACCTTTTTATAAAATTGTATACGCGTTGGTACTCATAGCTTCTGGAATTCATTGTTTCCGTCATGAAAATTGGTGTTATAATTTGAACTTTTGATTTTGGAAATTTTCGCAACAGCCAATCAGTATAGGAAAAAACCACCTCAAGATCATCATTGGATAGCTTTTGTAAATATTGTATTACTAGAACGGTTATTGCTTGTTCTTTGGCTTGGTATCCATCACTCTTGGTACTATCATCAATAAGCTCAGTAATCAAATTTAAAGCAAACTCATGTTTTCCTCTTTGAAAGTAAAAATCTACCAGCTCTTGGGTTAGTCCAGCTATTTTTAAATCATTGACTACAATTTCATAATTGCAATCATTTGGAATTCTTAAAAATGGCGCCAACAGTGCGGGTTTGTAGTTTAGATATACTTTGAATAGCACAGTATCTATCAATGATAATAGAGATTTGGCACTAGTATCCTCATGGTCATCTATTAAGAAGAAATTAATATCTACCAGTAAAGTTTGTGTAAATGAGGTATACTGAAGTAGCTCATTTGGTTGCGATACGAGTCGACGAATGTATCTCCTCACGTCTATAAGATAAGAAATCAGGTTTGGGGCAATTAGCTCATATTGTATTCCAGTATCATCCCCTTTGGATAATGTCGAAAAATCATGGTACTCTCCGGTTAGAGCACCTACCAGCTTTGCAATTGATTTGGGTAAACTTCGAGAAATTACTAATTGCGGAGGAGCCCAAAAATTACTCAAGCTTCCGAAGATCTCAGATATTATTATTTCTGGTAAATGTGGATCCATATAAGTCAAATTATTGTTGTTATTAATCCTGTTAAAGATTGAAAAAAACTTGTCCAACAGTTGTAAATTAAATAAAACGGTTACATCTCGAAGTCTTGAGACAAGTAACCTTGTTTGTTCATCTTCATCATTATTGTTGCAAAACTGTGGTAAAGATGTCGACTCCACAAGTTTTGTGTAAATAAGGACCTCTTTCCACAGTTTCTCGAAAGATGAATGATCCTTAACAGAGGTGGTTAAGGACATTTCATCCGAATTGCTATCATCTTCAAGGTCTCGAAGTTTTAACTTAAAAGACTTGAAACAATCATTTCTTGTATGAATAAGTAAAAATTGGCCGTTAATTTGTTTGAAGTCTTTTATTCCTTCCTGAACATCAATTTGTAAGAAGGGAACACCGTACTCACAGTCTGTTATTAATAGATAAGTATCATAAATCTGTATCAAGGAATCAATACTACTCAGATAGTGTACATCTCTCACTCCATTGTGCCACCTGAAATTTTCTGACGTTTTATTAATTAATAAGAAGGGCTCGTTGCTTTCGGAGGTTTTCAATTGTACAATAGAGTGATTTTTCATGTCCATTATTGTGATACCACCACTTTTCCCCGCAGAATAAAGAACTTTATCAAGATAGTCATTTTGCAAATTGGCACGTTGTATACCCTTGAATTTCGACCAGATGTTACTTCTTGACTTCTTTTCAGAAACTGAAGTGCCTGAGAATATTGAAGATTGCATATCAATTGAGTAATCAGATGCATCATCGAAATGAAGTGACTGTCTTTCCAGTTCAGTTAGTGCGGTAATAATATTGTCAGGTGTCCTTTTTTTAACCATTTTTGTGATTTTATTCATAACTGGCTTCGCCGTTTTGTAGTTCCATAAATAGGTGGCTTTATTCGTTGTGACAACCAAATCATCTTTGATAGTACTGACATCGCAAATTATCTCTGTCTTGTCGAGGTTTAGAGGAACTTCGTAAACGTTTTGGAAGCTTCTCTTTCTCCATTCAAATAATCTTAAAACTCTTGGAGTATGGGTGGTATATACTAGAATGGTGCTATCAGATTTACTCAGTTCAGATTCATTGGTATCTAGCGATTTTGTTCGGTCGTCGACAATCCAACATCTAGATATTCCCCTTCTCTCCGAAATTTTGTCATATTCATGTAAATTGGAGCTATTTAATAATTGTAATGACTTGTCAGACCTCACAAAAATAGTTCCAATAGCGTGTGCATAAATTAGCTCTTTACAAGAGCCTGTGTTATCCTTTGCCTTAAGTAATCCAGGATAAGTTTGATAAAGTTTAATAGTATCAGCGCTTCTTGAGAATACTTCCACATCGCCATTCTTTTTTACTACTAATAGTTTTTGGGATTCATATATCGGGAGATAGTCAGCAATATCACTACTTTGATGGGTATATATTAGCTCGGCTGTTAGCATCCCTGCATTTAATTCCAAGCCGTGATGTAGTTGCGGATAATGGGTGTGGGATGTTTAAAAACTAAATTTTTTGCAAATAATGAGAGATAAAATAAGGTACACTTGCTGCAACTTGCTGCTTGATAAAAGATCAAATATCTGCTATTATTTTGGTGAGATCAATACTCAATTGTTGCGATTTCCTCAATGTTATTGATTAAAAGTATAATCTTTATATGACAATGGAATAGTGAGGAAGAATAGAGCCTAATGCGGGATGCTAAATGTTATAAGTATCGAACCTAACGTTATCGGTATTGTTTCTGTATGCTTTAACGTCCAATTGAATCGAGAGATGCGCAACTATACTGAGTCAGGAAGGTATTATGGTAGAATCCCTAAGCAATTAGGCTGACACCTAATTTGTTTTTGTTCTGGGGTAACGTGAAAATCACGTGACATTTAGATATCGAATGAATGTATATAATACTTAGCAAGTCAGAGTTAACATATTCAGTAAAGGTTTTGATGTGGGTGAGAATAGGTTGGTTCTAAGCAGTATATCTGAGGTCATCATAGTCGTTATAGTATTACTATTATTGCTCATATTGATTTTATGTAAAAATATATTAATGTTTCTGCCTCAGTTGTTTTCAGAATTTAAAAAAACAAAAACGAAGTAGCATAAAATCGATGGAGTATTACCATTCGACTGCATTGGCAGTTCTTGGTTTTATTACAATTTTGTGAATACCGTAGCTCAAACCGTCGTGTGCCATAGTTTCAATTGGGTAGATATTTTCTTCGAGACTGACGTGCATACTCATACGCAAATGTACTGTATACGCATCTACTTTCAACGGAGTGGTCAATTTACCCCAGTGTCGGGAGGTTATCCCATATCTTTTAACAGAGAAGTACTGTTGTAATCTCGGAAGTAGCAATATGTCCACATCAAGATCGAATGGCTTTAGGCCGTGCTCATCCTTGGGTATCTCTCCGACAACGTTATCTTTGTTGGTTTGATTTACTGGTGTGCGTCTCAATGGGGCTGGTGTGCTTGGCTTGTGACTTGCTTTACCTTTGAAATGTGTTGGTGTTAATGGAGGTGGGTCAAGACACGTGAACCCGCAGTGTCTCAACGCTAGAATTGGATCGGTATCATCCGTGTATACGTCGCACCCCCATATTTCGTTATTAAATGTACGCGGGCACTCTCCTGAGTCGTTGAAGCTCTTCATAAGGTCTTCATACTTGATTGATATGGTAATTATGGAGTTTGCGCTCTCTTCTGGAAATTCGGGCAGAAACGGTACGGGTAGCACGCGTCTCTCTAAATCATACGGAAACGGTACAGTAGTTCTATCCTTTCTATCCACCACGTTAACAGCGTTAAGCACACCCTCTTTCGCATAATTGTATTGTAAAGTACCAAGATACCGCGGCGCCTCAGTCGGTATTACCGTGTTCGACACGACCTGTAACACTTCCTCGACCTTCTTAGAATGCCTCTTGGACGGCCTATCCTCATCTGTCTTCCTCTTCTTGCTGCTCTTCACTTTCTTCTCTTTCTTCTTCTCCTTATCTTTATCTTTATCTTTATCCTTATCCTTGTCCTTGTCCTTCACATCGGCCTTAGCACTCTTGTTTGAGTCCAGCAGCGTCTCTTGCAAACTGTATATCTGCGACTGAGTGGCCCTATACGCATCATCCGTCATCACCCAATTGCTGTCTTGGACTATCTCGGCAGTATAATCCTCCTCCTCAAGAGCTAGTTATACTCTTTATAGTAATGAACTCAATCACAAGGCATCCCCTTACGGGCGACGCACCGGCAGTCCTGCGAAACCCTTTGATGCGAGAGTCAGAGAACCTTCTTTACCCGGCAACAGCACTGGCAAATCGCTAACGCAGGGGACTCCGGCGATTAGGCCTTCACGCGTCCTGGGCCTCCTTCCCTTCTGCCAATACATTTGAAAAGCAGTACAGCTGGTACACCCAGACACATTCATAAACACCCAGACAATAACAGTCACAACTTTTTTTTCTGAAATTTTTCTCGTTTCGTTTTTTCTGAAACTTTTTTATTTTTCAAAACTGAAAAATTGTTTGGATCCTGCGAATTGCTGGAAAAAATGCTCTTGTTGGTGTGCCTGAGTCCCTGGCTCTGGGGCTGGTGTCTTGGAAGATGGGAACTTAGCCTGGGGGCTGGGAGGGAAGTTAGGCAGCTGGAAGGGGATCTCAAAGGGGATCTCAAAGGGGATCTGGAAGCCTGCAAGCCTGCAAGCCTGGAAGTCTGGAAGGGCAAGACGCACTGGGCTAGGATGGCAGGGACAGGCTTTCCCTTGGGACTGGCTCTTGGTGGGTGGGGAGCGAGGGAAGGAGCCCGAGGGAATCCTTGTGGGATTCACTGTATGGGAATAACCTACCTGTAACGAACTTGTAACTTACAATTTATTTGAGATGGCGGTTAAGTGCGATGGGTATAAGTGAGTCTGTTTGTGCTTGTGTTTCTAAATCATAGGACACAGTAGTCGATCGACAAAGAGGATATCAAAGATGGCCGGTTTGAAGGACGTTGTTACTCGTGAATACACCATCAACATGCACAAGAGGGTATGTTAAGAAATCCATTTAGAACTTATAATATAGACCCAACTATATGAGGCTTTATTTTTTGAAACCATGCTTATTGAACTGAATTATAAAAGGTGAATTGCTGTGAGAAAACCAAATAACTATCCAAAATAGATAATAGGTCAAACAACAGTGAAGTGGTTGTCAATGTGCACATTCCACAATCTAAATACAGCACTACCAATAGATTAAAAGAATATGCACACACACAATAGATTAATTGAAACCACTTATAATATTTGAGTCCGATTGTGAGAAGAAATATTTTTTTATTATGTGCCATAAGTTGGCACTTCACCTTACATGTAATGTGGAATCAACATCATTCAAAGCAGTTTACAAAAAAATAAATGAAAAGTCTTGGGAATTACAAATATGAATTATTTTTACTAACAATCATTTTATTCTTTATTTCATGGAAATTCGTGGATTTATTATGGTTTTTGTTATTGCATCTGTTGTATGAACAAACTTTCACATTAAATGCTGTGTTTATAAAACTGTTATCAACTGGAAATCGTATTATGTGGCTGTAATGATTGCAGTGCTCAAAACTGTTATTTTGTTATTTAGATTTCCGATACGGAATATAACACTGTTGTGTGGTCATTTTATTAGAGCATCCCCAGTTATGCCACCGATACTGTTTTTGTAAATTTGAATTGGAAGGATTAGCCAGCTATTAATGGAACAAGTTTGGATCATAGCAGATGTGATTCTACTATCTTAGATCACACTTGTTAAACATAAACAAGAATATCTTTTATTAACAGTTGCATGGTGTTTCTTTCAAGAAGAGAGCCCCAAAGGCCGTCAAGGAAATCAAGAAGTTCGCTAAGTTGCACATGGGTACTGAAGATGTCCGTTTGGCTCCAGAATTGAACCAAGAAATCTGGAAGAGAGGTGTCAAGGGTGTTGCTTTCAGATTGAGATTGAGAATCTCCAGAAAGAGAAACGAAGAAGAAAACGCCAAGAACCCATTGTTCTCTTACGTTGAACCAGTTTTCGTCGCCTCCGCCAAGGGTCTACAAACCACCGTTGTCGAAGAAGATGCTTAAATTAATCTTTAAGATAATACATAACATTTCTTATTTTTAATTTTTAAAGTAATAGCCTATAAAAATATCATTATTCGGTTTCAACAAGTTCCATAACTATGTATAAATAAAATTACCATTGGCATTTAGAAAGGTGGCATAGCTGAAGTAGTTGGCGTTTTAGGTATGATAGCCAGGTGTCGTATGCAGTTCTACTTATTCAATTCTAAAACTACCAGATCTTCAGCATGAGACTACAATTCGATTAGGCATAAGAGTTACATTATAAATTCAACGAGCAAGACATATCTACTATGATAAATATATGCAAGTTTAACATACGTGCTTTAACTCAGTGTAACTATGACTATTGTAACGTTGGCCACTCATTACATTAAGAAGCTCCCAGATTCTCTAAGAAACAGAACGTTTCTCTCCCATGAGGGCAAATGAGAGATTCGGATCTTGCAATCCAAAGGATGGCTTCAAAAGACAACTTGCGGTCGCCTTCTGTTCTCAATAGGCCAACAAAGGTTTAAAAATTATCATCATCTGTTAAAGGCACAATTTCTTGATATAGTTTCGACTGATATAATATAAGCCAATATAATTTAACTTAACTGGCACATTACTTCTGAATCTTTACGACTGTTCTAAACCATTCATTGGTTCAAAACAGCAGGATATACTTATCCAGAAAGCTTCCAGCAGTCATTTACTCGGATTGTCAGTCTAATATTCGGATTTAAATAGATAATATTAAGTGCAAACTAAGCATTTGTTAGAGCGCCTTTGGAAGTTGCATTTATGTCTGCAAACAAAAGTTTGAGAAGTTGTAATCGAGCTTTTATATAGATTGAAATTTTTCAGAAATCGATGAGCCTAGCGTCGTAATGTAAGATACGAGATTGATGTATCGTATTGGTTTAGGGCTTATGTTGAATATGATTTTAATAAAGTTTGATCTATCGATTTGTATTGATATAAATCCATATTTATGCTAAATAAACGTTAGTTTTTATTTACTGGCTTGGGGGGACAAAGAAGATTTGAATCGCGTCAGGTGAACTTTTCCGGATTCTAGGTATATGTCCATGCGGGATGGTCTTTCAGAAAGGGTTAAATAACATGTTCAATAATAATCATTTAAATAGTTCATGATAATTTTTTGGTCCCGAAATAATATTTTATGCTTAGTCATGAATGAACTTCACAGATGTACCATCAGCAAGTCATTAGAACTAAATGGTTTGTTACAAGTAGGACATTTTCTCATTCTTGCTGCCAGCCTTTCTTTGCAGCAATCTTCACAAAATACATGCCCACAAGTTCTGATTGCCATATTTTTCCAGTTCTTTGAGCACAAAGAGCAATATACCAGCGTTCTAAAATTTTCAAGTTCTTCGGCCATGCTGTCTTCATCAAGATTTGTGGTTGCTAAAGAGGATGGCTTGTTCATATTGTAGTTTTCCTTTGACAAAAATTCCTCCAGTTTCTCATTCTTTTTTAATGCGGTTTGAAGTTCATTTTCTTTGAATTCAATCTCCAGTTCTTTTGACTTCAACATACCATTTGCTTCGGTAAGTTCGTTTATTAGTTCATTTTTTTGAGACGAAGTGAAGTCTAGTAGTTTCTTTTGCTTTTGAATTTCGGAATTTAGATTCATGACTTTTAAATTAGCTGCTTTGTTAGAGTCTACCAGTCTCTTTTCGTTATTTTGTGATAGTGCCAACTGTTTATGAAGACTTTCAATTTTCTGCTTGTATAATTTATCTGTGTCCTTCAATTGAAGAATTAATTCATTAGCTTTATTCAAACTTTTTGATAAATTTTTGTTTTCAACAAGAATGGAATCCTTAGACCGCATAGAGGCAAAATATTTTTGATCTGCCTTTGTTTTTTCTATTGTTAACTTCGATATCACGCTCTCATGATTTAGGTACTCGCTGTATTTTTTGTGAGTTAAGCTAGACAGCTCTTTGAATGCACTTTCAAGGTCTTGAATCTCCTTCAATAGAGCATCGGAACTTGGTGACTGATTGTTTCTAAATTCAATTTTTTCCCATTGGTCTCTTAAAATATCTAGTGCCTGCTTCAAGTCTGATATTAAAACTGATTTGGAAGTTTCTGCTTCAAGAATTGCAACTTTACTAATGAGCTCGTCTCTGGTTGTTCTAACTCTTACAAGGTCCTTTTCTAAAGCCAGGTTTTGAGCCTTCAAACTTTCAAGGGTTTTCTCGAAATCACTAGAAATCTTCTCTTGGAAAGTATCCTTCTCTTTGGCTAACTCTTGAAACTTTGATAAGAAACTCTCATTGGTAAGAGTTAGGTCTGTATTGCTTGCTTTTAATTTCTCTATTTGATGTAACAGATCTTCTCTTTCTTCTTCGTTCGAATGCTTTTCAGATAATAAATTAGATATTTCCAATCGGGTCTGTGCAAGTTCTTTTTCGTTTAACTGCTTATAATTTTCCAGTTCTTCTATAATTCTGTTGAGAGAAGAGTTATGTGATTCCAGATCTGTTATTTTATTTTCATATTGTAAAAACAACTTCTTTTTCTCTTCCTCAGTTATACCAGACGATTGAGAGCTATCAGTATGGTTATTGAGTGCTTCTTGTTCTGTTTTGACTTCATTTTTAACATGCGTGGCTCCATTAGTTAGGACAGGTGACACGCTTGTAGGTCTTTGTTCAGTATTTGAAATATTATCTGTATTATCGTCAGTCTTTTGCTTGTTAAAGACTCGTTTAACAGTCATTGAATCTTCTCTATCATAACTCCGTACTAGTCCATGATAGTAGGCCTTGAGTGAGTCGATTTCATCTGTCAGCTTCTTATTTTGTAAGCGTAGTTCCGATTTAGTCTTATTCGCTCTTTGAAGCTCAAGCCCCAGTGAGTCAATTTTAGAATCTGAGCTACCATTGCTATTGGTGTATTTCCTTAAAAGATTTAGAAACTCATCTGTGCGCTCTTTATCGACAGATTCACCCGCGTTTATCATTTCATCGCATAATGTTTTCTCTGACTCTTCATTGCATAGCCCTCGAAGATGTGATGCTGCAGTGGAAAGCACAGACATTAGTGTAGCAAGTGTATGGACATTTTGCTCCCATTTATCATGAACAGTGCTGTACTGCTTTGTTAATGCTTCAAGTTCAACGCGTTTACTATTCAGACATCTAAATAGAGCCTCTTTTTGAAATGATATTACATCATGCTGAGTTAAAGGCTCGTCAGGATCGCTCAGTTCAAGCTTTTGTTTTTTTATTGGTGGTTCTTCACTGGACATGATGTAATCTATAAGGCAAACAGTTGTAGTTATTGGGGAATATAGAAACAATAGTTATTTAAAACCGTTTGGTTAGTAAGGCCGTTCTTTCTCCGTTTCTTTTCCTTTTTTTTATCCGTTAGATCTAAAGCTTGATAGCAGAATTCAAATAAAGGAAGTTAGATGATAACTTGTCACTATTGAGATGAGAGAATGTTGTATCAGATGCTGATATATTATCACACGTCTTATGAGAGAAGCAGGTTTTATCTTAAAGTGTATTGTGGTGTATATTCTGTGTTCTAGCGTCTTCTCAATAAAAGTCTTCCTAATCCTTACCTAAAGCACTCGGTGCAACAGATATTTGGCGACAGTATTGCAGGATAGCGTGTTAAGCACTTAGTTTTTTGTAGCAAGCCCTTAGCAAAGTAGCAAGACAGTTTCAAACTTATGTGCTTCTCATCGTGGAGACACTTTTCAATATTTTTTTCTTGTCGACTTCATGTTTTTAGAGCAACAGGAATTTTTGCGAAAATTGAGAAAGCAAAAGTATGTCGTTATATGTGATATCGATAAGTCAACAATTATAAGGACTAATACCAGTAGTGGCTGAGACAGCTGTGACTACTCCTGAAGTATCACATTCATTAGATAGTGGCAGCAGTTACTAGTCTGATCGGTTACTATATTTTTATGTTATCTGCTCAAGACTTCTCTTGCTCCATAATACTCTCTTCAACGAAATAGTCCCATGTCTAGTCTTTTGTGGATATGTCCAGTTGTCATTCACAACAATCATTCAGGCTCAGGAAGTAGTGACAAAGTATCGGTGATATATTAGACTTCATATCAGCAGTATACTATTATTTTGCGTTGATCTGCGATAATGTATATCATCACTATTTGATCTCTGGCAGGATGAGTTTACCAAAGTCAATGCGCTTAGCCATAAAAGGAATTAATGTTTCTTCTTACCAACTATGGGTTAATGTTAATCTCTAGTTTTCATTATTCTTGTAATCCGTGATTTGCCATACATTTGAAATATGATCCCCATTTCTCCCAGCTAGCTAAGAGCACTAGCAAATATAGTCACTTGATGATTACTATGTAGTACATTTTAAGGCAAAACCCAAAAGATCTGGAAGCAACAACCTCTCTCGTAGTACATCATTCCTGAGGTTGGCTATGTTTCCCACTTTTGTTTTCCACTCCACAATTCCAATTCAGCAAAGTGATTGTCACTTCTACTTCCATATTATCTCCTTTGTCCTCTTCCCCCCTCGGATCCTTACTGTTAACATATCGCCAAGGCCTAACACAGGCATCCAACTTTCGTTGACATCAAGGACGGGGTTAGGGTTTTGTCCTATAGTCTCAGAGAAGTTCGCGAATGCATATCACCCAAAAGGAAAGTTCTTCAGTCTAAGGCTATTTTCAATTTCTTCGCCACTTCCACACATCACTGCCATATCCTTCCACCAGTATATCTTGTGTACATACAAGGAGATACTCTCTCTTGACCCTCTCTACTCACCCACCATTGTTTCTTTTTTTCTTTCCTTGGAAGCCTTCTTAACTTAGAATAGAAAAATGTTGCATTTCAATCAACTAATTGAGTAGTCTTGTAAGGGTGTAAAAGTAAACACTAGAAGGTTTTTACGTGGCCTCTTTCACTCGCCATTCTATGCACATTTATCAAAGTAGACAAGCTTGTGCAGCCTCTCTTGCACTTTTGTTTGTTGGTAAGAAGTTCCATTTATTTTGAAAGAAATAGAGATCTTACTTGCAGCTCCGTCTCTGCAACTGGAAAACTGCTAGTATTGATAATAAACGTGTGCAGAGTTTAAATAACTGATTTTACTGTCTCTGAAGCCTTGCTGCATTAGCATATGCTGCTAAATTTGTACCGGGGCTATTTTCACTTAGAATTTGTTATATAGGATTCTTCTGAGAACGGGTAAAGTCTCTAGCAAATCGCATTTGGGTCCATACATAAAAGTATGTGCCAAATGGGCACAGTTTTAGCTTGCAAGCACTCATAGGCTTCTGATTTATACATTGTTCTTGTATTTCTCCTTTTTGTGTTTGTTCATGTTTGCCCTTCCACAAAAGAGTACATAAATCTTGATTCAAAATCCTGTTACAGGTCCTGATACTGATCCTGATTCTCAACCTCTCTGGAATCATCAATTAAAAGTGGGCTGGACTGTAACATTACATATAAAGAGCTGGCAAATAATAGAAAGGATTATTACGCATCAGCAAGTGGTTTGACATACAGTGTCTAAATATAGAATTCTGCACTACCTAAGCTTTTTGGGATTTTGTGGAAGCGCATCAAATAGCTAGACAGCCAGTGTTAGCTGAAACTATAAAGTTGCTGCTAGACAAGTACTAAAAAAGTAGGCGTCCGTTTCTAGTTGTATTATAGGTTGTTCGAAAAGTATTCTGATATTGAAGTAAGTTGTGGAACATTGATTGCATCGGCCTCCTATTCTAAACATTGTGTAACAAAAGTCGGTTAGTGCTTAGGTTTTAGTATCATGACTGTTAAAGATGAAGAGGAGGATACTAGGTCGTTTAATGTTTTTTATGAACAAGAGATGATGGAACAAGAGGAAGATGAGAAGCATCTTTTCAGGGATTTGAACGCTTTCATCGGTATGATCAGTGCCGAAGAGGTGGAGGTGGAGCGTACACATAGTAGGAAGAACTCAAGTTCATCTATCACTGATCTCAAAAGAAAGAGGAGTCTCAGTCTGAAAGATTTACGAAAGAAAGTTGAGCCTAACGCTTTCCAATTTTTGAAGAGGAAAAACAGTTCACTCTCATCATTGCTAAGGTTGCATCTTCTCAACTATTTAAGGTCAGTACAAACAATGCAGCATAAACACAATTTCCCGCTAGTTAAAGAAATCAAGAAAAGAGAGATCCTACTACAATGGTGGATAACCTTGTTGAATTTCCTATCAAGTAAACTTAAGTTTGATTTCCTACTCAAAACCGAATGGCCTGAAGAAGTCCCAGACACGGAGCTCATATCGATAGTTCTTGAGGCCATAAGTAGGATAATTACCTTACTGATAGTTCTTCCCAATCACAACAAGGTGGATCATGAAGTTTACGCTCAACATCTAAACCTAACAATCAAATTTGTGTCTGATATACTCATAGTCAACTCAAGAATTCAGAAAAAATACACAGCAAGGCATTCATCATCCGCATCATCTTTTGCATCCTCAAATATCGAGGCAGAAACTACATTTAGTAGTACAGCAGGCTCAGTTAAAACTCAATCAAATGGAAATATATGTGAAAATGCAGCAGTTCTCCAGAATAGTGTTTTGAGCATGATTGACAACTACAATTCTTTCTTAACTACTTTCATAGGTAAAGTTAATGCTTATGCTTTTGTCTATTTACCAGATGAATGTCATTTTGAATATCTAATTTTATCTACGTGGTATCCACGCTTAAGGGCAATTAGGAGGCAAAACAGCTTATTCCCATGGAAAGAAACACGTTATCAAGTATCAAGATCTCCAATGGATTCAAACACAAAGAAGTATTTTAGCTGTAGGAAAAATAATGAACATCAAAAAATTTGTGCATCCTATATGAAAAATAAATCAATATTTTTGACATTTTATTGGCATTATTGGTATATCGTTTTACGCTATTCAGAAAACATTTCTACAAACTGTTTCACAAAGGGTAACACTCATCAGCTGCCCGGTGCTGAGTTATTGCTTAATTTTATCGTTGAAATATCCTTTAAAGTTGATCTTAGGATTTTTGATAAATTTGTTGGTGGAAGCCCTATGAGAACTTCAAGAAAAGGCAAAGGTAATAGTACGTCATCTGGTCTCTATGGCGATGATATTGATGGAGCAGCTATTGCACTAGCTCCGTCTAGTAAGAGATACCTTAGGAATGAAACAGTAAACGATTTCATTTTTACTAACTTTGGGACTATAAAACTATGGGAAACTATCAGATCTGTTGCTGGTTGCATGAAAAGTTCTAAAAACGTTGAAAGTATGCTTGGACTTCATGACTTAGCAATTCTGAAACAAGTTAGGAAAATCCCCTCTCATGATTATACGACAGCCAATCTGGTATACAACAAAATATTTCAGTTTATTATTTTTCAATTTAATTCGCTCCCTTCTATTAAATTCATTCATTGGGAGATTTGGATTCAAGGACTGATGAAAATGCTTGAAAACTTAAATACTAACTCACAAACAGTTGCGCTAATTTCATTCTTCAATATGTGGCCCTATCTGAATGTAGCTAAGAAGCAAGCTATTATTGAGCAGATTGTTTTAAGTGAAAAGTATTGGACCTTAATGTTAGAGGAAAGCCAATCTACCATTATCAGAATTCTTTTCATAAAATTCGTGGTGTTTAGAGCTATTCCTTCTATGGATATGGATCAAAGGAATTTACTCGCATTGAGATTACATCAGATTGAACTTCAAATGAACAACTTATTTGGGACTCTTAAAAAGGAAGGCTATACGACAGATATTCCATATTCAGATCCATTTGCTTTTGCTCTGAACAATAGATTTGTCATAGTTAATAGCAGATGTTATGAAGAAGATTACCTGACTTTTGAGTTTCATCAAAGACCAAGAAAGCCAAAACTGATTGCGGTTTTGAATAACGATATATATCCTATGGAAAAATTTCCAAATATTGGCAGCGTGTCTAATGTGAGACCAACATATGTGTTAAAAAAGGGTAGGTATCCGTATGATGTTTTTGATGAACTTCTAGAAGTAGTAGCAAAAAATAAGTCTAGTAAAAAATGGGGTATACGAAATGATATTGATGATGGCCTCGAAGACTTAATGTTAGAAAACTTCGATGAGTTTGTCACTAAGTGTAATGCCAATGATCAAGAATCTTCTGTAGTAAAAGCGCTAACAAATAAAGTCAATATGTGGTTTTCTGGGATGTCGGTTAATGAGCCAATAGCTGAGTCCAGTAAAGTTGATACAAAGGATATACGTCCTTCTACAGCGCCTACAAAAACTTCTGAGATTGAAAGTCAAAACATTGATCAAACAAGTACACGCTCATCTGTGAAAAGTTCTGGTGGTTGGAGTTTTGGATTTTCCAGCAGAAAAAACTCCAGTTCGAGTATCAGGAAGTTTTCTGACACTGCACTAAATTCCAAGGCTGTAAACCTCTTAAAGATAGGAAGTACTAAGCAAGGAAATAGTCATTCGGCAAAGAATAATAAGGTATTTGAAAGTTTATATGGCCATCTTCTCCTAAAACAGAAAGTGATATTTGCTCCAGAATTTACATTTTCTCAAGATGTTCTATCAAATCCATCCGTGGTTGGTATCATCAAAGCAATTCAATTGCATCCTGAAAAATCTTTAAATGATAAATTAGATATTGTTAACAGGAAATGGGGAAGTATTTCAATGAAAAACGTTCCTAGTAATGCAATCCAAGTAGAAGAAATTGATAAAAATGATATAAATGTGCTTGAAATTCCTTTGACATCATCCTCAAACTCTATGTTGTCAGAAGGGCAAGAATTAGATCAATCATCTTCTGACACTTTTGGAAAAGATGTTAAACTTCCCAAATTGGATTACGAAAAACTAGAATTGGGAACAAATATCCCGGATGAGGATGTACTACAAGGTGTGACACAAGAAAGCAATCTAGAAAAAGATGGTCTACCCAGCATAATGAGAATGAGACAACAGACTGCATTTGAGAACTTAATTAAGATCATCAGAATATTTAATGCCACAAAGGACGAATTTCTTGATTACCGCGATGATCACGAGAAAATACTGATTGAATTTGAACTATACAGAAATGGCTATCAAAGTTTATTAGCTATATAATGGCATTAATATAATCAACATGCATATATAGAATTATTCAAGTTCAGTACTTGAAATATAGCATCTTTTTTTTGTGATATATTTATATACAACACAACAATTCATTAATATTCAAGGACTTAGAAAATTAATGGTAACTTGATGTTATTACTTTGATCGGACACTAATTTATTGATATATATTATGAGAATGTTATGTAGTTACGAAGCATTCTAAAACAAAACTTATATAACTGAATATTGAAAAATTGATAATCTAAAAGAGAAAACTGAAAGTAAATTAAGAAAACTAACGAAAAATAAAATCAATGTGTAGAATGGCCACGATGATATTTCAGACCATTTAAGTTTTTATAACGTTTACCACATGTATCACATCTATAAGGTTTATCCTTGATATCTTGTAAATTCTCTAAATATATTTCGTTGGATTCAGGATCAACAACACTGTAAGTTCCATCGGGATTCTCAATTAATGTTTGATTCTGATGACCATGAAGTCTGTGATATTTTAAGCCGTTTTGATTTTTATAGGTTTTACCGCAGCCCAGTACAGGACATTTAAATGGTTTATTTTCATCATTTTCGTAAAACACCCTTCTAGCCGGATCAATAGATTGGCTTGTAAGTAGCCCAGCGTTCTTTATTCCTGGGTGATCTGTCTTGATGTTTGCGTTGATCTTTGGCGCTGATTGGAACTTCTTGGTTGCACTAGGTTGACCGCTAGAATTATTTTTCATGCCAATTGGCACCGTTTGGGTTTCTTTTGAGGTGTTAACATTTCTACCATCATTCAGATTTCCATTTTCATCCGTATTAGACCTGCTTAGTTGATCTGGAGCAGCATGACTGGCAGCGAACACTTGAGATATGCCTGATTTCGTCTGTGAAGTGTTTAGAATATCTGGTCTGGTGTTGTTCTCGAGAGGATCATTCATTTGAGAGTTGTCAAGTGGCTTTGGCATTATATTACTTGGTTTAGCGATGTTCTCGGAGAAGTTGATGTTATAATTGGAGAACGAGATCGTGTGGTTTTGAAAATCAGGAGGTACTGTTTTTGAATCGTTGTTTTGGTTCATGATGTTCATGAAGACATCATTAGTAGGCACGGAGTCTATCAGGTTGCCGTTGTTTCGCATGCGGTGCCCTGACTGTCCGAACGAAGGCGTGGTGTGAACAGCTGACAGTGCAGTATTTTTGCCAACTAGTGGAGTAGTCTGTGTTGATGTGAGTTGGGAGGATGTAGGAGATGGTGATTCAGAGACGGTTGAATGAGGCACATGACCCATGTATTGCTGACCTAAAGCAGCGTTAGAGTTAGAGCGCATTTGCCTGTCTGTGTATACCTGGTGTTCATGTAAGTTGTCATGGTTCAGCTGTTGCCGTATTATGTTCATGTGTTGAGGGGTGTTCAGGTCATTGTTTGTTGAAGAAGTAGCCAGCTGACTTCCAACTGTCCCGTTAACGGGGGCCAATGTGCCATGTTTGTGTTTGTGGGTGGAGTGGGATGGCTCTATGTGAGCATCTTCATAATGTTTCAGCAAGTCATGCAAGCCCGGCAAGGAGATACCGCAGCAAGAGTAATCTTTACAGTACTGTTCCTCGAGGTTGGGTAAGATAGCGTTGTATGACACTGGGGGAGAGCCCGCCTTCATGTGGTGCGGATGCAGCACCGAAGACCTCCTCCCGCTAGACATGGAGATTGGGTGCATCAAGTTGATGCTTTCCCTCCTAGAACCCTGGCTGGGTTTGTTGAAAGCCGTGTGCAGCATGACTTCATCCCTCAGCCAGGAACCGATGCTGAGAGAACCCCAGCTCACACCGCCAACACCTTGCAAGTGTGCAATAGAATCCCTCCTAATGCGAGGATAGTACTTGTGATCATCTATTGTGATCCTGTTAGAATCCTCCATGTAATCCGCAACCATGGTATCCATGGCTCTCTTCGTAATTTCTTTTGTTTGTTTTTTGTGTTTAGTATTGGTTATTGAGAGCCACTATTTTTTTTTTTCTTTAGTCTGTTTCCTACTCTCTCTCTCTCTTGTCCTGGGCGTCTTGCGAGAAAAGAGGCTATTATTATATACCTCCCTGTTGATCTACACCTTCCAAAAACTATTCCCAAAAGGTTTATCCGTTAGTCAATGGAGAAAGCATCGGCTGTTGTGTTAGATTAGGTTGTGCAATGCCCATCGGGAAAGCTTTTGGCTGTAAGTGATGAGATGAGCTCGCTCGCTGAAAAAAAATCACTGCGATGGACCAAAATGTTTTGTTTGCCAAGTAGTGGGTTTTTTTTTCACATTTTCGTCATACACGATATACGTAATACAATGGGCTTTTCTGCACATCAATCTCTCTTCCCTCCCACTATCACTTCTTGCATGTCTCTGCGCTGCTGTCTGTGCATTTCCTCCCTTTCCTTTGCCCCCCTCCCCCCATTGCCCCCCCCATTGATGCCCTTCTCCATTGGATTCCACCCAGACCTCGCACACTAAGTTACAGTTCTACTTGCTATCTTACCGTAGGGGCCACCGTACCAGTCTCTGCCGTGATCACCAGCGTTCTGCAGCTGTTATACAGCCTTTTTGCTGGAGCCCTTTGGTAATACGGGGGGGGAGGCAATCGTATACTGTTTTGAACCGGTATCGTTAGAAACTGACGCAGAGGACCATTGCCTCGCCACTCTAACCATGGTAACTGCAATATTGGAAATATATTGCACAGACAGCCGCGTAGAAGATGGATTCCCCCCCCGCTCCTCGCTCCCTCGCTCCCTCGCTTCTTGCCACTTCTCCCATATTACCAGCCCCTGCCCACATTATCTGGCTTTTACGTAATCTTCTCCGGCTGTTTCTGTTGCAACCTTTTTCACATAGCGGAGCGGTGGTGTGGGATACTGTAGCATTCGTGCAAAGAGGGTTGGTCTTGTGATTTCGTAGTAGGGTATTTGAAGTATGACGTCATTTTTGTAATACACCTTATTTTATTTCTTCGAAAGTTGACCTCCGTAAAACGCTACATGTATAGCATATTGGGTTTCTGCTCGATGAGCATCTCTAGCTTATATATGGTTATTTCAGTATTGCATATACATATAGTTATATGAGTGTGTGTGTGAGTATCTTTTTAGAGGATATGTTCTTGAGTTTTGAGGTGCAGGAATACTACATCTCCTTCTGTAGCAAGGTAGCCTTCTCGGTTAAGCGGTTGATCTCTTTTTCCTTGCGGTCGATCTCTTCCAGCAGTTCCTTGCGTCTCTTCTCGGCTTCCTCTGGGGTCATGCCCTTGGTGTCCTCACCCTCAGCGGCCCTGTAGTTGTCCTTCAGCTGGAATAGCTCACTCACCAACGCATATGTTCTCACAACAACGAATGTAAGGAACAGCGTGATGCCAGTCAGGTACATGTTCCTCTGGGCTAGAAACTTGCGCGACACAACCTCGATGCGGTCCTGCGCAAATACAGTGCCGCCAGTGGCACCAGCAGTGTTGCTCTGGCCCTTGCTGCCCGCATTCAGCTCCCGGTTGATGTTGTACACCTTAGTGATGCAATCGATGAAAAGGATCAGAATGAACCCGAGAATACACTTGATACCAACCTGTACTGTGGGTGCCCGGAACGGCTTCAGCAACACCAGCATCATAGGTCTCCTGATCCTGGTTGGTAGCGGCAACGACAGCACCGAAAACACCGCAATCTCCAGCACTAATATGCCAAACACTAACGCATAGTACAAAGACATTTCTTCCTTTCTTCCTAACTCTATTTTATGCTTTTCTTGCCTATTAATCGAACAATTCTCTTCACTTCAACTAGCAATTGTTTGATCTTGCAATTGCTTATCTGGTGGAGCCCTCTTCAGCAATATCAAAACGACTAAGACTTATTCCCGAAGGTCATTATATATTGGACCTCATCCCTTCCATATATAAATTATTTGTCACTTGTCCCCTTACTAGCACCGGCTTCCCTTGTTTCACTGCGGGCAAACTCTCGACATCCTTGGTGGCACACAATGTACGTCCTTAGTGATCAAATTAATGTGATGTATAACGCCATTCGAGGCAAAGTATATAAAGTTAGTTCCCCATTTGTATTAATGTGAGACTTAAAGAAGTGCATGGTAATGATAAATAATCAGACGTGAATTGAACTGTTATTTGAGAAATGGTATATGTAGATCAGTTTTTTAGTCGTGCCTTTATGTTTATTTTCTGGCAAGTTTTTAATATTTTGGTCATGGGATGTTGATAATGAAACAACTAACACTGCCAAATGATATTATTTGGCTTCTCCAGATAATAAATGTGTGCCAAAATTAATCGTATATTGTAAACATCTATGCATTATATATACAAGTACGTTATTACTATTTACTATCCTTGATTTCATGATATCAAAGGGTTTATTATCTTTATGATTATGCTACGATTGATGAAGTTGATGAGTGTGGGTTCACTGTTCAATAATGATATGTAACCCATTATTCCCAAGAATGCTTGTAAGTCTTGCCTCTTTTGTAGCCGAGAGCTGACCCGATCAGCTGGGATTTCTATCCGAGCGATGCCCTTCAAGTCATGGTCCCTGAGATACTGTACATATAGACGCGTGATGTCCCGTTGCCTCAACTCTGCCAATATGGAAGACTTCTCAGAATAGTTAAAATCAAACCCATTGAGATTATCAGGTGTTCGCTTGAATAACCTAAGCATCGCTATGTTCCATTGTAAATTGAGCAAATGACGGCCTTGTCCTATTAGCACTTTATTTCGTACTTCTACTTTACGATCCGCATCAATTGGAACCAATATATCCTTACTGGGATAAAGGCACCGTTTTAGGGACTCCCGGCTATACTGCACATTGTACTTATCGAACTCTAGTTGCTTGACAACTCTCCCCACTATCTCCTTATTCCGAGAATCATGCCTACTCGGTATTGTATGTTTTATCGGAACGGTCCCCAGGGACTTTACGTGCGTTAACTTGTTTTTAATAGATCCCTGTATCATATAGCACACATCAATGATCTCTCAAAATTTATATAACGAGCCTATTATCAGTTCCGGTGTAGTCTGCTCCCCTTCTTACTATAAATTCCTAAGTGGATTTGATTACTTACAATCTTCTTGAATAACAGCGTTCTTCTATGATAAAAAATTTAATGTTTCTTAACCGGTTCAGCACTGTTGATTGGATATCACTGCTAAGCAAGACCTATATGCCCTCTGTGTAGTTACTATACTTATAACTCATCCTGGATCAATTTTTTTTTTAAATTTATAAGATGAACATTATTCAGATTGTTAGAAAAATCACATCGACTATTGTCACTATTCATATAGCTATACATAATTGGTTAAAGGGACACAGAACTTGAAAAGAATAGTAATATATCTTCAGATTAATACGATAATTAGTAGAAAAAAGATACAAATAATCTAGAAAATGCTCAAGTCTTGTATAAAAATTATAAGTGAAATAAATAATATATGTTGAAAAAAAAAAAAATATTCAAAGCGGAGACCACATACCGGCGGAGGTATTGCAAATAGCCTCATATTATCTCACTCAGATGTCTTCATTTTGAGAAGTCTTTTCGATTAACATAAATCAGTAATGGAGGGGTGTATTGGGAATATTAAATAGAAAAAAATAGGATAAAGAATCAAAATATAAGGAATCGTTATTTGGAAGAGATACTGTTGGGTAGCGTTTTCACATCTCCTCAGTTTTCAGCTTTCTTCTTCTCAGCCAAGTCAGCATAGAAAGCCTCACGTCTGTCAATAACGTTCTTGTGGAAACCCCACCACCAGTAGGATGCCATTACACCTCCCAGACTGAAACCGATAACTATATCAGTGATAATTCTCTTCTTCAAAGTACCTGTGATTGGAGCTAGCGCAGACATTGTAGTTTTATAGTATATTTGTGTGTTAATAGGCGTGTTTGGCTCTATTAAGAAAAGTAATACAAAATTAAATTCCCCCCCGAAAAGACAAACCTGCAAAATATTAAAAAGTTGTCTAAATTATATAACAATAGAACAAGCGAAATTAATCGTCGATTAAGTTGCTTATTGTTCCTAACCAATGTACTTCAAAGACACCACTTTGTTTTACCTTGCAGAATTATTATTGGTCCATTATCTCCGTTACTTTGTTCCCTCAAGCTCTCTTCTCGAGTAGTTGCAGGTTGCAACTCTGTACAGGTTTGAGCCAATCAGAACGGGGGATGCCTCCTTCGTTGGATTCACAACTTGAAGACGAACCCGAGTCACAAGCAAGACTAGTGATAAACATCAATGCTCCCCCATCTGGAACAGAGAAATTATCATCCCAGTAGTGATTTCACTCGAGAGAAGTCGTTATCACTTACAATGCATCTTGCTTACTTCGCAACTGTAGAGGAAGTGAAACTACTTGCAAGACTGAAGCCTGAAATCACTAGAAGTCACCAACACGGTGATACCACCGGGATTTCTGATTCTTCCCAATCAGCTACAAGCAAAAAGTCACAGCTTTGATATCACTCATCGCAGAATAACAAACGTCCCTAAGTCTGGTCTGAGTCTGACCAGTAGGGGACTGACTCAAAACGGACATCACAGTACCTGAACCGGTACTAGATAGAGAAACCGGCATCACCAAGCATCCCACCCTATCTTTACTCGACCATCTGTCTCACCATAATAGTTGTTCTTTCATCGCAAGCAATTTATATATAAAACAATGGTTATGTAAAATACACTATTTGTTTGGCATACTTGTCATTGGCACTGATTATTGAATAACTAGCGAGCGACATTAAACTAAATCTATAAGACACAACATGCTCGGAAGAAGATGTTTTGCTTCCTCTGCGAAGCTTGCCAAGATCAAAGTGAAGACCCCAGTTGTAGAGCTGGATGGTGATGAGATGACCAGAATTATCTGGGACAAGATAAAGAAGCAACTGATCCTACCATTCCTTGATGTCGATTTGAAGTACTACGACTTGTCTATCCAGTCCCGTGACAAAACCAAGGACCAGATCACACATGACTCTGCTGAGGCTATCAAGAAATATGGTGTCGGTGTCAAGTGTGCTACCATCACCCCAGATGAGGCCCGTGTTAAGGAGTTCAATTTGACCAAGATGTGGAAGTCTCCTAACGGTACAATTAGAAACATACTCGGTGGTACCGTCTTCAGAGAACCAATTGTCATCCCAAGAGTCCCCAGACTGGTTCCAGGTTGGGAAAAGCCAATCATCATAGGTAGACACGCCCATGGTGACCAGTACAAGGCTACTGATGCCGTTATACCTGGTCAAGGTAAGCTAGAACTTGTCTACAAGCCAAACGGCGACGCCTCCAAGGCCGAAGTTATGGAAGTTTATGACTATAAGGGCCCAGGTGTTGCACTAGCAATGTATAATACCGACGAATCCATCCGTGGTTTTGCCCATTCGTCTTTCAAACTAGCACTACAAAAGAAATTGAACTTGTTTTTGTCCACTAAAAACACTATTCTAAAGAAATACGATGGTAGATTCAAGGACATCTTCCAAGAGGTCTACGATTCAGAGTACAAACAGAAGTTTGCTGAATTGAACATCACATATGAGCACCGTCTAATAGATGACATGGTTGCTCAGATGATCAAATCTAAGGGTGGTTTTATCATGGCTTTGAAGAATTACGATGGTGATGTGCAATCCGACATTGTTGCTCAAGGTTTTGGTTCTCTAGGTTTGATGACTTCTATTTTAATCACTCCAGATGGTAAGACCTTCGAAAGTGAAGCTGCTCACGGTACGGTCACAAGACACTACAGAAAGCACCAACAAGGTGAAGAAACTTCTACTAACTCCATTGCCTCTATTTTTGCTTGGACCAGAGGTCTAGCTAAGAGAGGTGAATTGGATGGTACTCCAGACGTTGTTAGATTTGCCAACATTTTAGAATCTGCAACTTTGAACACTGTCCAACAAGATGGCATTATGACCAAGGACCTTGCTTTAGCATGTGGTAAGACTGATAGAGCTTCTTATGTCACTACCACTGAGTTTTTAGATGCAGTAGAAAAGAGACTACAAACTGAAATTAAATCTATTGACTAAATGGAGCGAAAGTAATTTTTCATATATCAACTTGATTTGTTTTTTGTAGGAATCTCTACCTTAATGCGATTAGATGGTTAAATACTATACAGTTGTACATAAAATTTCATGTTTTTTATGCATTAGAATTATCATTCATTGATACACGGTGCTGTCAGTAATGCCTATTTCATTATATACATACAATTGAGGACCATTATAGTTAAAAAGACTCCATAGTAGAATTATATCATTATAGTATCACATCAACTATTGTTGTTTACACGTATCGGCTAGATCTTTATCCAGATCAGCCAGTTTAGGATCATTTGCATCTATATTCAACATCTTAGACATTTCATCGAAATCATTAGCTGGGTTTCCTCCGTTGAAATTTTTGCTCACTGGTGAATCACCAAGTTGTTCAAGCTGATCAAGCAGCTCTGTAACTTCATCTCTATCTTTGTCATTATCATAATCGGGTTTCTCATATATGACAATCAGCTTATTAACCAGCTCAAATTGTCTTTTATAGGTATCCATATTATCTTTATGAGAAGGGTGATCTTTATTATCTTCTAGCCATTTTGAAAACTCAATTTGCATATCCTTCATTGGTTGGTACAGAACCTCCTTTGACGACATTTTATTCAATATACCTAGTATCGCATTATCCATTTCACCATCTGCTGGAACATCACCTGAATCACTTACAAGATCATTTAGTAATTTGGATAGCACTTCATCTGGGTTGCCAGAGCCATTGATACTTTGTTTCTTCTCTTCTTCCAGTTGGGTATCAACTTTATTGGCATTCTCTTTCAGTCTATCCAAAGTGCTGGATATGACATCCTTAAATCCACCTTTACCTGCTTTCTCACCCTTTGAAGTTGTCTGAGTATTGAGACTTTCTAGCTGTTGTGTAGTGGTTTCCTTGGGAACTTGCCCAACTTCTTCTAGAATATCTAGCAGTTTCTTGAAGTTCTCAGCAGCCTCTTTGTCCTCTATGTTCACATTGGCACCGTCACCGTTCTGTTTCATTAAGTTCTGAAATTCCTGTTGTAAATCCTCAATCATTTCCTTCACTGCAGGATCATCTTTATCCATCACAGGATCAGCTGGCTTCTTCAAACCATCTGCCTCTGTGGTTCCTCGGCTCTGCGTGGTTTCTGCCTGCACATCCTCTAGCTTAGATGGATCCTCATCCAGCAAATCATCCAAGTCATCGTAGTCAAAATCTTCAGTCATTATACCACAAACCACAACCTTCACTATTGGTGGAATTTAGATTAATTTAAAGTAATTACAGCTATCAACTTAAGCACTGTTATTCTTGTACTGTACCTGATCATTAATTCTAAGGGTATGTCTAGTTCTTAGAACTCATCCTTGACACTTCGGGTTTTATTCTATCAATTTTTGCCCACAGTGACAAAAAATTATATAAACTCTGTGGAACCTGTGAAAGTATTTCAAAAGATTAGCACTACAATTTAAAGTGCATTCTAACAATTGCAAAGAGGTAGCTAATTTCATTCTTGGTCAAAAACGTTGTTGAGGAAACACTAGCAGTGCTTGCTGTCATTTTTGGAAACCAAGAGCTCAGGGTTTAGTAAAGAAGGTATGAGTAGTTTGTGTTTACAAAGGTTACAAGAGGAGAGAAAGAAGTGGCGGAAAGACCATCCCTTTGGATTCTATGCGAAGCCTACCAAGGGACCTGATGGTACTTTGAATTTGCAGAAATGGGAGGCTGGGATACCAGGTAAAGAAGGCACCATATGGCAGGATGGTGTGTTTCCTATCACGGTTGAGTACCCTGATGAGTACCCATCTAAACCACCAAAGGTGAAGTTCCCAGCTGGGTTCTACCACCCCAACATATATCCAAGTGGAACTGTTTGCTTGAGTATTTTGAATGAGGACCAAGACTGGAGACCGGCTATAACTTTGAAACAGATTGTGCTTGGTGTGCAGGATCTTCTCGATTCACCTAATCCAAACTCGCCAGCACAAGAACCAGCTTGGAGGGCATTCTCTAAGAATAAAGCAGAGTATGAGAAGAAGGTACTCATACAAGCAAAACAATACACTAAGTGAACTAATCGAAGAAATGAAATCACAGATGTGCCGTTCTTGGAATGGCAACATTATGCCAATAAACAACAACAGACAACAACATCGGATAACCTTCATGTATTTCCGTCTCTTCAACCCATGCCAAAGGATTGGTTAAGAGTATTGTGTCCTCTTGAAGTTCCAAATCAAAAAGAATGTATACTGCTTGTTATAATCATTTCAATGATCAGATATTTTCACTTTATGACAGTTTTGGTCAACATATATGTATTCCTTCTACCCTAGAATAGTTGTTAGATTTTTATGCTTCTTATCCAAGCATTTGTATAAGTATTTTGGATAATAATGTAATATTTACGAATAAGAAACTTAATATTAAAATTTCGGAACAATAATGCAATAATGGACAAGTGCAGCAAGAAATAGTTCATGTGTTGAGGACTACATGGAAATAATATACGTTTGAAATTTTAAAGTCCAAACCTCTACAATTACAACGCTTTTACTAAATATAAAAAAATGATATAATTTTCTATTAATGCCAGTATATAATTAAAATGAAAAATAACTTTGTGAAAAAAATCACTGTCTTTCTACATGGTCTATTTGGTTGCTCTATTAATCCCAATAATGCCCCAAACCCGTCCACTAAACCTAATGAGCTTCGCTTTCTTTGTAGTTTATAAAGCTACCCAGAATGTTGAAAGTTTCTGTTGCGCGCTCCTTTAGCTCTGGTGACTTATTTCTATCGACAAACTTGAAACGCTCCTTCAGGTTAGGAACAACTTTTTCTTTCAATGTTTGCAAAAAACTATCTTTAACAAATACTTCAGTGTCGTAATCATAAGCAGAGTCAGAATATATCTCAAATATGAAGTTTGTCACCTCCACTAACAATAATGGATCCGACTCCTTACTGGTCAGTATTTCCATAAAAAAGTGCCCAATAAATCTATTAATTTCTACCTGATTCTGTACCAAAGCCAATGACGATAGAACACCAATACATTTTTGCTGCAATTCAATTTCATTACAGGTCTTATACTCATTTATGATAGTTTCAACAAATGCCATACTATTGTTCAAACCAAGCTGGTTAATAACAGCAAGAGGTTCTGATTGTAGAGTAGCTGCCTTCAACATTGCCCAAACCACACTCATCAAACTAACTTTCAATGAAATATCTTTGCTATCTGACCCTTCTTCTTTTTTAATAAAATTCCATAGCAAGGTATGCTGGTTGTTTGGAAGTTCATAGAAGTTTACATCAATAGACATATATAGCCACAACAAATTATTCCACCCAATAAGAACTCTGGCAGGGAAAGAAGATGCTAATTTATTAAAGACAAGCGGAACGAATGACACTAATGTCTCGGACAGCGATTCCGGAAGCTTCCTCTTATGCTCTTGCTCAAACTTAGCTGCTATAATTTCAATAATCGCGGTTATAAGGTCTATAGTAATTTCAATACTTTGGAGTTGCATATGAGCAAGAGCCCTTTTCTTAGTATATTCTTTGATTTTAGCAGCAACTTCTGAATCCACCGTATTGGCAATATCTTCATCCTGTGTAATAGATGATAAATTTTTTTCTAGTTCAACCAGATCAATACCATTGATTGCATTGCATGTTGTGTGAATGATTTCATTAGCTTGTTCATATGTCATATCCATATCTAAGAATTGAAGGTAAATACCTTGAATCAAAACGTATGTAAGCTCATTGAATGACTTGTGATCCTCTTTCTTTAACGTCGGTAAAACCTTAACGAATTCAGACAGAGTAGGGTCACTAGAAACTGTCTCTATAAATTCGAATGATTCCGAGCTGAAATCGTATATTAAATCCAAAATAGTGTTGAAAACACTAATTGGCAATTTCTCAATACCATACTCTAGTAAATTAACCAAAACAGTAAACAATTCCGCTAGTTTCTGTGTGGTAAGGACTTCTTCTAAAATGCTATCAGCCCCATTACATAATGCGATAACCAAAGATAATAGGTTTTCCGCAAAGTCAAAGAGCAAGCGCCTAGATTCTTTTGACTGAGGTGTAGTCTTCTTTGTATCTTCAGAAGCATCTTGTGCTGCCAATGCCCTCAAGGAGTCACTTAATTTTTCAAACCCAGATAATATGCTTGTCCAGATGTCTGATCTCCACAAATGCACGGCAACATCATAGCCTTCTTCTAAACATAGATTTCTTAATAAACCATAAGCCTCGACTACTATTTCTGTGTTCTCATCGGATAACAATTTAGTTGTGACAGTTGGTATCAATTTTTCTTTTAATAGCAACTTTCTCATATGTGCATCTTCACATAGCACTGTCGCAGAACTCAATGCCATACTCCTTTCATTTGGTACAACACTATTCAAATTCTTTATCAGGGGTTGTAATTTTCTTTCGATTAGATTAGCATCCTTTTTGGAAATACCACCATTGTTTGGGTTAGCGAGTGGGTTCAAACGGGATGCCGATGTTCTTGATCTCTTCTTCGATCTACCCATTATAGTTTAATTAATTCAGAGCTTATTACCAAATTTAGCTTTTCCTTTTGCCAATGCTAACTGCTAGTAAGTTTACAAATTTTCAAATATCTATGCACTTTTATGATTTGCGATGAGCTATACCCAGTTCAATAAACTGGGTATATTCCAAAAATTTTCCAGCGATGAGATCACAGTAAAATCGATATAACTGATCACATGACCCATGAATGGAAACCAATTGTTGCGCAAACCATTGAGTTACAATGTATGAATCATATGCGCATTGCAACCATAGAATTATATTCGATCAGTGACGGATCATGTAGAGACTATAATAGTTTGTATTTTTAGGCTATATATTTAGAAAACATCAATACAATTCCTATCAATATTAGAGGTCAGAATTGCTTTTGATAATGGGTTTTTTATAATATTATATTAATGACAGATAGAAAAATAAACATTCATTGTTAGTAGTAACTAAGGATAAAATGTTAAAAATGAATCCACTTATCTGTACTTGTTGAAACCGATGTCAGAGGCTCTTTCTCTGAAACATTGACGGCAGATGTTCAAGTCGTACTTTCTGATCAAACCGGTGTGGGAAGAGCAGACACGGCATTGACGAGAGCCCTTACCGAATCTTCTTGGGTGAGAGAACCAGACGTTTTCGTGAGCCATTTTTATCGACTATTCAAAAATATTTATAGTACTATCCATATTAGCCAATCGAATACTAGACTTTATTTCAAATTTCAATATCCAGATGTTTTTCTTGGCAAGATGTGAATAACCATAAGGAAAACTTGTTAGTAAAAATAATTCCATCTATTAGATTTATAATTGTGACACGCCTTTTGTATTGATTAGTTTGACAATGAAATTGAATATCCTGTGACATAAATCCATTTCATAAAGCTACAATTTATTCATCATTTTTCAAGCATAATTTCACCCCCACAATGTATCTATGATACAGTTTGAAATCGAACTGAAATGCTTTTAACTCATAATCTATACTCCATGCTTACTCATTAGCTTGCAAAGCAATTTTACCAGTGACGCAACAAACCGGAAAGATAATAGCTTTAAACCGTAATAATTTCTTCTCAATTTCTGATTTCACTGGTTACTAGGTCATCGGCCTTTCATATTTACCATTAACTTATGATTTCTGATTCTAATGATGCCTGTCAGGATATTTGATATTTAACCTACCCGAACATTCGTTATTTCCACTCAACATGCCAACTCTAAAAAGTCATCAATACAGTGTCCTTCTCATAACTCATATTAGCACATACATTATTCTATTGTCTCAGTGGTGTGTCTTTTAACTGGTGAATACCAAATGAAAATAAACGCTGAGAAATCACTACCATCACTATTATACTTGTTTTACCAAAATTTCACCTATACCTTCCAACATTCCAAGGCTAATTCCAAGCTAGCTGAAGTCCACTGCCACAAACCTGTCTGACCCATTGCAAGCTTGACGCAACCCAACACCGAACCACCACCATCTCGTGAACTGAAAGTTCAGAGCTGGAACCCATGGTGAGGGCTCTAGTGCCACCAGCCAAGCCAACTGCCATTGGCTCTTCTGCCTACAGCATATGGCAGACTCCTTCTGGGAACAGATTGCTATCCTCACCGGCACCTCTACTACCACAAGCCACCGACCTCTAACCACTGGCAGTCTCTGGTAGTGAAGCATTCGTTAGCCTACAAGAGTAACAGTTTACTGGGATAGTCTCGCAATTGTGAACTCTCCAATGACCAGTTCGTAGGACCAAAGGGTAGGATGGCACAGCCATTGAGTATCTACAAAAGTTCCCTTGCCCACTCTGTGTTACACCCAAAATGGCATTGTCGTAATCACGCGAAGTGCCTTCAGCCATTATTTTTCAAGTTTCTTACGTCCTCCATAAATGTACAGGTGTTAAGGAGTAATGTACGGATGTAAAGAAAGTGACAGTCACAAGAAAAGTTTTCCAAACGGATGTCATTTTCACATCATTCTGACGAACATTTCAGTTTTTTTTTTAATGCAATTTTTGCGATGAGCTTACTCGATGAGCATCGAATTGGCACTAGTATTGTTTACATACCATAACCTTACTGTTCTGCGGGCGCAGAGTTAGTAGTTTGATTTGCTCGATTTGAGCTGTAAATACATATGTAAGTATTGTCTTGACAAATTCTTAGGTTATATTTCTTAGGAGAAGAACTTTAGTGTCTAGAGTTAGTAGATAGGAAATATTAAACTTACAAGCAAATCAACCTTTCAAATAAAGGACTTGAGATGGCAGGCCACTCCCACAGATCATCTGTTAAGAATGGGCATAAAGCCTTTAAATCGAGGCATTCATCCAAGAATGCCTTAAAGAGAGCTAACAAGGGTAAGGTTGAAAGAGAAAGTATAGGTACTGGTAGACCAATTAAGAATGCTTCCAAACTTCAAAGAAGAAACAAAGCTAAACAATTGAGAGCCCAGAAAATATTAGATACTTTACAGATTAGAAAACTGTTTGAAGGTTCTAATGGGGCCGAGAAGATCATAACTGTAATTCCTCTAACTGAGGATGTTGACGCCCATGATATCATAACCAAGATTTTGAGTTCAGCTGATCTTGATGAACAAACTTTATCTCAGTTTGTGCCTCAGGGAATGCCAAATTCTGCTTTTGTTAAGGATATCCACATTAAGAAATTTAAATCAAACTTGAAATTCATTGTTCCAGACATGTCCAACTTTTTGAACATTTTAGATGCTTCAAAGGTTGCAGATTTCACAATTTTTGGGCTCAGTGGTACCTCCGAAGTTGACTCAGAATTTGGTGAACAAGTTATTCGTGCTTTGGAATTACAAGGTATAGCATCTTACATTGGTGTGGTATCTAATCTATCTCAGGTACACCCAAAGGAGAAATTTCAACTAGATGTTAAACAGTCCTTAGAAAGTTATTTCAAGCATTTCTTTCCAAATGAAGACAAAATATACAACCTGGAGAAGCCATCTGACTCATTAATTGCATTAAGAACACTTTGTCAAAAGTTTCCAAGGGGTGTCACCTGGAGGGATAATAGAGGTTACATGGTTGCCAACAACATCGACTTTATTGACAGTGAAACCCAACCTGATGTCGGTGATCTAGTTATCAGTGGTACAGTACGTGGTTGTGGATTCAACTCTGATAGACTTATCCATATTCCAGGCTTAGGTGATTTCCAAGTGAATAAAATCGAAAGGATAGCCGCCAGTACCAGAAAAACTAAAAAAGATGCTGATGAGCTCGATGAGATCAGTTCGTTACTGGAAAACTCATTTGCTGCTACTTCGGAACAAGACACCTTAGATGAATATGCTCCTGTCGATATGGAATTTGAAGATATGTCTGATGAAGATGAATTTGAATACAGTAATCTAAAAGCTGCGAGGTACGACGATCACGGTTTTCTACCTGGCAGAGAACAACAATCAAAGAAATATAAAATTCCAAAAGGTACTTCAGAATATCAGGCCAAATGGTATCTTGAAGATGTTGTGGAGGTAGATGATGATGAAGAGCTAGAACCAGATCACGAAGAGACCGCTATGGATGATATGGATATGGATGAGGCCGTTGATGAATATGCTCACGAGGGATTCAATGATGAAATGGAAGACGACTTTACTGATGCTAAGACGACTACCGAAGATTTATTTGTGGAATTGTCACCAGAGGAAGAAGAACGTCAATTGAGAGAATATCGTGCTTTGGAAAAGGAGGACCGAGAATTCCCCGATGAAATTGAACTAGAGCCTACCCAATCTGCTATTGAGGCATTGAAGTATTATAGAGGTTTGAAAAACCTATACAACTGTGTCTGGGATGTCGAAGAAAGAGATCCTCGTACACCACAGGAGTGGAACAGATTATTGAGAATTGGTAACTACAAAAATACTAAGAACAGACTACAGAAAGAGGCTGTCAAGACAGCACAAGTAGTTGCAGGCGATAGAATCAAGCTACATATAAACTTTCCTAAGAATTTACTATCTAAGGTTAACGATCCTTCGATCATATCATTCCCTGTGTACGGTTTGCTAAGGCACGAACATAAGAATGCTATGGTGAACTTCAGCATTCAAAGATGGGAAGAATATGAAGATCCTGTACCATCTAAGGAGACTTTATTGGTACAATATGGTGCGAGAAGATATGCTATTCAACCTTTGTTTTCAGGGGATGCCAACAGTTCAAACAATGTGCACAAGTATGATAGATTTTTACATCCTGAAACGGCATCAGTGGCGACTTGTATTGCACCTGTTGATTTCACTCAGTCACCTGCTATTTTCTTCAAGCCTTCTTCGACAGACAGAAAGGGCATAGAATTGGTTGGCCAAGGTACTTTCATGAACGCAGACCACACAAGAGTATTAGCAAAGAGAGCAATCCTAACAGGTCATCCATTCAGATTCCACAAGAAGGTTGTCACTGTCAGATACATGTTTTTCAGACCAGAGGATGTCGAGTGGTTTAAATCTATCCCATTGTTCACAAAAACTGGTAGATCTGGTTTCATCAAAGAAAGTTTGGGTACACATGGTTACTTCAAAGCTACCTTTGACGGTAAATTATCTGCACAAGACGTTGTCGCTATGTCTTTGTACAAGCGTATGTGGCCTAGACCTTCCATTCCATGGAATGGAGAGAGCATTGAAGAAATTCAAGACTAATTATAGCGATAATATAATCATTAGGAAATAATTTATTCTGCATTGTACATTATATATAATCATACAATAATATCTGGGTATTGATATTTAACTTTCTTGTTTACTGCTATATATTATGATAACCTAAAGTGATCACGTATCTTTTGATTAACGTTTTGGGGAGGACAAACGCTATTATTTAAAAATGCATAACACTATCATTATCATTAATTACGCCAAAATATAGATATATCTAACATTTTATGTAAGCTTAAGCTTCATGTATTGTCTAATAGAACATTAAACTACACATTTGGAAACCATTTCCTATATTTTTTGAGCCTTAGAACCATATAAACCATCAACATAAAAGTCATTTTTGGTTTTTAATTCATGCTCAAGGATTATCTTTTCAAAACTTAGGAGGGCTTTCTTCAAGGCATCGTTGACCGCTTCTTTCTTAGCTTTATTGAAACTTTCAATTTTCGAAGGCGTTGTAGCTCTACTAAAGCCCGTCATTCTGGTGTTAGTCCCGTCCTTCAAGGTCACTTTCACACTTGCCTCTGCTATAACGGTATATCTATCCGCAAGAGCTCCTGTACCACCACCACTGTCCGCACTGATTTTGTCGGCAATACTAATAGATGATGTCGATCCAGGGAACCCGTCCTTGGTCTCCACAAACTCAATATCAGTTTTCCACCCGTCAAAGCCGAACACTTCGTTCGCAAACCCGACCAGGACATGTCTCGGTATCAGCTTCGATAAGTTGTGCTTCCCATACCTATTACTATGATATATCTGATACGTGTAGCGCTCGATCTTCGACTGCAGCACCCCGATCCGCTGCACAGACCACTCACTAGCAGGCCGCCCATCCCAGTCCTCAACAAACACTATATCACCGACTTCAACACCGGGCCCTGAACTGTACACAGCGCCCTCATACGTGACTTTACCATCCATCACCTTCGCACAAATATATAAACAACCAATGGGGGGGGGGATTTCTACCGTGCTTTAATCCTATAAACGCAGTTAACTCTATCGCAAGGACATCTGAGAACACAACTTAAGCAAACAAGAAAACCCAGCTAAAGCAAACCTAAGCTTATATAACAGCTAGTCACAGCCAATGGCAGATAGCTAATGGTTTTAGGGTTCAGGTAAAAGATCAATATAGCCCTAAACCAAACCCTCTCAGCAATAGTGCTAATAACCCAAAAGTTCCTATAGCTTGTACGTAGTACTCTGTGCACAGAGAGATGACTTTCCCGCTCAAAATAGAACTGAATCAGTGTGAAGGGCTCTTGCTTCCACCTTCAAATGTGGTAGTTAGCCCACTTTTGACACAGTTGCTGCGTGATCGAGAAATATCACCGGAATTTTGTTCTGCAATAACGAAAAACACCGAGCCTTAGAAAGTAACGGAGACAAGTCTTTCCTCGACCCCTACCCATTCATCTCCCAGCACATGACATTCTTATTAACTCTATCCACAACCACCACAATTTATTTCTTCTTTTTGACGTGAAATGAACTTGCCTCTTGCTTTTTACTGTGCCACTTTGAACATTACGGGCAGTTGAAGCGATTGCTATAAGATCATGTGCGATTTACACTTTTCCCTTTTTTTCTTTTTTTTTCAGTTTTAAGTCTTCGTTGTTGTGTATTTACATGTGATATAGCGTATAGTATTATATCCAGGCGTGTAGAATTATATTAGGCGTGATCCAGACTAATATCACAATGTACGTGAGTTTCGCGTGTCCTCTCTCTGTTATCTCTCTGTAGGTCGATCTTTCTCCAGCTCGTTGGGCTCGGCGGTTCTTTTTTTCTCCCCCCTCTCTCTTGGAATCGCTTCTTGTCGTTCTTGGCGCGCAGATCTCAGCGGCTAATTATACAATTGACTTCTTAACGCCAGCTATTACTTACTAGTGTTCTTGGAAGTATAGTAAGGATTTCGTTCCCATTGTCTGCGGTCTTTCTATTGCCTTTAGGAGAAATCGGCAGGAGAGAAGGAGTGAGAAAGAATACAGGAACTGGTATTTAGCTCAATTGAAGTGGTTAAAGTGACTTGAAGTGATTTGAAAGGAATATGGACATTATACAAGGGCTGATCCAGCCGCCAAAGGTTCAGTCTGCTGATGAGACGATCCCGACGCTGTGTGATAGAGTGGAGAACTCTACGCTTCTGAGCGACAGAAGGTCCGCAGTGCTCGCATTGAAGTCGTTCAGCAGACAGTACAGGGAGACCGTGATCGCGTCAGGACTGAAACCTCTGCTGAACACCATGAGCAGGGACAATATTGACGACGACTTGGTCAAGGCCGTGCTTGAGACGTTGCTGATCCTGTTCATTCGAGGTGACGGAGACGACGACTTGACGAGAAACTGGATATCGTTGCACTCAAGGGCGCGCAACGGTAAATACCCTTCGCCATTGGTCATGAAACAGGAGGAGGAACAAGTCGATCAGTTTTCACTGTGGATTGCAGACGCATTGACGCAATCAGAGGACTTGTTGAAACTGATCATAGAACTCCTGGAGTCTGAGAATTTTCACATCAAGCTGTACACAATCCAATTGCTGGAAGCTGTTCTTGTGGCTAGACCTTCCAGGGCCAGAAACGCCATGATAAACTCCCCAACTTGCATATCTACACTTGTGGCATTACTTGACGATATACACGAACCCATAAGAGACGAATCAATTCTACTTTTGATGGCTGTGGTTAATGATTCGCCACATATACAAAAACTAGTGGCTTTTGAAAACATCTTCGAAAGATTATTCAATATTATACAAGAAGAAGGTGGTCTTAGAGGATCATTAGTAGTAAATGATTGTTTATCCCTAATCAATAACATTCTGAAGTACAATATCTCAAACCAAACTTTATTCTTAGAGACAGGCAATTTACCAAAACTTGCGCTGTTGTTAAACGAACCTATATCAGAAAAGGAAGAATTCTTTTGGAACGATCAGCGTATCAATAATGTGAAGACCGTTTTAGATATAGTCAGCCTCACAGTGGAAGCAGGAACTACTGTAGTGAAACAACATCAAGCCGCCTTACTTGATTCCCACATTTTATTGGTCGTATTGAGAATAGCTTTCTTCCACACTATCCCAAAAAAGGTTCGTGCTACAGCTTTGATGGTAGCAGCCGATATGATTAAAGACAATGAATACGCACAAACTGAATTTGGAAACATTGATGTTCCTTATTTTGACCCATCACTGGCAAGTGATACACAATTTGATAATAGCCACTTAGTTCCAGTGGTTGAATTATTAATCAACTGGGCCTTATATGCAAATTCGATACACACATTTGACACAAGGGTTGCTGCAAGCAATCTTTTAAAAGCTTATCTATCCAATAACTTAGGACTTCAGAAACAGTTCTTAGAAAGACAAATTTCTGCATTCAAAGAAATTGAAAAAGGCAGTAAAGTTGATGGTTTAAAGGCCAACCTGCTGGAAGCCATATTAATTTACGATGCGGATTTGAAATTAAATCCATACAAACTTTACTTCTCTACTGATATTCTCATGTATCTATTCGAGCACGACAACGAAGGCAATGCCGAACTTAGAGAGCTATTAAGATCAATCAAACTCGGTACAGCGATTGAAGACGAGGAACCATTGACTTCAATTCAGACAATAACAGAAATCGTTATTACATTTTTATCATGTGAAGATAAAAGAGTGCCAATATTTTATCTTTCGTTCCTAGCATATTGGCTGTTTGCAGACTTTTCTGCCGTAAATGATTTCCTTTCTGCAAAGGAAAACATTCATTCTTTACTGGACTTCTCACATCAAATAGAAGACGAAGATGTTACTGTAAAATGTTTAATTACTATATTGCTAGGTATAGCATTCGAGTTTTCATCTAAATCATCTCCAATCCCTAGATTGGAATATTTTGATATTGTATCAAACTCTATTGGTAGAGACAATTACACATCCAGAGTCAAACAATTCAAAGAAAAATCATTGTTTTCAAAATCTCAAATTGAAATCGATATGTTTAATCCTCCGTTAGACGATACAGGCCTTCCAAAAATCTATTTCAATGAGTATTTCACAATTTTATTCAAAGAAAACTTCTATAGAATACTCAGATGTTTCTATCATGATCCTACCGATGAGCCAATTGCAATCGTTTCCTTTGAAGCTTTCGAAGAAGTCCAAAACCAATGCACTTCCTTGAAGTCTCATCTTTCAGAGTTGGAAATACAGTCGAGTGAAAAACGTTCCCAGTTGGAGAAACAGATAAAGTCGCTAACCTCCAATTTTGAGGCCAGTGAACAGCTAAAGAAAGAGTTGGAAGACAAATTAAGCACCATCTCGGAGAAACAACAAACACTAGAATCTGAATACGAGGAGAAAAAGAAAGAACTTGCCGAAATCACAGCGAATAACACCAGCTTGGAACAACTTAATACACAAAAAGAAAAACTAACTGAAGAGTTGAAGAAGCAGTTAGCTGACACCAAAGAGAAGCTTACACAAATGGAGAAGCAAGTTAAAGAACTGTCAGAACATAAGGAAAAAAACGAACAAGGCATCAATAAGATGAATCGAGATCTGTTTTCCTTACAGAGGGAAAAACAGAAGCTGGAAGAAGATAACAAACAATCGAAGAAAGATCTAGAAAAGACGAAGAATGATTTTACTAAACAGGAAACAAAGTTGAAAGATCAAATCAAGGCAAAAGAAATACTGATCAAAGAAACAACTGAAAAATTGAATGAGGCTACTACCCAATCCAAGGAATATCATGATAAAATTCAAAATATAACTTCTGAAATGAATGAATGGCAAGCTAAATATAAGAGTCATGATACATTTGTTGCAAAGTTAACTGAAAAACTAAAAGCTCTGGCAACAAGTTTCAAAGAATTGCAAGCGGAGAGAGATACTATCAAGTCTGAACTTGAAAAAATAACTCAAGAAAGAGATACAAATATCGCCGCTATTACTTCCGAGAAGAAATCTTTGGAAGAACTTTACAAAAACATGGAATCCGAGAAAGATGGCTTGCTTAAAAAAATCACAGAACTGGAAACCGGTATAGAATCTGATAATAAGAAATTTGAAGATGAAAAGTCAGCACTTGAGTCTGAAACCAAAAGGCTAACTTTAGAGATCGCGGAATTTAAATCCAATGCTGAGAAGTTGGATACTGAAAGAGAGAGATTACAAACCTTGACAGAATCTTACAAAGAAAAACTTAATGAAGCTAATTCCTCTATCGACGAGAAAAATAAAGACTTGAACAACATTCAACAACAAATTGAGGGATCTCAATCAGAAATATCTACTTTGAAAGCTGAGATTACTCAGTTAAAAACATCTTTGAATGAAGAGAAATCCACTAGGAAGGCATTGGAAAAACTAAAGGAGGAAAATGAAACCTATATCCAAAGTGCACAGGATGAGTTACTTCAGTTACAAAAAGAGGTAGACCTCCTGAAATCTGAAAACAAAGATGCCCTTGACAATAATTCTTCTCTGAAACAGAAATACGACGAACTTGTAAAGGAATTGGAATTGAAAAATCTAGAGTCAAAACAATTAAGTGATAATTCATTAAATTTGAATTCTAAAATTGAGCAACTAGAAGGTGATATTAAATCAAAATATAACACAATTAAAGAACTAGAGGAGAAATTATCAACTTCCTTGCAAGAACGGGAAGAGAACATTGCTAATATTGCAGATATAGAATTGAAATTAAATAGTAAAGAAGAACAATACACTGAGCAAACCAATAAATTGGAAGAATTAAGGATTTCATTCGAAAAGAAACAAAGCGAATGCAAGGAATTGGAAAGTAAATTAAAGTCTTCTAACGATGATCTACAAGAGAAAAATAGGCTTACAAAGGAACTACAAAAAAATCTCGATTCTCTCATGAAAGATAAAGAAAAAACTGAAGGTTCACTACAATCCTTATTAGAGGATAAAAAACAAGAAGAAAAAAAATATAAAGAAGAGATAGATCAACTAGGTAAGGAAAATGAGGATATTACAAAACAAAATAAAGAGTTAAATTTGAGACTAGAAGACTATAGCGCTAAAATTGACGCAAAGGATGAAGAATTGAAACTTGCAAATGATGCAGTGGCTTCTACCAAAAAGAAAATGTTGAAGTTAGAAGAAAAGATAAAAGATTTAGAAGACACGCAGCATATTTTCAAAGATTCTGAAAACTCTCTAAAATCTGAACTCGAAAAGACTGCGTTAGAAATGAATGAACTAAGAAGCGATAATGATAACATAATAAAACTTAAGAACGAGTTACAACGTACTAATGATAAATTGATTGAAGAAAATAAGAGAACGGAAGAGAAGTTGAGATCAGAAGTTGCTAAGCTCAAAGATGAATTGAAAACAAAATCTGATACTTTTGAAAAGGAGAGAAAGCTGATGAACGAGGATTCATCAACAATAATCAAGGAATACTCCGAAAAAATTTCATCCTTGGAAGAAAAAGTAGAAACCATCAAGTCTGAATATGATAAAGAGATTAATATTCTTGAGGATAAGAAAGAAGTTCTTGAATCTGAACTCTCCGATAAAAAGCAAGAAATTATCGATTATAATCAGAAAATTAAAGAGCAAGAAACTAAAGCCACTGAAAAAGAAAAAGAGATCCAGGTAGCCAAAAATGCTCTTAAGAATGCTGAGAAAAAAAAGAAGGACATTGAAAATGATTTGCGTACCACAATTGCCACTGTGGAAAAAGAAAATACCACTTTAAAGAGAGAAAACCAACTAAAATCAGAGTCAATAGATAAACATCAGAACAATATTCATCTATTACAAGAAGAGTTGAGCAAGCAAAAGGAACTTGCAGATAAAAAACATGACGAAATTAGAAAACTAGAAAAAGAGAATAGCAAAATGATTGACAGAATTGATAAACTTGAAAAACAAAAAGCAGATACGAATGAGAAAATAGCCAATATTGAGAAGGAAAACTCAAGTTTGATATCGGAGAGGAAAACACTAGTAGAAAAGGTCGAAAATTTCCAAGATGAAATCACTAACTTGAAATCAAGCCTAGAAAAGAATGACTCCTTGAGTTCTTCTCATGATGAACTGAAGGATAAGTTCAATGAGCTGGAAACAGAATTGAAAAGGAATCTAACGGAGCTAAACAAACTAGAGTCAGAAAACAAGCAATTGAGCGATAAGGTTATCGAACATGAAGAAAAAGTATCCATGGTCGAGAAAGAACTGTCTACTGCTCAAAAAACTCTGAAAGAAAGAGAAGATGTTATAAATAAATTGAAAGACTCAAACAATGAGCTAAATAAAACAATCGACAAACATGGCGCAACTGAGAAGCACTACGAGGAAAGTATAACCAAGAAAGACTCCGATATAGCTCAATTGAAAAAGAAAATCAAAGACATAGAAGATAAATTGTCCAACATTTTAGAAGAAAAAGCAAAGGCAGCTATGTTAATGACACAACTTGAGAAAGACAAAACTGACCTTAAAAACAGTGAAAGTGAATTAAAACAGGAATTGGAGCATTATAGGTCCAAATACAGTAGTCTAGAAAGTAAATTAAAGTCTACGGAAGAGGCTAAGAAACATGTGGAAGAAGAATCTAGAGAACAACACCAATCGATGTCCTTGGATTTAAAAGCCACCAAAGATAAATTAAAATCTGCCGAGATTTCTATCTCAGAAATGGATGCAATCAAGAAACAGGTAGAACTGCTAACTAAGGAGAATGTTGACCTAAAGTCAAAATCGAATAAAGCTGACAATTCAGCGAAATTAAAATCTGAATTAGATGAACTCAAGAAAGAAAACGAAAAACTACAACTGAAGGTTAATGACAGATCTGAACTTGATGACTTGATGCTGCTTGTTACGGAATTGGACGAAAAAAACAGTAAATACAGAGAAAAACTTAGCGAACTTGGTGTTGAACTATCATCTGATGAAGAGGATGATGACGATGACGATGACGATGACGATGACGATGACGACGACGAACATTAGTATGCTCAAACTGTTTGACCATTGTAAATACCAGAAACTCCAGAAGTTGATGATGCTAATGATGTGTTGTTGAACTTGTTAATAACACAAGCACTAACAACCAATCGGTGTTATTTATAGAAATACACACAACTTTGTAAAAACATTTATACATAAATTATCTTAATTAATAAGCACAATACTTTTTCAACAATCTAAACGAAACACAGATATTGGCGGATATTTAGTAATCTGGAAAAAATCACTAGCTTTTTAATTCTATTGATTATTATACAACCAAACTTCCGTCTATATCGTATCTAGATCTTGAACGAATGTATGGGTCAAGTTCACAATAATTTGCTGTCAATTGCCTTCCTAATGCTATTCTTGAGTACAGAAGATTTTGGGATTCAGTAGCATTTGATGATTCAATCCACTTGATTGTTGTATCAACAAATTGTTTTATAATGAGTTCTCGTTCAGATAATAATCTATTTTTAGTGTCCACATCTTCCATTTGATTGTCATGATCTGCAGCTATTTCTTGATAAGTATCAAGATTAATCGGATTACTACCTTCTAAATATTCCGGTAATTGGTCGCACGCAATAAACTCCTTCAAATCATTTGACGATTTAGTGAAGACAATCTTTGAAGCTACCACAGGGTCAAGCCATTTTCTAATTATCTTCCAGATGGGAGAAAAAATCCAAGGGGCCTTATGAATATATAACTTACCCAAACATTCAGGATAATGAGCCTCAAAACAGGATATTAAAAATTGCACTGGTGCATAGTCCATGTTGGACATAGAAAAACCTGATAGATCAAAGATAACAGTTGCTGTATCTACTGGATCTTTCAAGAACAATCTGGCTTGTTCAATTATCAACAATGAGTAGCGCTGCATCTCCTCAAGTGATTGATCCTTTGAATGATGTAACTTCGGTCTAACACAAACAATTGGTCTTCCTTCCTTGTCCTTACCACAAATAACAGCTTTCTGTAATTCTAAATTTTTGTAGAAGCCAGGCATTGTACCATCATAGGCTGCTCTTTCACCTTCATAGATTATCTTATCAACCTTGGAGTCGTTTACCCTCCAATCAAGTGTATTAGAGATCATTGTCATGGATTTATTTAAGTCCCATTTTCTTGCTCTGATGAAACGGAGCAACAAGCTATCTGGAAAATCAGCCCTAATCATATTCCAGAATTCTTCTCTAGTATCATCTGGGTTTGAGTTTTTGAGTGCTTCATGGAGCTCAAAATCAGATATACCCTCTCCTTCATTTTCCTCCACCGAGGAATGAATCTTGAATATAGTTGACCTCGATCTGGGTCTGTTTGTTTTTAATTCATGGGCTGCCAGACTGGTAGCTCTCTTCCTCCCACTACATCCCGAGTCATTTAGTAAAGGCCTTTCATCCACTTTGATTCCCCAGAATTTCAGCAGATGTAACCAAACAATTTTTAGAAACTGTAGTTGTTCCTCATTCAAAGTCTTTACTCTAAACGCATAGTTATCTTCTGTCATTATTTTGCTACAGTTATACAGTTGCGTTTGTCCTAAATGTTCGATCAGTTATACCTCATTATTTATAATATATAACAATAATACATGCGGCTGTAAACCATAAATATATATTTGATGGTTCGGCTCAGCTTAAGTGGTCCATTCCCATTATATCGAAACCACCACCAGTGACATAACCTGGTTATAAATCAATAAGTGTCCCCTTTATCGAGATGCTACTAGGGCAGTAGTTCCGTGGAGATTGCTGAAAGATTGCCATTCAGGTGTCTTTCCCCACTTGATTAGAGAGCAAGGAACGAGATGCCCACTTTAGCAACGTACATAGTATAGGTAACAGAAACCGTACTTCTTAGCCGGTGCTACATAATTGGACGTGAAGCAGCCCATGCCATTACACAAATAAATCCACTTAACTCACAGAAGATTAAGCACTTGAGTTGCTTGCTATAGCTGAAAAAAGCAAAGAGGTGTGCCATAATTAAAGAAGTTTCCCAAAAGGGAAAAATCTTTAAATCTGGGATCTCGCAGCGCCATGCCAAAAGAGGAAAGCTGTACGAAGCTACTATAAACCTTTGTAGGACAAGAAATCCACGGTGTTGTACGAGCATCTCTGAGAGAACAATGGGGATTAGCAAAGTGAAGATCACTTTTCTCCGGGTAAAGCCATCGGGTTATGCTATGTAAGCTTAATCTGTGTGGACATATTCTTTGAGGAGCAATGCACATCTGGTAGATGATATCCCACCGCTTTCAACTCAATGTTAGCATAGTTGAGGGTATATGCTATTATTTTGTTAATGGCTCAACGGCAGGCCTTATTCTATCTCAATGGAATTTCACAGCAATGCTATTCTAGCTGAACGTGCGAGCTATTTCCACATGGTGAAAGATATGCTCCCCCCCCCCTCCCCGACAATTAGTTAAATGTCACTAGTGCTAGTCAAGAAGCTCTACGTATTTTCTGCAACTATTCATAGTCTACACACTGTAAATGCTTATACATATTTAGGAATTTCTGAAAGCGTATATTCTATTAGCACCCACCATGCATGATGGTAGCATATTCTTGGTATGCCAGTTGTTAGCAGACATATGGCACCTCAAAACTTTTCTGTCTCACGTTAAAAATTCAAAATCATAACTAATGTATACCTTTTGGGCACGTTTCTTCTTGATTCAATTAATCCTGCCACAAACAATTTGAATGAGAGCTTGACTCATAATACGTAATACGAATCCCTATTAACAATAACTTCAGATTCAAAATGAGCAAATGCCATATATATGACGACACGGACTTCATATTCCTAAGAGAAGAAAATAACACGAATACTATCAGAATTAATGATTGAAGTTATCGATTTTGAACCAGATCACATTGAGTGCCAGGAGCACGAAAGATTCATATACCTTTATGACTCAACATACCATCACAGCAGAGGCATTGCTTGCATAGTAGCATCACCGAAGAGACATAGGGCAAAGAACAAGCTGATAGTGCTAGTACATGGAAGCTTATCACATAAGAATGCAATCTACCAGCCTCTACTGGCACATTGTTTGGCTGAATTGGGTTACCATTCTTTGAGATTAGACTTTCGAGGTCTCGGGGACTCTGAGGATGTTCGTGATCCCAAACTTGGAAGAACTATAGAAGAAGATATTCACGATATTAAAACTGTGTATAAGGCCACCCAAGAGGCCCAGATTTGTGCAAATCTGTTCGAAACTGAGTCAATCACATTTCATGCAATTGTTGGCCATTCAAGGGGAGTACTGGCTATGTTCGATTTTGCCCTATCGATAGCACCATCTATTATACCGATTCTTGTCAATTGTTCCGGAAGATTTGATGGCCAGGGATTGTTGAAACGTTGTTCTGAGAATAATCCAAACTGGATCGAGAAAGGAGGCTTTTATGCAACAACACTACGCCAAGGAAAACTTCAGAAGATATGGATTCCAAAAGAGGAGTCTTTTTCTGTGATAAGAACTAATACTTTGAATTATAGAAACTTAAGTCACGATACAACTGTGATATCCATATATGGTACCAATGATGAAGTCGTCCCTCCGATGGAAGCATCACTGGATTACTCTTCAGTGTTCAAAGACCATCATCAACTGATATACATCGATGGCGCTGGCCACAACTTCTACGGCAAACTTGGGGAACAGAACACAAGGGGTCTACCTTTGAGAAGAGGTATGATTAATTATAACCATGAATTGGTGGAATACTTGCAAGATATATTCACCAAATCAGTATAACTCTCATGGGAGCCATCCGCAATTCTCGATACTTCCTTTACTCACTTTTTAAACTGCAGTTTCTCGGAATATCTTAATACAATTATATGATAAATCTTGTGTCACAGCGTCTACACTTAGCTATTTAATTATTAATATACTCAATCACTATTTATAACTTTCCGGTAGCTTATATTCATACTTACAGACGAACTTGTTTTTTTTTCTCAATTCCTCATGCATTAAGAATTTAAAGGTAAACAAAGTGAAGGTAGTCAAGCAGTTCATGCTCATAATCAAAATTCATTACATGTAATTCAATTAACTCAAAAATTACTATTTCTCATAGCACAATATCCTTCAGTCAAAATAGCCGCCATTGTCACAATTTAACACAGAATAGTTCTGAATTCCTTGAGGATAACGCTCTGCATTGATAAGAAACAACGCACTACTCCCGTTTTCTAGATATCCTAGCTTCGAACCGGAAACTGAAATAGGTCATTCAATTCATATATTTCCATCAATAAAGCAAAAATACAATTGGCGCTGTTTTTGATATTAGAAGGTGATTAAAGTCGTTAGAAAAGTGCATGATAGATAATTTTATGGCTCCCGAAGTTTCAAGTTGAAAGAAATTGTCAGATTGATTAAACACCACTGATTTATATAGCTTAAAACTGATAGAATTCCGAGAATACCTTGAATTTAAATAAGGTGTCAAACTTTTTTTGTTCCATAACGTCATTCCAATTTATTGGGTTGTAAAAGTAATACTACGGGATAGTTTAGAACTGCGGTTAACACACAACAGTACTGTAAATCATGTCGAATCAAATATATTCTGCCAAGTACTCTGGTGTAGATGTCTATGAATTCATCCATCCTACGGGATCCATTATGAAGAGGAAGAATGACGGTTGGGTCAATGCTACTCATATATTGAAAGCTGCAAATTTTGCAAAAGCCAAGAGAACCAGAATTCTAGAGAAAGAAGTGCTGAAAGAAATGCATGAAAAAGTTCAAGGTGGCTTTGGTAAATATCAAGGTACCTGGGTTCCACTCAATATTGCAATAAATCTAGCTGAGAAATTTGATGTGTATCAAGATCTCAAACCTTTATTCGACTTTAGTGAAGAGAATGGAGACGCAGCCCCACCACCAGCACCTAAACATCACCATGCATCAAAGGCGTCATCAGCAAAGGCCAAGAAAGCTGGTAGAAGCGTGAGCTCACCTGCAATGAACGATTCTAAAACAAGGGCTAGTACAAGAAAAGCAAACACACCATCAAGCAATGACATAACGTCTGATTCTGGCGCTGTTGTTAATCCAGTAGTGACACGGAGGAGGGGTAGACCACCAAATAGCACTCTGACCAATAAACGAAAATTAGGAACTGGTCTGCAAAGATCTCAGAGTGAAATGGCTTTTCTGAAACCCGAAATACCGAATGATCTGAACTCTAATGATATTGCAAATATCCAGCAGGTAAATAGTGGTGATTTACTGAGAAATGAAAAAATACAGAAGAATATCCAATTAAAAGAAATAGATTTAGATGATGGATTATCCAGCGATGTTGAAGTACAGGAGACAGACACATTCCAACCTAACCATCAATCTTCATTATTAGGAGCTGAGGGTCATGAGTTAAGAAATAATGATTCGCCTCTATCTCCATCATCATCATCTTCTCTGCCAACATCTCCTGCCAATCTTAACGACAGCAATCCATTTGATCAAAGATTAGGAGGTGGGGGCACTTCACCTATAATAAGCTTAATCCCTCGATATTCAGTGCAATCACGCCCACAAGTCACGGATATTAATGAGAAAGTTAATGATTATCTAACTAAATTAGTCGATTATTTCATTTCTAATGAAATGAAGTCAAATAAAACTGTGCCTCAGGAGTTGCTTCATCCGCCAACACAAAGTGCACCTTTTATCGATGCTCCTATAGATCCAGAATTACATACCGCCTTTCATTGGGCTTGCTCAATGGGTAATCTACCAATTGTAGAGGCTTTATACGAGACAGGCACAAATATCAGAGCAGCAAATGCAAACGGACAGACACCATTGATGAGAAGTGCAATGTTTCACAACTCATACACAAGAAGATCTTTTCCTAGGATATTTGAGCTACTGAGTGAAACAGTTTTTGACATTGACAGCATGGGTCAAACAGTTCTTCATCATATTGTAAAAAGGAAGTCATCCACTCCTTCTGCAATATATTATGTCAACGTGCTACTGTCAAAAATAAAGGATATTTCTCCAAAGTACAGGATAGAACTTTTGCTAAATACCAAAGATGCCAACGGTGATACAGCACTACATATTGCGGCAAGAAATAATGATAGGGAATTTTTTGACATACTCATAAAAAATGGTTCTTTGAGCACTATATCCAATAATGATGGACAAACACCAACGGAAATAATGAACCAACATTATCAAGATCTGCATTTGCAAGCTCAAACCAATATCGCTGGCTCCAATACATCAGCATATACCGATAGCTTTTCGTCGTTTGGCGGCAAAGTAAAAGGCAGCAAACTACATTCCATCTCCGAATTAGATGATGATAAAAATACACAGAATCCAGAAAACACAGTTACTAACATAGTGTCTAATCTACATTTCAGCTCCAATGCAGCTATCAATCTAGTCAAAAATATTCCAGCATTTACTGACTCGATGAAACATCTTGCAGAAAAGTTCGATGGGTCCTATAAAAATCATGAGGAGAGCTGTAGATCTACTGAAAAAATGCTGGGCAGTATCAAACGAACTGTACATTCAACAGATAATCGAATCAGAGAAATACTGGAAACGGATGCTGACGCCGATATTTCATCAGCAATCCTGGCTCAGGAGAAGGATATAACTGAGTTGAAAATAGAAGCAGAGAATCACTTGAGGAAGTTGAAAAACCAATTTGAGTATTTGCAAAAGCAACGGTTGTTGAAACTGACAGAATATCACAATGGCGAACATAATGATACAGATAACACTCTGGATAACAAGATTGAAATATGTAAGCAGATTAGTGTATTACAGATCGAGCGAAAGAGAAAAATATCAGAGTTAATCTCGCATTATGAGGATAGCAGAAAAATCCATAAATACAGAAGGATGATTAGCGAAGGTACAGAAATGAAGACAGAAGAAGTGGATGGCTGCTTGGATATAATTTTACAGACCTTGATAAATAATAGTTCGTAATCTACTTCGTAATCTAGCATAGCGTAAAATTACACTGTAACAAATTGCAAGATTCAAGATGCAAACTCATGCCTAAGAGTTTTTCGCTTTAGATAAAATAACATGGAAACATAACATGCATTAATTTATATAAAAGATTATATCCTCATAGAATTTATAGAACTGAAACAGCGGATGATAAAAATCTGCAATTACATCCACTATATGCCTTTACCTATAATTTGACAAAAATGGAAAATCGAACCGCTAACAAGGTAATTTCAGGTGTAGAATCAGGCCTACCCTTTCATTATTTGGAGTTATAACAAAATTTATTAGGAAACGATTAACTGAACAATGGGGAAAGAAAAAAAATGATAAAATATAGGAAATAATACAAACGATTTCACTTTGAGAATTCACTTATGTTGTGAAGTTCAAAGATGTTTTGGATAATGTCATTTTTATCCAATGTGAATTAACCTTAATATCGAACGCAATAGGTCCACCATCATGATGTTTTTAATGCAATGGGGTTAATTGGGATCGATATCTTTGAAGTTTAGAATGATTGTAAAAGAATTAACAGGAAAATGTAGGTTTTCTCAAAAGAAAAACAATTAAAATCCAGTCAAGGATCTCTTACATAATAATGGCTTCACTTGGAACGTTAGCAGAGATGGACTTGTGAGGCAAGACCTTACCACCGTTAACGTAAACTTCATCCTTGACAACAACGTCGTCACCCAAAACAGTGACACCTTCCAAACGACACCACTTACCAACAGTAGACTTCCAGCCGACAATGGTGGACTTTACTAGGGAGTGGTCTTGAATACTGGAGTCGGAAAGGACAACGGATCTGGTGATTCTGACACCTTCACCGATAGTGACGTTTGGACCGATAACTACATCTGGACCGACCTTAGCAGAGGCAGCAATCTTGGCAGATGGGTCAACCATAACGTTACCGACAATGTTGTCACCCTTGGTCAACTTTTCTGGGTTCTTCTTGGAGACAGAGTTCAAGTATAGAACGGTACCGGACAAGAAATCCTTTGGTTGACCGACATCCATCCAGAAACCTTCCAAGTCGAAGGAGTACAAGGACTTTTGTTCAACAAGGATTGGGAAAGTCTCGGTTTCGATAGAGGTTGGCTTCATTTCGATCAAGTCAATGACTTCTGGGTTCAAGATGTACAAACCAGCGTTGATTCTGTTACCAACGAATTCCTTTGGCTTCTCGACGAATCTGTCGATCAAGTTTGGAGTGGCAATGTCATGGACGATGACACCGTACTTGGATGGTTCGTCGACCTTGGTAGCGACAATGGTACCCTTACCACCGTGGGCCTTGTGGAAGTCAGCCAATTCCTTGAATGGGTATTCACAGATGACATCGGAGTTTAGAACGAAGAATGGAGAGTTGTCCTTCTTTAAAACCTTCTCGGCCAACTTCAATGGACCAGCGGTACCCAATGGCTCGGTTTCGACGGAGAAAGTGATGCTGACACCATACTCCTTCTCGTACTTTTGCAAAGTCTCAACCATGACTTCTGGTCTGTAGTTGACAGCCAAGACGATATCGGTGACACCAGCGTTGGCCAAAGCTTCAATCTGGTGCAAGATCATTGGTCTGTTACCGAACTCAACCAATGGCTTTGGGACAGTCAAAGTCAAAGGTCTCAATCTGGTACCGTAACCACCAACTAGAATTAAACCCTTCATATTATTGTATGTATGCTATAGTCTTGAGAAGTGTTAAAAAATAATAAATGCAAACCTTCGCTAGTATTATTTTTGTTCAAAGAGCTATTCTTTAAATTGAACTTTAAGAGTTAAAGAGAAAGCAAATGTTTCAACCTAATGAAATATCACCAAATATATATATCCAAAGAATTTTTCCATTAGTGCTGGCTGGCAATATTCAATTGCTAGTATTGATAACAATACTTCCAAAAAAAAAATTTTTTTTCATGTGAGCTAGTGAATCCCAGTACAAGAGCAAGGTATACTAGAGAGGACTTGCAAAGAATTGGGTCAAGCTGGCTGCATTCGAATGTTTTTGGCAAATCCACGAGAACACCAAAAAACCCTCCAAACCGTCGTCGAAGTTCGTGTCATTTGTTGCCTGAATTTGAAAGCACTTTTTTCTTCGGTTTGGGAATCCTCGAGAGAGGTGGCACAGCTCCCACTACTCTCGAAGGCTGCCCAATTCTCACTAAAGCAAATTGCAATTTCTCGAGACTTCTGACATAAAGTTCGCGAAAATGGCAATAGCTGCCCAATCGAGCTGGCAATTGTCCTGTCGAGGTATTGTATAAACTCTTCCTCGAAGCTTTGAGCTTCCTACAAAATCCAAGATAGCGTGCATGATTTTTTTTCGCGTGCTGTGAAAGTCCCGCAGAGAGTGGAGGGCCTATTTTCTTTCTTTTCTTCTTTGAATGTATAGACGGTGGGCTCAGAGGCAGTGTTGAGCACCATTCATGAGCAATGTGGATGGCCCAGGGTCCTCAGTGTTTCTATTTATAGATTTCTATGCTTAACGATGGCTACTTAGGTTAATCATTGGGTATCATAGACAATTATATGTGTGTTCTGCGTTTGCGCCAGAGTACTGTTACCACTACAGTTAGAAGTATAGCTGCGCAGAACTCGAGTGCGGTGGTTTCGTACACTGGGGCGATGCAGCTTCTCGTGGTTGAGTTGGCACACTCAGAGTCGTATACATCTGCGTAGATGAGACACGAGAGTGCTGAACCCAGAGCTGGTGCGATCATTAATGTACCGTACGCTGTTCCGAACATCTTCTCTCCCCAGACCATCAAGGTGATTGTGGGATATATCGTAAACAGGCCACCATATGCGATACCTTGCATTATGCCAATGTAGAACAGTTTCCTGTTTATGGTTACCATGTGGCTATGGTCCAGACTTGACATGGACAACATGTATATCTTACCCTGGGTGACTAAACCCACAACCAGGAACAGCAGGAGAATCCACTTCACAGACAGCTGCCTCTTGTTGAAGTAATCTACCGTCAGACCAGTGCCAAGTCTAGTCAACGTAGAGGTCAATGCATATATGGATAACAGCGCGCTAGACATGGCGGGTTCGTGGCCACCAGCGAGCACATTGGTCAATGACCCCATATTGGCGATAAACATCTCCAATGGGCCTAATGCACAGAAAATCGTAGCACCAAATATGTACAATACGGGATCTCTAAACACTTTCATCAACGTCATCTGCTGGGCATGAGTTGCATGTAATAGCCTGGATTGTTCGTTGTCATCGTAATGATTCTCTACATCGTTATCCGATGGCTCTGCCATCCGGTCTTGTTCTTCCATAATATCCGCCTCGTGCTGGATCTGTGCGACTTTGCTTGTCGCAATCCATATCATCACACCAATAACAGTGTAGATCCAGGCGAATGCCTTGAATACCCTTCCTAGGTCTAGGTAAGGATAATCAACTGGGTGGAAGTACTTCACCCTCAAAAACTGCGAGCCAATAAGACTTGACAGACCATAACATGTAGTTGGTATACTAATAGAAAGCAATTTGGTACCGGGGAATAGCTTTGCACATGTAATTAAGGCGCTGAAGTACAATCCACTGGTTGCTACACCAATGATAAAGAAACACACCAAGGTCGGCGTAAATGATCCATCTGATTCATTAGTGAAGCTATGATCTCGATGGAAAGTATATGCCAAATATGCATACGAAGGAATAAAACCCAGAACTGAACTTAAGCTCAGAGTGATGGGGCCATGTATATCGGCGATTATACCCAGAATTGGTGGAGTAAGGTACATACCCATATTGATCACAGTTACAATCATGTTGATCTGCCATGAACTGTAGGACAGATGTTCCTGCCATGGCTGTGCATAAAGAGATATTAGTGAAACGAATCCCGACGTGATAGCTGCGAATAATGCAAATATGTACGCAATATTGTGCGATGACTTAGAGGAAAGCACTTGCGGAAGTAGGACCCGCAAGTGGTACGACAAATAGTGCTCAATACTAGAGAGAGCCATTTCTTTTATCCATCTACCAGATCACAGAGTTGATAACCTTATAATCAGTGCTTGACTTTCACAACTTCCTCTTCAAATTAATACCTTCAACTGCACTTAATTAGCTTTGACTAATTGTCAAGCACATAGTCAAAGCTGCAGCTCCAAGGGTCTCAAATGATGCAATTTTCTGATCCCTACGTACTTTTCTATTGATAATGTGATTTACAATTTTCTCAGAAAAAACCGCAGAGTATTAAGATCTAACATCATCACCTAAATGAACTCGCTCACGTGATATATATATATACCATATTTGAATATTTAATCAAATATAGAAGGTAAAGGTATTATATGATTTTCCGACATCGTGCTTCCATTTCTTATTATAAATAATGTCTCAGTTTTTCCATTTCATCTAGTATTTTATTAATTTTTTAAAAATTTTCCTATGTTATAATCGATATATACGTAAATATTATATGTTCTACAATCTAATGGGTTTAATGCCGTTAAGGGACTTTAACTCCTTCATTATTTATTTAGTTTATTCTTAAGAGTTTGCAAGAACTCACGGTAACTTTCAGTGCCAAGAACCTTGTCCTCGACCAAGTTACTGGTGGCCCACATTCTCAATGGTTGCAACTCACGTCCAGCAGCATGGCCAACTGGTTCGCTGACTGATGGCCCTCTAACAATGTATAATGTCTGATAAGTTATAACATCGTCGTGCTCCCTTACCTTTTGGATGATATTTCTGACCCTCTCGTTAAATTCAGAGCCTTCGACTATAGCCAATTCGTGTTTACCATTTGGAATTTGGAAGATATCTTGTAAACCAAAAACATCATTAACCAATTCCGGAACAGCGTCACCACCAACCCAAAGGAATAACTCTGAGGAGTTGTCAATCAAGTATAGACCGTATCTCTCAAATAATGAGGCAGATGCATTAATAGGTTCTGGTAGCACGATTTCACCATTTTCATCTGGATAACCAGCCTCATCTACCATATCATGCAGGGAGTAAACTCTAGCATAAGCACTCTTGACTAGGTATTTTAGTGGCATAGACTCTAAGTTGTTTAGAGCTGCTGCTCTATGATCACTTGGAACAATACCAGCTCTGAAAGCGGTATGCTTAGACAAAGCGTGGACCAGTAATGGAAGCATTCTTAAGTTAGCGCAGAATCTTAGTGGAGCACCACCAGCAGTGTTTGATACCACAATTTCCTTTTTGTATGTTGCGAGAATGTCTTGCAATGACTTGTTTAGTAGGTCTCTAGCGTCTTGTAAGCTTGAGTTCATAGCCTTTTCAACAGCCTTCTTGGTGAAGAAATCAGCGATTGCGAGTTGGTCGGCAGATGCGTATACTTCTGAGAGAGATTCAGTGGTTGGAATAGCCACTGTAATAATTCTGATACGACGTTGGCTAGTGTTCAAGGACAGCAGCACCGCAATTTGAACATAACAGTATTCGGTACCTATATTTTCGTCAATGCTCATTTCAAATACGTATGATTGATCTCTTGGCATTGTTGAGAAAGCACACAAGTCAGAAGATCTGTTGAAAAAGTGACCATAAAAGGCACTCATTCTAATACCGGTGGAGCCACGAGCTCTCATGACAGTTTCTGTAGATAAGTCCATAGACAAGAACTTGGAGAACTCCTTTGTGAACTTGGTGACATCAGCGATATTAGCAGCTGTAAAACCTGGGTAGAAATGTGTTTGACCACCGGTGAAACGACCAAGGTTTGAAAGAGATGCGACATCCATGTAATCTTCAGAGGCCAAGAATAGGTCTACTGAGACCTGAGATTTACTACAGGTAATAGTAAAGTTCTTGTAGAATGCATCTTGACAAGACAGCAACTGTGTAGACTCTTTTGGTGTGTTAGCAACACCAGACTCATTTCTTCTTTGTAGTTTACCAATACCGATATTTGGCAAAGTAGCAGAAACTACAACAATCTTACCACCTAGATTAGAGATCATGTTTTGAGCAGCCTTTAATGCTGGACCTAACGCAAACTTGCTCATGATGTTGAATTGGAAAATCTCTGGAAGTTGAGTCAACAACTTTTCTAAGTTGTTTCTACATTCATTCAATGGTACAATCATCGAGTGAGGTTTTGGTAAGAATGGCTCGTCAATGTCACTGATGTCCATCATTCTAATTTGGTCGGACTCTTCATCTAGTGGAATAGAGAAATAATGCAAAGAGTTGTCAACCGCCAAAATGGATACTCTGGTTCTGTTATCATGGTTTGGCAAAAACTCCAAGGTGTCTAGAATAGATCTGGCAGTTGTAGCTAACAATCCGTTTTTGACAGCGTTTTGAGAAACATCCAAAACAAAAATGTAAGTAGATGGTGGTGGCTGTCTGACTGTGTACTCTTTTGGTGCCAAGTATTCCATGACGGAGTGTTTGATTTCATTTCTTTCGTAACGATTGGCTGGAGCACCTTCAAAGCTTTGATCCAATTGCATTGGAACATCATTAGCCAATCTACAGAAGTTACATCTCCATCTTCTACCTTGTTCAATAAATGTCACAAAAGGATTCATGTAAGAACGACAACGACGACAACGAACAACTAAACCATCCTCGTTCAATGGAGGTGGGTTAACTTCATCGTGTAGATGTTGATATGGTCTAATGACTAACGCCAATGGTAACTTAGATTTTTTCAAAAGACTACCGTTCTTTGGCATGGCGTTCAGGGTACATCTCAAATAGTCAGAACTGGCATTGGCAGTTTCAGATGGGACCAACATTTTGTCTGGAGAAACCATCAATGGTGGTGGTGGCAACATCAGATCATGGATTGGAGGAGGCAGTTCTGTCAATAGATCAACTGGGTACAATTGGTTCATCGGTTTGTTAGAATGACCCATTAGACCTTGAGATTGCCCATACATTTGTGGTTGTGGGGTCATTTGTTGTGGCATTTGTTCCATCATTGGCGTGCCAATGTTCATGGCTCCCATATTAGTAGTTACTGAATTGATCTGTTGGTTCAATTGCTGTTGAGCAGGAGTGAACATTTGCGCTTGTGGTGCTTGTTCCATTTGGTTCATGGTTGGAGTTTGATTATAAGGAGGGATCATGTTGTCGGTGGCACCTACTTGTGGAGATTGAACCTGAGGTGGTATTATGGATGCATCACTAACAGGTATACCAGCAGGTGGGACACCTGCTCCATATTGGAATTGAGCCTGTGGATAAACACGTTTCTTATGGTGAGACATTGGTTCCTGATAAAATATTCCCTATTGTATTGTATTTCCCACTTTAGTGAAACCTTTATAAGATCAATATTGACCGCAGAGTGCTCTCAATGTAACCTGCAAGGTTTAATATAGGAATCAAATGATATCAGAGTAGTCAACTTGTCCTCGTTTAAGAATTGCTCAACTTTTCGATGTTATGTTTTCCAAAACGAAGAATAATCGATCTGATCCGGCTTCTTTCTGGACTAATATCAGCTAAAAAGGAATAATCAATTGATTACAGATATCCTACCCTTTCTCACTAGTTAAAACACGCAACAAGACCTCACAACAATGGCCAAACTAACAATATTATTGCTATTTTATTCACTTTTTTTTCCAGTTTCTGCCAAAATTTCTGGTGGAAGCGATTTCCACGTCGTCGTTGCAATTTTGGCAGAAAAACAATCTCAAAATGTCGGCTTTAATTATGTCGTTCTATGTGATGATAATAGGCTTGGCTTGTTGGAGTCGCCTTTGCACTGGCTACCAGGAGGTATACGCTCGTGTTATAGACTATTTTGTCTAATATTTGAATATTTAAAGTACGTAAATAAGTGCTTCTAGGACAATACCTAGTCGCAGGGCAACTACGCCCTCATAATTGCTGTCATGTTAAAAGATAAAGGAACAGTGTCGAAATACGGAGAGAAAAAGGAACAGGAATATCATTAAAGAGAAAGTTTTGAAGTCATTAGCAATGATACCAGCGACAAATTACTCCTTTTGTAGCAGTGCAGAGCCTTTGCTGTTGGAAACTTGTCTTCTTTGGCCAATAGAAACCGAAGTTCCGCCACCTTCTAACCTTGTTAGCTTAGGAGGAAGTAAAGTGGCACCATTATTACCTAGTGAAGATACTTTTGCTGTGCCTTGTTTCGTGGACTTGTTTTCATTAGTATTTGAGGGAGACTTATTCTTGGATGGTGGTGCGGTAGGAATCACTGAGTATCTCCTTTCGTTGTTGACTAGACCTGCTTCTTTCACACGCTTTGTGTTCAAATTATATTCAGGAACTTTAAAGAAAGTATCTTTGTCTTCATCATATTCCCATAAGGACCATGTTATACCGTATGGCTTGGTCTCTAAGCAATAGACACAATGAAGTGGGACGTCCAAATTAGAGATTATGTCTACACTTAAGTTCATAAAATATCCCAATAAAGCACGCGCTACAACACGGTGTGTGATTATTAACACGTTGTCCTGAATCCTTTCTACCTCAGTGATCACAGGTCTCAACCTATTGATAACATCGAGGTAGGATTCACCGCCAATGCCAGGGTAACGATAGCGCAATTTATCCCGTTGTCTCTCGGCAAATTCGGATGGGAATTTTGCTTGTATTTCTGGGAAAGTCATACCTTCGTAATCACCTGCACTAATTTCATCAAGCATACGCATTTGCTTGATTGGATATTCATCCTCATTAAAGTATTTGGCTGTTTCTATCGACCTCTTCAACATACTAGTCCACACAAAGAACTCATTGTAAAGTTGGTCGGGTTGGTTTAAGTCAGCTACAGATGGTAACTTATCTTTATCAAGATCTACATCATGTATGTTTCCAGACTCCAATTTCTTGAGCTGTTCTTGTCCAGCTTTGTTTTTTTCAATTTCATTAACAAGGAATTGTGCTCTTTGTTCGTCAATAAATCTAGAAAGCGCCTTAGCGTACTTGTCACCACGGCTTGTTATGTGAGAATCGCCTCCCAGTTTACCTAATACATTATCTTCACTTTCACCATTTCTCGTTATCCAAATCTGTCTTTCCTTTAGGTTAAAATTCAACAGATAATACACCGTCTGAGAAGCGAGGAAACCTTGTATCTTATTTGCGATTACTTTTTTACCAACATCGATCATTTTAATATATTGGATATCTTCTTCATCTTCGATAGGTTCGTAGGCCTTAATGTAGTTTGATAAACGTTCTTTGAAATCCAGTAATGATTTCTTTGGGTCTTTTCCTTTGTAATCAGGACCAAATAATTTTAGTCTAATATTACTTTCAACAACAGCCTTGTTAGTACAGATGGATTCAAGAAATAATACCTTTAGATGAGGACTTCTGTTTCTTATTCTTTCTAATACTTGTTTTCTGCGCGCTTTACTGGTATTTGTGGCATCAAAAATACCTACAGATCCAGGCCCATCCAAAAGATAATCCATCAGCTCTTCTAATGTGTCAAGAGCCCATTTATCTCTTAATGCTGTGTATTCGGTGTTTGTGGGATCGAAAAATGAGGAGTCTTGTTCAGACAAGCCCATCTGCTTAGCATATTTTCTCCTAGTGTTACCAACATTAAAAACTTGACAGTAATACATCGAGTAATTCAAATACCTTGATAGTTTGTTTGTGATGAACGATTTACCTGTAGCGGGTAAGCCTACCATAACAATAACTAATTTAGAACCTGGATCCTCCTTTGAAATCAATCCATCAGGCGAGGTCTTGGATTTGGTCAACCCAGGAACATCAATTGTAGTAGGTCTCCTCTTTGGATGGTAGAATTGCGAAGGCGACTTTACCAAACCGGGGCTGGCTTCATTTGGAGAGGGCGATTTAGGGGAAATTATATCTGTTGGACCCATTGTGAATCCTTCCGATGGCACCGTTTTGTTTAAGTTTGCATTGATCTTAGAGTTTTGTAATGCCTGGTTCAGTTGCACCAGGCTCAGAGTACTACTTTCTCTGGAAGACGAAGGGGTAGCCTCGGCTGAACCGCTAGGCGAATTCCACATACTAGCCACTGGCGTGTCACTCAGTGGCCGCCTCTTGAAAGAAGGCAGTGACGACAAGATATGTGCACCAAGCTGGTCCCGAGATTCCTCGTCATCTTCATCTTCTTCGTCATCGTCGTCGTCTTGTCCAATACCAACGTACTTGCTCTTCAAATAGTTCTTTCTCGGACTAGCAATAGCTTCATCCTCAGTATCAGGAATCATCCTATCCTCTTCCTCGTCACAGTCAGAACCAAATACTTCCACTTTCCTCTGAAAAGATATCGCAGAATTACTATGGCTGCTCTTCTTCACAACATTGCTCAAAGCACCCTGACTGCCCTCTCGAGAGGACCCGGGACTGATCCCCGCACCGCTCCCACTGTTCGTGGGCGACAGCGATTCCATCTTCTCCATAGCTTGCGTTCTATTCTACTGCTTCCTTGCGAACTGGACTTCAGAATCAAGTACCATTAGTAGGTCTCTTATTTGAATGGGATTGCCTTAGTGATTTCCCTTTTTTCCAGCTGGGGGACCCTTCCCATTGTCACCTCGAACTTTGAAAAAAATGCTGGATGAGCAAACCACGCCATATAAGAAAGCCTATTGGTGTGGTTTTGAAGCAGTGAGTTAGCGTTTAGCAACACAACATGTCTACGATGCTATGGGTTGTCGTTGCTGCGGTGCTGCTGTTTGTGCTGCCTGTGGTGCGGGTTCCTATGCTTGACTTGACGAGGAGGAACATCATCAGATGGCAGCGAGGCGGGATACAGAAGTATACCACGCGGTACTATGGGTTTTTCCACCCATATTGCAATGCAGGAGGTGGTGGTGAGAAAGTTCTGTGGAAAGCGGTTCAGGAGACGCTACTTTACGACCCCAATTGTTCCATTGTGATCTACACTGGTGACGTGGACAGCAGTCCCAAAGAGATTATTGCGAATGTGATCAAGCGGTTTGACTATGAGATGGATTTCAATAGGGTTCAGTTTGTGTTTTTGAAGTACAGGAAGTGGGTGGATGGCAGTACGTGGAAGCATTTGACTTTGGTCGGACAGGCTATGGGATCGATGCTGCTAACCATCGAAGCTCTCCTTCGTTTTGTTCCAGATATATGGCTGGACACTATGGGTTACCCATTTGGGTACCCCGTGGTTCGTTGGCTTGCAGGCTTGCCTGTGATGACTTACACACATTATCCGGTGATATCCTCTGATATGATACACAAGATCGAGATAGAGAATCAGAAACAGCCATCCAAGAAAGGAACTTTGAAACTAATCTATTGGAAACTATTTATGAAGTGGTACCAGTATGTGGGAAAATTCGTTGATGTAGCAATCACAAACTCAACATGGACCGGTAATCACATAAGATCAATTTGGAAGAGGGTCAAGATAAAAGTTATGTATCCACCATGCTCGACTGAGAAACTGGTTAAGAACTCTTCGCCTACTGCATACGAGACAAGACAAAACCAAGCAGTTTTAATTGCCCAATTTAGACCCGAGAAGAGACACAAGTTAGTGATACAAGCATACTCTGATTTTATCAGCAGAACTGCAAGCAAGGACCACTTCAAACTGGTGCTCATAGGGTCGACTAGATCTGAAGAGGATAGGGCTTATGTCGAAACTTTGAAAAGCTGGGCATTTGATACACTGAAAATACCGAAAGAATCATTAACGTTTAAGACAGATTGTAGTTACGATGATATTAAGAAATTCCTTGCTGAGTCAACCTTTGGTATCAATGCAATGTGGAACGAACATTTCGGTATTGCAGTTGTAGAATACGCAGCAGCAGGTCTAATCTCGCTAGTGCATGCCTCAGCTGGACCCTTACTAGATATAATAGTTCCCTGGGATTCTGCAAAGAAACAGCAATTGCCTTATAGTGATTCTACAAAAGACACGAGAACTGGTTTATTCTTCAAGGACAAGAGTGATCCTGATTATAAGCCAACAGATGCACAGTTCAACAACTATGGCTCTCTGGCAGATATATTTGAAGAAGCCAATAGCTTAAGCATAGCTGAGAGAAAACAGATATCAGAAAGAGCCAAGGAGTGTGCGTCAAACAAATTCTCTGATAATACGTTTAACCATGCATGGGATCACGCACTTGATGAGTTAGAACATAAGACCTCCAGACTGGGATCCAATTAAAGAATATTTTGAAAGCAGTTTGCCATGTGTTGCCATCATCTACAACAACTACATAATGATAAATATTATTTGTTCAGTCAATAAATCATATTCTATATAGCACTTTTCCAATGATTCAAATTGATCAGTAATTTCTTCAAAATCCAATTTTTCAAACTAAGAAGGCCTTGAAGAGCCAGAAGAAAAAGTTCAAAATCAAAGTGGAACGGTATCGACAGGGATTTCAAGAGCTCAAGAAGAGGTTGACCAGGTTTAAAATTGACATTAGACTTGTTGAACAAGGTTACATCTTTGGATAAGTCATTTACCACATACATTAAAGATCGAAACACAAATGTCTACGCCGCCTGCTGTCAGAGAAGCTGCAAAGCAAGTGGTGAAATGTCTGGAAAGGTTTCCTGCCGATAGGTTCAAGCATTTGACCTCCTTCAAGGATATTCAAATCTCTAGGTTCAACCGTATAGCTGGTGTATCTCTCAAAGGAGAAGACGCTGCGAATGAGAAGAAGCCAAGTCTTTCAGAAGTCAAAGATATGATTAGCAGAACCTCAGGTCCCTTAGGTCTACAGAAGGATTTCTTGAAGAAATTACAGGGTGCTTTACAACAGGATATGGTATCTGAAGAAGGACTGACAAAACAAAAGAGGTCTTTGGAAGTGTTGATGAGTGATAAATACAAGAATTATTATGAAGTAGGAGACAAGTTATACAAACCCAATGGGAACCCAGAATATTATCAGAGATTGATGGATGAATTGACAGGTAAGAAGAAGGAAAACCTATTCACTGGTTTAAGAACTGTGTTTTTTGGTAAATAGATGCTCTAAAGTTATGTCTGATCTTTCGGTACATTTCGACACCAATGGTGTCGAATCTAGTCTCTCCAGATTCCTTAACTGTAGGCTGGCATCATAACACAAACTCAGCTGTAAATATATATTTGGTCTGATCCAGTAAATAACCACATTGATCATTGAAAAGGTTCTAATGAAGCTAATGTGATCTATCTATATATTCTATCTGTATCTTGTTTAGAAACAAAAAATCATAGACTCAAAACTTCATTGTTAGTTTACTTCTTTGCGTAGGTAACCTTGATATTATTGCCAAGTTTTGTTAATTTTGGAACCATTTCTTTTAAGGCCACTGTTGCAGCTTCAATATCTTCATACTCGACAAATGCCACATTCCGAACTGATACCAGTCGAATTTCCTTGAGTTCCTTAGTCGGTATGTTGACTTTTATCTGATCTGATGTACACCCAGATGGCAAATCTGTCAGCAATAGTATAGAATTTGGCTCTACGAGTTTTTCATTATCTTGTTTAGGTGGTCTTGTTTCTTGTTTCAATGCTAATGGCACTGGCTTCTTTTCATTGATTGTGGCCGTCACTTTCTGTGTTAAACCTGTCACAGCAGCTTTAATCTGCTCATCATCAACACCTTTTGATCTTAATTTCGATCTCAGTCTTCTCTGTTTCCTTCTTAGCTTTAAAGTTTCCAGTTTATGTTGATTGTTCTCTAAATCTTCTTTCCTATATTTGGTCCGCAACGCCTTCTGCAAGACACGTTCGTTGTCTAAGTACAAGCCTAAAAACGACTCCTTCTTAGCAAAACTAATATTGATTATTCTTCCAGATACTTTCAATTTATTGTTCTGGTAGCGATCCATAAAACTCTGAGCCAGTTCATGGCTCTCGAAGGTTAGGAAGCCTTGATTTCTTAATCGCAGTGATCTTGATAGCGAAATTGAGATTAGACCCAGTGATTCATCCAAATAGAGATTCTTATCCTGTGATTCCTTTAATTCATTATATTCATTGAAGTCGATTGAGGCAGGTATTGGCTTTGATGGGTTCAGTACATAAATATTGTTTCTGTTGATGCACTTGAGAAGATTCCTAATGAAAGACTCCTTGTTAACTGGCCTTCTGGGGAGATTCTGTAAATATAGCGTCTTTATGTTTTCTTGCTTCATAACCGATAGTGGCCTTCCCGTTCTGAAGTAATTGTTGGTGATGGCTCATCGATGAGCTTCTCTTAAAATTATTGTTATTACTTCAAATTTAGTGGGCTCGTGAGGACGTATTATATAAAATACAAAAGGTGTATTTCAACGTAGCTTGATTGTTACTAATATTATTATTTTATTGTAGATTTAAATACACAATAGTAAGTGCATTCATATTACTTATGTTATAAAGCCTTTAACTTATTTTGACGAACCGCCTGCGAATTATATTATTGATAAAAGTGCTAGAAATGAAAAAAAATAAATGATAAATACAATGATGATGGAAATAAAATTAAAAATAAAAATATATGAAGATTGTTCTACCATTCACAACTATATGAAAGGCCACAGAAGAAAATTACCTTCCATGTGGATGACCATATGCGTAGCATGGAAATGTATCATGAATAAAATATTGTTCCTCAGTCAAGCACATACCGGAAAGACAACTGCGATTTAATAAGAGCAAGAAGGTGATAAAACCTACTCACTCAAATGCCTCTATTGTAAAGGAAAGGACAACCCTCATTCCAAAATTTAAATTTATCAATATTCTTATTTCTTAGCAGCCTTTTGAGCGGCCTTGGTAACCTTACCAGCCTTGTCAGTCTTGTCAACAGACTTGATGACACCGACAGCAACGGTTTGTCTCATGTCTCTGACAGCGAATCTACCCAATGGTGGGTAGTCGGAGAAAGCTTCGACACACATTGGCTTGGATGGAACGAACTTAACCAAAGCAGCGTCACCGGACTTCAAGAACTTTGGAGAGTCTTCCAACTTCTTACCGGATCTTCTGTCGTTCTTTTCCAACAATTCTTCGAACTTACAAGCAATGTGGGCGGTGTGACAGTCCAAAACTGGAGAGTAACCAGCAGAGATTTGACCTGGGTGGTTCAAGACAATGACGGTAGCGTTGAAAGAAGCAGCAGCCTTTGGTGGGTCGTTCTTGGAGTCACCACAGACATTACCTCTTCTGATTTCCTTAACGGAAACGTTCTTAACGTTGAAACCAACGTTGTCACCTGGCAAACCTTCAGTCAATTGTTCGTGGTGCATTTCAACGGACTTGACTTCAGTGGTAACACCAGCTGGGGCGAAGGTAACAACCATACCTGGCTTGATGACACCGGTTTCGACTCTACCGACTGGCACCGTACCGATACCACCGATCTTGTAGACATCTTGCAATGGCAATCTCAATGGCTTGTCAGTTGGTCTGGTTGGTGGTTCGATAGCGTCAATGGCTTCCAACAAGGTCTTACCCTTGACGACACCAGCCTTGGTTTCCTTTTCCCAACCCTTGTACCAGGAAGCGTTGGTGGTGGCTTCAATCATGTTGTCACCGTTCCAACCAGAGATTGGGACAAATGGAACAGTCTTTGGGTTGTAACCGACCTTCTTGATGAAGTTGGAGGTTTCCTTAACGATTTCAGCGAATCTGGATTCATCCCACTTGACAGAGTCCATCTTGTTGACAGCAACAATCAATTGTCTAACACCTAGGGTGAAAGCCAATAGAGCGTGTTCTCTGGTTTGACCATCCTTGGAGATACCGGCTTCGAATTCACCGACACCACCAGCAATAATCAAGATAGCACAGTCAGCTTGAGAAGTACCAGTAATCATGTTCTTGATGAAATCTCTGTGACCTGGGGCATCGATAACGGTGACGTGGTACTTTGGAGTTTCAAACTTCCACAAAGCGATATCGATAGTGATACCTCTTTCTCTTTCAGCCTTCAACTTGTCCAAAACCCAAGCGTACTTGAAAGAACCCTTACCCAATTCAGCGGCTTCCTTCTCGAACTTTTCGATAGTTCTCTTGTCAATACCACCACACTTGTAAATCAAGTGACCGGTGGTAGTAGACTTACCGGAATCGACGTGACCAATAACGACGACGTTAACGTGTTGCTTGTCCTTACCCATTGCTATATTAGTTCAAGTTAGTTATCTGTGCTGAACTTTCTACAAAAGAGGAATTTAACAAGAAGTGGAAAGTTTTCAAGAGAAGTTTTAAAAACCCAAGCTGCTTAAATATCTTATTCCATCGATGAATTTTTTTCAAATTTTTTCTTCAAACTCATCGCATTGAAAAAAAAAAATTTTTCAGTTGAAAAAAGAAACAATAAAAAGCAATAATAGCAATAAGTGATGGAGGAGGTACTCTCTCAACGGGTGGCCAACTAGGAAGCAGCACTTACAGGGGTACTCCTTACAACTACTAATGTTGATGCTGGCCATTATGAGAGGGTCCCCCATCTGTATTGTCTGTATTGTCTGTATTGTATGACGTTTCTTTTCCTGGAAAAGCAATTCAAGAGCTGGTTACCAGTGCCGTAACGCAAACTTCATCACTTGGTTGGTGACCTATCTACTTATGATGCTAGCGCTGTAGTCATCTATTGTAGGTTTGGTTGAAGACTCTTCATAAGGTTTGTTATGTTGGTATAGCTAAACACTCAAAAATAATATGAAGGTTGGGATTATAGGTGGGATTGGTCCTGAGGCTACCACGCACTACTACATAAGCATTATTAAGCAGTTCCAGGATGCAGTTGGTTCTGACAAAGTTCTCCCCGAGATGGTGGTTGAGAGCATCAATATGTACCACATGTTTGAGATGTTGGAACAGAGACAATATGATGACGTTGCTGAATATTTAGCTCATGCAGCATGTAATCTTCAGAAGGCTGGTGCTGATTTCGGAGTGATGTGCGGCAACACCCCACATATTGTATTCGAAAAGATCCAGGGCAAGACAGATTTACCATTGTTGAGCATGGTCCAGTGTTCATTGGATGTTGCCAGTGCCATGGGGCTTAAGAGATTGGCTTTGTTGGGGACAAAATTCACAATGCAGAACGATTTCTTTAAGAGGCCTTTTGAAATGGCCGGCATTAGCATATACACACCTTCTCCAGTAGAACAAGAGACAATTCACCAAAAGATAGTAGGTGAACTGGAAAACGGAATAGTAACGCCCGACACTAAAAGTACTCTCCTCACTATCATCAATGGAATGATCAAGGAGCATGGACTTGATGGTGTAATCCTGGGCTGCACGGAACTACCGCTCATTTTAAATCAAAGGGACTTCTCCATCGAAGTTCTGGATATTGCCAAGGAACATATTAACGCAATTGTAAAGAAACTCTCTTGCTAGTCAATGTTATATCCAGCAGCAAGAGCACTAACTGCATTATCGCATACAAATGGCATTGAGTGTCACGTGATGCAGTGCTTTCTGACATATATAATATCTGGTTTCGCTTCTGATATTGTTACTGTAGTCTTGAGTATTCAGGAGACTACCCAAATATGCCTCAGATAATGTAGCTTTTGCTTATTATTCCTTGAGAAGGATTGATATTACCATTACAGTAGGCTAGGTTCCTTCTTTTGTGTCATATTCTTGAACATTTCTGTATTAGTATTATTTCTATAAAATAGTAACTACATAATGGTTACAAAGGAGCCTGCAGTTATGCTAATTCGTGTCCAGACTATCTAGGATATCATTCTGCTCTTCCATATCTCTATAAAAGGGACTTTGTTGGTTTGTTGAAACTGCCGAATATTGAGCCCTCGAGTTGTTCTTGGTTAGGAGCCCGCCTACAACACTGCCAACAAATCTAAAGGTCCCACCAAAAACTTTCATCGGTATCGTTTTCCATAAGCTACGGTTGTGTCTATTCATTTCCCATCTCATATCGTCTCTTGCAAAAGAGGTAGTTGAGGAGGAGTAATTGTCATGTAGTCTTACAGATTTCACCGATCCATCCTTGAACAGCCACTTCCTGCAGGCATATTCGACCATAAAGAAGATGACAATGATACTGATGAAGATACCATAAACGTTGACTTCGTTAGTCTTGTTTGATGTCGGACAAGCATAGACGCTTCTAATCTCGAAGAAGTAAGAGCACTCATGGAGGTTTCCAACGTATGAAATCTGTGCTTTTGAGCTCACAGTCTTGTCACATATGAAGTTTAACAATGTTGCTTTACGATCTTTGCCGTTGGGACACATTGACCCATTTTCGTACTTCAATGTGAGCACTCTTGTGTCATATATACCAGTTAGGCGAGGTTCACTACTGAAGTCACCGATCGATACATATTTCATGGTATAACCATGTTCGGTGTCGTTCACCACATAGAAAGCGCCTGTGGTGTTGGATAGTTGGTCTTTCTCTTCCTTGCTCACCACTGGGGATGAGCACACACTGAGTGTGAAATTTGTCTTGCCTTCCCAGTCCTTCACTAGCCAACGAGTCTTGTTGCTCTTAGTCTTCTTGTTGTTCCTTCTCTGGGTCATCTGGAATTCTTCATTAGGGCTAGTAGACAGCTGCGAGAGGTCAATATAAGTACCCGTTAGGGGGTTCATGACTGCACAAAATGGCTTCTCATTGTCCTCAGCTTTTGCTGCCTTGATGGGCAGGCAGGATAGAAGCAATAATAGGCACGATAGTAGCATGCTTTTCACTGCATTAAATATTGTTGTGGCTAGTTCTTGTGAATATGTGCAGATATAAGAATTCTAATAATACTACATTTTATACATTGCCGTTTTTGCCAGTTTCTTCACGTTAGGCAAATCATCTTGTTCCTTAATCAGTAGGGGAGGACATTTTGAAGACCAAAACGTTAAAAACCAGCAAGTAATATTTTATCGTCGGCACACAATGAAGAACGGTTTAACAAGTCTAGGCTAACACCAATGCCTGGAACGAGGATGCTCTGTATACACTTTGTGTCAAGTGTTCACGATGCAGCGAGTATATTTATATAACCACTAGTTCAAAAAAAGAAGAAAGAGCTTTGTGTGCAGAGCTATAGCATGTATATACTAGTATGTAGGGAGTAGGACAATGCACCAGGACTCTAGCACCGAGGAACGGATGTTCCAGTTTGACGAAGAGATGGGCGATGGACTGGACGCTCAGCTCGACCTGTTGTTTCAACAGACTGCGCGCGTAGAGAAGATTATAGAGTTCAATGAGCGGGACTTGGCACAGCAGGAACTTGACTGTACTATACCGGCACTGGACACCAAGGTCAAATGGTATAGGAAGTATGTGAGGATAATGTTAGACAAGTGGTTGCTGATCAAGGTCCGGTGCTACTCTCAAGGGCAAAAGCAAGAGCAAAAGCAAAAGCAAGAACAAGAGCAAGAACAAGAGCAAGAGCAAGGGCAACACAAATCTACACAGTGCACCGTAACCAAAACGCTGTCATCATTAGTACTGGATGTCCAGGGTCCAATGAGTAACCGGCACGAGTTCGAAGCTGGTAGCTATAGCTATGAACACGCCCATCCCAGTTCCACGGACGCCGATGCGGAGAGCATAGTCACAGACGAGAGCGAGCTGCAACACACGAGGGCCACCACCAGCAACTACCGTGCACTAGGACAGTGTCAGGGACAGAGTCAGGGACAGAGTCAGGGGCCGCCCAACATACTTCACGACAGGGATAAAGAAGCACCACGTGGCAGAACAAGACACAGGTCACGGTATACCCCTGTACGACACGCATCATGTGGCAATCGGTGATCTACAGATTGAGCGACGGCCCGGAGCACCTGGCTGATTTACCATATGATGTGCAACGGAGTGTATCACATGACACAGTTGAGTGACGGAAAGAGGAAAAACTCAAATAAAGATGCCGTGCCAGTTGTCAGCGAAAAGACGGTTCGCCCAAGCGTGTGACCAGCGACAGGGGCAAGGGGCAGGGACAGCGAGAGTAAGCCCAGCACTGCTCCCCCGAGGAGAGCCGTATAGGTTCTGGAACTTTTTTGGACTTCTGGAACTTCTGGAACTTCTGGGAACTCGCTCCCACACAGAAGAAATCGCACCGTGCTAGACCGGATCAGAAGGGATATCAGCAGGGATCGCAGTCGCGGAGTAACGGCCGTACACACTCTCTCGTCACAACTGGAAAGAACAACCGACGGGCCGGATCGGAACATAAATTGCTTTTTTCCTGCCCTTCCTTTTTTCTGATGCTCATACGTGCTGCTCTGTGCTTGCAGCGCAATTTGTAGATCTGTTGTACGCGTGTTTCTCAAGCACCAACCCAGTCAACTTTGAGCTTAACTGCCTCACTATTAATAATATCCGCATCTCACAAATAACCAATTTTGCTGATTCTGTCTAGTGCCACTTGTCACTTGCCAGTGCCAGTGCCAGTGCTCACTTGCCAGGTTTGCTGCTTAAAGAATTCCGCTCTTCATACACATCCTACACTCCCTTAAGGAGGGAAGTACAAACAAGAAGTGTTCGCCCATTCTCTCTCACATGATGTGTAAAGAAAAGTGAAAATCAGCAATAATAGCTTCTGACTATGACTATCTGTATTGACAGCAATAATAGCTTTCGGGATAGCATGCAAAAAAAAATTTATATATAAACAGAGGTCTTTTTGAAATGTTAGATCAATTTCTAATTAAACATTTTGTAGATCCTACATAACTCATACAACAAACAACAAACACATACAAAAACAAACACAATGGCTAACGATTGCAAATGTCCTAACGGTTGCTCCTGTCCAAACTGCGCCAACGGTGGCTGCCAGTGCGGTGACAAGTGCGAGTGCAAGAAGCAGAGCTGTCACGGCTGCGGTGAACAATGCAAGTGCGGTTCCCACGGTTCCAGCTGTCACGGTTCTTGTGGATGCGGTGACAAGTGTGAGTGCAAGTAATTGCATTAACAACTAAAGCAAAATACTAGATAAATAATATAAAAAAACGACAAGAAAACACAACAAAACAGCACAAGTTGCGGTTTTCTATAACGATTAGATTCTATGCATTCACGATCGCTAATTTAGCAACATATTATACATAACTTTCACATACATTTACCCTCTAATAAAATTTCACTTAATATAATATCCTACCCAAAAGCTATATTTAGAAACAGGTCGCTCACGATCCACGCTTCCACGACGAAAGGGCCCTTCTCTTTCTCTCACGCGTGACTTGTACGGGTGATTTACTAGGCCCCCCCATGCAGCATTAAAAAAAAAATGCAATAGATAATTATATATAAGAATCAACAGCTCATCGCATGCTATTCGGTGATCCTGGAGTTCGCATTGAAGCAGAGGAGTCTACAGATATAAGTCATGAGTTCTGTATCGCAGTCCGTGTCTATACCGCAGCCTTCACAGACGTACAGCCGGGGTGCTGACGGTTGTGTGGTGTGCCCCACTTCCGTGGCGTGTCCTACTTGCGCAGAGGACGAGAACTGTGTGCTCACGGCGCTGACCTGTGACACATGCCCTTACACATACTGTGCGAAGAAGTCCAGTCTCGCGATCGGGAGTCTCTCCGGCGTGGACGCCAACGGTAACGCCCTGAATGCGACGAACAGCTCTGGGAGCTCGACGAACTCCCACAAGGGCCGTGTGAATATACCGGGGATCGTGTCCGGTAGTGTTGTCGGGTTCCTTGTGCTGGTGCTGGTGCTGGTGATAGTGTACTTCTGGAAGAGAAGGAAGCGGTTCGCCAGGGAGGGCAAGCTGCGTGCGTACAAGCTGAGCAGGGGCCGCAGGGGCCCCAACAGGGTCGGTGGTAAGAACAGCGGGGATGGCGAAGACGGCGAAGATGGTGCTGGAGGTGATGGGATCAAATGGGACTCCGACATTGAGAACGAGCTGGATGATGATGACCTAGACCTGGATATAGACGACGATGACGATGACGAAGATGACGACGACGACGAAGACGACGAAGACGATATCGATGACGGGGCGGGACCAAGACACCTGTATGCTGCCCAGCCTCATATGCGACAACGGCTGAAAGACATAGTGGAGGAAGGAGATGACATGAATGTGAGCGGTCCCGTGGGTCTAGATGCGCTGCGGAATGGTCAAACAGTGGAGCAGTTCAGGCTGAGGCCCATGCGTCCGTTGAAGGCAGCGAGCGACGCACAGAGTATATACAGTAACAACACAGTGCACACGAAGGCGTCGTCGAATGTGTTGCCGATTGCTTATATTCCGGGTGTTACCATCAACCAGATGCAACCGCATGTGAAGCCTGGATATAGGCCGCACAGTCGTGCTGTGAGGGGCCGGCTGAACCACGACGACGTGCGCTCACACATCACATTGGGGTCGTCTATACTGGGTAGCGAGGACAACTTTGACCTCGAGTTTGACCATAGTGTCACTCCGGTTCCAGTGAAGCCGGAGATGGAGAAAGCGGAGAAGCCTGCCACGAACCTGACCACTGCGATACGTGCCAAGCCTCGGCTAATAACAATCGATGGCAAGGACCCACAAGACGCCAGTGAAGGTATGCCAGAAGAGACGCAAGATGTGCAAGTGCCAGAGCAGCACGATGATGTGCATAGCAGTGGGTCCAGCACGGAGAGTTTCACCATAGACCTGGACATATCACTGCCGGAAGACGAGTCGCCCTTTGGAGACCAGCACCAGATAGTTAACTAAAAGCTGACACCTAGAGATCTCACAGATTCTCGACCCATATAAAATACATATTCTCGATTATAACAATGGTTTACGTAATTCTTTCCTGGAACAGTACAGGAACATAATGGGGGGGGGATAGTGAAGCAAGATATAACACCGCTCTGTAACAGGGCGGTGTTATATCTTAACAAATTGTAAGCCCGCCTCCTCAGTCAACTACGCACAATAATAAAAATAGTTGCACAGAAATGAACGCACCGCACAGAAAATAAAACGCTAATAGCGCGGTGTTTTATCCCCAGAGACCGTGCGGCCGTTCACCGGGGAAAACCTTGCGGTGTTTTCAGAGCCTTTGGGAGACAAAACGCGGTCGGTGTGTCAGACAGAATCGGTGCTATGCCTACAGACGTACGAACTCTCGTACATCAGAACCACAGAAAATCCTGCTACTTGCGCACCCCCCCCCCTCCCCCTATACCACCTGCACAAGAGTGCACAGTAACAGCAGAGTGAGAGACACGAAAAGCAATACTTAGAAACACCTGCAGCCACCCGTACCCACAACACTAATGACCCCCCCCTGTACAGTACCCCTTACATCACCACCCCTGATAAGTCCCCTATAACCCCTATTAGCAGCAAATCCCAAACCCAAAACCCAAATCCCAAACCCAAATCAATCGAACTACAAGCACTAACAAGCTACTAGCAAGCTACTAGCAAACTGCTTTCTCTGCTAAGCAAACTCTAAGCAAACTGCTATAGATGGCAAGACACAGATGGCATCCCCTATAGTATGGATATCACTTTGTACAGTATGACACATCAGGTCTTCTGGGCCCTGCTTAATGAAAACCGGGTTCGAGGATGCGAGCAAGTGTGTACCTCCTATGCATTCTAATCAACTGCAATCGATTGAATTGATTCCAGTGGCCAATTGGGAAAATCTTTTGAGGGGGATCACAGAGATAAAAAAAATTTTGAAATCATATATATTGGGTGGTTTTCCCCTTGGGTAATCATTTTAATTCCTTTTCAAGGTTTGGGAAGTAGAAGAAAAAAAGACAAGCAAAACAAAATCACACAACACATAATCAAAATGTCTTTCGGTGAAATTGATAAGCTAGCTGTTTCCACTATCAGATTGCTATCTGTTGACCAAGTCTCCAAGGCTAACTCTGGTCACCCTGGTGCCCCATTGGGTATGGCTCCTGCTGCCCACGTCGTCTGGTCCCAGATGAGAACCAACCCAAAGAACCCAGACTGGATCGCCAGAGACAGATTTGTGTTGTCTAACGGTCACGCCTGTGCTTTGCTGTACTCCATGTTGCACTTGACTGGCTTCGACTTCTCCATCGACGACTTGAAGAACTTCAGACAATTGAACTCCAGATGTCCAGGTCACCCTGAATTCGAGTTGCCAGGTGTCGAAGTCACCACCGGTCCATTGGGTCAAGGTATCTCCAACGCTGTCGGTATGGCCATCGCCCAAGCCAACTTCGCCGCTACTTACAACAAGCCAGACTTCACCTTGTCTGACTCTTACGTCTACACTTTCTTGGGTGACGGTTGTCTGCAAGAAGGTGTCTCTTCCGAAGCCTGCTCTTTGGCCGGTCACTTGAAGCTAGGTAACATCATTGCCATCTACGACGACAACAAGATCACCATCGATGGTAACACCACCGTCTCCTTCGATGAAGACGTCTGCAAGAGATACGAAGCCTACGGCTGGGAAGTCCTACACGTCGAGAACGGTAACGAGGACCTAAACGCCATCGCTCAAGCCGTCAACAAGGCTAAGCAATCCAAGGACAAGCCAACCTTGATCAAGATGACCACCACCATCGGTTACGGTTCCCTAAACGCTGGCTCTCACTCCGTCCACGGTTCCCCATTGAAGGAAGACGACTTGAAGCAACTAAGAAAGAAGTTCGGTTTCGACCCAGAGAAGTCCTTCGTCGTCCCACAAGAAGTCTACGACTACTACCAAGCCAAGATCGCCACCCCAGGTGCCAAGGCTAACCAAGAATGGGACGCCAAGTTCGCCAAGTACCAACAAAAGTACCCAGAACAGGGTAAGGAATTGGCTAGAAGATTGGCCGGTGAATTGCCAGCTGGCTGGTGCTCTAAGTTGCCAACTTACACTCCAGCTGACTCCGCCGTCGCTACCAGAAAGTTGTCCGAAATCGTCTTCCAAAGCATCTACGATGAATTGCCAGAAATGATCGGTGGTTCCGCTGACTTGACCCCATCCAACTTGACCAGATGGAAGGAGGCCGTCGACTTCCAACCACCATCCTCCGGCTTGGGTGACTACTCCGGTAGATACATCAGATACGGTATCAGAGAACACGGTATGGCCGCTATCATGAACGGTATCTCCGCCTTCGGTGCCAACTACAAGGCTTACGGTGGTACTTTCTTGAACTTCGTTTCCTACGCCGCCGGTGCCGTCAGATTGTCCGCTCTATCCGGCCACCCAGTCATCTACGTTGCCACCCACGACTCCATCGGTGTCGGTGAGGATGGTCCAACCCATCAACCTATCGAAACCTTGGCTCACTTCAGAGCTTTGCCAAACTTGCACGTCTGGAGACCAGCTGACGGTAACGAAACCTCCGCTGCTTACAAGGTCGCTTTGGAATCCAAGCACACCCCATCCGTCATTGCCCTATCCAGACAAAACTTGCCACAATTGGAAGGTTCCTCTGTTGAAAAGGCTCTAAAGGGTGGTTACGTCTTGAAGGAAGCCAACAACGCCGACATCACTTTGGTCTCTACCGGTTCCGAAGTTTACTTGACCGTTGACGCTGTCAAGGTCTTGGCTGCTAAGGGTATCACCGCCCGTGTTGTCTCCTTGCCAGACTTCCTAGCCTTCGACCAACAACCAGAAGATTACAAGTTGTCCGTCCTACCAGACGGTGCTCCAGTCATGTCTGTCGAAGTCTTGTCCACCAAGAGTTGGGGTAAGTACGCTCACGAATCTTTCGGTATCGACAGATTCGGTGCTTCCGGTAAGGCACCAGAAGTTTACGACTACTTCGGCTTCACTCCAGAAGGTATCGCTGAAAGAGCTGAAAAGGTCGTTAAGTTCTACCACGGCCAAAAGCTATCTTCTCCATTGAAGAAGGCTCTATAAATTTGACATGTTCTTTTTTAAGTTTTCAATATGAATTTGACGCGATTCCCTAGCCGAATAATTCAATATTTCATGATCAGAGTGTTCGCTGGGTAGAGGTGACTTAACGGTTGTAATATTTCGATGATACAGCGATCTATTTCTCAGGTTTTAAATGCAATTTCAAATTTTTTTTTTGAGATTCTTTAAAACAGTCTTCTTTTCACTCAAATTTACTTTATGTGCTTCGATACTGGCTTATCAAACACTGTAATTTGGTTTGATGTGTTGTTTGAATTATTCAAAATGTTGAAATAGAGCTGTTCATAGTAGTTTATAAAAGTTAGTTTCCTTTACGCAATCAAATTTCAATCTATTTAGTACTGATAACAAAAACATTTTCAAATTTATATATATCGTCCTTTTATAGTTTGTATTTTCTACTCTTTTTTCATCATACGGTTTTATAGCAGTAATTTCCACAAGAACAAATATACAATGTATTAAGTGCTACAGTTGTGTTTTTATACAAATGCCTTCTATTCACTATCGCAATGCAAAAAAACATGCATTACATGTAAATGGGGGATTATTAACTTTGGGTACACTGAAATCTGCCAGATCCTAAATCGATCACTGCCATTGAGAAATGACAGCAACATAAAAAGACGAATTGCAAAGTGAACGCGAATTTGATGATATACAGAAACAACAACCAAAAATTATCTCTTAAGACTAACCGAATCTTAAGCATGACCAGAGCTAAATATATAATGATTAAAATTTATACCTAAAATGTCCTCAAATTCAGGAACCAATAAAAAGTCATGAACAGTTTATCCACAAAACCTGACAATGAAATCGTCAATTGCGAAGAAAGAAAATGTCCTGCCCCACCCCCCCCAGCCCCACTAAGATTACTCTGGCCTTATCTCTACTGTACATCAAATCAAGCAGCATTTCCTGGGCTAGTTTGAGCTAACATTTGCTGTCCCTTGCCCCTCGAGACATTTCTATATTTCTGCAATAAATTGTTGTCTTAATATCCAGCAATTGCTTTCATTAGTAGGGCACACCGGATTTAATGGATATACAAAAAATATGTGGGTCATGAATACTGGTAAAAGAAGATCAGTGCACGGCTAAAACAAGTACATACAAGACAGTTCTGTGCATTGTAATTCCCATTGAACTGAAGAACAATAGGAGCTGCTCTTGCTGTGATAATCGTTCTCCTTTTAGTATGCCATCGATGAGGTCAAACAATGCTGAAAGAAAAAACCGTGCGTTAATCCCTAGTCTTCCTCGAGAAAGTAATACCTCCAGATAATAGAGCCTTTCTTGAAGTCTGGGGAAGCCAAACCCTGGCACATTCGTATATATATCGGTTGTAGAAGTCGATGCCCATTTGATGGCCTCTTTGTAGCACTCGATGACATAATAAGCGTTTCTTTCAATTTTCAATTTGCAAACTGAAAAATACTTATAAGTAGAGCTTAAATTTAAGAGTCACCCATCTTTTCATTGAGAACAAGACAACTATAGTGTATACACCACAACAGACACAATCATGACAACAGATAAAAAGCTTTCAGTTGCATTCGTTTGCCTCGGAAATATCTGTAGATCGCCCATGGCAGAAGCTGTATTCAAACATACTGTTAAGGAGAACAATTTGGAAAGTCGATTTGAAAAGATTGACTCGTTTGGCACTGCTGGTTACCACGTAGGAGAATCTCCAGACTCTAGATCTTCTTCTACATGCAGGTCTCATGGCGTGCCTGTTAATCACAGGGCTCAACAGATCAGAGCGCACCATTTCAATGAGTTTGACTACATCATTTGCATGGATGAGTCCAACTACAAGAGTCTAGAGAGGATAAAACCCAAGGGTTCCAGAGCACAGATATTTTTGTTTGGCAATTGGAACACTGACTCAAAGTTCAAGAAGATCGTGGATGATCCATACTATGGGGGTAAAGAAGGATTTGAATATAACTTTCAACAAGTAACTTATTTCAGTAATGAGTTTTTGAAACAGGAATTGGTTTAAATAGAGGAATTGAGATCGAGTACTTTTTTTCCTCAGTGCTAGACTTACATTTTTATTACTATATCCTGAATGTTATGTTTTCATTATAGAACTTGATGCCCTTTGGCCAATAGTAAAACAAACTGACAGGATTAAAAAGGTACGCCTTAAAGAAATAGGCTCCATACGCACATACACGTATATGACTGGGTTTAGTGTATATACATATGATAGCTTTTGTCGGTCATATAAAAGTACGCTCACCATTGTTCCCATCACTAAATTATTAATACTCATAGAGAAGAAAGATTAGAGCATCTTTTAAATACCGCTATAAGTTAGTTGAGAAATACAAATAATTTATATTTATAAACTATATTGGATATGATTAATAGTTACAAGCTTTGGAAAGATTATGCAGGTGTTCTAAAATAAAACTATATTAAGTAATGCCTTTACAAGTGTAATGCTGTTGCAGTATCAAAGCTTTTCAAAGTCTGCTTCGTTATAGACAAAATCGCTTCCGCAACGTCTTGATAGCCAACTCTTTTTAAAATCGAAATATCTCCATGATTCCTCTTCAGATTTAGTCATTCCGGGTGGTAGTTTTTCTATCTCCTTATAGTACCAACACCTGTCTTTCTTATTGAATTGCCAGTTTCTAATTTTTGCTAACTCTCTTGCAGCTAAAAATTGCTCATATGTACCTTGATAATGATAGAAAATAAAGAATAAAGTATCCAGGTCAAACATGTTGAAGATCTTAGCGAGCGATGTCCTGGAATATATATCTTCATGCTTGTTGTTTCTGCCCTCGGAACCATTCTGATGATTAGGTTGAGTTTGTTCGTAAAACGGATATACAAACCTTATAGGCTCGTTTGGGAAAAAAATTGAGGTAGGATGATGCTGAGAGAGTGGCTTTCGATATAAGCTTGGAGAGTCTGCATCCAAAGAATCTGGGCAATTCAACAATGAGGACTCCAGTTGCTGTATCATTGCAGGGGTCATATCTTCGATCGGTTGAAGTAAGTTTCTCTTTGATTCCAGCCAGTATTGGATCTCATCTTTAAACAGCGGGTTGTTCATAGCTGTAGAGTTTAGTTGGATATCCTGTTGAAGAATTTCATTAATTTCTGCTGTTCTGTCTACTGGTTCCACGTAATCATCTTCCTTATCATCATCTTCATCCTCATTATCATCACCTTCGTTATTCGATTGCTCGTCTTCTGCTTGTTTAGTTGGCTTATCTTCGGATTTAATAATTTCTTCAGGCTTGCTCTTATCCGCTTTTGTTTCTTGAGTATCAATGGTCTTTGTCTTGTCAGAAGATTCATTTTTGTTAGCATTGGCTGTTCCAGCCAATGGAGTAGGTGATCTCTTGGCAGCAGAACCTGAGATCTTTGAGCTCTTTTTCGTGGGAGATTTTTTTGGGGTGCTCTTGATGCTTTCCTCTTGCTGTGCAGCGATGGCGGCTTTGTTCAACTCGCATCCTATATCTTCGTATATTGTCTCGTACTCAATGAAATCTGGGTCGTCGTTGTTTTCGACATAGTATTTGATATCGTCATGGAACTCATTGAGCTTATCTGGGTCTAGTTCGTTGTTTTGCAACAGCTTCAAGATGTTTTCCAAGTTCGCTATGTGGAATTCGTGTCTCTCTATCTGGTGCTCATTGTCTTCCTGTGCTTCCAGACTCTCCAGTTGCTTCGTCAATTCGTCGATACACTCGTGGATAAAGAGGGACTCGTCTCTCTTGCGCAGCTCGCGCGGGTCCTTGATGATATCCGGGTTGGTCAGCGCCTCCTTCGAGAACTGCTTCGTCTTCATCAGCTTCTCTATCTGCTTGAACTTCTCCATATCGTTCTCGATCAGCTTCCGCGTCTCCATCAGCACCGTGTCCTTGTCCTTCACATCCTCTTTGCTCAACCACGTCTTCACCTGGTCCCGCTGCTTCTGCAGCTTCTTGATCTCCCGCTTCAAGTCCCCTTCCAGCTTCTCACGGTAGCTGATGTTCGAGGACTCAGTGCCTTGAAACTTCTCATATATAGAGTCGAACTCCTCCAGCCCTTCCTTCACTTTCTTCAAAAGCTTGTCAATCTCCTGCTGTAACTTCCTCTGCGACATCGCTATTTTTCGATTACTTTACTTTTAACCACCACCCTTGCACTGAGAAATCCCTACGTAAAGAGCTTCACTACTTGTGCGTTTAATATCTGTATCTATGGACCAGTGTTGCTCAGCGCAATACCGATTGAGTTTTGAGTTTTGAGTTTTGAGCTTTGAGTTTTGAGATTGGGATTGGGATTGGGATGTGAGTGCGAGTTAGAGTTAGAGAGAGCTTCGAAGCGATTTTTTGGCAAAAGATACAGGAATGAGCGTCTCACACGGCACCAATCAGGTGTATGTGCCGTGTAGAGTGTCTAGATGCAATTATATACTACTATACGGCCAATCATCTGATGTGCCGTATAGTCTGATGTACGTATATACGGATAGAGCACATGATGTACGTACGTACTGATAAACAAACCTGTCTCTTTTACGTCCATAATGATCTCAGTAGTGTCTCTCTCTCTTCTGCAAATTCGCAATTCGCAGCTTTGCTGGGTTTCTTTTCAGTTGTCTGTCTATCAGTTGTCTGTCTATCAGTGGTGTTGCCAATGTTTCTCTGGCTGTTGCTTTGCTGTTGGGTTGAATGTCATTTGCTTTCTGTAAGAAAGCTTCGGATTGCTTTTCCTATCTGTTTATCATTCGCACTTGTCAACAATCCCACAATCAATCTTTTCTTCGCTTCCTTCTCGCCCTCTCTCGCTCTCTCTCTTTTATAGCCCTTTTAGCATTTTAAACTATTTCAATTGCATATTACTTCTCCCTCTCTCTTTGCGAAAACTAGATAACCACGCTTAAGAATAATGGAGAACAGTACCACTAACACTGATACCTCCGTTATGGCTACCACTCCTAGTGCAGTAGCAGCTGCAGCAGCAGCTGCTACAACTGGCAATGCTAGTGCTAATGCTACTACAACTACAACTACAACTGCTAATGCCACAAACGAACAGCAACTGGATCCGCTCACACAGTCTACTGCTGAGACTTGGCTGTCTATAGCCTCGCTCGCTGAGACGCTCGGCGACGCAGACAGGGCTGCCATGGCCTACGATGCGACTTTGCAGCACAATGCGTCCTCTACGAAGGGACTCACCTCGCTGGCACACTTGTACAGGTCCCGGGACATGTTCCAGAAGGCCGCGGAGCTGTACGAGTGCGCACTGCAGGTCAACCCCGAGCTGAGCGACGTGTGGGCTACGCTCGGCCACTGCTACCTGATGCTCGACGACTTGCAGCGGGCCTACAACGCCTACCAGCAAGCCCTGTACCACCTGAGCAACCCTAACGTGCCGAAGTTGTGGCACGGAATCGGTATCCTCTACGACAGATACGGCTCCCTCGACTACGCTGAAGAAGCGTTCGCAAAAGTCCTCGAACTCGACCCACACTTCGAAAAGGCCAACGAGATCTACTTCAGACTCGGCATCATCTACAAGCACCAGGGCAAGTGGTCGCAGGCCCTCGAGTGCTTCAGGTACATCCTCGCCCAGCCCCCTACCCCGCTGCAGGAGTGGGACATCTGGTTCCAATTGGGTAGCGTCCTCGAGAGCATGGGCGAATGGCAAGGCGCCCGTGAGGCCTACGAACACGTCCTCTTGCAGAACGACCACCACGCAAAGGTCTTCCAGCAACTGGGTTGCCTGTACGGTATGAACAACGTCCAGTTCTACGACCCGCAAAAGGCCCTGAGCTACCTGTTGAAGTCTCTAGAGGTTGACCCATCCGACGCCACTACCTGGTACCACCTGGGCAGAGTCCACATGATAAGATCGGACTACACAGCCGCATACGACGCCTTCCAACAGGCTGTCAACAGAGACTCCAGAAACCCTATCTTCTGGTGCTCCATCGGTGTGCTGTACTACCAAATTTCTCAGTACAGAGACGCCCTGGACGCTTACACAAGAGCAATCAGACTAAACCCTTACATCAGCGAAGTCTGGTATGACCTGGGTACATTATACGAAACTTGCAACAACCAGCTCTCTGACGCCTTGGACGCTTACAAACAAGCAGCAAGATTGGACCCAGAAAACATCCACATCAGAAAGAGGCTAGAGACTTTGACTGCCCAATTGGAAAACCCACAAGAGGCCGCCGCACTACAGCAGCAGCAACAACAGCAACAGCTCTCCACACCATCAAACGGTAACGTGATACTATCGAATAACTCTCAACAACAAGAATTCAACCAAGGCAGCGTACAGATGATGATAAACAACAACGCTAATGCTAGCCCACCGGTAATGTTACAACCAACTTTACAAGTTACTGACCAAGTGAACCCGCTAAATGTAAGGCCAGCATACCCAGCAGACCAACAACCTCAGCAACCACAACAACTATACTCCGGTGCACCTCTACAACAGCCACCACAAACACAACAGCCACCTCATACTGAGACACAACCTCTACAACAACCTGTGGCACCTCCATCTCTACCTCCTACTCAAATTCCAAATACTCTTCCACAACAACCATTGCCATCACAACAACAGGCAAACTTACTTCCAAAAGCTAATCCTATGGATATCAGTAATGCTAATAACCAGATCCCACCCAGGAATCCAGATATCCCCAGTGCAGAACAAGCGGAACCAGCATATACTGCTGGAGCTCATCAACAATCAGTGGGTGCAGCTCAACCAGAGGCTCCTGAGTCAGTGGGTGCTGCTCCAAAGCCCGATATTTTGAACCAACCAGAGGCTCCAAAGACCGAAGATAACCAATTACCACAAGCTAATATTCCTGAAATCAAGCCAATGGAAGTACAAAATCCTACTACTCAAGAAACCGAAACTCATCAACTACCAAGAATTCAACCAAATGCAGCACCACAGACACTACCAGAAAACGGAAGTATCAATGCCCTAGTTAATGCTGCTGTTTCAAGTGCTCCAGCCCCAACAAACAAGAATGAAAGAGAACCAGATGCTAATGAAGTAGAGCCAGCACAGAAGAGACAGAAACTGGATGATAGCCCTGAAGCTCCTCAGGCTACGGAATCAGCACCAGAATCAGTACCAGAATCAGCACCAGAATCAGCACCAGAATCAAACATTGAGCCAACTAATCAAGAAAAGGAGGATCTAGCAAAAGAAACTACACCTACCGAGAATACCGAAAGTGCCAAATCGGTCAAACAAGAACAACAAACACAACAAGAAGTATCAGAACCACCTGTTGAAAATGGTCAAGAAGAAACCACAACCTCCTTGCCAGTTCCTGCAACTGAGGAAACGAACCACAACAACGAAACTGTTGGAACTGCCGAAGACTTGAAGGATGAAGCCATGCATGATGCTACACAAGATGGAGAAAAGCACCAAGCAGTCGAGGAATCTGTCACAACTGATCTACCATCCACTGAACAAGAAAAACATTTAGACGAACCAGCACAAAAGTCTGAAGTAGAAGAAAATACTAGAGCAGAGACTGCTGGATATGAAGAACCATCTGACCTTCCAGATGCACAAAAATCTTCCGAAACAACTGGAACAACCGAAACAGCTGAAGCTGAACACACGGAAGTTACTAATGTGCCAAGTGAAGTTGAAACATCTGAAACGGCTAAGCCTGCAGAAACAACTGCAGATCAGCTAACGGGTGAAATAAACCAGGAGAAACAAATAGAACAACCTTCTGAGGCGTCAGAATCTGTTCCTGAAGAAAAGACTGAAGTAGAACAACCAAAGCCAGCTGAAGAAGATTCCAAAGGAAATGATACGCCACAAGAAGAAGTATCCATTTCAAATACTGAAACGACAATGGCGGATGAATCATCCACCCAACCTGTTAAGGACTCAACTGAGACTAACCAAAACGACCCTGCAGATAACATGACTGAAGAGTCTCACGGCCAGGACTCAACAATCGATGAAGCCGACAAAGGCAGTATCGAGGAGAACAAAGATACACCAAATGAGGACTTTCAAAAGTTACAAGAAGGAACATCAACAGATGAAAAAATTAACAATGACGAAGAGATGAAAGAAGAAAATGATGAGCCAAAAATTACTACTACAAATGAAAATACTGAGCAGAATGATTCTGTCAATGGCGAAGTTCAAACAAATGGCACAACTGAGGTTGAAGAGGCTGCTGATGAAACTGTGATCAAACCAACTGCAGAAGCCTTGGAGAAATTAGAAGAAGAAGCAAAGTTGAGAGAAGAGGAAGAGAAAGAGCGTCTAAACAATGAGAACAACGAAGATAACAAAACAGAAGTTACTAAAGATGCTGTGGTAAGAGAGGTTGAGGAAGATGAAAATTACGATGATTAGATCCGCAGATTCACAATCATGATGTAATCATTTATTTGCATGTTCCCTTTGTTTTTGGAGCGTTATGTTGACATGAATTTCTTTGAGTGCTGTCTATTTGTGAATACTTAAAGACCATTATTGAAGTTTAAAATGGCTGAATTAGAGAATTCGGCATTATCAGACTATAAATACTTATTGATTTCCTGAAATCGTTGTTTTATTATTATAAATATATCTATGTATTATAAGGTAGTAACCAAATGCAGAAGTTTTTTTTTATATTTATTAATACAAACTAAACTAACTGAAAACATTAAAAAGATCCTCGACAAATTTAGCCCATTTATCTTTATCATCATAAAAACTGCAAGAACCCAGTCCTTTGAATGAAACATGATCCTCGTTTACCAATAAAACAGGTATATTACCTTCTTCACCAGATTGTGAGTCACTATCGTCGTCATTAATAGCCTCTTCATCAATATCCATTTTGTCATCATTGATTATATTGCTTCCCTCCATCAACTCCTGTTGCCCAATAAAGGACTCTGAATTATTTGAAATATTTAAGTTGTCTGGTTTTTGATCCGGTTCAGTCGTGGTATCAGCCATAATTTCATGAAGACTGAACTGCTGCAAACCTTCATCCTTGAAAACTACTGCCTCAGACATACTTGGTCTCTTAGCTTTGTTTGAAGATCTCCTTCTTCTCTGCAAAGACATGGAATTTCTTTGCATGAATGATGCGTTCTTATTTGTAGGCCCTTTCATTATTTCTGGATTAGTGTTTTCGACTGTGAATTCATCCTTTGTGTTTGCTATATCTGCTCTAATATGCTGATCATCATCATCAGAAATCGAACTCACCAATTTCAAATATATTGGTCGTAGAACTGTCCTGTACCAAATAGTCCAATTGAGTATATCTGCAATTAGGTCGAGGTTATCGTTGTTTATATTGAATCGTCTGATTTGTATGAGATCAGTGGTAAAATCATTCATTAATTCAATAGTTTGTTTTTTAGAGGAGCCTAATTCATAAAAGGCATGACATAATACATCAGATACTTTTCTGCTCGTTAGCTGGTCTTTCTCATCAATGAACAGATCTGTTGGCACAAACTCTTTAGGAAACCAGAAAACATCTTCATCTGTGTCATCGAAATTTACCTCAAGAATGAGGTTAACACCCACCGAGTAGTTTTCTGAGTTCTCATTAATCCAAGATCCAGTCTCTGAAGAATAGATGTACTCATAAAATCTTTGTTGTGGGACTTTTGCTCTCTCAAAGTATACTTTGGCTAACGGTCTCGAGCGCATAGAATATCCGTGTGTTTCATATATATATAATCCAAACCTATTGTCCACATTTGCTACAACTTTAAATCTGTTATCACAACTCTCTTTAAAAAATGTATTAATGTATTTCTTCAGCTCTCTAAAATACTTGAAGAGGTTTAGTTTTCCTTCATTGAGTTTAGAGTCCAAGCCATTGCCAGAGGATACAGATTTCTTATCTGTTTTGTTGGTTAGAGATGATCCGTTTGTTCCATTCCCAGATCCCAAGTTGTTTCCAGAAGATATCTGGTTGTCAGACTCTACGCTTGAGTATGTGTCTAATAAGTACAGGAATTCCAAGTTATGGTGGAATTGCTTCAACGAGTCATAATTGGTCAACGAATTGAGCAAAATATTCGACTGTTTGTCCCCTGCTTCTTCCAATTGCTCATTGGAATAGTCAAAGTTATCAAAATTCGATGCGAGCACCAGTTTCACATCCTGCACCGTGCTCTGTGTCTTATTGTAATCAATGTCAATAACAATAATCTTAGAGGCAGTAGAGAGTCGCGATATATCGTTATCCAGCTCATCAATAAACGACTCTAACCCCATAGACTGACATAGCTTCGTGATATTCTCGATGGTAATAGTCCCCGGCTTGTAATCCTTCAACAACCCTATCAGATCCCCCAAAACTTCCACGTACTGATCAGCCATCCTGTCTCCACACCTTGTTGGTCTTGAACTGGTCCCGCTCACTCAAATTCTGATCTCAAAAGGGCTAAATAACCACTAAAATGACTACATTTGAGTTTGAAGTGTCAAGCTTATTACTCGAGACTCGAATTTTAGCACTGTTAACTATGTCGTTACAAGGGATATATCTTTCCAATGAGCCTTGCCCAAAATTTGCGATGAGCTTCAACTTCCCAGCAAACTTTCAGCATATTTCAGTATACTTCAGGAAGTTATGTTGGCATTGGGGGGTTCTGTAGCCATTATTTAGTCCCAAACAGATCAATCGGCGAGAATATACAGATATGAGCGAGATTACACACCCTACTATTGTTGATGGATGGTTCAGAGAGATCTCTGACACCATGTGGCCTGGTCAAGCCATGACTTTGAAAGTCGAGAAGGTCTTGCACCATGAGAAGTCCAAGTACCAGGACGTCTTGATCTTCAAGTCCACCAACTACGGTAACGTTCTTGTTTTGGACAATGTTATCCAGGCCACTGAGCGTGACGAGTTCTCCTACCAGGAGATGATCACCCATTTGGCCATGAACTCTCACCCAAACCCAAAGAAGGTTCTTGTCATTGGTGGTGGTGATGGTGGTGTTCTTAGAGAAGTTGTCAAGCATGAGTGTGTTGAAGAAGCTTGGCTGTGTGACATTGACGAAGCTGTTATCAGATTGTCCAAGGAATACTTGCCAGACATGGCCGGTGTTTACTCTCATCCAAAGGTCAAGACCCACATCGGTGATGGTTTCCAATTCTTGAGAGACTATCAAAACACATTCGATGTTATCATCACTGACTCCAGTGATCCAGAAGGTCCAGCTGAGACTTTGTTTCAACAATCTTACTTCGAGTTGTTGAGAAGTGCTTTGACAGACAAGGGTGTTATTACCACTCAAGCCGAAAGTATGTGGTTGCACTTGCCAATCATCAAGGACTTGAAGAAGGCCTGCTCCCAAGTGTTCCCAGTTGCTGAGTACGCTTACACCACCATCCCAACTTACCCATCTGGTACCATCGGTTTCATGGTCTGCTCTAAGGACGCCTCCGCTAACGTCAAGAAACCACTGCGTGAAATGACTGAAGAACAAGAGAAGAAGTTGCTAAGATACTACAACAAGAGAATCCACGAGTCCTCTTTCGTTCTACCAACCTGGGTTGCCAAGGAATTGGAACTTTAATGTCATTAAATAGTCAATAAGGTGATTTCCCAACTGCCCAAAAATTGATATATAAAAGAGGGAGAATCATGTGAATTCATCTCTATACGCTATAGTACCTACTTAAAATATGTAAATGTAATTAAGAATTCAAAAGACATGGCCCTTTCTAGATGATTTTGAAGTTTTATGATGACTTAAATGGTCGGACTTACAAGCCAATTTATCATCAATTTCCTACAATATTGAACAAACTGCAATAGAAGTAACTTTCGAGTCAAAAACTATGAGTAGCAACTTAATTTGTCTAAAGAAAGTATTTTAGAACTATACTGATTTAAAAAGTATGGTTCAGCTAGTGATCAGTGCATCTCAGTTCCAATCACAAGTGGTCGACCTGCTGCCATGTAATAAGAGACAGAAATCACAATTGATCTACTCAATGTTGGAGAGCTATGGACTTTTAGAATGCTTTGACCATATAATTGATGTGCCTAGTTGTCAAAGGAAGGATCTAGAGAAGTTTCACTCAAAAGACTACCTCAACGTGATACTCGATGAGCAATTGAATTGGAACCCTCAAATCGATGGAAATGAAGATCAGTTAATGGAGCTTCGGAAAGCTTGGAACGATATAACCACCAGCAATGAAGCGTCAAAACCAGATTTCAAAACTTATTCCGAGTTATTGCATTATTATAGGGATCATATTGAAGTTTCTGAACATAATAAGAAGAGGACAGCTCTCGAGGCTGAGCTGTCCGATGTTGAAAGCGGAGATGAAGTTACAAGGCGATCCACGTTGGCCAAATTCAACTTGTTGGATGATTGTCCTATATTCCCATATTTGCCATTGTACTGCTATGTGTCAACGGGCGCAACATTATCGCTAGCACAATACATACTGGAAGGCAGTGAAAGGACCATTGCCATTAACTGGGATGGCGGCAGGCATCACAGTATGAAGACGAAAGCCAGTGGATTTTGCTACATCAACGACATAGCTCTGTTAATTATGACATTGAGACGTGGCGGTGTAGATCGCATTTCTTATGTTGACTTTGATCTTCACCATGGTGATGGAGTTGAGAAAGCGTTCAAGTACAGTAAGCAAGTGCAGACAATCTCATTGCACATGTATGAGACTGGGTTCTTCCCTTGTAGTGGATCTCTCGAGGATAATTCTAGCGGTAAGAGCATCGTCAACATCCCACTCTTACACGGTCTAGATGATTCAACTTTACAAGATATAGCGAAGAGGATTATTGTACCGAGTATATCCAAACATCAACCCAATGTAATTGTAATCCAATGTGGTGGCGATGGCCTGAAAGGCGACAAGTATAGTGAGTGGCAACTATCCATAAAGGGCCTGACATCTACAATTACCTCTTTAATAGAGCAGTTCAATTGCCATATTGTATTGCTTGGTGGAGGTGGGTACAACAACTTGCTAATGAGCAGGTTCTACACATACTTGACCTGGAGCATATGCCACCAATATGCCTCTGAATACAGTACACCCATCGATGATCTGATACAGGACCACTGTTATAGCGACCTGTACAGTCCAGAGCAGTTTAAATTCTGGTATTACGACCAAGAAACTTCAGGAGGCTCGCTCAAAAACTACAATACAACTGCATACATTGAAGACCTAATAAAAAATATACCACTGACATGAGATGTATCCAACGTAGTATAGATAGTAGTATAAACTTAGTCAACAATACATAAACTAACTATAGAAGCATCTAACCGTATTTTCATCACCTTACACGTTAAAATGATCTTCGAAGCCATTTCCTTGAATTTCTGGCAGAATTCCCGTTTCTCACCATGAAATGATAATAATAAACGCAAAGTTTGGGATTAGCAGGCCATATTTGGCAGCAGTTACAGTTTTTAGCGTCATTTGGGCGGTACTTGAATCAGGATACCACTATTTGTGACAACCATAGCGTTTTGGAAAATTTCTAGCTAGACCTTTCTTTTGATAGAATCAGATCGATATTGAAAAGGGGAGTAACAAATAGCAAAGCAACACGGCCCAGGAGTACTGACATTTCACAATACAAGAGAGCCACCTTTTTGCGATACTTAATTTTTCTTTTGAGCTATCCATTGAATTACGCCAGTCAAATACTATATTTTTAACACATTAGGATGTCTTCTAACTTAACTGAGGAACAAATTGCTGAGTTTAAGGAAGCTTTTGCTTTGTTTGACAAGGATAACAATGGATCCATTTCTTCTAGTGAATTGGCCACTGTTATGAGATCCTTAGGGCTTTCTCCAAGTGAAGCTGAAGTCACCGATCTAATGAACGAAATCGATGTTGATGGTAACCACCAAATTGAATTTAGCGAGTTCTTGGCACTAATGTCACGCCAACTAAAGTCTAATGACTCTGAACAAGAACTATTAGAAGCTTTCAAAGTCTTTGACAAGAATGGTGACGGTCTAATCTCTGCTGCTGAATTGAAGCATGTGTTGACCTCTATTGGTGAAAAGCTTACTGACGCTGAAGTGGATGAAATGTTGCGTGAAGTCAGTGATGGCTCTGGTGAAATTAACATCCAACAATTTGCTGCACTATTATCTAAATAAGGAATCAAAAATAAAATAAAAATACCTAAAAAAAAAAGCTCCCCCTCATCACATTAATTATTAGTTACTGAGATTATTATTTTTTTTTTCTATAATTATTCTAATAAATACTGTCTATTCTATTCTATTCTATATTAAAGAGTCCAAAATTTCTTCAGAGAAAGAAGAAATGTTTATTGCAAACAAGAAATTTGATTTCAAGGCTATGGAAGTATTTGAACAGTAAATAAAAGCACTTAGCTCAGCTATGTACAAATGAAGTTAACGTAGGCTTTTTCTTTGGAACCGGTGGAGGAGCTTTACCTTTTAAGGAATCCTTCTTTTTGGGTACCGTTGGTGGCTTTTTCTTTAATGGCTTATTGTGAACCACTTCAGTAGCAGCTTCACCATGAATCTCTCTTTCATAAGAGTTTCCGACAGATTTTAGCTTAATATGTTGCAATTCTGAAGTAATATCTCCAATTCCAATGTTAGATACTGACATTTGACTATTTACTTCTTGGTTAACTTGTTTAGATTCGATGTTATTTTCCTGGATATTATCTTTTCTAATTGGCGGGTCGGGCATTGGCCTGTTACTGGATTGAATTGAGGAAACTGTACTTCGTCTTTGCAAATCCATATTGGTATCCCTAGATGGTGAAATTGGAGTTTGAGGGTTTGGTTGTGTATTCATTTTAGTAGAAGTACTGCGTCTAGGGAGTGGTGGAGTGCCTCTTTTCAAAGTATTCGTAATTGGTGGCCTTTCATTAGCGGAATGACCAGCATATGTGCCATCATAGTAATTGTTTATCTGTTCTATTGAGTTTATCCCTGGGGAAGTCTCAACCACTGAATTTGTACTCATAGATTGGCTGGTGGTTCTTCTAGGTGGTGGAGGCGGGACTGCTCTGGTTGCTGCGCCTGGTGGACCTACTGCAGGAGCAGGTATGTTTCGAATTGAATTATTATTAATATCTGCTGATGCTACGGAACTGCTATCAATAGTAGAATTGTTAGTCTGCATATTTTCATCAATTGTCTCATTTTCTACAGAAGCACGCCCCCTGTCTCTATGGGTTGGCGGAGGCGGTAATGATGATAAGTCCACATTATTCATCGGTATTCGGTTTTGCAATGCCTCATTGGCAGAATTGGTTGAAGTGATCGCAGTTTGGTTAACATCTGGTGGAATCGACGGCATGGGTCTGTATGCATTGGCTTGAACAGGGGGCGTTATTCCTTGACCGTATACTGGCTGTTCTGGTGATCGTGTCTGCTGCGGGGGTGCATTTTGTGTATAAGAGGTTTGTTGTGTTTGTGAAACATACTGTGGTTGTGTGTTATTAGAATATATCTGCTGTTGCTGGCCATAGGCTTGCTGGTTATGTAATTGCTGATTCTGCTGTAATTGTGTATTGTATTCTGGTTGTTGTTGCTGCTGTTGTTGCTGTTGAGGTAATGGATTGTAAGCTGCTTGTGCTTGTACTTGGTAGGGTGCATTACTGTATGTATTTTGTTGTGAGTTTTGTTGTAATTGTTGCTGTTGAGAATTGTAAGCTACTTGTGCTGAGTTCGTATATGTGTTATTAGCCGCCATTTGGTTAAAGTTATTATTTGTAGATTGTGTAGGTGCTGCAACATTGAGTTGTTGGTTAGGTAAATTACTTTGAAATGTATTATTGGCATTGTACTGATGATTCGGTGTAATACTGTTAACAATTGGCGCTTGACCTGCTGGATGCTGTTGATTTCCGTAAGAATAGTTGGCATTAGTGCCAGCCGGTTGTTGTGGTTGTTGTATTGCGTAGTTTTGAGTGGGATTGTACTGACTATTCTGAACAGGTGGTTGTGGACTTACAGGTTGCTGTTGTGCCGGACTGCTATAGGGGGTATTTTGTGCCTGTGCATTGTAACTTATTGTGTTATTTGCTGCTGCAGTAGGTTGTGAGTAACCACTGTAGTTACCAGCAATACTACCAGCAGTATTTCCAGCTACATGTCCAGCTTGCCCTGATCTAGTAGGAGGAGGTGGGAACGATGAAGGATCCCTCAGCGTATTGACACTTCTAGGGGTATGGTAATCTTCCGAGTACTCATCTTCTTCATGGTGATCGGTATGATGTGTATCTTTGTCTTTCTTATGCATATGCTTCTTGCTAGTGTTGTAACCAGCCTTGGCAACTGTCTTGGTACCCTTATAGGTAAACTTCCCTGCGGTAGCTAACCCTGATTTCAGCGAATCCATCCTGGAAATTGTTATTGTGTTGTGCTGCTGACTTGCAATGTTCGACTATGAAGAATAAAGAGATCAATGGCAACGTTTATATACCACTTGCCAGGATAGTTGTTATGGCGAAGTCTGGTGGGCTTAAGGCACTTGTCGTAAAATGATTTACGTATGGTGAGTGATATAAGCTCCCCTATAAGTGCCGGAATGTACAAAAAGCCTACTTCTGTATCGTTTAGTCCAGGGTTGTTACGTGTAACTGTATAGACATGATGGTAATATTTGTATAAATAGTTTATATAGATGCTTACAATAGACAGACTAGTGAATAATATCTGGTCATTTTTCGATATCAAAACTCGAACCACACCCACAACTGCTCTTCAAGTTACCATCTGTGATCTTGAAAGTCGAACCGATTAGCTCAGTGGTATAGTTCAGAGTAGTGTTGTTCAGTATCCCGAGCGAAGTCTCGTCTATTGCAACTTTCCCGCCTTCTTCCGAGACTATATATATGACGTCTTTACTAGACGAGTCAGCACCTTCTGCAAACTCATCTACTACTTCTTCCTGCGTTTTGCTTTCGGAATTGCCAGTTTCCTCCAAGGAAAGCGTCGACTCCGGCACTAGCTTCATGTTGTATTGAAACCCGTGACAGCCACCGCTCTCCACAAGCACACGCAACACCTCTTGGGATTCCTTGTATATCTCATTTAATCTCTTTGCAGCCCTCTCCGCTATCTTCAAGCCCTTGTCCTCCTGCTTGTTTAAAACCTTGTAAGGTTCCACCAGCGGAACCTCACCTTCAGATGCCTCAACTTTTATCCCATACCAACGGGTATTCTGCATTGTATTCATCATGGGCTTCGCCATAGGCTTGGCCATCGCCTTAGCCATCGGAATCACCTTCGGCATAGAAACCACACGCGCATATCCCCTCACAGAAATCCTCGATACCGTCACGCTCCTGATCCCGATCATCTTAACCGCCGTCTTGTCGAGTGTTACACTATCCCGCATCCACCATCTCCCTGCCCCCAGTCCCGTTTATATACATGTGTCAGTCCATTACTAATGGCTTTCCCTGTTCCAGGAAAGGCCCGAATTCTGGTCCGAGACTATTTGACACATTTCGCACGGAGTTTTCTAAGCAACTCTCCTGCTTCGATATTCCCCCGATGCATTCCGGACCCACACGGAGTATATCGCACTGAGGAAGTATAGTCTTCAGTTCATCTACAAGTCCGCATTAACTGAACTTGTAACTACTTTTTGGTATATTCTTGTTTATAGCATCGAGCAGACGGTACACTCTGGGTTTCTCTGGTACTGGAAACTGAAGATGTACATGCCTTCTGCCCCGTTGATCGTAGTGAAATTTGGCGATGACTCTGGATCCCATAAGTCGCGGTATATGCAGTTGAGTTGCTCGCAGCACATAGCTGCTACTATGCTGTTTGTAGTCGATACTGTAGGAATAACTCTCTTGGCTATCCCAGCCATTTTGCTCAGAGTGAGCTCTGAGCAATCAATACCGTATTGCGATGCTCGCTGTCTGCATTGATCTAGTAATTGTGTGCATACTGCTAGGTCGTCCAGATCTGCGTCTGGGTTCGATATGAGCACCACGTACTCGACAATGTGCTCGAGGGACCGCGGGTTGTTAGCCACTGTGCACATCGGGTTGTTCATCGCTGACTCGTGCGGTAATGTGTCTATGGAGCACTCCCAGCAGGCATTGATCCCTGGTATAATAGTCTTGATGTGGCCCTTGAGACCCTCCACTCCGCCGTCTATAAACGGTATGCAAATCTCAAACGCAGAGGCTCTAGTGATGTCCACGAGCACTTGGTTCACATAGCGTCTTGGGGCTATGGCGTCCAGTCCAGATATCACAAACTGGAACTGGCTATAGAATGTGGCGTCAAGCGTGGTTAAGTCAGTAACATGTGGGACAATAACTTTGTCTGTAACCCGCTTGCCAATGGCGTGGGCAGCTACTTCAGCCTTGTATTTACCAATGTCCTGCTCCCGAAACAAGAACTGTCTGTTCAGGTTGCTCAGCTCAATAGTGTCAAGGTCCACCACATGGATCTCAGATACATAGTCGTACCTAGCCAAGTTCTTCAATAGCTCACAACCAAGACCGCCTGCACCTAGTACCAACACTTTCATGGCCATTTCAGCTCATAGCGGTATGGGGGTTGTCAAGTTAGCGTAAATTTCAATTTGCTCTTAAATATATATGCGCTGGATAGGATAAGTTGAGTAGCGATAAACTTATGACCACACAGTATAACACACACAAGACTATGCTACAGTATTGCAAAACACAGATGATAAAGAGAATGGCATCGGTTCTGTTAATCAGGGTCTTACAGCCTACACTCACAAGAAAATACAATAGCGTTCACGATATACCGCGCTGTTTGAGCCAATCTAGCTAGAGAATAGAGTACATGATTACTGACACTAGCAAGTCATGACAGTTATGTATAAAATCTAATAAAACCAGCTGTTCCAACCGTATGATTCTTGTATGCTACACTGATTATGGGCTTATACTCATCACGGCGCACGCCTCCAGCGAGCTTTTTGACTTCCTGAAAGTTTGGCAACGCAGATAATGGCAAGTCCCATTGAAGAGTAGGTATCAATGTGAATTTATTGCAAGCGATTGGCAGTCAAGAGTTGTGCTAGTTGTTCCATTCACATTTCAGGTTCGTCGAGGCATTAAGGAACTTGGTTATAGTAGAAAGAACGGGGGAAAATGGCTTTGAATAACGTGAGAAGACAGGACTTATGTGTGCAATACAAGAAGAGTGAGCCACCAAGGGGTATTTACAGTGAGAGTCAATCTCTGAGCGGTATTGTGAATCAGACTATGCCAATGGCTGCGATCTTTCTAAAGAACAAGTTTATAGCGTGGTTTTCGTTGATACAGAGTGTGCACTCCTACTTGAACACTGATGAGGAGACCTTGGAAAAGAATAAGAGCAAGACTGGTAACTCAGCACTCGATCAGCCACCATTGGTTAAAGTGGCCATGAGTCTTGTTGGTATATTGGTATGTTACATGAACTTGGTGTTCCCAACCCCAGATGCCCCACCACCATCCTCAGAGAAGAAGATTTTGGATGAAGAGAAGAAGTGAGTTCGGGTACTATTTTAGCAAGCTTGTCCACTAAAAATGTATTTTATATGAAGATCGACAAGACCTGATAGATGAGGTGAGTTTGCCTATTTTTTAATGTTAACGATATCGAAAATATTAGATTCTGCAGGTCGTTATTTTATTCCATAGCGTATTACTTAGAACAATGCATAAATTATATAAAGAAATAGGAATTGTTCCTATCCGTATTTTCTTCGTCACTTATACGTTAATCATAGACTGGTTTGAGATCGGTTCTTGGTTGACACGCGGTATTACGATTACTCACCAATGTCTTCGAACCAATCCTGAGGTCTGGTGTCGATGAACTTCTTCATGATGGCCTTGCATGGCTCGTCATTCATTTGTACAACTTCGACACCTCTGCTCTTCAAATATTCCTCACCTGGACTCTTGAAGTTGTCGCTCTCACCGATGACACATCTTGGAATACCATATAGCAAGATGGCACCAGTGCACATATCACAGGGAGACAATGTAGTGTACAAAGTGGTGTCCTTGTAAACTTTACCCTCTAGTCTACCACAGTTCTCCAAAGTAGAGATCTCACCGTGTAGGGTAGGAGAACCCTTTTGGAATCTCATGTTGTGGCCGCGGCCCAGAACAGTACCATCTTTGTTGTTGATCAAACAACCACCAATTGGCACACCACCTTCTTCAAAGCCTTTGGCAGCCTCCTCATAGGCTATTTTCATACCAAGAGCATCCCATTGTGCAGCGTTAGACATTGTTCAAGATATTCTGATTGTTTCGGTTAATATGTATCCGACTAGGGTCTTGATAACTAGCATTATTGCAAGCTCATCGCATCCCGATTTATATAGCGTTCGCTAATAAATTTTCATGAAAATTTACTGAAAAATTATTACAAATTAGAACTTGCGATGACTTCTTCAAGACAGCTAATACACTTGAATACCAGGAGTCAGTGCCATCTAAATTCAACATCTCATAAGTTCATTCGTAATACATCCCCATAAAGCCAGTGTCGGCTGGTATAATATTGGTCAGCTTGTCATTTCTGAGTATACGCACTAGGGCCGTTAAAACTCACCTTGCTGAAAGTTTAATTCTGCCCACCAGCACTAAGTTCACCCCCAGAATCTATTCTTGTAGTCAGCACCAATCGGATTTATCATCTCGAGTGGTGTAAGATCATATTTATACTTGACGTCTTTTGCCAACGCTAAAGTTCCATATCGAATTAGATGGTAAAGCACCGGTAGAAGGTTGAGGGCACGATGTTAGTGAAAGGGTCAACCAAATTTCTGATGGCTCATCGCCACGACTCTATGCTTCTGAACAAGATAAGATGCTATGCGACAACAGATGATAATAACCTTGTCTCTGCAGGGAAAGGAAGTCAAGTGTTACATGATAGCCTTTGGCCCGATAAGCACAATCCTACTCCTTATGAAATATTTGGGTTTGGTGTCGGTACGCATGTGGATTTGAAGAAGTTGAAGATGGAGTATCACAAATATGTGAAGATGTACCACCCTGATTTGAGTTCCCATATTCAGATAAGAAAGTCCAGCCTAGTGAAATCTCATCATGCCATGGAAATCGCTAACACAGCACAATATCTGACCCAGGCAGAGAAGATACAGCGGTTCAAACTTGTCACACAGGCATACGAGATTCTAAAGGATCCTAGAAAGAAAAACCTATACGACTGTACACGTTCTGGTTGGGATATGGCTGGAAGTGCAGGTCCTACTGGAGCCCAGTCAGCCTATTATGCCTCTAGTGCAGCATATAACAACTTCTCTGATCAATCGTATGCGTATTGGAATGCCGGTAATTGGGAGGATGTCCATAATTATCAAAATAACAGTGGACAGAAGCTTGATCCCTGGACTTTGCTGATGTGGTTTGGAGGGCTATTACTATGCTTAGAGGGAAGCTCGTTGCTAGCCCGAATTGAGGATACACTTACAGATAAGAGTATCACAGAGGATAATATTGAAGTAGAGTTGGGGCAGTGTTATATCAATTACGGCCTTGATACTGACAAATGGTCACGGCTTAGACGGTTCTTGTGGTTCAGAACATTTAACATGTATCGTTCCAAGGTTGACTTAGATAGGGAAGCCGAGAAGAACGAGGATCTGATCAAGACTTTACAGGAAAAGGTTAAATGAAACTGAAAAATCTTTAATCTTTTGGCAACATACCCTTGGCATTCTTTAATTTCCAAGTCTGGCATACATTTCTATTAACAATGCACATATTTTTTTTTTTGTTGGTTAATATTCTTTTTGGAAAAGAGTACATTTTTTAATATTCCTGATGCATTTTATTATTATTTTCTGAAGTAGTCTTATATAATTGGATAAAAGTTTTTGAATATGATTAAATTTTCACATTTATATAAATACATTAGTTGATGCACTATCCTATGGTAGCAGAGAACTTGAAAATCAAATTAACCCAAGAGTCTCATTGCCAATTCAAAAGTAGCAAAGGTACCACCGTTAGCTGGAGCGGCTCTCAGCATTGTTGGACCAAATCCTTTGAAGAAGGCCTTCAATCCCTCTCTGGCATAAAGATTTCTGGCTACCTGGATCATATTCTTACCGTTTTGAGGTTTATTTAGGTTATCTGTCTGCATGACCGATTTCACAACATCAATTGGATAAACCATTAACCACAAAGCTGTACCTGAAAGTGCACCATATAAGCATAATTTCCATGGTGGAATTTCAGTTCTCTTCAAACCTTGGTTAATTTGCTTTGATACTAAGGCCTCGTATACAAGGAAATATGTACCACAGCCATGACCTTCTCTTAGCATTGTAGGGATTAGACCCCTCATTAACCCTTTTTGACTTCTCAGTTTTTTGATACAATCGATTGGGCCTTTGAATTCTGCCTGTGCACCAGAACCCGTCTGTGTTTGAAGTCGTATTCTTACATGCTCGATGGGAGAAGCTAGAAAGGAATTGGTCATACCACCAGTGAGACCACAAAGATAGTACTGCGATAGAGAAAGAGTCGCGTTGTGGTCTACATTTCTGGCATGGAAAAATCTTTTCATTGCTTCATTAACACCAAACTGAATTGAGACACATGCACCAACACCAACCAATGGAGTCAATGTACCTTTATAAAAACCTTTTGGACCTTCATTCTTAAGCAAATTTTTAACAACCTCTGCAGCAGACGTGGGTACCTTTGAAGTTTGAAGTCTCACTTTAGTTGTGTCAAAAGGTTGCCCTATTAAAACCTGAGCAATCCCACCAGCCGTACCAGCTAGCAGGTCCTTGACAACTCTTCCATTATCTTGTCCGGGATGATCCTCCAAGTCATCGATCAATTGTGGTGTAGGAAATTCTTCAGACATCTATAGCTTGAATATTGATTATTGTTGCTACCAGACAAAATGAACCTGTTGTGTAAATATTTATTCGAAGTATATGTTTAAAATGATTGATTATATGTCAGCTATCACTAGCTTTTATATAGTCAAACCCATCTTGTGGGCTTTTCACCTTATTACTAAGTGATGTGATGAGCTACTTGCTGTGATACGATGCGGACTTTACTTTTTTTTTAACTGATTCTGTTGCTAGACTCTGTCAAAATTTGAAAGACTTTCACACTACCAATATTCTCAATAGCAACCCCCGGATGAGCTGTGCAGGATCAGCTATTGTGAAAGCTCTTGTTATTTTAACTCTTTCTTCAAAACAGGTTCATTTCTTCTAATACCATTGGGTCTATATAGTTAAATGTGAAGTTTTTCAATTAGCTTATCGGCACTTAAGTATTACTTATTTAGGAAATTGATAAGAACCGGTTCCTTATCAAAATGAACATAATAGATGCTCTTCGATATGGCTAATGGTGGAATATGGATATCTTTAGGTACTTTGCTAATCTGTGTCACGATTTTCAATCTCTATTTAAAACTCCAAAATATCGTGTTGACCATATTTTCTTGTCACAACGGCTAAAATTAACGATGCAATATCCAAATTTGGCGGGCAAGGAGGGCAATTGTGCTCGTGTAGTTCATCTGGAATAACAATATTTGTAGTTCCAAATATATTACTATTCACTCTTCTGTTCAAAATCTCTCTTGCTTGTTTAGCTAATGATCGGATATTGCTCATCTGCTCCGCAGTTAATCTAGTTGGAATATGCAATAGGATGTATAAAAGCCATTGGGATAACATTTTCTTTCTCTCAAGATTCTTCCCGAAAGTATAGATCTCTTTTAACCAAATTTGGGTCATGTACATAACAAGTGTCCACAAATTTGAACTATCTATCATATTAATAAATGCAGTATGGGTAGGTTGATTTGAAGTAACGTATTTTGCCCATGGTTTTAAACCATGAGGTGCCCTCTTGTAATCTGTTCTTATACAATATTTCACGGTGTTCAAATCCTTGATCTTGCTATTTCTCATTGTTTTTAACAGATTCTCAGCCCAGTCCTCGTCTATTTCTAAAGTTCCGTTCACTGGATCGGGATCACTACATTTAAGCTGATCTCGAAATATATTCACCAAATGGCGGTCAAAGCTAGATGCCCTATTCTCGTCAATCTTTTTTTGTAAGTAGAATCGCAAAAGCTGTGTTAAGTGGGATATAGATTCATCATCATAACCTTCAAAAACATAGCACCCATGCCAAATAATATCACTGATGTTTTCAAACCATTTATACCAGTTTTCTATGCTGTACAAGTACTCAGTTATTTGATCACTTTTAACCTTGGTGTCAGAAGGAATGCTAGTTGAATCATCTTCATCATCATAGATATTAGCGTCAAAAGTATTTTTAGAAACTTGGCCGATCTGGTGGCTTATAGCATTTGTGTGAAGAGCTTCGTTTCTTACTTCCGAAAGATAGCTCTTGACTAATGGATTGACTTCTGGATCATTTATATTAAAGGCTTTAGCTTGACCAAAAACCGGATCAATTGCACTTGACAACGCTTCCTTATTTTGATCTTTTGAATTTCTGTTTCTCCCGGCCATTGTTTAGTTGACTCTAGTTTGCAGCTAGATATATGAACTCCTTAATATACTGAATCAAGTGTTTGTTGTGTCTGTAATGTGGCATGGCTCTAAATCATTCACCTCTAAATTAACATCACCTCACATTTCCGATGCCCTGCTCTTATTTTTTTTTAATTTTTTAAGTATTAATTACTGCTATAAAGAAATATTAATCAATTGGATTTATTGTTAAAATACTTGGAGTCGATGCAATATTAAGTCGTTCATACTACAAATAAGATGTTTAAATAGTGCAGATTATATTTATTTGTAGTTATTAGCTTAGAAGCTTTTTTTTCTATAGGTCGCTTGTTGATACGGCATCATGATTTGAATTCTATAACAGCCCTGCTATCATAAAACCATGCGTAAGCGTTTCTAAAAATCACACTTTCTTTTTAACCTTCTTTAATGTACTCTTTGGAACAACCGGTTTCTTCTTAAGCTTTGCAATAACTCTTTCATCAAATTGTGAGTCGCATGCAGGGCATTTGTTGCCTGGTGGGATGATAGATAAAACACAAAGACAAACAGAACATATATAGCCTATGGCAACAACTTTACCGGTAAGATAGCATGATGTTCTGAAATCCACTGAACCTTGTGTAGGTCTCACTATAATTTGCCTTAGGGAGGGATCAATCGACATTGCTGTGGATAAGTACTGTATGATACCATTAGTCGATTCTAAGTGGATGTATACACCATTTGTGGCATCTGTGGTCTGTTGCAAAAAGGTACTCTGTTTATTACCACCAATCTTGATAACATCAATAGGGCATTTCAGCTTGGTGGCAGAAAAGATACAATTCATTATCGGTATGTATTGAAAGATTTCATCCTTCTCTCTGCTGCTACCACACGTAATGACAAGTAATCGTGATCTTAAACTAATGCTTTCAAATTCTTTCGTTAGTCTATTTGTATAGGTCAGAGCAGCTGCCATCGCACCTGATAATGTACTCTTTTGAACTGGTTTATCTATTAGGCTTTCCTCTCTCTGATACAATTTATAAAACTCTTCGATTAATGTCTCGTCAACATTCCTGAACCTTCTGTACATATGAGAGCTGATTATGGACAGATCTTTTGAGTTTCCTGCATTTTGCTCTGATGTATCGCTACTCCTTGGGTACAAATATTGTATACCTTGAGAAAATGCGGCAATGACGGCAACTTGATTAGCACTATTAAATGCTAAATGACTGTTTAAGAACACAATCAAAGACTTTAATACAGTAGTAACGCTCTGTTTCTCACCGCTTCTGTGATCAAATTCTGCCCATAATCGTGGGGATATATCTAAAACCACTGTGAGAAGTGAAGGAATGTCTTCGGTAGCTGTTGACCTAAGTTTGGTCTGCTGAAAATTGGGGTCGGCTATAGCATCCATGATATTATTACTGTGGGATGAGTTGACAACGTTACAGTTTCTTCTTTATTTGAAGAGTAGTGAATAGAATTTATAGTTTGCCTTTTTGTTCACTTAAGTGCACTTTGTCAATTTTGAACTTTTTGATCCGAGAAGCTTCTTCTATAAAAAAATTCTAAAGTTGAACAAGTAGCAAGCAAGTGAAGTATACTTAAAAAGCTATGCATAATGCCCTGATTAATGCGAAGAAATTTAAAGCGTCAAAAACATTACATTATAGATTATATAATAATAATAATTAGTCGATATGCAAAAATTATGCGGCAGTACTTACACCCAAATTATTAAGTTTCTCCATAGCATCTAGATATCTCTTATTAGTTGGTTTGGAATGAGTACTTGTAGACATTCTTGCTGATCTCATCTGTTGTCTATACAACTCCTCACTGAATTGTAGTTTTAAGATAGTCTTGTGGAGCTCTACAGGCAAATTTGCAAGGGATCCCTTATTCAATTCTTCAAATAAGGTCGACTCGTCAGCATCACAAAGTGAATAAAATAATAAAGGCTCGCTCATGTCAATATTTGATGGATCAGGAGAGAAATTCCTGAAAGTGTGTTGTAGCATTTGAATGTTACGTGATAATTTTTTGACACCATTGCTGTTTAAAACCTTAATCGTTTGAGAGCCCTTAATGAACGCAATGTTACATAATTTGTCAACGCCAATGAAAATAATCTTTAACTCGACATCAGATAACTGTTGTTTTAGCTTGTTCTCTGATAGCCTTAATCTTGATATCAACGAAGCAATGCTTTGATCTATTTCATTACTGCTATCTTCTGGATTCCACATGGTCGTATTCTGAAATAGCTCACCAATATTTGAGATGCACAGAGATCTCATATCAAATCTCAATAATGATACCAACTTTGTTTTCAGCTGCATAAAGGCATTGATAGTTTGATCAAATTTCTCTTCAGATTCTTTGTCAAGCGAGAACTTCAAGGTTTTTATTTGTTTGACATCAGAATCAGTAGTCTCGAAGAAGGACCACTGCTTCCTCAAAATATCAATTTCAGACTTTGTTTCAACATTATTTTCTTCTTCAACCCTTTTTTTCATTGTTGGTAGCCAATCTAATATCCACATGATAGTTGATAAAAAGTAGATTATGTTATCAAATGAGGTTGGACTCAATGAATCATATGTTGTCAAACCCCTGCTCTTGACGCAAAAATTAGGAACGTACCTAAATAATTCGTTGGTTTCTTGAGTTATTACACTTTCATCACCATTATAAATTTTAGATTCAAGATGACTTAACTTTTCATCATTGAGCCAAGTGATTAAAATGTTGTTGCTGATGTCATTGTGGCTATTGACGATAGTATTGAAGAGGTCTTCATAGTATGCTTGGAGTCTTATAATTACTTCCAATATAGAAGTCGATACATTCTTCCGGAATGTGTTCGTTGTATTCATTAATAGCATAATCCTTGCAAGTAGATTTTGGAAATCAACAGCTGCCTTAAAAATTGTTTTGTTCTCATCGTTTATTTCAAGCGCATAAGGATTATTATTTTCAACATGGTTTTCAAACAGTGAATTAAATGTCACCTCAATATTTGGGAAGAATTGATTCTCCATATAATCTTTAAAAAATTTCAATGGAGAAATTGTGTTTGTTTTTATTTGTTCCGGTAGTATGTTCTCACAAGCACTGACATATACTAAGTAAGGCTCAAGTAATACTTTGATATTGAAAATAGAACCAGGAATTAGTGAATCATCTCTCTCAAACGATTCATCCTGTATATAAATAGAGCCCAGTTCCATATTTGAAGAAACTGTAAACCCCGGGAAAATATCCTTCAAAAGTGTTTTCAATTCTGCTGCATGTTTCTTAGCAGATGCCTCGCCTTCAATATTATCTTCTAAGCTAAAATGCTCAATTCTATTGTTTGCGATTGAAGAAGCTCTAGATCTTTTTGTTTTCAAAAGTTTATTACTATTTAATAGTTGGTCATTTCTTAGGTATCTTGTTAATAAAAATTCAATCTCATCTATAACCTTTCTCCACACTTTATCAAGCGGATAAATAGTGCTCTTAGAGGTTGGAGATCTTAAAGAGTTGACAGACTCTGCAACAACTCTATGACCTTGTGTTGCAACTAGAAATTTGATGAAAATCTCCCAAAAGCATTCCCTCATTATCAATGATAGAATGTCCTTTATGGATAAACCAAAATTCAATTCTTTTTCAAACCCTTGAGACATTTTTAGCAGGGATGGGTGTTTTAATCTTACCTTTTCTGTACTTTTTAGTACGATATTATGAAACTCTTCCTTTGTTCTGTCATAAATGATATTCAAAGCAGGTGATAGCTTTTTCATATCTTTCAAGAGGCTCAAATATATAAAGAGTTTGTCAAAAACAGTTTGCTTACTTCGTACCATAACTTTTTTTGAGTATGACTTTGAGTCTTCAATGTCTTTCATAAAGATGGAGAATTTATCGTTAATAATTCGTGATTGCTCTTTTATGTCAATATTCACTACATTGTAAACATAGTTTTCCAATGTGGAGAAATTAGTCTGAGCTGTACCGACCATTCTGCCAATCTCATTTGTAACAAAAGAATCGTCATTCTTGCTGTAGAGAATATTGTGTATCTCTTCGATGATGGTATTGAATAGCACATGCTCCTGTAATTCTAGTTGCTGCACTAATGGTTTTATAGCACTTACATCCTTAAGTGTTTGACTACCTGCTAGTAAGAATCCCTTTTCTAATAAGATCCTTGCATCTCTATAGTTCTTGCCTCTAATATGTTCCTCTATAATATCTGGGTACTGAATTAATTTTTCAATAGAATTTAAGTCTTCAATCACCTGGTTATACTTTAGGCTTTGATTATTCAAATCTTCTAAATCTGACTTGTCGAGAACAAATTTATGGTTTGCTTCCCTGACAGAATCCTTAAGTTCTAAAATCTTTTGTTGCGATTTAGTTATTGCATTAACAGCTTGAGTATATGATGCCACATTGGAATTGAATGCTTGACTGTGTTGATTGACAACTTCTTGTAAATGGGAGCCGATTTGCTCTTTCAACTGGTTGAACTCTATATATCTGTGCCCAAGACCAACCGAAGTGTCATCCAAAAAAGCTAAGGCTAATTCTAAAGGATTAGAATCCTCTGTTAAAACCCTATTCCATTGACTCTTAACAAGGCTTAAGTCATCTCGAAGGTTGTCTAGCGCATTTTCCATTGCATGTTGCTGATCTTCTGAATAACTGTTAACAGAAAGAGCTCTTCGGCGCCCACGACCTTGATTAACTGCTAAATGGCTCATGATGTTGTTTATATACTTTCTGTTCTTTGAATTTCAAAAATACTAAAGTATGTTCTCTCTAACAGTGTTTTTGGGCGTTGTTTATTCTAATCCTATTTTTGACTGCCAATTTAGCCTTATTTAGTCTCAATTCAAGGACAATCAGCAAATTGTCCAATTAAATAGTAATTTTGTGATGCGTTTTTAATGGTAAACTAGAGATGTAATCAAAAATAGTACCATAATTATGACTATTTCGATAGCTTTATCCTGCATTCCAGATTCGATTTGATATCCCACTTCATTGTGTTTCCCCTATGAAATGCATTGTAATTATATTTTTTAAAACGACATAATCACATGATATATAATTCTTGCAATTGTAATTAGCCAATGTGTCAATTAGTCCATTTATGGATGAATTTATTACATTCAAACAATGCTATACTGTGTTATCCATATCCGCATTTTTCATAATCAATGTTATTATTTGGGTCTTAATAAATTTTATTATTTTGTCTGAATAGGAGCTGCTATTCTGATATTAAATATATAAAAAGCATTAATAAGTATAGTAATGCCTTCTTTAAAATGTATATTTGTCGCCGCATCTTTGCTATTACTCTTCTATATATTTAGAGTACTCTTCGCCAAGCTGCCTCTCTATGTAAAATTGCGCTACTTCTTCGTTTAAGCATTGTCTTAGATCGTCCATAGAGTTCAAGTTATATTCATATGAGAAATTAAATGGTCCTTTTGAGCAAATAGGTTCATCATTGGGCTTTCGGACTGATTGAACAAACTGGTGTTCAAGAGACTGTAGAACATTCAATCTGCTTTCTGGTTCCCATTGTAATAATTTATCAATGAGATCCAGTGCAGTGGCTGAGGCCATGGGGTACACAGTCGACCAAGGCATTCCGCTTTTTAGGTTATCAAGATTATGATTACTGTTATGACCGAATAAATTCCATGCCTTCAGTGTCCCATATTTGACCAGCAAGGATCTAGAAGGAGTTCCTAATATTTTTTTAATTTCATATACTTGATGTATGGAATCCTTCCCCATAAATATAGGCCTTCTTCCGTAAAATTCTGCAAGTATACAACCAACAGACCACATATCAACAGATTTAGTGTATTCGTTGTTAGATAAAATTAGTTCAGGGGCTCTATACCATCTTGTTGCTACATAATTTGTGATTTCGTTGGGCTTTGAGTTTTTGTTGACAAACTGTTTTGCAACACCTCTTGCCAAACCAAAATCACATATCTTTAAGCAGCCATTCACAGTGCATAATATATTACCTGGTTTCAAATCTCTATGAATAACATCCGCGCTATGGATGTATTTCACACCACAAAGTATTTGATATATGAAATGTTGAATGTGAAACTCTGAAAGCTGAACTGAAGAGTGAATAACTCTCGCGAGGTCATAATCTATCAATTCTTGGTAGCAGTACAAGCCATCATATGGTTTGTCCTGGACAATCTCTATGTCAATAAGATTTACAATATGTTTATGACCCTTGAAATAATTCATGAATTTTATCTCTCTTATAGCGCGCTTCAGCAGAATTTTTCGGTAGAATATGTTTGTAATCTTCTTGATGGCTACTGTAAACTGTTCTTGGTCTTCATTATCTAACTTGTGTTTGGCAGAACAGACAACACCATATGATCCTTTCCCCAATACCTGAATAATTTCATATTTCCCAGATATTGAAAAGTTCGCATTCTTGTATATGGTCCGTGGAGCTTTGATACTTGTGAAATCAGGCACTATGCCCGCGGCATCTGTATTCCTTTTTGAGTTCAACGAGAAGAACGAAGACTTTTTACTTCCTCCAGTGTTACTGGAACCATTCTTGTTGACAATATTGTCGTTGGAGCCAAGAATTTTGCTTAAGCCCATTATTTGCGTTGCAGTAATATATTTACGCTGATCTATAGCGATGTTAATAAACAAGACTGTGTAATTGTATTAAATTTAGTGGCTGATAATATAGGCAAGAAATTATTCTTCTCTCTGTCGGTTATAAAATTTGCCGATATGAAGCATCCGTTTCAAATAGTTTTGTGGCATAAATTGAAACAAAACAACAAGACGCTACAACATGCAGTCACTTGTCATGACACATAGTACTCACAATATTTGCCATTGTTAAGAAATATAATTTGAGTTTCAATATAACCTGTTCCATTAACACATTTGATAAACTTCTCAAATTGGTTGGTAACAGCATGAACTTATGACATAAAAAAGACGACTCTCAAGAATGCGATACAAGAAATATGAACACTGTCATCAGGGAACATCCTTTAGATATTCAAATAGAAACGAAACAATACGATCTTAAAACTCATAACTCAATAAGCAAATAATAGATTTTCAAGCGATTATTTGGATGGATTACTTATTGAAGGTTCAACAAGAACAAGTTAGAGTAGTAATAGACACCAGACGATTCGCGACTTGGAAAGAACCTTTCCCCCAATGAATCTACCACTTACATATCCATTTGTAGTTACAAAAGACCAAGGTGGTGCAATAAGAGAGGGTGACGCGTGAGCAAGTGCTACAATATTTACCTTTTTCTTGCTTTCATATTAGTAGCGTGCGACGCGTAAAGATGTTGCAATTTTTTTTTGACTTTCTACTGAGTTATTTAGTAGCATCTTGAACAATTGGTGGTCATTTTGCATAGTGACGATATGTTACAAAGCTGCAAAAACTATCGTGACACTTATTTAAATAGAGTACTTACTCTCTTCCAGCCAATTCATTACTTTAAATACAATTATTTTGTGCTTAACGATTGTGAACTCAAGACAACCTAACTCAATAAGTGAATATTCGCTCTATAAAAAAAAATCATATACAATGTTGGAAGCTAAATTTGAAGAAGCATCTCTTTTCAAGAGAATTATTGATGGTTTCAAGGACTGTGTCCAATTGGTCAACTTTCAATGTAAAGAAGATGGTATCATTGCTCAGGCAGTTGATGATTCCCGTGTTTTATTGGTTTCTTTGGAAATTGGTATTGAAGCATTCCAAGAATACAGATGTGATCATCCAGTTACTCTAGGTATTGACCTTACATCTTTGAGTAAGATTCTAAGATGTGGTAACAACTCTGACACGCTGACATTGATTGCAGATGACACCCCAGATTCTGTCCTATTGTTGTTTGAGGACACCAAGAGAGAGAGAATCGCTGAATACTCTTTGAAGCTGATGGATATCGATGCTGATTTCTTGAAGATCGAAGAACTACAATACGATACTACATTGATGATGCCATCTTATGAGTTTTCTAAGGTCGTTCGTGACTTGAGTCAATTGAGTGATTCTTTGAACATCATGGTCACAAAGGAAACCATTAAGTTTGTTGCCGATGGTGACATTGGTTCTGGTTCGGTTATCTTGAAGCCTTTTGTCGATATGGAAAAGCCAGAAGACTCCGTCAAGTTGGAAATGGAACAACCAGTGGATCTAACATTTGGTTCCAAGTATTTGCTAGACATTGTCAAGGGTTCTGCTCTATCAGAAAAGATCGGTATAAGGCTTTCCAGTGAAGCTCCAGCTTTATTCCAATTTGACTTGAAGAGTGGATTCTTACAATTCTTCTTAGCACCAAAGTTTAACGACGAAGAATAAGCCACTGGCCCAGGATCATAAACTGTAACAAAAATAAATTAATCTCTCATATATATAACCTATACACTGTACATTAGTCAAAATAACATAAATTTATTATCAATTATAAAAATGCACTTAAATATTACAAATTAATCATGGCCAAGCGTTTAATATTTGCAAAGTTAGTAACTCCACCTATAAAAGCTACTTATCTAAAGTACACATAACCTTTGCTATAAAACCTTCAAGATGGAAGATAGCTTTGTTACCCAAGCATAGACGCTCATCAAAAACACTAGCATGGTCAATAATCTCTACACGGGAGGAATCTGGAGTTGTTTTATCAGAGATCAATGCAAATGCTAATTCCTGTAGTATCACTTTAGCCGGTATACAGTGAGCGAGCAAGTCATATAGGACAGCACGACACTCCACTAATGAACTTACCGATCTCTCTTTCTTTATCTTGTTGGCCAGTTTCAATATTACTACCATCCAGTCCGGTTTGATTACGGGAGTGTTTTCCTTTAATTGCATTTCGTTGCTGAGACTCATTGACTCCAACATTAAAAGAGCAAGTCTCATATTACCATTTGACTCATTGGCTACCTTATCTAGAATTACCTGGTCTACGATATTGACGTTCTCTTCACTTGCAACATCTTTCAATGTTTTCGTTATATCTTTCATTTGTGGTGCTGGTGACCTGATCATCAAACAACGCGACCTTATTGGGGAGATGATAGATGACATAGAGTCACACAGCATGATCAAACGTATGTTTTTTGAGTACTTCTCCATGGTACGTCTTAGCGCAGCCTGTGCATCCCTAGTCAATGAATTGGCCTCATTGATTATCACACACTTAAACCTATTGGCAATACCAGAGCTCCCGTCCTGGAAATCGACCTGTTCCATCTGTGCAACTTCCTTCAGAAGCTCCTGGATCACAACACGATCGTTATTACCCATGTCACTGGGAGTGATCTCCAAATGGTACGGAGAACTAACCACATTTAGCTCCAGCTTCCTGTTCGAAGGCGTCACGAACCGCCTGACATCTATCTTTAGCCTATACACCTGGCTACCAAAGATAGACTCCAACAGAGCCATACACCTTGTCTTCTTACCAGATCCATTGGGGCCATATATCAGCAGATGTGGAAGATCCCTCGGATTCATAGCCAAGGAAGAGAGAAACCGCGTTAGATCATCGTTGTAAGACAGAGTCTTCAACGTTTTAGGCCTGTGCTTATCAACCCAAAGAGACATTATTAAAAGAGCAGCTGTTGATCGAGGTTGGTCTCGCTGTAGAGGTAATTATTCGTGGATAGTCTCCCCACTAATATGCCCGGTAATTATGTATAGTATGCCAGTATTTTATTCAATCGTTACGCTCATCGCGAATTCTTAGGAAAGCAAGAGCACGCTCACTTCTAACGTCACAGTATTTTACATGTGATGTATTGGTCTAACCTATACGTCAAATTCCTCTAGTAACAAGTATTTGCAATGATGCTTGGTGAATGGTTACTAGCGTTGTTATCTAGTTTGTTTTGTTATCCTGATCAGTGATTGGCGTAGCTGTATTTGTGACGTTTGGGATAGGAGCCCTTGTACAAGTCACTATTAACAGAAAGTGGGAGCACATAGTTCACGATTTCTGCCCGAAGTTGCATTTCAATTGCCAAAGGGGATAGCATTTAAGAAGAAAGTGCCTGCAGACTTAAACTTGCAGTGATATTCAGAGATCAAACAGAAATAGGTAGACACCAATTGAGAAAATGGCTACAGATGATCAGTTTATAGAGCCTGATTTTATAGAGCCTGACGTTCCCGTTCGAGATGGCAGCAATGGAAACTCAAGTGCCGCTGGAAGTCGAGGTATAGCTGGTTTGTCTGGCAATATGGAGACCAGTAGTGGTGATTGGAACAGAGGTACGTTGGACGAGAGTGTCTTGGCAACTTTCAAGCGAGATATCTATGATATCAACTCGAAGTTAAAACAAGTTGTGTACCCGCACTTACCTTCGCATAGGTACATGGCCACCACGAGTGGTGACCAGGACTCTGCTCAGGGAGCCAACGAGGACATATTCAACAGCTCTGACTTCTGGGCACCGCTGACCTTTATCATACTGTACTCAGTATGTGTATCGCACGCAAAGGGCCTATTCTCGTCTGTGTTTGTGTCCTGCTGGTTCGTGCTTGTGGTGATGGCCTTGCATTTGAAACTGACGAAACCTTACCAAAACGCCACATTGCTCTCATACGTGTCTCTGTCCGGGTACTGTATGTTCCCTCTAGTGATATGCGGACTTCTGGTACAAATAGTGATACCCGCAGTGTCCCACACACTGGGAACCAGCCCTTGGAAGGTCAGAGTCTCCACTCTGCTCAGACTCACGGTGTTCGGGTTCTGCTTTATTTGGTCCTTCACATGCTCAGCAATCGTCACCAGGTCGAAGGGCTTCGTCCAGTTATACCCGCTCGCACTCTGTCTCTTCGGCCTTGCATGGCTATCGATGATTCTGTAATTTACTCACATCCAATATATCGTGACACGCACAACAGTTGTACATATAATCTAAATATATTTGTAACACGCCCAAATGATTGTACATATACTCGCATACATATAGCGTAACAACAATGGTTGTAAGCACTTGTGTGTTACATAGAGATCTCCTAGTACAGAACCAAAACTTGGGATAACTCCGGGCGTTCAAAATACCTTGCAATAACAGCGGGATGCAGAATGAGAAGCCCCAAACAGATGAGAACAGTGTATATTAAGTAGATTTATAACACCGACCGGTGTTATGGCGACTTATCTTTTTTTTAATTAGAGACGCAGCAAGAGTTGATTTGCTACAGCAGTTTCTGTGCAAGGAACCGGTGACTTCCTCTTTCACCCCACTCCCCCACACTTCTGCCCGTACGGATCGTTGAAGAAGTTGGGTTTTCTCTCTTGCTGCGTGGAATTACTGGCTGCCACTTTTCAACGGAATGAGGGACCAACAAACACATCTCACCCCCTGCTGTAGACGTCAAAGCGTAATCTGTCAAAACTATAATAGAATATTAAGCTTGAATTTGTTTAAAAGGCGGGGAAGGCGGCAAAGGTAAGTCAGGAGTAGCTGAGAGTATGTCGCTGTTACAACCATTTACGTGTACGTGCTATCCTTTGAGGCTGCCCGCTGCGCAGGCCGGGTCTGGGGATGAGTATGTGCGGAGGAAGCAGAGTCTGGACTGTAGGACTGGTGCTGCAGTTACGTTGACGCGGAGTAATATATTTGTGCATGGAGGGCTGACTATACCTTTGAACTTGGAGAAAGTGACATGTGCTGAGATTCAGAACCAGGTGGTGTTGTATTTTGCGAAGGAGAAGGACTGCAGTGCAGGGTTTAAGGATTTAAAGCAATGGTTGAGTCCCGAGATATTCTTTCTGGATCTGATATCGCGGACATGGAATAGGGTGGATACCACTGTGGAGAGTGAGACTATGTTGGGCGCAGGTGCGGGCGCTGGCGCTGGCACTGCCACCGGGACTGGCATGGAGACTGACCCTGCTCGGGAAGCTGCGGATGTTGATGTGTTTGCCAACGAGCAGTCTTTGTCCTCTTCTGTAACATTATCAGTGATAGAGCAGGAGAGTTTCAGAGAGAGGCTGTTCCACTCTATGTGCTATGTTGATGGCAATATATTCGTGTTTGGGGGATTAGTGATGTCGCCGCAGAACGGCTACGAGTTTACGGCGTCCAATGAGTTGTGGAGACTGGACCTTAGGACGAAGCAGTGGTCACTGGTGAGTAGAAACCCATTGATACAAAGAAGGTTTAATCACTCCATGCACGTCAAAAACGAACATAGTGACACTAGAGATACGAAAATTGTCATTGTGGGTGGTCTAAACAACTTGGATGAGCCAGTGCATAAAGTCGATATTTACAACCTCACGAGAGGCTACTGGCAGTCTGTGCCAGATTCTGAGTTCCCAATAGAGCTAGAAACCAATATCGAAGGAAAGCCAGTGGACCTTGCTACGGACTCTTGTTTTTCTATTCTTGTTGAGAACAATGAGGCCAAGATCCCAGCGTTAGCATTTTACAAACCATTAAGTTGTCGAGATCACTCGGTGATAACATCAAGATCAAAAAAAGCGAAACAAGTGTCTGGTAGATCATCAGTAGATACGGAAATGGCGGTATGTGATTCTGATACAGGTACCAAAGAGCAAGACGAACAGGATCCTAATAGTCAATCTCCTATAGTGGCCTTACCCATTGTTTCGGGGTCGAAAGGTATAAGGATGGCCTCCCATCCTTTACAACCAAACGATCTATTAGAAGCTCCCTTAAATTTACTAAATCCAACTGGAGACTACTTCGGTTACAATATTGTAATTGGTGGTTTCTGCCCTACATTACTACCTTCTGATTTTCATTGTTATATTTACGATATTCCTTCTGGAAAATGGACTCGGATTGGTATCACTTGTCCGGATTGTGAAATTAATACGCATAGGTTCTGGAAACTGTTTGTGTGGGATTCTCATCATCAGGCTTTGGTTTTAGGGACCAAAAATGATGATGGATATTTGCCAAGTGTCCAGAAATTTGATCATCTATTAAGTTTTGGTCTTCCTATAATAAATATATTCAACAAAGGTATTCACTCAGTTCCATCTAACAAGGATGCAGTCATGTCGGTACCAGATTCTAAATTTGGATCTAGTGGTGTTTCTGATCTTGAAAGTGATTTGAATAGAATGAGCTTTGCATCTTCTCAGACATCTCAATTTGAAAGTTATATAAGATACATTGCACCACCATATGAGATGACATCTATTAGATCTGTGTTTCCTGCATATGCAATGGTTTTAGGTAAGGATGCATTGGAAATATATGGTAAACCGCTTTCAGATTTTGAGCTTGTCAGTAGTGAAGGTGAAGCAATTGGAGTACCATTATATTTACTACGGAAAAGGTGGGGCAGATATTTTGATCTTTTGCTATCCCAAGGTTACTCTAAAGCTTGTACAGAATACGAGGCGTCTGGTAACCTTTCTACGTTAATCAAGTTGACACCGTTTTCTTCGAGGACTGGATCGAGAGATATCCATAGTTCTAGGTTATCATCATCTAGCTCGTTAGATAATTATTTTGTAAAAGGAATTGGAGCACAGCATCATCATTACTCAGTATCAGGGCCAGCCGGTAGAAAACCTCCCGGATCTGAAAATATTGTAGATAGAACATCAAGGTCTTCAGTAGATGGGCATTTAATGGGTTCATCCCCAAATCCAATGAGCGAAAGTGTATATCTCACGCATATTGATGATGTTGATGATGATGATGATGATTGCGTTGGTCCAACATCGCAAGCAAAAAATACAAATAAAATGAAATCTGTATCCCGAACAATTACTTCATCTACAACAAGTTCCACTGGTGGTATGGTGTTTAGGGTTCCATTTCAAGAAAAGAAGCCATCGTCATCTGTTCAAGATATCGCGCCAGATTCCCAGTTTTTTCAGACAGGATCGAGTAGTAGAAGGTCCTCCTTATTGAGCTCGCAAACGATGGGAATACAGAGATCACCCAAAATTGAAGGTAAAAGGAGAGCTTCACATCCTATCATATCCTCTATAATGGACAAAGGACAACCAGTATCTACACGTAGTGTGGGAAGTACTAGGAGTTCCCTTTCCTATGTTAGTTCTTCGTCTGAAAGACAAAGCAAATCTCATCTGCCTGGGAGTCGAAACAGCAGTGTAACCGGTTCTCCAATTTTGGGAGTCTTAAATGTGCCCTTACCACCACCTTGCCAGACCCCAACAGAACCGGTGCCACCGCCTCCTGTTACAAAGTACCCCAATATCACTTCAAAACCTAGAACGAACTCAATGTCAGAGGTGTTTAATACCATTAAAGGAAGTCCTCTTTCATCTAGAAGATCGTCATATAGCAGAAAGACGAGTACGTCTGAAGTGAATTCAGCGATTGACAGGCAATTAATGGAAGATAGATTCAAAGAAGCTGATATGGCCTTTGCTAAACAGACACCAACTAAACCAGTCGCAGGTAGTAAGATGCCTGAAAATATTAGGTCTTCAACAAGAAACTCAGTAAATAACGATTGGAGTAGGCATTCTTTTGCATCTGTATCAGATAGTTCGGAAAGTGCTACAGTAAATGGTAACATAGAAATGGAACCAATGTTGATTCCGCGAACTCTATATTTACCATGGTCAACTGCAACGGTGCACGCATTTGCAGAATTCTTTTATACAGGTCAGGTCAATGGTAAATGGATGTTGTCTCCAGTCGTTCTCGACTTATTGGTTATTTCTAAACTATATGAGTTACCTCTCCTATTCAATTTGATATCAGAGGTTCTTTACTCTATTGTTGGGAAAAAGGAAGAAGGCATGTACATTACCTGTAAATCGTTAATTGATTCGTTTTCAAGAAAAGTTTCGACATATTTTGGTAATGATAAAGAAAAGGAAGTGGCATATTTGGAGTCATGTGAAGCTTACAAGATTCTGAAAAAAATCAAGCTTTGCCTTGAAAGAATTGATAACGGATTCTTTGATCTTGATTTGATGAGAAGACATTCTATGTCTAGATCATCATATAATAGCAGTAATGGAAGTACGGTGGAGAAGAAGAATTCACTGGATTTGAGTCCAAGAGGCTCAAGTAATTTGCCAACTATGATGGGAAATGGACCAAGAGATAGTCATGTCTCGATTGAATCGCTAAATTATCCTATGCACATGAATATACCATCATCTAGACGGTCGACAGGAACATTTGCACACAGGACTACAAAGAAATCCAGTTTAAGCAAAGAGATAGATCCGTCTTTCTTTAATGATACAAGTTCCACCTTAAGCCTGCATGACACTGCTATAGTAAAAGATTTCAATGAGAAGATTGCAAAAGCTGATACTATCACGGAAAAGGATTACTCTAGTACCAGTAGCAGTAGCAGTTGTGATCTAGATGATGAATCTGATCAAGAAAAACTAAGACATCTTTCTGAAACTGATTTTGCTACTATTCTTGATACAAGAGACTCAAAATCACATCAATTGAATACTAAAGAGGACATTAACAATTTCGACTTCAGTTTGGGGTTGTTGTCATCCTTCAATGATGAAAAAAACAAGCTCAGGAAGGTAGACGTTGATGAGCCAATTGATCCATTGGCAAAGATCAGTCATAATTTGGACAGTCCAAATAGGTTATACTCGAAGTATAGCCAAGGTTTTGGGAAAATGCCTAAAAGCGGTAGTCAAGCAAGTAATATGGGTTTATTGACTCTAGAGAATTTAGCCTCGCCTAATGCTCTGCCTCCGGATGATGCAGTGATCAAAGCAATCCATCAGACTACAGTCCTAGCAAACGAGGTTAGGTTAATGATTAGATGTGGTGACTGTTTGCAAATATCAAAAGATTTGAGACGCTGTAAAAAAATTATGAACTCTGAACTCACTAAACTTGAAAAGACACATAATGTATCAGAATCTAGGACTAGTATTTCTGCGTCTTCATCGCAAACTAGACTCTCCGACTACCAAAGCAGCACCAATTCTGGAAAGATTACACCAACTGCTGGTGGTTCTGTAACAACCATGGATCCGTTGGTGAAAAGCAAACTAAAGCAAAACTTGACAGGTCAAGAACTGCATCCAGGTATTCATTTCGTAGAAACTCTGCATTCACCAAAATCAGTTGCTGATTTCGAGAGCAAAGAAACCTCTAGCCAACCAGGCGTTCTTAATGGGTTGCACACAGGACTTCACTCAGGATTTCATGCTGGACTTCATACCTCTCCCCACGCAGGTCTTCACTCCAAACCTCAACATAGTCATAGTGCTACTAAGATTCCAAAAGTTTCTCACAAACTGGGGAAAGCGACAACCTCGACTAGTTTGAAATCCGAGAGCAAGTCACCCAGTAGTACTAATCTAGGAAAGAAAGAACATAATTCTTCTTTGGGTCCTTTATCCTTTTTTGGTATTAGAAACAAATAGTTACAAATATTATGTAGTTTTAAGTTTTTGTATAATTCTGAACACATTCTTATAATTTCCATTATCATTGTTGGCAGTCACCTAAGTCATTTGATGAGGGGTTTCCGATATTTTATGTCTTGTTCCAATTTTGGTGAGTAACTGTCAAATAGCGAAGGTGTATACAAAACTGATGTTAAGGTAAAAAGTTGTGATGTTATAGAATCTGGAACAGCTTTAAACTTAGATAACTAGGGAAACATGAAGGAGTATCCTGAAGAATATCTAGGACAGCATATCTCAACATTACCTACACCATGTATGGTCATTGATGAAAAGAAATTCAACTCAAATTGTGAGAATATGCTCAAACATGTCGGCGAGTTAGGTTCTTTAACTGAACATCCTATATTGTTTAGAGCTCATGTAAAAACGCATAAGACAACAGAAGGTACTCTGCGCCAATTAGGATTTGAAGGGACTTCAGCGCCATTTAGATCAAAGGCTATCCTAGTTTCCACAATTAAGGAAGCTGAAGGTTTACTAGAATACCAGGATTCTATCAACGGGGTGTTTGTCGATGACATTGCTTTTAGTTTGCCTGCATGTGTACCAGAAGTATTGGAAAGACTATCATCGATCTCTACAAGGGTAAGTAATCTTAGGGTTTTTGTCGATAATATCGATCATTTGGAAAATCTGAAGCAATTTGGTAGACCAAAAAGTGGCAAAAAATGGTCAATATTTCTAAAGATTGATATGGGAACATCGAGAGCTGGATTGGAAGTTAGATCTGAAGAGTTCAAAGAGTTAGTTGAGAAATTATGTGATGAGTCAGTGAAAGAAGTTACCCAAATATTCGGTTTGTATGCCCATGCTGGTCACAGCTATAGCTCCCATGACATTAACGAAGCTAATGGATACTTGATTGATGAGATCACAGCTGTTAATGAAGCTGCCAAGCTAGTTGGTAGTGTCACAGAAATCGAGCCTAGACTTTTAACATTGTCCGTTGGGGCAACTCCAACAGCAAATTCGTTGAGTACAAAGGAAAACAAAAAACTCATTGATATTATAAGAAATGATTTAGTTGCACCTTTAGAGATTCATTGTGGCAACTATCCATGTTATGATCTCCAACAATATAGCACAAAATGTATTAAATTAAACAAAATCTCTGCCTTCGTCTTAGCATCGATAGTTTCGAAGTATGAGAAGAGAAACGAGGCATTAATAAATGCAGGAGTATTAGCATTAGCTAGGGAGAACTCCTCTATCCCAGGTATGGGATTGTGTATCAACACGGACAAATATTTACATGCTCCAAGAGATTTCGAAGTGAGCTCCTTTGTGAACCGTGTTTCTCAGGAACATGGTATCTTACAGCCTTACAATAGAGATAAATGCGAAGATTGGAAACTAGGTGAGAAGTTACTAGTGATTCCACAACATGCTTGTATAACGATGGCTCAATTTCCATACTACTTTGTATTCAATGATAGTGGTAAAGTAATTGATGTTTGGAAGCCGCATCAAAAGTGGTAAAAGGATAAGACAAAAATGGTTGTGAGTAGTTGCAATACAGTATTTATTATATAGAAATAGTATACCTCAAAGATAGAACAAGATAACTAATAATTATTTGTGTTTGCATAATATCCGAACATCACAGTATTTCAACATTACATATTTATACGTATCGACGAACTGTAATAGCCCATTTAATTTTCATGTCTATGTGCGATGAGAAAGAAAAATTTTTGGGCAGAAGTATAATGAAAACGTTTTAAAACGCCAGTAGTGTAGCATCGAATTGCTTAGGTTTAAGATCAATTGCTTATCTTAAAGGTCAGGAATAGTCACCATATCTCCACACAGTTTGAGGATTCATTTTAAGCGATGAGCAATCCTAGATCTTGGGAGGTTTTGGAACCTGAATTGGGTAAACTATGTTACGATTCGAAGATCTCGAATAGAATACCAATTTTGACTGAACTAAAAGAGATTGTGAAGACCAATAATTTGTCCAGGGAACAATTGCTCAATTTAGCCAGCGTTCTTTTGAACACTTACACAATTTACAAGGACCATGAATCAAAGAAAGCTGTTTGCGATATTTATGATGAGATGATCACAATCGATGGGTCCTTCATTGCGATCTTTTTGGATCACATTGTTGAGACTTTAGGTGATAAGATTGGTACTAAGGCTTTATCGGATTATCTAAATTTGTTAGACAATATCAATCATTTTCTTCAGGTGATTTTAGTCGATTCGAATTTAACTAGCCAATACCTACCGAAAGTGTTGCAATGCCACACAATTACTACTGCTAGTATCGAAACATCACTGGACATATCTGAAAAATCCATGGAATTGGTTAGCGAGAAGCAAAATCAGCACAGAAGAAGAATGAGAAAGACAATTATTCAGAATTCAACAAAATATTTAAACAAGGGTTTAAAGAACACTGAGAATATCCAAGATGTATTGGAGACTATAAGGCATCAGCTACTAGAGGAATATGTGAAGTTGAAACTACCAGTTGCGGGTATCTTGGTCTTTTCGGCTGCTTTAACCAAGGCTGCTCTTCAATTACATGTACAGACACCAATTGTGCTGGAATTTTTAAGGACAACATACTCAAAAGATTTTGTTGTCTTTTTTGGTAAAGAGGTACTATTAGGTAAAACACCACCTTCATCATTATGTGTCGCAACTAGTATCGATACTATATCTCAAGAATTATTCACAGAAGATATGATAAAGAATGATATTATACCAGTCTTGGAAAAGTCTAATCTGAGATCCCCCGAATCCAGCTTTCAATATGCCAGAGCTCTTTTTGGTAGCATTAACGCCAAAACAATCAATATGGCTGAACTTTACGCATCTACGAAACTAATGTCTCAGGCATTCTCTTCATTTAAGAGTTCCAGAGAGGGTACCAAAACCGCTGCAATTTCTTTTACTGTTTCAGTACTGAGATCATTGTGTGTTGAGACAACTGAAGAAAGTGCTCTTTTGAAAATTGTTGAAAACATATTCACCAATTTGAAGACTAATATGAATGCTGATTACAAAGCCATTGTTTCCACATTACTACAAGCTATACCAACCTTCCATGAAAATGTTTCTTTAGATATTGCTGAGAAACTGTCTCCATTGCTGGTGAAAGAATCGAATGAACAAGCACTTGTTAACTTATTAAATCCTTTTTATCAGCACTATTTTGCAACTGGCACTTCAATTGATAAATTTAATACCACAATTATATCTGGACTTCAAGAAAAGAAGGCTCCTCTTAAAAGATGTTGGTTTTCTAGTCTATTTATGAACATCGATACTGTTACAGAGTCAATAGCAAAGACTATTGGGAAACTTTGCACCACATATATCAAAGAAAACTTAGTCCACGCTCAAAGAACAGAGCATAGCGTAGCTTTTAGTATCTTATCTGGCTTTGTGTTCTTTTCAGAGAATGTTTATGCAGAAATTGAGCATGATATAATTGATATTCAAAAAGATGCAATGCTAGGTGAGGCATTTTTGAGAGTATGTACATCTATTGAATTGGATGCAGTAACACGTCAACGTTCTGTAACCCTATTGGAAAAGGCCGTTTCATTGCAAGGTGAAACTATATCAGAAAATGTGATAAATTCTATTGCAAACCTCATGAAACAAGACTCCTTTGAATTGGATGAAAAATGCTCAATAGTATACTTTATACCAATTTTCAATGCATTAGTTACATCAAATGAGGACAAAACTACTCAAGGTAATATCTTGAGATTTCTATTGGTCATCTCACAGTATGATAAATTCAGGATTAAAAATGGTTGGGCCGGTTTGGCTCTCAAATGTGGCATAGATCCTTCTCAGATTATTGCAGAAAACACGAGCACAATTATAAACACTATTATAAGTGAGTCTTCAAAACCCGAACTGTTGAACACGATTTATGGAAGCTGTGTTATCAAGGCAGCCTCATACATAGCATTTATCAATCCTGTTGCTGTTGCTGGGCCAATAGCCAAGCTTTTCAGTGAGGATCTTTCTGTTGCTGATCTTGATAAGTTAACAGAAGAAGATGTAAGTATATGGAAAGGTAATGAAGGCGAAATGGTTATCAATGTGTTGGAAAAGCGCAATGATAGAAAATTAGCTGACAAGAATTCTAAGGATTATGAAACTCTGAAATGGGAAGAATCGATCAGAAAAGAGCAGGCTAAGAAAGCTAATTTGAAACTTTCCAAAGAAGATCAGATGTTAGTTAAGGAACAACTTGAAAAAGAATCCAAAATTAGAACTCATGTTAATGGCATTTATTTGAGACTATACAGAAGTCTTTCTCTAATCAAGCAGTTATCAAAGGAGGCTAAGCTTGTTGACAATGGTATTTTAGTATGGTATCCAACCGCTGTGAACTCGTTGATGAGCCTGATCAGAACGGAGAACTCATATAATCTTCTTGAGTCATTATTAGTTGAATCATTTTTATCTTTATCTGAAAACACTGCCGAAAAGCTAGAACACTACAGACTATTTTGTGGGTTGGCTATATTAAGAGTTTACAAGGCTAAATTTATACCATCCAATTACCTTGAAGAAAATCTAGAAGAACTATTATCAAGGGTATTGTTTAGATTGAAGATTGTGACAAGTAACACTGAACTCGATTCAATTACTTTGACATATTTGCTTCCTCTGATTACTTATGTTCTAGAAGAAGGTAAAAAGGCTGCACTTAAAAATGCGGACAAGCCTGTTAACAGAACTGAATTTGTTGAAGAAGATTCGGAAGAAGAAAATTTGCTTCTTGCCATGGACATCATTTCAGCTCAAGCTCCATTATTTGAGAATTCATCCATTCCAAGGGCCTCAATTTTACAAGTGCTACTATCGCTACTTTCTCTTCCATCTAAAGCTAAAATTGCCAAGGACTGCTTAAATACATTAAGTCAAAGTATCTCAGTACATCCCACAGAAAATGATCTGAAAATCATCATTTCCAGTTTGTTATCGGGGCACTCATTTGTACGTACTACTATTTTGGAAGTTTTGGACAATGAGTATGAATTACAAGAATTCATGAAATTCTCTCCTGAAATATTCATGTGTAGATTTGATTCGGATGATAATAATAGGGAATTAGCAAACTTCATCTGGGAGTTTAACAAATTCGAAATTGTTCCGGAATTACTAGACGGTCTATTGTCTCTATTTTATCAACAAGATAGTGGTCTCCGTTTGTTTTTGGCCCGTGGTTTTGCATACGCTACTTATAATGTTAAGGGAGAAGAATATTTGGAGCAGTCTCTGAAAATGTTAATGAACTTTTATAATGAGAAGGCCCAACCTTTAACTGCTATTCTTGATGAGTTTGGTTTAGTGGTCGTCCCTGCCTCACAAAGAAAAGATCTGTGGGAAGAAAGAAGCACAGCCGCTATTGCACTAAAAGAGCTTTCGCCTGGCTTGCCAAGTGACGGTGATACTGTGGTTTCTGTAATTGAATTCTTGATTGCTGGCCCACTAGGTGACAGAGAACCAATTGTGCGTCAAGAAATGAAAGAAGCAGGTATTGAAATCATTAATCAGCATGGTGCTCAAAAGTCATCACAGTTAGTTCCCCTATTTGAAAGCTCTCTAGAAACCATTAAAGATGTTAATACAAAGGAAAACGTAATTATTTTGTATGGTACCCTTGCACAGCATTTGGATAAGTCCGACAAAAGAATTGGATCTATTATTGATCAATTGTTACAAACGTTAGACACCCCCTCTTTAGATGTTCAGCAGGCTGTTTCTTCCTGTATTGCAGCCTTGGTGTTTCAATTCAAGGAAAATTGTGGATCATACATTACACAGTTGCTAGCCAAGCTTTTAGATTCTACCATTGCTAAGCCTGTAAGAAAAGGTGCTGCTTGGGGTATTGCAGGTATAGTTAAAGGGTATGGTATCTCGGCTTTATCAGAGTTTGATATTATACGTAGTTTAATGGAAGCTTCAGAAGATAAAAAGGATGCTATTAAAAGAGAATCGGTTGCTTATGCTTTTGAATATCTATCACAATCCTTGGGTAAATTATTTGAACCTTATGTGATAGAAGTTCTACCAAATATTTTGAAGAATCTTGGTGATTCTGTGCCTGAAGTCAGAGATGCTACTGCAGCTGCAACCAAGTCGATTATGGCTAACACGACTGGTTATGGTGTGAAGAAGATGATCCCAGTCACTGTTGCAAATCTTGATGAAATTGCATGGAGAACAAAAAGAGGGTCTGTTCAATTGTTGGGTAATATGGCATATCTTGATCCTACTCAACTGTCGAACTCGTTGTCAACAATTGTACCCCAAATTGTTGGTGTTTTGAATGATTCACACAAGGAAGTACGCAAAGCTGCTGATGAATCTTTAAAGCGTTTCGGTGAAGTCATTAGAAATCCTGAGATACAGAGATTAGTTCCAATCTTGTTAAAGGCTATCGGTGATCCGACGAAATATACTGAAGAGGCGCTAGATGCATTGATACAAACTCAATTCGTCCATTATATTGATGGTCCTTCTCTTGCATTAATCATTCATATTATACACCGTGGTATGCATGACCGTTCTGCTAATACAAAACGTAAAGCATGTAAGATTGTTGGTAATATGGCTATTTTGGTAGAAACCAAAGACTTGATTCCGTACTTGCAACAATTAATCGATGAAGTTGAAATAGCAATGGTTGATCCTGTACCAAACACCAGAGCTACTGCCGCTAGAGCTCTTGGTGCTTTAGTTGAACGTTTAGGTGAAGATCAATTCCCAGATTTGATTCCAAGATTATTAGATACATTGAATGATGAGACAAAATCTGGTGATCGTTTGGGATCTGCTCAAGCCTTAGCAGAGGTCATCAGTGGCCTAGGTTTATCCAAATTAGATGAATTACTACCTACTGTTCTTGCAGGTGCTACTAATTACAGATCATTTGTTAGGGAAGGTTTTATGCCGCTGTTATTATTTTTGCCTATTTGTTTTGGTGCCCAGTTTGCACCATATATCAACCAAATCATTCAGCCTATTCTAGCTGGTTTGGCCGATATAGATGAAAACATTAGAGACACTTCATTGAAGGCAGGTAAATTGATTGTGAAAAATTATGCAACAAAAGCCATTGATCTATTATTGCCTGAATTGGAAAGAGGTGTATTTGACGAAAATGAACGTATTCGTCTTTCATCTGTTCAACTATCTGGTGAATTATTATTCCAGGTTACTGGTATTTCATCTAGAAATGAATTCTCAGAAGAGGGTGAAATCGGATCAGAGTTTTCTGGTAAAATGGTTGATGTTCTTGGTCAAGAGCGGAGAGACAGAGTGTTGTCTTCTTTGTTTGTTTGTAGAAATGATACTTCTGGTATTGTTCGTGCAAGCACTGTTGATATTTGGAAGGCATTGGTTCCAAACACCCCACGTACTGTTAAGGAAATTCTGCCTGTTCTTACTGATATGATTGTTACAAATTTGGCATCCTCATCAAATACCCTAAGAAATATTGCTGCTCAAACTCTTGGTGATGTGGTTCGTAGAGTTGGTGGTAACGCTATGGCACAGCTATTGGAGGCTCTCGAAGTGACATTGGAAAAGACTTCTAACCCAGATTCAAGAGAGGGTGTGTGTATTGCCTTGAATGAGTTAGTTATGTCTGCCAGCATGGATACTCTAACCCAATATCAAGATACAGTTGCAAACATATTGAGAAGAACCTTAATTGATTCTAATGAATCTGTCAGACAGGCAGCAGCCCTGTCTTTTGATTCCTATCAAGAGGCAGTTGGTAAGGTTGCTGTGGATGAAGTTATCCCATACTTATTGAATGCTCTGAAATCCAACGAAAACTCAGAATATGCATTGCTAGGTTTACAGGATATTATGGCAACAAAATCGGATGTTATTTTCCCAATTCTAATGCCAACTTTGCTTGCATCACCTATAGATTCGTTCAGAGCATCTGCTTTAGGTTCATTGGCGGAGGTTGCTGGTCCAGCTCTATATAAACGTCTTTCGGTTATTATCAATTCGTTAGTCGACACTTTGATATCTGATGATATTGATGACACAACTAAGGAGGGTGTCAAGCAAGCGCTAGATCGTGTGTTTTTATCTGTTAAGGACGATGAAGGCTTGCACCCATTGCTGCAACAAATTCTAGCTCTTGTTAAGAATGATGACATGAAGAAGCGTATTGTTACATTGCAGTGCCTACCAAACTTCTTTGAGCAGACCTCCCTAGATTTGGATGTCTATGTCCCAGACTTTGTTTCCAATTCAATCATGTCATTGGATGACGAGAATGCTGTTTTCGTGAAGGCAACATTTGAGGCATTGTCTGCGCTTGTGAAGAAGCAGCCTAAGGATATGCTAGAAAAATTGGTTCAGCCAGCAAAACAAGCATTGCAAAGAACTGGTAAACAAGGTGAAGATTTATCAGCCTTTGCACTTCCAAGAGGTCCTAACTGTGTTCTTCCAATCTTTTTACATGGTCTAATGTATGGTTCCGCTGAGGAGAGAGAAGTTTCCGCTTTGGCTATTGCCGATGTAGTTTCAAAGACTCCGGCTGATAACCTAAAACCATTCGTTAGTGCTATTACCGGTCCTCTAATTCGTGTTGTTGGTGAAAGATTCAAGAGTGATGTCAAGGCTGCTATTTTGCTAGCATTGAATATACTGTTCAAGAAAATTCCACAGTTTTTGAGACCATTTATTCCACAATTACAAAGGACTTTCGTTAAGTCCTTGTCAGATCCAACTAATGAGACTTTGAGATTGCGTGCAGCTAAGGCTATTGGTACTTTAATTGAATTCCAGCCACGTGTTGATCCATTGGTGATTGAGCTTGTTACTAGCGCTAAGCAAACTGAAGAAGAGGGTGTAAAGACCGCTATGCTAAATGCACTGTTGGAAGTTGTTGGTAAGGCTGGTTCAAAACTGAACGAAGCTTCCAAGAAGAACATTGTAAAGTTGGTCGAGGAAGAGATGCTCTCCAGTAATGATAAACTAGCTGTTGCTTATGCTAAATTGATAGGTTCTCTATCTGAAATCTTATCAGAAGATGAAGCTAAGAATATTCTTCAAGAAAAGGTGTTAGATGCCGATATGGAAGGTAGCGCCGGTAAGTTTGCGGTATTGATTTTGAACTCGTTTTTGAAAGATGCACCTTCTCATATTTTCAGTTCAGGTGAGATTCATAAGTTTGTTAAATTTATTACTGATGCTATGACATCAACTAATGTTCACTTTGTTGAAAATGCTACATTAGCGGCTGGTAAATTATTGCTTCTACATAATGAGACGAAGTCTCCTTACACAAATATGAAGAACGACGTAACTTTCATTGTCCCTGAGGAGGATATCAAGTCTTTAGTCGAGGAATTAGCTAAGAGTGCATTAGTACCATCTAGTAACACCACAGATCAAAGAAGACTTTCATTAGTTGTTCTGAGAACCATTGCAAGATTAAAGAACGAGGAGACTGTGAAGCCATACTTGGATGTTCTTGCCCCTGCTGTGTTTTCATGTGTCAGAGATGTTGTTATTCCAATAAAGTTAGCTGCTGAAAAGGCCTTCTTGGCTTTGTTCGGTTTAATTGAGGAAGAAGACATGGCTACATTCAACAACTGGTTTGAAAGCGTGAGCAGCAATGGTGCTACTATAGATAACATAGTGGGAACCACTATACAACTGAGGTCGATTGGGGATTACACGAAGAGAGTTGCCAAGAGGCTGGCTGCAGTTGAAAGAGAAAGAACCGCGGCCGGTGGTGATGATGAGATGATGTTCAGTGATAGGTATGAGGATGAAAGAGAAATATGGGCCGTCGGTGGTGTTGAGTTGCCAACGGATATATAGTCAAAAAGAAGAAAGAAAGAACGCTCATAACTACCATCTTTATTTTGGGACCTAACTTGTTGCATTGTATATTAGCATGTACAATATATAGATATTTTATTGTTTTTTAATTAATTCATAAACAATTTATTATACAAAATTGATTCTCTCCATCACGCACAAAAAAGTGTTGTGAAAAGTTATAGCCTCTACTTATTTTCAAGGTAATCAGCCATGGACCACATCATTCTCTCTATTAAAGGCAGTTGCTGCCACCAAGTTAGAGATTCTCCACCGGACTCATAAATCCAGTCCACCAATGGTTGTTTCCCGTAGTATTTAAACAATTTAAAGGAAATGTTAACAATTAGTAGATAGAGGAGTGCTTTAGCCAAGTATCGGAGAGGCACAGTTTGTAAACGCTCTTCTTTTTCTGAACTCATACAGAATTGAGTATAGAAAAGAGATATAACTGTTCTCTGACGAGAGCCTACATACTTTGTCTATATAAACACCCTGAACAACAATCTGCTAGTATCTGGTAGAGAAGAGAAGCTCCTTATATGAGCAACAGCCACACAGTAGGTGCCACAAGGTAGACACGTGACTTTTATAGCCAGTAGTTTCAAAAAATAAAAGTTAAAAAAATTTAATGGTTGCTAAGAGATTCGAACTCTTGCATCTTACGATACCTGAGTGCTCCTGAGTTTGTTAACCCAGTAAGTAATGTTTCAACTTGAATCAGGCGCCTTAGACCGCTCGGCCAAACAACCATACTGTATTTGTTGGATGGGAGAGAATACCAGATGACTATGATAAGTAGTGTAGTATTTTTTTGTTGTGAATATTAATTTTGAGAGAGTAGTATTGTCCACGGTCCCATGTAATATAGACATACCAAAACTACTAATCCGCTGTAATTGTTTTCCCGTGCTGAGAGCTGGTGGTAGCCATATATTGTTTCTAACTGAATCTGTCATGTACAAGGGCATGAATGAAAGTCTGTCATCGCATTGTGTCTGAGTCATTTAGCTCCTCCGTGTCGCAGTATTGCTCTTTCTTCCAATCCCCGATTTGCGATGCCCATTCCGAGCATTCAGTTGGTTCTTAGTAGGCCTTATTAAAGAGCATCACATCCAGCACAGCCATACCGTTGGTATATAAGCTATTGCCATCCTTTTTTTTTTATCTTTTACAAAAATACTGTCTATTGCTAAGCTAGTTCAAGGTAAAGCACCACCGAAATAAATGTCTGCCACCATATTTAACAACATCGAAGAACTTCCTGCTGATGCCCTTTTCGGTATCAAGCAAAGGTACAATCAAGATACCAGAGCCACCAGAGTTGACTTGGGTATTGGTGCGTACCGTGATGACCAAGGCAAACCATGGGTGTTGCCTTCGGTTAGAATGGCTGAAAGGGCAATCCAAGAGGATCCAAGCTACAATCATGAATACTTGGGTATCAATGGTCTTCCAAGTTTGTCTTCCGCTGCTGCTAATGTTATATTTGGTGAAGACTCCCCAGCTTTGAAAGAAGGCAGAACCATCTCAGTTCAATCTTTGTCTGGTACAGGTGCTTTGCACATTGCTGCCAAGTTTATCTCTAAGTTCGCTGCTGACAAGAAGATTTATTTGTCTCAGCCAACTTGGGCTAACCACAACGCCATCTTCAAGGCACAAGGTTTAGAGACTGCTTCTTATCCATACTGGAAGAGTTCTACCAAGTCCCTTGACTTGGAAGGTTTCATCTCAGCCATCGAAAGTGCGCCAAAGGGTTCTATATTCCTGCTGCATGCATGTGCACACAACCCAACTGGTTTGGACCCATCTGAGAAGCAATGGCCCGTTATCCTGGATGCTCTGGTCAAGGGCGATCACTTGGCCTTATTCGACTCCGCTTACCAAGGTTTTGCCTCCGGTGACTTGGACAAGGACGCCTTTGCTGTGCGTTTGGGTGTCGAAAAGTTGGCCTCCACTTCACCAATCTTTGTATGCCAGTCTTTCGCCAAGAACGTCGGTATGTATGGTGAAAGAGTCGGTTGTTTCCACTTGATCCTACCTAAGCAGAATGCCAATCTCGCACCAATCAAGTCTGCTATCACATCTCAAATATCTAGTATTATCAGAAGTGAAGTGTCCAACTCCCCAGCTTATGGTGCCAAGATCGTTTCTAAGATTTTGAACACACCAGAGCTTACTAAGCAATGGCACGAAGACATGGTTACCATGTCATCTAGAATCAAGGAGATGAGAATCGCATTGAGAGACCATCTAGTTAAGTTGGGAACTCCAGGTACTTGGGACCACATCGTCGAGCAATGCGGTATGTTCTCTTTCACAGGCTTGACCCCAGAGATGGTTAAGAGACTGGAGGTCCAGCACGCTGTCTACTTGGTCTCCAGTGGTAGAGCCTCTATTGCCGGCCTAAACTCCGGCAACGTTGAGTACACCGCAAAGGCCATCGACGAAGTAGTCCGTCACTACTCAACTTCCAAGTTGTGAAGTTCCGGAACCACTCCTCTCTACCTCTTACAAAAGACATTTTACCTACATAGTTCATAACACACATTTGTTAATATCTCAGTAACTCCTTTTCAGTTCAAATATAATATGAAGAACCCAAATATATCTAGTTTATTAGCCTGAATACCAAATTATCGGTATATTCCTTCCTAATTAGGAAATGAGTTGCCTAATTAGGCAACTAGCTGTTCTAGCACACAGTCCCAAAACGGCAATTTTCTGGTTTTCCGTTGTGGACATGGGCTTTGAAGGTCAAGCCGATTTCTCACTGCAGACTAAAGCGATAGCAAAATTAGAACTTTTGGCAAAATGCGAAGTGTAATAGCATTAGCAGGGATTGACACGTTAAAGACTGGGCGTGAATACCTGGCGTATACTAGGCTGGAGACACCCTGTAGAGAGTCCAGCAACTGTGGTTAGCAATTATAAGAAGTGGCTTTTTGGTTTGCTATTACCTTCCCTCCTGGCAAGCTCAGCATCGAAGAAATTTGTTTGAGAATAGTTTAATTTTGAACTCCGATCGGAATATATATTATTGAATACTCTTATTTGAAGGGAATCTAGCTATGAATATAAAGAACCGTACGTTTGAGTTTCAGCAGAGTGTTGCGACATATAAGAAGCGAGTGAAGAAGAACGATGCCACTTCCAATGGTAAGCCTCAAGCTGGTGTTTCAGAGTTCCAAAAGAAAGCATCTGCTATAGCGCGTGAAATCTCTTCTAGTGCGCAGCTGCTTTCCAAACTGGCGCTCTTGGCTAAGCGGAAGCCAATGTTGAATGACAACCCGGTGGAGATTGCTGAGCTCTCATTTCTGATAAAACGAAAGATATACGCCATTGAGCAAAGTTTAATAGATTTGAGTAAACTTCAGAAGGTACAGAGGAATGGTGGTAACAGTAGTGCTGGTTCTACTACGGACGTTACAACTCAACACTCAAAGAATGTAGTAAATTTACTGAATACAAAGATGAGAAACATATCTGGTGGTTTCAAGGATGTTCTCGAAGAAAGACAGCGTATGGAGATGGCTAATAGGGATAGGTGGGAGAAGATAAACTCGACATCAAATTCCACTTCGAGAGCAATGTCTAACACTCAGGATTCAGAGAATAAAAACTTAAACGATAACGCCATGGTTAATGAGGTTGCCACATACAATCATTCCAATCCATTCATGAGCTCATCTCTAATTGATGAAGAATCTCATGCCAATGCTAATAAAGGATCAGAGCTAGCCCTGCCACAGAGTGACTCCCAGATGTTGTTAATGATGGAGGAAGGGCAAATGGCAAATAACGTATATTTACAAGAGCGTAATAGAGCTGTGGAGACCATTGAGTCTACCATCCAAGAGGTTGGTAATTTATTCCAACAGTTAGCTTCCATGGTTCAGGAACAAGGTGAAGTTATACAAAGAATTGATGCCAACGTCGATGAAGTTGACCTAAATATAACAGGGGCGCAAAGAGAATTGTTAAAGTATTTTGATAGAGTTAAAAGCAATCGTTGGCTTGTTGCCAAGATCTTCTTTATAGTGTTCGTGTTTTTCCTTGTCTGGGTGTTGGTCAATTGAGGATAAGGTATCGGGTTACTAGAACAAAATGACATTATTCTGTATATGTATAATTACTTGGAATTATGATAGATCCTGGCCCAGCTGTAAACTTATTTGCATGGAATATTTTGAGCAGTTTATATATGTGTAATGTTTTATTATTTCATTCAGAGACTCCCAAAAGTTTTCACTTTTTTTTATATTTTGGTGTTGCTGTTCGCATATAATGCAGAGGCGTAGTCATAGTTGATTCACGTCAAAGGTAACATAATACCATAAAAATAGATAAGCCATATATATGAAACCACAATTAATATATAGAACAAAAAATATGAAGTGTATGAGATATTACAAATGTGAATTAATGATAAAGATTGGACAATTTGATCTAGGAATTGTTCAAAAGGATCAGGTAAAACATGCAGAAATACATAGTAAAAAAAATGACAGATAACAAAAGGAAGACGTATATTTCTATTGACAATCATCTAGGCTTTTTTGTGTATTTTTTTGTTTATTGCCTTAACTTTTAGTATGCTTTTTTTTTAATTTGAATGCTGAAGAATAGGCAAAGAGATTGAAATGAGCTGAAAACTGTCCAGGTTAAGAACCACGTTGTCACACGACCTTCAATTTTATAAGTTTAGGGGTTCGCGCAAAAGATACAGTATTCAAATTTCATGAAAATGGATGTATATGAATGTTTCCATCTTTCCTTCATAGGCCCATCTCAGCTTGTAGTTCCCGTAGTGCTCTTTCATCCTCGTCCTCTTCTTCTTCTTCGATTTTGGTCTTCGATTCGTCTATCTTAGTGTTGGGTATATTTGGCATGGAGAGGGCCTGTTTGCTCTCGGGCAGTGCCTGTTCCTTTGTAGCTACCTGTGGTTCTGTTTCCTGTGCTAGCATGTCCAGTTCTTCGTCCAGCTCGTCCTCGTCTATCTCGTTGGCGCCGGTGTACAGTGGTCTTGATATGGCGTCGCTGATCTCTTCTCCGAGCTCGACTTGCTCGCGTATCTCGTCCATGGTCTCGTCGACCCTGTCGATGTCCAGTCCCGAGTGTATCGACTTCATAGCCTTCGCACCTTGTTTCATGGCCCGCATGGTCTCCAGGTTCAAGTTCGCACTCTCTATCGAGAACAGCTGCTGCTCCAGCGAGTCCATCTGCGACTCCAGCTTCACCAGCTGGCCCTCGTACACTTTCTTCTTCTTCAGCGCATTCTTCGCCATAGTCTTGTTGCCCCTCGTCAGGAACTTGCGTGCCTCGTTCTCCTGCGCAGTGATCTGCCCTTGCAGATGCGCCTGCTTCTTCGACAGCAGGTTGATGTGCTCCCGCAGCTCAATGATCGCCTTCTTCGGCAACTCCTTGTTCGTGTTCCCCTTACCTCCAAATATAGACGCCCACATCCTTGTGCTTGTTGTTGTTGTGCTTGTTGTGCTTGTTGTGTTGTACTTGTAGTGTTATCCCCCCCTTCACATTTATAGCCCTTTTTGAAGTTTCTTCCAAAGTCAGCGAAGAGAAGAGAAGTGCCACTTTCGCAGCTAGGAAGGTATAAGGGAAACTGTACTGGTGTACGTACAGCATATGATGATACGTGGTGGGGTATATAGAATATACACTATTACGTGATGATCATATGACTACCCGTGGTAAAGTAGAATATATACGTATACACGGGATATCATATGATGGCCACATATACAGATACTCCAAGTAATGTATAACGGCAATCATATGATATACGTGCAACTGTACTGTCCCTTCCCCCCCCCACTTCACCTCCATTCATCCGAGGACCTAATACCCACTTCACTACCCACTACCCACAGTGAGAGTGCAATGCAGTACGTTCGTGTGACAAGATGGGGCAGTTTGCCGTCTTTTCTACAAAGAAGGGCGGACTTCTCCGAGTCTGAACGAGTCTGAACAGAGTCTGGACAGGAGAAGGTGTGCAGTGCTGCGGGGGTTTATGTGTGTGTTGTAAGCTTGTTACCTTCGGAATGGCCTTCTCACGTCTGATTGGTTCCCTTCTGCGAATTGAATAACATCGAATAGACTCTGCTTCTCACTCTAGTATAAATGAAACAAACCTTTGCTTTACCTGGAATAAGATGGATAGAGGGGAGAAAAGGCAGGTAATACCATACACTAAAGAGGAATAAATACCAAAGAAAACAAAAACATGCTGTCTCTGGGATTGATGAACAGAAGTGCTGGATGCACTAGAAGAGCGGTCCTTCTTATCCGTGGTGCAGCTCAGAGGAGGCTGTTGAGCAGTTCTGTGCGCAGACTAAACACGATGAAGTCGTCTATGAACGCTGAGGAAGAAGCGCTACTGAACAAGCAGCGTGCTCTGAGACCTATCTCCCCACACTTGACCATATACCAGCCACAGCTGACATGGTACATGTCCTCCGTGCACAGAATCTCACACCTGATCCTCGGCGGTACTTTCTACGTGCTCACTATCCTGTTCGGGCTTGGGTACTTCGTCTCCGGCATAAACACCGAGTCCGTCTCGCAGTGGTACCACAAGCACGTCTCGCCAATGACCGAGCAGATCGTCAAGGCAGGGTTCGCCTTCACTTTCGCCTTCCACTACTTCTCCACCATCAGACACTACATCTGGGACTTCGCAAAGGAACTGACCTTGAAAGGTGTCTACAGAACAGGCTACTCCGTGCTGGCTTTGACCGCCATCGCAGGTACATACATCTGGAACATGTAATACACCTGCACCCCCAAAACTATTTATTTATATACCATGTATATTCAACATGAAATCTCATGAACAATTTTTGCAAACGATAATGTGGTCCTCGTGCATATGCTAGTAAGACGTGCTTGTAAGACGTGCTTGCAAACTATGCCTGTACACAAGACTATGCTGCGCAACCTGTTGCTTATGCTGGTGGAACATTGAGATCGTTATGTACGCCATAACAAAAAAAAGGTAGCCCCTTATGTAAAAAGTTGACTAAGCGATGAGCAACGTTAGTCATACCCACAACTCCCCCCCCACACACATATAAGAAGACTAAAGACACACGCTACAACAGACCTTGCATCACACTCCGACATAACAGCATAACCTACTAGTATTGCAGATATGATATTCAACAGCTTCACGATCACGGACTATGTGATCGTTCTGCTCGTTTACCTCGAGTCCATGGTGGCTTTCTTCCTGAAGCTGGTGCCTCAGCCCATAATATCGCTGCTGGAGTGGTTCATCGACTACTCGTTCAGCGAGGACAACACCTCGTTCGAGGAGCGTCTCCGCACCGCGGTTACCATCCATGACATGTGCCGCTTGTTCGGGATAGAGGTCGAGGACCACCTGGTGCGTACCGAGGACGACTACATCCTGACCCTGCACCGCATCCCGCCAAGAGAAGGTACCGCTAACGGCAAGACAGTCTACCTGCACCACGGCCTGCTGATGTGCTCCGATGTCTGGGTCTGCCACGTCGAGAGACACAAGAACTTGCCCTTTGTGCTTCACGACCTGGGCTTCGACGTCTGGATGGGCAACAACAGAGGTAACAAGTACTCCACAGCACATTTGTACAAACAGCCTAAGTCCAAGGAGTTCTGGGACTTCTCCATCGACGAGTTCGCATTCTTCGACATTCCAAACTCCATCCAGTTCGTCCTCGACAGATGCAAGATTGACCAGCTGATATGTATCGGGTTCTCTCAGGGCTCCGCCCAGATGTTTGCCGCGCTAAGTATCAGCGAGGACCTGAACAAGAAAGTGTCCCATTTCATCGCCATCGCCCCAGCCATGACTCCAAAGGGTCTGCACAACAGAATCGTGGACACTCTCGCCAAGTCCTCTCCGACTCTGATGTACTTGTTCTTCGGACGCAACATCATCTTGCCCTCGGCTGTGGTCTGGCAGAAGACTATACACCCTAAGCTTTTCAACTTCTTCATCGATTTCGGTAACAGAATCCTGTTCAACTGGAAAGCTCTGAACATCACTCAGAAGCAAAAGATGGCTGCTTACTCGAAACTTTACTCTACAACCAGCGTGAAGTCCATCGTGCATTGGTTCCAAATCCTTAGAGCACAGAAATTCCAAATGTTTGAAGAACAGGACGACATGTTTAACTCCTTGACTAGACCATACAAGATCCCAAGGTTCCCAACAAAGACTAACATCAAGACCCCTATCTTGCTAATATACGGCGGTGTCGACTCGTTGGTTGACATCAATGTCATGAGGAATAACCTGCCCTTAACAAATGTCTTTGACATAAAAGTGGACCTACATGAACATCTTGACCTGATCTGGGGCAAAGATACCGATACGCTCGTGATTGCCAAAGTATTGAGATTCATAGAGTTCTTCAGCGGCGAGAAACTACTACAGTCCACTACACTTTCTCTTGGCGAGCCAGAAAGACTCATGCCTGTTAAGACGCCAATCAGCCAACACACTAGCAGAAGAAACAGCAACAGTAGCGTTGGCACAGAAAATGCGACTCCTTCAACGTTTAACGTTCGTAAGACTACGACGCCCTCTAACTACAGGTACGAACAAACGGAAAGCCCAACCGCCCAATACGGTTTAGAGAAGTTGAACTCTCTGTACTCCAACGTTGGAAGGGGGCTAGAAGATATTGACGAGAAGGAGGCCTTCCTGGACTACAATACCGGCGACAAGATGGACGAAATCCAAAAGACGAACTCAATCAACCAACGCAGACTGAGCGAGTACCTGGACTCATCCACAGACTTGAAACAAATGGACAGCAATGCTACCACCACCGTCAACACTCCCAACTAATCAAAAGACAGTTCTGTCCGTTTCTTTTTCTAAGTACGTTTACGTTTATTAGTTATTATCTGAACTTTTTAATTCTATTTCCAAGCACAGTCAGTAAATGATCTTCCACCTCCCCTTTATATATATTACATAACAATATACCAAATAAAAAAACCAATACTAATGCAAGGATATAATCCTGACATTGCCTATATTCACAACAATCGATAATATACTACCTGCTGATAGCTATACTTTTTTTTTCAAGATGCTCATCGATTTTTTTCTCACAGCGAGGAAAAAATGTTAGAATGCTAACACATAAAGAGGATTCACAACAAATACTACTTTCACCAGCTGTCATAGCCGGAATCAACGTACTTGACACATCTCATAGGACAACAGTATTAGGTGAACATTGGTAGACGCGATTCATATTAATTTCCCCCACAACTTATCCTGGCAGTTTTGAATTACGGACATTGTCATAATTTTAGTGACAGCGAAGTTGAACTTCAGTTTGGAAAGATTTATTTAGACTTATTGCGAAAGAGCTTTGGATTATCGAAGTAGTGCATATTTGGTCAATATTATCTTGGAGCAATTTTCATTTTGCGAACCCTCACATACTCAAGAGCTCTCAGGTACCAAGATGTCATTTGCTGGGTACTCTGGTAATTCCAATTCGAACTCCCATTTCAAGAGGCGGAACACCACGCAGACCGATAGAGATGGTGCCAATACACATAATAAGAGGTCAAGGCCGAATAATTATAGTAAAAATGCTGATTTTGCGAAGAGTAACGATATGAATGATAGGAACAATAGCAAACCAGAGTTTACAGGCTCGAGGTACCAAGGTGGGAAAGCCAGCAGGTTTCCGAAGAAGGATTATGAAGAGAGTTCGAACAAGAACAGGAATAGAAATCAAAATACGAAGAGGTTCCAAAGCACAAAACCAAACAGAAAGCTGAATGTTAATGAGAGTCGATTTAGAGAAGACTACAACAATAAACATGGCAGAATCTCTACACGTTACAACAATTTCACAACAGGCAATACAAGCGATATACGGACTAATGGTAACAACACGCCTTTACGACAGGATGACAGAAATACTATAACCAGGCCATCTAACAATGCCAATAATAACCAGGATTCAGGCAGGAAAATATTTGAACTTCCCAAGGGACCAAAATCAACAATATCTAGATATAACACTGGAGAACCATACAAAGGTACAAAACCTCAATCTATACCAACTCCTACTCTACCTACTACTTTCCTATCGAGACCCATGAACGACTCCGTGTATGAACGATTATTACAAGTTGGTGAAGGTACATATGGTAAGGTCTACAAAGCTAGAAATACAGTTACGAAAGAACTTGTTGCACTCAAGAAGTTAAGACTACAAGGGGAAAGGGAAGGATTTCCAATCACTTCAATTAGAGAAATCAAGTTATTACAAAGTTTTAACCACGAGAACGTGTCAACAATAAAGGAAATTATGGTGGAAAGCCAGAAGATCATATACATGATCTTTGAGTATGCCGACAATGATCTTGGGGGGTTGTTACTAAATAAACAGATCAATATTAATGCGGCACAATCGAAACACATATTCAAACAAATTCTTCACGGTATCGAATACCTACACGATAACAACATACTACATCGTGACATAAAGGGCTCTAATATTCTTATAGACAATCAAGGCTCACTTAAGCTCACGGATTTCGGTTTAGCTAGAAAAATAGATTGTAACAGAGATGCCATCCGAGATTATACAAATAGGGTCATAACGATATGGTATAGGCCGCCCGAGTTGTTGCTAGGTACAACAAATTATGGACCTGAGGTAGATATGTGGGGTTGTGGGTGTATACTTGTCGAGTTGTTCAACAAGATGGCAATCTTTCAAGGTACAAACGAGCTGGAGCAACTTGAGGCTATTTTCAAAGTCATGGGCTCTCCAAGTATAGAACAATGGCCGAATATTTTTGATATGCCCTGGTTCTTCATGATTATGCCTCAACAAGCTACCAAATATCCAAACGTTTTTGAGGAAAAGTTTAGGGCAGTGCTAGAGACAGACAATTGCTTCAAGTTGGCACAGGGTCTACTACGTTATGATCAAGAAAAGAGGCTAACAGCCAGCGAAGCGCTACAAAGCGAATATTTCAAAGAAGATCCTCAACCGCAGCCTCTAATATTGAATGACGCTATAAGTTGCCACGAGTTTGAAGTAAAGCTGGCCAGAAAACAACAAAAAAAGAAAGAACAGAGCAAGTCTACCACCTCTTCTGCTTAAATGTGTCTTCTGCATTTTTTCAACCTGAATAGTATATGTTTGCGTTGCATCTTTTGCATACCTATATATTTCATTTTACAACTAGCACCAATACCGCAAACTATACCGTTTCTCCGCAGGCATAGCACAGATTCATGGATTTTCCCATTAGGTCGAAACATATTTTATTAATTGCATCACAGTTAATTATGTGTCATATATAAATAACGAATATAGAACTAGTTTTATATTAATAATACAGCACGTCCTTCCCCCATCATCGGTCCATTTTGGCCACAAATAGTATCAAAAAGCATGGGAGAAACGCCAAACAAGAATTGAAATTGTAGAAACGTCACCACCCCCAGTTTCATTTTTCACCTCCACCAAGCATTTGGTCCTCAAAACACCGACTACTACCGATAAGCCAACTGCTGTTCACCTTCCCCAATTGCCCGACCAGGTTCTCATTGCATTGTTTAGACATGGTATCGAGATGTCTCGTTGTCTCCTTCAAGTTCTGGTTCAGCTCTTCCAATTGCTGAGCTAAATGCGCATACTGTCTCTGTTTAGTATTGTTCATACCGAATTCTTACTTAACTTCACGGGTTTGTAGCACTGTTTAGCATCCCAGTTGATATGCTTCTTGATCTATCAAAGACAAAGATCATCGCAAAAAGTCTTTAAAAAGTGCAAAAATTGAAAACATTGCTTTAAATTGTAGTAGTGCTGGCAAAATAGGTCTAATACAATGGAATTATAATGTGTTATATATATACATGAATGCATTTGATTTGTAATTAGCTTAGATACAGATATTTGAATTATTAGCTTTTGTAGCGGTTCTCGAGCTCGGTTTTTGACCTGAATTTGGACAATGAGGTCGCACCCTAAGGTTTTACTAAAAGAATTGAGGGTTGCGCCTAGCTGAAATCTTAGTCCACTTTGGCACCTTGTGTATACCTTTCCTGTAGCCTCTGCTCTTCTTGTCAAACACTGTGTATTTGTCCTTTGCTGACATCTGGTACTCCTTAGGGAAGAACGACGCTTTGTTCAGCAGACGCATAATGGCACTTCTGGGCTTGTACTTGCGTTCTTCCAGTGCTTGTTCAAACTGCAACCCTTTCTCCTGACAGCGCTGTACGTGCAATCCAAGTGTTAGGTTCTTCACTACATCATCAACAGCCTTTAGCCTCTGTCTTTGACGGAACTTCTGGGGACCGGACATCCTCCATGGAACTTTCCACAACAACCCGCCTTGCAGGAACTGAGTACCTCTGAATGGACCAAACATCTTAATTACGGTTGCTTGGAGGGTTCTTGTAATGCCTAGACTACTATCCAACAGTAACTTCTTTAATAAATTCTCCAGGAAATCCTCCTTCCAAGTGTCTCAAGAGTGACTAAGAACGAGGAACCGGCAGAGGACAAAGCACTGGAGGAGACAATTAAAAGTGCTTGAGTACAGCTTATATTGAAACCAACTCAGCTTGAAACGTTGCTATTTGAATCAATTAGAATAGTACTGAGAGAATAGTTGCAACAATGTCTGAGCAAGCAGCTAGCGAAAGCGGGCGTAGAGTGCCCTTGTGGGTTTTGAATGCTAGGGAGGAGAAGGAGGCCAGGACGAACTTGAAGAACATGGCTTACAAGAACTGTGATGAGTATGTGAAGGCTATGGCTGATTGTGCAAAGCAGAATGGTCTCAAATGTTTTCCGGCTTGTGATCAACAGAGAGCAGACATGAGGCAGTGCCTGCTGTTCTACCAGACAGATCATTACTTGGATGTTGAGAGGGACAAGATTGTTCAGAAGAGAATCGCCAGGCTGGAAGAGATGGTAAATAAGCAGAAATCGTGATATGCTGGCTATCGACACTAACATATATTCAGGTTCCTCTCTTTTTAAAAGGTACAACGTTTGTTATGAAATGCAATACAATAACTTTCACTGTAAATAAATTTAATGACCATTACCCCCATACAATAGACTTTTCTTCTCCAGTACATTCCAATAAATATTTAAATCAAATACCAGATTTCAGAACGTATTATGCAATATTTTTCACTATACTAATCTATGTATATCGATGTTATATAAACTATGAATAAAATCTTAAAAATGATAATTTCTCATAGGAATTAAGAAAGTGTCAAATCCTTTTCTGGCGCCAAATTGATACAGTTCCATTAAAACAGATCAAGTAAATCTTGCGTCGTCGTGCTCTTTTTCTCATTAATGTTTAGATTCTCAACTTTCTGTGAAACGCTACCCACAGTAGCATTTGTAGAACTAAAACCAAACAAGTCATCGAGCTCAGAAAGTGCCGACGGTTGCGGTGTACTGTTGTTATTGTTACTTGTAGACATCATATCATCATCTTCGTCACCGAAATCCAACAAAACATCATCGTTAGCTTTATTTTCTAATTCATTCTTAGCTATGTCTTGCAACTCTTCTAGCTGTTTGTTGTTAACAATATTTTGCACGTACTTCACTCTTTTGTTGCCCGAGTCTAGTTTGAAATTTATGGAGCTGATATTGCCCAGCTGTCTTAGCAACTTTTCTAATAGCTCAGGAGAGAATTGGTCTATAGTAGAATTTATCTGAGGTACTTGACTGGAGCACAAAGAATTTATTAGTTCATCAACATTTGGTAGAGAAAGGGTTCTCCAGTACACCATGGCCATATCTCTAACATCCAATTCCTTTGTTTCTTTAGTAGATGTATCTAAAACAGATTGAAGTAAGTCACTCGGCAACATATTATGTAATCTGACCGTTGTAATTAATATTGACATTTGTGTGGACGTGTTCTCATTGACAAAATTATCTACAAAACCCTTCATTTTACTTTCCAGTGATGAGAACAGCCTAGGATACTGACCCATGATCCAAATATATTTACATTTAGCTGCATCTGTTGTCAGTTCTATTTCAGGAGACTCCCAACTATTAAGCACTGAGCAAAGTTGCTTTGCGAGCTCGGCATTGTTATTCGTGTGTCTTAACAGATCAATTGCTGCAGAACAGCAATCATCCTTGGACTTTTCCCGTACTTCTAGTAGTTCCACTAGAATATCCATTACTTTCTGAATAAACGGCAAATCTGAATACTTGATTGCTAATTGAGACAAAGCTAGGATAACTCTGCTAACGAATTCTGGTTCAAAATCCATAGCATACTCCTTCAGTTCGGCCAATAGTAGATTACATTGTTTCAAGTTAGATGGATCAACCAGTCTAACTAGAATATCAATCTTCTCAACTTTAACATATAATGGGTCATTGAACTTAATATAGAATATTCTCAATTCCTTGGTCAATAGTTCTGGGTATTTTTCCAATACAATCCTAATATTCTTCAATGCTACATATTGCATCTCTGGAGGAGTAGACATTAGAGAAACAAGTGCAGAGGAGAGTTTCTTCATTATTGATGCCCTCTTGCTACTGTTATCGGCAATGATTAGTGGCAGGTTCTGAATGATAACTTTAATTGTGGCCAGCACAACAGCTGGATTTACGTGTTGTAAATGTGCAGTAACTCTATCAATAATATCCTGTGCTTCAACACCATCTCTTGCGCTGTACTCTGCCAATGCTGTCAGTATTGTGATTCTGGCCCACTCAGTACATTCATTTAGTGCTAACAAAAACTGAGAGACATGGCTTTGAATTAGTTGAGGTAATTTCACGGCCGTTGGGTCCATATTGTTTATTTCCACTAGTGCGGCGGTGGCATTGGCCACCACCATTGGGTTGGAATCATCTAGGGCACTCTGAAGATCTTCTAACACGCCCAGTTCGACACATAGTTGTTTGTTCAATTGGAACAGCTTGGCAACACAGATGACTGCAGTCTTTCTAACGTACGGGTTATCATCCTGCAACGTCTTCCTCAGTGGTGTCTCGATATACTCTAGGATTTTTTCCACTCTAATCAGGGACATGGTCCTGATCGCCATACAACGGATCAATGGGTTAGGGTCTTGGGCATCCTGGATAAACGTATTGACAGCCAGGATACAAAGCTCTGGGTGCGTCTCTGCGTAGTTCATCACGTATAAGTACACCAGCTTCTTTTGTTCCACATCATTGGTAGCAATGTTCTTTAGCACATCCGGGAACAACGAGGAGACATCCTTACCCAGAGTCATCTGCTGTATGGTCTTCTTGATAGCATCCTTTCTGGTCTGCGAGTATGGTGACACCAGTCCGGCCCTCAATTCAGCCAGTTCACCTTTGCTGGATATTTTAGGTGCAACTCGTACCGAGTCCTTCAGGAACTTTTTAATCCTCTTGTCCAATGGTGGCATGATATGTGCAAGCGACTATTTCCAACGTGATTATTGTGTGGAGTTCAATTGCCTTGTGTATTATTCCAAGTGAACAAAGCCCTTTTTGATTTCTATTTAAAATGGTATTGCTGGCAATTTGAGGGCTATGAATTGTTCTAAAAACCTGAGATTACGATCACACAAGAAACCGTGGTAGAAGATACCACCAACAATGCAATAATAGCAAAAACTAGACTCGATGTGGATGTGAACAAGACTACATAAACTTTACCTTACGCTTAATCTACTAAAGACACCATCCTGCATTCCAGCTAACTCGAACCTATCAGAAGAATAAAAGACAACGCCACGGAATTGCAACTAGCATCTACAGATACAGAACAATTAATTCCCAAGTAGTTTGGAACAACAATGGCTATAACCTCTATAGCAACTTAATATTTGAATGGCACTTATGCCAATAGTGTTCAAAGAGTGCCTGGCAGCTATACACAGAGAGCCCAACAGCGAAAGAAACCGACAGCACTGCGAACGTCAACTAGGCACATGATGACATACCGTATAGTGAGATAACTCGTGACTTTTGTATTGAGTTCCAGAATATACGCAGAGAAATGGCCATCTCCAAGCGTATAGCATGGAACGTTTGGTGAAGATGCTCTCAAAGCCCAATTTTCATGAAAAATTTTCAAGTTTGACCCAAATTCTGTTTTGCAAAGCTTTGAAGCATTGCGGAATGAAAAAAAAAAATTCGATGAGGTGGTTGAGTTGTCTGTGCAGATGTTTTACTGGGTTAATTCAGTTTTCTTGCATTTGCCAATTGGAAATTATTTTTTTCTTTGGTGTAAAAATTTTTTCTCTCTACTTTTTGCAACTTTTTTTTAATATATAAGAGCTTAGAATAATTCTTTTTTTATTTCTTTGTATTTCTCTTACTAGTTCATATTTCTTCTTTATATATTTGAAAGTCAGACATCCAGGTATAATATAATAGAAATGGCATCTAACGAAGTTCTAGTTTTGAGAGGTACCCTAGAAGGTCACAACGGTTGGGTTACATCCTTGGCCACTTCTGCTGGTCAACCAAACTTGTTGTTGTCCGCTTCCCGTGACAAGACTTTGATCTCTTGGAAGTTGACTGGTGACGACCAAAAGTTCGGTGTCCCAGTTAAGTCCTTCAAGGGTCACTCCCACATTGTCCAAGACTGTACCTTGACCGAAAACGGTGCTTACGCTCTTTCCGGTTCTTGGGATAAGACTTTGAGACTATGGGATGTTGCCACCGGTGAAACTTTCCAAACTTTCGTCGGCCACAAGGGTGATGTCATGTCCGTTGCCATCGACAAGAAGGCTTCCATGATCATCTCTGGTTCCCGTGACAAGTCCATCAAGGTCTGGTCTATCAAGGGTGACTGTTTGGCCACTTTGATCGGTCACAACGACTGGGTCTCCCAAGTTAGAATCGCCAACTCCTCTGACGACGATGACAAGGTTACCGTTATCTCTGCCGGTAACGACAAGATGGTTAAGGTATGTTAAATTTTATTTTCTTCACTAAACTAACCGATATTGAATTTTTTCCTTTGATTACACTACGGCTCCTATTATTGGAAATTTGTGCGACATTTGGGTTATCAAACTGATTACCGATCATCTAACTGACACATACATGGGTATCAAATGCTGAAACAATTAACACTATTCAAATGATGTATTACAAATATTTGCTACTTCGGACGTTGCCTTCCACGGCTTCGAATGAGACATACTAATTATCACCAAGATCTCTGATGAATTAATAAAAAATTGTTTCTAGCCTTTGAAATCCTGATATGCCAGGGAAATGAATACTATGGTATTTCGATACACTTTGACAACATTATGGAACACAATCCAAAGTAATGGTGAATGTAATTAGGCAATATCGGATGGTACATGATAAATTTATGAACCATTTTTACTAACAATTTATGATACAAATTCTCTTTGTTTAACAACTACATTTCAAGTAGAGTCATATGACTTTTTTTGAAAACGTATGTTATTTGCAATATTGAATATGTAACAATTGCAACAGTCCTGGAACTTGAACCAATTCAAGATTGAAGCTGACTTCGTCGGTCACAACTCTAACGTCAACACTGTCACTGCTTCCCCAGATGGTTCTTTGATTGCCTCTGCCGGTAAGGACGGTGAAATTATGTTGTGGAACTCTGCTGCCAAGGTCCCAATGTACACCTTGTCTGCTGGTGACGAAGTTTACGCTTTGTCCTTCTCTCCAAACAGATACTGGTTGTGTGCTGCCACTGCCTCTGGTATCAAGATCTTCTCCTTGGACCCACAATGTCTATTGGATGACTTGAAGCCAGAATTCGCTGGTTACACTCAATCCGCTGAACCACATGCTGTTTCCTTGGCTTGGTCTTCTGACGGTCAAACTTTGTTCGCTGGTTACACTGACAACGTCATCAGAGTTTGGCAAGTCATGACCTCTAACTAAGTTTGAATAGAAGATAAGAGTTATTTAATCTCATCTTTTTATTTAGATATTTAGTTACTGGTCAATCACCATAAGAATTTTTACTTCTTAAACATGTTTAGCATCTATAAAATGGGCCCATTAATGGCTCCTTTTGATAGATTAGTTTTTCGGACTACATAATGTATAATAATGAAATAATATTAATCGGATACGTACAAACTTTTTTGTGATTATTGTTTCACGAATTAATCATTGATAAACTATATTTGTATTATCAAAATCTTTTAGAATATATATGGGTAGTAATCAATATATACAGTCGGAAATTCAAAAAGAGGTCATACTGGGAGAAGATAGCTTTCTATAAATCTTCAGAGTCACCAATATATGTCATAGCCTCAGCGCCACCTTTGGCTAAATCAGGCTTTTCAAGTACATCTGCAATACAACTCCAAGGGTTTTTCAGTCCACCCCATTTTAATACCCTTTCTTTGAATTTCTCACCTCCAGTTCTGTTGAATGGATCGTCTTTAAAAAGACTGTCCCAAACTTTTGAGGCTATGGCTCTATCAAATAAATAACTATAGTAAGTCGCACCATATCCAAACAAGTGACCAAAGCGACCACACCAGTTGCTCTCATCATCAGCAAGAACTTGTAGTCTCGTTTCTAGTTTCTGATAAATCTTTGCACTATCAATGCGTTCAATATCTGAAAGAGAAAAAGAACCGTGCAATTTTTGATCAAGCATAGCCATCTTGGCTTGTGAATATGTTTCACAGTGTTGCAAAAATTGAGTTTTATCAAGATAGTCGTTCAATAATGCCTCCGGAGCAGGTTCTGATGTTTCGTAATGACTTCCAATGGTTCTTAGAACTCTGATATCACGAGCAAAGTGCTCCATCAATATGCTAGGCAATTCAACAAAATCTGTAGCGCAACGTGTCCCACTAATATTTTGCAACCTTGTTCTACCAAGCATTGAATGCATAGCATGCCCCATTTCATGAAATAGTGTCTCAATTTCATTCATATGTAGAAAACATGTTCTATTACCATTTGGCAAAGCGACTGTACTAAAGTTGCATACTAATGAAATCACAGGTAGCTGAAATACAGTACCATCGGAATTTTGCCCTGTCTGTATGGTCGTAAAGTCATTTTCATCCGGGTACACTTGTCTTGAACAGCATACCGTGAAATGAGCAGGATTTGATATCTTTCCAACGCGTTCAAACAGATCACAATAAATAACACCAACCAATCCCTCTTCCTCGCTTATGACATCGAGTCTACGAACATCTGGTGACCATGTTTCCCCGTTTTCAGTTCTTGATGGTTGTAAGGTGATACCATATATCCTCTTAAACAATTCAGAGAGACCGTTGATTACATTCCCTAATGAGAAATAATAGCGCAGTTGTTCATCACGTATCATAGCCATCTCATTATCGGAATCATACTTGGATGAAAAATAATTTTTGTCCCATGGTTTAACAATTGACAAGATTTCATTATCTGACATATGCCTTGAATCAGGTGCATTCAACTTATCTCTTGCAATAAACTCCAGCTCTCTTGCAGCCAAAGGCTTAGTGACATTCATTAAAGTTTTGATAAAACCCTTTACATTTTCTGGTGAACCAGCCATTTTATTGTCCAACTGGTAATCCGAATAGCTCTGCTTCCCCAATAAATTCGATAATATTACTCTTAATCTCACTAATTGGTTCAAACGTTGAATTTGAGCTTTAGGGCAATTATGTAAGGCTGCCCAAACTTCTTTTCTGATGTCTTCATCAGGACAAGATTTTAAAATCTGTAATGGTATTTGACCATATGTTGGGATCTTATAGTATTTTCCCGTTAAATCTCTATTCAATCTTGCAGTCAGTAGAGGACTAATACCACTCTTGTCCATTTCATCTCTTTTAACTTTAATAAACTCTTTAGCCACATAATCGGTGTTATTTATAAACTCTTGCCCAATAACACTGATCTGTTGAGAAAGCTCGATAAATTGCTCTCTAATACCAGCTTTCATATATATACCAGACTTTTCGAAATCATCTAGAAGAATTTCACCAACTTTCCTTTCTTCCTCAGATAAAACTTTCAATATCTCGGGGTCTTCAAGGACTTCCTTCAATTTATTACAAAGGACAACATCTGTATTCAGAACATTCATAAATTCAAACATCTCCTCGTGACACATCTGAGCTGCTTCCACATAGCTTTGATCAGGATGGGCAGATCTTAAGAACTCACACAAATCAATAACACGGCACAATGTATCACTTAATTGATCCAAATTCATAATATAATGTACTTTCTCTTCCTTACTGACGCTATTTCTTAGAATCTCAGCAAGTTTGTGGGCTTTATGCAAAGAATCGTGACTGAACTGTCTCAAACCATCAGTAGAAGTCAGATACGGATTCTTGAATAAACCTGTTTCTTTTGTATATTGAGTAGTATTTTCGCTTAGGGATTGCCAATATTTTGAGTCATCGAATATTCGTTGGAGCTCTGTAGTATTTCTCCCAGATGAACCGGACAGCCATCTCAGCCCTGTATAGTTTAATATACTGAGGATTCTCGGTAGTCTCGAGATTTCTTTGTTTAACAGTATCTTTTGGATTAACATCTCTCGTTAACTCTGTGCTGAAATCGGTATTTGTAAGTCAAATGGTGTACCTAACGTTACAGCTTGATGAAACAAGCAAAATAAAACGAAAATATTCAAAGTATGTTAAAATCAGCTGAAAATCGACTATCTGTGTTCTTTACTATCCTACTAAAAGACCATGTTTCATTGATTTTAGCTTATAAATTGTATATGCATACATTTTTTTCACTTTCGAAACTTTCAATCGGCTCTTAGAAAAGGGCCGGATCAGGCAGTCTCTTTTAGTAATAGAACATGTGTAATTATAAGGCAAGACCAGGCGTTGTGCGATTATTATATATTTTACTGACATTTGGTTTGTATAGATATCAGGTATAATAAATTAATTTTCTTGAGCTTGCTAAATAGAATGTGTATAATACATACAATAATTATAATTGGTTGAAAATAACGAATGTGATCAAATAAAGTAATGGCATGAGCAAGATGGCCATTCTATAAAATATACATATCCCTAACCGATTGAATATTAGTAATAGTGACAATAATGATAATAATGAAAATTTGATACTGAAGTAAATGGAATCTCTCTTTCATCCAACTTTCTCTTGCTTTATCATCTTTCTGACTTTTCTCAGTTCCTTTTCTGCCTCCTTTAACAATGAATCAAATGAAGTCTCTTTTGCAAACTTAGCTGATTCTTTCAGAAGTTTCCTAGCTTTCTTTAAATTTCCTTCATGTATATTCCATACCCCAATACCGTATACGGCCAATGCTGCTGCCTTCATCGATAGTGGATCTAACATTTCTTCAAAATTATCAGTAATTTCAGCACTGTTCAGAACACCTTGGAAGCATTGTAAAGAAAGCTTCACGTATCTGTCATGATTGCTATGAAGTAAATTCAAATAATAATTTTCTTCATTATCCTTCGATGTATCAGTAGCTACTTCATTCTCTAATGAACTTTTCTCTTTCTCTAGTTTATACAGTACACCTTCAATCTTCTCAGCTTGCAAATACAGGATAGAACCTAAATTGGCCTGCGAAAACAAGATCTGGGATTTTTTGACATTTGCCAACGACATTAACTGCACTGTCATCAATTGATTTCTCAGCGCTGCAGGTACATCGTTGGATTGTAGACAATACTGTGTGAATAAATCAAGAGCAGTAAACAATTCATCTTTGAACAACCCCACAACATCATCTAACATCTCTCCGCTAAGCTTCTTACCGATGGCAGTTTGTGAACCGTCAGCCAAGTCTATAAATTCAAAGGGTCTATGTTCAGATGTGGGTTTCACAACCGTGTCCAGCACAGCCTGTTGTTCTTGTAGAAATTCGCTTATCTCAGGATATCGAGTATATATGACATTTTGCAAGACACGTAAGTGATGAAGCAACATCGTCTTACCTAAGTACTTGTCATCCCTATGTTGTAAGTATTTTATCAGGACGCTGAGGTCCCTCTTAATATATCGCCCTACTTTGTCAAGGTCGGAAACACTAGTTGTGAGCAGGTAGTCTAGGTACTTCTGCATTATGTGATCGTATATCTCACAAGCATTCTCCAAATCATCCAACCGTTCGTGCATTTCGGCGATCTTGATCTCTATCCCAGTATATTCGTCAGACAAGGGGTCTACGCCCAGCTTGTCACACTCCTTCAGAGCATCGCGATAGTATTGCAAACCACGGTGGTAGTTCTTACCAAACTTTTCAGTCTCTTGCCACAGACCTTTTCTCAGTATCGTGGCCACGCTGCTCGGGAAAGTGTGATGAGGCCAGTAAAACCACCACAACCCGACGCCAATCACAGCAGCACCCACCACTCGCATAGCTAGCCGACTGTACCTCCCGCTCTTATCACTCTGTGGTGCCTCATCGATGCCATTCTCAACCGAGTACGCACGGTTAGCACTCGCACTGATCTGCCTCCAGCGACTCGATTGCCCGAAACTACGCACACCGAAACGGCTCACAAGAATTACTCTCCGTAGCATCCCTGATAGATCGTTTGCTTTGGAGTTTTGATATATAGACCAAAACGTTACTAATAGCACATACACCCTTATATATAAAGCTAACAAATTGACACTTTTTGATGTAACATTCCCCCACTTCTTTCCCCTTCGTCACACCCAAGAGGAATGAACTCCAAAAAAAAAAGATTAATTAGAACCAAGAAGTGGAGCAAAGAGTCATACACATATGTATCCTTGGAACATGTTGGAGAATAGCCTTTTTTTTTTGAGACCGCACAACAATCGAACCAATTGGTAACCCTTCCTCCAACCTGCCCCTGCCCATTGTATTGTTATACAACAGATTCCCAATACTGGGCCTGTAAGATACATCCTATCTCATCGCATCGCACATCAACTACAAGATAAGGAGGTTACAGCCAAGACCAAGAAAAAGCAATAAAAAGGAAAAGGTGGGAATAATGCATTGTGCGGCTACTTCTGTAGGATTTACGCCAATTACTTCAATTTCTGTAACTCACTTCCAATTAATTATTTTTTTGGAAGGATTCTCAAAATGACGTCATAATCAAAATAATAAGACACAATAACTATCACTCTAAACTGTGTGTGTGTGGGTAGTTGCACACGTAACCGTCATGTGACTCTTCTATAATTTCCTTGAATTTCTCAAATTTCACTTCTCAATCTCATCGCTCCCTCTTCCAGTAACTACTGAATGGAAGGCAGTATAGCATCGAGGTGTGTGTGTGTGTATGTGTATGTATCCGTTTGTGCGTTATCTTACAGATGGTGGCTATTACAAGCCATGGCCTTATAGGTTGTATTGAATATACGTTTATATACCAAGTAGAAACTGTACTAAGTTAGACACTAAAAGCACAATAAGATGGTTTCCACACCTGAACTGAAGAAGTACGTTGATAAAAAGATCCTCTTACAACTGAATGGGTCCCGCCAGGTTGCTGGTGTTCTGCGAGGATACGATCTGTTTTTGAACGTTGTGCTGGATGACGCTATAGAGTTGCTGAAAGACGGTGAGAAACAAAAACTGGGCTCCCAGACAGTGGTACGAGGTAGCTCGATTCTATCATTGGAAGCACTAGATACTATTGTATGACAAAAGCAAAGAACTTTATATGTATGTAAAAATAAAATAATGACCTACTCATCTTTTATCTCTTTATTTATGCGAATCAATAAATATAATTAAATACATCAGACTATTAGCTCTATAATCTGCATTGCATCTCTACACCTGCTCTCTTATAACCACACTTCTCATAGAAAGCCACATTCTTCTCGTCACAGTCGAGGATAACTTTGTAACAGCCAGCGTCAAAGCCAATCTCAGTCAATCTCTTGATCAGATGCTTACCCAGGCGTTTCCCTTGGTGGTGCTTCGAGACAGCGATGTCTTCTATATGCCCACACATACCGGTGCCATGTATGATCTTTCTCTCAATTATTATATTACCACACGCAGCAACCGATTTGGTCTCAGTGTCGTAGATTACCGTGGGGTTATACATCCTGTACTGTTTTTTGCCTTCGTCCTCGGGAAACAACAAACTGCTGTCCCAGTACTGGAGCAACTTGTCAAACTGCTCCTTAGATACTTCACCCACTGCAGTAAGCACTTGCAACGCGCCAACTACACCTTCGTAGTCCTCAGAAGTCATACGCCTGATAACATAACGTGGATCCAACGCCATCTTCACACCATTCAACTTGCTTGGTGGACCTCATCTGTTGCACTAGTATTGTCCAATGGTCTCTGGCTACTCACTTTAAAGCTCTAATTGGCCATTGTTACACCCAAACCGGCCTGCCCCCTGCAGCATTCTCTACGCAGAAATTATGGGTCATTCATTGCCAAAAAAAAATTTAAATTAAACGTCGAAATGCTCAATCATAGCAACGGTCGGGCTCATCGACAACTAAACTAGTTGAATAACCATTGATATAGTGTATTAACAGGCTCTATCTAAGACTCAACATTTATCAGAATTTAACCAGTCCAGTGTCAGAATAAGTATAGTGGCTAAACTGGTGCAAGATCAAATCAAAAAAAGCTTTTATAATTTTGTTTTGAATAATAGCATTACTATAATCTACTTGGTCCGAGGGAAGAACAATGTCGACCAAGGAGTTTAAGGAGGAGATCCATACTTCTACCTCTGAGTTTACCAAATATGACTCTCAAAAGCCGTATTATAGTTCCGGCGAGTCTCCGGAACCAGTCGTTACCAAGAGAAATATATTCCAAAGATGTGTCGATTCTTTCAAGCCACCAGTGGATGGTTCCTTCGATACTAGTAACTTAAAGAGAACACTGAAGTCTAGGCACCTGATTATGATCGCCATCGGTGGTAGTATAGGTACTGGTTTGTTCATTGGTAGTGGTCAAGCGTTGGCCACAGGTGGCCCACTAGCAGTTATCATCGGTTGGACTATTGCGGGATCTCAGATTGTCGGTACCATACATGGTCTTGGTGAAATAACTGTGCGATTCCCTGTTGTTGGTGCATTTGCAGACTACAGTACCAGATTCCTTGATCCAAGTATCAGTTTTGTGGTTTCTACGATTTATGTGATACAATGGTTCTTTGTCTTACCCTTGGAAATTATTGCCTCAGCTATTACCATACAATATTGGAACTCTTCTATTGATCCCGTGGTCTGGGTCGCAATTTTTTATGGTGTCATTGTTAGTATCAATCTTTTCGGTGCCAGAGGGTTTGGTGAAGCCGAATTTGTCTTCTCTACCATTAAGGCTATCACAATCTGTGGATTCATTATTCTATGTATTGTGCTAATTTGTGGTGGTGGTCCAGACCATGAATTCATTGGTGCCAAGTACTGGCATGATCCAGGTGCTTTGGCACATGGATTCCCTGGTGTCTTGTCTGTGCTTGTTGTTGCATCTTACTCCCTAGGTGGTACGGAGATGACTTGCCTAGCTTCGGGTGAGACTGATCCAAAGGAATTGCCAAGTGCCATCAAACAAGTGTTCTGGCGTATATTATTTTTCTTTCTAGCTTCATTAACCCTAGTCGGATTTTTAGTCCCATACACAAATGAAAATCTTTTAGGTGGTTCTTCCGTTGATAACTCTCCATTTGTTATCGCTATCAAGCTACATCACATCAAAGCTCTACCATCGATAGTTAATGCTGTTATTTTGATCAGCATCCTAAGTGTCGGTAATTCATGTATTTTTGCTTCTAGTAGAACTCTTTGTTCCATGGCACACCAAGGATTGATTCCTAGATTTTTTGGTTACATTGACAGAGCCGGGAGACCTCTAGCTGGTATTGTTACCAACTCTCTATTCGGTCTACTGGCATTTTTGGTCAAGTCAAGCTCTGTCAGTGAGGTGTTTGACTGGTTAATGGCAATTGCCGGTCTAGCGACTTGTATTGTCTGGCTAAGTATCAATCTATCACACATCAGGTTCAGACTGGCAATGAAAGCACAAAATAAAACTCTTGATGAACTTGAGTTTGTCAGCGCCGTTGGTATTTGGGGTTCAGCTTACTCCGCACTTATCAATGTCCTGATTTTAATCGCACAATTTTACATTTCCTTGTGGCCAATTGGAGGGTGGACTGATAGTAGTCAAAGAGCAAAGAAATTTTTTCAAAGTTATTTATGTGCTTTGATTATGCTTCTAATCTTCTGTATTCACAAAGTATATTATAGAGTAAGCTTTGGTAAATGGTGGGACGTAAAACCATTAAAAGATATCGATTTAGAAACTGGTCGTAAGAATGTTGATATCGACGTTATAAAAGCTGAGATCGCCGAAAGAAAGATGTACTTGAAGAAGAAACCATGGATTGTTAGATGGTACCATTTCTGGTGCTGAGTTATTGTACAATCACCTGTTTTTTCCTTTAAACAAAGCTACTTATTTTGCATTACCTCTTTAGTACTAATATTAATTAAAAGTGAATTCTTTACACATTTGGCATAAATGAACGAATTAATGATTCCGAGTATGATAGTAATGAAATCTAAAATGTTCTAATTTTAGAACAATGAACACTAATATATCACGTCGTAATAGTTGCATTGACTAATATCTAAAAAACATATCAAGCATTTGACATAAATTAACACTCATTTTCAATCAGAACTCATAACGCAAATTTTTTTTATATTTGACCTGTTTCTATTTTTATATGCTAGCTAGTTTAAATATTTTAATAAAATTATACGCTTTATTTCATATTTAAGTATTTTTATATTACTATAGAGGTCTCTCACAGATTATGTATATTCCTGCATTGCAAATGACTTTGAAATCCAAGTTGCTACTCTAAACTAAAGTGTCGCTAAAAAGCATCAAATCAAGAGGCCGATCAAAGAAAATAAAACTGAAAAAACGCAGTAGTTGATGACTAGCAATCACATAAGCAAAAGGATGCTTGATAAGCTGCATAAAGATGGTTAATGTGTATGGAACAAATAATTAGATGGAAGGCATATCAATAGAGACTTCACTTCTGGATATTAAGGATGGCATTGACAAAATAATTGCATCTGGTGAACCTTGCGATGTTAATGAGGTGATAGATAAAATTGATCTCTTTCAACAGGATCCTGAAGTGCTCGATAGAGAGTTAAATGGACTGATTAAGAAGCTCACAACTGGGTTCTTTCAATTGGAAAGTGATGATAAGAAAATTCATATTGCAAGCGTATTCTATACTTTGTCAAAGGTATGCAATGTGAAGAAAACGTACATTCATCTTGATGCTAACGTTTATTTGCTTGAGCATATTGAGAATGCGGTGCGTACATATGATAGTATGGAATTGTCCACCCCGGTAAGCTCCAAAATACTTAAATGGCATTATCTCTATCTTGCCTTTTGTTGGCTCTGTGTAATTGTTAAGGCGCCATTGAAATTGTCCAATGATTCTCATCTTCTACAATTTATTGATGACAGTATTACAAAACATGAAAAGGTAACGGTATTGCAACCTTTATTTGCAGAGATTAAAGCAGAACTGTTGGTCAAGAATCGGATACTTCTACATAAATTTTGTGAACTACTGCATGAGACGACAAATGATGAAAATGTTATTGATTACTTTGAGATGCTTTTAATTTATAGGATCTTAAAAGCCATTGTGAAAAGTCCTAAGCAATTTAGTATCTATCGTGATGATGTAGGACTCATAGAACTGCTTTCTTGGATATGTTTGTATCAATCTGATCGCTTATTATCATTGGAGAGGGGAGCAATCTTGATGACAAAAATATTCCCCAAACTATTACCATTCTTTATATACCATCACAATATCGAAATGATTGAAGATATAATAAGTTGGTATCTCAATAACATGAACTCAAAATTTTCCGAATTTAGGTTTGCAATTGCCAATTCCTACAAAAAAGTGGTAGAACAGCTAACAAATACATATGAAGATAAGGATATACTTCCTCCACTTATATTAGAAAGATTAACAGATACTTCTAATATACTGAACAACAGTTCCTGGGATACAGTAGACTCTGATAGACTCCATACTTTGCTTTTGATCTCGGCGTTCAGTATTGATATGATTTATAAAAGACTCCCTAACCAAATAGAGGAAATAATTGTTAAATTAATTCCTCTTGCCTCTAGATTTCAACAACGTAGCATATCTGTTATTAGAGGTAACCAAGTAAGAGATGCGGCTAATTTTATATGTTGGTCATTGGCAAGATGTTCATTAGAGAATAAAAGTACAATTGAGAACATCATTTTCTTTCTACTAACAAGATCTATTATGGATAGTGATTATTTGATTAGAAAATCTGCCAATGCTGCCTTACAAGAGGTCTTGGGTAGGCATGGTTACAAAATTTTCGATAATAACACGATCTTGGAGTTCATACAACTTCCAAGTTTTAACCTTGAGAAACATTTATTTAGTAATTTAGAAAGCATATTTGAGATTACCAATCTAAACTATCCTTCCTTTTTGTCCAGGCTTTTATTTTGGCTAGTTGATTTTGGTATTTTGGACAATGTCGACTGCGAAACAACATTGTTATGTATTTATGGACTGAGCCATCTCGCATATAAATCTGCAGAAAAAATATTAAAAGACTTTGGTATTACCACAAAACTCAAACAATTACTCAGCATTGCCTCTACTTTAAGCACGGAAAAACAGACCAGACTGATAAATCTATGTCTCCATTTACCTTCAGCCATTAATTTGATTGAAGTACTACCGATTTTAGGTAGTATATCAGAAAAAGTATTATCTTCACAACATAAGTCGTTATCGCAGGAGGATATTTTTCTTCACCTTACAATCCTAAAATTTTGGTCTGTTGCGATTAATGAGAGCAAACCAGTCTTGCTTACACACCAAGATATCCAGTTATTTTTTAGCATCGTTAGAGGCGCGCAAGCTACAATTTCGAATTTCTCTAAGTTCCAAGAGTATTCCAACATTATTGTTAGTCAAATTTCAAATCTGGGATCAAGCATATTCTGTACTGATGATATATCACGATTATTTTGGACAGAATATAAGAAATTTATTCGTTTTGATAATATTTTAGCTTGTGGGTCTTTACCATATGTACATGGAGAGATGTTTATTAACATTTTATCTGAAGTTTTACCTTTGTTGTTCTCTCAAGCAAAAGCTTGTATCATAAAATCTATAGATGATAATACTCAGCTGCTCAAACCCTTCATACAAACCAAGGACTTCATGTACATCATGTCAGATTTTTTAGATGACTATACTGTCACCGATCAAGGTGACATTGGTCGTCATGTTAGAATGCAAGCTGTTCAATTCTATATGAACAATATTACAATGTTTCATCACATAGACAATGTCATTCTTCAAAAAGTTGAAACATCATTGGTCAGGCTCATGGCTGAGCCTTCCTTCTCTATTAGAGAAATGTCTTATCAGCTGTTATGCAAGATATACAGCTATAATGAAGTTCTTGAATCTAACAAGTCATATGAATATAGTATTCTTATTTTCCAGAAGAATATTTTTAAGAACGACAATATCGATTTCTGGAAAGGATATTGCCTAAACGGCGGTGCCATTTACTCTACTGACTTACAAATTGCTACAGCAATTGATGAATTCATAAAATTCTATACAAACGAAGGAATTGATGAGAAGATCAAGCTATGTAATTATCTGGCGAAAATAATCCCAGCAGCTCAAAAGATCTTGGATGAAAGGATCAAAAACAAGAAAAAAAGCATAACAGGTGGTAAGGAGTATGATATAGTTAAGTTCACAATATCAGCTACTATATTTTGGAGAAGACTAATAGAATCTCAATTGGAAGTTCCATCACATTTCAATTTCAATGGTCTTTTTGCCAGGGTATACAATATACACTTACTCAATATCAATAAAGTGATGAAAACTAATTGCATAAAATTGTTTCCTCTAATAGCTATTGCTGCTTCTAGATCGCAAGCAGATAATGAGAAACATCTAGCAAACAGTATTTTGAAAAAAATGATTATCTTGATGAAACGGCTACCTACCACCAACAACCAACAGCCTCTGTATAAGAAAGCATACTTGGAGGGAATAATACAAATACTTCTATACTACAAAGCGGATTCTCAAGTTGAATTATTACAAGCTACAGGTGATACAGATTATGAACTTACCAAACTGAAAGATGAAGATATATTACTCAGTTGACTTTTTTTAGGACACAGACCTATGTCAAATTATGTATTTTAGATAACTTCAATACCTCACTTTGTTCAATTATGAGATTTTTAATGCAACAGAAAATAAGAGTAGAAAGTATGCATTGCTGGTATTCAAACCATTATTTTGTTAGACAAGAGCTTATAACGTTCCTTGTCATCTGCGGTCAATATATCTTCCCATTTAGTAAAAATATGAGCTAACTGTCGTATACCATCAGGATTATTGCACGTAATAAACTCCGCTAAAGACTTGATAAGTATTGGTATGAATATTGCCTTTTCTGCATTATTGAGGATAACATCATCATTACCAATTGAAGAAACTAAAGTCTGAATTGTAAGTTTCAATTCAATGTTTTGTTTGGTATGCAGATACCACGCAATCTGGAACCAGATCTTAAGTAACTTATATTCCTCTGAGTTAAGTTCTTTAATGACTTCATTGTATAACTGCTTCGAATCAGCTTTACTTATCAACTGTAAGCAGTCTCTGTAAAATACAAGACCTCTTTCATTCTGTTTGAAATTTCCTATATCTCCCGATTCCATTCTCTTATATGATTTTATCATGCCAATACCCAATTTTGCGAATGTCACTTTAGAAGCTTCATCGTCTATGCGATTATTAATATTCTTTAGCATTTTTATGCATTCATGGTATAATTCCTTTGGAATCCTACCTTTTAATGTTTTCCCAGAGTTTGCTATCCAATCAATGTTGGATGTATTTAAGAGAGTAAGAACTCTAAAATATATTTTTCTTCTATTCTCATTTCTTAGTTGTTGTAGTTTTTTGATAATCATCGACAGATCTAACGCGCTATGGTCTTTACGATCGTCTTTTTCTTTTAATTTGGAAAAATCTATGTACTTTGTTATCCACGCCCTTGTATCGTACTGAACTTTTAGAAACTTAGATCTTTTAGGTTGTGGAAAGACATCAGTGACCAATTTTGATATTGAATTATCTGACTGGTACCTTTTTGATGTGTAACAAAGTAATTGATAATTTCTTATATTTAAGCCAGGTGTGTATCTTTTTAGCATCATATCACAGATAGTTCCATTATTATACAGGACAATCTTAGGAGCATTAAAACGGACAATGAAATTAGGATAACAAAATTTATGAGCTGCAGTGCTTCTTTTCGACTAATCTTTTATGAATTTAGTTACCATATGCACTTTTTTTAAATCTCGGATTTCTCTTATTTTCGAGCAATGTGTGACAAGAAGCGTAATAAATCACAAGAACTTTCACAGCCGAAAACCTAATGAACTAGTTATAAGTGTTCGCTAGTAAGCTAAAATATCACTAAGAAATTCAGAACTATGCCACAATTCCTTTATGGTTTATTTTTTCTTCTATCAGATACTTAGTTTCAAGTTCTGTTTTTGGCTGACCCATTTGATTTTTCTCCGAGAATCGCAATAGCACTTTCTTTTCGTAGATTTCTTTTAGACTTTTTTGGTGTTTAGATATCCATAGATGGTTAAAGCACTGTTCGCAATCTAAACGCTTATCCACATTTACTTCAAGAAGTTTGCTAACAAAATTTTGTGCCATGATATCTATTGTACTCCATTGGCTTACATTAAAGTTCAATATACCCGCTTTTGCGTTTTCTACAATGCTTTGCTCAGTCCCATCGCCGTAAAATGGTGATATTCCAGTAAGCATTATATGTGTTATTACACCTAAAGACCATAGATCGCATTTGCTGTCATAACCTTGTTGCTCAAGCGTCGCGGCCCGGAAAAATGAATGGTAAGCCTTTCTGTTTGCTTTGAAGCCAACTTCTGGTGCACAATATTCGGGCGTCCCCACTACAGTAAACATTCTAGATTTCATTGTGGTAACTGTTCTTGCGATTCCAAAATCAGCTAAAACAATTTTTGTAAATGGCTCAGGTGTGCATAGTAAAATATTATCTAACTTTAGGTCTCTGTGTACTATTCCTTTGGTGTGTAAATATTTAAGGGCGTGCAATATCTGATAAACAAACACTAGGGCCTCAGTTTGTGAAATAGGCATTAGACAATCACCTTTAGCTAAATACGAGAAAAGGTCACCCCCTGGTATAAGTTCCTGAAAAATGTAAAGGTTATTGCTCTTATCAGTATGTGTCTTGAACACTTTAATAATATTTGGATGGTTCAATTGCATAAGAATCTTAGCCTCTTTATCTAGTTTTGAGAGCTTCATCTTAACAATTTTAACTGCATAACATTTGGGAGTTATCTTCTGGGAGCTTTTTCCCGAATGTGCGCCAATGCCCATATACGCAATCAAGACATATCCAAATGTTCCATTTCCAACAACAATGTTTGATATATTCCAATTGTCCACATTTTCTGTATAATTGATAGTTATTTTTTTGGGCAAAGAAGGAGTTGACGGCTGACAAGAAAATTTTAGAAACTTGCCACCATTTTCACATAGTTCTATCAAGTCACCGTCGTTTAATATTGCTACATTTTCCTTTAATAGTTTCGTTCCGTTTATGTAAGTGCCATTCAATGAACAGTCTCTCAAGTAGTACATGGGTATACTTGTCTCATCGAAAAGAATCATCCATACCATACAATGAATCGCGGAAATAGCCGGGTTGGATATACACATGCAATTTTCCTTCGGACTTCTGCCTATTTTAATGGGATTATGTAGCTCAATGTATACTCTCGGTCTAGGTGTACCTGCTAAGTTATGACCGACCACTCTGTGTCCCCACTGGCCACTCAACAGCACTTCCCCGGGCTTAAAATCACCAATGACTTCTAGATACGAATCCATCAGTACAGTGTAGCAGTTTATTTTTATTCTTTTTTTTTTTCTTTATTGAGCACCATGATACACTAAACCGGTAGAAGAAGGACAGCTAGTGGAAAGAACCGGCAATCTTAGCCGCCTTTTATACTTTTTTTGTTCTTTGAATTTTAAAGGGGGAGAAAAACCATTCCCCCCTTTTTCTTTCACCTCCCTTGAAATTTTAGCCGCCGAAATATACTTTTTCGTCCTACCTTTTCTTAGAAGAAAAACTTCCTTTTATTTCACACAAACCCAAATTACCCATCGGCGGCTAGCACTGCACTACATTCACACCCGTTGTACACGCACTTCAATAGAAACAGCACCAAAACCACCAGATCTAAGTATCAACTGCTATAAATAGTATTATGTCATCATATTCAGTGCTGGGAGTGGGGGGACTGGGTACCCAAAGAAGTCGAACGTCAGAGTACAAAAACAACTTCTCAGAACTGTCCGTACAAATTTGGGAAAATCTCCTTTAGACAATGGCAGCTTCTAGCCGCCGAGCCTTCTAATCATGATATTTTTAGTGGACACTTGAGTAAAGGTCGTAGAAAGGATTCCAGAAGAGACATGTGCTTGTTTCGCTCAAGCCCTTCCCCTCCGCTGCGTTGCTGACAAGAATACGCACGGCTGTAGCAAAGAGAAATGCCAAAACGCATGCTAGCTTCTGCGGGGGGGGGAAGGGGGGATAATATAGTGAGCAAAGACGCTACGGGGAAATACTAAGGCCAGAGCAACTTGCAGACAAAATAGAACAAGGAAAACCAATGAGCGTTACCTTGCAAGAGAAACTGCCGTACAAGCACTCTACGTGCATGGTCCCGTACAGCTAATTCTCTGGTCAAGCTGTAAGAAAATGGAAGGGATGGTGAAGGAGGAAGGGGTTGAGGTGGCGAGAGGGATGAGTGGGATGAGTGGGAGAGCACACACACATGAGGGACAATTTGGGATTTTCCCCGGAATATAAATAACGATTGGTGCTTCCCTTTGCGTCTCACGAGGGGAAAATTTGGAAATTGAAGAACCCATACACCATCGTAGGAGACGGAATTTGTTATATAATACGAACATCACACATTTACACGTGATACAGAGCTAGAGCTACAAAGAATACACAAACTAACCCTTTAAAATAAGGTATTTAGAAAGGTAAACAGGACAGACAGGACACCGATTGCTGAATAGCAGACGGGAAAGGATTATTAGTGCACGTACAAGACAGTGTAATAAGCCATTTAAAATGTCAGAACCACCTACGCCAGTGCATGCTGGGCCCAACGAGCAGCTGGATATTGATGACATCAAGGAGCTGAGCGATGAGGATATCGAAGAGCTGGATTTGAAGCCGGACATGGACACTGATTCGTTATCTGAAAAGCATCAAGGGGAGTATGTACAAGAGAATGGGGCTGTGAAGCGAGAGCATAGCATATTGTCGAATGAGGAGCTGTATGGGGAGGACGAGCGCTCAGATTTTCAGCCTCGAGTTAACATCAATTCACCATTTTCTTCCTATGCCAATCTGCGAGCCCTTGACGATAGAGCTAGACCTAAGCCGCAGAGACGACTGTCTATGTCCCAGCAGTCGAAGTTTATTGCATATTGTGATCAAAAACTCATGGACATTCAACGAAAATTTGTCCAATCTCGTGGGCTTAACACACAGAATGGGTACCAAGGCCTGGAGCCCTTGTTACAGGACGTTAAATGCCTGGTGGACTTCATATGGTACTCATTAGATGGATCCCCCAATACTGATGTACTATTAACAGAGGAGCTTCAATCCGATGACTCTATGGGAATGAAGATGAACAATAACAATATGGCTAAAGACACTTACTTCGGCCAGTCCTCTTATCTCATCAAGATAGCAGATGATTTGCTAGACTACATAGAAAAATTTGACTTAAAGTTTTTATCTGGTGAGGAATTACACCAAACGTTATCGAAACTGTTCAAACTACTGTTTATTCTGGATAGAATATTCTCCAAACTGATCGACGGTGACATACCCGGTGGGAAAAGGTTAAATGGTACAGAATCCGTAAGAGTTAATGGTATTGCTGAGAGGACTAGGATGAAATTACCTGTCATTTTTGAAAGTCAGGATTTACACGGCTACCATTTTGAAGTGAGTAAAGTGTACGAAAATACATTAGAGAGATGTTCCAGATAACGCACAGTAAATATCAAAAAAACTTCTCGATAAGACTGGACTTAATCAAGACCATACAATTTCCTAGCATCGCTTTCATGCCACTATATTTTCTAATGAATTCCTTAATTTGTAACTATACTAATAAGACGGTTTTTTACTAGCAAATTCTTGCTAACGATAACGATATTATAATCGCACTTTATGATATTTTCCTATATATAACGCTCTATAAAAGAATGCATTTGTTGAATATGAAATTGGCATTGTGTTGACAGCAACAAGAATCAGAAACTAATGGGGCCATATTTGTTTACAGATCGTATACTTTTTGCTTACCTTATTACTGTTGGTCGAATGGATCCCTCATATAAGCACTAGCAGCCTGTGGTGTAAACAGTGGAACATTGGCGATGTCTGTATGACTGTGATCACCACTTATAGCCGATTCGTTTACTGGCGATTTGGAATCTCCAGATTTTGTTTCAGAGTTGTTATTGTTATGCTGTAGAGCTTCTTGATTTGCTGCTGCAACAGAAACTGCTTTATATGAACTCAAATCTAAAATCACCGTAACATCTTTGGTTATCTTGGCTAACGAAGCAAGTTGTGGCCTTACTTCATTTAGACTTGGCAAATCAGCCATTAAAGTCTTTGCATTGGCAAGAATTGAAATAATTGCTTTGAGGAAGGCATTGATACTTTCCCATGTTTTTAGCTTTTCAGAGGTCGTTGAATACTTTTCAGCAGTTATTCCATCACCAGTCAGAAGCCGTAACCTTTCACCTAGTACCTGTGATAATTGCAATAATTGCCTACAGGTATCTGTTAAATCTTTTATTTTGGTAGCTAGTGTATCGGTCAATACCTGATGTCCTGTTGAACTAGCCAAAGCAACTTTAGATATTTCAGATGTAAGTTGATTATACACCATTGTCACCATCTTAACTACTGTTCCCAATGTTTCGTGAAGTTGCTGATCAATATCTACATCCGTTCCAGTCGGTGTTGAGATTCCACCCTTCTCAGTTAATGGGGGTTGCTGTACTTGCTTTAGTTTTGGTGCTGTAAGAGACACATTTCCATTTTGAAGTTCATTGTTAATCTGTTTCTCATCAGGTGGATTCTTGAAATTACCACCTCTATTATCTGCTGTCTTAGCTAAATTAGAAATATTCATTTTATGTTTGTCCGAAGAACCTTGCTCTTGAGTACTGTTTGTAGTAGCAACTGCATGAGTAGGTAGTTGTCCTTGAGTTCGTAACTGACTAACACCATTAGGAGATGTTATTATATTAGACTTAGATCCATTAACATTCAAAAGACTACCTGTTCCTCTACCTTGTATGGTATTACTTCTTGACCTGGCTACTTTTGGAATGCCTGATTCATTGTGTTCTACTGAGCTTTCTTGATCAGATACGGCATCATGATATCTAGTTTTTTCTTCATTTGACAATCGTACTCCAGCAATATCTGGTTTTGAAACATTAGTTAGCGTTGGTTTTCTGCTTAATCCGACATGGTCTGTCCTACTGTTCGCTTCGCTTTTACTTCTTATTATAGCCGGATGACCATCACTCTCAGGTTGAATTTTATTGCTATTGTTACTGGCACTTTTCTTATGTAGTAAAAGTGTCTCCTGTGGTGTAATAAAGCTCCATGCATTGTACATTTCAGTATATGAACACACTAGTGACATGAAAAACATTCTTATGAAACATAAATCATCTTCCTCAAAAAAAGCTTTAAAATTTTTCTGTAACAGCGCAATAATTTGTTTAAATATTGAGATGATAGTCATACAAAGTGTGATCAAAGGTTGGTCGTTCGAGATTTCTTGATTGTCAGACTGTTCTAAAATTTCCACAAGATTATCAATGTGTGATCTAACCGAATATAGAAGAGATACCACATTCACAGCAATGGACTTTTCTTTACAAAGTGAAGTGATCTTTCGTATTGCCTGTTGACACTCTGTAAAACTAAACAATAATTTGCGACAAGCAACAACCAAATCAGTGTGTGATACTTTATGCTGTTCCTGGTTAACCTCTTCTGGAAGAATTGATAGTCTTTTGAAATAATCGTTGTATTTAGTATGGTTGTAGAGGTCATTTGAAGACAGAACATTAGGTGTATTCATATTCGTATCTGTGAAATTCTCTTTGGCAATAGTAACATTATTGATATGTTCTGATATAGTGGCAGATGAGATGCTAGAATCATTCAATTGTTCATCAGTTACTGGTATGGTATTAACAAACCCCATCCGCTTTGCCGCTCTACTCAATTTTGACTCTAGCGACTGTACTTTCATTTTTGGGTGATTGTTAAGAAAGCGAGGAATGGCAATTGCCCAATACTCATCTTTAGGTAAGTTTTGTTGATTTGGAACATAAGATAGTACTTGATCAAGTTCTTCTTTCGGTATAGGGTTTCCTTCAATTTCTAGAACTTTTATATGATTTAGTTGAAGAATAGGAGATAGTTTCCAAATTGAGGTAAGTCTGTTGTTCTTCAGAGATATAACCTTTAATCTAGTAGAGAATACGCTTGGAAATTCCTCTGGAAGCTGAGAGATTTTATTGGATGATATATCCAAAATTTCCAACTTCTGGCAATTCAGAAGTTCAACCGGGATCTCTCGAAGCCCATTACTATGCAGATCGAGGTAGCGCAGGTTTTTTAACTCACTAAAGTTTTCTGGTAAGTATGTTATGTTGTTTTTCCTTAGTGAGAGTCTTTCTGCATTTGCAAGTAGTTTAATATCTTCCGGTGGTATTGTTTTAAGGTTCAGTCCTATAAGTTTAACAGTGGAGCTATTTTTTGATTCCTGTTGTGTTAACTCATGATCTATTACTTCTCTCATTTCATCTATACTTAACTCATTCATAGCTTGAGACCCCTTTGAACTATCGTCATTGTATTTTTCATTTGCTAGTGGCATATTCTCATGCCCTATTTTTATCTGATGTTCCATTGATGCAGAAACTTGACACCTTTTCAATTCTAATCAGTATCTGACGCAACTTTAATATTAAATAAGGAATCCAGAGCTGGACAAGATAAAATTTGTCTTCTTTGGATACACAAAGTATATTTGGATTGAGATTTGTTGAGATATTGCTCAACCCTAGTTGCAGAATTGTATTTCTAATGCTAAAAAAAATTACAGATGAGAAATACTCTTCCTCATCAACTTGCTGAGTTAGTAACTCTAATAACTAGGAATTCGGTGAAGTTCAGCCAATGGATATTGAAGTGTGAATGCTTATCGTTAAAGAATCAGCTATAGGCTTTTTGTAATACTTGGAATTGCTATATTCTTTGTATTTTATCTTCCAATTTCTAAATCATTGAATTTTTCAAGAAATTGTAATCGGATTTATTTTTTTTTTGTTTTGATTTAAGAAGCTCCAATTAAGCGAAATTCTGGAGAAAAATCAGTATCGCCCATATATAAGATGTTAATCAATAGTTGTGCATCACTCTTCACTGTATTTTCTGATAAAATTTGTCGGATAACAAATATAATGATACTCTTAGATTGTAATATCCTGTATTGATTGATTGATGATATGTGACCTGATATTCTATGTATTTATCTCACTATAAATCAGTCTGAGCAAGATCATCATGGATAAAAAGAGATATAATATTGATAAAAAATATAATTATTTACATTATTTACAAATGATAGATTGAAGGAGTAAAATCCGGTGTAATTAAAAATAATACTCTGATATTTACATGAAATTTTATTTTCAAGTACTGCTTTTCTACTTCATGATAATTGTGAAAACATTTGTTTTGATAGTTCTTGGAAGTATCAATGGTTGCAAGCTCTCTTTCATAAACTCGAATATATTTGCATTATTTTTATTTTTCATTTTTTTCATTTTTAGATTCTCTGTGGTGAGACTCATAAAAGTAATGTTCATGTCGAAGTGGATTTTAGCTTTGAGAATGATTTTGCACCAATTTTTTTGAACATAGCTATGTCATCATTTCTAAACTGGTAATTGAAATCGGGATCTATTGCAGGCAACTTTTCGATAATGAATTCAGAGAATTCCAGTAGTTCTTTTGGGATAGTTTTAGTACTACCACTTCTAAAGACCATCCTTATTGTTCTCAGAACCTGTTCCATCCAATTAATAGACATATGAACTTCTAAACCAGGAAGCATTTCTAGGTACTTGGATAATTCTGGATATAGTGACACGTCGTGTGTTCTACCAATAACCTGACAAAGACCCTTTATCATTGTACCCATTAATTGAGGTGAGTTGATTCTCATGGGTTGCGATACTTTGTTGTTGTCAGTCTTCATTAATTCCTCAAATATTTTCTCCGCATTCTGAACATCACCATCCGGTTTACGGAATTCACTGAACAAAATCTTTTTTTGTAAGGTGAAATTCAATTGGTAAATCCCTCTTTGCTCAAATAACACACGGACAGGAATAATCGAAGGTGCAATATCGATGAACTTTTCTAAAATCAAGTTGACCTCTTGCTTCCACGATTGAGTAGAAATTTGAGGCTTTAGTTTTAGTACTTTGCTTCTAACATCATTAGCGATAACATATGTCTCATCGTCCGTCTTGGTTTTGTATATGTAGTCACCATATGTTTTCAACGCCAAAATGGAGGTATTAGACCCAAATGAATCCAAGCTGTTCTGTTGGTAAAAATCATCAAATACTTTGCTATCATTTGGATTCTCATTAAAAATTTTTAACGCTATTGCTTCAGCTAGATCAACAGATTTTAGTTTCCCAAATTTCGTAGCATCTATTCTGTTTTGAATTTGTGAATATGTGATCTTTGTTCTTCTGATAATTGCTAGTAAAAAGGCCTCAAAGACAACTTGGTTATTCTTATACTCTGTAGGTATCTCTTTTTCCCATATATTCTGTAATTCTTCAATATTTCCAGATGTATTTAAAGCTTTGATCAAAGAAGCATATGCTAGAGAGGCATCGATTCCCACTTTACCAAATTCTGGTTTCAAATATGAATTCCAAACAGCCAATAGTCTTTGCAGTTTTTGTATTTTTGAGGGAGCTGGATATTTTGAAACAATGTCGAGTAATCCTAATTTTAATTTAAAACCATCCGCGTCGCTAAGTTTATCCTTATACTCGTTGAATACTTGCATTGGAAAAGAGGAGTTCGCATTCAGTTTATTGAATTGCTCCATAAACTTTGTAATAATTTCAATATCGCAGTTATTGATATCCCTTTGTGCAGAATAGATATTATAAAAGCTTCTTAGTCTAGATTCTGTGTAACAGATATCAAGTTGATTTATGAACCACGTCTTGTTTTGTGTTGCATATAAATTTAAGAGATATGCAAATCTGTTGGATAATTCTTGGTCCCTTTTCAACACTTCATTCTGTTCAACAATGGAAATTATTCTTCCGAATGGAATGTCGGTATGAAATCTTTCTGTCTGTAAAATCTGTTGTAACATGCTGCAATCTGGTTCGTTCATATCAGGAAGTTTCAAGTATGCTATTGTGGTATATGCCATTAAGTTTTCATTTGATGTTGTGAATTGCTCCAAATATTTAACCCACAGGGAGATAACATCTTTAGGAGCGTCCTTCACAAGCAGGTAGTATCTCAATATCATCTCATATTGAGCAGGACCTATCAAATTATACTTCGATAGTTGTTCAAGCACAACATATGGGTCTAAGCTAGAAGTATTCTTCGCATTTGTAATGCTTTGAAAAAGACGGTTAATAAAAGACAATGATCTGCTCCTGCCATATTTTGGTGCCATTCCTTGTCTTCCGTTTGAAAATTCAGATATCTTATCTAAGTCATTTTTGAACTCATTGTATAAAGATTCAATATTTGCCTTCCCATCAGGTTGTGCCAATTTGCCTGTATACTCTTTGTTCAACTCAAATAACCTTCCTGATCTTCTTGGTGTTGTCTCAACATTTGACTGTGTGCTAGACGATAAAAATCTTAAAGCCGTACTTTTAAGGTATTGGTACTGGGCATCTCTTAAGGAACGTACTAGTAGTCTCTGGTTTATCCTTAACATTGTGGTAGAATTCTCAATTTATTAGTTTACAGGTCCTTTATACGCTTCCCATGAAATCAATTAATAGGACAGGAGTCAATTACTATGCTATGATCCAGCGGGAAAGTATAGGGATACAGATTCAAACTAGAGCCACTCAAAACAGGGATTCGATTACAAAATTAGTTGTGCTCTCCTATTTCTATAATACTCATTAAGAATATTTATTTGATGTTTCGAGAAATATCTTTTAACTTGGTTGTAAATGCCGTTACTTTCTCTGTTTCCAACCCTTCCGAGACTGAAAAAAAACTGAGCTGTGAAAAATCATTGAAGTGACTTCGAAATGAACAATACACATTTTATGGACAGTATCCTCATACCGAGGGAGGTCTCCTATAGTTTTGGTGATTAAGCTGTTTTTAGAGTAGCGAATATACTACGTCAGAGACAATTGAAGGTTAGTTGTAAAAAGTCCAGTATATTTTGAAGCAAATTATTAGGGTGTTAGCAATCAATGACGTATAGTTTCAAATGCTGTGATGACGGTTCTGGTATAGCAAGTGGGTCTATACTTAGATTTGACAATGTTACAATTTTATTAGACCCTGGTTGGAGCTCATATAAAGTCTCTTACGAGGATAGTGTGGCATTTTGGTCGAACATTATTGCTGAGGTTGACATAATTCTGATCTCGCAACCGACTACAGAATGTTTGGGTGCCTATACCTTCCTGTATTACAATTTTATATCGCATTTTATTTCACATATTCAGGTGTATGCTACACTGCCTGTAGCCAATCTAGGAAGAGTATCAACAATTGAATTTTACGTTACAAAGGGTATCATAGGTCCTTACCAAACAAACCAACTTGATATAGATGATGTTGAGAAAGCGTTTGATTTCATAGATGTGCTTAAATACTCTCAACTCGTTGATTTAAGATCCAAATACGATGGTTTATCATTATTTGCATATAATTCAGGCTACGCACCGGGTGGTGCTATATGGTGTATAACTACTTACTCAGAGAAATTAATTTATGCCCCAAGATGGAATCATACTAGAGATACGATCTTGAATGCTGCTAATCTATTAGATAATACAGGAAAACCATTATCATCACTAATGAGACCGTCTGCAATAGTTACAAACTTCGATCATTTTGGCTCCTCACAACCTTTTAGAAAGCGTGCAAAATCTTTCAAGGATATACTTAAGACTAAACTAAGCAATAATGGTAATATTTTGATTCCAGTAGATATTGGTGGTAAATTCTTAGATCTTTTTGTTTTGGTTCACGATTTCCTTTATGAGAATGGCAGGAATAATAAGTTAGCAAATATTCCAATTGTACTCCTGTCCTACACAAAGGCAAGATCACTAACATATGCAAAATCTATGACGGAATGGTTTTCTAGTATCTCAGCTAAAACTTGGGAAAATAGAAACCAAAAAACAGCTTTTGATCTGGATACGCCATTTTCTGTTGTGGACTCAAATGAATTGGCAAATTTGAAGGGTCCTAAAATATGCTTTGTTTCTAATGTAGAGACATTGGTTAACGATGCATTGTCGATTTTAGGGTCAGATAATAATACATTGTTAGTTTTGACTACAGATAACAGACAGGAAGTTCCAGCACTTCATACAATATATGACTACTGGAAGGAGAATAATACTGAAAGTTCAATTGAAAGTGCAAATGTTCTAAAACTGAACCAAAAAATTACCATAAATACCACAACATTCAAGGAATTGCAGAACGAAGAACTTGATGCTTATCTAAGTAAATTAGAACAAAGGAAACGGAAACAGTTGATAACAGAAATTACGACCAGGAAGGGGCTCAAAAAGGGGGCCGCCGTTGCCCTTCCTACTAATTTAGCATCTGATGAAGGTCAGAAAACAGAAGTTGATCTGGTTGATGACATTACAAACACCGAAGATCTGGAAAAACTATTAGAAGAAGAGGAGGAGGACGAAGACGAAGATAATGAAGATAATCTTATTAATATTTTAGAAGATGAAGATAGAGCCGACGGAATTGAGGAGTCTATTCCAGTAGATATAATAATTACGCCTGGTGTTAACAACAAGCACAAAATATTTCCATTTCAGCCTCTTAGACAAAAAAAAGATGATTATGGTATTGTAGTGAAGTTTGATCAATTTGTTCCAGCTGAAGACAAAGATGATATTACGCCATCAAAGAGACATATAAATGGAGATAATGAGGAGGATATGGATGACGATTATGTTATAAAGGAAGCTTCTAATAAGAAGATCAAATCAGATAGTGTTAACCAGCCCACAAAAGAGACTAAATTTTCGGATGATATTAATCACTTGCGGAATAGCAACAGACCTGGTATACGAGAGTTTAAAGCAACTGAGGTTAACTTAAATATGAGTTTAACGTTTATCAACATGGAAAGTTTGGTGGATAGAAGGTCATGTGGTGTGATATGGCCACTTTTTAAAAGCCGCAAATTAATTTTGATGGGACCTTCAAATGTTCAAGACAAGCATGTAACTGGCATCATCACTAGTAAAACCATGGAAGTAACCAGCCTGGCATATAATCAATCAATTGATTTTGATACTACCATCAAGGCATTGGATATAACGATATCTCCAGAATTGGATGCACTTCTCAAATGGCAGAGGATCAGTAACGACTACACACTTGCGCACGTAACCGGTAGACTAGTCAAGGAAAGTGCCCATCAGTCCTCGGCTGTACCAGTAACAGATAACACCACTTCTAGTGGAAGAGAGAAATATGTGCTAAAACCATTAAATGGCAATGTCGGTGTACAGACCAATGGCTCACTAGCTATTGGTGATGTCAGATTAATCAAACTGAAACAAAACTTAAACGCGACTAATCATACTGCAGAGTTCAAGGGTGAAGGTATATTGGTAGTGGATGATAAAGTAATTATTAGAAAGATAAGTGATAGTGAAACTATAATTGATGGTCCCCCATCGGCACTGTTCTATTCTGTGAAAAAGCTAGTGATGGATATGCTAGCTAAGATATAAACGACCTAACTCCTTACACGCAAGTAATTATCTTAAGTACAAATGGTTTCATATCACGACCAATGAGTATATATTCTGTATGGATACGCGCTACTGTTAATTTACATTAAAACAGAACTGAATGAAAACTTAATTGATAAAGGATGATTACTATCATGATACTATTGTCTTTATACAACAATTTTTCATACGTAATCACGAAACCGGTATCGCCTACTTACTTGAACTGTAATTTTTCAGTGTTCTAGCTTGCGATGAGGTGAAAAAAATACTGCATATAACTATGACTACAGCAATAGCTTAAGTTTTGTAGATTTGAAAGAGTTGATTTGGTTTCTATCTGGTGGATACAAGCGAAGCTATATATTACTTAACATTCAATATTTAATTACAATTTAGCTGGGCGTTAAATCAGGATTCACAAGAGCAATAGAAGTTGATAAAATATTTCCAGATATTCAATTATGAGTGAGCGAAGAGAAGAAGAAAGAGGTAGAACTGGCTTTTCTATGAAAAAGAATCACAACTCCAATTTTAATCGAAGGAATCAAGAACAAATACACCAGAAGTTGCCAACGAAAATAAGCGGTCCATTAACTTTAGAGCAGCTTTGTGCATATCAGCATATGTTCAGGATACAAGAAATATCTTCAATTATAAAATCCCATAGCTTTGAAGTTCCAAACGCTAGAAATCGTTCTCCATCACCTCCTCCAGTTTATGATGCAGAAGGTAAAAGAATAAATACAAGAGAACAACTTTATAAAAAGAAATTGATGAATGAAAGATTCAAACTAGTGGAGGTCGTCTCTAAGTTAATTCCAGGATATTCAGCTCCTAAGGATTATAAGAGACCTACCACTTTTCAAGAGAAATATTATATACCAGTTTCTCAATATCCACAAATAAACTTCGTTGGACTATTATTAGGACCCAGAGGGAAAACACTAAGAAAAATGCAAGAAGATTCTGGATGTAAGATTGCTATCAGAGGTAGAGGTTCAGTTAAGGAAGGTAAGACCTCATCAGATCTGCCACCAGGAGCCATGGACTTTTCTGACCCATTGCATTGTTTAATAATCGCTGATAATGAAGAGAAGATAGAAAATGGTATCAAAGCCTGTCGAAATATTGTAATAAAGGCAGTCACATCTCCAGAAGGACAGAATGAGTTGAAGAGAGGACAACTACGTGAACTAGCGGAATTGAATGGTACTTTAAGAGAAGATAATAGGCCTTGTGCTACTTGTGGTCAACAGGGTCATAAGAAATACGAATGTCCACATAGGGAGACATTTGCAATGAAGATTATTTGTAGGCGATGTAATCAACCAGGTCATACAATAAGAGACTGTACTTCAGATTCTAACTATGGAAAACAGATACACTCTTCGAGATATAATAATGAAATGCCTTACCATAGAACCAGCACAGCTGTCGATCAACCGAGTGCGTACTCGAGATATGGATATACACCAAGAAATCATAATGGAAGTAGTAGATTCAACGATAATTCCAAATATCTGAACAATGGTAACAAAAGGGCTACTCCACAACCCGAGCTTGAATTAGAAACTAGTCATAAGAGGCAACAAATTAATCCTACCTCAAGTTCTCAGGATACCTTAAGTCACCAGACTAATCATATGACTATGACAACGATAGAAGATTCTGGAATTGATAAGTTACAACTTCCTGCTGGTATGTCTAATGAAAATCCTATACCACAGCCTGTTAATTTCAACGAGATTCAAATAAATGACGTCTCTGGACCAAATGGCACTTTAGAAGCGCCACCGGGCCTTGACTTGGGAAATAATGATTCTAACATAACCCTGCAAGGACCACCAGGTCTAAACTAGAATGCATACTTTTGTATTGATAATTTATATAGTTATTTAGTATAGCTATCGGTAATGAATTATCCATAAATTCTAATTCATATTCTATTTTCCATTTCATCACATTGAGATATGAATACGAATCTCAACAAGAATGGTTATCTGGATTTAGCTTCTTGGCTCTCCTTCCATTTATGGGCAAGCGCTAATATATTCGATGTGTCAATGTTGCTTTTATTTTCATCATCTGGAAAGGTATATGTAATATTCTGAGTCTTTAATCCGTCGATATCTTTGATGCCATTTACAATAGAGGGTAATCTCTTTTCAATTCTTTGTCTACTGGATATATCACCATACTGTCCTTCAAAGTCGACATAAGATTGTAAAATTCTTGCTCTATCTTCGTCTCTCTTAATTTCTTTGAAATAATTGAGAGCTCTTTCAAAAACATCTCTTGCATTATCTTTATTATTATCAGTAATCTCAAATTCAAATTCGATCTCTTGTTCATCTAAAGCACTACTATCCTTCAACCTTTCTTCTTTCATGATTTGGAAGTTTTGAACTTGTTCCTCTGTAGGAACTGTTAATTTCTTCATTGCATAATCAGTCCAAGCTTCTACGGTAAAGTTAGACAGCTCTACTTGTTTTTTTAATAATGGTTCAATATTATCAAAATTCTGATATTCCATTTCATAGTCAATTAAGATTTCAAGCAGATGTAACTGGAATGACTTTGAAAACAGCCCAATGTTGTTTTGAATCGGAATCATGCAAACACTGCGTACCCTGACTTCATCTCCCAGACTGTCTTCAAATTCTACATAGGCTCTCCATGTATCGAGATTTAGCGGATCGAATTTTAAAAAGTTTTCATATAATATTCTAACGCGATCAAATTCCCTAAGTTTGGTCTCCAGATCAATGTAATACTTAAAAGTCTTCCGTTTTGGACATAGTCCTAACGAACGACCCAAAATAGATCTAGCTTTCTCCAGGTTATCTTGTCGAATTTCAAACTCAGCGTATAATATCCATATTTTTGAAAAAGTAAAATCATCATTAGGGATAATATTATGGATCAGTTCTTCAAATTTCTGTCCACATAAGGGAATATCATTAATTGTTAGCTCAAGAAATGTTAAGTATTTAATCCATATCAGGATATACTGCTTCCAATATTTGTCTTTAGTCCTACTAGTAGGAATGGCCGCATTTAGCACATTACTAAACGCCTCCATAACTAATTTAGGATAATTATTTTCAAGTAATTGCAAATACAACAGCCATGTGTCGTAATCATATACTTTTTCATTCAGAATATCTTCATAGTGTTTTTTACGATTAAGTATGATGGTATTCTCTAAAGTTTCGGCCGTTCCATGTTCTCTTTCAAATTGAAGAAGTGCATTATTTAAAGTATTAGATTTAGGCCATTTTTGAATAGCGATCTCTAATAAGGATTTTGATCTTATATACTCCTTCTGAAGTGCCTCCCATTTAGAAAATTCCACGATTAAATTAATACAGTCGTCAACTAATTCATTTCGACTTTCTGAATATGCAATCAATGCATCCAATGCCAGAGAATATACCGATCTGACAGTTTTGGTTGAACCATACCTTACCTCGAAATTAATCCATTTTCTCCATGTTGAAAATTGAGGATGTATAAGAACATATTTTGAGTAAATATTACGCACATCTTCATACCTTTCTTGTCTAACCTCGAAATCGGTAAATGAATCCCATACGTGAGCTGCCGGTTCTAAAGAGCACCATTTCTGAAATAAATTGCGCACTATGTCAAAGTGTGCTAAGGATTCTTCTACAATTAAATACTTGTACCATAGTTTGTCAACACGTGGAAGTTTAGTAATAGCCCTTTCTAATATGTTTCTCGCATGATTGATATATCCTAGCTTCAACTCGGATTCTATATACCTTATCCATAAGGGAACATAGCTGATATGTACCCTAAGTGCACGTTCAAAAATAGACCTTGCTCTTCTCATATCATGCTGTTCAATTTCGAACACTGCATAACGCATCCATTGCTTGACATCCAGTCTATTCCTTTTCAAATAGCCTTCAAACTCTGTCCTTTTCCTGCGTTGTACATCTTTTAGTTCTTCGAGATCAAGAATATCAATGGCATCTATGGAAAATTGCTTATTTTGAGATTTATAGACATCCTTCAGTATATCATTATCTGTAATCTGTTTTGCAGGTATCTCAGTCATTCCCACTACGCTAGAAATAGATCTTATCTAATGTTGCTCTAGCTGACTTCTTCTTTTCGAAGTATCCTTTTCACTCTGTAATGAATGCAACAGTCTAGAGTTCACTAGATCTCAAACACTAAGAAATTTGATTTAAATAAAATGTTTGGTGATGATTTTAGGTGATACCTTATTTTAGTTGATAATATAAGTAAGTGTAGCTCATCGAGCATTAAATATTAGAGTTTTCATATGAGAGAATATTCTCAAGTTTGTACAGTCACGTGATATATTTCATAATACATGAAAGGTGTTATATTAATTGGGATCTATTAGTTGATTTGAAAGCTATATGCTACTCATGTATGTTTGGTTTTCTATATCTCTATGACGTGTTTTACACCACATTATACATTCCGGTTTATAACTAGCTCTTTGCCCAAAGAAATGGTTGATTGCGAGATGAATACTGTAGCCATTTATGCATCTTTTGAGTAAACATTTGACTTTAAGAACTCAGCTAAATCGTTCAATTCTGCAGGGTCAGCTGAGTGGCCAAGACCTCTATAGCTCTTAAAAGTGTAGTTCTCAAGTTCACCAGCGGATTTGAAGAACTCCGCTGTTTGTACACCAATTGGGAAAGGAACAACGTCATCGCTTTCACCGTGACCATGGAACACAGGAGTGTTTGGGTTTAAGTTCTTTCTGGTCTCTTGAAGTTCATTTCTAAGGTAGGCAAACCCAGAAAGACCGATAAATGCACCTATCTTATTATTTAGAGTAACTGCTGATGCTAATGCTAATGCAGCACCTTGGGAGAACCCACCAACTATTATATTTTGAGGTTCTATCCCATCGCTAATACTACTATCAACATATTTCTGTACTTCCTTTAATGATTGCTGGAATCCGACGGTATCGACATTAGAAGTTGTCCAGTCCCACACTTTAATATCAAACCAAGAAGGCATTGGCATACCACCATTGGCAGTAACTGGCTTTATGGGTGCATTAGGAAATATAAAGTTAGTGCTCTCAAAACATGGATGGTATTGCTGCAGGTATTGAGCTAAAAATGACCAACCTTGACCTGTGTCACCTAAACCATGCAGGAATATTAGTGCATATTTAGCGGGTTTCTTAGTACTGGCAATTCGAACAGCAGTAGACATTGATGTAGACTAGTCTTATTTGTGTTATCAGTTAAGATACTTGATTATATATCTTCTCTTTACCTCGAAGTTGAACTAATACCACAGTATTCCTTTGTCTTGAATCATCTTCAACTTTTAAGAAGGTGGAAATATCCGATGCGATGATATGAAATTGATTGTTAACCTATTTAGCAGTGGATAATATATTGAGCCCGAATAACAAAGTTCTAATATCTGAAGTAAAGAACTACCATATCGTTTTGATAGATAGCTCAATCATACCTCGATAACAATTTATAATGGATAAACCACCTATTCTTCCGCCCAGAGAAGACGCAGTTGCTCTAGAGCCAGCTAATGATCAGCCAAAACTGGATGTCAAATTACCTGTAAATATTAATCTGCTCTCATATAATGAATTACTAGAGCTTATAAATCAGCACAGAGATAAGCTGCATTGGTTTTGTGCTAGCATGGATTCTTTTGAACCGATTACAGAGGAGGTTAAGAGACTGAAGAACCAGTTTAAGGAGCTGGAGGAGAAATTCTCGAAATTGGAGGACGGTAAAGTTGTTATTCAAGACCAAATTGCTGAATTGGTCATCTTAGAAAGCGAATATACGAAGAAATATCAGAATCTACAACAATTAATCCGCTCGAATTACTCTAAAGATGTAGCAAAACGGACGATGCTCAATAAAATAAAGGAAAACGAACAAAAGTGCGATGAGTTAGAGATAAACGCCAAAGGCAGTTTAGATCTGGATGTGTTTCTTAAATCGTATATGGATTTTAAGCTAGATTATCACATGCAAAAGCAAAAGCTGAATGTGTTGTCCGCTCAGAATAATTTCTAAGGATGCAACTGAATAGTATTGAAAATCTATAAGGATAACCGCAATCAGTATCACTGAATAGGTATATAGGATATCAAATTATATGCAGGCATATAGTAACTCTATAGCGTTGATCTCACTCCAATTGAATGTTTATTATTTAAGTAGCGTGGCTAATAATATATGGGTGAAGTAAAACATCGATACTCATAATTGCAAAAAAATAATATGCCTTAGTTGTCACCATATATAAGTTAGAAACGATGTTATAGCTAGTGTCTACAAAAAAATAATTTACAAATAATAGGAAGAAATGAAAAGAATAAAGGCAAAACAGAGTAATAGTTGCATAAATTGGAAAATAAAAGAAAAAATGAACTGAAGAAATGCTTGTTTTCACCAGGCTAACTTAATCAGATTTAAAGAAGTTAAACTACTTTAATCTGAAGGAATCATCCTTATTCCATGATAATGCAGTTGGGTCAGCAATTTTTCTGCCACCCATAACCCACGCCAATGCAAGAACAATGGCCATGGCAGCACATATACAGCCACCAATCAAATAAACTTCACCTAGGAATGGGTTTCTGCCACCAATAGAGGAGCCGTGTGTGATGAAGACACCTTTCTTACCGTTATACTCAGTAACAGGCCAGTGTAGACCGATGTCAATTTGCCATTCGCCCGCTGGCAAGGTATCGTTAGTGTTTTTTCTAATCAGTTTTGTTTGCTTGTCGAAAGCGGCTGGTCTCATCCAGTTTTGAAACTCTTCCCATTCATTTATGTTTGGCATGTTGGTCTCGTTGTAACCATTTGGGAAAGCCTTTGCCCAGTATGGAGGTGGGACGACTTCTGTGTGGTTGTACTTGGTCTTCTTATATCTTTTCTTATCAGAGTGCCAATTTATTCTCTTGTTGGTCAAAGGGTAATTCTTAGTGGAGTCCTGGACGTTCTGTAATTCAAATGGATAAGAGTCATTGAACATCGAGTTCGCAATCAGCCCACAGGGGTAAATCAATTTACCTTCGCTGTCATGGCCCAGTACTTTACAGTTGATACCGGTGTTTGAACGAACATCGTGCAGCGAAGGTCTCTTACCTCTTATTTGGTCCTCACTGAAAGAAAGCACATATCTTCTGTGGTTTGCGGCAAATTTCTCGAGCACATAATTCACATAGACTGTTTTCTTCAAGTCAGCAGGGGTGGTGAACCTGATCTGGCAGGTACCACGTTCATTAGAGTCATCCGATGGATCGTCCACAAATCTCCACTGTGGCTTTGTATTGAAATCCTTATGGTTGTGGAAGATGTAGTTGAAATGATCATCGGGCATGTCCTGGAAGTTATCCTTTGGCGCGGCAGTGACACAGTCCTGGTAAAACATAGTGATCTCGTCAACTCTAGAGGATTGCGCCAAGAGACAGCCACCTACAATGACAAACACCGCGGCGACAAGCAAGTATATAGGCAAAACACTCTTTGGCGTGAACACAGGGTTGATGGACGCGAGACGCTGCTGCGTGAAGTTATCCTCTTTAGGCCTCCTGTTCTTCGTCTTCACCGGTACATAGTCATCATCCTCAAACTCCGAAGCATCAACATCCTCTTCTTCGGGCACATCTTCTTGGTACTCGTGTTCTTTCTTTCGAAACACATTATTCACTTGCGTCAAATCCAACTTCACCATTTTTTTTCCCTATCTTGCTCTCCTTTCTATGTCAAACTCCAGAACAAAAAACGGCTATACCTTTAGATTACTATCTTCTCAATGGTAATGTAGAAACTGGTGCTTTTTGGAAACGGCCTCGATGTCTTATGTAAAGACTATTCCTGATTACTGGGCACTTTTGGTGTTATTCGACTGTTATTTTTTCTTCAAACTGCGGAAAGAGCGATTTTCAAAGCCCATCACCGAGAAAAATAGGGATTGTCACAGGAATGCCGGGTAAGTGATAAATTTGGTGGGTTTCCAGAGTGATCTTGCACCATAGGCTCTATATCAGTAGCGGCTTCTGGCATGTGAAGCATAGTGGGTGTATGTTCGACCTGGGGACGTGGACTATTAGAGGTTTTATAGAGCTGTTCTTGAGGCATTGGGTAATTTGTGATGGCTGGTGGATATGAGTCCTACAGCGATGCTGGCGAGAATTTGGCCGATGTGCGGGAGGACAGTCCGATGAAGGATGTTGACGATGTTACAGTGGCTCAAAAACCTCGGTCTAGTAAGTTTGTTTTGAGTAAGTTTACCATATATGAGGCGAAGGATAGGATGTATGTGGTTGGGAGTAACAAGCGGGAGAGTATGTTCCGGATCATGGAGATTGATCTCACTGTACCATGCGAAGAGCTGAGTCTCTTAGAAGATAATGTTTTCTTCACTCGTAATGAGGTTATGGATGTGCTCTCTAGATTGGAGGATGCTAGCAGTGATGGTCTCACGAAAATACTGACGTGCGATGCTTTGCTCGGTTTTATAAGGTTTACATCTTGCTATTACTTAGTCGTGGTGACTAAGATAAGTCAGGTCGCGGTCATCGGAGGACATTCCATTTATCACATCGATGGAACAGAACTGATACCGATAATGAGTAAGAAAACATTTAAAACACCGGAGAGAAGCTCACCAGAAGCTAGACTAATGAATATTTTTAAAGATTTAGACTTGACCAAGACTTTCTATTTCAGTTTCACATATGACATAACAAACACATTGCAGACAAATTTATTAAGGGAAAAATTGAAAGCAATTGGCAGGACCGACATCAGTATACCTTACGACATATTTGGTTACAATGACATGTTTATGTGGAACAATAACCTGCTTGAACCAGTTTTGTCATGCCTTGAGAGCGTTTATGACTGGTTCCAGCCAATAATACATGGCTTCATCGATCAGGTCAACGTATCTGTTCTGGGGAAATCCGTGTACATCACTCTTATTGCAAGGAGGTCGAGATTCTTCGCGGGCGCTAGATTCTTGAAAAGAGGTGTAAATAATAATGGCTATGTGGCCAACGAAGTGGAAACCGAACAAATAGTGGCAGATATGGTACTAACTGCGTTTCACAAGTCAGGTATGGGTTATTTTGATAGTAATAGATATACCTCATTTGTGCAACATAGAGGATCTATTCCTTTGTTTTGGACACAGGAAGCCTCAAATTTAACTGCCAAACCTCCAATTGAAATTACTGTGAGAGATCCTTTTTTTAGTGCTGCCGCCATACATTTTGATAATCTATTTCAACGTTACGGCGGTGGACGGATTGACGTTCTCAACCTGATTAAGACGAAGGAAAAAGTGCCAAGAGAAACTAAACTGTTAAAAGAGTATGAGGAATGTATAAAATATCTGAACTCACTGATATATGATAATAATATGATATCATATACCTCTTGGGATATGAGTAGAGAATCCAAACAAGATGGTCAAGGTGTCATTGAATTTTTAGAAAGCTACGCTATTGATACCATAACATCCACTGGCATATTTCACAATAGCAAAGACTTCAAAGGTACGAAGATCCAACAAGGTGTATGCAGGACAAATTGTATTGATTGTCTAGATAGAACAAATGCAGCACAGTTTGTCATAGGCAAGAGGGCATTAGGAGTTCAATTGAAGTCTCTGGGAATAATTGATGATTCTTTTCTAGAATACGATTCTGATATAGTAAACATTCTAACAGAACTATTTCATGACCTGGGTGATACCATTGCTTTACAATATGGTGGATCGCATCTAGTGAATACAATGGAAACATATAGAAAGATTAATCAGTGGAAGTCCCATTCAAGGGATATGATTGAGAGTATTAAAAGATTCTATAGTAACTCATTCATGGATGCACAAAGACAAGATGCTGTTAATCTTTTTCTTGGCAATTATGTATGGAAGGAAGATCAACCGTCGCTTTGGGAAATGAACACAGATCATTATCTTCATAACGATTTTGGTCTTGAGGAGACGAAAAGAAGTTATACTCATTGGTGGAATAATCACCATGTCATTAAACTAGGAGATCTGATACGTAATGAGGTAACCGAAAAGAATAATGATATTTCAAGAGCAAATTTGATAGCAAATATAAGAGGTTATCCAGCTGCTTTTGATAATTATTGGAATGAATACTACACGACCAAGGTAGTTACTTGGCTCCATGAACTTTTTGCATACAACATGAATTCTACTAGGCGATATCATCAGCTTAAGAAATATTCAGGAAAGGATTCTTCGCCATTCAAATCTCGAAAACAGAGTTGGATTAACAAAAAGGTGAAAGGCAGTGTTATTGATAGCCCCATAGATCTTAATTCACCTGAAGATCGAAAGCTTGATGTGATTAAAGATGAGAAATGTTTAAGGATAACATCTACTGATGAACTGCTCTTTGGTAACTATCAACTGACTAGCTTAGTCAATAAAAGAAATCACATTGCAAATTTACTACATGCAGATGAAATATCATTAGAAAGAGCTACTTCTACCGGCTACGAGGATGAGCATTGTTGCTCAACTATTGAAGACAGGTTTGAAATTGAAAGATATGGTAATAATGACAACCTTTATTCAGTTATTGATATCACCACCTCCATCGGATATTATAAAGAAATTAGAGTAGATTTTGATTATTATACACGTCTAGGACAAGTTGATAGATACAAGGAGCTTGAGAACTACGAAACATATTTTGATAATCATAGCTGGGAGCCTATTATGTAAGTGGTTCCAGTTATAGTTTTGAATGTTTTTTATAGAGCATATATTAGTTTAATATTCAACATTTGCAGTCCGTTTTTAGAACATTTGTTTGCGGCTCATAAATTAAGTCTTTTTAATATATATATAACTTCGAAAATAGTTGATGTTACTGTGAAATATCAATAGAGTGACCATTAGTTGATATCTCATTTCGGTTTTCCCGCATTATTACGTGGTATGTCGCTCAAATGCCGGTCTTAAAATAGGCCATTTGAAAGAGAAGTGATGCCTGAAAAACTGACAAAAAATTGAGATGAGTACCTGAAAATATAACTTCATGTAAAGTGGCAAATCAGTTTAAGAAATACAATTATGATATTTCTAGTATTGCGCAAATGTTATTCAGCCAGTCAAGCTAGCTACTAAGTCGCTTTTTATAATTTTAGTTGCTTCTTCTGTCCTGGTTTGATTATACCTATAGGGAACAAAATATAAAATGCAATCGAAAAATGGAGTCAAGAGGCCGAGACCTTCACATGTGTGTGACAACTGTAAGCGTAGGAAACAGAAATGTGATAAGAATAGACCTAGCTGCCGAAGATGCTTGAAACTGAATCAAACATGTGTCTATCCTGACTCAAATGGATCAAACGTGTCAAACATATCGCCAGTATCTGATAGTTCGATAATAGATGATATTAAAAATAGCAATGATGGTAACAGCAGTTTGATACATGCAGTGAATAATCAGGAGGGTAAAATAATGTACGATAAGAATAGGCATTTTAGCATTAATTCCATGCTCGACCATAGATCAAATCACTCACAATATCTTGGAAACAACATTAGGACTACAGATAGCGGAACCAGTGAGAATCCATCAACAGAAAATAAAGAAAGAACAAAGGAATTGGAATTTTCCAGCACAATGAACACAACAGAAAAGAATTACTCCGAGAATATTGCTAATATGTTAACAAACTCAAGTGCATATCAGCCAATTAATGAGATTACGCCAGAGAGTCTTTCAGCAAGTGGAAGAAAATCGCTAGAATGTAATGGAGAGACTGCATATGATAGCATATTGGCTGAAAACGATCTGGATGATATGATATTAGAGCTATTCAACCCCAACAACATGATAGTTGTATATGGTAATATGACATACATTGATTCACCATTTGCCCTTCATACTCTAGCACAACTAGATGCATTTGCAAGAGCTTTATGTGGAGCACTTCATGGTAATACAATGATAGAACTACATAGCAAGCTCTTGTTGTGCCCACAAGCTAATAACTATGCCGAGATGTTATCACAATTACAACCTCCATCTCCTGTTGCAGAGTTGAATTCAGAACTGAGTACGCTGCCTTATATTAAACAATCTATTATAAAGTGGGTTGAATCATCTGAGAAAAATCAATATTGTGCTATAGCCATTGGACTGTCTCATAAAACGGTTAGTTTGGATGAAACCATGTCTCCTCAATTGTATGCAGGTCTACAATTACTAGTCTATGACATTGAAAATAAATTCACTACAGTGGTTGAAACTGAGTATATCTTAAAAAATTTCTTTGAGAATATTTACCCTTTTTATCCATTCATGGAGCTTTGCAGCTTTAAAAGTAACCTGAATAAAATATGTGAGACGAGTGAGAACGGTAGATATAAATTCAATATCATATCAAAAAATAACACACAATCAGACTTTGAGACATTTTGCTTGTTCAATGTTGTGCTAGCAATATCTTTTAGGCAGCTAATGGTTGAGTCAGATGTTACTTTTCTAAAATCTAAGGATGTAGAGAGTGTCATTAAAAACCTTTATTCCAATTCTCAAAAGCTGTTAATAATGTTAGACACATATAAAAATACGAATGAATCGAGTTTCTGTTGCGAATTGTACGCCTTCCTATTGAGCTACCTTGAGCCAAATGCAGAATTGACATGTCTGACGCATGAAAAAATAGGCCGACTAAAAAGTTTAAATGAGATTGCTCTGACTTTGGGTTTGCATCATAACCCATCGAAATACACAAGATATTTCAACGAATTAGAACCTGACCCAAAAATTTTGAAGTTTAGGAGGAAGTTGTGGCTTGGTTTAAACACGCTAAAAATGGAAATATTAATACCAAATGGGGTGGCCAATAGACTTGACATAGACTATATGAATGCATTCATATCACCTGAAAGAAGCTTGGCAAAAATTTTACAAAATGATTTTCACTCTATTGGGGAAATTGATGCCAGCATACTACAGCGCTATGATAATAAATATCAACTGCAATTAATTTTAAATGAATTGGTTATTAGTTGTACACCAGTTAGTAATAATGTCCATTTCGGGGAAGTTGTACAAAATCTGAAAAGAGCTAAGAATTTTTTAATTGCTAATTTTTCAATAACAGACTGTGAAATGTTAGAAGACCAAACACTATTATACAAAGTAGATCCTAACATAGAAATTAATCTCAAGTCGACAAAAAATGTAGAGTTGATTATTAATTATATCAATGGCTATACGTGCATCATGTGTGTTTATTTTGTCTTAGCTACGAAATTTGAGGAATTGAGTAGACAAGACTGGAGAAAGTATGAAAAGTACTATCACAAATTTTTAATAGAGGCGATTGAATCCAATGTCAAACTGGATACCCTAGTAATGGGTTATCTTGAAGGCAAATATGCTAAGTTCATTGACACTAAGCATAGATACGTGCTAGATAGAATTGTATCAAATTTAGTGATTAAGTTATGGACTTTGAAAAGTTGTTTTTTGACAAGATTTTCTTACAAACGTTATGTCACTGAACGCTTAGAGCGCAAATATAGAGCAGAAAAAATGGCATATCCTGAAGCAAATCTATTGCCAGTACTCATTAGAATAATCAATTTATTAAATGTCCAAATGTACAGATCAGTTGAACTACTCAGGTCTAATATATCTGCAGAATATTATACACGTTCTTATTGTTCTCCCATGTTTCAATACATCGTCAATATAATTGAGAAAGGAAAACTAGTTGAAGTGGTGAATAAGTTTTGGGATAGAACTTTCGAAGCTGCAAATGTGCCTTCATTACTTTTAAAAAGTGTGAATATGAAGTGGGGCCTTGACATGAAGAATCCACAAATAATAAAGTACCATTTAATAAGCCCTGAAGGGCTACAGTGTATGAATAAGAAACTTCTAGAAGGTATTGAAAATGTATTAAATGTACATTTAGTGGATTGTCGTGACTGTGAGGCCATATGGGATTCCAATGAAGTTGCAGATACAGCCTCCACCGAAAGTGGAAACTTTGATCAGTTTTTTGAAACCAACTTTGATTTATTCTTGGGTGCTTTTAACAACTCCCTGGGGGATTTTCCAAAAATAACATTTGACTAAAAAATGCTAACAACCTCTACAAACTATATTAATTAAATTATACTAAGTATCTGCCAATATTTATTTTTTATAATTCAATGTGAATGAATTTTATGACTACTCTAAAGTTGTTGTGCACTATAGTAGTTGGTAATCCATCCTGTTTTAATTTTGAATAATGCACTCTTTTGTGCGTGCTCATCTCAAAAGGTCTGAAAATCACCAAAATGGGAAGATGTCAAATTAATGTGATGAGAAAATCAACATTGCATCGAATAAAGGATTACATGCAGATAAAGATTCAGAATTACATTATTGTAACGTCCCAAACTTAAATAGCAAATATTACAGATTGTTGGCACCAATGATGAATACTCAATGATGAATTTGGTTAATAACTTTAGTAAACTGTTTCCAAGATGTCTCACGACTGGGTTATATTTATGGTCATTATATGCAATTGTGGTTTGTATACACGTCATTAGGGCAAGAGTGGTACTTCCATTGGTTTTCACGATTGCAATGGTTGCTTTGTATACTTATGCAAAGCTCATATATGTTGGACCTGGTACGACAAAGGAGTATTCGATATTGAGAGTATATGACTTGAACGCAGCAGAGAGTGGATTTGAGTTACCACCAGAAATGCTGGTGAAAAGAAGTTATACACAAAAGAGAAATGGTAGATTTAGGGTTTGTAAGAGCTGTAGTAGTTGGAAACCGGATAGATGCCATCACTGTTCAACTTGTAATGTATGTGTTCTAAAAATGGATCACCATTGTCCGTGGTTTGCGGGATGCGTTGGTTATAGAAATCAAAAGTTTTTTATCCAATTCTTGATATATTGTACTGTTTACAGTATATTAGTGCTGATATTAAGTTCTATGGAAATTTATACATGGTTTAAAGGAGAGTTCTTTGAGGTAGAACTCATAAACTTTACTTTACTATCTCTATGGTTACTGGCTCTTGTTGTTTCGATATCTATAACAATATTCACAGTATTCAGTATTAGTCAAGTGTGCCAAAATCAGACCACAATTGAATTATACAGTTTGAGGAGATACAACGAAGAGGTCGCATTTTTAAATGAATTTTCTAATGAACCGATAAAGGGAACAATCAATATATTTGATCTTGGGAAGAAGCTGATAAACTGGGAAGAAGTTATGGGGTATTCTCTCATTGAGTGGGCCTTGCCAATTTCACGGAGACCTTCTTCACTCGATCTTGAGGGATCTCATAGTCATGGATTGTTCTTCAATGTCAATAAAAACGTTAGTAAAACTATGAATGAGAGTGTAGATTTGCAGGATAGGTTACTCCGTCGACTGACTCCGAGATCTTCGCTTGATGTAGATAGATCAAATTTTGTCTAACTGGTTTTTTTATTTCTCGCCTTCATATTATATGCATTTTCTTGGCATGATTAAATAACATTCTTTCACAACAATTATCTTATCAGTACAGTTTTATTGGGTTGATTTCTAAATACAACGCAATAAATGAAATTTGTCTATTATTATTTGATATATCTATGAAGCAATAACTAATATTTAACTGATTTGGCTAATAATACAATGATAATGAATGTCTTACTATTAGAAATTTAAAGTAAGAATGCAGAGAGTAGGCCTATTCCTTGAAACTTCGCGAGTTGGAAAGGTATGCAATAACGGGAGTACTTTACCAATCATAGCAGGAGAGCGATGAAGCCAATGATTATAGTTGAGAACTGAATAGTCAAGCTTGATGATCCGCCTTGGTAGATACTTACAACATGAGAAGTCGTTGTATTGCCTGGATGTACTGTTGATAACGTTGATGCTTGAACAGAAGTGTATAGGGAAATTATGGCTGGTGCAGTGGAGGTTGTTTCTACTTTACCAGACACAATATTGTTCGTTGGTTTAGGTGAGGAGCTGGATTTCAAAGTAGAAACTGGCTCCAGAACACCAATATCAGTTACAACAGCAGATTTAGTACTCAAAGATTTGCTAGCTGATACTTCAACAGAATGGGCAACAGAATTTGAAGATTTTGAGGATAATGTGCTCACAGCTTCAAGATCACCATACACCGATTTAGATGCCGGCTTGGTACTATAGTATACTTGCTCAGAAACACTCAGTTCTGTTGATTTTACCTTAGAGGATGTAGATGCTTTTGTGCTAGAAGTCTGCTTTGTGGATTGAATAGTTGAAGCAGCTTCCAAGAATTCGTATTCGCTCAATTGCTCAGAAATGGTGCTTTGATAAACACTTGCAATTGTTGAAAGTTGTGTTTCGTTATCTGCTTTTTCGCAAGTAGGGCACACAGTTTTGGTTACTGTTTGTTTCAAGGATTGTGTGGTTGTAGTGTTTGTAAATTTGGAAGTACTGCTAGAGATAGAGGAGGATGTGGCTGCGCTGGAATAGTCCGTTTGACTGCTTGAAATAGTCGTAATTGTTGAGTTGTGGTACATTATAGATGATGATGATGATGTTGAGTTTGTAAATTCATCCGGTCTAGAAGTTGGCGTAGCAGTTGGAGTTGAGGTGGTGGTATCATTTCTAACAATCTTCGATTGTATCATCATCTTTGAGCTCGTTGTACCATTTAGAGTTGAAACTGGAATCCATACACCATACTCACTAACAATAGCTGAAACAGTAGAATGGTCTAGACTGTATGTTGGGATAACTTCAAGTGATTTAGTAACATTGGATGCTGTACCATTAGTGTATGCTGGCAATGGTGTCATGGTTGAGTTCTTAGAAACATCAGGATTTGGAGTCGAAACATTGATGTGAGAAAGATTGTCTAATGGAGCTGCGTATAAGTTTGTATTGATGTTAATTTCCGATGGGTCAACAACATCTCTCTTAGATAGGTCATTTGCTGGATAACTAATATTCAGGTTGTTGGAAATAGTCTTTGAATATAGTTGAGAAGAATAGTAAGTGATTCTCACATACTCTCCACCACTGAAACTAGAGTTAAATAGGACGTCGATTTTAGAGTTGGTGGAGTAGTCGTGTACAGCAGTCAATGGCACAGTTGCCAAAGGTTGGTTAAATTTGTTCAGTTTGGTAACAACTTTGAAGGTGGTCTTTGAAGCATCGAATTGATAAGCGTTGGGAACAGAGGGCGTAGATTGAATTCTGATAGGTCTTTTAAACTGAGAGATTGGAATATCAAGAGTAAACCAAGCAGTGTTGTTAGTTTGGTAAATGCCACCATTTGTGTTAATTTTGGTTGGATCTGTTGCTAAGTAGTTGATGTTACGAACAAACTCGACATTGTCGCCATTGGTAAAAGTGTAAGATACAGAACCGGGACTTCTTATTTCTGACAAACCCTTTGAAGAAAGCTTACATAAGAAATTGAAAGTGGTACTAACATTTTGCAAAATGTTGCTGTCAACCAATTGAATGTCAAAATTGTTGGAGTCGTCGGCTTTGTTAATGGAACCAATTATCTTGGAGTTATAAGACAATGGAAAATCACCAGAAGGAAAAGAATCAAACTCATCAGGAACTGTGAATGGAATGGAATTTTTAGCATCTTGAGGGACAAACACTTGACCTTGAATCAAAAACCAATGACTAGGGTCTGTGCTGTTGTTTGAGCCGGAGTGTGTATCGAATACTTGTATATCGGTTAGAAAGCCTTTTTGCGCATTGGCAAATATAGATGTACTAATGCTCATAAAAGTGAGCAGAAATGTAGTTGTAAATTTCATTGTGTTATTGAAATATGATCAATAGATGTGTGTTGTCTGCTTTGGTAGCTTTGAATTGGTAAGGTTTGGAGTGATATTTATTTAATTGTAATGTTTTTTGTTGTGTATTATTTGAATAGGTTAGATAAGGCAAACTGGAAAAGAAAGTATTTCTTATGACCTTCTGAATTGAGATAAAATCAGGTTCTTTATATATGACTACAATAAAATAAATCTTTTGCCAAACTTGGTTAATTTCTCAATGCCAGTATATGCTTCAGATGGTATTCATTCCTACTTAGGAATACCGTACCAGTTTTCTGATAACCAATGCAACATTCCTTGTAAAAGCACGGGCACTTTCTCGATAAATGCACATAGCTCTTACCAGCAAATTCCAAAGAAAGGTAGAAAAAAGAGGAGGTCTTAATCAGCGATCTCGAGGACCTGTTCTCATTAATGGGCACGCATTAACGAACACCGATATGTATTGCAGGTACAGTGTAAAAAAACGGTATTTAACTACCAGTCTGAATAGTTACTGTTTGTTACCGTACTTTAAACTATCATTGTACGTCGATTTCTAGGGTAGATCTAACTTCACGCAACAATGCTGGTAAAGATTTACGCTATTTGACTCAATTTAGAGAATGTGAGACCAGCAGATCTACAAAAAATCGGGTTCTGATAAATCTGGCACAGCAGGTTCTGAGGAAATGCCCTCTTCCTTGAAAGTTTAGGGACACCAGAATAACACTGCATAAAGGACTGTGCACTATTCGCTGTGGACTAAACTAATTTGTGCAGGATTTGTTTGGAGCAGAGCAACTAACCTAGAAAATGCTGTACATAATGATTTGTAACTTTTTTATTTTTCTCTGGGAGCTCCCAGAAAACATTGCACGATTAAGTCCAAACTGAATGTATAGAAAAAATAAGATGGCTGGAAGTTGCTGGCTAGTGATAATTGAGAATCTTAAAATCATTGCTGGGTTACTGATTTCGATGGGTTTTTTTGCAAGCCAGATATCTATCAATACAAGAAGAACTAATTTGTAGGCGGTGTTATGTTCTCCTTCAAACCTCTTCGCCATTTAAATTGTCTATTCTTGAATGGCTGACTCTTAGCATGTATTCTGGTCGAGTGAATTGGTATGAATGAATACGTTCTGGTGAAAAGTCTGGTGCGTAATTTCTGTTGAATCAATTGAGTTTGTTGAGCCACAAGCGTAATTGGTAGTTAGTAGGAGATAAAATTCAGGAGGCTGTGCTTGGCCTTGTCTATTAGCAGAAGCAATTTTACTTGTAGAAATGCTGTCGATACCATCAGCAGTATGACAGGTCAACCTTGTTCAGCATAGGCCTATTATTGCCCTGAACCAAAAATCAACGGCTGGATCATCAAAATGTGTAGATATATGGAAGATAAAAAGACGACATTGATTTTGTGGGTAGAATTACAATATTGAGAGAGGAGTCTAGATTGGATAAGTCTATAAGCGTTTCTTGTTCAAATCTTGCAGTTGTATATGCCTGTTCATCTTTCTAGGTATATTACACAATTACAAATAGCAGAATAAGTAGTCTTTATGTCTAGTCGAGCTGGTACAACAACTTTTCTTTTGGATAGTGGCCATATGTCATAATTCCTTCTTCGAATACCTAAAAAAGTTTAATTTTCGGATAATTATGAAGGATCCGAAGCTAGTTGACAAAAAGCTCGAACCAATCATTATTCATCTGTATAGTTGACCACCAATATCCGGTTTTAGTAGGCACTAATAAAAAAGAACTTAAGATTACATGTATAAGTGATTATTATTCATTTGCCCAGCTCATAACATTTGAATTGTGCATACAAAGGAATCGAGGATTGAGGATACTACATACCGAGAGTAGTGTTGTTTGATGGTTCTCCCGATAATAATTGGAGTTGGTGTAACGCTGGTAGCATGGACCACCCAATCGGCTCTCCGAGCTTGGCAGATCTATAGAACTCTTACTCCAGGCATGATAGCAGCTATGAATGGGATCAAACTAACAAATTTTCGCTCGAAATACGCATCAAAATTTCACAGTGACAGGTTAAACCCGGGGCTGAAAATGCAACTAAACAAATGGGAAGGAGGATTTTATCATCCAATGTCAGAATCAGAGGCTTTAATGATACTAAATATTACTCAAAAAGAAATTATGAGTTTGAATGCTCCATTACTAAAGAAAAAGCATAGGCTAGCAATGCTTAAAAATCACCCAGATAAAGGTGGAAGTCCATATTTATCAGCAAAAATCAATGAAGCAAAGGAATTATTAGAAAAAAGTGTACTAACTAGGAAATAATCAACGGTAGATCGTCTGCATGAATGGGTCGCATGCCGGTATTCTACTATTAGAATAATTGCACAAAGTTTCATATTTTCTAGAAGGCAACTAGCCTTACAAAGGTAACGAAAAGGCTATGTCATGAATTTAGAGCTCTTGATTCTTTTTTTCATAGCATTACAAATTGGTAAAGGTATATGTAAACCGTCCAAGGATATGCAAAAGAAATACTCATACACAACAACCTTCAAGACACTATTCAATGTAGTAATGTTAAATATTTTTTAATTGAAACTATGATTGTATTTTGAGTGGAACTAATTCTTTATTCGAGTTCATCGGTTTCGTTAATGGATAATGTTTTAATTGTTAGTTATCTTACCTTAACTCGCCATCACTAAATACGTTGTGTGGTGCATCGATTAATGTTTGAGTCGGCATATCATTTTTAACTCCGAATGTTTGTTCAAAGGATGGACCAGTGGTTTCTGAATCATCTCGGCACTATAAGATTGAAGTATGTATTTTATGTAATAGGTTTCGTTAATATAACGAACAGATTCTTGAAAATATTTATCTGATAGTTAGCCTTTATCAGTAAGTGCAGTGCAAGCCAGAGTTGATATTCCTGGGTGAGACCAATATAGGTCAAGACTTTATGATGATTACAGCGGATCTAATATGGGATGAGAATCTTGATAATGATTGTGAAGTGTCAAAAGACATATGGGAAGACGATACATTCATAGATAAGAGTTATTTGAAAGTTGTATTGCCTAGCTATGATGGGGTTGATACTCCGATAGTATATCATTTTAAGTTGAATGATGATTTGAAAATAAATTCAATCAAGATACCCACAAATTCCATCGGTAACCTTGGTAAGTTCGGTCGATTGAATACTTGTTCCTTAGAAGCTGTATCAGGAGAACCACCTGTTCTTAAAGAGATTATTATTAAGATTGATGAAAGATTGTATGACAAACTAGCACTTCTACCTAAAGCTAATGAAAAAAAACAATACTTTCAAATTAAGTATAATCTGGTGAACAAGCAGTCTGTGATACACGAAGGTAATATATGGGGGCATGTTTGTGAAGTAGTGGAGACTAAACCATTTAGTCAAGGTGTTATCGATTTTAGTGTTACTGACATTGTATTAATTAGGAGTAAAATACTGTCAGTAGAAAATAAACATGATAGAAGTTTAGTTAATTTACAAGCATTTCACGATTTATCAAGGATACCTTTAAAGTGTCTTCATTACCCTGTTGAACGCTCTCTTCTTCTTCCTGAACCTCCTTTTGATGATGATGACTCTATTTATGTATTTTTTCCTTTTGACTTGTTATCAAAATTGAAAATATCAAGCGGCTCGTTTGTACGTCTATCAAACTCTAAAAATTCTGTATTAGTACGAGCCTTCCTTTTACAGTCCCCTAATCATTATGCTGTTGATGGCATATATACAACACCATTTGTGTTGGCCCAATTTGATGAATTACCACTTGTTGAAGTTGAACCAGTATATAATAATGAATTAGCCTTTCCCACAGCATCAGAGGTAGTCATCTCAAAAGTTGGAAATGTATTGCACACACAAAAGAGATATCAGGAGCTTATTTTACAAAAGCTTAGATATTACTTTTTAACAGCAAGAAGAATACTCAGTAATGGTAGTTTAATACCAATCACTATTGATTCATCATTTGATGAAATAATCTTAGAAGATATCGATTTGGATGTCAACACTATAAAATCAGATGATGATTGTATTGTTTGGTTTGTTGTAAGTAACAGAAAATTTGAGAACATTTCAAACTATGATCCGAAAGCTGAATTTTTTGTTGATCCGAAACATACAAAATTAATTACGTCAGCGATGGAGAATAGAAGTTTAAGCTCAAACACTTTTAATTCTGCTTTGAAATACTATGGTCTTCCAGGTGTATTTCACTACCGTCCTGATATATTTCCTGTTGTGAATGATATTAAAAATGTAATCAATACACATGCGGAAGCTAATAAAAAAGTACCTAATCTGCCAATGATATTAAACCTATCTTCAAATGTGCCAAAAGTGGGTAAAGCAAGTATCCTAAGAAGCATAGCTATCGATCTTTCATATCAGTTTGTTGATATTGATACTTTATCAGTAGTATTTTCGTCAGGGTCATCAGATATTGCTACAACTTTTTTGGGATATCTTAAAGGCAAACTCGAAAATCTGCTACCCTTCACTGGAAATACGATTATACTAATCAAACATATTGATCACATATTGAAAAAAGTTGATCAAAATCAGGATATACAACAATCCAGACAAGTTAAAGCACTAGAAGGTGACCTAATATCTTTCATTAAATCTTACTCAAGGATATATCCAGGTGTTGTATTTGCGTTTACATCAGCTAGTATTGATAACCTACCTGAGGGCTTCCGATCAGAAATTAAGTTCGATTATGTTGTTCATCCGCCCAATGAAAAACAGCGGCGAAGTATAATTGATGAGCTTTTGTCAACATCAGATCTCTTTCAAAAGTATGGTAACAGGAAATTACGTATTCAGTGTTCTAATGAGATAGAAATTTCTACATTATCTTTGCATTCGGCGGGGTTGTCGCCCTATGATATACAATATATTATTAGTTTGGCTGTGGCAGATTCGTTGAGAAAATGTAACAACTATCTGTTGTGGAGACAAAATAAAATAAAGGTGGATATGATATCTATACAAAATGCACTAGAAAAGGTGAGAAGTGATTATTCCGCTTCAATTGGTGCACCAAGTATACCGAATGTAACCTGGGATGATGTTGGTGGGTTGAGTTCTGTCAAGGATGCTATAATGGAAACGATTGACTTACCATTGAAACATCCAGAATTATTTGGGTCAGGTCTGAAGAAACGAAGTGGTATTTTATTTTATGGTCCACCAGGAACCGGTAAAACACTTCTTGCAAAAGCAATTGCAACAAATTTCTCGCTGAATTTTTTTAGTGTGAAAGGTCCAGAGCTGTTAAATATGTACATAGGTGAATCTGAAGCAAATGTGAGAAGAGTATTCCAGAAGGCGAGAGATGCCAAACCGTGTGTAATATTCTTTGATGAAGTTGACTCTGTTGCACCAAAAAGGGGAAACCAAGGAGATTCCGGGGGTGTTATGGATAGAATAGTCTCTCAACTATTAGCAGAATTGGACGGAATGAGCTCTGACGGTGATGGTGTTTTTATTATAGGTGCAACGAATAGGCCTGATTTATTGGATGAAGCACTTTTAAGGCCGGGTCGTTTTGATAAACTAATCTATTTAGGTATTGCAGATACCAGAGAAAAGCAGGCTAATATAATGAGGGCTTTGACAAGAAAATTCAAAGTGAGCTCTGACATTAACTTTGATGAACTTGTGTCTGATTTTCCATTTAGTTATACAGGTGCCGACTTTTATGCTCTTTGCTCAGATGCAATGTTGAAGGCCATGACTAGAATATCGAAGGAAATTGATGAGAAAGTTGACAAATATAATCAAGACAATGGTACTAGTATATCAATACGATACTGGTTTGACCATGTATGCTCTGATGAAGATACTGATGTTATAGTTAAGAAGGAAGATTTTTTAAATGCTAATAAAGAGCTGATACCAAGTGTTTCCCAGCAAGAGTTGGAACATTATAAACAAATCAGGGCTAATTTTGAGGATAGTAAGTAGTTTTTTTTACTACATCAGATATTTCATACAACACTTGTATAAAGCAACAAAAGAAATAGCTCATATTCATAAAGAAGATATGTTGAAAGATATCATATATCCAACAAGATAAAAATTCATTGTTGGTTTTGTAGTGCCAAAACTTGTAATGTATTGTTTTTATTTATTCGGTTACGAAATGAATGACAAGTGAATACAATGCTACTATGATCGTAGCTCAAAAAATTGAGGTCACTAAAGATAATGGAATCAAGTTAAGCGAGTTTACCTACAGTATACGAAATGGCATGGGATATGCATCATAATATGTCTATATTGTTGAAATTTGAACTTGATCAACAAATTAATGTTTTATTAAAAGATATATGTATATTATATGTTATTGGTTACATTTCTATATGTGAAAGTAGCGCTCTCTTACTAAATGTGAAGGTTACTATAATGCACATTGATAGAGTAAAATTAGAATGCAATATCTGTTACAGTAGTTGAAAAATGCAATGCAGTAGTGGAGTTTTCGTTAATTATTTGGATACCCATTTCTTTGTATCTCTGTAAGAATCGTGAGTGTCCTTGTATAGTTGTCTTTCAAATTCGTCCAGTTTGAGTAAGAATCTAGTAGAAGCTGCCAAGTTAGTAGCCTGGCTAGTACCAACAGATGAACCAATTCCTGAATTGTTGGCAGATCTAGTTGTTAAAGAAGAAGTACCGTTAATGGACGCCAGGGGTCCTGATCTATCCTCGTTTGCACTATTCTGCTGAAGTCTTAATGCATCAAGCAAGGCACTTCTGTATTTGTTCCCGTACTCGGTATCTATCGACACACTGCTGGCATAGTTGTTTATCTGCTGTGCTCTTTCAAGCAGCAGCTCATACACTATTTCACCTAGGTCTTTGTCACTATAGAGCGCTATCCATTTAAGAGCCATGTCCAAGAAGTAAGGGTTTATCGCGTGTAAATCCAGCGACTTGGGATCTGTCTTAATCGCATTTATTACTTTGTTCGAGAACATATCAGGCGTAAGCAGCTCTACGAAGGCATCACCGCCATCCTCTTCCTCTGCATTAGGGTCCATGTCCTCCTGTTCCTGGCTATCCGCACCTACAATGGCCAACACCCGCGCCAACCACAGTGGCAAAGAAAGCTTTGTATTCTTCCGTATCGGTTTCCCTGGGTTATTCTCCAAGTACCCTAGCCCCGGAATCTCATAGTTAAACTTACAAGGAACTTCAGTAGAGTCCACTAGTATGTCATCTATATCATAGTAGCCCATCAGTCGACTGTCTGTCGTACTTAGTCCCCGTATGTATTTCGATACAATCCCGTTGAAATAGAAATGTATTGCCGCCACTGGCACGATTCGCAGTTACTACTGTATAACCGAAATGAAACTATAAGAGTGTGGATGACGCGTCAGCCGTTATACTTATCAGAATTAAAATGAACGCGTAAAAGTCCGTACACCACTATATTACACATGTAGTTTCCGTGCACAGCTATGACATATTAGCCCTTAATTGAAGTCGAAGGGTGAACAGGCTTTCATATAACGAATAAAATAGTACTCTCTGAAGTAAATACAATGAGGACAGAGCTGCTTTGTGGTGGTACTACAACGTATAAGTCATAATCGATGGATTTTGTCTTGTTTATTTGTGGCCCTCAAACCGCCATCGAAGTGTGAGCGTTCTCGGTGTTTGTTCCATCCGTCCGGTCCCCGATGACTCGTAGATGAAGTGCTCATCATTCTCCAGGCCTCTTGTATATCAATGAGAACCTCACCTATTGCTGTCAAAGCAAAAAAAGATGAGCATCCCTTTCTCTTGAAATGTGTGATCTTTTGGGTTTGTAGAAAGGTACAGTGTTTGTGGCTTTTAGGATTAAACCCCGAATACCCAGATGTCCTGTTCTAAAGAATGGGCACACGACTCTCCACCTCTAATTCTCTTTGACGTTGGAGTAATGTGATGAGGGGACTTGACAAGGAACTTGTGTATGTTTAGGAGGAATATATATTGTGTAACAGATTCTTGGAAAGTCCGACTTTTCCCACCTCGTCTTGCTACCGAAGCAGCTTGTCTGTCTCACTCTTTCTCGCCTTCATTTAGGAAATCTAAAAAGTGAAGGACAACCTATTACAATACAAATAAGCAATATCCTGGGACTACAGGTATAAAAGAGTTCATCATCGAGGAAAAACGAGGATAAGATGGTTTGCGACACGTTGGTTTACCACCCTACGATTACTAGGTTAATCAAGTTTTTGGATACCACCGCAGGCAGGGAGAAAGCACTGCGTTTATTACAGTATCTATGCAGGTTTTTGGCTGTGCAGCAGAGTTCCGCGTTGGCGAAGGGCCTGCAGGTGCAGTTCACCATGGTTCGTAAGATTTTGCGTTTCTTGAAGCCATTGAACCACTTGCAAGCTGCCTCGAAGTTTTACGATAACAAGCTCAATGGTGATGATATTCTACGTGTCGGTAATGTCATAAAGAACCTTGCCTACGCCGGGTACTTGACTTTTGATCAAATAAACTTGTTGCGGATCTTGAAGCTTGTGCCAGTGACTCAGTTCACCGGCAAGAAAGTGCCAAAGCTGGCTAATTGGTTCTGGTTCGTCGGTTTGATATCGGGGCTGGTAATGGATGTCCGTAATATACACACATCTCAAACTAAGATTTTGACCATTGCATCTAAGGCTAGTAGTGTTTCTCCAGATGGCTCAGATGTCGAAAAGCCATCTGATGCTCAATTCGCCGAAGAAACCAAGGCCGCATACGTCACAGCATGTAAGCAAAGATACGCTGCGATTAGAAGATTAGTCTGGGACTCGTTCGATACCTTTATTGTGTTGAACAACTTGGGCTACTTGTCCAGCAGTGAGGATTCTATTGGTCTGGCCGGTGTTGTCACCTCTCTACTAGGCTTAGAGGACTTATGGAAAGGTACGAAATAAGGATAGGGAACATTATGGACAATATAATTTGGTTGTATATATGTAAATGGCTTCGAGCTCAACATTTCTTCTTAATTTGTATAAATTGATTTAGTTCCTTGGTTTAGCAGTTATGATGAAACTCAAACAACAATAATTGCTTAATGCGCAAAATAATATTCAACAAATAAAATGAACAATATTTCTAGATATTGCCGTCGCAATCATATATAAACAATCAATGCCATAAATCGTACTGGTGCCAAATAGTGGGTTATGTAATTTTTGTAGTATATGTTTTGGTTGACTTTGTTAACCATGGAATGGTTTTGAGAAAGATAACTACGACAGGAAAGCGTAGACAATAACAACACTGAGCAGAGCATGGAACTGAGTTAACATTACAATAAAATCAGCATATAAAAGTTGCAGTGGTTCCTCTAATGACATAGTGAATTCCAAGTGATAAATAATGAGACTAATTATTTGCTGTTAATTAGGGATATATCACGACAATTGAGGATCAAAAACACAAAATAGAATACTACTACTTAGATTAAAGATGTACTTACTATACAAATAGTACACACACTAAAGCTACGCTTCAATAATTAGTAAAACTAGTAAAATAAAACAAAGTGAAAGTACATACATAATAGTACATGACATGCAAATATTAATCCTGGAGTAGAAAGTGTCGATAGAGCAGAAGTGAATTGATCTATATTAACCTTGCATTTCTCTTGAGTTGAAAACAGCTGAAGATGGCATTGATTCGAACGATTTGTGAAAGCGACTAGAAAGAATGGTTTTTATTTCAGTTATATCAAATATGTGTCTTATTAATCCAAAAAATACTCTAAAATAATTATTGAGTTTTTGACTTATTATAGATTATGCGGCATAAATTTATTAAATATCTATCGAGAAAATTGGACATGCATTATAATCGGGATGGAGAGATAAAATTTTTGAATAACACTGAGTTCTCCTCGATCATAGTGCTCATCATGAAATAGCTTATTAATAGTTTACAAATATGAGAGTAAGTGTGGACTACTATTCCAGATGCTCCGATCGGTTTGTCACACTGTATAAACAATCCAAATCAGTGTGTAAATACTTATGAAAGTTATTTAGGTCTACTAGTGTATTAGTTCAAATTTTAATTGCACTGCTTTAGTGCAGCTTGGGTTTGAGTATATACATTCGAAGTTTACCTAAACACAATATATAATATTATTATTCTTTATTCCATCGGGTGCTCTGTAATCCTCATGAAATAAAATATACTATATCAGCCAGAAAACATAGTTGGTTCGATAGCTTTATATTCACATAATAGCCAAATTATGACTATTTAACCTATGTGTCCACAATTTGAAACTCACTGAATATGGTTTACTATGTAGATTTGACAATCATTTCATGATTAACATATCCACTTCTACACAGTTGGAATACTACAATATTAATCTTGCCCAACATCTGGCTTTATATTTGATCCTAAATTTGAAAGACTAGTTTTAATTTTGCTATGTTGACTGGTTTTTCTCTATATGTAACATACACGGTTAATTTAACCTTGAAAATTTAACCAAATAATTATAATGTTGTAGCTGTTATAAGAATACATTAGTTTTGGAAAGTGTGCTCCTATTAAGTCAAATGGTTATTAAGTTATATGCTTGGTAAAAAAAAATAATAATAGGGTAGTACTTAAAAGGCAATCAATGAGTGCAGCAGTTTTTTAGCGGCATTTTTGTTATTACTCGATAGCTCTTTTGTTTTGGTTTTTTGAATTCATATTCGATATACCTATTACTGGAATATGGTACAAATCTGATAAGGCTCTCCTCAAGATAATACCTTTGAAACAAGGCATCCGTAATTGTTGATTATTTTAGCCCACTTTTCTAACACAGGACTGAATACTATCATAAATCATCCAGATTCTCTGAAAGAATTCTGGCATTTAGAGTTACTAGTAATTATTTTTATATTATCTTTGATACTAATCTGCGAAGCGAATTTACCATTTATCCTTTATTGAAGTACAACGACGGAAGCATAACAAGGAATATATTGTAGTTTCAAATTAATGGAATTCTAATATCAATAGCGGAAATTAACAATTTTATTATTTTCAGTAGTTCTACGAATTTGATGACATGTATTAACCTATTTGAACTCTTCACACCAAAATTAATAACCGTATTTGTAAGCAGCTACCCAAATTATACAAAATACAGTCGGTTCCATAACATTGCCCTTTTATTTGTAATTAATACAAACTAAACACACCAAACTAATTCGTAGCAATATCATACATACGATAAGAAGTAAAGAGCCAGTAGCAATGTAATATTGGTTGCTTAAAGAATTTGCTATCATTCGAAAAAGTTGGCCTTAAAGCACTAGACTACTGTAAAAGAGATAAGGATATATGTTAATATATCCAGCCTGAATACCGTGAGGCCATTAAATAAGTCACGAAAATCTATGTTAATGGTGTAACATATAATACTAATATCGGTATTTATTTGAAGACCGGCACTTTCTTAATTAAACAACTGTCCCTTTAAGAATCGAAATACAGGAGTTTGAGACAAATTATAGCTAATTAATTATCTGGACTTGCAAATTCTTGATTCTAGACTACTTTTCTCCATTCAACATATTCTAAGAAAGATATGTTTGAGAGCCTAATAACTGCTTAGCATAATACTAGAAAGATATAACCATGTATTGCAATTTTCTTTGATACTGCCGCCAATTTACAGTAGAATATCCGGTTTGTGATTCAAAATCTTTGATTTTATTTATTCGCTTTCTGGAAGAGATTCAAAATAGTCCTGCACTGGTCGTGTGATGGTTTAATCATCTTCAAGTTTGTGTAGTAGCCATTTATATCTTGAAGTGTAAAAAGATAAACACTTAGTCAAGTTTCACTGAATAACAGTGCGATATAATTAATTAGTGTGCTGGACATTACTGCTAGGAGTGATCCTGTGGCTGCCATCTTGCCCTTTATGTTGATTCGTGGTGTCTACATTGGTAGTGTGAGAGCTGATAAGGAGACAGCGAGAAGGTGAGAAGCAGAAGATGCATGTGCAGATAGTTTAGAGTTGCTGTAGCATATATTGCCAACACTCACAGTAGACAACAAAGGATAGCGTTGACCTCTCTTCTCAAATTAGAAAGGACTGCAGGTCTGGCAAGAAGGCATGCCCAACGCCATGCTCCTACTACTGGCTAGTAAGACGGAACAGGCATACGGCACTAAACCTAAGGAATTGTTTGGGCTTGCCACTTTTATTGTTGTTCCTGGATGCCCCACCTAACCCACTTAAACATGGTGGGGGTGAGAGTCCAAGCGAGTTTGCAATTGCCTACTAGAAGGGGTTTTCCCAGATGCTAAGAAGATAAAATTAGACGAGGGGAAGGACAGCTTCTACACTTGTTGGATTAAGAAGTTCCACTTGATGTAAGAAGGCCCACGTAAGGATCTTATTGTAAGCTCTCTTGAGAAAGGACTGTACCCAATTGATCCACGCTGAAAGAGGCCTTGAAGTGGGGAGGGTTGCAAACAAATTACTACTGATTTATCCGGTACGTTTTTCTGAGACCCCTTCATGTATTTCTGCTTTCAAGAGAAACGGTGTAGTTTAGCTGGGCTTATTGTGCTGTAAATTTTTCCGAGATTTGGGCACAGAGTAGCGAAAGGCGCAAAATGTAGTGCCGGAAGACAATGTGCCCCACTTTTGCGTCTCTCTTGGATTTATGTGGAGTTTTTCCGGATTCTTGATGCATACTGGGGGAGGGCTATAAGGTGAGCAGCAGAGAAATGGGTAGAACCAAGTTGCAGTAAATGGTCGTAGCTAGGTGGTTCAGATGGTTTTTCCGAGTGATTGACGTAAAAATTTGGCTCCCATTCCAATTTAGGGTGCCCACATACAACTTACTGTCTTCCCTTTTTTCGTCTTAGAGTTGTTCCTCTAACTAGCACTGCAGGGCCAATCTGGGAAAAAAGGAAAAAGGGCACTGAAAATTAGCCTTTCCTGGACTGCAACGTAATACTACCAAATAACGAGGGTCCCCAGGGCTCCCCACCTGAGTCAAACAGGAAATAGGTATTAGAACATGAGTGAAATGAAGGCCTACAGAGAGCTGGAGAGGGAGGGGAGAGGAGGATAATAGCTATTTGAGGGTAGTAAGTGAGGAGGAGTTTTCATTCTGTATGGCAACGAATAACACGCACAAGAGCAACCAAGAACTGAATGCACACAATGATGTTGTTGGGTACTAGTCCATGGACAGTAAAAGACGGCAGCCATGAGAACAATACAGACTCATTTCGAGGAAGTCAAAAACTTTATCTCAGTTGCTAAATTTTTGTGCTAGTACTATTGCCTACCAATACTGATAATCATAGCGTAGATTGCTTCTTTGTGCCCCTCAGTAGTACTCTAAGCTGGATGTGTTATTGGGTACTTGGAACTCTGCATTGTTCTCTGCCAGGAAAGTATTCTTTTCAATTTACATGTCAAACTGTTAAATGACGTAGACCACATTTTAGAGGGGACGTTTGTGGGACCCTGACAAACTTTTTGGAACTCCAGAAAATCCACACATTTTCCGCAGAGAGCCAAGGCAAAGAATTAATTTCTTATGTGCAAAGTCCAGTAAAATGATAACGAAGGGCTCTGATCCATGCATTGAGAATATAATAAAAATAGCATTTACAATATCAAGTGTGTGGGGCCGGTGCACAAATTAATCGCGGGGTAATAAGAACGTTCAAACAATCGCCAATCTCTACGAGCAATTAGTTAGTTTCCTTTCTTGAACTAGTTTACCACCTTGTATATCCCAAAAGAGGGTTGCTGTTCTAAGACAAACTACAAACCAATTTGCAAATGTAGTGTAGACGCAAGCAGAATTGATGTGAATTCTATACTTGTCAAATAATGTGGGGATGCAGTAACAGAACAAGAATATTTAGCAATAGCTTCAAAAAAAAAAAGTATATAAGGACCTCAAAGTTCTTATTGAGAGAGTTTCAATTTCCTATTCTTATTTCTCATTATTGTTTCTTAACTTATAAATAAAACATCAACAATAATCTCTAGTGAGAATAACCAAATAAAAAATCAATATATTTTCACTATTACTATTCCTTTATTGTGATAATAATAGTGACCCACACCTACTAACTGAATTTATTTAAGAATGTCACAAGCTCAAAGTTTGTCACCTTCTGAAAGCGCCGAAAACTCCCCAGTCAGGGAAGTCAATGTTGCTAACAGCTTCAAAGATGATGACTTCATTTTGGAGCAGAAGCAAACCGCTGATGTTTCTGCGATGTCCCCAGAAGCAGAAGCACCACCTAAACCAATCTCAGCCTACTTTACTGTGATCTGTCTATGTTTGATGATCGCATTCGGTGGTTTTGTCTTTGGCTGGGATACTGGTACTATTTCTGGTTTTGTTGCTCAGACCGATTTCAAGAGAAGATTTGGACAACAAGCTGCTGATGGTTCTTACTACTTATCTGATGTGAGAACTGGTTTGATTGTTGCTATTTTCAATATTGGTTGTGCCATTGGTGGTTTGACCTTGGGTCGTCTTGGTGATATGTATGGTCGTCGTCTTGGTTTGATGGCTGTTATTACTGTCTACGTTGTTGGTATTGTAATTCAAATCTCTTCTACCACTACCTGGTACCAATATTTTGTTGGTAGAATTGTCTCCGGTCTTGGTGTTGGTGGTATTGCTGTGCTATCCCCAACCTTAATTTCTGAAACTGCTCCAAAGCATTTGAGAGGTACTTGTGTGTCATTCTACCAGTTGATGATTACTTTGGGTATCTTCTTGGGTTACTGTACAAACTATGGTACCAAGACTCACACCAATTCTATTCAATGGAGAGTTCCTCTAGGTCTATGTTTTGCCTGGGCTTTGTTCATGCTTGTTGGTATGTCCATGGTTCCTGAATCACCAAGATTCTTGGTTGAGAAGGGTAGATTTGAAGAGGCCAGACGCTCTCTTGCCCGTTCTAACAAGGTTTCCATGGATGACCCAATTGTCACAGCTGAAATTGAAAACATCAGCGCTGGTGTTGAAGCTGAGAAATCTGCAGGTAATGCCTCTTGGGGTGAATTGTTTTCCACCAAGGGTAAGATCTTGCAACGTGTTGTCATGGGTATCATGATCCAATCTTTGCAACAATTGACTGGTTGTAACTACTTCTTCTACTACGGTACTACTATTTTCAAGGCTGTTGGTTTAGAAGATTCTTTCCAAACTTCTATTATCTTGGGTATTGTCAACTTTGCTTCCACCTTTGTCGCTTTGTATGTTGTTGACCGCTTTGGTCGCCGTAAGTGTTTGCTATGGGGTTCCTCTACAATGGCTGTCTGCATGGTCATCTTTGCTTCAGTTGGTGTCAAGAGTCTATATCCTAACGGTAAGGACCAACCATCCTCCACTACTGCTGGTAACGTTATGATTGTTTTCACCTGTCTATACATCTTCTGTTTTGCAACTACTTGGGCTCCAACTGCTTACGTTATTGTTGCCGAAACCTACCCACTACGTGTTAAAAACCGTGCTATGGCCATTGCTGTTGGTTTCAACTGGATCTGGGGTTTCTTGATTGGTTTCTTCACACCATTTATTACTACTGCCATTAACTTCTACTACGGTTACGTCTTCATGGGCTGTCTAGTCTTCTCCTTCTTCTACGTCTTCTTCTTTGTTTGCGAAACTAAAGGTTTGACTTTGGAAGAAGTCAATGAAATGTACGAAGAAGGCGTCTTGCCATGGAAGTCCGCTCAATGGCTACCAACTACCAAGAGAACCAGTGGCTACGATGTGGACGCTGCTTTGCACGATGACAAGCCATGGTACAAGAGATTTGCTTAGAGTCTTGAATTTCTTTCTGGATAGCTGAGCCATCCAACATTAATCCTAACAAAAAATAAGAACTCTTTATTTTACAACTCTATTTTCTCTCTTTGTTTCACCGTCTTTGGCGCCATCGTGCATGCATCTCCATGTACAGAACTATATGATCTTTTGAACGCAGGCGTCGAAGGATATTCTCTGTGCTCTTTCTTATTAATATTATTTTCTTTCTGTACTTTTGAGCTACATATATACTCTCTACGAGTGAGATAAAAAATCTTTATATACTATATTCTAATGATTTTATGAAATAAATTCCAATTTTGCTAATTGCTATTCCTCAATTCTTTCATAATTTTAATTTAAAAGGAAAATCAAATCCAGTCCTTTGCTATTTTCAGAGATTGCTTACTAGTTCTTTGTGACTTGTACTTTAGGATATGTACTAATTGACTTAAGAATTGTATGAGTTACTTACGATAAAATATTATTAAGTATTATCTTTATATTTTTTTCTATAAATGTGCTCGTTGTTTTTATTGCAAAGGAAATTATGGTAAAATTAAAACAGATGCTATCCAAAAGGAATGCCATTACCAGATGTTGATATTTTTCTTGACCAATTAAATCTTTTGGTAATATTTTATTGAGTATTTAGCTACAGATTGCAACTACGGAAATATGTGATCAGATAAAAATGAAATGAAAAATAAATGCCTTAGATAAGCAATCAAATGACTCACAACTTTTTAACAGGTCTGAATTGTTTGACTAAAAATTGATTTCGGTTAAAATCATATTTTTGTGCCCCTTAAATCATATTATTTTAGATAGTAATATTTTTGAAATGTTCATTCCTTTAATCTTTGGTGATGAATATTAACTTAATACAAGCAATTAGGCTATGTTTCTTTTGTTTTAGGTCTTTCGTAATATTTACTCATAATGCCAATATAATTATTCTCAGGAGAATATCTTGTTAATTTCTCTTATGTGACAGACTCTCACAAAAGAAAAAAAAATAAGAATTTTTGTTCGAATGCATATGAATACCACTTTAAATATTTTACTTTCAAAATTTTTGAGGCTGCACAGCATTATTCTTATCTTAATCTTGCTTTTATGAATTTTATAATGATTGATATTGGATTCAAGAGAACTCATAGCACAGGTATATAAACTCTTCTTTTCATACCACTTTATAAATATTACATTACCATACAAAATTTACTAAGAGTAGTAAGTATGATAATTATTCAATATTGTATAGTCTTTTGTATATTAATATACCTATTCTCAAAACTCTCAAAATAGTACATGAATAGTTATAATTACTGACTAAAGAATTCGAAGTATTTGTGAGATATACATATGGTCAACATCAAAGAAAGAATATATATTAAGTATGAATAGTAATATATCCCTATTTAAAATTTGTTAAGAATTTATAGAAAATATCGTGACAGGTTTGGTGGATGTAATGATAGTATCACATGCTCATTTCATACTGTGACAATACACAATTCATATATCTCGAAAGAATTAACTACACAGTAACATTATCTAAAATGGACCACATTCATTTACTTTAACGGAACAAAATTCGTGAACATTCATATTTTATATTTTCAGATATTGAAACTTTAAAATATGCTAAAAGAAATTCTATGTTCCATTGCAATGTAGCGCGAAATTCAATATTATAAATTCAAAATGTGGTAAGCTGCATTAGAAAAAAAATAAGTCAATTCTTAGAAAGTTTTAATCATCTCTAGTAAGTATGAAAATCTATGTTTAAAATTATGAAAGAATTGAGGAATAGCAATTAGCAAAATTGGAATTTATTTCATAAAATCATTAGAATATAGTATATAAAGATTTTTTATCTCACTCGTAGAGAGTATATATGTAGCTCAAAAGTACAGAAAGAAAATAATATTAATAAGAAAGAGCACAGAGAATATCCTTCGACGCCTGCGTTCAAAAGATCATATAGTTCTGTACATGGAGATGCATGCACGATGGCGCCAAAGACGGTGAAACAAAGAGAGAAAATAGAGTTGTAAAATAAAGAGTTCTTATTTTTTGTTAGGATTAATGTTGGATGGCTCAGCTATCCAGAAAGAAATTCAAGACTCTAAGCAAATCTCTTGTACCATGGCTTGTCATCGTGCAAAGCAGCGTCCACATCGTAGCCACTGGTTCTCTTGGTAGTTGGTAGCCATTGAGCGGACTTCCATGGCAAGACGCCTTCTTCGTACATTTCATTGACTTCTTCCAAAGTCAAACCTTTAGTTTCGCAAACAAAGAAGAAGACGTAGAAGAAGGAGAAGACTAGACAGCCCATGAAGACGTAACCGTAGTAGAAGTTAATGGCAGTAGTAATAAATGGTGTGAAGAAACCAATCAAGAAACCCCAGATCCAGTTGAAACCAACAGCAATGGCCATAGCACGGTTTTTAACACGTAGTGGGTAGGTTTCGGCAACAATAACGTAAGCAGTTGGAGCCCAAGTAGTTGCAAAACAGAAGATGTATAGACAGGTGAAAACAATCATAACGTTACCAGCAGTAGTGGAGGATGGTTGGTCCTTACCGTTAGGATATAGACTCTTGACACCAACTGAAGCAAAGATGACCATGCAGACAGCCATTGTAGAGGAACCCCATAGCAAACACTTACGGCGACCAAAGCGGTCAACAACATACAAAGCGACAAAGGTGGAAGCAAAGTTGACAATACCCAAGATAATAGAAGTTTGGAAAGAATCTTCTAAACCAACAGCCTTGAAAATAGTAGTACCGTAGTAGAAGAAGTAGTTACAACCAGTCAATTGTTGCAAAGATTGGATCATGATACCCATGACAACACGTTGCAAGATCTTACCCTTGGTGGAAAACAATTCACCCCAAGAGGCATTACCTGCAGATTTCTCAGCTTCAACACCAGCGCTGATGTTTTCAATTTCAGCTGTGACAATTGGGTCATCCATGGAAACCTTGTTAGAACGGGCAAGAGAGCGTCTGGCCTCTTCAAATCTACCCTTCTCAACCAAGAATCTTGGTGATTCAGGAACCATGGACATACCAACAAGCATGAACAAAGCCCAGGCAAAACATAGACCTAGAGGAACTCTCCATTGAATAGAATTGGTGTGAGTCTTGGTACCATAGTTTGTACAGTAACCCAAGAAGATACCCAAAGTAATCATCAACTGGTAGAATGACACACAAGTACCTCTCAAATGCTTTGGAGCAGTTTCAGAAATTAAGGTTGGGGATAGCACAGCAATACCACCAACACCAAGACCGGAGACAATTCTACCAACAAAATATTGGTACCAGGTAGTGGTAGAAGAGATTTGAATTACAATACCAACAACGTAGACAGTAATAACAGCCATCAAACCAAGACGACGACCATACATATCACCAAGACGACCCAAGGTCAAACCACCAATGGCACAACCAATATTGAAAATAGCAACAATCAAACCAGTTCTCACATCAGATAAGTAGTAAGAACCATCAGCAGCTTGTTGTCCAAATCTTCTCTTGAAATCGGTCTGAGCAACAAAACCAGAAATAGTACCAGTATCCCAGCCAAAGACAAAACCACCGAATGCGATCATCAAACATAGACAGATCACAGTAAAGTAGGCTGAGATTGGTTTAGGTGGTGCTTCTGCTTCTGGGGACATCGCAGAAACATCAGCGGTTTGCTTCTGCTCCAAAATGAAGTCATCATCTTTGAAGCTGTTAGCAACATTGACTTCCCTGACTGGGGAGTTTTCGGCGCTTTCAGAAGGTGACAAACTTTGAGCTTGTGACATTCTTAAATAAATTCAGTTAGTAGGTGTGGGTCACTATTATTATCACAATAAAGGAATAGTAATAGTGAAAATATATTGATTTTTTATTTGGTTATTCTCACTAGAGATTATTGTTGATGTTTTATTTATAAGTTAAGAAACAATAATGAGAAATAAGAATAGGAAATTGAAACTCTCTCAATAAGAACTTTGAGGTCCTTATATACTTTTTTTTTTTGAAGCTATTGCTAAATATTCTTGTTCTGTTACTGCATCCCCACATTATTTGACAAGTATAGAATTCACATCAATTCTGCTTGCGTCTACACTACATTTGCAAATTGGTTTGTAGTTTGTCTTAGAACAGCAACCCTCTTTTGGGATATACAAGGTGGTAAACTAGTTCAAGAAAGGAAACTAACTAATTGCTCGTAGAGATTGGCGATTGTTTGAACGTTCTTATTACCCCGCGATTAATTTGTGCACCGGCCCCACACACTTGATATTGTAAATGCTATTTTTATTATATTCTCAATGCATGGATCAGAGCCCTTCGTTATCATTTTACTGGACTTTGCACATAAGAAATTAATTCTTTGCCTTGGCTCTCTGCGGAAAATGTGTGGATTTTCTGGAGTTCCAAAAAGTTTGTCAGGGTCCCACAAACGTCCCCTCTAAAATGTGGTCTACGTCATTTAACAGTTTGACATGTAAATTGAAAAGAATACTTTCCTGGCAGAGAACAATGCAGAGTTCCAAGTACCCAATAACACATCCAGCTTAGAGTACTACTGAGGGGCACAAAGAAGCAATCTACGCTATGATTATCAGTATTGGTAGGCAATAGTACTAGCACAAAAATTTAGCAACTGAGATAAAGTTTTTGACTTCCTCGAAATGAGTCTGTATTGTTCTCATGGCTGCCGTCTTTTACTGTCCATGGACTAGTACCCAACAACATCATTGTGTGCATTCAGTTCTTGGTTGCTCTTGTGCGTGTTATTCGTTGCCATACAGAATGAAAACTCCTCCTCACTTACTACCCTCAAATAGCTATTATCCTCCTCTCCCCTCCCTCTCCAGCTCTCTGTAGGCCTTCATTTCACTCATGTTCTAATACCTATTTCCTGTTTGACTCAGGTGGGGAGCCCTGGGGACCCTCGTTATTTGGTAGTATTACGTTGCAGTCCAGGAAAGGCTAATTTTCAGTGCCCTTTTTCCTTTTTTTCCCAGATTGGCCCTGCAGTGCTAGTTAGAGGAACAACTTTAAGACGAAAAAAGGGAAGACAGTAAGTTGTATGTGGGCACCCTAAATTGGAATGGGAGAAACAAATTTTTACGTCAATCACTCGGAAAAACCATCTGAACCGCCTAGCTACGACCATTTACTGCAACTTGGTTCTACCCATTTCTCTGCTGCTCACCTTATAGCCCTCCCCCAGTATGCATCAAGAATCCGGAAAAACTCCACATAAATCCAAGAGAGACGCAAAAGTGGGGCACATTGTCTTCCGGCACTACATTTTGCGCCTTTCGCTACTCTGTGCCCAAATCTCGGAAAAATTTACAGCACAATAAGCCCAGCTAAACTACACCGTTTCTCTTGAAAGCAGAAATACATGAAGGGGTCTCAGAAAAACGTACCGGATAAATCAGTAGTAATTTGTTTGCAACCCTCCCCACTTCAAGGCCTCTTTCAGCGTGGATCAATTGGGTACAGTCCTTTCTCAAGAGAGCTTACAATAAGATCCTTACGTGGGCCTTCTTACATCAAGTGGAACTTCTTAATCCAACAAGTGTAGAAGCTGTCCTTCCCCTCGTCTAATTTTATCTTCTTAGCATCTGGGAAAACCCCTTCTAGTAGGCAATTGCAAACTCGCTTGGACTCTCACCCCCACCATGTTTAAGTGGGTTAGGTGGGGCATCCAGGAACAACAATAAAAGTGGCAAGCCCAAACAATTCCTTAGGTTTAGTGCCGTATGCCTGTTCCGTCTTACCAGCCAGTAGTAGGAGCATGGCGTTGGGCATGCCTTCTTGCCAGACCTGCAGTCCTTTCTAATTTGAGAAGAGAGGTCAACGCTATCCTTTGTTGTCTACTGTGAGTGTTGGCAATATATGCTACAGCAACTCTAAACTATCTGCACATGCATCTTCTGCTTCTCACCTTCTCGCTGTCTCCTTATCAGCTCTCACACTACCAATGTAGACACCACGAATCAACATAAAGGGCAAGATGGCAGCCACAGGATCACTCCTAGCAGTAATGTCCAGCACACTAATTAATTACATTGATCTCGGTAGTGGGCTAGGCCAACATTAAGTCGAAAGCCGCTATTTGATAAATATCAAAATATTTAGGATAAATAGGTCAAATTACTGTTCGTTCGATCATAGAAAATAATGCGATATAGAATAAGAATGAATATTACATATTTTAATTGAAAGAAATCGTAGAGGATATATAATTTCCACATACTAATCATCAGTCTCACTACTTTCTGTAAAAATGAGCTCGTTTAATCTGTTTGTCGAATCCTTCACGGCAAATCTTAAACTATGGGCTTCCTTAATCAGTTTCTGGATTTTTAAATTCAAATCACTTTTAAACTTAGAATGCTCATTGTAGAGAACCTCTTTTTCATTGAGAAGTTCCGTTACAATACGCTCGGCATTGGCAATTTTCTGCTCTATGTTTTTATTTCCCTCAGTTATTTGTCGCTCCAGCTTTTCAATCTCCAAGCTCTGTGCCAAAATTTCGGCACGGTTCTCCTGCCTAACATTTTTCAGATTTAGGTTTAAATCAGATAGTTTCAATTCTAGGGATTCATTGGTAGAACCTCTGGAATTAATTTCTTCAGTTAACATGCCTATTTCACGTTCTAGTTCTTGGTTATCCGTTTTAAGTGTCTCAATTCTCTTCATTATGTCAGAATTAATAGACAATAGCATATTTTGATAGTACTCAGGCATTGGATGATCTGTGGGGAAGAGTTTATCCATAGTCAATGCATTTTCTGAGTTTGGAACAACAACCTCATTTGGAAGTGTAATCTTCAGTGGTTCAATTTCTATATCATGACCTAGCTTTCTTCTTGAAGTTAAAAACTCTAATAATAGGTCATTGTATTGTCTGATACTGTCTTGAAATGTAACGAAGACTTTTTCATTATCAACCTTAGTTGATTTTATTAGGCTTACAAATTCATCAGCTTTTTCAGCAATTTGATCAATTTCTTTTTCTAACTGTAACTTTTGCTCATTTTTATTTTCAATTTGTTCAACTGATAAGCCTTTTCTTTGTAAACTGTCTTGTATCTGACTAATCTCTTCTGTTATCAGTTTAATGTTTTCTTTTTTCTCATTCAGTTCATCCTCTATTTTGCTTAATTTTATTGGCCATTCTTCACTTTTTGCTTTCATTGAATCAACATATTTTTGGAATTTTACCAGATCTCCATTTAATGCCGTTGATTTTCCTCTTGCCACTTTCAACTTCTCAACCCTATTCCTACTAATCTCAAATTTTTCAAACATATTTTCATTTTTTGATTGTATATTATTGACATCCAACTTTATTATATGTAAGTACCTTTCAAAACCAGCCTTTAATTCATTCATATGATCGGAATAATCGTCTTTCAAATTCAGAAAAGTTTTGTATGAGTCAGTAATATAATCTATAAATAACCTTTCTGCCATCAGTTCATACTTTTCCTGTCGTACTTCCTGGTCCTCTATATTTTCGACCGGTTTTGATAAAGTAGTCAGATCTTGAGTTTGTTGATTCAAAAGGTTTTGATCCAGTGTATTCAGACATTTGTCTAGTCTCAAATTTATAGTCACCAACCAATGCAGCATGCCAAGGAATTTAGGCCAGCCTGAACCTCCTACTGCTGAAATTTGTGACTTATTAATAGACTCTAGGTATGGATATTGCAAAATTTTCAGAAGTTGATACACTTCGTATTCTATTGATTTGGTGAAAGTATAACCGGGATCTAAACGCAGATAAAGCCACTTGAATATTGTCACGAATGATTTTTGCGTTGGTTGCTTTAGAGTCTTTAATGAGATTGGATAGTTGGTATCAATCTCAAAGGTATTTTGGATTAGATAATCAAATATTTCTTGCTGAATAGCACTTTGAAAGTTTTTATCTCGTAAAGGTCTAGGATCTCGAGAACCAGAGTAAGGTTGTGAAAAGCTGGAAAATCCTATAGGATTATTGTTCGCACTCTTAAAATTATTCGCATTTAGGTCGCGCTCTAGGACTGGAAGACTTGCCCTCATATTATTGTCATCAAGATTCTTGTTTTGTGAAAAGGACATAGATTTATTGTAGGTTGGTAAGATTCCAGAAGCGCCAGCTACTGTTGATCGCATGTATTTCTTGTTATTCTTCTGAATGCCGTTGCTATTACTTACAGCTCTTGCTGAACTCTGTTTTAGACTATTGATAGAATCACTTGCAGCACTACTTACACTATTCCGTCTTCTTTGCATGTTTTGCGATAGCGGGTGCTGCGGTATTTGAGTTGTAAATCTATGGGGATTCAGTCTACTCAACACAGATGCCTCAGACTGTTCGTTTGGCATTGCGGAAAAAAATATATGTCTCTGGGTGACTCGATAATAATTGTCTGACTATCACTTCTGGATATTGTGGAAAATCTCTTTATTACGGTATTCTTCTTGTAGCTTCAAAGCTTTTTTGGTTTCTTCACACTGTTCTTTTCCTACCGTGACCAAAACAAGAGAGACCTCAATGCTAATTTATAGGATTGTAGATTGTAAAACTAACCGCTGACTTAAGTTTCTTCAATAACATTCTAAGATCACACTTGCAGAAGATGAAGCTACTACTGTTTGGTGTAACACTGCTATGGTGTTTTGTTTTCTTAGGAGCCAGATCAAAATGTAAACACAAAAGGAAACGAAATGCGAGAAAAACCATTTTGTATTACGTTATGAGTGATATGAAAAACTTCTCGGTATTCGGATGCTCATCGCAGAGCTCATCTCATCGCTATATTATCGAGTCAGTGGAAGTGGAGCATATATGGTGATTGATACTTATTCTTCCCTTGCTGGAACTGTTTATTGGCCATCTAGGTTGAGTTTCTTTACTTGTTATACCGTATAATTAAGAGATACACAAATCTGAAACAATGAACAAGGCTATTCCGGTTTCAGTGTTGGCTGATCAACTTGCTGAGTCGAATGGGTTTCAGTTTCACAATATACTTTATCATTTGAAGTCATCGGACTATGTCGATGAGAAGTTATTGAAATCAGAACTTTCAGTATTAGTCGTGAAAATACAGAAATTGCTGAACTCAAATAGTAACTACAGCATTTGGAAAGGTTGTCATGCTGCTGTTGTAATTTGCACTTATAACCCATTGGTACTAATGGCATATGGTGGTAAGTTATTGGACATTGTGTACCAGAAGTTAGAGATTAAGGTGCTGCAAAGATCTACCAATTCTTTGGATGCTCAAGGTAAGCAAGTGCTGAACTCTTTGGTCAACGCTATCTCTGTTCTCATGAATTTAATGAGAAATAAGACTGGTCTATCAAGAGAATTTTTAGTTCCAAAAATTAAAGCCATAATTCCAACATTGATAACATTGTCCCAGTATGAACCTGAATTGGTGTTGCCTATTCTTAGATCTCTGATTTTTAAGCATACGACTACATTCAAGCCATTCAATGCTAAGTTTAAGGTTATCTTAACTCAATTCTTAACAGAAGGATTTGATACTTTGAATGAGCATACTCAGAAATTAGTATGTGATTGTTATGCATATTTGCACATGGTGAAGACACAAACGTACCAGCAACAAGATGAGCACTCGAGTCATCATAAAACATTCCAAGATGAGAATTGGATGAATGGAATGAATGCTGTTCTTGCAGAATTCAAGCCACTTATCGAGTTATGTGGTGAAATTTTAGATTTCAGTCAAGATGAAGAGTTGACTAAATTGATTGGAAAAATGGTTCCACTTGCCGCTGAAAGTACTAGCATTTTCCGCAGTTTGACTATGGATATGAATAAATCAACTACTTTATATGATATACCTAAGAGGATTGATGTTTTGTCGAAGATGCTGATGAGCTTTATTTCCGTACCAACGACATACACAATAAGAATTCCATTAGATAAGCTGAATGTTACTTGCTCTGCCTTGTTAAGTATTACTTCTAAGCATATTCCTATCAAACGTGAGTTACGTCGTGATATTGAACTTAATGCCACAATTAATGATGTATTCACTAAAATCCAATTTGCTGGTATTAGACTATACTCAACAATGGTCTCAAAATTCGGAAACGTATGTTTTTCCTACTTATCAGACATATTCTATGCCCTAAGTTTATTCATTCCTTTCAAGGAGAAGTCATTAAATATTGACTTTGAAAAATGTTTTGCCTTGAAGAGAGAATTTTTGGTAGTTTTTGATTTGGTATCAAAAATTATTGCTAATGTCGGTCATCAATTAACAGACATTGATTTCCTACTTCAATTAATTGAGATTGGTTTGGATCTTACTGAAGAGAGATCATTAATCCAAAATGTCTTCCAGCAAACCAACGCCAAAAAAGAGCAAGAGCTTTCGAAGACTAAGAATAAAAATAAAAAGGATAATAAGAGAGGTTCCCTAGCTGATTTATATGTTAGTGGTTCTCAATTTACGCTAGCATGTGACCTTAAAACCTTTGATACTTTGAACAAATTTTTTATCAGTATTATTGCAAATCAGAAACTTGCTACAGCGCAGATGACAAAATTGAGTAGATATGCTATATTTACAGCTCAGACTTATAAGCAAAACCTTGGTGAGGTCCCAACAACTTTTGTGGAACTTCTAAGAACTTTGGTTATCCAACCAGGAAATGAAAGAGTAACCATCTTACCTATGGCGGTGAACATCATCAAAGAATCATCTGATGACGTATTTGATATCCTATCACACCCAAGACTTCCGATGAGTATTTTACATTCTATTGAAAAGTCTACCTTTGACAATGGTGAAGATGATGAGGATGATAATCCTGACTTGCATGCGAACGAAAAACAGCAAGAATATAATGATCAACCAGTTGAACGTTCTGAACAGAAAGTAGTTGATTTCGTTTTGGAAGAACCTGTTGCTGTTGATGTAAAAACAAAAGAAACTGTACAATTCAAAGACGGTATCACTACTTCAGAGGACCAAGTTGATACTAAGAGACCTAGGGATGAGGAATTTATTATTGAAAAATCTAGCAGTGCCAAAAAGTTTAGGACGGAAAATCAACCAGAAACTATTCCAATTGGCGTAAGTGATGAAACAGTTTACCAAGAAACCGAGAAGGTTACAGTTAACGTTGACACCTCCTCTAATGACAATGAGGATGATGAGGATGATTCAGACTTCGAGATCCCAGCAATTGAATTGTCAGATGATGACGATGAAGATGAATAATCACCTGGACGTTATGGTATATAACAGACTAGTCATTTGACCATTATAAAATTTGTAGCATAGAATAAATTTACTATTAGAAAGAATAAAAAATGGTACGAATAATAAACTATCATTGATTAAAATCATTACATTAAACTAGTGAAGCTAGTGTTTCGGCACATTGGTCCTTAGTTCCTGGTGAAACTGGGTTAGAACCACTTAAATACTGAGCAAACAAATACTTGCCGACTAATGGTTGGTGTACAGTACCAAGCTCGTTGACAATATCTTTTCTTCTGTTGTAATAACTGAACTTTAGTGATCCGTCCGCCAGTAGTTCCATTAGAAAATCATCGTCCTTTGGAACAGGGCCCTTGATTTTAATTGCTTCTTCAACTTCTTTTATGCCCATTGCCAAAGTTTCTTTATTTTTGGACGCATCAGGGTGCATTTGTACATTTTTGATAATACCTTCCTTTAACAACTTTGCAGAGGCGTTCTTTATTGGAGTTAGTTTAGCCACCATTCTGATGTTGCTGTCTAATAGGTTATCTATTAGAATACGTGACTTTTCTGGATCATCAAGAGCAATTTTGACATTCTCAGCGTGGCTCTTGTTTTCATCCATATCGATAAAGTTCTTGGACATGAAAGTGGAATCAAACACTTGAGCCACCTTTGGCTTATCCTGTCTAGCAATGTAAATACCTAGAGCATAAGCCTTAAAGGTCAATACCGAGACAGATCTGATTCCTGAACCAAGAATGTCATACTTAGTGGATAATGGATAGGTTGGACGTGAGATAACAACAGGGAAGGGAGTAACAGCATCATCAACCAAGACACTCTTACCATCTCTTTCTTTTTGCAATTCTTCCCTTTCCCAGGTACATACATAGGTACCACCAGCGAAAGCAGCACTAACTAGACCAACAATCCACCAAGCTTTTTTATCAGACTTTTCAGTTGCAGGTTTTGGTGCAGATGATTGTAGTCTCTTGGTAACAGCTGATAATCTCGTAGCTCTGGTAGCCAAACCAGTGTTCTTTATAAGCGATCTTCTAACCAAAGTTCTCAACATCTCTTGGATATTATTTTCTATAGATCACAAGTTAGGGTTAGTGAATAATGAAATACAGTGAATTATTAGAGGAAAACCTTAACGAGAGTCAAGAAGAGCCAATACGATATAATTGGGCCTTTAAATAAAAAATAAATGAATGGCAAATCTTCAAATTCTATGATACAGTTGAGAACATGGACAATGGTTCAGCTGTGGTGCTTCGTCAGTATTCTTTTTTCAAGATAGATCATTGACTATAAATCCACAGGGGGATATCATAGTATTTACAACTCGAGAAATTATTCTGTGAATATTTCAACTGGAGTTCAACTTTTCAATGATGTCAAAGGAGAACAATGGGGCACGGTGGACTTGCTACAAAGTACCTGAGCAAATTTACAGTTACTCACAGTCTCCTTTGGAAAAATGTCTATAAAATTGTTACGTGGATTACTATGGTTCTCAGTCGTTACTCGTATGAGCTAAGTGATAGTATCACAGACCATTCGATGATAAAGGACAAAAACAGAAACTTAATGATTACTAATCAATTTCAAAACAATTATGCCGTGGGAACCCTTTCGTCATTTGTAATTTTTGATGTCAATGGATTTGAATATTATGTTATTAATGTATATAGACAATTCACTATTCACTATTGTAGAAGGAATAACACTCGCAAATTAAGTTGGACATTAGGTGTGAGATATACCTTGTCTCTCCAGTTCTAATGCTTCTTTAAGAGTGAGGTCGCATTTAGATCTTGTCTTTGCTACACTATCCAATTCTGTGAATGTGTCAATTAAAACCTTGTTGCAAGCCTTTTCTGCCTCTTCATCTATATATGTGCATATTTCGAGTGCATGATTATTGATATATTATACATCGAGATTAATAGTTAGTATGATGATTCACTGTTTTCATTAGCAAATAGATTGGAGTTGTTGTTCTTGTACTGTATATACATACACTTCTTATCAAGTGCCTCGTTAATCTTTTTCTTTAAAGCATCTCTTTCGGTCTCAGAGAGAGGCATGAGTGTTAGGCAAAAACTTTCGTTTGAGTATCTCTAAGTAAAGACTCCAATTAAATGTCTCATATATTGTTCAATCAACTATATCACAACAGTCACAGACACGTTTTAATGTATTTACTAACATTTATGGTGATTGTTGTCTTGGGTACCTAGTACGCTTGTTGGAACGTATCTTGCGATAAACGTAACAAGCTTATGGCGCATTTCCCAGACTAAATATTAAATATTATGGATGGTATTTCGCTCTCTTGTAAATTATTTTGAAATCATTAACTTAGTCATATACTCATGTCAATTTTACCTATTGTTACAAATATGCATTAAATATGATTGCGACTCTCTCATTCACTATTTTAAGTCAAAAGTCAGGAGGTTGTCATCGCTATATAAAAGTATAAAACTAGTATCTTCATGAGACAATAACCACATGGATTTGGCAGAGTTGAATGAGCTATTATCTCCCAGCACAACTTCTCTGGTTTGAACAGCCTTCCATGAATTTGCAGTTTTGTCATATTGATGAAATTGGAATTCAATTCTGTTTGAGTCCAACGACTTGTTCAGCAATAAAAACCTTCCCGTTATATCAAAGTCCCAACAACCACCATTTATAGGCAATGGATTGGAAGACAATGTCGGTGGCGACTTTCGAAGATCAAATGTGTACAGTACATCCCCATCTAATTCTACAATAAAGTAGAACCCATTAGGACAGAATTTTACGTTGGTTATGGCTTTTGCATCATTGGGCAGTTCTGATCCAATCTCAAACTTGATGGGAGGATCATCAGGCTGGCAAAGGTTTAAAATTTCAACACAACTACTTCTAGCAAGTGCGATCAGAATACCATCTTTGTGTAGATCAACCTTGTCATAATGCATATCATCTGAGTTTTCTGTTTGCCTCACTCTGACATCAGTTTTCCCATCTTTTGATACATACCCTATATTACCTTTATCATCCGCCCACACACAGTATTCTGGCTTAACGTTCTCGTGACTATATAGGTATAATAAGTTTCCAAGTTCAGAACCACCAAGCTCAATTTGCTGAGCTTGCTTTGTTTTAGTATTAAGAACCATAATTCTGTTATTTGTTGTCTTAACAAGTATATCCTCTCCTGTGGTAGGTACTACCAATTCTAAATCATCACCGGTTGCTAACTGTTCGGACATATCTATCATAGTTGTATTTTTAGGGTCCTTTATATGACTTATCGATTTATCGTGTATCAAGGCCAGAGATTTCGACTTGTTTTCTGCAAGTAGAGAAGTGAAGGTCATTGACTTATTGTTTATAGCGATTTTGTCCAATTTGTCGAATACAATCTCCGAGTCCTTTGAGATATTACTTTGTTTCAATAGAGGCTTTGTCTCTTTCAAGTATGCCACTGAGCTTGCAAGTAGCTCATCTGAGAAGTTAGAGTCTGGCACAGCCAGTTCGGCATGGCTTGGCTCAGTGTCCATTTTCCGTTTCTTGCTAGGCGCGTCGTCATTGCCTGTTGTCTCAACCAAAGTGACCTCCGTTGCGAGCCTGTCCACTTCGCTCTGCAGCTTCCTTTTCTGGCTTATCGCCTTCAGTGCCACTTTCTTCGCGGCGTCGCGCTCATATAAGGTAGTGGACAGCTTCTTCTTCAGGGACTCCACCGCCTTCCGCAGCTCGAAGTTCTCCAGCATGACCGCGTCCCACTCGTTCTGCAGCGTGGACAGCAAGCTGGGTATGCTGTAGTTAGAGTTCAGCGTCGCGCTGTTCGCAGCATTCACCAGCGTCATGGACTCTGGGTCCACATTGATCTCCACCAGTTGCTCCACCGCCAGGGGTCTGCCGTTCACCGGGTCCGTCCCATGCTGCCGGACATACTCCTCCACCAGCCGCCTCTCATACACACACCGCGACTCCAGCGACAGCACAGGCTCCTTCGGTACCTTCCCACTGATCGCACAGTACATTTTCTTTCTAGTAGTATGGAAGGGGGGAACTATTGTACTCCTTGGAAGAGTTTATAGTTATAGTCTTCCTGTATTCCTCCATGCATTCTCTTCTTGTACTTGTCTAAGAAATTTTTCTGCACGTGATATTCACGTATCACAGTATATACCCGTCCCCAACAGCTTTTAGGGTTGTTATTAGGGTTCTCTAGTCTTGTTTTGTTTTTCGCTGAGAGTCTTGTATTGTTCCTAATCGGGGAACCCGTTCTGTGCAGAGTTTTACTGTGCAGAGTTTTACTATGCAGAGTGCTGCGGTGCAGAGTGCTGCGGTGCAGGCACCTTCTACCTTCTATTTATACTCTCTTTTGCCCTTTTTTCTTTTTCCTCGGAGACGGGCTGTCGTATACTGCATGACACGGAATCGCCGCACGCTTCTCTCACAGATGCCACTCCTTGGCGCAGGACCCTTAGATCCCGTATTTCTGCACAGTAAACGCCGTACGTGCTGGGATTGGGGGGTCCCCTCTCTCTCCCTCTCTGCACTCAATTCTTAGCAATTGCTGGAGATTGAGTGCGCTAATAATAAATGACTCTCCTAGGGCTTCTGGCTAAGTCCTCACAGGTAAACAAAAGACTGAACCCTAGGGTTCAAAGGAACAATATGAAAAAAAATAAATAATAAGTACTTTTGGCTGCAAACTTTCATAAACTTGGAAGTATAAAGGAATAGACTTGAATTCCATTGCCTACCGGATAATACATACATAGAATAGCAACGATGTTCTGGCACTTCTTGCTGCTCTTGTGTGCTGTGCGTGCAGAGCAACTGTTCTGCTCGAATGAAAACAGTGCTTCTGGCCCAGGTACTTCCTACACATGGCAGAGCACCGGGTGGTGTGCGTCGCATTGCAGCGGCTACGACTACGCCATTGTTCAGGGACTCATGTGCTGGTGCTCCAACTCCGGGCCTGCTGATAGCATAGACATATCCAGCTGCGACCACTACTGCCCCGGCTACAGCCTGGAGAACTGCGGGAGCCAGCAGAATAACGCATACGGGTACATGTACCTCGGGAGCCAGCCCCAGAGCGCCATTATACCACCCAGAAAGAGCTCCAATACTGCGCAATCCTCGACTCCAAGTTCTACCAGCGCTGCAAGCACTTCAAGCACATCTACAAGCACTTCAAGCACATCTACAAGCTCCACAAGCTCTACAAGCTCTACAAGCTCTACAAGCTCTACAAGCTCTACAAGTACTTCAAGCACAAGCTCTAGTTCTAGCTCTACAAGTTCTACGAGGTCATCCTCAAGGACTACACTAGCACCTTCTACCACGTCTTCATCCTCTCGCACTCGCTCGAGTTCAGAGGCCTCGGACGACTATGTGCTGTCAACTTCGATGATATACTCGGTGATGACAGTCACATCAACACAGACGCACGATTCCGCCGTGCAGTCCAATGTGACGTCAGTGTTCTCCTCCAACGTGATAACGACAAAAGTAGTCACATCCATCATATCGACAGTGGCCACTGTGGCTACCACCACGACGAGCCAGGCGGCCAACACATCCGTGGCCTCTACAGCGGCGGGTATGCGTGGGAGCTCGAACCAGGGCGATGTGAGCGAAAAGAAAGCGAAGGGGTACTGGCAGTCACCGGGCAAAGTTGCGGGCACTTTTGTTGTAGTTGGCGTTGTCATCCTCGCCATTCTGGGGCTGCTGTTCTGGTACTTCGTGCTGCGCCCTAGATGGGAACAAAAGAAATTCGAAAAGAACTACAATGACGCAGTTGGTCTAGCACCAGCAACTCCGCCAAATATGCCAAGAAATGAAAGCGGCCACAGCAGAATTTTCTCAACACCAATATTCCACACGCACCATTCAAGCAGCGAGGACGACTCGTCAACGGGATCCAATGGTGCTGGCTTTAACGAGGAGAAAAACTTAGACGAGGCTAATGTGAAGACAAACAAGCGTGCCACAAGGCATGACGTTTTCGCAGACGACGCCTACTCTGATTACTCTAATACAATTCCAGTCATGGTTGACCAAAGATTGGATCCTAACCAAATGATGTCACAAATAGAACAAAGTCCTTCCAACGTATCATTATCTGATGACGTTGATTACTCAAGAAGGGTCTTACGAGTGATAAATGAGCTATAGAATAGCTCAATTTTAATCATTTATGTTTTTCAATCCCTTTTAATGATCAAACCAATCACAATTAATGACGTTATTTTTATTACTTAATTAGATGAAGGTTAATGGGATAGATTGCATCCCTTCAATTTGTTTACCACAGGTTCATTTCACTTTTTTTCATTTCAGTCCATTCCCCGTTCCAAATATTTTTCTCTCATTTCTTATTTGCTGCTTGAATATTTTGCAACTTGATGCAAAAACTTCTCACTCGACATTATTGGTTCTTAATGACAGAAGTCATTCACTTTTTTATTATTTCTATCAAACGCTTTCTACCTAATCGCTCCTCCTGCATATAACCATAGGATATTTTCCATACTCGGATCAAACTCCTAGTAACACACCCTGGAAACTTTCATCCAAAAATCATGCCACAGCAACTATAGAGCTCTAGGCATCGGGATTGCAGGTTATTAACAATTATCATTAATTCTTTATTCCATTTTTTACTGTTTTTCAATGCTGTTAAGAACTTTTTAGACCATGATAAACGCACATCAGTTCTACTAATTGCATGGAACTATTTTTTTTTATTATCTCTATTATTTCCAACACTGTCATTTAAGGCCTTAAAAAGTACCTCGTGGCTAGCCCACTTTTATATTACAAAATCGCTCGGCCAATGGATATAAATTTTTATAAAGTATCTCTTTTTGTATTTAGTATAGAACAATCTTCATCCAAATAACTATTATCATTTAACCATCAGTAACGTGTTCTCTCGACAAATCCTTGATTTATGTTGAGCCTTATAGCAATAATAGCATACTATTTACTATATGTTTATTGTCTGAATCATCGATAAATTTCACATTAATTGATCAAAGAAGCGATGCCCATCTTGAAAAAAAAAAATATTTGGCTTTAATGGTAGAGCAAGTACCTAACAAACTGCGAAAGATAACCAGGTAAAGCCCATAATTGGCATTTTACTAAACTCAAAAATTGCCCCTCTGAAACTATCTGATGGCAGAAACCGATCTAAATGCTTTAGCATACAAAGACTCTGATTCGACGGACACTTCCAGTTCGTCATCATCAGATGAAGAATACCAAGCTGAGGTCAAAGTTAGCAATCAAAATGAGAAGCAAGTCGACTACGACAGTGATACTGATCTCAATACAGATAACAAAGTATCCTCTGTTGATGCATACAAACCGTGTGTTGGTGAGAACTTGATTATTAGAGATAGCAATATAATAATATTACTTAGAGCAAAGGAGAAGCTATGTTTGTCGGGTTTATTCGACCTGAAGATCGAAAAAGGTGGTCTATTATACAACGATATCCATTTTAATGCATCATCAAAGACCTATCATTACTGGCATCCCCTATCAAATTCGATTCCCGAGATCAAAAGCTCTTTTTATGCAGGCTTTGAAGATGTGGATATTTCAGCATTTTACGCAGCTTATGATATTTCACCGAATAACGATTATGAAACAGTCTTAAAAATATCTAATCACAAATCTAAGAGTTTAATTGATGGTGAAATTCTGATGCCGAGTTTAAAGAGCTTATGGATTACCAAAGAGGATTTCTTGCAAAAAAATGGATACACAAACTTTAGTTTTGACATCATCATGCCTGCAACACTTCAAGAGATAACAACTTTGAATATATCTAAATCTTGGACTAATTGTCTCCAGAAACTCAAATTTATCAATCAAAATTCCATTCATGACACTAGGATAATGGTTATTGGTGGAAAGAATAGCGGGAAATCAACGTTTTTAAGGTCTTTAGTTGAAAAAGTATTGTATAGCCATGATATTTCAGACAAAAGTGTAAGTGAAATGCTATATCTTGATTTAGATCCTGGGCAACCCGAGTTTTCTCATCCAGATTGTATCTCTATGACTCGTTTGACATCGAATGATATGAATTTTGGTCAGAGTTTTGGCCAGGCCTCGCCAGAAGTTTTAAAACAGTATTACATTGGCTCACCATCTCCGCAAGAGTATCCAACGCGCTACTTAAACATGGTGAACAAACTTATAACCGAATTCGAGGACACAATGTTTGCAGGAATTTCTTGCATAAATTTGCCAGGATGGGTGAAGGGTTTTGGGTTGAACATATTGCAAAAGGTTTTAGAAATCTATAAACCCACAGATATTGTATACCTTGAATCACCTTCTACAGTAAGACATTTCTCGGAGTTGAGAATACCAAAGAGTTTTTCATCAACTATGATGACAGAATATAGCCCTCGATCTTATCGCATACCCGCCGAGTTTTCGAATGCCGCCATAAATAACTCTCCAGAGATAAAGTTTGCTCCGTCAGATATTAGGACATACAAGCTTCTGTGTCTGTTTCACAGGAGTGACACATCAAATGTTCCAACGTTCGATTTTAGACCATTGATTGCGAAAAGTCCCAAAAAAATATCTTATGGACGTGCAGGTATACATACTATAATAATTAATATAGAATTTGCACTAGTACCGTCTCATGAACTCATCCAAGCTCTGGAAGGTACTATAGTTGCTATCTATCATGAAGAAAATACTGACGATGAACATGACTCCAGCTCTGATATCAGAGTTTTATCAAATGATGACCTCGAGACTGCCAAATTTATTACTCTAGGATTAGTTCACTCGGTTGATGAAGAGAGGAAATATTTTAATATTTACGTTCCGGAAAATATGGTTGCAACTTTGAAAAATCTAGGTAATAGGTTTATGATAGAGAGGTTGAGTACAGAAACTCCATTTTGTGAACTATCTCCACCAAATAAAGTTCTAAAAACTGATCAAACAAGCCCTTTCATAAGTTTCAAAACAAGAAAGAAGTATGAACATGTATGGAAAATAAGAAAAAATATTAAACGGAAAGGGCATCATCTTTGAGTCTTCCATCAGTTACTGAAATCAATAATTATTTAATTAGTTTATTAATGCAATTGTAATATTAAATATCTATTATGGATTAAGCATCGTTTGGAGTTGGGACTTCATCGTTCCAGCCCATTTTTTTATTTAGTCTATCATATTTTAGCCTATCTTTATCACTAACGGATGGCTTTATCTTATTCAGAGCAACTTTAAAATCGGCAGGAGTAACAATAACTTCATCACTAGAAATACCGACACTCAGGTCTTCGAATTCTTTGTCCAAATCATTATCTCCTACTGACTGAATCTCTTCTGACTTGAAAAAATTACGTTTCAATGCCAATACGGAACTTTCACGAACTAAAGCAGCCAAATCAGCACCCGAAAAATTTCTGCAACGTTCATCCGCAACTATTTCCTTCAAGTCAACATCTTTTGACAATGGAGTACCATTGGATATCGTGAGAGTCCTTATTATATCAAATTTTTCTTGTTCATTTGGCAATTCAATAAACAAAGTCTTATCAAGTCTTCCGGGTCTTAACATGGCAGGATCTATCATATCTGGTCTATTTGTAGCACCCACAACAAATATACCATGCCTATCATTTAGACCATCTAGTTCAGTTAATAATGTATTGACCACTCTTGATGAGGATTCGGACATTGAAGTATCTCTTCTCGGTACCAAGGCATCCAATTCATCAAAAAATATAACACACGGAACAGATGCACGCGCTCTTGTGAAAACCTGTCTAATTGCTCTTTCGGACTCACCTACATATTTATTAAGTAATTCTGGCCCTTTAATAGAAATGAAATTTGCTCTAGATTCATTAGCAACGGCCTTTGCAAGAAGAGTCTTACCACAACCTGGAGGTCCCCATAATAAAACACCACCTGGAGCACTAATACCAACTTTTTCATAAAGCTCTGGCCTCTTAATGGGTTGGACAATAGCCATATTTAATTCAATCCTTACCTTTTGTAGTGCACCAACATTGGACCAAGTGACGTCTGGCACAGTAGCAAAACCTTCTCTCTTGGCTGTAGGCTGAATGGTAGGTAGAGCCTTTAAAAAATCTTCATATTTAATAGTCAGTTGGTTTAATTGATCATCGTTTAGTGGATCAGGATAATTGTGAATGAACCTTTGTATTACTGAGAGTGGGAGAGGATCAATCATATTTGCTGTATTTTTTAGATTGATCTCAGAGTCAGAATCTTTTTGCGAGTTGCCCTCTACAGAATCTAATTTATTCTTATCCACATCCATGTCTTCTACCGCTTCGATGTTTGGTACTATCGAAGCATATGTCTCAAAGATTCTTTTTATTGCACAAGTACCAGCAGCAGTAGTCAATGCTTTCAAGTCGGCACCAACAAAACCGGGTGTCAACTTGGCCAACTTATGGAAATCAATTTCACCATCTATTTTTAGTTTTCCTGCCATCTTCTTTAATATGTGTAACCTCGAAATTTCATTTGGTACATTTAGGCAAATTTCCCTATCAAATCTACCTGCTCTTCTCAAAGCAGCATCCAACGAGTCAGGTCTATTTGTAGCACCTATAACTATAACTGGCTTACCATTAGTGTTGCTTAAGGTTAACTCATCCATAGAAGTTAATAGTTGAGCAACAATTCTTCTTTCCATCTCCCTTTGAGCACCTCCATCACGCTTTGGGGTAATGGCATCAATTTCATCAAAAAACATCAAACAAGGAGCTAGAGATTTTGCTTCATCGAATAGCTCCCTAATCTTCTTTTCACTTTCACCTGACATACCACTAACCACAGAAGGTGCAGAAATTGAAATAAATGGCACTTGCAACTCTCCTGCTAATGCATTTGCTATGGAGGTTTTACCACAACCAGGAGGGCCATGAAGAAGAACACCTCTAGGAGGTTCAACACCTGTTGATAAATATATTTCAGGATGCAATATCGGCAATCCTATTAATTCCATCAGTTGCGCAATAACGTCATCCATACCACCAAGAGCACTTAACGACGATGTTGGTGGTGATCTATCCTCCTTGATCTTTTGACGTTTTGATTTTTGAGATGATTCCTTGGAACGTTTCCTAGTCTTAGTCTCTTGGTCAGTTTCACCATTTCCAACATCTGCGGCAGGTGTCTCTGATTTGGTTTCCCATTGACTGACTATACTTTTGTTCATATCGTTGGTCTCTGGAGCAATCATCAAATTCTTTTCTGCCAATACATCACCCTCGTCCATAACAGGTGTATCTTCCACATATCCTGGCATTTCTTGCAGTTCCTCCATTTCATCCTCGACTATAGCTTTCAATACTTTCTCTATCGTTTTTTGCAATGGCACTTTCTTTACTCTTTGCAATGACAAGTCCTTTGATAAAACATAGGTAAAAATCTCGCCAGGAACCAAATCCTTCGCAAAGCATGTAGCATCCATGATGTCCATTTCTTCATCTTCTTGGGAACTATCCGCTTGACTCCGGAGTTGCCTTTGTTTTTCTAAGGTCTTCTCTTCCAACATCCTATAAATAAGATCAGTTAGCTTATTCTCAAGAGAGTTCGTAAGCGACCCATTCTTCTTACCTTTAGCCTTAGCCATCCTGTCCCACTCTAAATACCTTGATCCAAGACGAAGAGAAAGTGTTATTCCTGTCCAATCGATGAGGGCATCGCTGGTCTTATATGCATTTGATAGCTATTTTTCACTTTTGAATCAAGAGCTCATCGCAAAATTTTGAAAAAAAAAATTGAAATTTAGGATGCGATGCCCTCATCTCTAACGTTTGTGCCAAACAACATAAGAAGAGTCTCCATTCTAGTCATAGTCATCACAACAAATATATATATATATATGTATGTATGTATGTAGAGAGTTCTTTTCACAGTTCCATAAGTGATTGTATAACATGGTTAGGAGGGGAGTGGGCACAATTGAGACTGTTAATGCTTTGGTCAATGATAATTACGCGTTGATACGCAACGTTGCGAAATATATGCTAAATGACAAGGGCCTAACCAATGCGGAGTTCCTCAGGGCAAGCTATAGACGGTTCATCAGGCTTCGACCATTTGTATCCAATAGAAGTATGGTGAAGGACACATATACTGACTATATCAGGTATAAGTATCGATATGAAGATTATCCTAAGCGAATGGCTATGATAGGTGTGCAATGTGATAATCAATTGAATCGAAGCCAGGTTAAGAACAGTCTATCTTTTGTAGCAAAAGCTTGCTCGTTTATAGATGAGTCTAAGGGGACTAAATTTGAAGTGGCGAGAGATAATACGATGTGCCGCCAGATTCTCAAGAATTTGTTGACTATTCACTACGAGAAAACTTCGCATACCAACGAGAAACGAACCCCACTGAGGCATATATTCCAATATTCATTTGAACATATGAAGGACATAAACAAAAGTACAAATTCTCAATCTTATAGCAAGCCAGCTAGTCCCAAATCATCACTTATACTTGATTTGTACGGTGAATTTGACAGAGACATATTACTATTGAACAACCTTCTTAACATGCGTTTATAATATTTCAACTAGAGTGATAGAGAAGTGACTGCCAAATGTAGAAAGATGAAAGCATTATCCAATTTCCACATTAGTTTCGGTCATGTATATTAATTTGGCCGCCTAACGCTAAAATGATCTATCTAAAACCCTGATTAATGTTATAAACCCGATAAAGATAAGTAATATATATTCCTAATTATTGATAGATACCGCTCTCTCCTGTTTTTTCCCACCACTACTACTACTTCTTGAAATAGAAGTACTACTCTTGTTCGCTGATGGGATTCGGTTTCTATGAGGTGACCTGACTAATACACTATCAGTCATTCTACTAGCTTCCTTTTTCCAACCATCAAAATCTATAAGAGCTTGCATGCAACCCCATTCGGTAATTTTTTTGCTCAGCCATAACAAATTTACAGGCTTGGTCAAATAATCGTTACAACCTGATATTAGTGCCTCTCTTTTATCTTCCTGAGAGTTTGAGGCGGTTAGCGCCACGATAATTACAGGTGAATTTGTAGAGCCATTCATGTTAATTGATGACAATGAGCCTGGTGTAGATACCCGCTCACTCTGATTAGCTATCCCTCTCTCTTTTTCCAATTCCCTTATTTTTTTTGCAGCTTCTATACCAGAAAGAACAGGTAGCTGCAGATCCATGAAAATTAGATGAAGGTTTCCTTCCTTCCACTTATCCACAGCTTCTTTACCATTTTTTGCAATTTTGTATGAAATCTTATTTTTCCTCAAAAATGATCCCAAAATAGCCTGGTTGATAACATTATCTTCAACAATCAAGACATTAATCTTTGGAAACACCTTTTCACTGGTAGTTGTTAACTTAAACGGGAGTGTGTCCAGAGCTGTTATATTTTGCTGTTTTTCTTTTGACACAGGAATTGGTGTAGTCTCTGTGGTCTTGAGAACATCCAGTGGCGATAAAAGAAGAGAATTTGCCTGCTTATAATTATTAGAATCTATAGCGTTCTGCTTGTCTAAAACATTTGTATCCACATGTAGTTGTTTGGATTTATCATTTTCTAGTTGGGGGACGGATGCTGATGAATTTCTATCACTGATAAACGCCAGGCCTTTGTTTTGTTCATTTGAGTTATGTTCCGATTCGTGGTACAATTGCTCTTGCTCTTCTAATCTATAGTCTTTTGGTAACAGAAGCATGGCTGGTTGCACAGCTTGTAGTTCAGAATTTGACCTCTCGTCAATGTCAGTTCCGTTGGCATAAAAATTTACCTCATCTGCATTATTACTACCAAAACCATGTAGCGAATTGTCATTGTCATATGTATCCATATTGCCTACACTGTGCTCTTGTGATAATACCTGTATATGTCCAGCAAATTTGTCATGATCATCATCAAAAATACCAGCAGCAGGCGATTCCATCGGAAGTGGAGGTGCATGACCCATGTCAACATTTGAAAACACCAAAAGAGCACTTGACGAAGTCTGTGAACCAATTGCACCAAATAGTGAAACGTAGATTTGATATATTTGCTCGTCAGGATCAAATATTATTTTGTAATGGTAGTCATCAATGTCCTCCACTGAGTATTTTAAATTTTTTCTAGGTGATTGTCTCGAAACATGAGGGTTCGGTGACGCGTATTTCGGATGCGAATATAAGCTACTTAATTGTTCATTATGGTACTCCGAATGCCAATTACTATTGAGAATTGGAGTAATCCTATTATTTGGTATTGACTGGAACGTCGGGCTTGCTGAGTTAGACCTTCTATGATTTGCTAGCCATCTCGTTCTGTAATTCTGTCTATCTAACGGACTATTTTGCGGACTTCTATTGTTATTTGTTTGCAGTATTTGCTCTTTTAATGAAGAAGGTGAATGACTTAAAATTTTATCACTAGTGTTAAGGTTAGTCATATTCTCTTGCAAGTCTGGCACGTTAGTGTAAATTCCAATCCCCACAGACATCATATCATTATACCTATTCCATCGAGTGCCGTTTAACCTATTGAAAAGCTTGTCCTTAACGTCCTCTATGGTGTCATTTTCATCGAACTCTATACTTATAGCTTGATTGATTTCATCACTATTGTAATCTAATTTCAGCCATAATTTCCAATTACTACCAGCTTTCCAATTAGTTTGTAAACTCAAACCGGTATTGGATTTGGCCAGTGGGTATGGCCTAGGTATAGGATACTCATTCATTTTTATCCTTTTCAGTCTTTGTGACTTTGTCCAGGCACAAATGATAGGAAATTATAAACCGGACACGACGGCTATTTATAGTACAACCTTATCGCAATAGGTAATTTTCGAGAACGGTAAGATGGACCAGATATCTTTGTCTATAATAAAGTTTAATTGCTGCAAGTTTGCGTCTTACTTGTAAATACTTATCCCAAATATTAACTTCTCTTGTATCGTAAACTTACCGAGTCTTATCTTTAATTTTTTTTCCTATCCTTGCTGTCTTATTATCAACCCCAGCAAACCTCTAAAAGCCCCGCAAACTTTCAACAATAGCAGCGATATCTCAATGATAACTCAATTGATGAACTTGATGAATTGGTTCTTTGATGTAAGGTTGTAAAGCACAAACCATAAGGACAAACTTCACCTTCAGATTGGCAACTCCAAAGCCTTAAATTCCTCTAAATTCGAGTTTCGTCAGGACCGAAGACGTTTGAAAATCTTGAAGAAAAAAGTTGTATATCACAGTATGCAATAAGTAGAATAGTGATTTTATGCATTCATGACTCACTCTCAGAAGCTGAAATATACCATCAATTATTCTTGCATTGAGTTAATTCATATGTTCTTTGGAAAGAATCTTTCTGTATCTTGTTGACTTTTCCTTGGAACTCATTTTGCGCTATTTCCATTTTCAGGTCAATAGTACACAAATTTGTTAGAAAGTTCTTAACTTATGATGGTAACTCCCATCATGGTGTCTTCGAATGAACCTGTAAATGTACTTAAATATGTATACAGCTTACCAGTTTGGTATTAATATCGGAAAGATCATAAATTCTGTAATCTCCGAGTGATTTACCCATTTGATTATGTGTGTGATTATAAGCTTAATAAGATAAAAAAATGCTAAAATATGTATTAATTAGAATTAAAATTTACAGAGTAAAAAATGGATCTATATTTTCTTCTTTCTTCTCTTCGTTGTTTTGTTTAACAAAAAATTCATCCCATAACGACTGAGATGTGACTTGGAATAGGATGTCTACCATGTTTTGTTCTTCATTTGCGGGATCATCAAATAGTGGTAAATCATCTTGTAGTTTGAAGTCATTTTGGAAGTCTTGTTCATTATGCAAATTGATACCGGTATCTTTATTACCGTTGTTCATGTTATTATTATTATTATTATTATTATTCAAGAAACTCATCGACCTTCCTCTAAACTTGCCTGTATTGGAAGGCTCTTCATCGTTATTTTCTTCCAATTTATCTAATTGTAAAAAGAATTTCTCAAGTGGTAGATCTAAACTACCACCTGAAATAGAAGGTTTCCTTTTCAAAAGATCAGTATTTTTGCTATCATCGATTTGTAGGTTTCCACCAGATTTGAAAGTATTTTCTTTACTTGAATTATCTTCAATTATCTTCTCACCGAATTTTAACTTTATAACAACCTTTGATAAGACATCATAACTTTGGAAGCAGTTCTTAGCAGCTTCACAAGTACCAATCAAGTTCTTCAGTATGAATAGAATCTTTCCCGTATAATCTTCTACTTCCTGTCTATTCTCTTTGATGTTATTTCCGGAATAAAAAATAACGTATAAGTATGTCATACCAGCCATAAACACATTATGCACGGCCACCCAGGTGTATCCTATCTTTTGATTAATACAAAGATCATAAAAAACATCGATAGTACCCTTGGTGCTTAAAAACACCAATCTACAGGAAAGTTCAGTAAGAATTGGGCATTTTGGCGATAGACCGTATAAGATACTTTTGGTGTAATGATAATTTAACTCAAATAATGATGAGTTGTAATGACAGTCGATCATTTTTTGCGATCTTGGAACAGCTTTGTCATACCATGCATTCAACTCAGAGTGTACCGCTGCTCTCCATTCTTCAAGATCATTATATTTCCTGGGAATTTCAGCATGAGGGGCGTAAAGTACACGAACAATTTTTGCTTGCAGTTGTCTAATGGCAAACATTGCTATGGCTAGCTTCTTATAGGATATTGATTTAGGTTTTACGTCTGAATAATCCTCTATAGTACCGTATGCAGGTGTTATTTCACTATCAGGTAACAATGAAGGATATCCTGTCGTAATAGTATCTTCTGGAATTCCGAAAGGTCTACCAAAGTAGGAACATACTTGTCTATCCAGGGAATATACACACCAGAATAATCTTCTCCTTATTTCTCTAGTAAATGGATCATATGTCATATTTATTTTTTCGGAATGAAGACCCAAATCTACAGTTAATCTTAACACAGAACCCATTGTGTACCAAACACCAGGTACGTTGGGTCTCATTATTGAGTAGATTGCTAATAACAATGTTCCCATGAGAGCTTCAAGTCGATCTGTCGAGGAAAATATGTCTTTCTTGAAGTAAGTTGCTCTTCTTTTGAATGTAACAACTTGTTTTATATCCGATGCTAGTACTTTAGTTGCACATCCGATTGTAAATACCATATTCAGAACAAAGTATGGAATTCTATAGTAGTCATGCAGTTCAATATCTCTCACTCCTTTATCTTCCAGACTTTTCCAAGTATTGTACCAAGGCTGAACACCGTATGGACTGTTTGGGCGTAATGGTTCAGGTCCCATGAAATTCCGATTTATTTTTGTTTTATTGGATACCAATGTAATTTTATTGTTCCACTCTCCGTATATTGGTTCGTAGTATTTCTTCAAGAATTGTTCTCTATGGAAAACTGGTAGCTGGGAATTGGTGTCTATGAAAAATCTATTGATCAATTGTTCAGCTTCTTCTATTGGGGGAAGTGCCAATGGATCAAAATTAGGGTCATTTTCGGCCAATGCGTAGTCTCTATATTTCAATTCTCGGAGTTTTATATCCTCGTCAAATTCTGAATCAATGTAGTCAGGCTGGAAATTTGCAGCAGTGTAGACCAATTTAGCAAACGACACACCTGAGGAGTCACCCAGGTAAGAGTTTTTAGTCGTTTCTTTCATCGAGCCAATATCTGAAAAATGGTTGTTCGTTTCCTCCAAGTCTGCGCCAACAGAAGAGCTTTCCATGGGACTAGCAGTTTGCGGCATCATTGGTTTTGGAGACCTGAAATATGCCTGATCCATGGGTGAGTTTATTGAAGGTGAGTTAGCAAAATCTGATCGACTTCCATTACTAGTCTCGCTGTTGTCCTGCATCAGCATACCCTTTTGAACCAAATACGACCCCAACATATCATCTACTGGAATCAGAGACCCATTTTTCTTGAACTTCTTCTTGTACTCTTCTAAGTTGCAATTAGTGTCGTTTTCAGAGCAAGGGACATTGCTCTTGATAGTCATTGGATTGATCCCACACTCAGATAGCTTGCTCATCATATTGGACAAGCTATCCTCTAAAAAGAACACATACGACCTCGGTATGTCCTGACCCGTGACGGGATCCACCGAGACGCATGGAACGTTGTTTCGCAAACACCCTTTACAACTGGGATACCCTTGGTCACACTTCACCTTCTTTCTTCTGCATAGCTTGCAAGCGTTAGGAAACTTGGTGAACTTCACCCCGCCCGGGACGGGTTTCGATACCCTCTTTTTACCCTTAGTCATCAGTCAAAAGATAAGGTTAACCAAATCGCTTCCCCGTGTTCTCCAAGCTAAGCTCTAAGGACAAGTTTTCTCTTTGCTAGCCAGTATTGGAATAACAAGTATCTTCCCGACACAAATACTCCGAAATCTATCTGAAACAGGTTGACCCCAGAATGTATCCCATTGTTAATGTGCCATTGTTCAACTATAATTGACACTTGGTAAGCTCATCGATTTTTCCAATTTTTCACCAAAATTTTTCAGTCAAGGATGATCTTCTCTCTTTCTTTTTCCAGCAGGATAAGTAAAGTGAAGTTGTAGTCATCGGGACAATGGAGTTTGCAAGAGCAGCTGGGATTGCCATTGACAGTTCGAAAGCAGGTATAGGGTTCACTTTGTATTGAACGGACCAGGTGCTTTCATTGGAATCGGTTACTGTTTGCGGATATCGCACTTTTTTTATTTACTGATCGGGGGCGTCGAGTTACTGGGCATCGAGTGACGATTGTTGTTAATTGCGTTACAAGTTTTGCAAGTCAAAGAGAGAAAGGGTGGATTGCAGCACAAGGAAGTTGTTATCGGATTACAGCATTTTGCGGTGTTGAAGGAGTTGTAGAGGTGAAAGTAGAGGACATACGTGCTAGGAATGAAGCCCGAGATTATACCGTACCAGCCGGAAGTGGACCTTGTGCTGGACGACAGCGTTTGCGAGCGGCGGCCGCACCTGCCGGTGTACCAGGAGACGCACGAAGTGAACGGCGTGCAGTTCTGGAAGACGGAGGACATCCCGCTGAGCAGGCGGAACTTCATCTACCGGCCGTGTCTGCCCAACCCGCTGTTCACCGAGCTCGGGTACTGCACCACCGAGTACCCGTTTGACACTTCTGGGGTCAACATCCAGGACAGGTCCTACGGGATGAGTGTGCTGCGTGGTGAGAACAGTGTGGTCAGCGTCAGAGCGAAGGACGGGTGGCGCACTGCGCGCAGCGATGTGTGCATCAAGGAAGGGGACGTGTACTGGGAAGTGGAAGTGCTGAACGTCGGTAACGGCAGTGGTAGTGGCACTGGTAGTGGCAGTAGCAGTAACGTGGATGTGGACGTGGACAAGGGGTCGGTGCAGCAGCGGCGGCAGTTTCTGAACTCGTCTGCGCATGTGCGTGTGGGCATCAGCCGGCGGGAGGCCAGCCTGGAAGGCCCTGTGGGGTTCGACTCGTACGGGTACGGTCTGCGAGATTTCTCGCTGGAGTCTATACACGATGGACAACTGGAGCAAGTGCTGGCGAGGGCGCCGCTGAAGAACGGGGACCGGCTGGGGTTCCTGGTGAGCCTGCCGAGTGTGGAGAGGCAGGTAGCGCAAGCGCGGGAGTACACCGCGAGGCGGATCGAAGCGCTTGCGTCGCACGGCCAGGAGCTCGGAGCGCAGGAGGAGTGGGAGTCGCACGGGCGCAAGAGGCAGAAGCGCGCCGGTGTGACGAACATGGACTTCCAGCGGGCGCTGCTGGAGGACATCGACCACGCCAACGTGGTGCGGGACCACATACCCATCCGGTACAAGAACCAGCTATTCTACGAGGCCACGGATTACGTGAAGACCACGAAGCCCGAGTACTACTCCTCGGACAAGCGCGAGCGGGAGGAGTACTACCACCTGGAGGGCTCCTACGTGGCTGTGTTTCTGAACGGGGAGTACCTGGGCAAGGCGTTCGAGGAGGTGAAACCCTTCCTGCCGCCGTTCAGCGAGCTGCAATACAACGAGAAGTTCTACTACGGGTACTGGAAGCACGGCCGGGCGGAAGGCGAGGACCGGGAGGAGGCGCGCATCGGCGGCAAGCACCGGAAGGGGCTCATCCTGCGGAACAAGTACGTGAACAACAGCAAGCTGGGCTACTACCCGACGATCAGCTGCTTCAAGGGTGGTGCCGCGAGACTAGTCACCACCCGCAGCGAGCTGCGCCACCTGCGCGCAGCCACAGACGTAGCCGACCAGCCCGTCGCTGTGCTCGACGACCTCTACAGACGCCAGATCGCAGACGAAGTGGTCTGGGACATAGTAGACGAGATAGAAGAAGAGGCGAAAGTGAAGTGGAAGTGAAGCACGAAAGTAAGAAGTAGACTATATAGTATAGAGTGATAATTTATGAAACCCGTTTGCATCCTGTCAGTTACACCCAGAAGAGTACACCTGCAGACAACCCCAGCAGACAACAGACAACTGAAGGAAACACCGTTTACCCGGCCCAATTCTTTCGAGAAAGTTCCATCTCGTCGGGTGTTATATACTCCTGGCTGAGGGAAGGAGAGAGAAAGAAGCCCGCAGAATCGCAGCGAAGCAAAGAACCGAGATTGGCAGTTGAAGCAGTTGAAGCAGGCGAGAGAGGCGAGAAGGATTTTCGAAGGGAAGAGAAAAACTGTTTCGCGAATCCTTCGAGTTGTGCGGGTGTTTCTGTGTTATGCTCTTAAGGTGGGCTTTTCGTCTTTCAATTCCCAATCATGACAATATAAAAAGGCGGGTACTCTTGGGTTGGACGTTTTGGTACTGAAAAAACTTGGACAAGCAACAAAAAGAAAGGCCCCATATAATAAAAAGATAAAGACAATGAATGCAATTAAGCGCTTGTTGCCGGTGTCGTTGTTTCTGTACGCTTTGTTCGTGGTTCTGCTGCCATTCCAGGCCAGGGCCAAGGACGATGTGGAGAACTACGGCACTGTGATCGGTATCGATCTGGGTACTACGTACTCGTGTGTCGCGGTTATGAAGAACGGTAAGACTGAGATTCTTGCGAATGAGCAAGGTAACAGAATCACGCCTTCCTACGTGGCGTTCACGGACGACGAGAGGTTGATTGGTGACGCCGCAAAGAACCAGATTGCTGCCAACCCTACCAACACCATCTTCGACATCAAGAGACTGATTGGTTTGAAGTTCAACGACAGATCTGTGCAGAGAGACATCAAGCACTTGCCATTCAAGGTCGTCGACAAGGACGGCAAGCCTGTGGTCCAAGTCAAAGTGAAAGGTGAGGACAGGGTGTTCACCCCTGAGGAGATCTCCGGTATGATTTTGGGTAAGATGAAGCAGATCGCTGAGGACTACCTGGGCAAGAAGGTCACGCACGCCGTGGTCACTGTCCCAGCTTACTTCAACGACGCGCAGAGACAGGCCACCAAGGACGCCGGTACCATCGCTGGTCTGAACGTCTTGAGAATTGTCAACGAGCCTACCGCCGCCGCCATCGCTTACGGTCTGGACAAGTCCGACAAGGAACACCAGATTATCGTCTACGACTTGGGTGGTGGTACTTTCGACGTCTCCCTATTGTCCATTGAAAACGGTGTCTTCGAAGTCCAGGCCACCTCCGGTGACACTCACTTGGGTGGTGAGGATTTCGACTACAAGATCGTCCGCCAATTGATCAAGACTTTCAAGAAGAAGCACGGTATTGATGTCTCTGACAACGAAAAGGCCTTGGCCAAGTTGAAGAGAGAGGCCGAAAAGGCCAAGCGTGCTTTGTCCAGCCAAATGTCCACCCGTATCGAAATCGACTCCTTCGTTGATGGTATCGACTTGAGTGAAACTTTGACCAGAGCTAAGTTCGAGGAATTGAACTTGGACCTGTTCAAGAAGACTTTGAAGCCAGTTGAAAAAGTCCTAGAAGATGCCGGCTTGGAGAAGAAGGACATCGATGACTTCGTTCTAGTTGGTGGTTCCACCAGAATTCCAAAGGTTCAGCAATTGTTGGAATCTTTCTTCAACGGTAAGAAGGCTTCCAAGGGTATCAACCCAGATGAGGCCGTCGCCTACGGTGCCGCTGTCCAAGCTGGTGTTTTGTCCGGTGAAGAAGGTGTCGAAGACATTGTCTTGCTAGATGTTAACGCTTTGACCCTGGGTATTGAAACCACTGGTGGTGTCATGACCCCACTGATCAAGAGAAACACTGCTATCCCAACCAAGAAGTCTCAAATCTTCTCCACTGCTGTCGACAACCAACCAACTGTCCAAATCAAGGTCTACGAAGGTGAAAGAGCCATGTCCAAGGACAACAACTTGTTGGGTAAGTTCGAACTGACTGGTATCCCACCAGCTCCAAGAGGTATCCCACAAATTGAAGTCACCTTCGCTCTAGACGCTAACGGTATCTTGAAGGTGTCTGCCACCGACAAGGGTACCGGTAAGTCCGAATCTATCACCATCACCAACGATAAGGGTAGATTGACCCAGGATGAAATCGACAGAATGGTTGAAGAAGCTGAAAAGTTCGCTTCCGAAGACGCCGTTCTAAGAACAAAGATCGAAGCTAGAAACAAGCTGGAAAACTACGCTCACTCCATCAAGAACCAAGTCGAAGGTGATTTGGCTGAAAAGTTGGAAGAAGAAGACAAGGAAACCTTGTTGGACGCTGCTAACGACACCTTGGAGTGGCTAGAAGACAACTTCGATTCTGCTACTACTGAAGAATTTGAAGAGAAGTTCGAAGCTTTGTCCAAGACCGCATACCCAATCACTTCTAAGCTATACGGTGGCGCAGATGGCTCTGCTCCTGTATATGATGATGATGAAGATGAAGATGATGATACTGACTACTTCGACGACGAATTGTAAAGAAGGAACAGGCTTGATGTTTGTCCCCAAATTTTATTTTTATTATTCTCTCGGATGTGTTAATATTTTTTAATAGAGATATGTCGGAACTAGCGTTTTAACGATCATTTCTCGTGCTTGTCTTCAAAAGTGTCTTGCAAGCGAAAAGCAACCTGAAGATACTATGATATAATACAAGTAAGTATAAAACGTAAATATATAGATTATCCATTTGTAACTACAAAAAGTACTAATAAGTTTTTTCCAACATTTATTTAGCATTAATCATTTTACTTACTGACGTGCGTGTCTCAATTACGCAACTGCAGCTACATAACACTCTCATGTGTACGCATATACTAAATAATATTTCCTATCTCGGCTGTCCGCTGTAAACTGGATGGTGTCTCCATTTTTTAGTTCTATATATCTTGCCTGTGGAATTGTGTTGCCGTTAAGTACAGTGCCGTTAGATGATTCCAAATCAATGATGTATGCCTTGATACTGTCGTTTTCCGTTCTCCGAAACTGTATAACACAGTGTTGTTGAGAGCATGTCTCTTCAGGTATAAGGATATCGGCGATATTGTTTTCTTCTTCTTCTTCATCTTTCCTACCTATCAAGTATGAATTTTTAGCCTCTAATTCAAACTCATCGATTACCTTCCCTGTACTCTCCTTGTACAATAGACATTTATACTTGGTTTTATCAGTAGAGCCCTTAAAATAGTCTAACGGTGATATAGCATCTTTGGGCTCTACGTATTTCAACGCTATGCCATTCTTGTTATTAGAGTCAAGCTCTAGCAACCCAGAAGACTCGAAATTCGGCAGTAGTGGGCCTTTACTGGGTTTCGTCCTCTTTACCTCCCGACGGTCCTTCCATTCTCTCTTCCTGTTATTATACCGGTATCCAGGCTTTGAAATACCTCTCCCAGCCCTGGAACCAGTAGCATCATACCTACTTTGTCTCATTCTGTTACTATAGATAGATCTCCCAGCTATTGATGTGACTTTAACTTCACACTAGTCCCATTTATCAACAGCTCATCGCATCGCTATGTGACTTTTTCACTTTTTGCAGAATTTAAGAACAAAGAAACAGTTTTTTTTCAGATCAGACAGAACATAATATAGACCATATTTGAAAGACAGTTTGGGATTTAGTTCAACTGTTTCCTTTTTGTTTACTTGTGTGTATTATAGGTGAGAACTCTGGGTGATTTTGTGCATAGTGCTGTGGGGGAATATGTCTTCGACCAAATTCGATACGCAGCTATACCTATCGAGGCCTTATCTGACTAGGAAGCAGGTTCAGAGGGCCCAGCAGAACACTATAGGTGACCACAGGGCTTACAATGCTAAGCGTGTTGCTATTGTGAAGTTTTTGAGTGATATATGTGTGCAGTTGCGGTTCCCTAGGCGAACGTTGGAGGCAGCAGTTTATTTTTACCTGAGGTACCATCTATTCAATAACTTTGAGACAGAACCATGTTACATAATTGCCACAAGTTGTCTAGTATTGAGTTGTAAAGAAGTGGAAACGATAAAGAAAGTGAACGATATATGCACAGTGTCTTTATCCCTGCGAAACACCGGGAAGGTAAGTGGTGAGGTTTTAGAGAATTTTAAGAAAAGAGTATTTGTCATGGAGTTGAAAGTACTGGAGTCATGTTCTTTTGATTATAGGATAAATGATGCTGTCCATGTTGATGAGTACATTATCAAATTTGGGAAAACCCTGGGACTAAGCTATGAACTGTGCCACATTGCGTGGTGTATAGCGTTTGATGTCCTTAAGACAGAACTACTATTACTGGTACCACAACACGTTATAAGTCTGGCATGTATAAAGCTCGCTAGCGGTATACTGGATGTTCCTGTAGCGATAGAGAAGAGCATTCAGCAATTCGAGATGGATAACCCTATGTTTAGTGAGGCATACTTTGAACTACTTAACTTTTACATCAATTCCTTTGATTCGTGTGACTTGAAAAATGTATACCAAGGAGCATCATTGGAGCAGTTTATGGACTTAAAGCGTAAAGCGGGACAAGAACATGGTTTGAAGGAGCCACTAGAAAAGCAAATTGAAATGGATACCTATCTAACTACTTCAAGAACACAGCCCATACGAGAAAGAAGATATGTATTGTCACAATCACTTGTGAATAATGAAGTTGGGAAGTAATTGTAGAGATATTCAGAGTATTCAGGCGTATTGTATTCCTTTGCATTTAACTCATTGGTTTTTCATAGAACTCCTTCCACTATAACAGGAAAAAAGTATACAAACTTTTGGCATATGATAGCATATTCGACATTTCCCAATATATATATCAGTTATCTCTAATATAAGCATCGAATTCACTAATCTGACTTGGCTCAACCATATAAATACTATTTTACTGTTATACCTCCATAACGTTTTCAGTGACTCCCGGGCATTCCTAGGGCAGCGCGATGCAAAAAAAAATTATTGCGAGAACAATCGCATCGCAAGACAGTAGTACTATTATTACTCGAATTTCTCTTCTGATTCTGATTGTTTTAATACATTGTTAACAGCTGCAAGTGGTAACCGTTCGTTTCAGAGTAATTGAGAGTTAACTTATCTTCTTTCTGCGAAACAACAAGCGCAAACGAGCAAAATGTCATTGAAATTGCCACAGAACCCAAATGCGGGTCTATTCAAGCAAGGATACAATAGTTACTCCAATGCCGATGGTCAGATCACAAAGTCTATTGGTGCTATTAGAGAGATCCACCAGATGTGTCTGACTTCTATGGGTCCATGTGGTAGAAACAAGATTATCACAAACCATTTGGGTAAGATCATCATTACCAATGATGCGGCTACCATGTTGAGAGAATTGGATATCATTCATCCTGCTGTTAAAGTATTGGTAATGGCTACTGAACAGCAAAAGATTGATATGGGTGATGGTACTAACTTGGTTATGGTTTTAGCTGGTGAAATGTTGAACGTGTCTGAGAAGCTTATTGCTCTAGGCTTGTCCCCCATTGAAATTATACAAGGTTACCAACTGGCAAAGAATTTCACTTTGAAAGAATTGGACAAGATGGTTGTGGGAGAAATCACAGACAAAGGCTCTAAGGAGGAATTGATCAAGATCATTAAGCCCGTTGTGTCATCTAAACAGTATGGTTCAGAAGATTTATTGAGTGAGTTAATAGCAGAATCTATCTCTCATGTTATCCCAAAGGGCTCTAACCAACCATTATTTAATGTTGATTCCATCAGAGTAGTTAAAATTATGGGTGGTTCTCTAATTAACTCTACTGTCATCAAAGGTATGGTATTCAACCGTGAACCTGAAGGACATGTGAAATCCTTGCCACAAGGTGACAAACATAAGGTTGCTGTCTTTACTTGTCCAATTGATATTGCTGCAACTGAAAGTAAAGGTACCGTTTTGCTACATAACGCCCAAGAAATGTTAGATTTCTCTAAAGGTGAAGAACAACAAATTGACGCTATGATGAAGGAGATTGCTGATATGGGAGTCAAATGTATCATTGCTGGTGCTGGTGTTGGTGAGTTAGCTCTTCATTACTTGAACAGATATGGTATATTGGTGTTGAAAGTTCCAAGTAAGTTTGAACTAAGAAGAATATGCCGTGTTTGTGGTGCAACCCCATTACCAAGACTAGGTGCTCCCACTTTGGAGGAATTAGGTCTGGTAGAAACCGTGAAGACAATGGAAATTGGTGGTGACACTGTCACTGTATTTAAGCAAGAAGAAAATGAATCTACAAGAACAGCTACTATTATTCTAAGAGGTGCTACACAAAATAACTTGGATGACATAGAAAGAGCAATTGATGATGGTGTTGCCGCTATTAAGGGTTTGATGAAGCCAAATGGTGGTAAGCTACTTCCTGGTGCAGGTGCAACAGAAATAGATCTAGTTTCGAGAATCACAAAATTCGGTGAGAAGACCCCAGGTTTACTACAGTTAGCTATAAAAGAGTATGCTTTAGCTTTTGAAGTCATTCCAAGAACCTTGGCTGAGACCGCCGGTTTAGATATCAATGAGGTGCTACCAAATCTATACGCTGCCCACACCGTAACAAATGAAGATGGAGAAGATAAGAAGCACCTAGTGAAAGGTATTGACATTGATGGACTAACATCAGAAGGTGTCAAGGACATCACAGAGGATGGTGTTTATGATATGTTAGAGACAAAGAAGTTTGCCATTAACGTGGCCACGGAGGCAGCATGCACAGTGTTATCTGTAGACCAGATTATTATGGCTAAGAGAGCGGGAGGCCCACAAGCGCCTCAGGGACCTAGACCTGGTAACTGGGATCAAGATGATTGATCAAATAACAATTTATAAATATGCATAATTTACAATGTAACATATAATTAGTTAATACAAAGTTGTTGAAAACAAAACAAATTGTCAGAAGTCGTGTCTGGATTTTTTACATTCCTATACTGCTTTAGCAAAACAGTGAATGCCATATTAGTAACCCGTGAATTTTCAGTGTTGAGGTTTTAGGATATGGATGTGAACTACTCATGAAAACATGGCAGCGCTAACACCAAGTACTGATAGAACAACACTGACTACAATAGTGGCTTTGCATGCTAATCTTTCCCATGGTTTTACAATATTAGCCTCGCCACATATTCTCAAATAGAAAAGACAAGGTAAAATGAAGCATATAGCAAAGCATAAACCGGCGCCCATAAATGCAATGATTCTGTCGAATTGAGGGAATATGATTGCAATTAAAACAAACATGAAATTGACAAAAATTCTATTAAAGAATTGGCCAAATTGGGCAAACTTCAACTTTTTACCTGTATACTCCTTTTCGGCCTCGTGAATGCCAAACATTATATCAAGTACAGATACAATTGGTCTAGCATTTAATGGTGTTTTTGCGATTGGGATGACAGTCATTAGTGCAGAAATTAGTACATGGACAGTGTTAGAGTAGCCATCACTTAGTAACACATTTTTTGTAATTTCATCCTTAACTAAATCACCAAACATTAAAAACCCTATAACTGCAGTGCCAATGTCGGTTACTGAAGTTATTTGATATGTAGTTTTTAAACATTTCTTGAATTTCTGAGGATGTCTCATGTCGGATTTCAAGTTAGGGAACACTGCATGGCCACCCCATGAAGCACTTAACAAACCTATTGACAGGCATAAACTTTTGAAATCAGTTGGCCACAGATGAGTTGGCATTGGTTCTATAAGTGAGCCTGGTGCATCTCTCTTGAACAACCCACAGATGAATATCACAAGTACTGTACCTGTAGTGGATAGAATGCCTAGTAATGAGATGTTAGACAGAATACTTAGTGGAATGAATACTGGAGGTGTAACAACAAAAAAGCAAACGATTTTGAAAAAGGTTACGGAATATTGAGGGAAAAGTGCATTAAGAGAATCCCCAAATAAAATTACTAACGACACACCACAACTCAATAGATCAACAGTGAAAAGAGCAGAAATAAATGCACGACCTCTTGAACCAAATGCTGCATAACCCAAATCTGCATATGAAATTAAAGTAGGGTCAGTGTCTAAGCAACGAGACAGCAACTCAGCAGTACAAAATGTACCAAATGCAAAAATAGAAAGCATAATTAATCCTGGAATCCACCCAGCGTATTTCATTCCTAAAGGCAAAGCCAATAATCCTATTCCGATTAATACATTTATCGAGTTGAAGATAGTCTGTGGCGCTGTAGATTGACCAGCAAGTAAAGTCACCACTGTACCATCTTTTCCCTCAACTTGCTTGATAACCATTGAATCTACATCGTTGGTGTCAAACGGGGTAGATCCAGTTAGCATTTCGTTCATCGACAATGTGGGTCTCAAGATACCATTATTATCCATTGAGAAACTAGTAGTACGTATTGACCTAAAATCTTCCAATTCTTGTTGAGATATGCTATGTGTACTTTGAGCATCGATATTTGGTATTGATGGTTTACCAGATACTTGTAAAGTGGCATTGGCGCTCTGTAAAGCTATGGATAGGCTTCTACCATGAGGTGCTGGAGCAAGTGTGCTAGGATCAAATAATTCATCATAATCATCGTTAAAATAGGTTCTTTCAACCTCTGGTTTAACTTCAATATTTCTGAAGGAGTTAGCTCTTCTTAAAGATGTTGCAAATCGTGAGAGTGAGTTCACACCTCTGAAGGACCCGATAGGTTGATCCAGGATAGATTGCCTTCTACCCATGGGTTGTGGCTCATGGTTAGTGAAAGAGCTGTCCTGGACCGCATAACCAGATGTATCCCCATCGACAGCTTCCAGGTCAGGATTCCTAGCAAGCGGAATCGATATGTAACGGACTTGTGATCTTGACCCCCTAGGGTTCAGAGGCTGCCTTTCCTCATCTACTGGGGTTGACATATTAATCTCGGCTTGGAAATTATGTTGTAGTTTGATTTTGTCTGATGCAATTATTAAAGTTTTGAATCAATCAATATTACCAAGGACTGGAAACATATGAAAGAGAAATAGGTTGGGATGTTATGGGTAGGCTTTATAACTGATCCGATCTGATCATTAATTGCGTCATTGGATCAAACTGAATTTTGTCTTTGTTTACATTATGACATTATGGGAATATGGTGATAGAAACCAAATAAAATAATAAATCGGACCAAAACATTAAATCAATAGAATGGATCATGACAATTAGGGTATCGGTTATCCCGATTTGTAACTATATTCAATAGCCAGTTCTTATTCGAATAATATATGTTTTGCGTTATGTTAAAAAAATAGTAGTGTATATATAATACTAATTTTTTTCTTCTACTGTATATATGAGCATATCTACAAATTCTCGTACTCTTCTGGGTAAAATATCAGACGCTCTGGACCATCCTTTGTTAATACTACCATTCTGATAACACCACCTGAGGAACCATCCCACTTAATTGCCTGTGATAGGGAGTGTTTGATGAAATCGATGGTCTCGTCCTTTGACATGTTTTCACGGAAGTTCTTATCACAGTAACCGTATATGAATGTAGAACCTGAACCAGCAATAGCATATGGCTGTTTATGGATTGATCCTCCCAGAGGAATACTGTATACTTCACCTTTGTTCTTCTCGTCGTAACCAGCCACAATGATACCTGCTGTTAGAGCGTCCTTATTTTGGTAGCAGAGTGTCTTAAACATATTGGCTGCTGTGTATGTGTCTGGCTCACCGAACTGGCCCTCGTACATGTCCAAGTAGTACTGCACAATATCAGCAACAGCCTGTGTGTCTGCAGCTGAACCTGACCTACAACACCAGATGTTGTCATGTACCCTCGTAAGCTTATCTGTCACACGGTTCGCAATGTACGCACCAGTAGTGGTACGGGAGTCCGCACCTAATATAACACCATCCTTAAATGTAACCGCCATAATAGAGGTACCAAGACTGACCTCACCTTTCTTCAACGCCGTAATATCCACTTGTACACCGTCCATTTTATTTGTTATTTGTAACTAGATTCTCAAATCTGTACCTACGTTGTCCCAGACTCACAATTTCCTGTACTTTGCAATACTCAATTGAAGTGCCTACAACTATATACCAGTCGACAAACCAGCGACGAGGCTCGCTATTACTTCCAATATACCTGCCTTTAAAGGATTGCATCCTCCGTCCTGCAAAAGTGCAATGAGCTGCCCGCATTTTGCCACTAATGTATTACGTGATAGATGATGTTCGGGTACCAAGTAGTATAAACTACTCTCAATATTATGTACTAAATGGACAAAATATGTGCTGTTTTGATGCAAGTGTCTATATATCTCTAGATTATCTGTATTATTACAAGTAGAACTTTTCGCAGTTCTTTTCATTCCCCTTTTTAGAGAGGTATTGCGATAGCATATCGAATCTTTTATAGGCCTCTCCATATGCATTTCTCCATAACGTCATGGCCCTTACCGGCTGGTTTCAATATTCCAATCATCTCGAAGTCAACAATGGCTTGCATAAATAATATTAATGAAATCTTATCGAATGCATCCGGTTTATCTAGTAGTGTCTCTAGCGAGTGGTTTTCCTGTGCTTGTTCCTTAACGTAGTCTAAAATAATATCCCTTGGCATTGTTTCCTTGAATACCATATAGAAGTCATATGTGTTAATTTGGTTGTTCGCTTCTCTGTATAGCTTGAACAAATGGCTCAGAATTGGGTTTAATTTCCTGTTCAATTCTTGTAACACTTTTGATTCAGGTGCTGGTGCTTCCTTAATAGGAAGTACTTGCTCCCAATTTAGCAGGTTGTTCTCAACGTTAGTTCTATAAAATGGGAATAAAGACTGAGACAATAACCCGTTGTTGTGATCCAATGTGAATAGCTCCTGGAACATTGTGTCAACAGGTTCGAAGTCTAGCTTTTCAATGTGCTCCTGACAGCTTTTCCACCTCCATAAATAGTCTTTTAGTTTACCTTGTAACAAATTGTGGTATAACTCTATCAGATTATAATTCTTGATACCAAGCTCTGTTTCAAGAAAATTGGCCACGTACTTGGCATGGCCATTAATAGGATTCTCTCTGACAAGAAATTCAACAAAGAAATTCACAAGGTTACCATCAGTGTTATCCAGTAACGCAAGAACCTCCGATGTGTTAGCATTGTCTTTAATCAAACCTTCGATGAAAAACATAAACGTAGGGCACCGTACTAATCTGTTCAAATATTCATCATTTAAGTAGTCTATGTTAACAGGGTCAATAAAAACTGAGAATGGATTCTCAAAAAAATACGCCATCAAAGAGTAATCAAGAATCTTGATCAATAGTTGTAAGTTGTGATTCGAGTTGTTAGACATCTTTTCGATAACGAACTCGACAAATCTATCTGACAAGTTCAATTTACCATCAACGGTGTCCAAGAAGCTTTGAAAAATTCTGTTACCATATTTGTAACCTTTATTACTCGAAACATCGATCTTATGGAAGTGTCTTTTTAATAGTCTAATAGTTGATTGTCTAAAATTCTTTTCAAAGTTGGATAGATTTGTATTAATATTGAAAATAAGACTAATCTTTACATGATCATTCTTCAGAGCCCTGCTTAACAGTTCGACGAAATTATCTAGTACTATCGCACCCATAGAGTCAACATCTTTGAAATTGAATACTATGTTTAGGTTTTTACCAAATACTTCTTTGAAGTTTTCCAGTAGAGTTAAATCATATGTAATTTTATCTGAACTAACAGAGAAATCCGGCACTTCATTGTCGTCGTCATCTTCCAATTCAGTTTTTATCTTGGTTGTACCGGACAAAATACTATCAGCGGTCTGAATGAGTTTAAACATTGATCTTCTCAGCATCATTCTCACATTTGGGGACTCCTTAGGGGTCAAGTCAATCAGCACATCAATGGTTTCGGGATCATTATTTGGTAGATCAACCGCAAGCGAACTATCAGATCCCAACAAGAACAGCGTATTGAAACATGGCTTGCCATAGTTATCCTGTCTATTTGGAAGATTAAGTAAAACACTCATAACTTCATCTTTCAAATCAGTCTCAATATTGTTTACAATATCATCAACTTGGTTATGAAAATTAGAATAAAGCAAATGGTACAACTCCCATCTCTTCAGCACAGCAACATTGGTCTCCTCACCATCCAATAATTTCACAAAGGGCACTGTTCCTAAAGACTCCTCAGTCTCACTGTTGCTCTTTTCCACAAATTCCGACACATTGTATGTGGGCCTCGCTATATAATGCGTCCTTTGAGAATCTGCAAACTCTGAGACATCCATTTTAGAGAATACCAATAGTCTTGTTTATAATTGAGCTTCTCCGAATTAGTGTTTAGATAGTTCTATATCAAGATATTCGGATAGCTTTTCGAAGAATAGTCTTGGCTTTTTGTTATTGTTTTTCTGCAAAAATATTTTGTCAAGCGATGAGCTTACAAGAGCAAGCCCTTATACCAAAATTATACATATTAATCATAATGGATAGATATATAGGATATATACATCTCTAGCTTTAGTTGATTTATCTATTAATAAGATCTACCGTGTAGAAACAAGATTAGCAGTTTCAACCCTGCTAGTATATTACAAACTTTTCCTGTCAAATTGAATGTGGAAAGAGGAAAAATTCGCAGGCTGTCAGTCGCTTAGAACACGTTATCAGATTCACCCTTAAACCTCTCGACTCTCTTCGGTTCCCAGTCCTCTTCCGCCAATCCTTGCAGTCTATAATACTCCTCTTTTATGTCAAACTCTCTCTTACCGTGCTTCATCTTCAGTATTTCTTCTTCATTCATCTCCTGAACTTTTTGGTCATCACGGTCAAACTTGACTTGCGATATACCAGCTAGCCAATATGAGCCAAGCACCATCATTCCACAAAACGGGAGTCCAAAGAATATGAATGGGTTCTTACTCAGCAATTTCTGATACCGGCCTGCAAAACTCCTGTCATATGCTAGTTGCTGTTTCTTAGACCTGAAACTTCGACCACCTAATGCCATCCTTTACAATCTTTTGTCTAATGCTGATATTTATAGAGCTCTGCTATCCTTAGAACTACCTTCTTAGCTCCAACATCAATGATTGCTGCCCCTTCTCTTATTTTAATGATTTCTATTTGGATCCTAGCGATGATTCGTTCATGGAGTCCTTAAGGAATGATTGATATACGGAATGACTAAGATTTTAAATATTATTATACAAAATGGTTTTCTTTTATTCTCAAGCAAATAGTAGTTTGAGTTAGATGAAAATGTCTATATATGCAAATACCAGCAAGTGGTCTCTTTGTATTTTTTTATGGCTGTTAGAGGTTCATTGATCTGATAAGAGTTATCTCTTACCCTTTGACTTACCTTTCTTTTTACCATTGGCCTTTGCCTGCTTCTTCATAGTTCTCTCTTGATCAGCAGTACGGTCAGATTGAGTTTTCTTATATGATCTCTTATGACCGTCTTCCATTGCTTCGTTACGCTTCCTCTTTTTACTATTGACTTCTTTCTTGGTCTTTGAAAGAGCTCCCATGATCTTGGAGTTCTTCTTCTCCTTTTCGGATTGGAACCAAGTTCTCTTCGGCCTAGATTGGATTTCATCCTTATGTTTCAGAAGGTTTTCACCTTTCTTCAACTCCATCTCAGCCCGGAGAATTTCCTTCTCTTCCTTTTCCTCTACTAGAATATCTTGGACTGTCTGGTCCATGTTCTCTACTATCTTGTTTGTCTCTTCTACTTGGTTCCAATCGACATTTCTACCCACAGCTTTACTACCAGGTATCTCACTATCATTGACACCTCTAATGGCATCCTTTACTATACTTCTTTCTGCTGATGCTTCACCAACAAAAGTAATGGAACGACCTTCTCTACCAGCTCTGGCAGTTCTACCAACTCTATGCAAATAAATTTCGTAACTCTTTGGCATGTCATAATTGATGACAACTTCAATCTTTGGAATATCTAGACCTCTGGAAGCCAAATCGGTACAGATCAACACTGGGACTTGTAAGGATTTAAACTTATTCACAGAGTCTAGACGTTGTTCTTGTGTTAGCGAACCATGAAGCTCAGCAACAGCCATACCTAATAGACCCAGTATGATTCTCAGTTTGTGAGCCATATCTTTTCTGGCAACAAACACCACAATTCTTTTCTGGCCATTTGGATCCAGCTTTCTTATTAAATTGAACAGTAATGAAGGTTTTAAGTGATCTCTTTTACGGATACGAACAAACTCTTGAGTAAGTTTAGTGGCAGCTTGCTTCGGAGGATCGATCATTATTCTCACTGGTCTCTTCAATGACAAAGATATCAATTGCTTGATTCTTGAGTTCATAGTGGCTGAGAATAGTAGAGTCTGTCTCTTACTAGGTAGCAAGGACATAATTTCATTCAATTCATCTTGGAAACCATCTTCTAGCATTCTATCAGCTTCATCAATGACTAGAACTTCCACAGAGTCTACATTAAAACTTGCGGAGTTCCTGATATGATCGATAAATCTACCAGGAGTAGCAATGACTATATCTGGCCTAGTCTTCAGCATTTGCTCTTGTTGTCTCAAATTCAAACCACCAACAGCCAGACCGAATGTTAGATTACTGACAAATTGACCAATTTTTTTACCTACATCTGCAACTTGAATAGCCAATTCACGGGTAGGTGTTAATACAATAACTCTCGTGGAAGCAACCTTAGCTGGCTTGTACAGTAGACGTTCGATAATTGGAATCATGAATGCTGCAGTCTTACCGGAACCTGTGACGGCACCTGCAATGATATCCTTACCTAGTAATGCAATTGGGATGGTGGCACTTTGAATTGGCGATGGTTTGACGTATCCTAGGTTGCTCAAACCCTTCATAACGGGTCTCGACAACGCTAGATCATTGAATGTCTTATGCACCTCCTTCTTTGCGTTTTCACTTTCGCTTTCAGGCGCATAGAAAGCTTGCATCTCTTCAGCTGTGTCTTCTTCAACTTTCTCCTCGGCATCACCGGCATCACCGACATCGTATGTTTCCTCGTCGTCGTCTTCTTCTTCGTCATTGCTCTCTTGTTCACTGTTTGATGCATCCTCGTCCTCCTCTTCACCTTCAGGTTGCTCTTGGGCACCCATACCAAACCCATCCATAGCCAGGTCTTCATCATCACTCTCAGACTCTTCACTCTCACTCTTCTCAGCTTCGTCTACATGAGCCATACCAATTAGACCACCTTTCTTCCTGATAATCTTGTCCAGATCAACATCCTTCTTCTCCTCATCCTTCTCGTCACCTAAAAACTCCCACCCGTCAAAATTGGTGTTGATCTCGCCATCATCAGTGTTGAACCGAAACCCACTGTTCATGTCAGCACTCTCCTCATCCACAGACTTGTTCTTCTTCTTGCCCTTCGTCTCAGGCTTAGGCTTCTCCTCATCGCTGTCCAAATCAGGAACATCCTCCTCACTGTCACTGATGGTAGGCACAAAATCCAAATCAGTGTACTTCTTCCCCTTCATCTTAAGACTCATCGCTACCTCCCTTTCAAGTACAGCAGCCACTTATGATGTTGCGATGCGATGAGCTCTTATATGCGATGCGATGAGCTTGAAAAATTTTTGGTGCAAAACTTGCTGAAATGAAAAAAATTTGGCAAAATACTGCGAACGTCACCGGTGATGGGGCCATTCAAATAAGTAGGAATAGCAAGCACCGGCAACCATATTTGGCCATTAATTAGTCTGACGGTACCTGGTTTGGCGGTTGTTTCAGTGGCTTTTGAGGAATTGAATTGAAAAGCAGAGGGAACAGTAAGGATGGTAAATTTCAGGAGATACTTGAGGGTACCGAGGGAGCTGCGGCCCTCGGAGATATTTAAGCAGGACTCCATGTCCCCAGGGAAGATAGCGTTGCAGATTATCCTGTTGCAGGTGTTCTATTACACTACGGCGTGTATTCTGTTCTATGGATGGGCTAAAGTTGCCGGATATAAGCTTGAGATGGTGCAATGGCTGTTCTCGTGGCAGGCCATTGAGTTTACCAACGCGCTCGGGCTGACATTGTGTCTGCTGTGGCTCACAGACTCGCTGATATGTGTCATATTCCTCACGGTTATTGTGGAGAGAAGCAAGCTGGCATGGGATTTTGCCATTACGATCCATGCCATTAATCTAATCGTTGTTTCAGTACATACGGGGACGCTGCCCTCGTTGTCGTGGTTTGTCCTGCAAGTGCTGTCGTCATTGATACTGATATTCTTGGGTACATACACTACACGTTGGAGAGAACTCCGCGATACCTTTTTTGAAGGCTTGGTGGATGCCGATATGGTAAGTCCAAGTGCCTCTTCACAGCCCATAGAGATGAGGGATCTAGAGAGTCAGAAATGATTCATCAAATTGTATAATGAGGCTATGATGACCGAGAAAATAAAGTAAATATACTGCATGCTTATTAATCAACACTATTTAAGTATATAAGGAACATCAATTTGTTTTTATCCGTAATCTTATCTTGTCAATTTTGGATTTGCTTGGCAGCATCCATGAGTTTGAATACGTCATCAAGAACTTCGAAGATCCCCTTCTGAGGAAGACAGAAATCATGGTGTTGGCAGATGTCTAACCCTTTAGTCACTTTTATTCTGAGTTGTAAAACAGCTATTATGGTCTCAATTCTTGTAACTAGGTGGTCGAAAAACAAAATCAATTCCTTGTCCGACATGCTGGCAGCAACAACACCTTTCAATGATCTATCAATAACAGAATGATATTCTCTTTGTTTGGAGTCCAACTCCAAAAATCCTCCTCCTACAGCTGACAATATAGCTTCCAGTTTATTTGCCAACTGGCGCAAGGATAGCAAGAAATCTAGATTGATTATCTTGGATTGTTCTTCTTCAGTAATAAATTCATGACGGGAAGCAAGAGATTTTGGATAAACAATGGTGATGAACTCTTTGGTTTCCAGACCCTTTAGCTTCTGTTCACCGTAATCAAAGAAAGACCATCCAATACTCTCAAGCATAGTAATCTCTCTTTCAAGCATTTCACCAATTATTTCTTCCCCATACACTTCCTTTAAGGGTTTCTTATCCTTCACAACATTATCGTGATATTTCATTATCTTATTAAACTCAGAAACAAAATCACTGGATAATGTGATTTGGCCACCATCAGCAACAGATGAAACTCTGGCAGCCTTGTTGACAACAGGTCCAAGATAGTCCATTCTTTGTGTAACTAAATCAAGTTCTGGAACAGGACAACCCCAATGCATACCCATTCTCACGGATAACCCTTGGTATATTTTAGTACCATTCCGATCGGTAACTAAACAACCATCCTGGATAGATGTTATTTCTTCAGGCCATTGTGCCTCCAATAGTTTCAGTTGGACACTAAGACACCACACCAAGGCACTAATTGGTGTAGGGAAAGTGACCATAAACGCATCACCTTCTGTTTTCACTTCATAACCACCATAAATACGCAGCAATCTCCGCATGATGTCATTATGTGTCTTGATTGCGGTTCTCATTGCATTAGGGAATAATTCCCACAAAAATGTGGAATTCTTAATATCTGTGAATACAACAGCTAGATTGCCAGTAGGGGGAGCAATTTCTGGTTGAAGTCTTCTTAGTGTTGTATCTTCTACAGTGCTTCTCTTACTTAATAACGAAGAACGGTTAAGCGTGAATTTACTTTCCTGTGAATTTGACTTTGAAAGAGCAAGACACAATATGGTAATATTTTCTGAACAACCATAAGCAATAGCATGATCTTTTAATTCCTCTGCAGCTAGCATAGGTTCAAGGACATGTTCTCTAGCAATGTCACAAGCTGTTTCGATATCCATGTACTCCCATAGCTTATGAGTACCAATGATCAGCATCTCATCGGCTTTAGTTACATTAATAACTGAAATGTCAGGCGATGCATGGATGTGTGGTAGCAAATCAAAAAAGCCGACTGCTCTGGATACATCTACCACACCATCAAGTTTACCATTATTGACATAACCACCGGATAATCTGATACGTTCGTATTCTTCTCTTTTAGTTGGCACATGCTGTTTTGTGATTTTTTGATGATCACCATTGTTTTTCGACAGAACCGCCATACAATCGCCTAAGTTTGCAGCATATAGTTTAGTTCCCTTCATATATATAACGGTTGAACAGGCACCACTCAATAAGTCTGCGGAAGTCAAATTATCTATGTTGGCACCGTTATCTACTGAATTTAGCATACCGTTGATTTCTTTGTTTAGTTGTAGGAAACTAAATCTTAGTGCTTTCTTAATTTCATCTTCATTGGAGTCACCAAATTTCTCTAACTGTCTTATCAAAATTTTATCATAGATATCTCTGACAATTCTAGATATATTGTAGCCATAATCAGAATTCTGGTTTTTACTGTCGTGAAGACAAATCAAACATTCATCATCATGACCTCTAAATCTTTCAAATGTAACGTCTCTTGAGGAAACATAATCCCTCTGGCCTAACGTGTCAGCTACACCATAATTCATACCATTTATTATGGAAGCCGTTGTTCTCAGACGGAAATTAATGTTTTCATCAGGAACTTTAGTAGTGTTAAGGGTAACATCCATTAAACCTAATACCTTTAGATGAGGTAAAACAGTAAGATCAGAGAGATCTGTTTGTAATTCTTGATTTGTTACTGAACGAATCTCAAATCTTCTATTCCCAGAAAAGTTTAAGTATTTCAGTTCCTTGTTATTTCTCCAATTCCAATCATAATGAAAATTTGAAATATTGTACTTCAATTGATTGGAGCCAATATCAAAAACATTTAATTGAGGTAATTGAGAAAGTTCCGCTGGAAGGGAAAGCAATTGGTTACCATTCAGCATCAATGTCTTCAAATATTTCCACTTAGAAACTGTGTCACCAGGCAAAGTATTGATTTTATTACCAGATAAAAATAATTCGGTCAAATTCTCTAACTTCATCTTTGTTATATCTTGAAGATTATTATAAGACAGATTCAATAGTTTTAAGTTGGTGAAGCAGTTGAATAATGGCCAAGCGTCATCATCAAATTGGTTATCTGCAGCCACAAAGAACATTAGGCTTTTGGATAACTTGGAATCATTAGAGACATTTAAGAAAAAGGAAGGATCTAAACTTGCATTCGCGAACACATTGGAAGATATGTTCAAGAAAGTTAATTCGATGTCCTCCATACCAGCAAAAAAATCTCTGATATTATTAGAGTGGAGATCAAGGGATCTTAGACTTTTAAGTTTAGAAAACTCCTGAGGTATGCTTTCAAGTTTATTTCTTGCTGCAGACAGATAAACTAGCTTCGTCAATAAAGAAATCTCACTTGGTAACCTTGTGAGATTATTTTCATTCAATTCAAGTTTTTCTAGCCTTAGTAGCTTTTTGAATATTTCACCTGGAATACTGGCAAGCTTAGCCTTGTTTAATGATAAACTTGTCATGTTCATTGGATATTCTCTGAATGAGATCGAAGTGATAGGATTCTCCTGTATTTCTAGTGCCCTCAGTTTAGGTAAGTTCTCATCAAAATTAGATATTCTATTATCAGTCAAGAACAGATTCTGTAAATTTGGTGCATTAGTATTGATTGTATTGATCCTGTTGAAACGTAAGTTCAAAGTCCTTAGGTTTTTCAGCTCTGATAAATCGCCAACATGAGTCAACTTGTTATGAGATAGATTCATTTTGGCAAGTTTAACCAACTGTCTGCAGCTTTTTGGAAGATGATGTATCTTATTATATGACAAATCGATTTGAAGAAGGTTGGTACAGAAATTAATAACCTCTGGGTAATGAGCAAACCTATTAGAGGAAAGGTCCAGCAGCTGTAAATTTTTTAATTGAGAGAAACCACTTGGTAATCTGTCTAATCCGTTACATTGTAAGTTAAGAATGGTTAAATTAACAAGCTTTGATATTGAGCTTGGGACCTTTCTTATAAAGTTTCTCTGTAATTCGAGGGATACCAATTTATATGCTTCTGTAATGTTGGCTGGAAATCTTGAAGCCCTGATATTCACCATTCTTAAACTTAAAAGCTTAATTGCACTTTCAATAAATTCAAGTGGTAAAAATATATTTGCATTGTTGGAAACATCCAGACTTTCAATTTCAGAAGTGTGTTGGTAAAATATAATAGGAGGTGTTGTTAGATCCATATTCCTCAAATCAACGTGCACAAATTCACTTCTCATAAGCCTTTGCTCTTGTTCTGGTGTAAAATGTGATGGCGTCACCGGATGGAATAGAAACTTGAATACAAAACTTAAATCTTCAATACCCATTATGTGTAGTGGATCGGATTTTCTGTAGCCGTTCAGTAACAGTAATTTTCTCTCGATAAGGATCGGTTTGGACACAGGTCTCAAAATCTTTGAAAGCTTACCGACTTTCAGAGATATTTGGAAATTACCTTGTGTAGTTATATTAAACTTACGTTTTAATGCAGGGATCATCTCCTCGACCGTTGTGCCAGGAGTACATGACAGTGTTGTAAACGTGTCATCGGTATTGAAAATACGAATAGCATAGTGACGCTTTGGGTCCAAATCACTAACATCTTTATAATATCTTTCCAATTCATACTCAACATTATCATGTCTCTCATCATCTATATCTGCCGAAATGTTTTCGTTGCTATCACTATTGTCTGTCCCATCATTCATCTTTTGAAATAATTCACTTGAAGATATAGTCTTCCTCTTCCGAGCAGCACGAGCATTCAGTTGTAACTCATACTCTTCGTTCTCATCATCAATATTATCTGGATATTGGTTAGAGGTCGACGAATTATAAGATGATCGGGAAGTTGTACTTTGTTTATCATCATCAGAGTGCAATGATTCCGTTGGTGATATAATAGAAGCTAACGAATCACTCGACGATTTTCTTACTCTGCTTGATCCCAACTTTGAGTTGAAATTGATTCCTCCATTCCTTGATAGATCTGAAGAATTTTCTGTATCATTAGAAGTTGGGCTCATAAATAGAGAGTTTTTAATTCTTACCATCGATTTAGTCGAAAGGGGTTTCTTACCGTTAACTTCACTGCCATTCCTTGACTTGGAAGATTTGTTGTTAGATTTATTCCTTCTTTGCTTTTGTTGAGTAGCCATTGTGACTTCTTCTGGTGATAGAATTGAATCAAACGGTTCTTCTTCATTTTCTAAATGATTAGCATTCGAACCGCCCATTCTCATTTCGACATCCCAACTTTCTGGAGCTACCCATTGGTCCCTATCCGTCTGGGTGTAATCCTTCAAGCTAGACTCAGAAGAAACCCATGTTGGAATATCTGCTATGGAATGGGATTTCTTTGGCCCAGATATAAATGTATTTGATCTTGTTATTGGTTCCTTGTCTGCCTCGCTTGGAGGTTCGACATTTTTTGTAATCTCCGCCATGTTCTCCAAATTGGTATCAAGTGGGAATAGTCCCGTATTAGGGTTCTCAGTCTTGATATCTTCTGCATTATTTTCGTCATTTCCTTTATTATCAGAATTGTCTTTTTCTTTTATGCTCTCATCCTTTTCCTTATCTAGGGTTGATTCATTGAACCGTGCCTCTATAGTATTTTCAGGATCAATAGCGTTAAATTTATGTGACTTGCTAGGGACACTAATAGAATTTGCTCTCTGTGCAGTAGTGAAGCCTTTTTGGTTAGGTGTATTAATATCCTTTGTTTGATTGTTATGAGATGGTTCGCCTAACACACTCTTGGGTTCCTTTGGATTAGAAACACTACTTCGATTATCATTAGTTAGAATGGAATTAACAGTGGACCCTCTCCTACTGCTAGCAGAGGAGCCGGTAGATAAAAACAGTTTTTTATTGCCCTGGCTACTATGAATGCTAGAGCTTTCCGACTGATGCTTCTCCTGATCTTTATGTTTCAATTTCTTCTTCTCCAGCTCTTTCATCAGAGGTATGCTACTGCGCGTGCTTCCGTCATTGGCTATAGCAATACCAGATGTGCTGTGGCCGCGTACTATTTGCTTTACCTTGTTTCGTAAGCCGTCTGCTCCGATTTCTGCTAGCGGTGGTGGAAACTTAACATTGGTCAAATCATGCTCTCCTGGAAGTTCGCTTATAGTTTCTGCAGTGGGCTTACTATGGGTCAGACCAGCTGTCCGTCTAGTTGTTTGTCCTTTATGACTAGTCTTGGTACTTGAGTTGGAAGGAGCGAGTTTCTTGAAGAGGTTTTCAGCAAACGAGTATTTTCTAGATGTGCTGCCGTGCTTCCTATGGTGTGTGTGGTCATTCTCACTGTTACTCGCGACCCGCGAAGTAAAAGACCTATCGGACATGGATCCTATGCTGTCAACATCAGTAGTATTCGAACTATCTATTTTTTGATCTATCTCATCCTCAAATGCCATGTTCTGTAAGCTGGACGGCGTTTGTGTCTGTAACATATTCGTAACGGATAGATTGCTCAGAGTCCTCTTAAGGGAGAATGGGCTCTTTTTCGACTTATGTTGATAGTTCTTATTAGACGGAAACTCTCCGGGGTTAGACTTTATAGAGGAAACACTGTCACGGCTTCTAGTCCGGGTTAGCCCCCCAATGCTGGAATACACATTCTGTATAGTGCTGTTTCTCCGAGAACTAGTCCCAGAGAAGTCCTGTTGGTCATATGTGCTCTTAAACCGAGGCTGCTCATCGTGTACTTTCTTGCTGTATGTCCCTTGTTCCAAGTGAGTCCTATTGCTCTCACTTCGCCTCGACATCCCGCTTTTGTGTGCTATGATCGTCAGTGTCCTATTGTATATCAAAGTATTTGGGTCCAAGGCAGGTTCCAGTATCAGTTCTATGTAAGTATAGTCTTACAAGTTGCCCTCTTTGTGAGATAGTTCATATTACAGCAACCCTCAGCTGTTTTTCCTGTTTTTTTTTCCTTTCGTCTTCCTTTGTCTTGTCAAATGAAAAATTGCTGAAAAGGAACTTTGAACCCTTTAAAATTCGGCTAGTTGCAGTTGATCTTGTGGTTTCATAGTTGTGATTGCAGTTGATCTTGTGGTTGTGATTGTACCACTAGTTGTGCTTGTACCTCTGCTAGTACTTCTATTTGATCACCACAGAGTTGGGAGTTTCCCCATCTCATACCCCTCTCTTCGGCTGCCCCATGCCCACTTGCTTGTGCCTTGACGGATGGTATAGATTACCTTATTGTAAGTTGTAACAGCACTCTGTGCAATTGCAGATATGTGCGCAATCCTCAAATGGGACATCTTCTAACTCTAATGAGCCTCGAACAATAAACTGTGCCATCCAAGAGTTTGTGATTACATCATCCAGTAGTGCCTACAACTTTCAGGCCTTACATTTGTAGCTAGACCTAACCCCCTACAATAGCTATTGGTATGTTTAGACCTTGGCCCCCGGATAGTGTCAGGTATGTCTAGCTCACTACATGTATGTCTAGCTTACCACATGTATGTCTCGCACTATATGTATGTTTAGCTCACTACATGTATCTCGCTCACTACAAGTATGTCTCGCACTATATGTATGTACTGGTATCTTGTATAATGAAGTTTATACACTAGGCACAGCAAACCTTCCCCACACAGCCCCCGCCTAGTTACTGGTAACTTCGGCTTCGAGCGCAAGGCGGCATGAAATGCATAGCAAGCACACATGCCAGTGCTAAACTACAACGCAAATGGCACACAGGGACAAACTTGCCATGGTAGGATCAAGAACATATAACGTAACGCCTGCTGTGCTGGGGATACACTCGCTAGCAGAGCAAATATCCACCTCGAAGAGAGAAAGCCCATTGCCGGTAGCCGGTTAGGATAGCTAGCTAGGATAGCTGGCGGGGACATCAAGTATTATAAACTGCCAGGTACTTCAGCTGTGCTTATGAGAGTAAGCTATTAATGCATCAGTCCTGATCTACCTCTCCCACCAAGAACGAAAAATTTTATCGACACTTTGCTCATCGACTAGCAAAGTGATGGTTTTGGCGATGAGCACTCGTTGAAGAGCTTTCGCATCTGTGAAATATGTGGTCAGCTTGGAGAGCTTTGTATGCTGTTTACCAGGTTCACTGGAAGGAGAGTACTGAAGATGACGAGCGACATTGCTACTACTTTTGAAGGCGAGATCGATTTGGGTATCATTGGTGGTACCGGTCTGTACAATCTGGAATGTTTGAAGGCTATTGCTATCCTCCCACCGATGGAGACACCATGGGGTAAGACCTCTTCTCCCATCACCATCTCCAAGGTGACCACCACAAAGGACATTGAGGGCCACCCAAGCATTAACAAGAACTTCCATGTGGCTTTCATCTCCAGACATGGTCTGCACCATGAATACCCTCCTACTAAGGTGCCTTTCAGAGCCAACATGGCTGCGTTGAAACATCTCAAGTGTAAAGCTGTGTTGTCCTTCAGTGCTGTCGGTTCATTGCAACACCATATCAGGCCAAGAGACTTTGTGCTTCCACAGCAGATCATTGATAGAACTAAGGGTATCAGAGACTCCTCATATTACAACGATGAAGGTCTAGTCGGGCATGTCGGTTTCGGTAACCCATTCTCTGAAGCCTTTGCCAAGTACATCTACCAGTTCAAGGACAACTTGGTTAACAAAGGCGACCACTGTACTCTGCATTTCAATAAGGATATTACTGTTATCTGTATGGAGGGGCCTCAATTCTCTACAAGAGCCGAGTCTAAGATGTACAGATTGCTTGGTGGTGACGTTATCAACATGAGTGTCATTCCAGAAGCCAAGTTGGCTCGTGAGTGTGAGCTGCCATATCAAATGGTTTGTATGTCCACTGATTATGACGCTTGGAAAGATGAAGAAGAACCTGTGACAGTGGAGACCGTTATTGGCCACTTGACAAACAACGGTATGAACGCTAACGTGTTGGCTTCTTGCATTATCGAATCAATGGCTCATGAACTACCTGAATTCATGGTTACTGGTGACGGTTTGAAGAACTCAGTAAAGATGTCAATCTCCACCAAGCCAGAAGGTATGTCCAAAGAGACGCTTAACAAGTTGAGATACCTATTCCCAGACTATTGGTAGTTTCAATATGGGGAAGATGAGCACATTGAAAATTTTATAAATAAACCATGGGACACCGGATTTTTAGTCATATTGCGCAAACTATATCATTTAAATAAGTATAAATAAGAGAACAGTAATAGAGATGCAAATTCATTTCAAAGGTGCTACGTAAGTTACACTAGGATCTACTTAAAGCTTTTCCTGGGACTTGGTGTATCCATCATATACGTGTATTTACTACTTGGGATATAGCCCGCAGATGTGTCGTTCAGGGTAGTAATTGTCGAATTCCTTCTAACAATATCAGAATGATGAAGTTCTGCAAAGTTGACAGATCGGTTATTACCGGTAGATGCGTTATTATTAAAAATGTTAGACCTCACTAGTGGATTAACATTATTGCTTACACTGTTCATGTTAGAGTTTCTTTCTTCTTCCATTTTCTTTTTCATTGGAGTTTGGATCGATCTAAACGCATATGGTGGTGCTGACACTTGAGACTCTGTATTTTTTTTATTTATTCCAGAAGATACGCTTTGATCTTTTGTGTTTTCGGTAGTCTTTTTCGAATTTTGTTTTAGCATCAAATTAGATGGCTCTATCCTACGTAGGTTTGAGGTTTCACCCTGGCCAATAAAGCCAAGCAAGTTTTTTTGTCTCTGGTTCAATTTCAAGTCACTGATCTTGACCTTTCCAACTAGTGCAAATATTGACATTAGCACATTGTATAGCACTAGACCTCTGAACGCTTTGTTGAAGGAACTAACCGAGAATAGTAAATCTATGGCATTCTCGGCGGCCTTATTGTTTGGCATGTGCAATAGCGCCAAAATCTGGTCTGTCTGTAGCCAGTTCTTTCGTACCTTCTGTCCGGAAGAGGTATGATCCAAGTACAGGAGAATAAATTTCGTGATTAAGTTCCACAGTAAGTATAACAGCACATTGTTGATAATCTTTTGAACTTCCAAACTCTTGTTTACGGATCGCTCGGCCAACTTCTCAAGCACAGGATTCTCGAAGAACCCCAGATCATGCGATTGCACCGTCTGTCTTTCAACAGTCTGCTGTATGGGTTCCTGGGACTTATGGCTGAATATGTTGATACTCGAAGTAGGCGTGAACACCCGCTCATCCGTCCTCTCTTTCTTCTCATCGGTCGCTATACTCCTGCCTTGGTACAGCTTCGGCGTGTCCTTCACAATCCTCTCCCTAACACTAAAGAACTGCTCCCGCGACAACGGCCTAGAGGGCGTGCTCAAATTGTTCCTGTTGATACCCGACATCGGCTCTCTTCTGTCCACTTGTATTACCTCAATAACACCAAAAATAGCCTAAAAACTCTGCAAAAAAGCGGGCAAATGGGATGTTACAAAACTCCTAGCACACACTGATGAACCGTATAACCAGTAACACGCTCGCTAGCCCTCTAACGAAGCACATATGGCTCACCAATTAAGCATCTTCCAGCAATTTTCCTTTTAGCTTTTATGGCTTTAAAATGCCCATCGGGTGAAAGTCACTATGTACTAACGCAACGAAAAACTTTCACCCTTTCAAGGACTTCCCAGTTCAAATCCCAGGATTATATTGGATGGCAACAACAGTAATGGGACTGGATTACACCACTCAGCGGCTAAACATAAAAGTATACAGGCAAAAGGACTCCTTTCTTTGCGTCAATTCTACTCTTGGAATCTGGCTGCCCTTTACTTTCTGATCTGAGACATACGGACTCTCTAATCCTTTTGCTGTTGCACTGTTGCAGATTGTTAATTGTTTTGCAAATTACTGCTTGTTTCGCAAACTGGTCTGCATATTGGTCTGCATATTGTTGCTGTTTTGCTAATTGCTCTAATTGTTCTGCAAATTTTCCCGCAAATTCTGCTAATTGGTATCTCTGCAATTTCAAGGCTTAACCCATTTCGGACTCTTTTGGACTAATCAGTTTTGATTAATAGTTCGCTATAGGATAAGGTATAGCATTGTGCTTATATCAGACATTGATCAGCGGATCTATCATCTCATCTCTGGATCAAATATAGTGACTCTCTTGGAAAAAGGGGTTAAACACGCGTGCAATATAGTCATAAAGCAACTTGGGAACAAGGGCTTCGCGGAAACACAGCGTGAGTGAGACATATACTAGTCCCCTGCATCTTAAAAGCGTGGGATGGGATTTATTTCTGCATTATTTTGTTGTTCTTCTAATTCTACCACAGACTCGATAACTACTAAGCAAATTACTTCGCAAAACAATAATAGGGATACGAGTAACACCGACCCGGAAAAATATCACCAAAACGTAAAGATGATGACCTATAACAATACTACTACATTGACACCCGAGCGTGACAGCTCTTTGAATAAACATAACAACAGCTCCTCGCCTCAGATAGCTGACATTAACGCATCTAAGCGACCTCGAACTACTCCTGACATATCAGCGAATCCACAGAATAACAACATACCACAGGTTAATGTGCCGGACGATGCTCTATCGCGGTCTTCTTCTGATAGTGGGCAGCAAAGAATACTGAAGGGTTCGTGGACCATTGGTGGTGAAGATGAAAAAATGGACGATCACACTCATTTGAAAATACATGGAGATGAAGATATGGGCGAGATGTCAAATGAGAAGACGACGATTAATGAAAGCAATAGCGAGTTGGATAGAAGTACACAGTCGTCAAGTGAAATGACCTATCAGCCAACCGACAACCAGGGTGGCATCATCACAAGTGTCTATGATAACGATGTTGATATGGATAGAGACGTTACACCACCATATGACGAACCTTATGTAGATCTTGCAGCATTACAGGAAGACCAATATCATGCTCCAGGGTATAACACACTACTACCACCCCAGACTGAACAGTTCAAAGGAAAGAAGTGCCTAGTTCTAGATCTGGATGAAACGCTAGTGCATTCTTCTTTCAAATATTTAAGGACAGCAGATTTTGTCTTACCAGTGAATATTGACGATCAGGTTCACAATGTGTATGTAATAAAGCGACCTGGTGTGGATGAGTTTTTGAAACGGGTGGGTGAACTTTACGAAGTAGTCGTTTTCACAGCTAGTGTGGCAAGGTATGGTGATCCCCTCCTGGATATACTGGACCAGCATAAGTCTATTCATCATAGACTATTTAGAGAAGCATGTTACAACTATGAAGGTAATTATATTAAGAATCTGTCTCAAATTGGACGGCCTTTATCTGAGATAATTATTTTAGATAATTCTCCAGCATCATATATTTTCCATCCACAACATGCCATTCCAGTTTCGTCTTGGTTTTCAGACTCGCATGATAATGAATTAATTGACATTGTACCACTATTAGAAGATCTATCTAGTAATTCAGTACTAGATGTCGGAAAGGTACTAGATGTTACAATCTAAGTCGTTAGCATTTTGCTCTCGTGTGTTTTAATGAGAAACAACCATTTTCTCTTATTTCGATCAAATTAACTGCACTTAAATTTGTCAATTGCAGTTGCATTTGCGCTATTGTATTGAGGCTATCTGAGATGTGTTTTATGCCTCCTGATAGAAGCTTAGTTTTTTTTTTCTTTTTATTAACCTTAAGGTTTGAAGCAGCTGGTTCTACTTTTAGCCTACACGGGTAAAGACCATACCGTCATGTAATTTAAATAAACATTTCACATAAGAATAAATATGATATTTTAATTTTGGTTGAATAAGCATGCGTGGTAATGGTTTGCTATCTACCTGTAAATGACTCAAGGATACACACATGACGAGGTTAAGAAGAAGATCAAGTTTGTGTAATGAAAATGCAGTACCAAATATATAAAGACTCTATAATCAAAGTATCTACCGAATGAACTATATGTTAAATAAATGGAAAGGGCACTATATCAGTTGTGCACTGTTTCATTAGATGGTATTCTCATGTTCTCAACAATTGGTTTCCCTATTCTCTCGATGACATCTTTTGCCCATAGGACATCTAAATGCGAATACTCATCGATATACCAGATCTTATAGATATCACGCGATTCGTAATTTATAAAGTGGTTGATTAACCTTTCCCCATCCACTAATCTATCTTGTTTTGGTGCAAAAAGCATGATATGTGGGAAATCATTTGCAGTCTCTCTAGGAGCATTTAAATGATTAGGGACATTCTTTAGGTTTAAGGAAGAGCTTGATGATGAGGTATCAGATAGAACAGGAAACCATGTTTTGGTGTCGGGGAAAAGCTTATGTGCACCATTTTTAAATCCAGTAATACTTCTGTCCGGAGTTAACCACCATCTCATTAGCTTGACTGACACGTAAACTGGGGAGAAAAGGAAACAGCGGTCTCTTAGTTTCTTGTCCCATAGTTTATCATTCCAATCAAACATATAATTGAACATGATGTATGAGAAAAAAGAGAACATCTTGGTTCCAGCCATTAACTTTCTCATTCTCATCATGAAAGGAATAAAAGATTTCTGTCCAAACACCCAGGGGCTATCTATGCTAGCCGCCATAAATCTCACAAACATTTTTTCATCTAGTAGTGGGCCAGGATATATTGCTGGTGCCAGGGCAATGAAGTTATCTAGGGAATCAATTAGTGTGAATTTATCTGGTTCATCATAAAGTTCTGGACCATTGATTAAGCCTAGCAAACTTTGTGTTGTTCCTTGAGAATGGCCTATTAAAGTAATTTTTGAAAAACCAGTCCTGCTTTTAACTTGTTCCACTAATGCTCTGATATCATACTTCACAAAATCTTTAATGTCCCAATCCCACTTATTGAACCAATGGGGTTTATCTATCTTATTTTTGTTCCAATCTGGGTTCAAGCCACATCTGTTGTTACCTAACCAAACATCAAAACCGGCCTGATGAAAGAAGTAAGCTAGAGAGGCTCTGCCTGTTGAAGCGTATGCTCCACAGCTTTGTAGCAATCCATGTAAAAGTAAAAGAGGGTATCTTTGAATGTTTTCCATACCAGGCTCGTTGTGTTTCATATGGAGAAGGTCTATTATATATCCATCTTTTGTCTCAATTCTAAAAGTTTCGATCTCGATATTATATTGGCTGTAGTAATACTCAAGATTCGGTACTAACTGTGAATCTTCAACTTCTGATATACTGTCGAAGGGATTCTCGGTGATATTGTTTAAATAAAATTGCCTATTTTCTTCATAGCTATCTTCATTCAGCGTAGAAGGTTCTGGAGACCCTGTGATGGTATTATCGTACTCTATGTTATTGTCCTCATCAACCTCTATATCCAAAGGTGTGGTTGAGGATGTGGACATCCCGCGATTGTGAGACTTCTCTCTGCCATGAGACTTGTTGTGTTTGTGTCTCTCTGGATATATCTTAGTGGATGACTTCCTTACATCACGCGGATCTTTATTACCAAATATATGCGAGGAGAATAAATTGTGGAACAGCGCCAGTATAAACAGTGCTGCCATAAAGCCTCCGATCATTAGATCAGACACGATCTCATGCAAAATATGTACCAAATAGTTTGTCATGTTTCTAGGAGAGAGAAATAATAGTTACCACACTAGCAGTTTATTAGTTTCGGTTGTATAGGTAAATGTTTAAAGGCTAAAAACGCGTATTGGTTTACAGATGTATGCTTAGTTTTCCAAACAGTTGTATCCCAAAATAAAAACGTGAAAACCGCTCAAAAAATGTGGTTTTTTGTTTGATTCGTTTTTTCTATGATAGCAGTTAGCAAACTGTCACTATTATAGTCTCTTAGAGTGCTTAATTCTCCTCTTCTTCGTGCTGTTTATTGGGCATAAAACAGCTTTAAAACTAGTATTGTTGGCATTTTGCGTTCTTGAAAACTCATCGCCGGCAAGTTCCCCGGACTTGCTCTAGACTTGTGAAAATTGGTGAAAAAAATGGCTCATAGGCATTGCGAACTACAAACAATAGTCTGATGAAGTGGTCGATTGTGTGTGTTTATTGACCAGTATATTGATCCTTAGGTTTATCAAAGCGATAAAAGATGCAGGTAAGGAGTATTAGAAGGAAGCTCGATGCTCAGATAGATGCGGCTGAAGGGGAAGTTGCAGTGAAGGCATTACACTATAGCAACAGTGTTGTTTTACAAATTCGATATAACGGTGAGTTTGATTCTACATATGAAGTCAATTCCGTTGGTCTAAGGCCTGGATCCATGACTAATGGTAGACCATTGGCGTTGAATACTTATGCTAGTGAAGATAATAGCCAAAACGGCGGCTCCGGTGAGATAGATGAAGAAACGGAAGAGCCTACTGACTACTTGGCAGACTATAAAGTAGTAGTACGATTGGGGAATGGTGACGATCCTAAGATGAATATTGTCTGTTCACAAATTGCGGAGCTTTATAATCAAATGCAAGGTGGAGATGAACTTAGAGGTGTGAATCTTGTCATTAGTCTAAGTAGAAAGCTTTGGAAAGGTGAGGACTCACACTCGAGGGATTTTGCTGTATTAGTTTTCCTGCTGCAATGTATAAAGGATATGTATGTATGATGTTCAAGAACATATAAATTCTACGGAGAAATGCTGAGTATTGGGTAGAAAATGCGTTTGTAATTGTACTTACTTAGATGAGTCAATAACAGCCATATCGAGCACTTGGACTGTGCCAATATCCTTTGCTGACTCTACAATATATCTATAGCTAACTGGATCTATTAAACCGGAGGCTATCCATGCTGAATCAGTTTGTGTGAATTCGCTATCTGTGAATAGCTTTTCCATCTTTTGGATAATATCTTCATGTGTAGATTTGTCATTAATTGTCAATTTGACCTTCATCTTGGCTCTCGTAATTGGTATAATTTGGCTGCTTACAAGTAGTCTTATGGCATCCAGAGCCTGTGTCTTTGCAGGTTTATTTATCACGGGAGTGAACTTCAATTCCTGAAGCGCCTTGTGAATCATAGTAGGAGGATAACGTTTCTTAGATTGCGGGTTTATACACTTGGCACTGATGATTGTCAGCATCTCATTATTAATCTTGTTAATCATCAACTGTCTTTCCTTCTCCGACAGTTGTATTTCACCTTTGCTCAACACCTCTTTAATTACCAAATCGACATCGGTGGTGCCGAACGCTTTCTGTAGATCCTCCTTTGGAGCCACTAGACCCTTTGAGACATTTGTGAAAACTTGGTGTATCTGCAATACTTCATCCAGCTCTTTCTCCACACCTTTTCTATAGTCCTGAACTTTATTCTGGTAGCATGCAACTTCGAATCTTTTCTTATTTCTTTTGAGTTTCACAATGGAGACGTTGGTCAATTTGATCTGGCCCGATGGCTGGTTAATAACACCCATTTCTCCTGTGATCGATTCGCTGAGGTGGTGGCACTTGGGAATCAAATTGTTACTAGCTCATCGGATTCCATGTTTGGGCTCTTTATATTGTCAAATTTGATAATTTTTCACTTAGTTTTTGTACGGGACCTTCCTTGCACAGGTCAAGTGTCATAATAACTAGATGGGGGAGTGATCATGACAGTAGTCATTCCTTTGACAGGGTAGTATAGAGTTTCTTTGAGTATAAATAAAGTATATGAATTTATCAGTTTTTGGTTTATATAATTAAGAAATAGAAAAAATAGAGCGGGTCTAGGCGATAACTGGTAATTCACAGCGTTTTGTCATTTCATAATAGGAACCACGGACTAAGTACAAGTAGCAAATCGATTGCAGCGGATTCCTATAATATCAAGGCGTGAAAAGCAGTGGCACTTCTTCAAGAAGTGGTCCTGTCTAGACGTGTTTCAAAAACTTCCTAGCTATGGGAGAGGAGTAGAGAGATCTTAAGTGCTTTTAAATTCTTTTAAATGGACATCTAGAGTTGAAATCATAAAAATTGAGCATTACGACAACAGAGTTTCAAAATAAAAATGAAAATAGAAAATAGAAAAGAAAATATTGTGCAGCATAGAATTTTGAGTGTAACTGGAATAAGGAAACATTAGCGTTTATCATTGGATTTGAATTTAAAAAGAAAAAAAGGGTTGAAGCAACAAATAAAAAAGGAATAGTTAAATGTCATGAAGTATTGGGCATTAAAAGTCGTAAGCAGCATTCTTGTTTCTCAAGTGGGGACGGAAACCCACGAGAAGAAGTGTAAAAGAAACTGTTTGACATGGTATTTTTATAGGTTCATTTGGCATTGCACATGAGCTGGAGAAAATCTATGGCGGGATTTTTTTAGCTTAGAGTGGGGAGCCAGAAAGGATCCATTTCTTTGTCAGGATATCTAGGATGGCTCTGTAGTGTCCGATGACACCCAGGACAACGAAGAAGTGCCACAAAGTGTGGGAGCAACCTACGTAGTCGACCCACCATAGGGACTTGAAAGACCTGTGGTGGTGTTCGTGGTGCTTGCACATTTCGTGTGGTGTTGGAGTTTCTCTGAAATGGATGTGTTTCTCCTTGTTGATGATGTCTACGTTGGTGGATAGTTCGTGGCTTGTTGGGATTGTGTGGTCATATTGGATGTCGGTTCTCCATCTCTCTGGGATGAAAGAGCCATAGAAGACGACGCCCACCAGGTACCACACCACAGATTTCTTGGTGATTGGGGATAGCAGCCAAGTGGAGTGTGACAAGCTTGTGATGAAGGTCAAGTGTAGGAAGGACAGGATACCCATGCTTGCTAGCAAGATGAAGAATTTGATTCTCAGAGGTCTTGCCTCTGGTCTGTCAAACTTTGGCGACCAGTTCATGAACACACCGAAGATACCCAGTGCTGTAGAGAGAGCCATGTAGGAGACCATTGCCCAAGGGCACTGGTACATAGTGACGAATTCGGTGGTCAGGATGGACGCGGTGATCAGAATGGAGATACCGCTGTAATCAACGCAGGCGAACTTGCAACGCAGACGCAGCAAGGAGGTCCCGTTAAAAGTGTGCCAGAAGACAGAGCTGAACAGGCACTTGGCAGCAGCGATCAAGAACACGTATGTGATCAGTTTTGCGGCTTTGGGGACCTGCTCGGACATGAACACTTCTGAAGAAGGGAATTGGTAGAACATGAGGTACAGGATGTATAGCCCACCGAGCAAGTGCGTCCAGATGTTGGACGTCTCGTTGTGCCATCCGTACCAGTTTACGATAGAGAGCAAGGACTTCTTGTGGGAGTTGTAGAACCTGTAGCCGTTGATGATGCACCTGTTCTCTCTCCAGGGGAAAGGCAGCTCGTAGTAGTGCAAGTGTCTCACTTTCCCGAACTCGAAGGCGTTTTCGTAGTTGTAAGTGTTGATGTAGGTCTTGATGTCCAGTTCCTCGATGATCTCTTCCTCCTTGACTACCACGTCGTCGTCCTTGAACGTGAGAGTGTAGACGGGCTTCTCGACGTACTCCAGCAACTCCTCAGGGACAGGTGTAGCCGCCGAGGACAGCGACGTGGTAGAGGAGTAATCGTTGGGGCTGGAGCCGCCAGACCCCACCGAGCCGAAGGAGTTAGACGTCGTGGCGGGCTTAGGCGCCCGGAACCTCGAGAACGAGGTAGTCGAGGCGTTGGAGTTCACCAGCGTGTTGGCGTCTGAGGTCAGCGAGATCGTGGACTCGCTGTACCTGTTTTTCTTGGGCGCGCGGGACCGCGCGGGGCGGGTCACTTTGTTCTGGCCCTGTGAACGCGCCTTGGCGTCATTGTCTGGCGCGCGCAGCTCGTCGGTGTAGGAAGTCAGGGAGTTCCAGGTGTTGTGTATGAACCTTGGGTACCTGACGTTGCGCCCAGTCTGCCTGACACGGTGTATGTTGTCCAGACCTCTCTGCTTCCACTTGTGCAAAGAGGGCTCGAAGTCGAAGTACTGGGACACATGCTTCGATGCTGAACTGATAGAGTCCATTGGTGATTGGCTTGGGTTTGGGGTTTTGGGTTTTTGGTTTTCTTGGGTTTTGGGTTGTTGATACTAGTTCTGATGTTGAGTGCCAAGAAAATGTTGAGCTAGTGCTGTTGTTATATATTGTTCCTGGGAATCGTTTAGCTCTGTAGCGATGAATTTTTTTTCGCAGTGACTTTCGAGGATTTCTTTTTAGCTTTGAGAGTCAAAAGTATGTGGGGGGGGAGTGAACGTTCTGCTGGTGCTCGAGTGAAGTACTACGCAGAGACTCACCGAGAAGAGGAAAAAGCAATGCACAAAATGTATCCAGTGCAAGAGTGTAGGAACAAAACTCCCCTGTCAAACCACCGCACGGGTGTGCACACAGAGAGATAAGAGAACCATCCCACTGAAATACCTCTGGCCAATATACAAACCCTAAAACACGCGAACCCTAGCCCTAAAATAGCTCAATGCCAAAAAACACAAAAAAGCCCTCGGAGATTACTGTCTTGACTGCGAGTGATCTTGTTACAAGGGGCTGTACGTCATATTCTGTGTATCTCCGTTTGTCTCACACTGTCTCACACTGTCTCACACTGTCTCACACTGTCTTACAGTCCAACAACTGCAGTCGATGCCTGTAACTAGCCCAGTAGCCGTGTTCGGGGCGATCCCAGGTAAGAGTATCCCCCCCGCGCGATATTCTGTGCGTAACCCTTGCCGTATAAATGACGTGCCCCCCCTTGTTTCAACTTACAAAAATACATCAGACAAAATAGCGCAGGACACAGTTACAACAAAACCATCAGAAATGCACGCACTACGCTTAACAAATTCCAGTGGGGGTGCTTGGAGGAGAAGAGGGGGAGGGGGAAAGTACAGATGAACGAATGAACGAAGGGACGAAGGGACGAGTGGACGAATGAACGAAGGGACGAATGGAATTTCCACGTGATTATGTAAGAGCTATAGACAAGTATACAAGTATACAAGTAGACGAGTATACAAGTGGACAAGTAGGAGGTGTTGTATTTACATGGTTTCCCAGCCGCCGAGGTCTGCATTTCCGTCGGTGAGTCTGAACACTACGTGGGGGATCATGTTCCCCAGCAGTATCTCGTCGCAGAAGTGCTCGTAGCGCTGCTGGTTCAGGTAAACGGGGGTGCCGTACTTGAACTCCACGTCTCTCTCGCCAAACTCGTTGAGGTATGGGCCAGGGTAGAACACACCGCGGTTGCCGTAGGCGATGTAGATGGCGTTGCTGCGCACCAGCAGGAATGTGCCGAATGGGGTGGCCATGGAGCACTCGTTCCTGCAGTGGTTCGTGCACTCGCCGATCTCGTAGCCGAGGCGCGACACTAGCCGCTGCGTCCGGACGTGTTCGCCACACATCAGACACAGCGCCAGGTCTGTGGTGTCCGTGGGAGACCTGCCCAGCATCAGGTGCTGGCTGGACCGCAAGTCCTTCTCGTAGTTGGATAAGTTTCGTGGAATGCTGTACAACTGCAGCGGCGTGTTGGTGCACACTATGTTGAACTCAGAGCATTGCTTGCCCGTGGCAGTCCATTGGTTCACTGCTTGTTCCACCAGTTGTGGTAGTTCTAATCCAATACAGAAGTACTCGCTGTAAAAACTCAACTCGTGGTCAGGGCCTTGGTCACAATTGGCCAGCGTGATCTTCTCACTAGCTAGGTTGCTCAATATGAACAAACGGCGCAAGAACACCAGTGCTGAATCCCGTAATCGTCTCCAAATGTCAATGCGCTCCAGATTGGTTTGCACAGCTTTTTCACAGCCATGGCCCAATAAATATCCACAGGTTTGTGCCATGACTTCTTCCTTACTCGATATGTCAAACATATCGATATCTGATTCGCTTTCATCGGAGAACTCACAAGTCGCAATGTGCGAGACAATGGCATCAATGTCCATTTGAATCTTGCTGATTGTCATTGTAGGCACGTTACTGCCCAGTTCCTTTCCAGTTACCGAATCGGCGACAAGGCAGGCAGCAGCCAGAAAGCTATCTTCAAGTTTGATTGTAACATCATGCTTACTCATATACTTTATCATATACACTCTCATATCATTCAACAGCCTACTGGATAAGGATCCCATATTTGGAATGTACTTCTTACCAGATTTCTTGTAAAAGCCCTTTTGCAAATTTCTTCTGATACGTAGTTCAAAATTGGCAACAGTGTTGTAGAGCAATCTCGACACAGTGATGAACAAGTGGTTCAAATTATCTTCCTTGGAGTATTTCTCATTGCATAAATCGGAAAAGATAAAGCCGGATTTTATCACGATCTCAGATATGCTATCTTCGAACAATTCATTGAAACTAAATGAATTCGTTTTGTTGGCACTTATCAAGTTACTAGTTGATGCATTATTGTTTGTGATGTGTGGGATAATGCAGTTACACAAAGCAGCACAGAGCGGACAATAGATAAGACCCATTCCATATGCAATTGGAACATTCTTGGTGGTTTGATTGTGTAACAACCTTGCAGACTTCATGTGATGTGCCAAACATTTGGTATGTGCCCCGTGTCCACAGGCTCTAACTACAGAATCTGTAACCATTGTCTCCTCCTGGCCATATTGGTGTCCAGTGCAAACGCCTTTATCGCATATATTACGCTCCAAGTAGGCAAAGTAGATGAACTGATCGTCATCCTTATACATCTTACAAAAGACGCATGTCTCCTCTAAAATTTCTGGGGTCCCCATCTTGTCATCACACATCAGTAAGTCTTCTGAGGAATTAGTTGCTGTTGTTGGTAATGAATCTTCGCAACTAGCTTCTCGATTTAACTTCATGAACTTTTTTTGTTGTTTAGCAAGCTTTCTAAGCATCTTTTCCTTTCGAATCATCGCAAGTTTCTTCTTTCTTTCAAATTCTTCATCTCGACACGATGAAGAATCTGATGACACCAAAATTTTAGGATTGAAGTTTACTGTTTGCTCTTTCAAATATTCTTCGACATTTATATGGGCAGCTTCACTGTTGAAAATACTGAATATTTCCTTGATCTTTCCATGTAAGTCTGAAAAGCAGTCCTTAAATAGACAAGAGTACAATATAGACCCAATGCTATGGTCATTGCAATATTCAGTATCGACGATTGCGTATTCTCTCCAGAATATTTTGGCAAAGTCGTTTACGTTATTAACAACACATATGTGAATTAGATGCAGGATACGATGTAGTAAACCCTCATTTTCAAACTTTTTAATATGGTCTAGAGAATTTTTGATGAATAAACCAAACGTATCCTTTGATGTTATAGCAAATAAATTTGGAAACGCACTTTCTTTGATATCATCGATGACTCTTTTTGCCGGTACAAAAGACAATTCATAAGGAATATCCTTAATTGCAGAAATATGTTTTCGCAGTTGTTGTTCTATTTCATATCGCTTACCATTGGGCAGACCAATATAGTATGGATCAATCTCACACTTGAGGTCATCTCTTAGAGAAAATAAGCCTGAGTCTGATAGGCCACTGGGAGGTGAATATGTAGTATACTTTTTAAGTGCAATGTCAAAAGCGTTGTGCTTAGTTATATGCTCGGGAATCATTGCCATGATCTGAGAGTATGTGAACGATTGGAAACCAATGGCATGGATAATTTCTGTTTTGAGGGTCTTCTCAAAACTATCAATAGAGGAAATTACCACAATAGACTTCATATCAGTCAGCAATTGTATAAGAAGAATCAAGGCTTCTTCAACAATAGATAGCGTTATTTCCATATCAGGGTAATCGCAGTTTGGAATTCCATTTGACCAGTGCTTGAGGCCCCATTTATAAAGATAGGTCACCATGAATTCATTAGGATCTGCAATTGCCATACTGAATTGAACATTGAAAAAGTCACTGAAGTAAGTGAACTCTCTCATACTGTACTTGGTATACATTCGAATTTGGTGTGTCATGGGAGTTCCATTTCTCACCCAAAATCCAACACGAACTTGCCCTATAAGAACTAGTGTAGCCAAGGATGACTCTGAAATATATAAAGCCTTCTGCTTATCCTCAAAAATTGTTTTGAGATCAAGCACTGTGTTGCCGTTGTAGTTAAGAGGCTCGTATCTCCCACACCGCGCCCATTGCAAAACAAATTTGAACATGTATGCCATCGGATTAAAGAGATTCTGGGTATCGATGCCAACTTGGAAGTTTACTACCTCTGAAACATGATTGCAGATTCTCTCTCTTAAGAAAGGAAGCTTATTATAAGTTGGTAGTTTTATGTTCCCTGGCAGTTTTTCAACATTCATATTCCGCGAAGTGATCTCGCTTCTGGATTTCGCCAGTGCAGTAAACTCATTTTCCATAACCAATTCAAGCATCCGTACAGCTATCTTGGCACGTATATTCTTATCTTCAACCATTGACAAGTTACGAATATATCCATCCATCATTATTAAACATGATGAGAAAAAGAAATAGAAAGCAGAAAAGTCAAAGTTCTCGAACTCAACATGCTCTGAAGTTTCTCTTTTCAGTGGAAGTATTGCGCTAAAGGCTTCAAATGTTTTCAGCACAGCATTAAAAGTTTCCTCTCTTTGTAACAATAACAATGGGTTCCGGTTGGTTGACATGACACAGCACAGGTCCTTGAAGCAAATGATAGTACGTCGACTTTTTATTGTTTCTTGAGGAAGTTGGAATCCGGAATGTAGTGGAATAGAAAGATAAGGAAGAAGATCGTCAGACTCAAAATACATTAGCGTGAAAGCAAACTTCAATGTACGCTCTATGAACCCAGATTCTATTGCCATGGCAGCATAAGTTGGTTCAAGAAAAATCTGTTGCGAAATTAAGCTCATGGTGCAAACTCTAAACCCTGTTGTATCACTTGCTACTGTTTTGTACAGTAGTGTTAGATAAATGTCCAAATACTGCGCAGCCACAAATTTCCTGCAATTGTCAGAAATAGAAAATACTGAGTTCACAATTTTTAGTAGTTGCCGTTTTGTAACAGAACAGAACAACATTAAGCTTTCTGAAAGCAGATATTGCATCCTTGAACCATATAAAGTGTAAAAATGTGCTAAAGTATCAGGGGAGTTAGCTTCATCGATTCTTTGATTATAGTTTGATATGACCATCTGTACATAGTTGTCTTTGATCTCAGGGAAACTCCATTTTTTGAACCAAGGATTGTCTGGATTTTGCTCAGAAGAAACTAAAAAACCACCTAGCAAATTTATTTTAGAACTGTATGGATTCAGATTGTTGTTTTTGTTTAGTTGTTTTGTCGGCAGTTCTGAATTCCATATATCAATTAGCGATAACCTTAACAGGTGCTTGAATCGTATATTACCTTTATCAAGCAAACACCGCTTTGTAATGTAACATATAATATCTTCTATCAATAATTGATTGAAAATAGACTCGAGCTTGCTAATTCTAACATTTACATTTTTACTGTAGAATTCATCCGCCAGGGCCTTTATTTTGCTTAAGTCATTCGATTCCACTAATGTGACAATAGAGCAATCATCTTGCAAACTATCAACAATACCAATTGCATACTCGTTAGGTATGTTCAGTATATCTGACACGCGTGAAGCTAAATCTATATAATGTAAATCACAATCATCACTTCTGATGGTAATCGCCCAAGTGGGTTCTTGTTCTAATTCAAAATTGGTCATATCATCAGTTGATGTATCCATAATTTCAGCGCCATCAGTCATACTATCCCTTAAATGCACATCTTTTAGCGGTTTTTTATTTTTATTATTCGTGAATTCGTTATTCTCTGGAGCTTCAAGAGATAAATTTGGTTGTTTCAATGAATATTCAATGAGAAAATCTACAAGAATATTAATTGTTTTTAAGAGGAAACCATCTTTGTTTGTCAAATCAGGTGTGTATCCTGAATCCCTATAGGATTTGCAACAATAAGCTAATTCAGGCTTCTTAAATACAGCTGGATCACCACAATGGCATATTTTCCCCTCTGCTCTCGTTACAGTTCTTGCTGTGTAGGTATGGCCTACATGTTTACTCTCATCAAAACATTCTTCACATATCTCATAAATAGGATTTAAAGTACAGGTAAAACAATAATATACTGTTTCAGGTGGAAAACATATTCGATTGCAAACACCATGATGAGTATTTGTATCTTGAATTTGAATAAATGACTCTTCCCACGTTTCATTGGACAGTATGTTTCCTAGTGTACAATTTCTAAATTCCTCTGATGTAAACACTTCTATCAGTTCTGGCCAATTAACATTCTGAGAGCCATGTTCAGCTGATAAATGTATAGCCTTCCATAAGAGGAACTTGACTGATTGATCGTGCCTGGCTCCGCATAATGTCGGCAGTCGATCAAGAAATGTTCTGAGACAACTCACCGAATCCATGCTAATGCCAATATGTAATGAAAAAAAAGAGCTTGGTTACCTTCTAACTTAACATATATTCAGTATCCCTGTTGTATAGTAGATGAATTTTCTTGATAGCCGTCGATCAGGTATGGATCACAATTAGGAAAATGACGCTTGTTCCAGACAGCACCTCTGATTTTAACTTCTTTAACTGAAAATAAACTGTACACCAATTTTTAAGGAAAAGTCTATTGTTGTAATAATACTTTGAGTTTGGTGACCGTTATCCTTTTGTATAAGTGATTTGCCTCTGTAACCTAACTTTTGCCCATTTGGCGATGATCTTCAGTTCTGACTTTATATTTTTCAGATTTGGCTTTTCAACGGGGTTTTCTCTTACCCTGAAGCGATTTGGACTTTTGAGCGCCACCTGATGACAAATATAAACAGCAATTTAGGTGTAAATCATAGCTAATCTACTATCAATATATATGTATAAGACGCGTAGTGTATTATGAGTTATAAAATGGGTTTATTTTTTTTTCCTATTTGCATGTTCTTATTTCCCAGGTTAAGAAACTTTCTGTAAGAATTCTGATTTGAGTATTTATTATTTTGGTCAAGGATGTGTGCTTTCAGTGGCTAGTGTTCGGTGTCTTGGGAACTAGTTCCACCAGTAGCAAAATAAATATACTTCGATAAGGTAACTATTATTGAATTTATCACCTACTTAAAAATCGATAGTTGCCAAATCAAAAACTATTATCTAATAAGCGAACTGTGTAAATCTTTACAGTCGTTCTAGTCACCATAGTACTACTTTCGCTGCAGAATTCAATTCCTGTAATTTTACAGCGCAAAAAGTACTGTGCAATATAATAGAATGTTGAAAATACCCTGTTGTATAGCCTTTGGTTAAAACAGAGCGTTAAACAGACCAAATGTTTAGATATCAAATATAATGGCTAATTTCATTTACTCTCCCATCAATCACCTCAGCGCAAGTGGTTTAGTGGTAAAATCCAACGTTGCCATCGTTGGGCCCCCGGTTCGATTCCGGGCTTGCGCATTTCTTTTTTTGCTATTTTTTCATAGCATTCATTCTCATCGTACTATGCCCTGAAATAGAAACCTGGTAACTTGTGAAGTATACCATTCACATGGAAGTGCATTTGAGAGCTCTTTCTAGTAATATTTTTATGAGATTAGTTGGTACATTCTTACTACAATCAAGACACTGCAGCACCTATAGGACTATAATAATAATAATTACCTGACAACCGTGCTTTAAACAATCACAAGAGCATAACCATCGTTTTTGCATATAAATCAACTGTCAATACTCATTTCTAAACCAACCAGTTTCAAAAAATAAAACAATGATCCATGCTGTATTAATCTTTAACAAGAAGTGCCAACCTAGGCTCATAAAATTCTACACACCAGTCGAGATAAGCAAGCAACGGATACTACTGAAGCAAGTCCATGAACTGATATCACAGAGGAATAACGAGTACCAAAGTTCTTTCTTGGTATCACCTCCTGCTGTTTTGACCAACGGGACGCATACTGAAGATAATTCATTTAATGAAGACGGAGAAGACATACAGATCATTTATAAAAATTACGCTACTTTATACTTCACGTTTATTGTCGATGACCAGGAATCAGAACTGGCTATACTAGACCTTATACAGACATTTGTGGAGGCGTTAGATAGGTGCTTTTCAGAAGTGAATGAACTAGACCTGATTTTCAATTGGCAGACTCTGGAGAGTGTTTTAGAAGAGATTATTCAAGGTGGGATGGTGATAGAAACCAGCGTATCGAAGATTGTACAGTCTGTCGATGACCTGAACAAGGCTTGTGAATCCACAGATGGAAAGGTTGGAGGACTTCTTGGGAACTCCAGTTTTGGAAGTGCTTTCCAGGCATTTGCAAGTGGTGGATTTGCAAATTGGGCTGGAAGCCAATAGCTTAGCTAAAGCTCGAATATCGTTGCCTGAAAAACTTATATAAGATATACTACTATTCCTGTAATGATTTAGGATAGGCATGAAAGTTTCTATGGTATATTGTTAACTACTTACAGATACATTAATAGTATAGAGAGGCCACCCCATCATGTTAAACACATTGTCCAGCAACGTGTCTATATTGAGGCTCTTTTTATCTGGTGCTCTATTCTCTTCACACATAATTCGAATTGTCTTTTAGTAACAGCAAAATCTTCTGCCAAAATTGTTATCAATCGATCCTCCAAAACACTCACCAGCTTAACATACTCACTTGTATTCTGCTCATAATATACTGAATGCATGCTGAATTGTTTCAAGTATTTCTCCTGAAGTTCATTGGAAAAAGACTGCAATTTCCGTCTCTCCATCTTACTATCTATAGAGTCCTTAATAGGAAACAACTTAAAGAGTTGCCTTTTGGCAATCTTCTGATCAATAGTTAGGTCTGAAAAGGGACTCTGCTGAGATAACTCATCATTACCGTGAACTAGTTTGTTTTCAATAAAATCAAGATAGTCCATGGTTTCATCTTTCGACCACCTGGTAATGTTTTCAATATTGATCCTACCATAAGAAACATTTGATATTTGATTTTGCACAGTTTTACCACTGGGATCAATATCAGGATATGGCTGTTCTATAAGAGATCGCACATAACTCTCCGAGTAGTTATCCGAGTTCAATAGTAATTCGTATCTCAGTGTAATAATTAAGTATGCCAGTAACCTATACTCCGGCATTGTATTTATCTGCCTCCTTTTCTTTAGAAACCTCTCACTTTCTGGTAAATGAAAACTCTCCCTTTCCGGATCAATAGCGTTTATCAAGTAATTTACTTTCAAATAAATGATTGGCGGGATTGTAAGCTGTAAAGTAGTCTTGAGAAGCAACCCTTCCAGAAACAATGAATCCTTACATAACGTAGAAAATCTAACCTTTGCTGCAACTGCTGATATCTGTGCAAAATATGCTCCTTTCCTAGGCGGTTTACTACCATCTAAAAGCATAAAGTAATAGCCCGGCAACCTTGATTTGAAATTGTGAGGAAGGTGACGAGAGGTATGAAAGTACGGAATATCCTGATTGCAAATCCATCTGATAAAGTCATTTGTGTACACAGGTAATCCCATCAAATATGATGCCAGGTACAGAATAGAAATTGTTGTCAGCATGTGAATCCCTAGAGGTTGATGTCTCGGTTCTCGATCAGCATGCAACCTGTTTTTTGAGCGCCCTTGATCTTCAATGGGTTCATTATCACTATCACTACCATCTTCAGGTGCGTGTGCTCTTAAATCATAACTATTTTTCTGATCTATATCTTGTAATAGTCTTATCCATATTAGTTTGACAGTGGATTCGAATGACTCGGGAAATGATTTTTTGGTTATTAGCATTCTACATTGCTTTCGAAGAATATACTGAATACACCTCAAGAACATTCTATCTGCTTCCACTCCGGACAGTTTTCTTTTTTTATCCTTTTGCTGTCGCAGCTTATCCATTTGTCCAATTTGAGATGGATCCAAACTGGCTTGGAAACCACCAACAGCGTTCGTTGTCAAGTTTAGTCTTCTAGTGACGACACCAGAGGAAGCAACACCTGCCATAGCGTTACCACCAACATCGTCTTCATCGTTATTGAACTCTATATCACCATCCATAACATGTCCATAACGACATGTTCTTCTACCATCAATAATTCTCCATAGCCTTGATGGACAATTGTCAGTTCCACAAACAGGACCTCTTATAAAGGTAGACATATTTGCCTCTGCTTGTGCCGCTTCTTCCGACTAAGCACTGATACTTCAAAGAAATGGATGCTGTTTTCTTATCGCGATCGAGATCAAGGATCCTTTTAGTAAACTACTCTACAAACTCTTGCATAAAGTGTTACTATAATCACAGGGCATCGGGTTTGTTATAATTTTTCACATTTTTTATGATCCGAGTTGAAAAAGTGTAGCTTCCATAATGAAATGCGATGAGATGAACAATGCAAGAAATAATTCTTCGTCATGAAGAAGAGTGTGTGAGTTAATATCAAAACGTCGTAAAAATTTGTTTTTGAAAGTACATGATAAAACTGTATAAAATAATTATATGAAGTAAAAATATGAGGGGCGAAGGGAAAGAACGAATAAATATCCATAATTCATACCAATCATTAAAAAAGTCCGAAGATTAGAAGGATACTTTGACCCTCTAGGATATCTAATGATTGGGCGGAGTACTTTTCATTTGCATATGCATGGATAGTGATTTATTTTTAATGAAAAAAAGGGAACTTAGTATAAGGTAAACTTTCTTTTTCTATTTTCTGTAAGGTAATCCACATATCCACTTTAAAAATCCTCATCTAGAGAGAAAGCACCACCACCTTCAGTGTTTTGAGCCTTGGACATAACACCGGCCTTTTGGTAGTCAGAGACTCTCTTTTCGAAGAAGTTAGTCTTACCAGCTAGGGAAATGTTTTCCATGAAGTCGAATGGGTTTTCGACGTTGTAGACCTTCTTGTTACCGAATGCCACTAGCAATCTGTCAGCGACGAACTCAACGTATTGGTTCATCAATTGGGCGTTCATACCTAATAGAGCGACTGGAAGAGCGTCCAAGAAGTAACGTTGTTCGATTTCGACGGCTTCTGTAACAATTCTTTCGACGACCTCTGGGTCTGGCTTGTGGTTCAAGTGCGCAAACAATAGACAAGCGAAATCTGTGTGTAGACCTTCATCTCTGCAGATCAGTTCGTTGGAGAAAGTTAGACCTGGCATTAGACCTCTCTTCTTCAACCAGAAAATGGAAGCGAAAGAACCGGAGAAGAAGACACCTTCGATGGCGGCGAAAGCAACCAATCTTTCTGCGAATAGAGCCTCAGAGTTGGCGATCCATCTCAAAGCCCATTCGGCCTTCTCACCGATTTCTGGGATTGTGTGGATAGCGTTGAACAAGAACTCACTCTCCTTTGGATCCTTGATGTAAGTGTCGATCAATAGGGAGTAAGTTTCAGAGTGGATGTTTTCGATCATGATCTGGAAACCGTAGAAGGCCTTAGCTTCTGGGATAACGGCCTCAGTGGAGAAGTTTTCAACCAGGTTCTCATTCACAATACCGTCGGAGGCGGCGAAGAAAGCCAGCACTCTGGAGATGAAGAATCTCTCATTCTCGTTCAGTCTGTTGTTCCAGTCGTGCAAGTCCTTGGACAAGTCAATTTCCTCTGCAGTCCAGAAAGAGGCCTCAGCTCTCTTGTATGCTTGCCAGATTTCATGGTACTTGATTGGGAACAAAGTCAATCTGTCAGGGTCATCGTTCAACAATGGCTCGTCCTTCTCCAGCTCCTTAAGCTCGTGACGGTGGACTTTGTGCGACTTCAAGTACTCCTTGTGTTCAACAGCAGCAGTAGACAGCTTAGCCTTCAAAGCTTCAATCTGCTCCCTGTTCTCCTCCCTAAGCACTTCAAGTTGCTTCTTCAAGTTGGATTGGGAGTCCTTCAACTCCAAGTCAGACAAGGCACTAGCAGCAACCTTAGATGGTGTTTCCTTAGTCATAGTGTATATTGTTAGTATGTGTTTCTTTATATAGTATTTAGTTTGAGAAACCCAATGGGAAATGGGACTAAGGGAAGCTGAAAAGACCCTCTTATATATCCAAGAAACAAATTTTCCAAGGAACCTGATTTCGCAATTCACAAGTGATCCCAAGAAAAAAAAAGAAACCAAGAAACCAAGTCTAACAACCAACTAGTCTCAGTTGGGATTCGGATATTCCACTGTTATGTAAATAAATAAAGTCAGAAACACCACTTCACCATTTACAATGCTATTTCTTTTTCCTTTCAGTATGGAAAAATTTTTTTTTTTTTTTTTCACTTCCAGTAAGAGGGCATCGAGGTCCCCTCTGCAAGTAGCAATTAGTAATCCTAAGTGATGTATACGGGATAGTATATGGGGGAGGGGACGGAGGGGACGGTGGGGAGGCGTATACAATTGGTAAAGAACAATGGGTGTCTGAATTAAGCTTTCACCAGACCCCCCGCACACCCCGTCCTACAACTTATCGAACAATTACATAAAAATGCGAAGAAATATAAATAAAATATAAATAACAAACATAAACATTATACCCAACTTTACGCGTTTTATATGACAGAAAGGGATGGGGACACGTAAAGACTCTGGTTTTTCTGATAATCAACGGGGTTGCGTGCATATTGCCAAGTGGGATTCCTGTTGCGATGTAAATATTTTGTTTTTTTTACGTGTCTATGTATTTGTAAATACCAAACCCATGTCGTGCCTTGCGTCGATCCATTTTGACTTTACTTGGTAAATAAGGATATGACGTCTTCATCGTCTATGCGGTGGGTCAGACCACATTTCTGCGGGGAGTGCTTTGCGCTTGAGCCCCAAACCAGGGCGTACTTGAACTTGTCCTTGAAGTCTCTGTGTATTTGGTGGCACAGGTCGCCTACCGTAGAGTTGTTTCTCACAACCAGTGGGTCGTCGAAGCTGGGCTTTGAGCCACGCTTCTTCGTGTACACCCTGCTTAGGTTCAGCTGGTACCATATCTCTTCCACCACGTCCTGGATGCCGAGGTCCATCTCACAGGACATCACGACGGTGTTCGGCTCGCGGGCCAGTCTATCAACCTCCTCCAGCGACACGGAGTCTATCTTGTTGTAGACGTACAGACACTTGATGTAGTTCCTGTGCTGCTCGTTGATAACGTCGATGAAGTCATCGATCGTGCACTTCTCGTCCCTCACCAGCACCTCCGCGTTATGTATCCTATAGTCCCGCAGAATCAGCTTGATGGCCTGCTCCGTCAGGTTAGTCCGCGATGGAGACGTGAACGTGATCTTAACACCGCCGGTCTCCTTCTTCTTGAAGTATATGTTAGGCTTCTCCTTGTTCAGCCTTATACCCACGGCTTCCAGCTCTTTCTCCAGCGACTCCCTCTGGTGCTTGCTCTTCGTCGCATCCAGCACCATCAGCACCAAGTCTGCTGTCCGCGCCGTCGCAACAACCTGCCTACCACGACCTTTACCTTGAGAAGCACCATAGATGATACCGGGCAAGTCCACTATCTGAATCTCCGCACCTTCATACTTCAGCACACCAGGAACAGACGTCAGCGTGGTGAACGCATAGTGCGCAATCTCAGACTTTGTAGACGTGATCTTGCCCAGCAGCGACGACTTACCTACAGAGGGGTAACCGATCAAAACCACCCGCGCGTCACCAGACTTCGCAACTTCGAAACCAGAACCACCACCACCGCTGCTCTGCGACTCGTCCGCAAGCAATTGCTGCCTGTAACGAGCAAGCTTACCCTTCAGAAGACCAAGGTGGTGCTCAGTGGCCTTGTTCTTCTGAGTACGGGCCATCTCCTCCTCAATAGCCTTGATCTTATCTATAATACCCATCTTGTGTGCGCTTACGTTTGTTCCTAGTCCCTAGTCCTAGTGCAAATGCTAGTCCTAGTCCTGATCCAAATGCTAGTGCTTATAACCAAACTTCAAATTTCAAATTTTTTCACTTGCGATGAGCTTCTCTGAGGGGACTGGAACTAGAAAACCGGCAGCTTGAAATCCATCCCAACACACAGAAACTGCCGCAGCACCGAAGGGGGGTGGTCCAACATCCACACAACACAAATGATACAATATCACTTCATACTAATCGGGCCTTGACAATCAAAAAACGTGCAGGAAATTCTCGGAGTTTACAGCGTTTTCGTATGACTTCGTGGCCAAGCTGGTTAAGGCGTGCGACTGTTAATCGCAAGATCGTGAGTTCAATCCTCACCGAGGTCGATTTTTTTTGGTTCCCCTCCTCCCCCTCGCACCATACTATATAGCAATACACCATGGTGCCTGTAGCAGTGGAACCATTTACAATGTGGTACCAATTACAATATGGTGCTGGTATATACTGCACCACACCTAAATTACACTTGGTAATGCCGATTTTTCTTTGAAAACTAATACACAGTTAAAACGATTATGTATAAACCTCCTTGGGACAATATATAATGAACATTAGTAGGAGAATTCCTTTCTGCCCATCTGCCCTAATCCTATTCTCGAAATTGATCTTCCATACTGTATCGGATCTACATGATAATGCAGCATGAGTTGGTCTTCTTGGCCTGCTTGTAAAACATCTTCGAGCTCGCAGTTAGGGACTCGGACTTGTCGACCAGGTTGTCCAGCTTCTCACCTCTTTGCAACACATTCTCTATGGTCTTGTGCAGCACAATCTTGGTCTCGTCTAGCTCTTGCTGGACCTTCATGATCGCATCCGCCTGCGCAGGGTCCTGGTACTTGCTGATGTACGTAGACAGCTCAGCCATCTTCAAGGAGTCGTTCGTGGCAGTGATGCTCTTCCACTGGTCCGCAGGGTGCGCAACTAGGTACTCGTCCAGGACTTTGTTCAACAGCGTGTACGCAGGTCTCACCGGGTAGTCCTTGTCAGTGATCAAAACACCACATATACCCTCGCTGCGGGCATAGACGTGCCCTATGTAATTACCTTCCTCTACACTCTGTCTCTGGCCAGCAGTGGTCCTGGTCGCCACGGTCTCGGCAAAGAAAGTCATGAACTGACCAACACTGTTCCTCTCAAAGAACCCAAACTGGGAAAGGTCCTTCACTTCTGTCAACTCCAACGCCTTCTCATCCGAACTCTGCTCCGCTGGACTGCGGAAAACACCAATGTAGTAAATCTTCATCTCGCCAGTTCCTCGCTTATCTCCCACTCAAATAGCACTACCAAGCCGTTACACATCTGACCATTCTGCCCAAACCCAACAACTAATTTATGCAAACTTCAAACTTATTGCCTCTGCCAAAAAACGATAATTTCAGAAAATTCGAGGAAAATCCGTTAATTCACACAAATTACAAATGATCCTTACTTAATTTCGAAGAGTTTGAACTCACAGACAAGCACAACCCCAATCCATAGCATACCTGCTAACATATCTCACACAGATAATATCTTATCTGCCCCAGCTTTTGAACGGAAGCTCGCCGCTATCGATAAAACGTCTATTTTTAAGGGGGAACCACACATACGCTTCTTTGTGTAAACTTAACTACATATCCGATGGTCAGCGCAGTTAGTAGACAGCTAGTCAACAGGCAGCTCAACAGGGTGTTGCTGCGCAATGCCAGAATTGCGCCCTTCGCTAGGGCAACGCGGTTTTACTCCTCAAAGTACGCACAGGAGAGCGAGAATGCCAAGCGCCACAAGATGGGGCTGCTGATCGCGGGTGTTGCGGTTGCCGGTGCTATTGTATTCGTAACTCCACCACAGTGGAAGAAATACTTCAGAGCCGCCAAGAAAGTCGAGGAAGTCGCTGAGTCCAAAGAGGACCCCGTCTCCGAGGCTGCTGAAGAAGTATCTGAATCCGTTCAAGAATCTACCGAGGAACCACAACAGAGTCAGGAGAAGGAGACTGCTGATGTGGGTAATGAGCAAGCTCAAGACGAAAGCGCTTCAAGTGGCGATTCTGAAGCCAAGAAGGCTCATGACGAATTCGCTGATCAAAATGAGGCCTCTGAGAAGGAATCTGCTCCAATGGGTGAATCTGCCGACGCCGACCAAACTGCAAAAGATGAAACTGTTGCCGAGAAGACAGGGAATTCCAAATCAGAGAGCTCAGAATCTGACCAATCTGAACAAGATATCCTATCTAGCGACCTAGAAGAGACTATGGAGACTGTCTCCGAAGCTGACAAGGAGCTACATCAGATATCAGATAATACTGTTTTGTCATCAGAGGAAGACAAGACACCTAAGGCCGAGGAATTGAAATCCACTAGCCCTTCTGGCAATGATGAAGAGCCAAAAAAGGAAGATGACTCTAGTAAAACAATTCACTCATTAAATAGCGAGAAAGATATGGAGGCTGTTGAAGAAGAGGTCAAACAAGAAAGTGCATATAATCCAGATACCGGTGAGATTAACTGGGACTGCCCTTGTTTAGGTGGTATGGCTCACGGCCCATGTGGTGAAGAGTTTAAGGCTGCATTCTCGTGTTTTGTGTACTCAGAAGCCGAACCAAAAGGTATTGACTGTGTAGAGAAGTTCCAACACATGCAAGATTGTTTCAGAAGATATCCTGAACACTACGCTGAACAACTTGCTGATCCAGCAGATGACGAAAACGTCGACCATGAAAAGAACCTGAGCGAAGGTAAGGATACCGGAGTTGACAGCACTCCACCAAAGGATGAAGCATATTTGAAGACTGAAAAGGAGAAGAAAATCGAAGAAAATGCTTCACCAGATGAAGACACTGCCTCTAAAAAGGACTAAGCATTTTCCAGATACTATTAGTAAAGTTTGATATATTCTGTGACGGAGTTGTTTCGATCAACTGTGATGCGAGATTAAAAATCAATCACTCAAGGTGTATAAGCCACTTCTATTACCACTGAAAGCTTAACGTAGTATAATAAATAACTTGTACATATTTTATACATAATTTTGTTTGTTAAAATTGAAAACGCAGAATATTCAATTAAGTATATGTTAATTACAAGTCCATAATTTATTTACAATAGTATAATCCAGGAGCAATCAATTGGCGAATAGTATTATTTATAATTACTCTCCAAATCTTTGAACTTCTCTAAGATTTCATTTGTATCCATGAGAACTGGGGTCCTATTTTCTCTCGTTCTTACGCTAAATTTCTGTGCTTTAACCTCATTATCTCCAACTATGATGAGATATGAATAATTCTTTGTTATGGCATCCTTGATACGGTACCCAACCGGTTCTGCCCTTATATCAATGTCAGCATTGTATGATACATGAGAAATTGGTACTGGCTTTAGGTTATCTTCAATTTCTAATTTGCCACGTAACTTGTCATGTAATTGCTTAGCCATCTTTACTTGCTCCTCATTATTCGTATTCAAAGGTATTACAATTGCCTGATTGGGGTTCAACCAAAAGGGCCACTTACCACCATTTGACTCAACTAACATAGCCATAAAGCGTTCTACAGAACCGAGCACTGCTCTATGAATCATAATTGGTCTTTTATAACTGTTGTCACGATCCTTATACCTCAGATTAAATCTTTGTGGTAGTTGAAAATCTAGTTGTATAGTCGCCACTTGGTGTTGCTTTCCGTGATGATCCTTCACCATAATATCCAGTTTGGGGCCATAAAACGCACCATCTCCTGCGTTCAATTTCCATGGCTTACTAGACTTTTCTAAAACTGACCTTAATACCTCCTCAGCATGATCCCAACTCTCAAGTTCACCAATGTAGTGTTCTGGTCTTGTCGATAAATGAATCTCATAGCTATCTTTGCTCTTACTTTGCTCACCAGAAATAGGAAAAACCTTTGTATAACACATATCTACAAGCTTTAAGCAATTAAGAATCTCTACTTCGACTTGATCTGGAGTACAAAATATATGGCCATCATCTTGATGAAACATGCGGACTCTTGTGAGACCCGAAAGTGCTCCAGAAGCTTCATTACGATGTAAAGGTGAGAAGTCTGAATATCTGATTGGTAAGTCATTATAGGAATGATCAAACCTGTTAAATATTACACAATGACCAGGACAATTCATCGGCTTTAAACCATATTCTTCCTTTGTAAGGTCATTACCTTCTACTCTAAACATATCTTCTTTGTAATTCTCCCAATGCCCTGACTGCTCCCATAGCGACTTCCTATAAATCAATGGTGTTATGACTTCCTTGAATCCGAATAGATGTTTTTGTTGAGTTTTCATAAAAGAGACCAACTTATTGTATATCTTAGTACCATTTGGTAGGAAAAACGCAGAACCTGGAGTGATCTGATCTGTAATAAATAACCGTTGCCTGTTGGAAACTTCCTGAAGTAAAGTTAGCCTGGAGTCTGAATCTTTCTTAGCTAGTTTGGAGTTCGCCCTTATAAGCACGACTGAATTAGTGACCGGTTTGACCGGTATACGCCCAACACTATTGCAAAGCATAAAGGTCCTCCCTTCTTTGATATCACCGAATAACTCAAAAGAATGTTGATGAATCAGTGTAACCACGGTATTGAGTCGATGACTTAAGTAAGTTTATGACCCTCGAGACTTTAATCTCTTACTAAAATGCCAGCACACGAATCACAATGGTAGTGTAGTACTCTATACTATATAATATACACAACCAATTGTTGTCAAGTGTACAATACTTCTAACAAGATTATCACATCTGCCGTTATGTATTTGATTTTCAATCGTAGATATATATTATATATTGTGGGTTTGAGATAAATATATAGGCGATCATTGTCTAGTGTAAGTAGCATCGATTTTTTGCAATGAAGGGCCAAGGTTCAACATCAGCTTCCTTCTATAGGAGGTCTTATTATTCAATTGAACTGGATTACCTTCAAGATAAATTGTATCGAACTCTGGCAGATCACGTAGTTCATCACCGATAGACTCAAATGACTGATCAATCTTATTGAAAGACAACCATAAGTCAGTCAATTTTGTCAAATGTTTGACGTTTTCAATCTTTGTAATCTTGTTTGAAGTAATATCAAGTGTTGTCAACTTCAAGTTTTTGTCTAGACCCTCAATCTTCTCGATGAAGTTATGTGAGAGATATAGTTCCTCTAAATTTTCTAGCTGTTCTAAATTCTCTATTTTCTTAATTCTATTGGATTGTATAGACAGAATCTTTAAGTTTTTGAGCCAGTGTAGATTTATCAGTCTTGGTATATGGTTTTTACCAAGCCATATTTCTTCCAACTTGTCCAAACCCTTCAAGGAGTCCTCACCAATCTCATGTATCCTGTTACCACCCAATTCAAGGTTTTTCAGTTTCTTCAAAGTGGACAAGTTCTCAATAACTTCTATCTTATTCTGAACAAAATATAGATTCTCTAGGTTTTCCAACTTGTCAATGTTCTTTATGTTCTTAATCTTGTTGAATGACAGGTCCAGATTCTTCAAGTTCTTGAATTTATTGATGTATTTGGAAATATGCTTGATCTTGTTATCGTAGAAATCCAAATCTTCTACGGTATCATCAGGCAATACATCGACCTCACTGATACTCTCAATGAAGTTCTGTCTAACACATAAGTACTTTAACTGATGGAATCTGGTAAGGTTCAGCTCTTCAAGGGATCCAATCCTCAAATGTACCAGCTCAATGTTCTCTGTGTCGTCTGGCAAATCATCGGTAAGTTCACTATCTGGCTTGATAACATCAACCTCCCTGTCATCATCAACAATCTCAATCTTGGCATGCTTGTCCTCTTGCTTGTCCTCATGCTTGCCACCATCAACCTCCATCACAGCGTTCTCTCCCTTTAACTCGTTATCGCTCATAGCTTCAAATCCTAAATTTGTATCACGTACTGATAATTATCGTCACTTGGCCAGCTATTCACCAGGTTATACAGTTGGTACTTGCCCTGATCCAAGACCTCGAGTCCTTTTATACATTTCTCCAGAATTGACATTCCAAATTTCTCCTTTCCTACAGTGGAATCACTGGAAAATTTCAAGGGTAATAACGACTTGGAAGGCCACATATTATAAATTATATTGAGATGGGAGATAATTAAGCTCTTGTGAACAATTATTACACTTACAAAAAATAAATTATATAGGCTCCCTATAGAGAAAACTGTTGAATACTATCTACATGCAAAATAAAAAAAATAGAGCTACTAATATAGGCTCTGTAAAATGTTGATCTGATCAGCTGCCAAAGAAAATTTAGTTGGCATCTGGGTTGGACAGAATGTAGTCCACAGTCTCCTTGACGCTCTTTAGCTCATCGGCAACCTTGTCTGGGAATTCAACATCGAACTCTTCCTCGATGGCAACTAGCAACTCGACCGTGTCCAGAGAGTCCAGCTTCAAGTCCTTGTGGAACAAGGTGTCCTCAGTGATGTTAGCGCTGGCACTAGTCTTATCGAAGGCCTTGATCACATCAACAACACGCTTCTGAACAACATCCTTGGATAGGCCTTGAGAGTAGAACCTGACAGGTCTCAGCATCTGCATGTTGGCCTTGGCCATCATCATAGGTCTTTGTCTAGCGACATTCACCACAGTTCTTAGCATTTTTGTAGTATTTTTTTTTTGGCAATGGTATATTCCTCCTGGACTCCTAGTAGGACTTGCCTTATCAGTTCATCATATACACAATCAGTTATCAATAGCAACATCTAATATTGCCAAAGGGTCTTTGTGTGTGTTCAGTGGAGTTTTCATCCGGAGAGCTTAGTAATTGGCTGTGTATAGAGACGAAAATGTCACATGTTTAAGAGTAATATATTATTTGACTACAAAATACAGATTTAAGACTCTAGTTTCCAGATATATGATAATTATTACCTTTGTTCAAGTATATATTTATATTTTCTAGCTGTTGATTTATTAATTTTATTATTATTAATTATTTATTAAGAATATTATTACTAAATAATATAGAAATACGGATGTGTAAGTTCGAGCATTACGGGGGGCTCGATAGTGTCCTGTTGTATTAAAACTTGGGCATTGTTCTGTCCTCTGGATCAACAATTGATCTATGTTGCATAAATTGAATAGCCATGTTCTCGTCTGCAAAGTACTTCTTCAACTTTTTGTAGAATAAACCACATGCGTTACACAGAGTAGCTTTGCCCTGCGGCCCATTTCTCCATTCAGGTGTATCGACCTTCCCACATTGCAGACAGTATCCAAAGACGTTTCTGTTCTTTCCAGACTTAGAAACTTTGCCAGGTTTGGATTTGCGCCTCCTTATCGATGACCCAATGGTGTTGAATTTGGGCTCGCTAGAGTCCTGGGATAACGCTGATCCATGAGAACCACTGCTTCCAGAGCTTCTTTGGCTTTCACGACGTTGAGACCCAGCTAAGATTATAGCATCACGCTCAGCCGTAATGAGTTGACTCTCAACAGTTACGTCGTTTGATGTCGCAGAAGAAGTGAGCGTTACACTTGGTACTTCTTTGACATCATCAGTAGCAGAAACAATATATGAAGCTTTGGCAGGCAATTCCTGAGCTGCACCATCACAATTGTTTCTTGCTTCCTTATCAAACTTGGGAATCGCTCCTGAAATTAAACTGTCAATACTGTTGTTCCTGCTTTTAAGAACAGAATTGTTAATACTATCGGGTGATAAAGGGTAGCTATTTTCAGTTTTGACCATACATTCCTCTTCTACTAATGCACTTGCCACTGCCGATAAAGAATGAAGTTTATCAGCACCAGAATTATTACATCTGGCACGCATGGAGCTGGTCTCTCTTTCCGGCGTTACTTTAATTTTATACCTATGACTGCACACTCCATTAATGCGAGGCATACTAGGAGGAGCAAATGATGGTTCTGGTACTCCAGGATTATCCAGTGCTACAGAAGCTAACTTTGGAGGGACTGACCCATAGCTACTAACTGGAGTAATGGAGATTGTTGGCGACAAGCTGTTGACTGGCCTTATACCATTATCCAAGCTGGCTATCGACAACTTCCTTCTACTGACGTCATATGGTAATGCACCATAGTATGGTGTGGCAGCGCCCGGCGACACAGAAGAGCCTGAGACTATAGGAATCTTTGGAGTAGTTTGAGGTTGACGCTCCATGAATATATAAGCGCTAATAGGCTTATTATTTGCAGTTCCATCTATACCACCCGTTGTTGCTTGAGTCCGTGGTCTCAAATGACTGCATATTTGTATTCTTGGTTTTGGTAGGGTATACCTGGGAAGATTTAACATCGAAGTCAACTCACTAAATGATGGAAGAGAAATGTTAGAGTTTTCATAACCAAATCGGTTTGTATAGATTGGAGGCAAAGGCATCTTGGAATTGTTAAAACGTCGGTAAACAAAAATTTAAATAAATTTAAAGTTGTTTGGAAAAAAACCTGAATGGAGTTAATTGCCAAACAATCTCAGTTTGTCTTTGATTATAATACAAAATTTGGATGACGGCGGTAGTCCAATCTATGGTTACTACTTGAGTATATTTTTTGTTACCTTATGCATTCAAAAAATACACACGCTCAAATGTAGGTACAAATGTGGAAATTAAATTAAATTAAATTTAATTAAATTTAATTATCCTACAATTGAAACCCAATTTGTTCAAGTAGTATTTGTATTGTTTCTATTTTTGTGAGCTTTGATAATGACCCAGAAGTAGCACAAAAATATGACTTATTAGAACAAATAATAGCCAAGAAAAAATATCCAAGTCAAATAAAAATTACTAAGGTAATAAAAATGCCTTTAAAAACGGTGTGAATACTAAGTATATAGAATTTATTAGTTTTGAAGAGAATTAGAGTGAAAATATACCTACAATTTCAAAGCTATTTATACCTCCCCTTGAAACCACGAAAATAATTATACTTGCTAATAATATAAATCAAAACTGGAGAACAAAACTACAATATCGCTAATAACATGTTCAAGAATAGTATATCAGAAGCGTACAAAAGTCTATGATTATATAATATATATTTTAATTTACCGTAAATTAAATTTATTTTAAACATTTTGCCCTTTTAGTAAACACTTTTCCAAAACCGTAAATTTAGGGAATTAAGGTGGTTGCACTGTCAGCTTCCTGGAAAAACATAGCATATTGATAAACTGAGAATTGGGGGAGGTATCCCATCTTACATATAGTGCCATAAACCATCAATTATTACTTGCATTATGTGTAAAGAATTTAAGGGAATTCTTGACCTAATGAGATTTTCTTTAATTGTGCTTGAATGATACGATGAAAATTAACCATTGGTAGTCACTCATCTGAAAGAGGTAAATATTTCCTAAAATTTGAATAATTTTTTTATTGACGTAAGAACACCAAAGCATTTCCAATATTCCAATTTACTCTCAAAACAATGGATCATACGGCTTTGAAATAAGCTACTATATTACATAGTCTGTGATACTGTAGTTACTTGGAATAACACATAATTCCTTTGTATCAAAAGCTGTCGACACAAAACCCTACAAGTACTTCAATTGCTAATAAACTACCCAACTTGCCAAAATTAAGATGTATGACTACTACTTTAATTTGAGAGCTAATAACCATGTGATTTATTCGTCTAGCACTACAAAGTGCTGGTAATGATTTTGATTCAAACTGAATTGAATCATAGAAGTACTGCTCGTCGGACCTTGCTCTACTTGCAATTACATATATTTAATTAGCGTCTATCAAATGACTTATACACCAGATTTCATTGCTATGATATTCTTGTACATTAGTGTTTTCAATCATACCATTTTTGCTCAGGAATGAAGTCTCTGACTTATGATGAATTTGTTGGTTTCTTAGGCAAATGGGTTACTCAAGAGTATAAAAAGATACCACTTGAATGCTACCAACAAGTCGAAATTGAAGCTAAATTTGGGCGCATAAATAGTAAAAGTAACAGCACAGAATTTAAAGAAAGTAAAAAAATTATTGTATTGAACAATGACTACCATATGATACCCAGGATATCTAAGTTTGATTTCGATAGACTGAGGAATAAGTATATCAATACAAAATTCAATAAACTTAAAAAATCATCAACAAAAAATTCAAATAACCTAAGCCTGAGTGACTATAGTGTATCCACAAGTTTACCTGCCCCATTAGACAAGGGCAGACTGCGACTTAATAACGAGACAGCTAAACTTGATTCATTAATTCATAAAGAAAAAATATCGAATATTCTACTATCCATTCCTAATAGTACTTACGGTTGCAAAATATCTTTTAACCTTGAAATTGAGCTTCCAAAGGCTGTATACATTAACACAGATTTAGACAAGTGCTATAGAAGGCACAAACTTGGGAATAGAATAAGCATGCCGCGAAGTAAAAATACTTTAGAGTTGTTTAAAGTATGTACAGAAAATAGAGCAGGAAAAACATTTGAAAATTATGAAGTCGAGATTGAATTGTGTTCAAAGAATATAGCAACTCTAATTAAACAGGAAAACAATAAAGATCTAGAGAAGGAAATTCGAAAATTCTCGAACGACTTTCTAGAGATTAAGAACACCTGTAAACTCAAGTCAAAAAAATAGCGGATACTTACAAATATTTGCCATTGGGGCCTGATACTAGATTTATTTTGCCTTAGCATATTATGTTCTATAAATTATTACATACTAATACCATAGCATCCCTCTAGACCAATGGGGTTTCTTTCTGACCAATAGCTGGGTCACTTGATGGACAAATAGTTGCAGGTGTGTCTTGATTATCTTCTTCGCCTTCGATTCCATTATTTATGAACGAGGTAAAAAGCTCATTTGTTATTTCGGAGCTTGGACTACCATCATGATAGCTAAACATCATAGAAGGTGATGACGGTATAGTCTTTCTCTTCTTTGACATTCTTTTATCCTCATCAGCCTCATCTTGATCTTCTTCTTGAATGGTCGATATACTTCTTCTAGTTGTCGACACCTTTCTAATCGTACTTTGCTCGATAGGTGTGGAGTTCATAGCAGCCGCTGAAGTTGTGTTGGCATTCATATTATCATCGTCATCATCATCATCGTCAACCTCAATATTCAAAACCATCTTATTCTTGTCCTTTTTATCCACGTCTGTACTGTTTCTGTTAAGATTCGTAATAGCTGAACCAGACATGTTATCAATAGGAGAGGTTTTGTCAATATCAGTTTGGGCATAAGCACTAGATTTGCTCCTGTAACCATCACTATTAATGTTTACATCATCCATCCTGGTTCCAGCACTGATCTCGTCATCATCATCATTCTCAATATTAACGGTATTACAGGTGTTTGCATCCTGTGGTGTAGAGTTAAACCCTTTACTGTTTTGTAAATTCAAGTGGGCATTTTGATATTCAAATGCGTCATAAGTATTTAACCAATTCATATCACCCTTCATCGTCATATTATCAAAGGCAATCATATCCAGTTCACTACTGATATCATAATTATCACTATCAGAATGTGGAGGTATGTTTTCCTTGTCATTTATATCATCATTAATTTTATTATTAATAAACAAGTCAGCTTGTGGAGTTGTTTCACCCAATAAATTAGGATACGGAAGATTAAAGTCTTGATTAATACTTAGACTTGGCTTCCGGAACTCGGTAGTCTTTGCTTTTGCCTTTTTTACGCTTTTATTCTGAGACTGGTTATCCTTTTCAGTGGTCTTCTTTGAATTCGAGGAACTTTTCTTTGTTACGTTCTTGCTGCCACTATTGCCCTTCTTCTTGGAAAGCATAAAATCGAACCGTTTACTCACTTTATCATCATCAGTAGGTTTGCTTTCATGTTCAGCTACCGAGTTGGACACAGTAGTTGTATTTGAGCTATTGTCAAGTTGTCTATCCGCCATGTATATTTTGTGAGCAATAGAGTTTTTCAAATAGGAGTTATTTGATCCGCCAGGTTTCAAATTCCATATTGGCAAGGACTGTGTTCTTTTGGCCTTTGGAGCTGGCATGGGGTTTGTTTGTCTTCTGTTAGTGTTTACATTAGCGGCACCCAAGGGTGGTGCATTCATCTGTTGTACATGTTTCGTTACTACTCTGCCTTTGTTTCTATTAATGACTTGTTTTGGTTGATTCACAATAGGTGTGGTCTCTACCACCTTCGGTTGTGGTAAGGATGGCTCCTTTGTCACTCTTCGTACCTTGACTTCATTATCTGGCTTCAAAGACGCTGTGTTGTATATCTTGGTAAATCTCAGTTTCACTTCAAGTGTTTCCTGGGGTGTGCTCGACACCTTTTTGGACATCCCGCTGTAAGACCTCCTCAACAGTGCCGACAGGTTTGAACACACTCTGCCCGTGACCACGAAGTCCTCGTCCAAGTCCTCGTCCGCGTCATTGCCCGCCAGCTCTTTCCTATCAGAGTCTACTGTCTTCCTTATATGCGACAGCAAGCCCAGACTCACCAGCGGCTCGTCCGTCTCGCATATATCTCTGTAGTACAAGTTATAGTCCTGTCCGCACCCGGAGTCCAGAGCGCTGAGCACTTCCGGGGAGTTATTGTAGATTTCCTGCAAGACGCTCGATATGTGCACAGCGCCAACTCTCAGCATAGCCATCCCATCGCCCTCCGTGACCATCCTGCCCACGGGAACCGCATTCGGGTCTGGTATATTCAGCACTTTCACCAGGTGCGGTGTCTTGGACCTCGCCAGGTAGCTGCCAGCAGCCCCGTTGTCCAAGGAGTACAGTATCTTCAGTGTCATCCTAGTATCCGCCGACATCATGTAATTGATTCGCTGCTCTTCGGTTATGTCCATACCACAGCTTCCTCCAGTGCAATTGACCAGCGTTGTTTATTTATATAAGATGGCAACGGTGATGCGCAATACTACACAACTTACGTGTCAAGGGCTTCCATGGCTTCCATGGCTTCCCTCCCCATCGCCAAGTTTCGCGTCCCGAATGCCAAATTTCACGCGTCTCGGACAAATAAGTAAATAAACCTGAAATTCCTCATGTAGACATAGCTGTATTATAGCTGTCGCTACAGACCTAGAGCATAGCAAGAGTCGCACAGTAGCAGATACACCTTGTAAAAATGCATTTCTATCAATTATGCATTTGTTGAGGGAGACACGCCCAGGGACACGCCCAGGGAGAGACGCCCAGCACTGCTTGCAGAGAGATGACTGCCAGCTGGGTACTTCAAACAAAAGCCCTAAAATCACATGACCTCCAACTTAAAACACACCAATTTCCGTACATAATTATAACACATCAAAATATACTTATCAACGAAACAACCACATGACTCTTACACGTATAAAGACACACACGTGACATACGTACATAAACACAAACCACATGACATGCATACGTATATGACGAGTGAAAATTTTTTTAAATTTTTTTTTTTCAAAAATTTTCATGAAAAGCTTCAAAGTGTAAAGTGCGATGAGCTTGTGTGGAAGCGATGAGGGAAAAGGTGTTGCGCGATGAGCTTGGGTCCACAAAGCTCAAAGATGACTTTTGACTAGCGTCGTGCGTGTGATTCTAGCGATCCTTATACAACTAGTAACATATTATATTATGACTACACTTACAATACTCATAACTTCCAGAAAAGAGTTAAAAAGGACCATAGAACCATGCCTCCAAAGAAGTTTGCTAAGAGCTTGGATGATTTCCTGGGCGAACAGCCACAGGATCCTAACCTAGTGCCTTCGCCATTCGGTGGGTACTTCCAGCAGAAGCAATCGAACTACCAGAAACAGAGGACTTACAACAAGAACCCCAACGTGCAGAAGTGGAACCAGAACAGCAATTACAACTACAATGCGCAACCTTACAACAACAACCAGAACAACTATAACAACTACAACAACTATAACAACTACAATCAGTCTCAAGGGTTCGATGCCAATGGTATTCCAATCAATGCGTACAAGTACCAGCAGTCTGCGGTGACTCCAAACCAGAGTAACGGCCCTACACCATCTGCGTCTGCTGTGTCTCTGACGTCGCTGACCAATAAACTAAACGAACTGGATGTGTCTCCAATCTCTGGCCACATCAACAAGCTCATGGAGGCTCAGAACATTACTGAGTGCAAGGCACAGGTTGCTGCCATAGCTGACGAGTTCAAAAACACCAGCGCTAAGTCGATCAAGGACTGGAAGTTCACCGACGTCCTGTCCAAGCTGACCAAGAGCAAGAGCAACCCGCTGATCAGAGAATCGACGATGCTGCTGATCACCGCATTGGCTAACGTGTTTGCCAATAACAGCCCTCAGGAGGCTTACTTGCTGCCTTTCTTCGAGTTCTCTCTAGATATGATGGCTGACAAAGAGACTACCGTCAAGCGTGCTGCACAGCACTCTCTGGATGCGCTAATGAACGCTTTCCCTGTCGACGCTCTGACCTCCAATGTCCTGCCAGTGATTCTGGAATACTTGGCCTCCGGTGCCAAGTGGCAATCTAAGCTGGGTGCCCTGGGTGTCATCGACAGAATCAGAGAGGACTCTCCAAACGATCTCTTGGAACTGACTTTCAAGTCCACAGTACCAATCCTAACAGACGTCGCTACTGATTTCAAGCCAGAGCTCGCCAAGCAAGGCCACAAGACATTGCTAGACTACGTCTCCATCCTTGACAACTTGGATCTGGCCCCACGTTACGAACTTATCGTCAACACTCTACAGGATCCAAACAAGGTCCCTCAGTCCGTCAAGGCTTTGTCCAGTGTCACATTCGTGGCTGAAGTCACCGAGCCCGCTTTGGCTCTACTGGTTCCTATCCTGAACAGATCGTTGAATCTTTCTTCTTCATCCCAAGAGCAATTGAGACAGACAGTCATCGTCATCGAAAACTTGACTAGATTGGTCAACAACTACATCGAAATCGAAAGCTACATTCCTCAATTGCTACCGGGCGTCCAAAAAGTTGTCGACACAGCTTCTTTACCAGAAGTTCGTGAACTTGCTGAGAAGGCTCTAAAGGTCCTAAAGGGTGACGATAGCACCTCTAGCCACAACAAGGATTCCTTCCAAGGTAGAATTACCGAGGAGGAAGGTAAGCAGTATGTCTCGGACGCCATCAAGAAGGCAAACATTACTGATGAGACCAAATCTTCCTTCATTCAAGACGAAGACGTCGTCGAATACCTTGGTAAGATCCTCACCGTTGACACAAATGTTAATGACTGGAAGAGACTGGAAGAACTGTTTACTGGTGTCTTTGGTGCTGATAACGAAGCCGTCGTCAATACTGAAATTATCGACAGAATGAGAGCTCTATTCCACCAAGAGAAGGTCAAACACGATGAAGATGAAGGTATCGAAATTGTAAACACTGACTTCTCTCTTGCTTACGGTTCAAGAATGTTACTGAATAAGACTAATTTGAGATTGATCAAAGGTCACCGTTACGGTTTGTGTGGTAGAAACGGTGCTGGTAAATCTACTTTGATGAGATCTATTGCTAACGGTCAACTAGATGGTTTCCCAGACAAGGATACCTTGAAAACTTGTTTTGTTGAACATAAATTGCAAGGTGAAGAGGGTGACTTGGATTTGGTTTCCTTCATTGCTTTAGATGAACAACTACAGACCACCTCCCGTGATGATATTGCCAATGCCTTGGCCTCTGTCGGTTTTGATGAAACCCGTAGAGCTCAAACAGTTGGATCTCTATCCGGTGGTTGGAAGATGAAATTGGAACTTGCAAGAGCTATGCTGCAAAAGGCCGATATCTTGCTACTGGACGAACCTACTAACCATTTAGATGTTGCCAATGTCAAGTGGCTGGAAGAATACTTGTTAGAGCACACAAACATTACCTCATTAATTGTGTCGCACGACTCTGGTTTCTTAGATGCTGTCTGTACTGATATCATCCACTATGAAAACAAGAAACTGATTTACTACAAGGGTAACTTGGCCAAGTTCGTTGAACAAAAGCCTGAAGCCAAGGCATATTATACTTTGTCCGATACTAATGCTCAAATGCGTTTCCCACCACCTGGTATCCTAACAGGTGTCAAGTCTAACACTAGAGCTGTTGCTAAGGTGACTGATGTTACCTTCACTTACCCAGGAGCTTCTACACCTTCCTTGAGCCATGTTTCATGTGCTCTATCACTATCTTCAAGAGTCGCTGTCTTAGGTCCAAATGGTGCTGGTAAGTCTACGCTTATCAAACTATTGACTGGTGAATTGGTTCCTCAAGAAGGTAAAGTTGAAAAACATCCAAACTTGCGTATTGGTTACATTGCCCAACACGCCCTACAACATGTTAATGAGCATAAGGAAAAGACAGCAAACCAATATTTGCAATGGCGTTATCAATTTGGTGACGATCGTGAAGTTCTTTTGAAGGAATCGAGAAAGATCTCCGATGAGGAAAAGGAGATGATGACTAAGGAAATTGATGTCGATGATGGTAGAGGTAAGCGTGCAATCGAAGCCATTGTAGGTAGACAAAAGCTAAAGAAGTCCTTCCAATACGAAATCAAATGGAAATGGTGGAAACCAAAGTACAATTCTTGGGTTCCTCGTGATGTATTGATTGAACACGGTTTTGAAAAGCTTGTTCAAAAGTTTGATGATCATGAAGCTTCCAGAGAAGGTCTAGGTTACCGTGAATTGGTTCCATCTGTTATTACCAAACATTTTGAAGATGTTGGTCTAGATGCAGAAATCGCTAATCATACCCCATTAGGATCTCTGTCTGGTGGTCAATTGGTTAAAGTTGTCATCGCTGGTGCCATGTGGAATAACCCTCATTTACTAGTCCTAGATGAACCTACCAATTATTTGGATAGAGACTCTTTAGGTGCACTGGCAATTGCTATCAGAGACTGGAGCGGTGGTGTCGTTATGATTTCCCACAACAATGAATTTGTTGGTGCGCTATGTCCTGAACAATGGATTGTCGAAAATGGTACCATGGTTCAAAAAGGTGTCAAGGATGTTGACCAGTCAAGATTTGAAGATGGTGGTAACGCCAATGCCGTTGGTTTGAAGCCATCTTCTTCTGTTACTGATGATGACTCCCCAGCTAATATCAAGGTTAAACAAAGAAAGAAGAGATTAACAAGAAACGAGAAGAAAGCACAAGCTGAACGTCGTCGTTTGCGTTACATCGAGTGGCTATCATCTCCAAAGGGTACTCCAAAGCCAGTCGACACTGACGATGAAGAAGAGGATTAATCACAATTATAGATTTCATTTTTGTACATTATTCTATACAGGCTATACATTTTTACATTATTGTATTTAATTTTTTAATTAATTTGGGTATTGTTCTTTCTAGTATACATTTACTATGAATATAAAACTGCTCAACAGGGCGTAGTTCTCAAACAGATAGCACTATCTAAAATGAATAATGTCCAAAAGTTAGATAGGATCCTCTAAATCCTATTACCATTAGAGAATTTTGATTCTTGCTCTTCAGATATCTCTTCTCCGTTAAGGATGCCTATAATCTTATCTTTTAGTCCTCGCAGATATTCATCATCTTTCTTCTCCCCCAAAATGCTAACAGTGTTGAAACCCATTCCAAAATGTGGATATGAACCCAACTTAATTTCATTCGAATGTACAGTTGCTTCCTCCTGGAAATTCCTCAAATGACGTGAAAGCTCCGATTCTGACAGCTTAGTTTTAACAAAATATCTTTTATATTCTCTTTTGTCATCGTCCAGTTTGTAAATACATTCTAATGTTGGCAAGAATTCCATCAACATTCGGCTAAACAATTGCGGGATACCTGGGAATATGTAAACTTGCTGATTGATAGAACATATCGGCACCCAAAGGTCATCGGCCACATAATATTTCTTGACGTCTGGTCCTGAAGGTAACGTTGCCATTCTATAGTAATCCTTTAATGATTCCGGGTCAAGGCGACTCTCAGGATTGGATTTCATTGCCATTCTCTTCTTAGTTTCCTCATCTATTCTGCATTGTAAATTAAAACACTTAGCTATAGACTCATAAGTAATATCATCATGAGTTGGACCAATACCACCAGTTGTTACTATAAATTGGTACCTCTTCGATAGTTCTTTTATTGTGCGCACAATCTGATCTTCATCATCTCCAATGGTTACAATACTGTTCAATTGGATACCTTGATCATAACAGAATTTGGCAAAAAATGAAGAATTCTTGTCTATAACCTTGCCATTCAGGATTTCATCCCCGATTATCACACAAGCTGCACTAATCTTTCCCATCTGACTTCTATACCTCTTTGCTATCAATGGTCTTAACCCAATACCGACACTTCTTAGCATCTAATACCCTCAAAATTTAAATATATTTAACATTTCAATCCAAGAGTAATTATAAAATTACAAGCAATGCAAGATGTTTTTGAATATGAGCTGTATCAAATATCCTATACTTGCATTAAAGCCCATCCCTATCGGATGGATTTGGATCATCGAGAAAAATTCTGGGTCGATGAGCACATTTTAAGGAAAGTGTCACTAACGAAGAGCTCATCTCATCGATTATACATTTGATTGCTATGCAACAACGATTGCTATGATGCAGAAAATATTATAAAACTAATAAAAAATAGAATTTACATAAGACTGGAATATGGTAAATAAAATGGGGGAGGATAAGTATTATTCTATAAATGCCGCAGTAGAGAAAATTTAGGAGTCAAGATATCTCGCATAAAGAGAACATATTACCACTTTTAATGCAACTTACCATAAACAACAGTTACAATTATTCGTATTGACAACATCATGAAAAGTAGAATCAAATTGCCTTTCATTATCCTTTAAAATATGGACCTGAGAAGATCTAGTTCACCCTTCTTTCTCGACATTGTACCACATGTTTGTCAGCCTATCAGCTGGTACATGATTCATATTTTCATGGAGGAAATTCAGTAGCATTACTCTTCATCAGATTCTTCATCACTTTCGGCATTTTCTAACCAGGTGATAAATGGCTTAGCAGCTCTACGGACCTTCTTGGAAACATCCTTTGGAACAAACTTCTTTGAACTCTTTGTACCAAATCTCATGATTTCTTCCTCAGAAACGACGTCTTCATTATATATTTGCACTAGAATCTTGGGTAGTGTTGGAATCAATTCCTTATGTTCTAGACCCAAAAATCTCTCGATACCACCCAAGAAGTTCTTCTCGTAATCGGCGTTAACGAATACCTTGGTAAAGAAAGCACTGTGCTCAGAGATTTCATTAACGATATCCTCGGTGAAGATACATTGAGCCAAGACGCAGGCAATCTTTGGATCGCTCAGGACATCTAGCTCAACAGCCTTCTTATACAATTCAACATCGGATGGTAGGTTAGACTTGTCCTCACCAGCTTCGTTGATGATCCATTCACCGTACTCTTCAAGCTTCGTTAGCTCAGTGTCAACAGCACCGTTGGCGACTTGCAGTTCCTTGGCACGGGCTCTGATGGCCTCTTCAGACATGTCGACGGCCCACTCATCATCCTTGACCTCAATTTGCTCCAGTTCGGAAGCCGCAGCGTTAATCTCTCTGGCCAAGGCATCGTCGTCATCGTCACCAGCATTGCCTTCACCATCTTCATCACCACCTTGGGACTTACCTTGGGCGATATCACTAATGGAAACACCACCACCACGGACGTTGGCAGAAGCGGTGGCGGACTTCTTATTCTTCTTAGAACCTGCTAAGGTGTTTGGAGGATTCTTTAGGATGAAAGATGAAAGCTTGTGTCTCAATTCCATTGGAGTTCTCTTACCACAGGCTTTACAGTCTCTGACCAAGTCGTCATTCTTGGTGATGATGATCTCGGTTTCCGGGTTCTTACAACTGCCACACAGAACGAACTTGTTGATGAAACCATCTAGCACATCTTGCAACTTAGCTGGCTCGTGAACACCGTTCACCAGGTATCTCTCGGTCTCAACATTACCAGAAGTCTGCGCACCAAGCTCAAAACCAAAGTATTTCAACAGGTATTGAGGAGGTCTGTTCAACGCACGCGCAACATCGGAAAGGTTCAAAACAGCAGTCTTGATACCATTACCTCTACCTTCAACCTTGGCCTGGATAGGAGGCATTTTGTAACGGTAGAAAGGATCATGATTGTCTCTGCAAATATTAATCGACATGGCGGAATTATTCTTTTTTTTTTGGTTCGATGCTAACTGCTATTAACTGCTGTCGATCTTGCTCTATACACAAGGCTGCTCTTAAGTATTGTAAAAGGACCTCCAGAATTACCCACTAATATGCCAGCTTCAACCACTATAATATGCGTTTATTCAAAGTTTTTTGGCAGAAATTTCAGTTTTTTTGCAAGAAAAATTTTTTTTCACCGAAAACTCACTTCTCTGCGGAGGAATCTCTGTGCTTTGTGAATTCCATCACATGACCCATACTAACTTCTCATATAAGAAGTTAGCATATTGCGATGAGCTACTGATTGTAGGTGTATTCCCTCGGGGGTTGAAGCAAGGGTGACAGTAGCTAGACAAGATGCTGGTAGATCTGAATGTATGCTGGCCTCAGAAGGATTTCAAGACGCCGATCAGTGCGCAGGATGAGGCGAATGTGAGGGCTACGCTAATGACGTTGAAGACACTCGGGTATACGCATGTGGCTCTGAACTTCACTGTCAGTCAGACGGAGAAGTTCCCTAACGATGCGCGGGAGCTGAACCCGATGGATATCAATGTGCGGTTCAAGAAGCTGATGGAGGCCACTGGCCTCAAGATATACTCGCGTATAACGCTGGTCATTGACGATCCCTCGAAGGGACAGAGCCTGGCGAAGGTATCACAGGCGTACGATATAGTCGCGGCGCTGCCTATCAGCGAGAAAGGTCTCACTTTGGCTACTACGAACCTGGACATCGACCTGCTCACATTCGAATATTCGCAGCGGCTACCGATGATGCTTAAGCACAAGACTATATGCAGTTGTGTGAACCGTGGTGTGAAAGTGGAAATTGCATACGGTGCTGCATTGAGGGAGTCATTTGTGAGGAAACAGTTTGTCTCCAATGCCAGAAGTGTGATCAGAAGCTCGAGAGGTAGAGGTATAATAATCAGCAGCGGGGCCGCGTCGCCTTCAGAGTGTCGAAACGTGCTAGGTGCAAGCAGCATAATTAGCTTTCTGGGACTGAAGAGCGATAGTTGCTCTAGAGCCATGGGCGAAGTTCCCTCGCTGGTTTTACTGAACGGTAGACTAAGAAACAAAAGTTACAAGCAGACGGTAGCGGTTGGCACCGCCTCGAACGGATCAAACGTAGTTGAATCCAAGCTAGAAGACGATAGCCGAAATATCAAGATTGTTGCTAGAGATATATCTGCAACCGCCGAGCCCGATCAAGGTCCTGAAAGAAAGAAAAGAAAAATATAAATATATATATGTATCACCCGCCCAATTATTAAGAGATGACTATAGAACATTTATTTAATATCTTCATTTGCGATGGCCCCGGCATTGCGATGCCTAGACATCGTAGGCAATTCGATTTCTAGTACATACCACTTCAGACTGTAGTAGCAGTTCCTACTAGAGACACCAGCAGTCATACCCAGGATATAAATTACCATACTGTACACTAGCTATTGCAACTTGCCCTATGGCATTCACAGGCTTAATATGACTTTTGGATGTATGAACAGATACGTACTTCAGCATATACCACATATGTTTGTACTGGTCTTTCTGACCAATGCCAGATATCTACAGAGACGAAGCCCGACCCGACGAGATGCTGATGTGTCCATTGCATGTAAAAGGATGGTATTGTGTGTAATTTTGTCTTCTATTGTGCTTCCATTCCTTAGATGGCTAATAGATGTTGAGCCTCTCGATCACCTTCGAGAACTCTGGGACACTGTGAATTAATAGTAGGCACTGCCTCCTAAGTAAAAAACAGGCCAGCTCACACACATATGTATTTATACCATGCCTCAATACTGTTCATGGCAGCGTTTAAACGACACATTTCACTCTGACACGTAGACCAAAGCAATTGCATACTTGAAACTACCGACCCATGCTTCATCCAATAGGCTCTTCTTACACTTGGGATGTCCATGCGTCAGCATAGCTTTTGGCCATACCTTAACTCGCACTATATCCACCGCATGGCTCCATTACTGCTCCATTAATGCTGGAGGAAGCTAGAGGGAACTGCACAGATGGGCGGGAAGGCACTACGGTACATCTGTTTCTGAGATGGGAGGACATGGTGTGAAGCCGGTAAGCGAAGCCGGTAAGCGAAGCCGGGTGCTTAGCATGATGTGTACTGTGCAGAACATTGCAGTAGAGAGCTGCATCGTAGTTTTGATTTGTGTAATGAACAGCACGAACCTACGTTCTGCGCAGGAAATAGTGGGATTTATTGGAAGGCAAAGTGTGGAAGTGGATGACTTCCAGAAAAGGGACTGCAGATCCCCGCAGAGACCACAGAACACACAGTAGAGAGGTAATTTTATAGTTTCTCGGCCTTTTCCTAAGGATTACTGCGGGGGGGGGGGAGCTGTCAAGGTAAATCAGAAAATCAAAGGATATGAATGATGGCCGAAAAGGGTAATGCCTTCCTTAATCAGTACATATACATAAATTCTCGTAGATCAGGGTTGCTTACAAGATAATAGCCACAGAAGAGGCAAGGAACCTTAGAAGACACGTATATAGACAATTGTTAATAAACTTAAGCCAAGGGTTCTTATCGGTATTTATTACAATTATTCCGGACTGGGACAGAATTTATATAATGTAGAACGCATAGACAAACCACATTTGTAATGAATTCATGGCACTGCAACATGCTTCTCTAGAACTACAGACAAAAACTAGTGAAACCACAAGTATCAGGTAGAAAAAAAAAAGCCATTGAGATTCTTATACTGGTATGGGGGAAACTATGGCCAAACATTCTAAAATCATTACTTTACCTAAATAGGAGACATAATTGATCGTTGTAGGCTATACATTGTCTCCGCACCTGGCCATTTAATATCTGAAGAGTAGTTAGCATGCTTCAGGTTACTCAAATAGTCTTGATGATGTGTCAGTATATCTGTTGAGACAGAGATAGGGAGTAATCAGGATCTTCACCAGAATTGCTAGAAAAGAAAAGGGTTAGTAATTTGGAGCAGCACGTATGCCGATCATTCTCACGATAATTTGTACGACATATAACTTGAGTAGACTCGACACTGTGATTTAAAAAGGATGTTTTACCAAATCAAGGAACCCTTTCCTTTTGCCTACTTAGATAGTCAGGTCTTGCAGAATGCAACCAATTTATATTGAAATTACCAATGAGCAATTCATTAATACTCCTTAGGATTTTCACCTCTGCGAGTCTTTTACAGCAACCTCTAATTTGCTTAAATAAGGACAACACATTAAATAATGTTTTTTCTTCTTCTTTCACTACACAAAACTAACTGATAATAGTCTAGAAAAAAAATATATGTATCAACTCACTAGTTTTTATAGCACCTTCAAGTATTTTCGCAGCAAATACTACAGTAAAAACCATACGGCTTACTGTAATCGCACTGATATTCTTAGTACTATGCCAATTCTATGGCAAACTAGCAAGGTTCGAGGAGAAGAAATTTGAGACTCTCTCCAAGATGTCCTGCCAAACTGTCAGAAACTGCAAAAGTACCTGTATCGCCCATTCAATTGGCATCTTTTTATTACAACAGAATGCTCCTTAAATCTCAGTCCAAGAAAAAAAATTCTCTTATAAATACCACCAAATCCTTCAATTCAGCCATTCCAATTATTATGGGTATTTTCTACAGTACTAAATTTTGTTCAGACTACTCTTTTCTAATTCTGATTTAACTATTTCTCAGATAGTTTTGGAAAAAGCATTATTTGCATTGTGTTCATAGAGGTCAATCGCTGTAATAAGCGCAGATATTTGTGTTAAAAAAAGTACATGTAACAGAGAAGCAACAAAACAATATTAAAAAAATAACTTCATTAAAGTCTCAATCTATGGATAATACCAAACCTGCCACAGGGAGGAAAAGCCTCCCAAAAATGAACTCAATATGGATTGATGAAGACCAAGAGGAAAAATTATACAACATCCAAGCGCAAGTTATGCTTAATGATGATAACTCTAATGATGATTTGCAAAATATTATGTTTTTAAACAGCAAGACTCCACTATTGAATAACAAAAAAAATATTGAATTACCGCCATTAGATGAAAACCAAGGTAAGACAGGAAAAACTCCTAAAAATGCAAAAGTTAACCAAAAGACAAAAGGAAACAGTCAAGAGGCTAGAATCTCTACTATGAAATTACTGAAATTATTTGGTTCTCGTAAAGAAACAAAGCCGTTAACTATATCAACGCCTTTTGATTTCCAACATATTTCCCATGCAAACGGATTTTCTTCCGCTGCTGAGGCCCGTGAAGTTGAAAGGCATGAGCTGAAAAGAGAAACACTGCAAACTCCTAGAGCATCCATTGATCTAACCCAAGTAGCTCTACAATCACCAGTTCGTCTATCCACCAAACCTAATTATCATCACTCTTCTTCGTCAAGAAGCTCCTCGAAGTTCAGTGAATCCCCTTCCGGCTCAAGTGGTATCATGTCCAACTTCACAGTTGATACATCTGTGGATGAAGTTTCAGTGGAATTATTGACTACAGAAAATAAAGATGATGATAGCGTCTATTTAAATGACTTGAAAAATTATAATTTCCCCTCTATTATTAGTCAGTCATTAGATAATATGCAATCCAATTCAAGCAAGGAAAACTCAACAAGCAAATTAACTTCTGAGGACCCTTCACCAACCGATATTGCTCCTTCAATTGGTAAAAAGCAAAGAATATCAGTGGATGATATTTTGAGATTCTACTCTGGGAATTCCAATTCTAGGTCAAGTACTCAAGCATCTATACCAATTAAGGGTGTGTAGTCGCACTTATTATCTGACATATTGTGAAATTATACTAACCTAACATACTTTCTTCTCAGTCCAGGCTTTTGTCATAAGCTTAGTTTTTTTATTGTTCTTTCTGCCAAGGATAAACTCAAAAGTCTTCCTATTGTTTTCTAGATTTGCTTCTGAATAACTGAGCAAATGTACTTATTTTTGTGACAATTCTTTAACTCCCACGATACCCTTCTTAAATAGTTCTATGTATTTCCACTTATAAATAATATAAGTAGAAAAATCAATTATCTTTGTCTATATTTCACTTACAACTCACGCTCTTATCTGAGCTATAGTAGCTATTCTAACAACTTCTAAGGAAGGGGATGACAAAAACTTAACATTTAAGGTGAGTGTACACAACGCTAAAATTGTTGCCAATGCTATTATCATTGATGGAAGCGTTGCAAAACTTGTGAAATAAGCTCCAAAACAAAATTAAGCAATACCTCAAAATTAATATCGCAAGCAAATCATGAAATGCCCGAGATATTCAATTCTCATTTATTATGGCATTTATACTATTTTTGCAATTCAGGAGTTTCACAATTATGGGTAGTGTACCTTTAAAATTAGATTGAGCATTCCTTAGTGTCTGCGGCGTTGAGAGGCCGCCACCAAACATAAGTATCGGATCATAATCTCTAGTTCTATTAGTCTCTTCAGTAATTTCGGCATCTGCAATCTTTTTGGTTTGTTTTCGATTCCTTAATTGCTCTGCTTCTTTATCTTTAACCTTTTCTGCAGGTACATTGACAGGCTTGGGCTTGGCTACTATATCAACCTTGCCAGATACCATGACCTCAGCCATTACCTGGCCCACGTAGCCATCATCCCAATAATCTTTGCCGTATTTACCCCTGAGGGCATCCTTGTTATGGTAGTTAGCTCGACTTATGTTATTAAACCCATCGTGCATTGATTTACTCAATTGCTCTAGCAACGCATCATAATCCGCTAGCAATTGCAGCAGCTGTATCATGTCATGATCCTTCATTACTTGTAATGCTTTTAATTTATATCAGAGTTTATCATCTGAGTATAATAGCTCCCAGCTTGCACTTACCAGTGCCAAACAATAGCCTCTCTATAGACAAGCTTTTTCTATTTAGAAGTGGGAAAATATCGAATCCACTATACTAGGGTACACGATTTGAAGGTATGTATAAGATTTCTTTAAACAAGTAACTCTCGAAATTGAACATATTTACTTGATATTTCTGATCTGTACTGAATATTATATGGTAGTTGCCTGTATGATACTATCTAGCTATATATTTACATGACATAATAAGTATCCACTAATTGGCGACACTACTTGTTCCGTTGTTCAGCTCTCCATTTGGCAACAGTTGCCTTCCTATTCCTTTCACCACCAAAGAAGGACTTCTTACCTTTCTTCATCTCCTTCACAGGCTCACCGTTCCTGAACTTCTGAGCCTGGTGTAGTATATACCTCCTCTGCTGGACCGACACACCTTTTGACTTCAAAGTCTTGGAGTCCCACTCAAACAAGTTCTCCCACTTGTTCTCAAATGTCTCAGTCAGTTCTGAACAATCTCTGCCTATAGTCTTGAGAAACGCCTCTACGTCAGGTATACTTTGTGATGGTGCTGGCACTTTAAGTGTACGCCTTGCACTCATCTGCACCACCCGTGGAACGGCTCTCACACACCCAAATATACTCAACATCGTTGACTTATTGTGCTAACTTGTGCCTTAGCTTAGCAACTAGTCATACAATGGATTGCCTTTATGTTAATCCTTCAATTGTAGTAATTTTTCAGTTTTAGAAGTGGATTCGGGTCTGTTGGCCTCTGAACGTTAAAAGACGAGAAAAGTCAGGAATAATAGTATTGAAAGCCATTGGCAATGTCGGGGCAGTCGACAACTTACTAGTGTCAGTTCTATATTGCGTTAATAACAAATAAGCTTGCAATCATGGATACCCCACTGGATGAGCTGCAATGGAAGTCGCCCGAGTGGATTCAGGCGTTTGGGCTGAGGACGGACAATGTGCTGGACTATTTTGCAGAGTCGCCTTTCTTTGACAAGACTGCAAATAACCATGTGATTAAGATGCAGAGGCAGTTCTCGCAACTACCCAACAATGGTGCTGCCGCTGGCTCCATGAACCCCGAGACTATGCGAGATGCGCACAGTGAGGACATGGGCCAGGAGCAAGAATTCTCGTATGTGGACCCCATAAGGAGGGCCATATTAGAGAAGTATGTGGTACATGCTTTTCTGGAGAGGGAGCTGATGAAAGTTCGTGGCATAGAGTATGTGCTGGCCAATGTACGAGAGCCTGATTTTTGGGTAATAAAGAAGCAGAGGAGGACATCCCCGACAGCGATAGAGCCCTTGCAAACATACTACATAGTAGGTGCGAACGTCTACCAATCCCCAACGGTGTTCAAGATAGTACAAAGTCGTCTGTTAGCTTGTAGTTCCCATCTATCTGCTACTCTAGCAGAGCTGAATAACTTGGTTGAGTTTAAGCCTTCTCAAGGTGTACAGTATAAGAATATATTGGACATGCCAGTGACCACGAGGAAGACAGGCAATACCGCGAACGTCGGAAGTGTCCCTGGAACAATAAGTGCAAGTCTAAATATGCCAATGGTCAACACAGGAAGATTAAACAGTGCTGGCGCGGCTACTATCGGAACATCCGGAGTTCCAAACAGTGCAGGCATGACAGGAGCTAACACTATGGCTACAGGACAAACCGGTGCTACTTCCAGATTTGAGAATGGCTCGTCAAGATCATCAACAGATGCAATTTCCACAGACACACTCGATAAATTACTAATAACCAGTATGAAATCAACACCAGAGTACATATGAAAAGAATTGAAGAAAAGATACAACCTTAAAACCTACTATCCAAGCGTATGTACTGTGAGGTTTGGATAAAGTATAAATATTACAAAAACCTCTGTAACATCTATAAGACCGTAAGTAACATCACATATAACGTAAACTAAACGTGATGGAAGAAACAAAGAAATGAAATAAAACATCGAAATGCTTACAATAACGATATAAATGGATGACAAGAATAGCAAATACGAACGGTTGTTGGACAAGCAGTGGCTTCTGTGCCTATATCAATAGTAACAGGGTAGTACAAATACACTCTTCGAGGTTCAAATACGACTTTTTCCCCGAAACTGATCGCGTTTCTCGGTGCCATTTTAACGTCCTATTCGCTTTTTTTTATTGGCAATTGCACAAAAATTATAATAAATTCTGTGCATTCGAGCTGATTGAGTCCCGTCTATTGCTTATTTGATCCGGTATAATACGCAATGTACCAGGCTGTGCTGACCAAGAAGGTAAAAAAGCCACCTGCCTGCCAGCAATGTAGGAGAAGAAAGATTGGCTGTGATCGTGGGAAACCTATATGTGGTAACTGCCTAAAGCAAGGAAAGACAGATTGTTTTTATCCCAAGGTCCCTGGTGGAGCTAGTGCTGACTATACGAGCCTGAATGGGCAAGTAGGGCAGTTGCCGACTGATTTCACTAAGGCGAAATTTACTGTCGACAAGTCAAGTAAATCGAAGCAATCGGGTTATAAAAATTCCATTTTACCTGGAGAAAATGGTTCTCATAGGCGGCTGGAGTTGGAGTTATCTACTGTGGAGAAACTCAGGGAGTATCAGACTGCTTTGCAATTATTCAATGCACATAATCCAGATTCGTTAGCGACATCTAGTTCCTATGATAATTATAAACTGGGAGCGTTCAGATCTTCAAATTATTTGAACTGGCATGAAGATTCTGCTGAATACGATATAATGACTACCACAATGACCCAAGAGGAAGTAATTGATAAAGAAATGGAATATTTGAAGGACAGACTTGCGGAATTGAAAAGCTATGCTTTAGACAGGCGATTAATTTCCACAAAAGACTCCGAATTAAATTCATCAAACTCCAAGAAACGGTCATTTGAAGAAGTAACTCAAGATGATAATATTTATGATGATGAAGATGGAGAATTTCTTTTGCGTCCCATATTTGATTACCAACTTCCACAGGCATCTGATACTCTTATAGTGAAGGAGGTATTCAATGCTTTGTATTCACCCTCCTTTTTGATGACACTTGATAATGTATTATTGCAATTTTTTGGTAATACTTTGGGTTCATTCAATGAAGAACAGATGGCTGAGTTTAAAAAGCTGAAGGTCGAAAAGAAGGCTGGATTGGATGTGGAAGCAGTATCACAATCATCACTTATAATACCATCATCTAATACTTTGAGAAATATTGGTGATTTTTACTTTGATGTGGCTATTCCTTCAAAGTATTTTGACCTACTCAATAAAAATGAATATGATACACTGATACCAAGCAGTCATAAGAGTGATAGTGCAATCTCTATCAATGGGCTTTCAATCGATGATATAGCAGCAGTAGGTATTCTGTCTATTATTGCGTTAATAGTATTTGAAGCCCTGCTATCGATGAATGACTTAAGTAGAAGTCAAAAATCATTGTTCGAACTACTCAAGCAGAATTACGAATCCTTGATTGCTAATCTATTCTTAGTTAAAAATGAATTAAATTTCAAGAACCATTCATTACAATCAATGCGGGTGTTGAAATTCTACATTTTTATGAAATTCTTTGATTCTATTTCAGTTTCTAGGAGTATCGTAAATGCTAACGATAATGATGAAGATATCTATCTTGCTCGGGCTCTTAGAATCAATAATTGCTCCAATTCATCCGAGAATGAAGAAAAAATACATATATGGAATATTTTATTGCGGTTATACCAGGATAGAAAGCTTAATAAAGGTACCATTCCAATATACTCACAAGATATTAACGATAATTCAACAAATGTTACTGATTCTCTTTTACTGAAGAACTTGCCATTCTATGATGCTGCTAGTAGTCTCGTAGACTATTTAATGATCAGAGATGCTAGGTTATCTTCGCTGGAGCTTGCTGAGAGAGTTAATAATGTCGAGAAAACAATAGCATCGAATAAGCTGGAATGTATAAACACTCCTTATTTTCTATTAAATGATTACAACTGTTGGCTGCTAGGTAAAACCAGTGTATTAAGCGTACAATATTTCCAGTTGTTAGGTATAGAAGCAGAGAGATTGTTATCGCCAGCACAGCATTTCAGTCAAATGCAATCAATAATCGAGCATGTGAAAGATGCATTGCTCCACTCTTTGTTTTACAATACTAGCGGCATTTCTGAAAACTTTATGTATCTCACTTTAAGCAAAGCACTGACCAGCGTAGAGTCTGCATGTTTAATTACGTTTGGAATATTACAAAGATGTAGATTGCAGCTCGATTCTTTTAATGACAATGAAGAGTACGGTGAGCCGGATAATCAAGAAGAGCTCAATGAAACCAAAGAGTTAGAAGAAACGAATAATCATAAGAAAGAAATTATCAGGAGAATAGTTGAAAAGCTTGAGGATGTTTTGAAGAAAGTGTACTGTTATTTGGTTGATTGGGCTACGAAATCAGAAGGCCTAAATCTAAAAGCTGCCAACTTGGCGAAAAAATTGAGGATATTCATCAAGTATTTCTTGCACACACCAAAAGAAAGCTTTACTCCAGATATTGACTGGAAGGAGTACCTAAGTGAGCGTGTTGGTGAAATAGATATCGAAGCATACCGTAAGCTTTACTATTTGTCAGAGAATTTATCAGAGAAATTAATGAATTCTGTGGTGTATGAGGGGAAATCGAAACAACTAATACACGAATCAGGTAAATTCAACGCTCCTCTTGTGGATGAATCAATACTACACGACTTTTTTGAAGCATTTTTCTGATAGTATCTCTCATTAATAGAATATTCTTTTCAATTCTGGTGTTATGGACTATAGTTCATCTAGGACTAACCCTTTTTTATAGAGTTTTTTTACATCTTTGTAATAGAATTGTAATACTAATAGCATGTACTTTGCACAATACCTACCTTGTATATTGCATTGCTCTCTAATTCTCGCTCTCTCCATCTCTCTCTATCTCTCTCTATCTCTTTATGCGATGAATTGTTGTCCAATCAGTTTACCTGCCCGCTTTTTCTCCGCGAGACAGCTTTTTCCAGACTGGAAAGGATATTTATACTGGGGAAAGAACCTAAAAGAAATGCCGATGATCCAACTCACAGATCATTTACAAGTACAAGGTTGATTTGGTTTAGAACAAAGAACTAGTATCAGATAGAAAATCTCATCTTTCAATTGAGTCAGGATCTAAATGAGTTGTGTGAAGAGGTCTTTTTGTAACGGATTGCAAAGAGCAGTCCAAATAAGACGACTAACAGGGTTGGCTAACTCAGATCTCACACCATTTCTGGCAGAGCAGAAGCAAGGTAGTGGTAGTGGACCGTTTGTTGAAATACCGTCAATTGAGAAAGTGCCTAGATCCAATGTTTTATTCAAACTGCCCAGGAACACCAATCTACACGGTGAGCTAAACTCGGTTGCAGTGCTAGACATAGCTGAATCGCCAGACTTGGCGCAAGGTCAAGACAAGGCGAAATTGAAGGTCATTGACCAAAACTGCAAGAGCATATCAAAGATATTCTCAAACACCAATGCGATGAATCTGCTTGTCAACACCACTGTGCCAACTACAAACATACGATTCTTCAAGATTGAGGACTACAAGAATGGCATACAAGTAAACGTCAAGTCTAATCCTAGCATTCTATGTTACACAGGTGAGATTCGAAGATCGCCAGTGCGTGAGCAAGGCAAGTTGAGATTGAGCAATATTGTGGGCCACGGATTGCTCGGGATCCGCAGCAGTGCGGGACCGATTACGCAAATTGCACTAGCTGCAGGCGAAGATGTCACAATCGGCACGAATTCTCTCATTACATTGGAAAGCACATGCCAAGTTGTGCCTGAAACTCAACTCGAACCCGCGGTCACCAGCATGAGAAATATCTATCAAAGCATTTCCGTTGCTATTAAAAGAAGTTACAGAAAGTACAGCAACAGATGGACCGAGGACAAAATAACCATTCGAGGACCAGGAAACTTGCTCATCCAACTGAAATAGCGTGCTCTACAAGAAAGAAAAGCACATGGTTCTAAATACCTAAATGGGGGGTGGTGGTTACAAGTACAACATACGTAATCCAATTGACACCTTGATTATTTTACACTCGATACTTCCAGCGTATGTGCGTGAATGGCACAATGACATAATAAATCACATTCAAAGTCACATTCCTGACGTTATAGCACCGATTGAGTCGGCACTATATCCGGTGCTATGCGTCCCACCCATACCCCACACACTATACCCTAGGCGGATCCATCTAAACAGAAACGCCATTACACCACACCGCGATTGTGCTGGCGCATTGTTGCCTCTATGCAGGCTTCCATCCCTCCTCCCCCACATACATTTCACACTCACAGAAAGCACTGCACAGTGCCATCCCATCTCACTTCTCTTCAAAGGGGCCCTAACCCCAGACGGCTATTGTGGTAGTCTAGAACACTTGACTCCCTCAACCATGGCTACCCCCCCCCCCTCCCCCCCCACTTCCACTGAACAGCTCGCACCAATGCGGGAAGGCACTAAATCTCAAAAGCGACAAACCCAGAAAATCCCAAAAAACCCAAGAAAAAATGACGTATAATCGTTCCTCTACACCCTTTTCTCTGCAGGACGGATGGTGGGGCATTGAAACCCCCCTTCGTGTCGCTTCACAGATTCCAGAAATTGATTAACTTGTTTTTGCTAAATTAGACATGACGTCTGTACGGTCTTTTCTCTGCGTATGTCTATTTATTACTGGTAAAGGGTTTTGCCAGCATTAGCGTTTCTCGAGTACCAAAACCCGCCAAAAGCAGCGAAGGTGTTCAGTTTTTATCGGGTGCTACGCGTTTCTCTGTGGACTCCTCCCCCCCCCCACATCATATTTCTTTGCTTCTCAAGTTATAATGGTTGATTAGTCTTATGTGGTGGGGATGTACGTTGATCGAGTGAAATGACAAATGAGAAAAGATTTTCAGTAGCATGTGTTAGTGTTGTCCTTAGGAATATATATACAGGTTGAATTTCGAATTGTATTCTTGTCAAGGACTGAAAGAAAAAAAAACCATCCTTTCGCATCAAAACACTCATGTCGCAGACGATCGTTATAAAATTGGGTACGTCATCGCTGGTCGATGAAAAGACCAGGGAGCCTAAGCTGTCTATCATGACACAGGTTGTGGAAACAGTTATCCAGCTGAAGAGACAAGGCCACAAGGTGGTGATTGTCTCCAGTGGTGGTATTGCTGTGGGTCTTAATGCCATGGAGATGGACAAGAAGCCCACGGACCTCGCTGAGATCCAGGCCATCGCCGCTATAGGCCAAGGCAGACTGATCGGAAGGTGGAGTATGTTGTTCCAGCAGTATGGCGAGAAGATAGCGCAGATTCTGATCACCAGAAATGATATTCTCGGGTGGACTCAGTATAAGAACGCCCAGAACACTATCTTGCAGCTGTTGGAGATGGGTGTCGTCCCCATAGTTAATGAGAACGACACTTTGTCCATCAGCGAGATCAAGTTCGGTGACAACGACACGCTGTCTGCTATCACTGCGGCTCTGGTCTCTGCTGATCACTTGTTCTTGCTAACAGACGTTGACTGTCTGTACACTGAGAACCCAAGAACAAACCCCGACGCTAAGCCCATAGTCATCGTCCCAAACATGGACCAAGGTGTGCCCGGTGTGGATACGTCGAACGCAGACGCTGGATCAAGCGTCGGTACCGGTGGTATGAGAACGAAACTGATCGCTGCGGACCTGGCGACAAACGCGGGTGTTAACACTATCATCATGAAGAGTGACGCACCATCCAACGTGAAACACATCGTGGACTACCTGGTTAAATACCCAAAGAAAGTCCTATACGACGATAACAAGAGCAGTAGGGAGCAATCCTCAGAACCATTGAGCCTGGATCAGCTCAAAAACCACCCCTATGGCAAGGGAGGAGTCATCTCCCCACCGAAGAGTGAAGAGGATCTCCTAAGTCTACAGGATGCTGAATTGAAAGAAATCAAGGAGAGAAATGTTCCCCTTCATACGGTATTCTTGGCTAAGGATATAGATCACCACTTAAAGAACAGAGAGTTCTGGATATTACATGGTCTGGTTACCAAAGGTGTGCTTATCATTGATGAAGATGCCTACAATACGCTGACGAATGAGTCCGGTGATGAGGAGCATGTGTCTGAGGCATATGTTTCCGAAGTCGAGGACGATGAGATGTCTGAAGTTGATCAAGATCATGGTCTGTTGCCAAAGGATGTTATTGAAGTCAAGGGATCATTCCATGAACTTGAGTGTGTTGACATCAAGGTCGGAAAAAGATTGCCCAACGGTAAACTGGACCCTGATGCTCCATTGGAATACGTCGGAAGAGCCAGATGTAATTTTACAAGTGTTGAACTAAATAGAATTAAGGGGCTGCCAGTAGACAGAGTTCAAGACGTTTTGGGTTATGATGTAAGCGAATATGTTGCGCACAAGGATAACCTGGCATTCCCACCATCGGCTAGTAGTGTCAGTTTACAGTTGAAGACCTAATCGTACTTTGTATATTCTCTAATGTATAGACAAAAATTATATACAGATGCAAATTTATTATGACTACCCAGTATTAAATTAAATGAAAGCTCAATGGCTGAGAATTCCTATGTTAGGTACCTCTACAAGAAGATAGTTAAGGTTCCGGTTTTATTGACATAAAAGATTTCAGAGCTATTCATGATGTCCTTGCCTTCAAATATATTGGGGAGAGGTATTTTAAAATCTTTCTGATCGTATAAGTCCGTATTCAGGTTTCGCAGAACAATATCGTTGTTGGTAGGGTCATAGAATATATTCAGATCGCTTTTACCAGTAATTGAGTCTATTTGGATATCAAGTCTTAACTTATACTTGTGATTTTCTATTTTTTTCATTACTACATTATATTCAATATTCTTCTGCACCTTTTTAGCAGCATTCTTAGGTTTTTCTTTTAGAGTTAAATCATCAATTTCCTGGATCAAGCTTCTGCCCTTGGTTTCATTAGCCTTTGGAAATAAAGGAGGTAATCCATGGGCTGTGATATCACTATCATTACTCAAGGAGAGGTCTTCTTCTTGAGATAGTAAGTCTCTCCTGATCTGCAGTAAGCTCGATGGATCGTTGCCTTTATCATTTTGAGTTGCTTCCTTTATATCGCTTCCATCGAGTTCATTGGAGAAGATCTCCAAGTCGGGAATGGAATCACCTTTCTTTCTCATCTTTGGGAATGAGATTTTATCTCTTGAGATCTCAATAACTTCACGTAGCTCTGCAGCTTCCAAACACCACTCTACTACAATTTCTTTCAGTTGGTAATCCTCAACAAACCACTTGACACAATCAGAAGCGACACAGCAATCTATCACATAACAAACTTGTCCCTTTTTATCCGTATCCGTTCTAATGGACGATGCCACAATGGGTATCTCCCACTTGTTGTTAATTATCAATGGGTAAACAATGTTGGGATCAAACGGAATTTCCGGTTTGGGTGCCTGCGGATCATGGCACAGGTTAACGAAGATCTTACTCCCAGCTTCCAACTTCAGCAGCTTCTTGGGTCTATTGTCAATGTTAACTATCTTTGATTTGATCACAAAAAGAGGCTCGGGATGTAAAACAGTGACTTGGTTGTCGTCACCACTAGCTATTGGTCGCAACAAAAAATCCATTTCTCGCCGCTACAAGTTTTCTTTCAAAGGAGTCAAGTAAATGACTATTTTCAACAAATAATATCGCTTGACGTCCACAGTATCCTTATATCAGGTCAATCCTACATCGATCAGTCATCAATCAGCCAAATTTCGATTTATTTATTTTTTTTTCAAATTTGAGCTCAAAGCGATGAGCCTGCGATGCCCAACCCTTTAAATTTTGGAAAAATTAATTAGATTGAACAATGGTAATATAAGAGAGGACTTATTCATTAATATAGCAAGACAGTTTTTGAGTTCCAAGCAATAAGATATAGATGATAAGCTATGCAGTTGCAGTGTGCTCAGGCTGCTGTAACGGAGTCGTCCCATTTGCGGGACATAGACAATAATGAGAATGTTCTGTACTCGATTTTTGAGCCGTTTCTCCCTGAACAAGATGATAATATGGTTGACGGGGATTCCAGTGTATGTTCAGTATGCGGATGCCACATATATGAGAAGGAGGTGTGTCATATATGTGACTCAGTGAGGCTTGGCGACATGAACGGTTATACCTTGAGGACTGGCGATGCTCGAGTGCCTCTAGAAGGTCGGGTGATTGTGATAGACACTATATGTGAAGAAATAGAGTTTTTGGCATTAAAGACCAAGCTCGTCGATTTCTTGAGCCAGATCGACCCTGTGCCCTCACTTTTAATATCGTTGCATGCCGATGGCACAATCAAAATCCATGGAAGCGAGAAGATAGCGTCCATATATGTGGAGCATCTGAGGGTGAAATATGCTTTCAAGAGGCATGATAAAAAATATTTTATGAAACTGATAGATGGAATTGAGATTATGAATAGTTATAACGAGCATGTCATTGCACATATAAAGGCGCTGAGAAACTCAGTATACACTCATAATAGGAAGAAAAGGGCTAAGCGTGCTACTGGATGTGCACTTTTTTTGGCTAATCTTTTGTGCAAGTCGGATAAACTGCATTATGAAGTTTTATCTTTTCTCTCAGGTCCCTGTACACTTGGGAATGGTAAGGTCATTTCTAGAGAGGTCAAGAACACTATCAGACAATTTACTGATCTAGACCAACAAAAGGCTAAATATTTTGATGACGCAAGGAGTTTCTATAAGTACTTGGCAGCAGATAGTAAGTCAGTTGCTTATGGATTTTACATCAATTGCCTGGATCAAATTGGCATTTATGAAATGTCGCCATTGATTAAGCAATCCGGTATAATATATCAATTTGATAGTTTCCAGGACACCGACTTGCATGATGCCTTTGACAAGTACAAATTCTTTAAGAAAAGCAACGCCATTTATGATGTGAAAATTAATGTTGTAACTTCACCTGGTATTCAGTGGCAGAAAAATCACGATGTTCCATTAAATTGGAGTATGATATTCAACAAAACGAGCATCAGTATTCCTATTAGGCTGAAAATTCAGGACTTTACAAAAAAGTTTTACAATATACAGGCTACCCTAGAGTATACTTTAGGTCCAAACAGATACAAATATGTTAAAAACGCAGTAATACATGGTAAGGACAATATTGCTAAAAATATTATGTTCCATAATGTCTTACTTGCGTCGATCACGAAAGAAATTGCTTGGGAGACACTTAATGAGAAGTATTACTCATCTCAAACATGTACAAAATACAGAGAGGTAATACTTAAGAGAATTGCCCCAAGATTCAAGCATAATATGGATGTACTACATTACATTTACAATCTGTTACGCTCCAATCTGTTGACCACAAGAAACATGTCTCCGGATGAGCGTGTTATTGCTGCCCATGAGATAGCGTATTCGACCATGGAAAAGATCGTTTTGATGATCAAACCAAAGATTCTATTGGCAAGAGAGGCGGACATCGAGCCTCAGGAAGTGGAAATTACTGCAGAATTGTACGCGGACAGGCACTCGATGTTGGGAGTGGATGCTGGAAACTTGTTTCTACTAAGAAAATCTGATGACATAGACAACAATGAATTGCGCGAAACTATAGAAAGATGGTTCCGGAAGAGGGACACATACAGTGTAACGATAATACCTTTAATTGAAGTAGTCCCAGGCAGCGGTCAGGACAGGTTTTTCAAATACAAATTAATTCCGATGGTCTCTCAACAGGCGTCGGCTGTACACTCCGAAGACACATCATTCGAAGAGTTTGTAAGACAATTATGAATTTATTGTATTCCTTATGCATTCTTTATGACAAATCCTCATGTAGTATATATCAGTTATATATTCTTCAAACATCTAGTTCATAATATTTCACCTTTTTGTGTATTAAATCCGAAAGTTCATTAGTTTTCCGAACTGGGCATCGCTTCTTTCTCAGTACCTGCCACGAAAGGAAATAACGAAATTTTTATAGTTGAAGTAAATATAAATAAATATACCTGGACTCTCCAAATATTGCTGCAACTGTTGTTGATCTGCTGATCAAAATAGTAAACCACATTTGCTAACGATACTAAATCATTTTATTTACTAGCTGTTAAAGTTGTCTAGCTTGGTCATTATTGGCTTTGAATTTATTGACTATTGGAGAGAGTTTGGCAGGACCTGTTATAACAGATTGATAACTTCCATATTCTCTAACATAACTAGAAACACAAAGGTGAAGTTTGAAATTTTTAGTGTGACTAATAGCCAAAATAGCTGGCTCCTTATTGCTACTTCGACAAGTTCATATAAAAAAATAATAGCCTGCGAGAGTCATATAATTACAGCCTAAATTTTTATTTGGCAAATAATTTCACTATTATTGCAGTTGTTACTAAACTAATATCTTTAGTATGATGGATGATTTTGTGAGTCTTAGTATACAGGATGAATATGACAAAAGTACGAAAAATGAGGATTTGATCGGTATCTCCAATCTCTGCATCTCCGAAGGCTCTAAGCTTCCTCAGCAATTAATTTGCAAATTTATGCCGCATGTTCCCGTCAGCCCGTCCCCTCTAAGGAATGCTTTCCACGTTGAAATGTTACAGGAAGACATGGAGATAGATGAAGAAGGTATAAATGTGCCACCAGAGGACCAGGTGGCCCCATTGTCGGATAACACTCGAGGCTCGTCTCCAAATAGCGTGTTTGAAGAGCAACGAGGGGCTAGTAATGGCACTGCAGTTGAGTCAGAAACCGAGAAAGAGATTGAGCAAGGTATTAATGCGATTGGTAAAATCTCGCTTGGGTCTACAAAGGATGACGATGATTTATTAGATGACTCTGAAGTGACAGAGAAGGGAGACGAATCTGGAGATTGGTCTGATATTAATGAAGAGCAAAGTATAGACAAGAAGAGTGTCATAAAGGCTTTATTATCTCCGACCACTCTGGGCATTGCTGCTGCGACTAAGCATGATCCGACCTTAAGGCCCTCGTTGATAAACGCCGAAATGGAGAAACGTACTAAAGTGACAGAAGAGCCAGAAATAGAGACGATCGATAAAGAGAATATGTTAGAGGTGAACGGTGTCGTTGACCGCTCTGCTACCGAATATATCAAGCAAGAGCTTAGGTCACGGGCCAAACGTAACGAGCCAATACATGTCTCAATCAACACGCACAATCATTACTACCCAACGCCGCAACAATACATGGACAATGGAATTTCAAACTCCAAACAATACGAGTTTGTGGGGAAAGATATCAACATTCACCAAGCTGCGTTGCTGCATGATGAGCTTCAGCAGAAGAAGCTGTACTCGCTGCCTGACCCATGGTCCCCACAGTCCCAGCCTGCTTCCAGACATTGGTATGCGATAACATCGTACCTGCAGTATTTTCTGAACGTGGTGACACTGGGTATACTGTGTGCGATATTTATCACCTTGGTGCATGCCTTCAAGGCAGACGTGCAGGCCATATGGCACCAGCACAAGGTTACATTTGAGCAAGAGTCGCTGGACTGCAAGCGCAACTTCTATGAGAACAAGTGTGACAGAGACACACCGCTTCCGGCACTGATAGATCAGTGTCATACCTGGAGCAAATGCATGAGTCGGGACAACGACAAGCTGTTCACGGCCAGAATTTCGCTGGTGGCGCGCATACTCGGCAGCATACTGAACTCGTTCATCGAGCCCCTGGGCTGGAAAGCGCTGCTGGTGCTGTTCATCGGCTGCACGATATGGTGCTTCAGCACCAACTTCTTGCTCGGTTTCGCCAGAGCAAGAAGCTACTACGGACACAACCTGGAGGACAGGATCAAGAAGCTGGAACTCACCAGGTACTACAACCAGGACCACTCCGAGCCCTTGCAGCACTCGAAACTCATAACATACAACAAATAGCATAAGGATTATTTAAATATATAAATATAATACACATCGGTATAAATCATACACATCGGTATAAATCATACACATCGGTATAAATCATACACATCGGTATAAATAATACACATCGATATAAATAATACACATTGGTATAAATACACATCGGTATAAATCATACATATTGGTATATTTTATTATCAACAAAAGCGTACGCCGGGAGAACCATGTCGGGACAAGATAAGTTGTCGGTATTACCGTCGGAAGGCCCATATCATATCAGACGACTTATCTAAAAACTTGCATTCTCGGAGATCGAGCCCCGCGATCTAGGAGACAAGTTACTAGAGCAGGAAGAAGGTTGTGCCTGCGGGGTTTTCTGTGTCCAAGCAATGAATCATCCCCAGATAACTTCGAAGTGGGTTGTGTGTGTAGGTTGTACGGCACTTTCTTAGGAGAGGGGAAGCAGTGTGGGCCGGGGCAGTGAGGCCGGGCTACTCTATTGTCTCTATGGAGCGCAGCGGGCTAGCAGGGGATTCCCCCAAGCTGGGCTATATAAAAAGGGCAGGTGCGGGACGGGTCTGTTTCTGATCTATTCCTTGGCAAACTGGTACTCAAACAAAGAGAATACAGAGATGTTGAGTGCTAGGCTATACCGTGGGAGTGTGAGGGGTGTTGCGCAGTTTGCGCGGGCTTCGATTCCGAAGCATGTGACGAATGAGGCTGTGAAGCCGTTTAGCAAGGATGCTGACAGCAAGGACTGGGATTTGTTGCGGGCGTCGCTTATGAAGTTCAAGAGCTCGTCGCTTGAAGTTCCGCTGGTTATCAACGGGGAGCGTGTGTATGCTGACCGGGGCCGTGCTGTCTTCGCGCAGACCAACCCTGCTAACCATGAGCAAGTGTTGGCGAACGTAGCGCAGGCCACTCGCGATGACATTAAGAGTGCAATTGGTGCTGCTAAGCAGGCCAAGGAGAAGTGGTACAACATGCCGTTCTATGACAGGGCTGCGATATTCATGAAGGCAGCCGATCTGATCTCTACGAAGTACAGGTACGATATGCTGGCCGCTACCATGCTGGGCCAAGGTAAGAACGTCTACCAAGCGGAGATCGACTGTATCACTGAGCTGTCAGACTTCTTCAGATTTAACGTCAAGTATGCGGACGAGTTGTACGCTACTCAGCCAATTGAGTCAGTGCCCGGTATTTGGAACAGGGCAGAGTACAGACCTTTGGAAGGCTTTGTGTATGCGGTGTCTCCATTCAACTTCACGGCTATTGCCGCAAACCTGATTGGTGCACCAGCTCTGATGGGTAACACTGTGGTATGGAAACCATCTCAAACCGCTGCGCTATCTAACTACCTGTTGCTGACTGTCTTGGAAGAAGCTGGTCTCCCCAAGGGTGTTATTAACTTTGTGCCAGGTGACCCAGTAGAAATTACAGATGAAGTGTTGGCAAGCAGGGATTTCTCCGCTTTGCACTTCACAGGCTCTACAGCAGTGTTCAAGCAACTGTACGGTAAGATCCAAAGCGGCGTTGCCGAAAACAAATACAGAGACTACCCACGTATCGTTGGTGAAACAGGTGGTAAGAACTACCACTTGGTTCACCCTTCTGCCAATGTTCCACACGCAGTCTTTAACACGATCAGAGGTGCCTTTGAGTTCCAAGGCCAAAAATGTTCTGCTACTTCTAGATTGTACTTGCCAAAGTCCATGAGCGAGGAATTCTTCAGAGACATGTTTGGCACGTTAAGCAACAATAAGGTTGTTCCAGTTAACACTTCTGCTAGTGCCATCAGCGGTGGTAACCTGCACGGATTCATGGGCCCGGTTATCCACGAGCAAAGTTTCAACAAGCTATCTGCTGCCATCGAGGAAGCCAAGAAAGACCCTGAACTAGAGATTCTGTACGGTGGACAATACGATAAGAGCCAAGGCTGGTACATTGGCCCAACGATTATCAGGACCACAAACCCAAACCATAAATTCTTGACCACGGAGTTCTTTGGTCCTATATTGACCGTTTACGAGTACCAGGACTCCCAATTCAAGGATATCTGCGAACTGATAAATGAAACCGGCGAGTATGGTTTGACCGGTTCCATCTTCTCCAGAGACCGTGACGCTATAATCTACGCCTCTGAGAAGCTAAGGTTCAGCGCCGGTAACTTCTACATCAATGACAAATGTACAGGTGCAGTTGTAGCACAGCAGTGGTTCGGAGGTGCACGCATGAGCGGTACAAACGACAAGGCCGGTGGGCCAAGCATCCTAAGCAGATTCGTGAGTATCAGAAGCATCAAGGAGAACATGCAAGAAATCACCGACTTCAGATACCCATCCAACTACGAGTAAGAAAAAACAGTTTTGATTTCAACTATCTACGCAGTGGTTTGTAAATATAATAAAAGCACTATATAAACGGCAAAACGGTATATATTCAGAAAAAAGGAACCTTGTATAAGATCTCAATGCCAAGGCAAGGGCATTTCTTCCATTGCAAGTTCAAGTTAAGTTACCAACGGCCATCAGTCATTGACATAGCAGTTAACGAAATGGTATCATCACAGGGATTACATGGTTCAAAATGCCAAGAATATACTGTGATTGTGACCTTCCTTTGAAGTCCAAAATTTCACTCAAAATTTTGCCTGCAGCTGAGCAAATGGGGGAAGTGATGAGGGAAAATTCGATGGGATGGTTCCTCCTGGGAATCCGTGAAACAGCTTCAATGGGTCCATAGTCAGCATCGGCTACTTGTGCTTGTGGTAGTCTCTTGTAAAAAGTATCTTCTTTGTCAATTGGGATCCATTTATAGGGACTTGTCTTTTTGAGCAGACGTCCAACAATTAATACACAAGATAGGAGTGGAATTACTAGTGCTTCCTGAGAAGATAATATAAAAAGTTGATGGCACCGAACTCTCATATGGCACCATGGGTGCCCATGTTCACTCAGTCGTGTAAGAATGCGAAACAGGCGTTCATTCCATTCCAGTTTGCCACTGTTGCTGAGAGCGTGGACGGCATACCGCTTCCCAAATGTCGAACGGTGGTGTTCCGTGACTTCCTATTCGATGAAAGAAAGACCAATGTTCTGACGTTTAATACTGATCTGAGAAGTAATAAAGTTGAGGAGTCCTTCCCCAATGGCAACGGCACCTGTCTCTTTGAGGCGTGTTTTTATTTCCACGAGACATGGGAACAATATAGGTTTACTGGCGAATGCTTCCTGGTGTCAAGGAAACAGCAGGCAATTGTGTCAAATGAGACTTTGCTTCGATACGGTATAGTTGATCCTACAACTTTTAAGCGCAGTGAGTCCAATTCATCAGTATCGTCATGTTCTTCCTCTGATGAGGGCTCCTTACCTGCCATGGTAGACAGTTTGAAATTGGACGACAGCAAATATGACAACCACCACGATGATGGTGAGGAGGATATCCATAATACAGACGATGGGAAAGTCCCTCTTCCAACTGATGAGGAGTGGCAGCAGGAGATTATGAGGCAATGGGATACGCTGTCCAGAGCTACAAAGTCTGTTTATAAGAAGCCTGCACCTGGTGAGCCCATAACTGAAGAGATGAAAAAGAAAATAGATAAGATAGAGCGTGGTGTCGATGGCTCTAAGGCTGACTATGGATTGGATAATTTCGCTATCGTTTGTCTATGTATTGACAAAGTCGATTACTTGAATTTGAAAGGTGGCAAAGGCGGTGCCAGGTGGATCTTTGAGAGGGTCATCGACGAAACAGGTTTCGAAACATGGGAGGAGCAAGAAGTATGCCCATGAAACGAAACGATCCTGTGGCGGTACCTTTATGTGCTAGACCACAATAAGAATTACTTAGGATCACACCAACGGTGCTATTTTTTAAGTTCCAATTTTGCGCAAATTCTGCATTTACGATGTTATCTTAAATTGACAATATTTTTACCACACAAATTTGCGATACATTCCTTCATTTCTTATTTTCCTTTCTTTCTTTTTCTCTTTATCTAGTCGGGTTACTGATTTGCATACTTATCAGTCCGGCTTTGCAAGCTTTTGATGTTACTTCAGCAACTACTACTCTCAATGTTTGAGGTACTTACTCAGCAAAGTAATGCATTTCTCTAGTTGACATGACAATCAATGAATGATAAAGGTTAATGTTTTGAGTTATTTTTTTTTTTGTGATCAATTATAGTCCTAGCTGTAATTGACCTTTGATAGAAGAATTTACAACTTATTAAACGGACCTACTTCCTTTCTTTCTATGTCCATTTTTTTTTTACCTTTTCTTTCTTTTGTTTTTATTTACACTATTTTTACACTCTATGTACTTATGATTTATTGATGATACACTTTTTATTTCACATTCTAATACTAAACCACAAACTCTAATGACTAATTATCCATAAAATATATGTTATCTAATCTCTATTATAATTTTTTGTCATTATGTACTGCCAATCTTATCAGTTTTGGTGAACTAAAGCCTTATCTGTCCAGGACAGGAATTTAAGTATTTATCGTTTTGACTTTATCAGTGCAGGATAATCACCCTGGACTAGATGTTATCTTTACGGTTGACTCTCGAAGGATCACTAACCAATGTATTAGGGACCCTTTCAATCAATCAGGCTAGTGCAAACGACGCAATCCCCTAAATCTGCAAGAAAGCAGCAATATTCATTTCTCTACAGAATCCTCTCAAATATGTGATAACTCTTTGCCATCTCACTGCATAGTTATATGGGGATTATTCACCCAGGAGCACTTAGTCTACCCCTTATAATGGGTAATTATAGCATTGTCACCATCACTGGTATGTGTTGGGTAAGTAACTTAAAGAGATGATGATTTAGGGTAGTCGATCTATTTACACCAATTATCTTATTGCTATTCTGTAGCCTTATGCTACTTTATACTGGTAAAGCAACTTCCTATGGAATTAATAAATTTATCAAGATTTGAAAAGTATATAAAGCATAAGGTAACGATGGTAATTCGAATCCCTATGTCATGACAATTATATTGGTTTTTGTATTCAGATGTAGAGCTCTATAACAAGTCCATTTTAACAGGGCTATCGTATATATCATATTCAAGCTATAAAATGCCATCTCCAGCTGAACAATACTACCCATCGGAACCAAAGGCTCCGATTATCAAGACCCCAGAAGTCCCAGGCCCTGAGAGTAAGAAGAGGCTAGCTGAATTAAATGACCTTTACGATTGTAGACCGGCCGCATTTATGGCTGACTATGAGAAATCCATCGGTAATTATATTACCGATGTGGATGGCAATGTGATGCTAGATGTGTACGCCCAAATTGCCTCTATTGCATTGGGTTACAACAACCCTGCCTTAATTGAGGCCACAAAGACACCAGAGATGATCAGAGCTCTAGTTGACCGTCCATCACTGTGCTCATTCCCTCCAACAGACTTGGAGAAGAGCTTGAATCAGCTCTTGAAGTTTGCTCCCAAGGGCCAAAACCGCATTTGGTGTGGTTTGAGTGGTACAGATGCTAATGAATTGGCCTTTAAGGCTGCTTTCATCTACTACAAGAGCATGCAGAGAGGGTATGACGCAGAATTTACCGCCGAGGAAGAAGAAAGTGTCATGAACAATGAGGAGCCAGGTGCACCCCACTTGTCTATTCTATCCTTCAAAAAAGCTTTCCATGGGAGACTTTTTGCGGCTGCATCAGTGACTAACTCCAAGGCTGTGCACAAGCTGGACTTCCCACAGTTCCATTGGCCTCACGCCGAGTTCCCTGACTATAAGTACCCTCTCCATGAGCATGAAGAGGAAAACCGTAAGGAAGACGAGCGCTGCTTGGCCAATGCGGAAAAGATAATCAACACTTGGGAGACCCCAATTGCTGCTGTGATCATTGAGCCAGTCCAAGCTGAAGGTGGTGATAACCATGCTTCAAAATACCTTCTACAAGGACTAAGAGATTTAACCTTGAAATATGGTATTGTATACATCATCGATGAGGTACAAACAGGTGTAGGTGCCACTGGTAAATTATGGTGTCACGAACATGCCGATATTCAACCACCACCAGATATTGTGACTTTTGCTAAGAAGTTCCAGACATGTGGATACTTCTTCCATGAGCCAAAGATTGTTCCTAACAAGCCATCGAGACAATTTAACACCTGGTGTGGTGATCCAGCTAGAATGTTAATTGGTGGGGCCATTGGTCAAGAAATCACTGACAAAAAATTGGTTGAGCAATGCTCTAGGGTTGGTGATTATCTGTTTGGTAAACTTGAAGAGCTACAGAAGCAATACCCAAAGAAACTTTTAAGACTAAGAGGTAAAAACAGAGGTACCTTCATCGCCTGGGATTTAGAAACCGGTGAGGAAAGAGATGCTTTCTTGAAGAAGATGAGGGCAAATGGTGTGAACATTGGCGGTTGTGCTAATTCAACAGTCAGACTAAGACCAACTTTGACTTTTGAAGAAAAACACGCTGACATCCTCATTGATGTTTTGAAGAAAGTTCTACAAGAGTGAAATTTAACACTGAGCTGACATATGTATATTTCTCTATATGATGAAAGACTGTTATCATTTACACTTATATTTCCTGTTGTTAGGCCTATTATGACTTTATAAATCAAATATACACTTGAAGAAATATTTAGTAAGCAAATTATCTTATTTTTTGTTTTGCATAAATCCGTGTAACCTTGTATATATATATTGCCCTTGTTGATTGTTTACTCACCAAATAGCTTTCTGACCCTTTTCAATACAGAGTCCTTTTCAGGGTCATATGGATGGTCCTTAGATGGAATTTCTAGTATAGCTGGGAAGGGTTTTGTATATGAATCGACTCTGGACCGTATTAGTTCAGCAATATGTTGATTGATCAATAGAATAGCTATGTCGTTTCTTTCCTCTGTAAATTTATCAAACATTTCTCCTACTTCTTCTCTAGTCGTCTTACCTTCTTGGAAAACAAAGAAATTCTTCTCTTGAGTGTCTGGAGTTATCTGGCCAACACCTGCAAGTAGCAGGCCCGTTGTAGTGTCTTCATCCGCTATCACAGCTAGCAAAGTACGTTTATCAGCCATAGTATTTGTCTTCTATGTTCACCCAGTTTAATCGTCCTTATAAGGGGGAATGCGAGAATCTTATAATTGTCGCTTTTCTGCTATTATCCACTGAATTCTAGCGTACTAGAAAAATTGAATAAGTGCTTGCGCTGTAGAGATATTGTTCAATTTGCAATAGGGTTTGTTAATATATTGCAACTATTCGCTTGCTGGTTGGGACCTGTTTGTCATTCATCTTCCCATTTTTTTTTTCAGAGCGCAGCGAAGCCCGAGAGCATTTAAGGCAACTCATAGTAACAGCAGTACTGCACAACAGGAGGGCTGCACTGGGAAGGCATTGTTCAGCTGCATCAGAACTGCAATTTGGTGCCATTCTATAAGATGTTACGTTGTTCAACAAGTAGAGTGCTGTCGGTGTTAGAAAGCCCCTGTGCCTCCCGTCTTCCAACTAGAACATTTAGTCATGCACGGGTTATGCTCTCCGGTCACAACAAATGGTCCACTATTAAGCATGACAAGGCCAAGAACGATGCTGAGAAGAACAAATTGATCAACAAATTTGCGAGCCAAGTTACCATTGCAGTTAAGAGTGGTGGAAGCGGTGACCCGGCCATGAATATCAGGCTGCAGTCTGCCATTGACCTTGCATTTAAAAACAATGTTCCTAAGAAAGTCATTGAAGGTGCAATTAACAGGGGTCTGGGTATTGGTGGTGAGAAGAACTCCTCAGAAGTGTGTGTCTACGAGGGTATAGGGCCTGGAGGGGTTGCCTACGTGGTAGAATGTCTCACGGATAACAAGAACAGAAGCATCGCCCTGGTGAGGTCTGCGTTCAACAAGATTGGGGGGTCGATGACTCCCACACTTTACTTTTTTGAGAGGAAAGGTTATCTGGTCGTTGAATCGCCTAAAGAGTTGACTTCTGAGGATGACGTACTGGACGCGGTGCTTGAGATAGACGGTGTTGAAGATATCAAGCTGGTGGAAGAAGAGGAGAGCAATGTGAGCGACACAGACGAGGAACCAGGAGCCAAATACGATGTTATCACGGAGGTCCAGATGAACAACAAAGCAGCGAACGCGTTCAAGGAGAAAGGTTTCAAGATACATGAGATGGGCCTCGAATACATCCCAAATCCGGATACAACAGTGCAGGTCACAGACGAAGAAGTGCTAGCAAAGATCGAAAAGCTGACAAATACCCTCGAAGAGCTGGATGACGTTACATCCGTCTACACCAACATCTCAGAGTAAGCTTTTCAGAGCCCTGGTCCGCAGTAAGTATGAACTTGTAGATAGTAGATAGCCAGGCTGTATAAGCTATATCCTAGTACATATTCCAAATTCCTTATTAAGATTATGGCACGCCTGATCAACCATGAGCCCGCTTAGTAGTGTATGTCTAGCAGAATGGATGGCTTCTGTGTGTAATCCCCGTCCCTACAGCTATTTACTGCGGTAACCCCGGAAAAATTTAAAGTTACGGCAGGAACTCGACATTGACTACGTGTATTTCACTGCCCACGGCTAATGACAGAAGCTATAAAGCTATTCTTCCTGCGCAAGATCCTGCAATCTGGATCTCTGGAAAAAAGTTTTGGACTTGTACGCAGCTGTCTGTGCCCGAGAACCAGAAGTTGCTGGGGTTTTTCCTTCAAAATCAAGAAAATTTTTCCGGGGGTGAGAGAAACACCCGTACCAAAAATTGTCAGGATTTGTACTTTCTTCAGGGTCCTCTGCTCTTTCTAATATTAAATTGGGCAAATTGGTAAATTACCAAATACGCTACGCCCATTGTACTGCACAATTGTTCCGAGATGGCCGCAAACAAGGGCCGGAAGAAAGAAAGAAAAAGCAATTTATTTTGGTTTTGGCCAAATACTGTCAGTTTGCCCTCTGCCCCTCACCTCTATGTATTGGGAATTTCACCAGACTAAGCAAGTGGCATTTTATAGTAGTGTCGAGAAGCCACATGCTGGGTGATGGTGATGACGTAGGCTAGTGACAATCGAGTCTTGTCGGGGGGGTTGTTGAAGCACAATCCTTCTTCATATATATTGCAACACTTCTTTGTAGATAGCAAGCTTGGAACAACTGAGAAGGAAAGTTCCCAGAATTGCAGCGATATATTAACTCGATATGACAGTCAAGAAGGACAACCAGTTCAGTGTAGATGTGTGTCTGTTTGATCTAGACGGCACTATCGTAAGTACCACAGTGGCAGCTGAGTCTGCATGGAGGATGCTATGTGCGAAAGAAGGAGTTGATCCCGAGGAGCTATTCAAATTCTCTCATGGTGTCAGAACATCTGAGGTGCTTGCTAAGTTTTTCCCAAACATCGACAACACAGACAATAAGATGACTAGAGAGCTGGAGTTGTCTATGGCAAACAATTTCTTGGATACGGTGAGCTTGATTCCCGGTGCCAAAGACCTTCTGTTGACCCTTGACAAGGATACAGCACGCCAAGGAGCCAAGTTCAACGAAAGGAAGTGGGCAATTGTCACTTCGGGTTCCCCAGATTTGGCCTTTTCTTGGTTCAAGACCATCTTGAAAGAGGTTGGTAAGCCAGACGTGTTTATTACTGCTTTTGATGTGACAAAAGGTAAGCCCGACCCAGAAGGGTACGCCAAGGCCAAGAAGCTTCTGTGTGAAAGACTGCAATACGAGAGCGCTAGTGCGACATCAGTGGTCTTTGAAGATGCACCAGCTGGTATAAAAGCAGGTAAGGCAATGGGCGCAATAACTGTAGGGATTACGTCTACTTACGATCTGCAAACGTTGATTGATGCTGGTGCTGACTATGTGGTTAAGGACTTGACTCAAGTTGAAGTTTTGAAGAATACAGAAGGTGATCAAATTACATTAGAGATTGAAAATCCTCTAAATCAATGAAAAATGAATGGAAATAATTTTCCAAAATCTAAAATTACCCTTGTAATGTCCTGAATTTAATGAAAGTATATAATACGAATTTAGTTTTGCTATATAACAGTGTATCTAATACACTTTACAGTTCATGTACAGATATCTATATAAAAATCGATGATAGAAAAGTTAGCGTTGTAATATTAGATCGATTTATAAGTTTGAAAGGAGGAAGCTTTGATATAAATAAACTCTTTTTTTTCATTTTAGTATTAGTCTATAAAAACTTAAACAGATCATTACAATAAGCTATTGAAATATTAGTTCTGAAATGTGGGAAAAGCAAGAAAATGAAACCTTGCATGAATAATAAAAATGTTGGAAATTAATCGTTGCAATATGTGAATTGAACATCATGATAAAATAGTAAACATAAAATAGGCACCTATGATTGGATTCGATTATCTAAGCATAGGAAGTTGTGATGTATCGATGTATCTTTCTTCAGACAAGATAATTTAGTTATGCATTTACCACACATCTTCTTGGAATCTGCCGGTAGTCTTCAACATCTTTATCATTTCAGAAGCTTCTTCCTTTGTGATCTTCTTGTCTTCAGACAGAATATCGACTAGTGCAGCGTTGACACCTTGAGCCATGTTCTTAGCATCACCACAAATGTATAAGAAAGCACCTTCATGAATCAGCTTCAAAACTTCCTGTGCGTGTTCTCTGATCTTGTCCTGGACGTAGACCTTTGGTTGACCTGGGATTCTGGAATGGCCCACAATCATCTCAAAGGAGGCACCAAGCTTCTTAGCATATTCTGGCCATTCTTCTCTGTATAGGTAGTCGTCAGTGTTACGGGAACCATAGAACAATAAATGCTTACCAAGTTGGACGTTTTCTTGTTGCTCAACGAACTTAACTCTTTCCCTGACGAAACCACGGAATGGGGCGACACCAGTACCTGGACCAATCATGATGACTGGGGTAGATGGGTTGGTTGGCAATCTGAAAGTGGAACGACGGACGTGGACAGGAAGCTTGTAGCCTTGGAATAGGTTACGAGGACCGTTTAGATCGTAGTGGACAGGCATAGAGGAAGTATCTTCGTTGTTCTTGGCAAGTTGCACGTTTCTCAGCAAGTTGGTAGCAACACCTACAACTGGTGGTAGAGATGGGTCAACAGGGTTTGGAGAGTTTTCAACAACAGAGGTAATGTGGATGGTTTGCTTTTCGGACAAGGAAGAAGAGGAGATAGAGTAGTAACGAGGTTGGATGTGAGCCATAGCTTCAATCAAGAATTCCCATGGGACAGTGGACCATGGTTGGCCGTTGGAGACGTATAGCAAGGCATCAGCAAGGTTGTAACATTTGGCAGTGATTTCTTTGGCGAAAAGGTCCTTGTCCTTGGCCAAAGCGGTCAGCTTCTGTTTGATTTCTTCGTTTGGAGCAAATTGGATCAAAGAGCCGAAGGATTGTCTAGAGACAGGGCCGGTGATTTCCAAGTAGTGTCTGACAGTGGCTTCGATGGTAGTTGGGCAAGGGAATGGGACCTTAATGGTAGAGTCAAGAGGTTTCAAGTTGAAGATGGTGTCACCTTTCAAGTTGAACAGTTGCAAGAATTGTTCTACCTTTTCGTTGGCGTTGGATGGCCAGATAGCCAAGTGATCACCGGTGGTGTACTTAATGTTGGAGCCAGAGACATCGATTTCGGAGTGGATACAGTTACGGTCGCCGGACTTGAACAACTCGTAGGACTTGGCGACAGGGGCAACGTATGGTTGGGACAGGTCGAATGGGCCCAATTGGACACCTTCGTCGTTGAAAGAGAGCTTGTTAGCAGGCAAGTATTGCAAAGAGGGCTCACCGAGGGAGGTCTTCTCAGTGACAGTTTCCAAGGTCTCCAACTTGAAAGAAGGCACAAACTTCTCTTGACGTTCGTCCAGTTTCAGTTTGCTCTTCAATTCTTCCAGGATTGCGTCTTTCCAAGCCAAGTAGTCCTCGTCAGTGGAGCCAGAACCGTCGTCACCTTCACCAGCGGCACCGATCTGTTTGGCACCGGCCTCCAGCAAGTACTTGTTACACTTTCTGGAAGCACCGTTGAAGAACTCGTAAGTGCAGTTACCCAAACCGAAGATAGTAAAGTTCACGTTTTCCAAGTCGGTGGTGCCACAGTTGGACAAGAAGTCCTCGAGGTGGACAGCACCGTCTGGGAAGTCACCTTCACCATAAGTAGACACAAAGAAAGACACCACACAGCCATCAGGCAGATCATTCAGAGTTTCGAAGTCGAAGTACTCGACATCGGCACACATAACATTCAGACCAAACTTAGCGGTCAACTCCTTGGCAAACTTCTTGGCATAGTCTTCAGCAGTACCAGTCTGCGAAGCGTAGAACACAACGTAGTTCTTGCCATGCTCATTGACAACTTCAGCAATATCACGAGAGGATGTAGAAACAGTTGTAGCACTGTCCTCCTCCGCAAACAGCAGCTCGCTGATAAACGACTTGATGGTCTCCCTCTTCAGGTAGAGAACCACAACTAGCGTCAACCCGATAAGAACAAGCAGATCAGTCTTATCCATTTCTTCGTTGGTATGTGTATGGGCCCTTCCAGTCACCTTCTATCACTCAATAAAAAAGTGGTCCTTTGCTTTTATATACAAAAGTGAAAAATTTACAGCTTTTGTCCAAAACCCGATGCCTTCAGTCCCAGGAACGAGACTTAAACGAAGTGCTTCGAGAAACGAAACTGCACACCATGGGGACTCTGGGCACCCCACCCGGAGATTAGCTAACATAATCCCATCCCAGGAGACTAGCAATTGCGTGTTTTTTACTTGCTTGCTAATTGACAACTCCTGGTCCCGGTCAACAACTACAACTGCAACTGCAGCTCTTGGGTGCCCAAGAGTGCTATGCGTATCGCAGCGCACGTACTAACTGGGCAAAGCTTGTGAATTAGTAGTATTATTATAAGTGTGATGTAATAAAAGTAGCAGCGGTTCTTACTTGTGGCCAATTGGACCAAAGAAGATGTCTAGTGCGTATGTTCAGCTAGAGCTTAGTTACTGTTTTGCTATGTGTTCGGTTTACTAACTTATATATAGAGTGATATTTGTTGAGAGTGCTACGCCGGGGACTCTTACTGAGTTCAAGGACCTGCTTGCGAAGCAGCTCTTGGAAGTGCGGGAGACGTGGTCGCTGGAGTTCAGGACCTATAGGACGCTGGTGAAGGACTTCCCCTCGAGGGAGAAGCTGCTTTACTCGCTGACGTTCCCGCACCACGACAAGAAGACGGTGCTCATCAGGAACTCGCTGGCGTGGGTGCTGGGCACCGCTGAGATACCGGACAACTTGCAGACTTGCTCCACGGGGCTCTCGGAGTCCATTGACCAGTTGCTCGCGAGCAAGCTGTCGAATATGTGGGCACAGCGCCAGGTGATACGGGGCGACGCAGGGCAGACGCTGCTCATCACGGGAGATGTGACCGTGAGGATAATTAACCTGTTTGCAGCAACGGGGTTCAAGGGGCTGCTGATCGAGCTGGATAACTTGCAGTCTGCAACTTCCCTGGCTAACATCACAGACCTGTTGAACGAGATGAAAGTTAAGGTCTTCAAAGTCGCAAGTGCGCCTGGATTAAAGAGCGAAGATGTTGAAGTGGTCGACAGCAGTAGCACGATGGAGTCGGGTAACGAGGCCCTGTTTACTTTGGCTAAACAGTATATAGAAGTTCTGGAGTAAACTTGTCCAAATTGTATCACTTACGGCACTCCAATCGTGGAGTTATTTTTGCATATTTATAATCGAAAAATGGGTTAACTTTAGTTCCAGATTTATTTACATGTCTGTATTAAAAGTATAAGAATTATAAAACAATGAAGGGCTATATACAAATGTTTCATCGATCGGGTGTATGTCCGTCGTGCCTATGTTGATAATACTTCCGACAAACTCAGAAATGAAGCACTTCTTGATCAGCGTCTGTGGATTCATCAAAGTTAACTACATCATCTTCTACTTGTTTTTCAGACGATACAGCAGAAGCATCACCGGCTGCCTTTGATGCATTCTCCTTCTTGGCTGATAGGAGCTCTGATTGGAGTTCTGCATCACGCTTCCACTTCTCAATGACTTGTTGTTCTTTGGTAACACCGTGCTCGATAGTTGATGGGCCAAAGACCGAGCCAAACATCTCTGCTTCTTCTGCTGCCACTTGCTCTTCCAATTCTTGCTGCATCCGAAGTCTGTAGAACTCCAGGCGCGCTTGGTCATATGCATCCGTGATATTGCTTTGCTCTTTCGTTTTCAGCAAGTACAAAGTCCTCTGAACAACGTTTTCTCCATCAAGTGGTTGGCCTAACTGTAGCATATTCTTCCAATCTGGATTTGTGTTGATCTCATTCTCGGAGACTATTTTCGGTCTGGCAAGTTCCCATGGATGTTGCTTGTAGAATAGCGTTCTTATTTTGTCCTCCAGATAAACTAGCTTTGGAGGCTTATATATCTGCTTATTGGCAACTTTTCTTTCCAATGCATTAAATCTGGTCTTGTAAAGGCCATTGCGGTTCACACTCTCGAGATCAGGATCTTTTAGTTCACTCACTTTCTTGTCAGTACTTGGATTTATCTTATGTGGCTCTCTGGTAAACTTCGTAACGGGTGGGATAGACGCAACAACATTGTACCACGCCGGGGTCTCCTTTATCACACCCGTCCTGAGATAAGCAGATGTTCTCTCCAGAACATTAACTGCATTGGTCTGTATTTTCATGGCGGACGCTCAACAACTTGTGCCGGTAAAACTTGCGGAAAATGCACCACTATAAAAGAACGTCAAAGTTAGACTTCCGCTTCTAAACAAGTACTAATCTACCTATCTTAGAACAAAAGGATGAATACTTACTTATTCAGCGGAACAGCTCTATCAAGTGCAATGTCTTTGAGATAATGTGGCAGAAAGCTTCCTCGACTCGATGGATTTCCGTCAAACTGAGGGATTCCAGAACCCATAACGTTGGAGATGATATCTTGGGATTAGTTTATATATAATTCATGGCATGTAGTTTATGAATATGTTAGAGTAGTTGTTTGTAGGTATTATGCAATTGGACAATAGCTAAGTATGGATAGTGTCTATAAAATTACTTAAACTCGTATGTCTCATTTTGCCCATGAGTCAAGACACCGGTTCTCTTGGTACCGACGATTTTTTCAAGTGCAAGACCGTCCAACTTACTGTAACAGCAGCGAACGGTTGATATGTTTAGGTCCGCATCACCCAAGAATACGGTCTTACCAATGTATCTAACAACTTCTTTGTAGAACTCAGGATCTGAAGGCGGCTTGTAGAATACAACGTTTTTGACCCCCTTCAATTCGTATCTTCTGAAGTGGTGCAATCTTTCGGTATATAGTAGAACTTTTAGACGTCCCTGGTTGAACAGAGTTCTGTTACTGGTTAAAGATCTTTGTTCAGAGTACTCATTAATGTCTCCAAATAAGATACTTGTCTTCTCCTTCATGTAGTTCCTTACTCTGACATAATCACTGTATTCTGGGATGTATATCAGGGTACCATCATCGTATCCCGTGGACTTGGTAATGTTCGATATGACCACACTGGTGAAGAACTTGAATCTATAGTCTGGTTCATCTGCCACTGAGTTGCCAAGCACATTGAATCTCTGGAAAATTTGCCTGACCTTAAGACCTACAGTCCCTACGCTTGAGTCCTCAGAAGACACAATCTTATGGTTCTTCCATCTTCCTTCCAAGTTTCTACACTTGATGTTCAATAGAGAATTGGCCACAGGTGATATGTATTTCGTAAATATCATGGTCTGTCTGAAGAATTTCGCTTGGTCATTGATATACCACATTCTTATTCTACTGAAATCCGCATCATGTTGCTCTTGTGGGATTTTGTTTAGGTGGTCGAATATTGTGAACAAATGTGTGTAGTTTTGGTATTCTATGGAATGAAATTGGTCTATAATGGTCACTTCCACCGATGATAAGAAGTCATCTTGCCTCTTTTTCTTATCTGTGTTCTCAACTATCATTTGAAGCCCTAATGGAGAACAGACGATAATATCAGATTGGTAGAAGTTACTGTAAAGCTTAATAGCTTTTCTCGTGAATTTGACACCTAGAACAAAGTAATCGTTGGTGTTACCTTTGAATATATGCTGGAAGGATTTTGGCTTAGAACTAGGTGGGAATGAAGGATCATAGAATTGATCTCTAAATTTACCCTTCTTGTCCACTTGATCTAGACCAGATTTCTCAATGAGCTTTGTTACTATTTGATATGCTGAGTCTCTTGTTGGTGCTATGATTAAAACCTTTGGCCTGGTGAAACCTTGATCGAGAAACTCTGAATCTGGATTATCCTGTAATTTCTGATTATTTTTGATGATTTTATCTCTAGTCTTGTAAACATGGTTTAGAACGTGTAATGTATAGAGATCTCTATACTCATCTTCGTCCTTGCCATATGTGTCGTACTCGTAAAGAATATCTTTGTACTGCATCATTGGGTCGACGATTTTGCGCTGTAGATCTGTCAACGCATTTGACTCAGTGTCCAGCAAGTTGTTCTGTATACGCAACCGCTTCTTCAAGAAATACGAACTTAGGGAGCACTTCAGCTTGGGATCCTCGATCTTGGGTGTTTCTCCTTCTATGTACGGCACAGAAAATATAGCATCTTCTTGAACTTGATCTTCATCAGCGGATCCAACCTTCAGCTTTATCGATTTATAACGCAGTTTGTTGTCCTTCAATGCATTGCCCAATGCTTCACCATGTTTAGCAGCCTCCTCACCATTGAAATGTGTATCAAACGGATCCTTCTCCTCATCGTCGGACTCAATTTCCTCTTGCTCTTGCGCTTGCTCATCCTCATCGTCATCCTCATCGTCACTCTCTCCATCCGCAAACGCATCGTTATACTGGTCCTCAGCCTGTTCCTCTTCTTCTGCCTCACTTTCTTCCTCGTCATGATCCCTGTGAGTCTTCACCTTATCTTCCTTGTGCTCAGACTTCAAGATGGTCAGAAGAGCATTGTATACTTGCTCCTTGTCGTCCTCCTTCTCCCCATCATCCTGCACCTTCTCCTCAACAGCTGGTCCAGCTTCCAATACCGAACCCGAAGATTCTACTCCAGCATCCGCTTCAGGCTCTATCTTCGTCCGCTTGGCACGGCGTATGCTCCTGAGTTCCTTCCTACCTCTCTTATCCATCGCTAAGCTACGTTGGTTTCCAACCCTTTCACCCAAAAACAGATGAATCTGCAACTCCAATGTGCATCCATCTTATAACTATGTAAGCTCATCGCAAAGCTCATCGCATCGATTTCGATTTTTCTGTTTTGTGCGCAGAAATTTTTCAGAATTTTTTTTTTCAGATGATTTACCCGGTTTGAATACTGCATTTTCCTTAGAAACCCCCGCAGAAACTGCCCAACTTCCTTGTCCTAGCGAAGACAAGGTTAAACCCAACAAGCCCTTCCAAACTTCCAAGAGCAATAACAAAACAATGAACTGCTAGTAGTTGATAAAGCAGAAGTGTCTGGCAGCGGGTAGTCGGTTGCGCTGTCGTTGCTATTACTTGTCATCGGTAACTAGCCAAAAAAAAGACAGATAAAAACTAAGAAGAAACCCTTTCAATAACAATCTCTTTAAGATAATCATGGGGTTGATAACAGAAGGTGTACAGAGGAGCATACGGATAAGTTCCGCCGCGTTATATCTGGTGCTGACGCTGGTATCGATACCGATATCGTTTAAGATTGGTGGGCTGCAGTGTGGGCTCTCCTTCACAGTTACGCTGTTCAATCTATACCTTATATCGACTACGCTGTCGGTGCTGGCAAGGCGAAGCTGTAACAGAGGATACGTGTTCGCCACAAGCATATTATATTACTCACAGCACTTGGTTATTGCACCATTGCTGTTTCTGTTTCTTTCCGGGTTCTCCAACGAAGAGTTCAACAGGTTTCTGTCGCCCGTGGGCTCTTATCAGGAGCTTGACCCAGATGGATCGTTCCTAGACCTGCTCAAGCACAGGATACTGATGGCCACCACCGCGGAAAATAGCAAGAACTGGACGCTGTACTACTACTACTTCAAGTTCATCGTACAGCCTTGGCAATGGCTGCTGTCGTACTCAACACCGTTCTTCACTCTGCTGGAGGGCTTCTTCACTATCCTGGCTATCCAGGCCATCGGCGAGACGAACAAATGGCTCTCCTACGAAATGAACTCTAACACTTGGATTATCACGTCTCTGCTGGTCTCAGGTGGGGTCATTACAGGGTCCCTGTACTACCTGTACAGGATATACGTGACTCCCATCTGGAAACTAACTATCCAGTCGGCATCCCTGTTGGGTTTCGTGTTATCGATCGTATTCTGTCTGGGCTTGTACGGGATAATAAGCAGAAAGGGTTCAGTGATAGAAAGCTCCTTGTTCTTTGCCTATATCGTACGTTGCATCTACGAGATATCTCCTAAATTAGCCACCAGAGCCACCGAGGAAATACTGGACCTGGTAAAGGACGTCTGGCAAACCCACCAAAGAAACCTGTTGAACAGAGATAACTTGCTAGCATACTACCATAATGTGGTCCTGAAGAACGCTGAGATGGTATGGGAATCCTTCATCCTTCCACGTTCCAGGTCCCTAAACGCCATGGAGAAGATAAGATTTTGGTTAGATGTCACCCCAGTATGGAAATTCTTTAAGAATTTCACAGTGAGTGTGCCATCGTCAATTGTCGAGCTGGTGTCGGTAACATACAAGATGGCTTCAGAATCTTTGTCCCCTGCTGTTATCGTTAATCTATGCTTTAGAATTCTAATTTTCTACTCCGCTACAAGAATTATTCCAGCATTACAAAGAAGCTCATATAAGGAGCAGAGGCAAAGTCGTCGCATCTTGAAATTACTTTACTGGTATAGTCCCTGCGTTTTGATTGCAATGTACACACACTTGATTCTACAATACTCTGGAGAACTAAAAAGAGAACTATGTCTATGGGGCTGTACTTCTAACTGGTTTGGTTCAAAGGATCAGCCAAGGATCGTTACGGATTCATGGAGTTTCTGGAACTGGTGTAACATTTTTTGGACTGTTTTAGTGTATGCTAATGAGCTGATTGGCACTCAAGCACCAAATGAACTGACATAAAGCGCTAATAGTATACTTGATAACCATATAGGCGATCAACTAGCATATTAATGTGGCCGAAATCAAAAACTCGTCTATGACCAAATAAAATGGATGAGGTGAATAATGATGAATTTATATAGCAACCTATGCTAAATGAAGCAAGTCATTGTCACATAAATGAACTTTATTAGGTAATGCATGTTGCCTCGGATTCTATTAGATTTAAGGAGGATCTTTGACAAATCTTATCTAGGAGTTGATTTGAAGTTGTATTACCAGCACTATTAATTCATTTGGAAGTTCGACATAGGCCAATTTTTCCATTTTATTACACCAGCATAGAAATTGGGGCATGAGCACCTTCTGTATTATCTGCCATCTTGGTCAACAAAGAGAGGTGTCTTCATATATAAAGTAGATCGAGACAGAATATTGACCGAGAAAGCCCTTATCGGAGCTCTTTTGGCAAGTTTGCATAGATTGTCTGGGTTCATATTTTATTGTCTATCGATTTTACATTCGTCATGGATTAAGCTTATGGTTTTCTTTTGACGAGTTATTTCATAGAGATACAAAACATTTAGCAGTAAGTTTTATGGTAATCCTATTACTTTTAGCGAGAATAAGTCCTCAAGCAAAGCACATTGCTACTAAGATAACATGCACTCTTTTGCAATTATAATTATGGATCAATATCCATTTGTAACTATACTTTTTAATCAAAAAGCATATTGAACAACTACTATACAATATGGTAGTACAGGCAATATACTAATTAGGAAACATACATATTTTAGTTAGATAAAGCAACAACTTGATCTTTAGTAATATTATGATGCAAAAATCCAAAACGACATAATACTTTTTGTAAAGTGAGGCTAATATTATAAAAAGTACCTGGAATCCAAAAAAAAAAAATACAGATGGTTGAACACAAATACAAATAAACTATAACAGCTGAATTTCTGAATTTCTTCGACAAGGTCATCTAATAGATTTGTATTGTATTTCAAGCATAAAAACACAAAAAAATTAAATGATTTCGCCCAGGATCGAACTGGGGACGTTCTGCGTGTTAAGCAGATGCCATAACCGACTAGACCACGAAACCATGTTAACTTGTTGAAAGTGACTTTAAGGCCTCCTACCTAGTAGGCTATATAATTATCACGTGATTGAATTAACGAACAATATTCTATAATTCCAATCTAAATAGACCAGATACAATAAGGGCGTTAAAATGTTATATTAATTATGCAATTTTGAATTAGAAGTTATTCAGATGCTAAATTTATGAACTAGTTACTTCATAATGCACTGATATAAGAGAGGTTTACTGATCAAAAACCCTCCAGCAAGAGAACGAATAAATTAATAAGTGCATAAAACATGATCTGGACACATTTAACATGATATGTGCTAGACCATTATAATAGTAATCAAAATGAGTAAATTAATTTAGACACAGGATCAAATGACATATAAATTACAAGGGAATGAATGGATTTTTGTAAAGTAAACGGTATAGACAGATTTTAATATTGAATATCTTAAATGGGAGAAATTTCGATTTCATGCAGGTAAAGCTTCTTCTTTTTTGCTCTGAATTTCCGTGTTTTGTTGGGGATTGTTAATCCTTTCTACCTCATTCTTTTCTTTTTGTCTATTATCGAATGCGGGTAGTCCTTCTGTAGTAGGCAGTTCTGGTAAACCATTTACTTCCTTATCTAGCTGATCTAATTCACGATCTAGTTCGTCCTCAAAAGTGTTAGTACCAACAACACTATTCGCCAAGGCATTATCGACCTCAGCTTGATACTCGATCTGATCCTGTACATCATCCATAAGCTTGTCAACATCTTTGAACTCAGCATTTAGTTTTTTTAATATTTCATTACCTGTCTGTAAGCCTGAGACGAACTCTTTTTCTACCATCTTGAACTCTAAGGTAGAAACCATGTTTTCAAGGTTTATTAGCTGATCTGAAGCTTGTTGAAGGAGGTGCTCTTGGTAATGTATCTTTTTGAGTAGAAATCGTACCTTGGTGTCTTTTTTGTAAGTCTTAGGATTATCATGTATGAGCTGTTTTAACCGGTCCTTCTCAATCGCTATAAGACGATCACTCTTCTTAGTATACTTGTGTATCTCATCCTTTGAACGTTTTAGTTGTAGTATGGCTTTATCCGTTTCTGTGATATGAACTTTGCTTGGTTTCTGGCCCATGTTTTTATGGCTGTTATATTGTTATTAGTAGTTATATGACTGAATCTTCAAACAAATAGCTCCAGTTTCTTTTTTATAATTAGTGGTTACTGTTATTTGTGTGGTAACGTAGTATTTACTTGGTTTTATTTCGTTAATCAGGTATCTGAAGTGCTAAGGATGTATGCAACATGAAAATATTTCGAATTTAGTGATAAAATTTAATGTTTTGGTCGAAGTGCATATCTTGAATAAGAGATGACTATTTAGTGTAGATGAATTTATAGAAGCTGATTGATTTTTTTCAGTTCAATTAATGCAGTATTGTTGCTAATGTATTAAATAAATGTCTATAAATATAATTTAGATGCTTAACTCCATAGTGTTTCCCATGTAACTTTTTTTCTTACGGCATCCGAGAAACCTTCCTTATATTTGATCCAGATCTTAACCTCTTCAGATTCATTATTAGTTGACTTATTTTGATCTGTTGTATTTTGTTGAATGGCAGTGTACTGTGATTTTAACATGTCAACCGTTTTATCATTATTAGCCTTTGAAAAGTTCTCAATACTAATCTTTTGTCTTTTGGAAGTTGTCTCTTCAACAGTAGACTTACCCTTGTTTGCTTCAACTTGATTCAAATGTCTCTTCCGTACTTTGATCTCTTCTTGCTTTGCGAGAATCAGATTTAAATTGGCTGCCCTTTTGGTGGTGACTTCGTTCTTCTTCATCTCATCGATAAGAACAACTTTATCAATTGGTGGTTCAATCATCAATACCCCTCTTGATGTGTAATGCTCTCCCCTAGTCTCCAGTAACTCTAACTGGAATAGGTCAATTAGATTGATTATGTTGTTGAGAACAGCCTGCTTTTTCTTTGCATCCTTTATCTTTGAGATATCAGAAGCAATCATAGAATCCAAATAAGGTAGAATTTCAAAACCGAGGTCTTTCTTATTCATATTACTGGCTAATAAAGGTGAGAACGTTGATAGCTTTTTCATGATAGATTCTGTAATGCTCTCCACAGCTTTCCGTGCCTCGCGTTGTTCATAATCTGCATTCTTTATACGTTGATCGTCTTTATTGCTTATATCTCCGAATTTTTGATGGAAAACCATTGGCACTATAGCACAGTATCTTAACAATTCACCGTTGTGCTCGAACATTGACTTAAACATCTGTTCATGGAAATATAACCAATCCGCCATCGCAGCAGGTTTCCGCAAACCACTATCAGAATACTTGACATGAGGAAATAAAGTATGACAACCTGTGACAACTCTATCATAGTTATCTACTTTCTCAATTTTACGTGCCAATCTAATAAATTGTCTTTTATTGTCCAAATGCGGATCTTTTCTAAATATCTGGTTGACAATTTTGAACCAAGACAACGAAATATCTTTTAGTCCCAAAGTATCTTCTGAAACATTGTCATTATTAGAAGTTTTATGATTTCCCTTTGATTGGAATTGTAAGTTATTCACACAGTTACGAATGTCACCTTCTGAGATATCAATTAGTTCATTAATTGTTTTCATTCCCAAGTTGATCCTTTCCTTCATACATATGTGTGTGAGCCGTTCCCTTACAGAATTATCAGATGGTTTTCTCAGAGTGATAATTTCGCACAAGGGTCTCAATTTCTCGAGTGCTGGGGCGTAGAGGTTATTACAAATGACAATGATTGGTCGCAGCAACAATTTTGGTCTGTATCTGTTTGATTTCCCGTTATTCTTGCCTCTTGCGTTTTTCTTCAGGACGTAATTATCAGTTGCTCTCTTATCTGCGTTTACAATATCGATCAGCACTTTCACAAACCCTGATTCCACACTACCATCGATCTCATCTGCTATCAGGCAGACGGGCTCCCCAGTGAAGCTGTGGTTGAATAGAGTGTTGTGAACTTTATCTCTTACCAAGGTACCAGCCCTTTCGTCACTTGCGTTGATCTCAGCAACAGAGAAACCAGCTTGCTTTGCCACTACGTGGGCCACGGATGTTTTACCGATTCCCGGTGGACCATTAAGCATCAGTATGCGCTTCATGGGCCGCTCGAAGGGGTCAAAGTTCTCTTGTTCTTTGCTCTGATCCGGCTGCGGCAATTGCTCTTTGAACACAGCAAAGTTCCACTGCCGCAGCCACTTTAGGATCCGTCTGTTGTTCTTCTCGTTCCCTACCAGATCCATGAACTTCTTGGGTCTCCACTTCTCCACCCATAAGGTACAATCCGGGCTGCGCTGGCCAGAGACTGTTTCTGCCGGCGCTGTTTCTCCGTTACTATCGTCACTGCGCGCCTCTATCCTATCTATCAAATGGGCAATGTTTATCCCGTACCCATCTTCCGCCTGCCACACTGCGCCATTGTACGTGGTAGTGGCACTTGCACTGGTAGTGGCTGTGGCATTGGCACTGGCCCGCTTCTCTAGCACCACCGAGCCGCCTTTGCACCCGTTGAACACCAGCTTCTCGCCTTCGTCGCCAAACAGCACACTCCCGCCGAACCCGCTGAAGTTAGGCGCACCGTCCATCTATTTATCCACCACCCTCTGTTAGCTCTCTTATTACTGTACCAATCCTCTTGGCAACACCAGTTCCTTGGGGAGGGGGGGAAGTGGGAAATATTCTTGTAGGAACACCTTGAGCGATAGAGATATACGAGTCAAACTAAATAACCGCCCAACGCCAGGAGAGACGCTCTCACTTGCCCATGGCCCACACCCGTAATCTCTTGGAAAAGCTAGAAACCAAGGCGGTCCCAGAAACCAGGTGACGCGTAAATTTGTATATTTATATACGTACGCATGTGACATACGTATATAAATATATATCTTTACGCGTACCATCATTATTAACGGATAACCACATGATACATCATTTAATACAAAACCATGTGATCTCTCCACACGTATAATACGATATGGTTTGTTGGTCTGCAAGTTACTGTCATTTGGGTGGGGGGGAGGAGGGCCGGGGGGGGCTACGGCCTTTTCTTCGGGTGCTGATGCCCAAATCTTTGTCTCTTAGCAAAGCCCTTCCCTACCCAGAAAGTCCCTCTTCCTCTGTGTGCTTTACGCACTAACAAAAGTGAAAAATTCAATGTTTTGCAAATTGTTTCACAAAACGTTCAATTGGATTTCAATATTTCTAAACTTGATCCAATCTTTTGATCTTCCTACAGACTACACTGAAACAAGTACAACTGCAAGTGCACTGAAACAAGTTCATATACAACAAACACACAAAATGGTTAGTGAAGCGGAGTTTTTGGCGTCTTACCCACAGAAGTGTCCGGCTGGTTCTCTTCCAGGCACTCCCGGCAACACTGACGAGGCCCAGGAAGGTGCTTTGAAGCAATTGCGCAGCGAGTTGGAAGCCGCTGGCTTCAAGGAGAGGCTAGACGACTCCACGTTGCTGCGTTTCCTGCGTGCGCGTAAGTTCGATGTCGCTTTGGCGAAGGAGATGTTCGAGAACTGCGAGAAATGGCGCAAAGAGTACGGTACCAACACCATCATGCAGGACTTCCACTACGACGAGAAGCCTCTGGTTGCGAAGTACTACCCGCAATACTACCACAAGACCGACAAGGACGGCCGCCCAGTGTACTTCGAGGAGCTGGGTGCTGTGAACTTGACCGAGATGGAGAAGATCACCACCCAGGAACGTATGTTGAAGAACTTGGTGTGGGAGTACGAGTCCGTGGTCAACTACAGACTGCCTGCTTGCTCCAGGGCCGCTGGCTACTTGGTCGAGACGTCTTGCACAGTCATGGACTTGAAAGGTATCTCCATCTCCAGCGCATACAGCGTCTTGAGCTACGTCAGAGAGGCCTCATACATCAGTCAGAACTACTACCCAGAACGTATGGGTAAGTTCTACTTGATTAACGCCCCATTCGGTTTCTCCACCGCGTTCAGACTGTTCAAGCCTTTCCTAGACCCAGTCACCGTCTCAAAGATCTTCATCTTGGGCTCCTCTTACCAAAGCGAACTGCTGAAACAGATCCCAGCAGAAAACTTGCCATCCAAGTTCGGTGGTAAATCAGAAGTAGACGAAGCCGCTGGTGGCCTGTACTTGTCCGACATCGGCCCATGGAGAGACGCCAAGTACATCGGCCCTGAAGGTGAAGCCCCAGAGATGTTTTCCATGAAATAAACTTGAAATCTTTACCAAAAAGAGAATAGAAAAGGAAAAAGGAAAAGAAAGAGACAAAGATTGCTATGCTGACTCCTTTTGAGTATCAAAAATCTTTCCCTCTTTCTTTAATTTAATCATGCATTTTTAGTGTATCTACAACGCAAAATTTTTCTTTTATGTTATACCCATTTTTTTTATTTCTAACTGTATTGTTAGTCCTTGTCGTGCAAGCTCTTTCTCGAGGCTATGCTTAAATCCCATAGACTGGAGATGTGTTTTCATAAACAAGCACTGATGACTTTCATATATATAGATTAATTTTTCCCCCTTTAACTTTAAAAATTATAAAAATGATACAATAATACCACTATCAGTGTTTGTCTATCGTTCGCTAATTGCATCAAAAGAATAATAGTTTTAAGTTCCAATGGTTATGTACATAAATAATTATAAGATAAACCCAAAACACAAACTAAAATAAAAAAAGATAAATTAAAAAATTTTAACTAAGGATGCAATATGTATATATTTTAGGTACAAGTCTCTTTCTTTTCATATACAGCAATATTGACTGCATTTTCTCATTTTTTTGTTCTAACCGGTAGATCAAAACTCCAAAGATTGTAATGTATTCCTCACACTCTCCTGTTCTCTTGCCAATTCCTGAGCATAGTTAGAGTTTAGTGTAGGACCTTCATTAGAGTATGTATTGCTTTCAAAGTTTTGAGCAGACGGTTTCGCATTCTTTCCGTTACGTGTATAGTTCCAGTATTCGTTATTCAAGTAGTTATTGAACTCGGAGTCATTGGAGAAAAGATTACTGAAGTTCCCAGCTTGTCCACCGAATGATAGCAAACTCTGGGTATCCATATCGTTGGTGTTTGGCAAATCGCCCATTTCCACACCAAAATTGTAATTGTAATCAGTTGAACGATTTTTCTTGACGTTAGGTCTGGTCAATGGCACAGTACAAACTTGTAAGTTTTCCAGAACACCTTCTACCAAACAACCTTTTTGTCTGAAATGTAACAACAGGTGGTTCCACAACGTATTCCTTGAAAGAGATCTTGGATTACCTAAAATAATCAAACCGTATTTTGCACGGGTGAGACCAACATTTAGACGACGTGGGTCTCTCAGGAAACCAATCATTTGCTGTTCATTAGCACGCACACAGGAAAGAATAATGAAATCCTTTTCCCGACCTTGGAATGCATCCACTGATGCAACTTCCACGTTAGAATACAACTCCTTGTCCAACGCACCGTTCATTTGCATGTATTGCAAGACATAAGCACGCTGACCTTCATATGGTGTAATCACACCAATTTGTTCGGGCTTAACACCGTCACGGAAGAGTCTTGTTATAATTCTCTCACAGTTCATGGCTTCTGTTCTATTCAAATATGATGTACCGTTTGCAGACATTTCTTCAGAACCATAATTGGCCCAGAACATCATTGGTATACCATTAATAGGCCATGGGAAAGTACTGTTGGCCAAAGTTCTTTGCTCCTCCGTAACACCATTCTGCAAACTACCCTCATAGAACATGTTACTTGGGAATTCACTTAAAAAAGGATTCATACGATATTGAACCTCTAATCTAATTGGAATATGCCCCAAGGAGATCAAACGTTCGAAAAGAGATTGCTTTAAACCAGCATCACTAGCTTTTCTTTCCAAAATAACTGGACCTAATTGTTGGTGATCACCAACTAAGATAACTTGCTTAGCACCCTTAACAATAGGTATCAGACATTCAGGTTCAGATGCTTGAGTACTCTCATCAATAAGAACAGTTCTGAATTTCATATCTAAACGTCTATCGCCTGCACCAACACATGTGCAACAGACAACATCCGCCTGTTCCAAGATGCTCTTTTCTGTCTTCTTGACTAAGCTAATAAACCTCTTTGTATCACGGGCAGAGAGTTCACCGGCTTCTTCCTTCAATTTCAAAAGTTTCTTCAATACACCTTTAGCACCTTTGGCAACCAAATTATGAAGAGCTAGAGATGAAACAGAACTTTCTACATCTTCTCTGCTCTTGGCTGTAACCCTGACGACTTTCAAACCTAAATCTCTTAGCTTTGCAGCAAGATGATCGACAGCAATGTTAGAAGGTGCACAAACCAGTATTCTATCCTTGCGAATTTTTGATAGATGATACACAATAGAGGCTGATGTAACAGTTTTACCTGTACCTGGTGGACCTTGGATCAGGGACAGTGGTCTCTGTAAGACGTGCTCTACAGCTTTAGATTGAGAAGCATTTAGCTTAGTGTAGCCTGGTAGAGAAAGCTCCTTTGGCATAGGCACGTCAAAGTGTAAATCCACAACTTGATGGCCCAGAATCTTATAGTAAAGATAACCTGAAATGGATTTTTTGTCCACTGCAAAGTTTTTTAGGGCAGTTTGCATTCTGTCATATGATGTAGCTTTCCATATAAACTCGGCAGTAAATCCAGTGGTTAGGTGAGTTGGTGGAGGTGTCTTACTAGGCCTTAACTCTAGAGTAAACATATCTTTGAAACTGTTTGGTAAACGGACAATAAAACCGGTTCCTTTCCAATCTTCACCTTGAATACCAGAATAGCTCAAAATCATCTCATCACCTACTGCGACTTTCAATTCACTTGATTCAAATGTAGATAGTGCAAAGGATGCCAAGTGCCTATTATTCAGAGCTAGAGACCATTCGACACTGATATGTTCTAATGCTTGGGACTCCTTCAACTGCTTATCGTAATCGGCCTCCAGCTTGATCAAGGGCCCGTAGGATCTCTGATATTCGTAAGCGTCCTGGTATCTCAGCAGCAGAGGCGGTATATCCTCCTCTTCACCTATACCCGCCAGTATGTCGTCCTGAACCTTCTTGGATTCGTCTTGCACGTCGTCCATGGTAGCGTATTTGTCTGATCTCCATTTGTTCTCCAGCTTGCTGATCTGGCTGGGCGTAATCAGCTTCGCCTTCAGTTTGATCTCCTCATCCGACGCAGGTTCAGCGACCCACGACAAGAACTGCTTCTCCTCTATCAACGGCTGCCACTGATCGGTGTCCCAGTTGGGATTCTTGCTCTGCGCACAGGGGATTCTGCACAGCAACACCACGACGGCCTCGCTCTTGGCTGAGACGAAGCCCAACACGAATACGTTCTTGCAACCACAGTTGTAACACTCCAACACCGTATCGCCCAGGTCAGACTCCGGGTGCAAGGACACCGAGTGGTGGTGGGACAGAATCAAGTGGTTTATGATGTGCGAGTTCACAGTCCCGTTCTTCGAGTTGCAAAACCACTTGCTGCACGAGTTACACTTGATAACACTCGTTGGCGCATCAATACCACAGTACGCACACGCATGGCCCTCCGCCTGTCTCTCCACTGGCTCCACTTGCAAGTTGCCTTGCACCTCCTGCATAAACTCTAGCTCCTCCGCATCTTCCAAGTCCGCTAAGATGGCTAACTCTGGATCGTTCGATTCCGCTGGAAAGTTCATAGCCACAGTGCTAGATGTACTGCTCTAGTCTGAATCCTTTTGTTTACAATTCTTTTGTGCATCTTGTACTCATAACCAAGTCTTAAAACGTTAGAGCAATACATAGCAAGAGAGGCCCCATCGGCTTCGATGGAAAAAAAATTCAGCAGTGATCGCATAAAAATAAATTTTTTTTTTCCATGTCTCGTCACCACCCGTTCCCAACACAGCGGTAATAGACCCAATCACCAATTCCAACTCCAGTTCCATCTAAAGTTATAACCCCAGCTGGGCGTCTCCAGGATAGAACCACTTTATAAAAGACACTGAAGTTTGAAAACAGTATCTAAACAGATTTAGCTTCGATTACCATACAAGAAACATTCCGATGTAGTGTAACGGCTATCACATCACGCTCTCACCGTGGAGACCGGGGTTCGACTCCCCGCTTCGGAGTATTATTTTTTTTGTTTCTTTTGTCAAATTTGATTTTTTTGTTGAAAAATTCTGACTGCCAAACAGGAAACACTTTCCTTTCATTTGGCAATTGTTTTAGAGACAGAGTCACTTTGGTATCGAAGATAAGAAGATACACGAGAGATAAGGATACCAGAGGGAGTCACACTTATAAGAAGAAGTCAATTCGTCAATTCATCAATTCATCAATGAGTCCTTCTCTGGCAGTTCATAGAAAAAGTATATAAACTACTCATCCTCCCCCTACTCGTAAACTCTTTGTAAGATTGCAAGCGACACAAACCCCAAACTGTAAACAAATGTCGCTAGTACTCAAGAGGTTCAACTCTACCGCTCTTAAGAAAACTGCTCTGCATGACCTCCATGTGAGCCTCGGAGGCACCATGGTGGAGTTCGCTGGCTACTCGATGCCTGTGCTGTACAAGGGCCAGACGCACATTGAGTCGCACCTGTGGACCAGGCAGAACGCCGGGCTGTTCGATGTCTCGCACATGCTGCAGAGCAGGCTGACGGGTGCCGAGGCCACCAAGCTGCTGCACAGCGTGACACCCACTGACTTCGCCAACTTGCCCCAGGGTACGGGGTCTCTGTCCGTGCTTCTAAATGAGCACGGTGGTGTTGTGGACGACACCATCATCACGAAGGAGCAGGACAACCAGTACTACATAGTCACCAACGCGGGCTGTGTGGACAGGGACACCGAGTTTCTCAAGGGCGAGGTCTCAAAGCTCGATTGCTCCTGGGACATCATCCAAGGCAGGTCTCTGCTGGCGTTGCAAGGCCCCAAGGCGCAGCAAGTGCTGGAGAGGCTGGTGACTAGGGACTCCAAGTTGAACGAGCTCTACTTCGGCGAGAGGAAGGAGTTCACGCTGGATGACGCCACGGCCACCAGGATCGGCGTTGCCAGAGGTGGCTACACCGGTGAGGACGGGTTCGAAATCAGTGTGGAGAACGGCAAGGCCAACGAGTTCGCGCAGAAGCTGCTGGACAACGAGCTCACGAAGCCAATCGGTCTTGCCGCCAGAGACTCCTTGAGACTGGAGGCCGGTATGTGTCTGTATGGCCACGAGCTGACCGAGTCCATCACCCCAGTTGAAGCGGGCCTCGCCTGGGTTATCTCCAAGAGCAGACGTGACGCTGGCTCCGAGGACCAGTTCAACGGTTACTCCAAGATCATCGACCAGTTGAAGAACAAGACCCACGAGATCATCAGAATCGCATACAAGTATAAGGGCAAGGGGCCCGCCGCCAGACCTGGCGCCAAGATATTCCTCGAGGACGGCGAAACACAGATCGGTGAAGTCACTTCGGGTAGTGCAGCTCCATCCTTGAACAACATCAACATCGGGCAAGGCTACGTGAAGAGAGCACATAACAAGAAGGGCAAGACCGTCCTGATCCAGGTGAGGAACAAGTTCTACCCGGCAGAGTTGGCTAAAATGCCACTAGTACAAACGCACTACCACAAGGCATAGTTATTCGCAGTTTTGTATATTCTAGCTTCACTAAGTAACAATACCAATTATTACTATTTATATATCGTTTACTTCTTATAATCAAGTTGCGGGATCAGCTAAATTCACTATTTGTCACAAGGTGGGAGACGGATCAGATCGGCAAACCTTGATCGCACATGTCCCACTGTTTCATAATACACTCACCAAGACTGCAATCCGATAGCAAGTGGGTGAGAGGGACCTGTGGCAAATGTTAGCACACGCTAGGCAACTTGATTAATATTGGGAACGATATCAAAGTTCTACAAAGTTGGCACAAATGTCTGCATGCCCTTTCCAAAGTCATTTTGAAGCCTAGAAGCCTTTGATAAAGCACCTTCTTGATTTTTTTTGATTTTTTTCTTTTAAAAAGTTTCAAGACGAACAGATCAGGATAATAAGGAAAATTAGAGGTATAGCAACAAAGAAACCACGTGTATTATTATTGGAGTTGGGCTTCAGCTTGGGATTTTGGACCAGATATACAAAGTTATCGAACACCTTCTGCATAATATTTTGGAGGACAAAGATACGCCCCTCTGGATGCCGTTATCAGGTCTCTTGCTCAAGTTATAATATAAGAAAAGCAGCGACTCGTGTGGACGACTACTATAGCACCGAGAGTTTATATACAATTACATCATGCCCTCACATGATGGTACCAGGGCCAAAACCAAATTGCGCTCCAAATCGCGCTCGCAAACGCATGAGTATGAAACGGAGCCCTTCGTTCATGGCTCGTTAGAGGATGAAGAGACGGTCAAGAATTTGAAAGATCTGAACATATCTAATAAGCAGAAACTGTCGCCTGTGATGCATGGACGTAAGGCTAGTACTTACTTGAGGATTTTCCAAGATGACGACGAGCCTGTCATAAATAATGAGAAAGCTGGACGACACAGAGGAAGTAGGCACCACCACAAGCGTTTGTCGGGGACTCTAGACGAATCCGATGGCAATATACCCAATATATATAGGAATATCGAAGGAAAACAGCGGCGGAACTCAAAAAACTATGGAGGTCATAGCCCCATGGGCAGAAGGAATTCAGCTTACAATCAACAGAGAAAACCAACTAAGGAATCACTACAGAACCTCGCTTTATCGAACAGGACGTCTCCACAATCACCACCAAGCAATAGAAATAAGATTGCACTGGACAACGGTAAAGGCACCAGGTATTCCTACAGGAGATCTTCTTCCAGTAGTAAAGAGAGACCACATGAAATACCTAAGCATGCATCAAGAGATTGGAGTAACTTTAACGTCAATATAGCTACAACAAGAGTAGGAAATATTCATAACTATGCTCAAATGGACTCTTCCCCTGGAAGTAAAATGCTGTCTAGTGGTAATGATCAAGATTTACCCTTGACAGATGACCTGATGTTAAAGCCTGTGTCTTCTGCGACCTATTATCCTCATAAGTCTAAAGAAAAGAAGAAGTTGTCTGATGAATTTACATCCAACAAACACAATAGAACTGACAGACAAAGTGATGAATTTGGAAATAAAGGTAACGAGAAGAATCAATCCACTAACACAGAAGAGAAATTGGAGTACGATATTTCGCCTAATTCAGATATCATTGACATAGTAGCACCAATATCGAGCGATTCTTTTGACAACCAATTACTAGAAAATATTCCAAAGGTAAAACATAGCCCTGTGGATATAGAACAGAATAATGTTGTCACAGATGAAAGTGACATTGAAGATGAAGATAATGACAGAGAGTATCCTTTAGCTGTTGAATTGAAACCTTTTACCAATAACGTAGGTGGACATACCGCTATTTTCAGGTTTTCTAAACGGGCAGTTTGTAAGGCGTTAGTGAACAGGGAGAACAAATTCTATGAGAATATCGAAATCAACCACCAAGAATTGTTGCCCTTCATGCCAAGATATATCGGTGTTTTAAATGTTAGACAGCACTTCTACTCACATGACGATGAAATGATAAACAATATATCAAAAGAGAATGAGAAAATTAATGATGATGATGAACAGATAAAAACTACACCTATCAAGCAGAAAATTCCCTCTAATGATTCCGAGCAGATAGGATCCGCATTGACTCATATTCATTCCTTTCCTATTGAGCGCCAACAAAGGTCTATTAGCTGTAAGGATTACATGTCTTCTCAACAACAATTGCCAGAAGTGGTGTTGAACGATAATAGACACATAATACCAGATTCTCTTTGGGGACGGTACTCACATTCACCAAATTCGCTGCCAGACAACTCTCCTAGCTCATATCTTTCATCTCATTCTTTTGATGAGAAAAAATTTGAACGAGCTCTAGAGAACAGAGATAGGGAAGGCGAACGTGATGCTGGATACACTGTTATTAATACTGAACTGAAAAATTCAGTTCTTGAAGAGGTGTTTGCACCAATCTGTTACAGAAGACATCAAAAACAAAGAAGTCAAATCCAATTCAAAATTCCTCCTGGACATAGCCCCAGCAACTCGCTACAAGAGAGCAGATTCCCACATGATAATAGTAGGCGTGATTCTGATACCGTTGTTGGTTCCGTCAGAAATAGTCAAATTGACCAACCATTACTACAGAAATCTGTGAAGGACTCTATCTCTAACTGCTTAGAGTCATCTCACTCAGTAATGGACTTGAAACAGTTCAAAAGGAAAGAAGAAATTAAAGAAGGCCTTCAAGGTAATACAAACGAACAACCAAATCCAAATCTCACATCACAAACTATGGCTCTATCCAATTCAGTTTCTTCTTGTGGGACCAGTAAAAGTAAAATAGACTGCGAGGATGACATGGATGTCTTTTTAATGGACGAGGACAATGAAACTCTAGATCATCATAATAGAAAACCTCAGCAAAATCAACTAGCTGAATATAGGTCTGCGTCAAGAGAGTCCGTACCAACGGAGGATCAAGAGCATACTATTGTATCGCAATTTATTCTGCTGGAGGATCTTACCCGTAACCTATCCAAGCCATGTGCCTTAGATTTGAAAATGGGTACACGCCAGTATGGTGTGGATGCTAAAAGAACTAAGCAACAATCTCAAAGAGCTAAGTGCCATAAAACCACTTCACGTAAATTGGGTGTCAGAATCTGTGGTATCAAGGTTTGGGATCAAGATTACTACATCAAAAGAGATAAGTACTTTGGCAGGAGAGTTAGAGCCGGATGGCAATTTGCAAGACTTCTGGCGAGATTCTTATATGATGGTAAGCACAAAGGGAGTGTAATTAGACAAATTCCACGATTGTTGAAACAATTGGAAACGTTGAATAATGAGGTGAATGAATTAAAAGGTTATAGACTTTATGGTGCCTCCTTATTACTTATGTATGATGGACGTGCAAAAGAAACTTCAATCGACAATACAAGTGATTTAACCAAAATGCTCACTAGTGTAGGTAAAGCTAAGGTCAATCTAATAGATTTCGCAAGATGTGTTACCAAAGAAGATATGGTTGCCGGCCTTTCCACTTTCAAAATCCCCCCTAAGAACCCAAAACTTGAAGATAAGGGATTCCTACGTGGTGTGAAGAGTTTGAAATTCTATCTGCAGTTAATATGGAATTATCTAACAAACGATGCTAAAATTCCAGAAGAAGAAGAAGATATGATAGAATGGATGAACTCCAATCTAGATTCTGTCCTAAGCCCATGGGACTGGCTTGACTCGTTTGCAGACGAAGAGGAGAACGAATTTAATGATCCTACAAGTGAGCTCAGGAAGAAATGGAGGAAATATGAATTAATATTTGATGCGGAACCTCGCTATAATAATTTAGATCCTGAGATAAGTGACTAGGCTTTGTTCACAAGTTATTGCATGCATTATTACTTTAATATTCATCAATCAATTAATTTTAATTATTAATATAACTAAGTCATAGTAATAGATTTTTTTTGTAACGGAAAGTATACCATGCGAATAGTTTATAAATTAGAATAGTTACAACAGTATTCTGTAGGAATATAATTTATACCATACTCTAAAATATGTATGATACTTACAGAACAGTAGTATAGCAGAAAAAACACCAAATACTCAGACACGAGTTATTGGAATTGAAGCCAGTAACTAGATCATACATACACAACAAAATAACAATTGCTATTACTATGTTAAAGTTACAGTGGTGTTTAAAATAATGACTAGCAATTTGAAACGCAATATTTGCAAATTATATATATATCAGTGAGACCACAACATTATGAATAAGCAGGAGATTAGCACCGCAGATAAAGACTTTATAGAACAGAGAGATGTTCTTTTGCAAGAGGTCAACGAGTTAGTTGCATCAATTCTAAATGGTCTCAACGATCTAAACATATCATTAGAGAGCAGTATATCAGTGGGGAAAGAGTTTGAGAAAGTTAGTACTTTGTGGAAGAGTTTTTATGACGGACTAGAAAGTGTCGATAATGAACATAGTGATAGCGGCGAAGATTGATGTAAAAAGCGCGTTAAATAAATAGAAGTGCAACAGAGGAATGCTTATTTTGTATTTTGTATGAAGAGCCACATTATAGGCAAATCCATTGTCATATGCTAGCATCTGAAGACATACAATTTTTCAGTATCAGAAAGTTATGATATTGCAAGATTAAAAACCACCGGATAATTACCAAAATTGAATGCCATACCTGAGATTTAGTTAATAAAAAGACTGGGCTATTTTTGGGTATCCAAACCAATTAAGAATCATAAAATAGTTCGAGATGGCGGCCTATAAGTCAAAGTGCGTATCAGCAACGTTAAAGTTTGATGAGCCAATATTAGGAGAAACCTCTGGATATACTATCTCCGTAGTTTTTTGGATAAACCTGCCTTATAGACAACTTTAGAAGAGTCTACATTATACAGTGTTCTGTTAGCTTTGGCAATCAAGTTCTTCAAGGAGCTCACCCTCTTTAATGATTTCACCCTCTTTATACTTGACCGATCTTTTGTCAAGCTAAATTGTACTACTACATCACTCTCCGTAACTGATCTTTTAGATATCCTATTTTGGGTCAATTGACCTGTCACAGGATTAGTGTTAGTAATTACAGTATAGCTTCTCCCGAACATTTTTCCTGGAGCACTGTTGACTTGGAAATGTAAACTATTTAGCTTACAGTCCAATTGTATAACAATAGTTATACGCAAGGGATATCTTATTTGCTTGCGTATTTTACTTCATATGTATGCTTTTCAGCCGGGCGCGCTTATTATCAAGTCCGAATATACTAAGATTTATGAAAACTGCCTGGAATGAAGGCCAATGATAGCTGTCAATACATAGCTCTTAGAATAGAAACAAGCGTGAGGTGATACATTTTAAGAAGATCAAATTCTATCTTTCATACACTGATTTTACCTTTGTAGGAAAGCAAAGTATAAGATGTTGGTTTCTTTCCTTCGAAGTTTATTATTAGCCTAGCTGCCACAGCCATGACAACGTTACTCGAAAAAAAAATAAGATGTAATTAACAAAGGCTAATAAATACAGGAACGTGCCATCTTCATGGCCACAAACTCTATTAAATAATAATGAAAATAGCCAATGAATGACGTACCAGAAGTCGGATTCTACAAACACTTTGCATCGACCAGGGATATACGAATCTAAACCATTTAGAAAAGTTAAATCTTGGTTAGATCAAGTATAATACAGATATAGAATAGAACTACAGCAGTAAGTGCCCATGATTTTGATGATAAGTCTATGTGCAATACACCTACACATTATCCCGCACACCTTCCTATTGTCAAACTTAAGGTACAAAGCTATGGTGATTTAAGATACAAGTTTGATATACTAATATGAGACTGCCGTCTAATCTTAGTGTCTACTCAGAATGGGAATTGACCTTCTTCATGAACTAGCTGAAATGGGTGAGAATCTTCTTGTATAGGGTTCTCATCTACAAATCATGATGATTTCTGAACAAAGGTACTGGCGGGGGCAATGTTAGGGTAATTGTTACGTACACCAAAATACGATAGTTTATCCCTCCCCCCACCCAAGTCCTAATCCCCATATGATAACAAAAGCTAAGAATACGACCTACAAATCAAATGTAACGTGATACCTATGAGAGCTCACATAGATTAGAGGTACTGCTTGCAGCACGAAGAAACAGACAGGAAACTTTGTAGTTGAGGGTTTTTTTGAACTGATTGATAGCTGGAGAATTCTCAGGTAATATACAGCCTGTTGCGACTGGCCTCCCCATTCCTCAGGGTCCCTTTAAGATGGTTGTGTTTAGTTTATCACTTACCGTATTGCTAAAAGGAAAAGTTGCAACACCAGCGAAATTTTATATCCGTTCTTAATTTGCTAGGTGGGATTGTCTCCGAATCACTGCCATCCCATCACAACAAAAAAACAAAACAATGATGACAATAGGAAATCATGATGTTGGGACACTATCACTGCGTGAGTTAATATACCTATTTCGTTAAATGCCACTGTGCCTGGACTTCAGTACTGATCATATTATGACCTTTTGTTCACAGTTTTTTTTTTCAATAAGAACTTAGTCTCAGACAAAGAAGTGAACATATATAAACTTGTGTGATGAAACTGGCCAATATTCAACATCGAATTTGTTACTTTGCGTTAAATAAGAAAGACTGGCAGTAAACACAGAATAATATATATTATAGTTAAGTTTTTTACTTGCGAGGTAATCATAAAACAATGGGTCTTCCATCGATATCTGAAAATAAACATCTGAAAACGAATGGTACTGTCCACAGGATACTGTGCTATACGCTTGCAACCATTTTAGGTAACTATGCAAGACAAGGTTTGGAGTATTTGACCAATTACGAACCTTCTTATGTTAGGCCTACCACGGTGTTATGGGCTAACTGTGGTGGTTGTATTATGATGGGTCTATGCCAGGATTTACGGGAGTTATTCTTTTATGCAAACGAGTATCATGTGTTATTCTTGAGCATAACCACTGGGTTTTGCGGTTCTTTTTCTTCATTCTCAACTATGATTATTGAAATGTTCACTTACTCGGCCAGTCTAACCAACGAAAATATCGCCACAGGTAGTCGATTACCAAATAGAGCTTACGGTATCATGGAATTCCTTTCTGTTATGATTGTACACCTTGGTGTATCCTTATCAGGTTTACTACTGGGTAGGAAACTAGGTAAAGAAGTCCTAATCCCATACTTCATTTCCAGACCAACTAAGACAGAGGTTTCATTAACGGATAATGAACCTACTGAACCATCAGATAATAGCGGAGAAGTTATTGAAAAGACTGATTCATATGTTGAACCAGAATACTATACACCTAGATGGTGCGTCTATATCCTATTTGGTTTAGATCTATTTTTGACTTACATGTCAATTCCTATCTTGGTTATGATCATTATTTTGACAGCTTTTTACGGAAACTATTCAAGAGGTGTGTGGACACTGCCTGTACTATTTGGTATCCCTGGATCATTTTTAAGATACTACCTTTCCAAATGGTTCAATAACAGGAAGTCCTTGAGCATGTTCCCAGTTGGTACATTCATTGCTAACATCTCTGCTACCTTAATACTTTCTATCCTCATTATGGTACAAAGAGGACAAAAAAATAGTCAAACACATGAAAGAATTATCAACAATAAGAATACCTGTCATATTGTCCAGGCTTTGGGAAGCGGCTTCTGTGGTAGTTTGAGCACTGTATCCACATTTATCAACGAAGCCCACCAGAAGGACATCAGCTATATTCTTAGATATTATTTCATTACCATTTTTTGTGCCTACTGCTTGTGCGTAATCACATTGGGATCTTACTCCTGGACTCGTGGCTTGACACTACCGGTTTGTTAAGCTATGGGTCGACTTAATTGATGTTTGGAGGTACCATTATGTTATCCGAGGAGATACTATTCATAAATAGGAAACCTAATGCTCGTTCAGATGATTATATTAGGGATAACCTTATCATCAATATTTTCCTTTCAATGTGATTTTGAAAAGTTAGCTATTAAACGGAAACAATAGCTTTAACTAATTTGTGCTGTCAAATCAACAACTATGAAAAATAAAAGAACAAATACTATGATCAAATGATAGAGCTTAGTGTTCTATAGTAGTGATATTTTTTTGCCATGTTGAAATCGGATCAACAATGTTTAAAATACAACTGTGTAATGCGTTCTGTATATTATACTAATTATGAAATAGTTGATATCATTCTCTTTTTTAGTATTACCACTTTTATATGCTTGTCGTTATTTAATGAGATCCATACTTAACATACAGTCATTAATTTTGTTCTGTATCTTCACATTTTCAACATGTAATGACGAAAGCAATTTTGTAAACCTCAATTTTAGTCTTTTTGTTTGTTCCAGCGTCAATGCTAGTTTATCAGATGATATTTTCGATCCAGACAAAAGATAAACTAAGCTAAGGTACTGAAATACCATGAGATTATCCTCTACAATCTTGCGCTCAGATTCTTCACATAATATTTTGCAAAGAAATCTTTCAATCTTTTCTTTCAAGTCACAGCTTTCTGTTATAGGATCATTTATCAATAGATTACATGATAGTACTGCCTTCAGCAAATGTATGTCATCGAGATCATTTTCATTTTCTATATCATCAATAATATGTTCCAACATATCAATGAAGAAGCTTTTATCCTTCTTGCTATTGCCAGCAAAGTTAATACCACTGTTAACCAAAAGAATCAAGCCCTTTAAGAGAACGTCCTCAATATCATTCTTGATAGGATTGGCCTCGCTTTCATAATATTTGATGATATTAGTGAATATGCTTTTCAATGAGCATTCATCAAAAAAATTCAGCGACGAAGGAAATTGGACTATCAGTTTAACGAAAGCTGAAATATTTTTGTCATGATGATCTATTATTGCGCTGTAAGCATTTACCGATGATGATAGTTGCGGATATTTTCTACCAATTTCAGCTATTTCTTCCTTGAAATCAATGTGATTGAGATCAATAATATTAAATTTAATAACATTTGCTATTGTAAACACCATATTATCTCCAATCTTGGAATCTCCATCGACTAGACAAGTTACCAGATCACTCAGTAGCATTTGGCTGAGTGGTTTAAAGACAGTATCAGTCTTGAATGAAAATTTATCCAAGGTATTAATCAAGTTATCAGAGTAGTTTTGTATGATGAAGTCTTTCAAGTCACTATCAGTGAACATATTAATAAGTAGTTTAATTATTGCTAATACAAATGATTCAGCTGATGTTTCCACAGTAACCGCTTTTAGAGGTAGTAAAAGCTCATCTACATCATCTTGATACTGTAGCGCATGCCCTTGCTTTCGCATAGCTTTAAACTTATTACCATCGACCTGTTTACTGTCTGAATCCAGAGAATCATATAAAGATACTTGCCTGTGAACTACTGTAGCATTTCCTAAATTCCTATTCATGGGTAGCTCAGATTTTGTTGCTGATAGTTTCGTATTTTGTAAACTTGATATGCTGACCTGTTGGCCTTCATATAGACTATCGATATCCTCCAGGGCGTTTGTTCTCTTTCTATCATCATCTGATTTTATTTGGTCTAGATAGTCAGATATATCCTGTATGGACGTCTCGAATTCAAGATTATTATCTGAAGCTGGCCCCCCATCAAAATTTTCTCCATCTAACACATTATTAGACTGGTTAATCTCAATCTTCTTTCTGTAAGTAGTTTTCCTTTTCTTTCTCTTTGGTAGCTCAATATTATTGAATAAATCGTCAAATGAATCGCCTTGAAGGTCTAACTTGTTATCGCTTCGCTGACCAGCAACGTTAGAAAACACCTTGGCTTGCTTGTTAGAAGCACTGCTTATGCTGCTCTCAGATTTTGGTTCCATACTTAAATCTGACCTTACTGGAGTCATCTCATCATCGCTAAATTCAATATCATGACTCGTATCATAGTCATAGGAATGCGCCCTTCTCCCATACACTTTCATGGCGCACAAAGTAGACACGGTTATCTAATTGAATAAAGACTTCGACCTGGTTCCTTGATCAATTGCTTAGATTTTTCATTCTTATAAATTTACAGCAAACACTCAAGCTTTCTCAAAAATTTTTACGTGTCGGCAAGCTCATCGCGTTATATTGCTAATTGAATCATACGTAACAAGGTCTATTAAGCAATTATATATCATTAAATCTTTTGAAGATACCCTTGTTGGATAAGTCTCTCAACATCTGACTGGCGTACAAAGAATTGTGAGTCCTTGATCAGGTTGAACACACCGTATTCCGTTTGTATCTCACCTGCGTCTTTCAACACACGCACATCTATAAATACATCGCTAGGTGGTTCCAAACTGCCTGACAAATCAATATCGGCCATACTCTCACTCTTTAGTTCTGTAATCAACTCACCATACTCCTTCAAGTACTCTTGTTCATAGTGCGAAAGAGAATTCGTCTCGTCTTCATTGGATCCTGAGTAAAGCTCTATACCTGTACCGTTATTGCACCAGGCTATATTATCCAGAATATCTGTCCGCAATTTTTGGTACGCCAAAAGGCATCTTTTATTCCTCTCCATACACAGCAATGTGACGAAGTACTGGCACTTCACAATCTTCTCATCCAGATGAGCAAACTCCTCTGCGTTGCCATTGTTTCTCAAGAACTCAGCGTTCCTTCGAAGCTGGTCAACTTCATTCAATATATTTCGCACTAACTCGTCATGATATATAGGCAGCCTGCTCAATAAGTTCACACCACCACCGCTCTGTAAATCCTCATTAACTCGCCGTTGGTTCAGCTGCTGTGTTCTCTTAGCCTCCAGTATAAGTTTATTCGCCAAGTCACCATACATTGTTTAATATTCCCGTACTTCCTCAATGGATATAGTACTGTTCTAAAGGTTCCTGGGACATAAATGGCTTTATTATTATCTTCTATATCTGATATGAACTGCGCATTGTCTGATCGTTATGTCTTTATTTTCGCGTAGCTTAAAAGCGATGAGCTCAGTCACGAGAACAACACATACAGTAATATTATAGTGTTATATAATCGAGCCATGAAGAGCCTTGATAAAGTACTCATATTCCCCCCAGCAACTTGAAGAATCTACGAAAAGCTAGACTACTCGTTAGCGCTAAATTTGTGATATGCCAAGATTGGAACGGAATGTATATAAAGGACTCATCACTTCGTTGTCAAGGAAGAAGCCAAGCAATAGCCTTGCAGTGAAGGAATCGCCATTGCTTACAAAATTCGAGCGATGGTCTGGCAAAAGGATGAAACTATTTTTTGAAAGCGAGGACAGCTTTGAACATTATGGATTGCGAGATCTAAAGCTGCCACACAACATGCTAGCAAATAAACTAGCTTCACCCATCCGAGCTGAGCGTAACACTCGCTATAGAATACCGAAGGAGTTTCTTATCAAACTGAACTTATATAAAGACGCAACTAACAATGTCTTACAACTGAAGGCAAATTTCAATGGTGTTACAGGTCTAGGGACTACTTACATTCACAATAATAAGAAGTGCTTGGAGATGAAGTTCTGTGATATCAGCAGATGGTCTTCAAGGCAGCCATTAAAGGTACCACCACTTCCGATCGTGGCAGACAAGTCAGCTCTGCTTAAAGATTACGAGAACCAACTTATTCGAGAATTAAATGAATGCTTCTCTAAATTGAAAACGACTTCGAAGCACGATCACAATACTGTGAAGTTATACGTGAGCACAGAGAATAACCTACTGATGGATGTCGATACCCAAGGAAGTTTATGCATAAACTTACAATCAATCACAGATAAACTGCCACACACCATGCTGGAAACAGTCACAAACGCACCAATCCATATCTCAGCATATAGTAACATGGACTTTCTAACCACTCTACATAGATTACTCGGATACTATCGGCACAGGAATCGGTAGTTAGACCAGTAGTCTCTTCTCCTAAGCGAGTGTAGGAGCTATTACCTTTCCGACTCAACCCATGCGCTTCACGTGACTGTTCTAAATACTTATGGGTCCCAGTTTAACCAAATTCCTTTTGTATAAGTCAAAGGGAACAGTAGCCAAAAATGAAGGAAGTTCCTACGACTATCTGTCAGAGTTTGGACCCTTGTTCCCTTCTTTGCCCTGTTTGTGTAGTTGATTGATTGTATGTGGGGGGGATTATTTTTCAGCTGCGTCCTTCTGAGAAATAAGCTTCCATCTTGCGCATCTGTCAAAGGATTTCTAAGCTTACAGAGCTTACGGAAGAGATAAGTGCGGGATTGCCAGAATTACAGATTAGTGGGCAAGAAGAAACGGGACCAACTTGAGTTGTACGGGTGTCTCTGTTTAATGCATAGGATAGGTACTGCAATTTGGACTGTTCGGGCTGTAAATTGGAAAATGCTTTCGGTTCGGTAATTTCAACTGAAAAAAAAATATCCAAAAAATCCCGCGATGAAGCACAATGCCTGTGGTAACTGATAGCTGAGTTAGTAGTTTTGGTTGCTTATCATTTGGGAATAGAAGAATTTTTGAGAAAGGTTCTTATCCAATTCCTATAACAGCATTCCGATTATCAGTTTATTGCGGCGGATAGTTGATATAAATTGGTAACCCTTTAAAAAAAGAAAGCAAAATAACAGGCAGATAATCATAGCGATAGGAGGTAATCAGCACTTTTTTTTGATCTATTAGTATATTAGAGCTCGCTGTAACAGAAACGAGAATTATGGCTCTTTATGCAAAATCAAGACTATAGAGAACAGTAGGAAAGGTAATGATAGAGTTAATTTCAGTACACAATGTATTGCAGTTGTTGCATATAGCATTCAAAGTGCTGGTAGCAGAAGTACTGCTTCAGGCATTTATTTGGTTAGTACTCAGCTTTTTCAACCTTCCCATTAAAGCATTTTCGTTTGGTGTACTCTTGGGACCCGCTATTAGAAATGTGCTAGTTCAATTCAAGGGAGTGAAGCTAACGGTGCGATCAATAACACTAAGAGCCAGTTTGCAGCCCTCGATTATTTTCAATTCTATTAATGTGACGCTCTCTGATGTAATTGACAAAGGTGATAACGATACGGATCAAAATGCTCCTGCAGTACCGAGAGTTAGAATTAAAATGAATAGCTGGCAACTTTGGCTTGTCAACATCTTGACAAAATTCCAGTTTTATTTTGCAAATGTCTACATTACACTTGCGGATAATCACATGATAAAAGTGGATCTGGTATCTGCTTCTATCTCAAAAGTTGGTAAAGATACCACTAATATAGAGTTTTTTGCTCATGAGATCGAGAAAGGGGACGAGTTCACGATGAATCATGTAATATACATGTTGTCATTTAAGACAAATCGCGCAAAAGATGATGAAGAGAAAGGGATCGTTATTGAACTGTATGAATGGAATTCCTATCTGAAGACAACGAACACGGTTATTGATTACCACAGCTACCAGAAAAAATACTATAGAGTTCCGAAAAGTGTAGCCCCGGAAGTGGCAGAGGATTCTAAGCTTTCCTCAACCCCACAAAGTTTTGATGATTCTATTATTCATAAGATCATTGATATGAATAGACATTTAATAAAGAGATTGCGAATTATTGATGTTAAAATAGAGAACATAGATGTTGTTTTTTGTCCTTCCTTTAAAATATCAGTGTCAAGTTTTCAGTTTTGTTTAAAATCTATGAATAAAACAGAAAAACGATCTGTTTGGGAGTTGGTAGAATTTAATAGCAGTATTTGGGAAGAGTACGAAATAACATTATCAATGAATTCAATAATTTGTGAGTCAGGTCCAGATACATGCCTCAGATTACCACTTGTAAATATATTGATAACGACCGACTGTATGGCACATTACACAAATGGGGTTCCATTTGAAAATTTGAAAATTGTTACAACTATCAACGTCATTAATCCTTCATTTTTTACTACTTCTGAGCAAGTATTGAAGTTGCTGAAAACATTCTTAATCAAGGGTAACACAGAATCGAAAAACGAAGATACATTGAACAGTTTCCCCATCGATAATTTCAGAATGGATAAGTTTCCATCATTTACATTGGAGTACTCGTTCTCGAACTTTACGTCAACTATTGGCCTTTCTAATGAGGAGGATTTGAACTTGTCTTTGTTCAATGTGCAGGCTATTATATGTCATTCCAGTGTTGTAGATGAGCTAAGTATTCCTGAAATGACGTTGGAAAAGGTACAATGGTCGTTTATAAAGAGTTCATCTCCCAAAAAAGAATTTAGCAACTATATTAAAATTGTGGGTTTAAGTATATCTTACTTGAGGTCATCGCACTTAGCTGATGTTCCGCCATTGTCTATTCCACTATGTGGCCTAGAGCGCCTAGATACGTTTATTGAGGATGTCTTTTCAAAGAATTCACGTGTAAATTCCACTTTGAGGCATTTCTCTCTTACGTTGGATAGCCTAAAAGTTGTTGATAAACTTAGTGGCTTTATGAGCAAAATCAATTCTGTGATGCATGACAATGTAAGTAATAAAAATGAAAATATGCCAGATCTTGAGAGTCATAAGGGTACGTCAATAAAAAGAAAGAGAGGGTTAGCTAAGTTAATTAATGATCTCAATTGGACATTAAGATTTCGTTTCAAAGATGTGACAATATCGTTGATCGTTTCCGGTTTTCTTCCCAAATATTTGGACCCAATTGACAATGCTGACTTGAACTTAACAGATATTGACAGAGGTATTAAAATTACTTTCAAAGAGTCATTACTTTTGATTGATAATGATGGTAAAAGATTCAGTTTATTCAACGCCACATTGTCTAGAATTATCGACAATATCAATAAAGAATCTGAAGTAGGTGGCATTTTTGTGCTAAACGACTTTGTAGTTTATCAGCCGAAAAATTCTAATGATATTTCAATAAAGCTACCGCTGGTTCATATGAAATTTGATGTGTCTACACTTTGGCTGATATTTTTTCTAAAATCAATTTGGGAGCGCTACAGTGTAACAATGTTGAATGCATCAAAAGAGAAAGTTAAGAAAATTAAGAAGCCTACTATGAGAAAAACGCTCCGCATACAAGCTAATGAAATTAATATACATGTCATGTTAATGAGTGGAAACCCAATTGTGTTTGCAATTGAGGACCTAAACTTTGACTCATTGTCCATGATGGTCAGCCTTCAAAATTTCAGATTATTATGCAAGTCTGTATATATTACAAAGATACCAGTGCTAGTAAATTTAATGCAAATTAGAGACCTATCTGTTGATCTGAAAAAGCTGGGAGAACATTCAGCAGTACCAATAACCACTTCCTTAATTCATTTCCAAACAGAGTATCACCTTAGATTGTACATTATCATTGATGATATTATCACAATGTTTAAATCTTATAAACAAATTCATTTGGCATTTAGTAACATACTGTATTATAGGAGACTATATCCATCCAGAATGTTTGCTGCAAAAATTCCAAAGATAAACTTCAGTGTAGAGAAGTTTTTGATAGACATAGAAGAAGATCCCTTTGAGCAGGAATTGGGCTTGATTTATAAAGTAGGTGTCTCCGAGCAACGAGAAAGAATAAGGAAAGAGGTGGAGTTTGACAATGAAGTTCGAAGATTGAAAGAAATGACACCGGAGGAGCAAGAGGAGTTCTTGTCAAGAGTAAATAATTATCCATATCGTGGCCGGATGAGTGAAAACTATTACATTCAGCAAGCAAGAATGAGATTATTGGAGCATTTTTCAACTTCATGGATTGTTAGATATCGGAAGGCAAAACTTCTACATCATCAAGCACCTTATCATGTTGAAGAGAAACGTTATATTGATACCAAGTACTATGTCTATAGTAAGGAAAGGGTTATTACAACAGCAAATTTAATAATTGACAATCTAATGCTGAATATTGGTCCACCATCATTCCCGGTTGAGAATCATATGGACTTCATTCATAAATATGGTAAAGGAGTACCGAAATCAATGGAGTACACTCTTTTGATAATGATGGGAATGAATATCTATAGCGATCTGTTTGAGTTAAATCTCAGGGATTATCCTATACCAGTGATGTCCTTCTCACAGGTGAAGACTGATGGTGATATTGTTTTTGCTGAGAAAATGCCTATAGAAGATTCCCATAGAAGTATTTTTGTGCCATTCGTTAAATCAGCAAGTGCAGTACCATATAACATTCATAATAGTTTTTATGGATCACATATTATTAGGACTTTGAACTCCATTAAGATTTACTATAACTTGAACTCTAGGACAGAAGCTGCTACTCCATCTTTCTTAACATGGGGTAAATCTTTGCAACCTGCATTTGAGTCTCTAATGCTGTGGTTTGATTATCTAACTAAACCTCCACTTGATCCATCTGAGAAACTTGGTTTTTGGGATAAATTCAGGTTTATAGTCCATGGGAGATGGGTCTTTAAATTTGAAAAAGATAGCTCTTTTCATCTCCATATTAAAGGATCTTACGATCCATATAAGATTGCTGATGATGGTGCAGGTGTCTCGTTCTGTTGGTCTGATAATACAGCCGTAAAAATCCATGATTCTTCTGATCCAAAGAACTTTTTGGTGATTGATTCATCTCGATTTTTGCTAGCTATTCGTGATTTTACAGAGGTTGACAAATTTGAAAAAATATTCATGAAACTACACGGAAATGTTACATGGAAAATGGGACTCTTGTTTGAACAGGGTAACTATGAAAAAATCGGAGAAGAAGACAGAGAAGCGCCTTCGAGACCTCATTATGACGTCGATCTGGTTAATCCGATATCTGTGCGTAATAAGTCAACACATGATTCGTACTCTGGCTTTAGGAGCAGATTCATTCATATGTCATTTGGGGTCTATTCTTACGGAGCGAATGCCTATAATAATATGTTTATTGCACCAAATTCATTTGCATTATTTTTGAGATGGTGGAATTTATTCCATCAATACACATCTGGGCCTATTAGGCAAGGACCTTTGTTTACCGAGCTTGTACAAAATAAGAACAAGTTTGGTAAGGCTCTATTTACAATCAAATATCAGTTGCATTTGGAACCTTTGATCATCTCACACACATTACGTCATATGAGTTCAGAGTATAGTAGTTTTGAGGGTAAAAACGTGATATTTACCGGCCTAAAAGGCAGAGTAAGTTCTTTGAAAATGGATTTCCATCAAAAAAGGATAAAATTGGCTCACATATATGAGAAGTTAGAATTGACAAATTCTGTATGGAAGTTTAGAATGTTTGAAGGAGAAATGGATTGTTGTGATGCCGACGTAAGGATTATAGCTGCTGAATTTGCACAAAGTAAAATAGATGATATATTATCGGGTATGAAGAAGTCCGAAATAATTGACAGGGAATCTCCTCAAAAGCCACTTTCCACTGGTAATGATGAATGGTTTGATCTTCATGACTACCATGATGTTGATCATGTGCCATTGGATTCAGAGCCTGTGGATTTCAAGGCAGAGCCGCTGTTGTACTCTCCTCGTATGTCATATTTTAGAAAAATTAATGAAGATGGCTTTCCTGTGTCATACCCATTTGGTGACGAGGATTCGCATGTATGTTTAATAGGTAGAAACCACCCAGAATCTACTCAGAAAATGCTTGCCAGAGAGCGAAAGCTGGAAATTGAAACTCGTTTATCTGAAATAGAATCCGAATTCAAAGATTTTGAATGTTCTAAAATGACCGAGTCCCATAAATATAAATTGAAGGAACTCCAAAGTGAAAGACATGAGCTAAAGCACAGTTTGCACATAATACACAATATTTTACGGGACTTGAGACTTTCAGAGGAGATTTCGCGGATATATACTAATGATGATTTGGAGAGCTCGATTGGCTCTGGTGTCTCATCTGTCAGCAGCGGTAGAAACACTAATAATGAAGCTGCGTTGTTGAGAACAAATACTATTGAATCTTTTGTTTCAATGCGCAAAAACTCATCTGTGAATGCAGTTTCTTCATATGATAACCGGTTCATGTTACATAACATTCACTTGAAAATCAACAAGTCAATTACTCATCATCTTTTGGACTATATTCATAACTGGTACGAAAGGAAATCGATGAGATTTTTTATGACTTATAAATCTATTTGTATTGTAGAAGAACTGTTGAAACTATCTTTAAAAGGTACAAAATCAAGATTTCAAGAATATGGCTCACTCTCTGAATTCTTTAAAACATCCAATGCAGAATTCATTGAGCAATTTGATAGATTGAATCGTGAAGTTTCCAATGATAGTTATGAAGCTATTGATAGCTTTTTGTTTCGATTGGTATCACCCCAGGTTCAGATACGTTCTGACTGTGAACCTAACGATGCTTTAATTTTATCTGCCAGGGATATCGAAGTTGGTATTATTGATATCAATCAAATCTATGGTGAGAATGGAAAAAGATTGCCTACAGATGTTGACACTATTGTCGAAACGAGATATTGTGTTGTTTCTAAAGACTTACAACTTTTTGCCTTATTTAAGAATGATCTCATTAAACATGGAGCTCGTGGCTTTAAAAGTCATGGGTATGGACTAGAAGAGAATTCAACTTTTTGGCCACCCTGGATCCCATTGGAAATGTGTTATGATGGGTCTCTATTAGAAAAGAATGTTGTGTTGCGCAGAAGATCTATGTATCTGACATTCACAGCACCTAATAGCTTATATTTCAGTCAAAGGAATGACCAAAATATTGTTACAACCTGTTCAAATATAAGAATTGCATTCCCTGGTCTTTTAGTTACATCTACATCGCAGCAATATTGTTCAGTTTATGCAATTGTTCAAGACCTGCTAGCATTTGCATCAAGTGCTGACGAAAAAATTGAGAAACTATCGAGAAACTTAATTGAAGATGAAATTAGAAATAGTCTAGAAAGCTTAGATATTTCTCATATAACGAATCTCCAAGACAGAGTTAGAAACATGTACCATGTGCGTGCGTATATGAAGCTCAATGAGCCCTCAACTTATAATGAGTTTTTGCCTCTGATTAACTTTGAAGCTCAGGTTAGCATCATTAAGTTAACTTTACTAATGACTGCTATAAAAGAAACGTACAATAAACTGGGTAGTAATGATACTTCCAACCCTCAAAAGCTTGTATGGCAAATTAGTACAGAAGATCTAATTTGGGAGCTCTTCGACGAAAAGAAATCACCCTTTGTAACAATTGGTTTGGGACCATCAAAGTTTATAAGAGTTGAAACATCAGATGGGAATAACACAAATGTTGTTTCAATCAATAGTTTGAAATGCTTTAATCAACAGGAAAATCCAATATTTTCAGAGCTTTTTGCTCCAGATTTTCAGCATTCGCATTATCATAAAGATATGCCAATGGTAGAGATATCATGGGTGATGGGAAATCCTATTGGTGGTATCAGCGACCTGAATGACCTAACGGTTATTTTGCAGCCTAGTATTTTCAAAATGGATCACAAGACCGGGGATCATTTGATGAGTTATCTATTTCCTGATGTGAATTCAGCTAATGTTGAATCGGATGACTCACTCTCGATTAGTTTGCCTAGGAAGTCTAATTCATCTATTGTTTCTCCTGCTCCTGCGATCTCGTATTATGGAATGAGTTCCATCCTTAGTGCACCGAGAGATTCAGGATCATGGGATGTTAGCAGTATTAAAGCTTTATCTGCATCTGGTTCAGGTAGAAGCCCTTCCCCGGAAGATGATAAAATTGATAGACAATTTTTGAATATAAACGAGATGGTACAAAGATCTGGTGAGTATTTTACTGTGCGTAACATAAAGATAAAGCATACTTACATGTCTGTATCATACAAAGGATCGCGTGCAATATTCACTGATGTCAATAAGCTTAAAATTAAGGTGCCGACCTTGAGGTACCATAATAAGATATGGTCAAGAGATGAATTATTCGATGCCATCAAAAAAGATGTTGTTCGTATTGTTATTCAACATTTAGGAAGTATCATTGGCAATAAATTCCTGCCCCATAAAAAGGAAGACAAAAAAAGTATTAAAAAAAAATACACTGAAATGCTAAAGTCCGATGAAGCTCTGAATCCTGAATTGGCTGGAACAATTAGCAATAGAAGAACGTTGACAAGTTCCTCCAGCAAAACCACAACTGACGATAATATTGACTCAATTTTGTTCGAGGGTGACTCGAGCCCTATTGCTTTCTACCCTGGCCCTTCGTCGAATAAGCAGTAACTTAGACAGATGATCACCATTTATAGACTACACCACTATATAAAATTAAATTGCATACATATATTCATTTTATTAAAAATAAATTATTATCCGTTTTTAGTCTTATTGTTGTGGAATTTTAGTGTGACTTACTATTTTATTATACACAATGGTTGTTATATATACAATGCTGCTTCTGTATCGTGAAATGCAAACATAATAACTGCCTGATGACCAAACAATATTGAATATAAATCCCACCACGATATCCGTCATATGATACGATTTTGCAATATTACTATAAACTTTATTTTTTCGTTTCCATTTCTTCGAAGAACTCATCCTTGTTAGCTCAGTTGGTAGAGCGTTCGGCTTTTACGTCAACGAGGACAACCGAAATGTCAGGGGTTCGAGCCCCCTATGAGGAGTTCTTCTATTTTTTTATTTTTTGAATATTACCATTGTGTCAAAACAATGTATCAATTGCTATCTATAAATCCATTTCAATGCTTCCAGTTACATTATATTGATGTAATCTATAATAATCTTTAGTTGGATTGTTACAGGTATAGTATTTTTTACATATTTTTCTGTTGATATTAGTTCAGTGTAATGCTGATAAGTCAAAATTTCCATTTTCATTCTTTGTAAAGACACCAACTTCGGTGACAATACCGTCAATGTATTCAAAAGAGGTAATGTCGAAGGCAGGATTCCATACATTAATATTTTCTGGAGCAATTCCAACTTTGGCAGTTATAGGTTCGTTCTTCTCATCAAGAATTGGTTTGTTTGTCTGCATGTCAACAGCGGAACCCGTGACTATCTTGAACTCATTTGCATTTCTTTCTTCAACAATAATATCCTTACCTTCTTCTGTAACCTTGTCAATTGTGGTTCTTGGAGCTACCACAAAGAATTTAATGCCAAACTGCTTACAAATAATAGCCAGTTGGAGAGTACCAATTTTATTGGCGGTATCACCATTTCTTACAATTCTATCGGCACCTACAAATGCAGCTTTGATTGGTATCTTACTGGTCATAATTTTGTATGCAATTGAGCTATCTGGTATAAGTGTAGCGGGGATATCGTCGTGAACTAGTTCGTAGGCCGTTAATCTTGATCCTTGGTTATATGGTCTAGTTTCAAGAGGGAAAACTTGTACCATTTTGGGTGAACTTTCGGTAAGTTTGACCTTCTTATTAGGATTTCCCTCTTGGGTTTTGCTTTTAGAATCATTCCACAAAGACCTGATGACACCAAGTGCGGTACCATAACCAGAGGTGGCAAGAGAGCCGGTGTTACAGATGGTAAATACAGCAAAATCCTCATTGAAATTCTCCTTCTTCAATAAATTCAATAGAAATTCGGCACCATTATCACCCATTCGCTTATTGTTAGCAAAATCATCATCGATAAGTTTGCAGACATAATCAAAAAGATTGTTCTTAAATGTCTGTAGATCGGAAGCAGAATCAAGAACAATCTTAATCTCATCCAATGCATTGGATAGGTTAATTGCAGTTGGTCTGCTACTTAGAAGAAAGGCCAATCTTTCATCAATCTTTGATCTGATGTTTTCCCAATCATTCAAGTTGTAGTAATATTGCGTCTTGCAGAATCCTTCAGAAAGAAGCAATTGGGACTCCATAAGAACAGACAAGGCACCGACTATAGCAATAGCAGGAGCACCTCTGACTTGCATCTTCTTGATCACTGTAAAACCGTCATCGATTGTGTATATTGGGATGTATTTGGTTGTGTAAGGTAGCAATAACTGATCCAGCACACTCACTGAAACATTGTTGGGGTCATCTCTTTTGAAATCAATTGCTCTTAGTGCATTCATTGTTAGCTCAGTATTGTATCTATTCTAAGTGATATAAAAAGCGTACGATAACTATTGATCAAAATACTACATATCATCTAAATTGTTCTTACTCAGCATTTTTATCATGTAACTGAAACTCAAGCACTTTTTTTTTAGTGTTTGGTAAAGTGAAAAATTTCAGCGATGAGCATCAGCTCATCGCAAATCATAAAATATAAAATGCATTAAAAACACTACATAAAATCCTACCGAATATGCATTCAGTACATCATACTGATTGTTATTTATGAGGTACCAGTTAAAAAAAGCTCTATATGGTCGGTCTAAGCAACGTTATGGTTGGTGATTATAGCGTCTGGAACATATAAGTAGTTATGTTGACAGTATTTTTCTACATTATAAATCAAATCTAGTAGAACTATACACAAAGACGTGTTAGGGGGAGAATATCGAGGCCATACTAATATATTATATTGGCTTTATATTCGGTAAAAACTACTTCATCGATAAAGTGTTTTTGAATAAATACGAACTTCCACTAATAGCATACAGTTTTGGCTATAATAAATACTAAGATTAGTATTAGACATGTTGTGACTACTGGTTCTAGTTTTGGATAACACAATATAAAAATAAACTGCTTTTGCTCTTTCACGAGTGAAGAGTAAAAAAAATTGGAAACAATGATACCCGCGGGGTTCGAACCCGCGCCTCCGAAGAGACCAGGACCTCGACCTGGCGCCTTAGACCACTCGGCCAGAGTACCAAGGTGTCTTCCGTCTTGTTAGTGAGCAAAAACTCTCACTCGTAGTGTCAAAAGAAAATTAGAAATTGAAAAATATAATTTTAGCATATATATTATGAATTACCGCTACTTGCCCATATTTCAAATTAATTGTCACAATCAAAAATAACTCTTATCGTTGAAAATGGATCAAAAGCAAATTGGCTTAAATTTATATTTTGTTGATATACTTGTGTGATTTCATATGTATGCTTTTAGTATATGTTGAACAAGTCTGTCGCTAAAACATAAATCAAATAGTGTACAAATTAAAAAATGATATTTTCCTATGCGATTCAAGGCAATAATGATTGCTTCTAATAAGAAGAATTATTTACTGAAACCCTTCAGTAATACGAATTTTAATTTTTAGGCAATGCCAACTCAACACAATGGTTACAATACTTTTGATACAGGAATTATTCTTAGAAATGATTTATTAAGATAGCTTTTGCATAATATAAATTTCTACGTTGCGAAAAATCAATTGCTAATTGCTATTAAACAGCTTCGCAATAAGGTCATGGTCGCTCATGGCCACATATTTTTTTTTTACTAATTATGGTGTTATGAACACCATTTCAAATAAAGAGGGTAACTATAAATAAAAATAGTGCTGAGTATTATTCATAGAATACCTCCTCAAACAAAGTAAAAAATCTGCTGTTCTGCAGTACAGTTTCTGATTTGCAGTAAACAAAGTTGGTTGCAATTATGTTTTTATTTTTTATTTTTATTTTAGGTATTTGTTATCCATTGCGATTGTTAAAATGCCTTAACATTGGAATATTGTTGACAGATTCTTTTGTTTACTTCTGTATACACCAACAGGTAGGTTTTCCCATAACAATATTAAGAAACCTTAATTCGATTGGATGACTAAAATTTTCAGAGAACAATCGTCAAGCATATTTTGGGTCACCTTATGCTTCCAGATAACTGAGCATAAAGCGTTGCCAGCATTCACCGAATTGCCCTTCGCACTCCTTCTCCGCCTTACAGCTCTGAATTTTCGAATATAGAGTTTACCGCATTCATTTACCACCATCAATAAGCAAACAGACTAAACGCAATGATACTCATATTTCACGTGACGGTTTCCTCCCACCCTCTCCTCTACTCCATCTCCCTCGTATTTGCACGTCACTCTAAACATTCCCTGGGAAATTGTAAACAAAAAGAACTGATACAAATTCTCCACGGAGCTGTCTAAGCCCCACTTTCCTATTCGGGATCTTGTAGTCCTCAAAGCATAGAACGACTCACAGCAAAAAAGCAGCGTGCCTTTCGCACTGATCTCTGATTTCCACATTTTGCAAAACTTTCCATGTCCTGCGCTCTTTGTTTGCCCAGATTTTTCGGTGATCCCTGAGAACCTGAGAATCTGAGAAACCTAAGAATCACCCGTGCAAACGGCACTATAAATTGGTTTTGTTTATTTTTCTTTCTTTTCTTTTCTTTTTTTTTTGTTTCTCAACTTTGGTCCTCTGGAGCTCGCTTTTCCTAAACAGTACTGTGAAAATTAAAGAAACTTCCTAAATCGGAAATAGGTAAACATTGTTCAGTATCCCTTATGGGTCGAAATGGTAAACAAAACCAATGAAGCTTATGCCTCTCTGCGGTGTTTCTTTTGACTATAGGTGTGTGAGGTATAAACTTGTGTAGGACAGTTCAATGTTAGCGATGCCCACTTCCATCGGTAAGGAGCAAAGGTGTATAGCAAGACTACTGCTGCTCGGACAAGCCATCATAGTTACTCTGCTCAGCCGGGAAGCGAATTAAACCCTGAAGTAGCCTGAGAGATAGCATGTATGGAGGAATTGAAGCATTGTTTCTGCCCTGGACAACAGTATGTCGGGTGCTTTCTATACCAACTTTGTAATATTTCTACGTGTGCATATACGTATAATCATTTCTTTTATTTATTTTTACTTGATTGGTGTATGAATCAATTACTTTCTTTCTCCCATTTGTCGAATCGTTTTTTTTGTTTATACGTTTTTCATCTCCATTGATGCACTGATCTCTCTATGCTTTGTTCTTCGTAGTATACCATTTCGGTTTGTTGTTGTTCCACTTAGATCAAGTACTCTGCTTTTTTGTACATCTCACCAATCGGTTAGCGGAGGATCATTGAATCAAGAAACCTTCGCATATCCCAGGCGAGTTTTCCCTTGCATTTCATTGTAAAGTATACCAAAACCTATTTATCACTGAATTGGGTAATTCATGCCACCCGAATTCAATAACAATTGATCTGTAAGTCCTTCTAAAAAAAATTTTCTTTTTATCTAGTGAGATCATTAGAGTTGTTATTTTCATATTTTCATATTTTCATATTACCTGTTTTGTTATACTGAGGAGCTATAAGCTGTATAGTCGGGTTGGGAGAGTACTTCAAGGAGTGCTATTAATATTATTTCTTAGCCTTACTAAAAAATTTCCACTTGAATACTAAGTTAACTTTTATTGATTGGCAAAATTTTCTGACACAGATAATAGCTTTAATATTTTTTTTAAGAATACAACTGCAATTAATTGCTATCTTTTGCTCCAGTCTTTTTTTGGATATCGACAACAATTCCTAAGAGCTTTACCAGCAAAGCCAACTGAGGTTCAAATAAAAACTCCATTGATTTTCAAAGCCTTAAACTCTTTCCCTATTCTCTCCTTTCTCCAAGAGGATATCATTTACCAAGCAAGTTCCTTTATAAAGAGCATAGGCTGATCTTTTGAAATAAAAGAGTTGTTAATACCAGTTTTAAAGTGCAGAGATACTCATACACATCTGCTGGCCGGTTTAACAAGAACACAAACTTTGTTTATCTACCCTACTAGACATCCAGCTCACAAGCACATTAATATTGCTTGTGCCAGATTTTACTTTGAGCAGACTGAATAGAATAGTTCATTTCGCAATAAGCCGATTAGAAAAGTTGAACTCACTGGTGAGATAGTCAAAAAAAAAAATCATATTACTATAACTTTCTCTAAAACTCTTTATTGCCTCTGGTCAGTATAGCCATATTCAATTCTATCAATTTCACAATCGTTTTTCATACTAGGACAAGTCTGAATAACATAAGACACAAAGACTTGACTGCATCGGATCCAACTTGATATAATTGAATCAAATCAACTAGCATATCTGCTAATCATTAAGCCTAAGAGACAGATTAAAAGTTTTGGTGATATAGAATTAAGGTATTATCCATCTTTACTGATTTTCAATAATTCTAGTCTCCACCACTGGCAAATTTAACGTCTCTTAATAATATCAAGGAACTGAAACAAATAATATAATATTCTTTCACTATTACTATAAAACCTTATTCAAAAGGGTAAATAAGCCACTCATTTCAACAAATCAATATCGATAGATGTCACTATCTGGGAATAACTTTGAGAACCCCCAGAACAATGGAACTTCTAGACTTTTAAAAAATGTACAAAGACTTGCTTTGAACAATGTCACAAATACAACAGCAGGCCCTCATGTTGGCTTTCTTGGTTCACAATCTCAAGATAACTCTGCATTAAGAAGCTTCAAGTCATCGATTGCAAACTTAAAGGGTGACTCAGTACCTACTTATAAAGTTAACCCATTGTCTAGACCAGCCTTGGTTAACAATGAAAGAGATTTAACAAAGACAAAATTGGGTATACAAGAAGAAAAGGAAACAAGAAACTATGAAGAAAACAAGGAGAATCATGGACCCCAGAAAGGACATTTCACACAGTATGATGAGAGGGTAGAAGATAAAAATCAGTCAGAATCGACAGTTTCATCACAAACCACAACAGAATCGACGCAAATAACAACGAGTAATGGTGATGATGACCAAACTGAGGAAGAAAATAGCGAGGATGCTGACTCAAAAAAGAAACGCCCAATTTCTACTATTGTGGAACAAGATATACCCAAAAAGTTCAAGTCATGCAATCGTTTTGGAACAGAAGAGTACGAATGGGAAGATCTAGATGCTGAGGATGCCAATGACCCTTTCATGGTAAGTGAAGACGTAAACGATATTTTTGAGTATCTTCATCAGTTGGAAATTGTAACTTTACCAAGAAAGGAGGATCTATACAAGCATAGAAATATTTGCCAGAATAGGGATATATTAGTGAATTGGCTGGTAAAGATACATAATAAATTTGGTTTGCTTCCAGAAACACTATATCTAGCGGTAAATTTGATGGATCGTTTTCTTTGCAAAGAATTAGTTCAACTTGATAAATTGCAATTAGTAGGAACATCGTGTCTCTTTATTGCATCAAAATATGAAGAAGTTTATTCTCCAAGTATTAAGCACTTTGCTTCGGAAACTGACGGAGCATGCACAGAAGATGAGATTAAAGAAGGTGAAAAATTTATTCTGAAGACACTAGAATTTAACCTCAACTATCCTAATCCAATGAACTTTTTAAGAAGAATATCAAAAGCTGATGATTATGACATCCAATCAAGAACGTTAGCCAAATTTCTACTAGAAATATCACTAGTTGACTTCAGATTCATTGGTGTATTACCATCATTATGCGCAGCTGCAGCCATGTTCTTATCCAGAAAAATGTTAGGTAAAGGCCAATGGGATGGGAATTTAATACACTATAGCGGTGGATACACAAAAAATCAATTGGCTCCTGTTTGTGAGATGATTATGGACTATTTAGTTAGCCCTGTTGTTCATGATGAATTCCATAGAAAATACCAATCAAGAAGATTCATGAAAGCATCCATAATATCTGTTCAGTGGGCTTTAAAGGTCAGGAAAAATGGATACGATATAATGTCACTACATGAGTAAAAAAATCAACAACATACAAAAGAATATTCATGGTTATCTAAAACATGGAAAGTAACAAGACACCATATAATGAACTGCACCACTAATCATGATCTTCTGCACATATTATGCCTTCGATAAAGTAATATTCACATTTAATTTTACATTGAATAACCTGCATCTCCTTTTCTTATGATACCCCAAAATGGAAATGATAAACTTACCAACATTGAAATTAACAACAGACTTTTCATGCTGTTAGTTGACCTTATAAACAAATTACTTCATTCAGACGTCACAAAATAAACTAAATCATAGTTACCAAAGCTTTAAGAAGTTTCTTTTATTTCTAATTTTTTATTCAATCTGCATTGATGAGAGAATATTTTCTACTAATCTAATAATAATTTCCTGTTGTTTTAATAATGACCCTTCACTTCGATTTATGACGGGCTGCCCGTCATTTTACTTCTATGAAAGCATTACTGTGACGCTACCAGTGCAAAATTCATTATATATCGTTACAAACCTTGAACACTCTTTTTAAATGGTTAGCCATAATTTTATAATCTAGTTATTAATTAATATGCTATTTTAAAATGCAAATTTTTTCGTAATGTTACAGAGAATCATGAATAATAATATATGTGATCAGGTAAAATAGATTAGCTGGGTCACGAAATGCAATGATCTACTAAGAATGGTAAATTTCGTAGTGTAAGAAATCTCTAACAACTGAAAACATTCTCATAATTTCTTTCCATTTGATCCTTACACCACTTGATAGTTTTGTCATATATAGTGCCCCCTTTAATGCTCTTATATTTATCACATAACGCTGTTAACTTTGTCGCTGGCTGGGCAATTTCATTAATCATTATTGTGCACAGATTTTGAAAATGATTATCATTTAATGCGTCAATACCTCCACTATAGTGTATAAAAGTGTCATCCCAAATAGGTGACTCTCTTTTCAAGATCCGTCTCGCTAGAAATATTGCCATGGCGGCGAGTTCTGATGGCTTTTCACCAACAAACTTTGAGGAACATAAGGAGTATTCTAGGATAAATTTGGCTATCATTCTGCACTCACCATCGTATCCATCAGCCTTTGAAAGTCTTCTCAAAAAATTTAAGGGATTTGGCCAATCTAGGGAGAATTTTAATTCTGTCAAAATGAACATCTCGGACACTTTGATATCGTCTTTAGATGCAGCCCCATCAGTGATATATGCATACTCTGATAGTTTGGGCAAATTAATTTCCTCAAATTTAGCCGCGATGAATAGCGAAGTGACTGCCAGCAGTTGCAGTTTATTTATATCAACTTTATGCTGTGAAAGAAATCTGTCCATAATGTTAATGCCCAGATATAATGTCTCAGGATAGCATTGGAATTTGTCATGCACCTCTACAAGCCAATCTACCAGGACTGCTCTTGTTGCGGGTCTTAGATGATATTTTGATTTTCTATCTAGCAAGTAATTGTGCATGGGTATTGTATTCTTTTCTCTTTCATATAGGAAATCGAAGATATCATTGGTATATTCGACCACCATGGCAATATTGTTTTTCTCCTTAGAGTCCAAATCGACCCATTTGATTTGTCTATCTTGCACTTTAGCTCGCTTAATCCTGGATTCCTGGTCTTTCCCTGTAGGCTCGTCATCGTCAGCATTGTCCTGGAACACTTGCCGTTTCTTGCTGTTGGCCATATATGATGCATCGCTATCCTCTCTTCGTATCCTGCTTGGCTTCCGATACATAGGGTGTCTTTTCTTTTCCTGTTCAGTCAGCGGTTGCGCTTTCCTACCACCAGGAAGAGCCCTATTCACCTCTACATTAGTCAACGCTGGCCTATCCATCTTCTCGTCTTCAGACGGCTTCCTCTGTGCACTGTCCATCGAGGAAGAACTCATACTGCTCATAATATCCCAATCCTCCGTATAAGTTTGTGTTTAGCTTGGTACTTGAGCACAGCTTCCCTGTATTGACGGTAATCGACAACAGTTCTTTAAACCTCCCATACATATATATCAAAAACGAAAGGGTTTGGCAAGAGATCCTTCTATCGCATATAGGTCCAACACGAAAACCTGCAGATCTATGTGTGTAGCACTACAGAATACTGTTGTGTAGTAAATATAGAAAAATATAACCTTCTTGGGCCTGGAGAGGATCTGTGCATCGCGACGCGTCTACGAACAGTACGTGGAGAACTGTTCTCGAATACCATACAGTAATTGGGAGGGAAGCTAACACAAAATTCCCAGTTGCGACGCGTCGGCTTGTTGGTTTGTTATTATTGTTTACTCGAAAATGTGTGGGAAAAAAATCACAAAAAAAAAAAAATAAAAAATTCACTTTACGCGTCGCTTTCTGAGGACCGAAAGTGAAATTTAAGAGGAAAACGCCAAAAAAATAAGCTCGCACTCAGGTTCGAACTAAGGACCAACAGATTTGCAATCTGCTGCGCTACCACTGCGCCATACGAGCATATGTTGTTATTGGTGTTCTCTCACGAAAGTTGTGTACTTGAGTGCTTTTGTGAAATTGCATGGGTATCCCGTTGCATAATATACAGCACATGCAACATGCTCACTATTCCGGCTCATAGACCAAGCCCTTGAACGTTAATCATCATAAATGGTTTGCTTATCACACCAACGGGTTGTAGAACGGGCTTTAGGTCTCTCGAATGGAGCAAGCAACGGAGATGTGATGCACTAGATAACCAGGTACTCGATCAACAATGCGGGGCAGGGGGAGGGTGACGGATATAACCTCTATTGTAATCCCTATTGCTTAAAAAGAATTCTGCTGTACATCACATATGTCCTTTCAACAAAGGAAAGCAGTGCACCCAATCTTATTAGAAACATAAAATGCGATCACACAACTACTCAAATGGAAAAGGGACGCTTTTGAGGTTTGATGTCTATATAAGAGCAAAAGGGCCCTGTGTAACAATAAGGATAAATCTCTTTTTGCCATATGTAATTCTAGTAATTGTAATTGGAGCAGAACAATGATCACTGACGTAAAAAAATTCTGGGTGCCTTTTTATGTGCCTCTGTTGCACATGAATAGAGCCTATAAGCTTATCCAATTGCCTAATGGTATAAATGTTGTAATTATCTCGGATGCTGAGGAGAACTACAACAGTTGCTCTTTGACAGTAGCTGCAGGGTCTCATAACGACCCCGCGACCGTGCCGGGGCTGGCTCATTTATGTGAGCACATGATTTTAGCCGCTGGATCAAGCAATCACCCAACCCCTGGTCTTTTCCACAGTCTCATCGCCAAATACAATGGGGATATGAATGCCTATACTACGGGTGAGCAAACGAGTTTCTATTTCCAAGTGCCACAGGTTGCTAATAGTGAGGGTACGTTGGCGTTCGAAGAATTGCTTTCTGTGTTCTCATCAGCTTTCAAGTTCCCATTGTTCACTTCTTCTGTCTTGAACAAAGAGATTTACGCTATACAAAGTGAGCATGAAAATAACAAGACTAACCCTGGTAAAGTGCTATACCAGGCTACTAGACTATTGGCCAACAAGAATCACCCTTTTAGCAGGTTTTGTACTGGTGATATGAATACCTTAAAGACCTTCCCTTCCACTGAAAACATAAATATAAGAAAAGAACTCATATCGTATTTCAATGATAATTTCTACGGGGAGAATATTACTTTGTGTGTGAGGGGTCCTCAATCATTGAATCATTTGGTTAAGCTATGCATGCAGAACTTTAATGATATTAAACCGCTACCGGTGCTACCAACGGCAATCGGTAACAACAGGGACAGTGACACTGAGTTATTTGAGGAAACTCTCAAGCGATTAAACATTTTATATGATGTCTGGGCCCCCCGTTACACAAGTCTACCTTGTTTCCATATTGGCTATAAAAACAATGTGATTTTGGTGAACTCCGACATGGAACAAAGTTTTAGAATAGTTATCCCGTTAATTACCAATGACACCCGAGAAGATGCGATTTTTACTGAAGTATTTACCAACATATGTGTTGAGTTATTGGGTAATGAGGAAGTTGGCTCTTTCTGTCACTTTCTGAAAGAAATTAGTTGGGTTAGAGAATGCTATGTGTACCGTTCGGAGTTTGCTGTAGGTGCCGCTGGAATTGTTCTTGAGTTTAAATGTTTCGATACTGGGTTTTCCCAGATAGAAAATATTGTTAATGTTCTGTTTCAGACATTGATTCCAATGTACTTAAATATGCCATCTGATGACCTTGCTAGATTCATCAAAGAACAAACTATAATAGAAACTATTGATTTCATGTACACTTGGAAACATCTTAGTCCGATGGAGGAGTCCTCTGATTTGAGTATGCAGCTACAAAAAGATTTGCATAACAGAGGTATTAAATACTTGTTGATGAAATCACCAAGCTTCTTACACAACTATGAGGAAATGTCAAAAACTGAGAAATTACACTACTGGCCTTTGATAGTTGAGAAGTTCAAAGTGTTTTTAAGAAGACATATGATATTACCTAACGCTAAGGTTATTATTCCTACCTCAGAGCCATTTACCAAAACTGTAAGAAACTTGTTCAAAAATGCTCAACAAATGGAAGTTACAAGTGAGACGGATCCCTACTATGAATTTAATTATTCTGTTTATTCAGTGAGCTTCCCAGAATCCCGTGTTATTTTTCCTTATCAGTTTTCTTTTCCTGGACCCAATGAGTTCATTCCACCAAAATACCGCAACCTGGATACACTATTGGAGATGCTATTCGGAATCTCAGAGAGAGCAAATTTCTCACCATTAAGACCTATAGTTAGGCTGAAAAATTCAAGAGCACGATCTGCACCTAAATTAGTGCATCAAACTGAAGACGTAGAGATATGGACGGCCAATATAGTAGATGGAATATTCAGTAAAGTAGTGAACGCCGACATCAAGAGCTATGTGACCATAAAGATAGTAAATCAGTGTATTCGCCCCACCCCAATATCTTCATTACATTTGGGGATGATGGTAGAAATAATGAACATGTTTCTCCTGCCACGACTCTACTCTTGCACAAAGCTTGGTTTTTCTTTCCACTTGCAAGCCGCCCTGGATGGCTCCATGTCCTTTGATATCGTAGTAACTGGTATCATGGCAGGAATTATCAAGATTCTTGAGAAAGTAACCGATCTTATCGAGATAATTGTGACCAAGCCGGGGTATATCCTTACAAATGCATTTATCAGGAAAGCAAGAGTAGCCATTAGGTCGAGATATGAAGCTGCTACTAAGGGGAGTTCGGTCAAGATAGGCACTACAGGTCTATTGGTTGATCTGGAACCCCACGTATGGAGCTTTGAGGAGCGTGTAGATGCATTAGAAGAGAGCGATATCGAAGTGTTTTTCCAATTTATCAATACATTCTTCCGAACACACAAGCATACCAAAGTATTTGCGCAGAGTAGTAGCACGTCTAACATAGACAAGATTGCTAGATATGTTGTCCAGCGTATAGTGACACCGGGAATCCCAGAAGGCAATGATGCATTGGTTGAGTGTGTACGTGACGATGGTCACACAAGGATGCTAAAACCGGGTGAAGAGAGGCATATCAAGCTTATCGGTAGAGATAATGATCCGAACAATTGTGTATTCAGTTATCTGGAGATGGCCCCATTGGAAGGGATATCATTAAAGCAGTATCGGATGATTGAGTTTACTGATTACTTATTTCAGTTGACGTTGGTTCCCGAGTTGAGAAACAAGAGACAAGTTGGTTATGCAGTTGACGGTGGTCTTGTTATATTAAATAATGTTGTTGGTGTCAATGTTGTGGTTGTGTCCAGTACATCACCAGAGCACATAGAGCAAGAGATAGAATCGTACTATGCGCATGTCCGTCAATATCTGTCTGACAACGTTGACCAAATATGGAGAGACTATAGCAAAATTATCAATGACCGGGACCCATTGATGTATCTTCTAGACCATGACGTGTGGTACAACATCGAGCGGGAGAACAGCGACATACCAGAGTACAGCAGAGACCATGTTGCCAACTGCCAACGAGTATTCAAATATAAGGATCTTATCGAGTTGTTAGTGGTAGATACACCTATTAGCGGCCGGCACCCGGACTATACACCTCCCTTCAGCATGCAAGAATACTTGCAATTCCTTGACAGTAGTATTGGCACCTACAAACACAAACGTCATCACAACGGCACCAGATCTGTTAGCGTGTGGGTGTATAGTCCCATGGACAAACGGGACGTATTCCAAAGACAGGTCAAGTATCAACTCGAGAGCTTCTTGAAGTTGAAGGGCCTTGTGATTCCAGAGAGAGACCTAGCGGATATCATAAGGGAAGCCGGCGGGAAACAGACCACAATGTTCAAGCTCTTGTACAGACGATTCAAGCGGCAGAACGAGGCCGGCAAGTTCGTAAACTCCGTAGCAACCGAGACGTTCAAGTCAATACTGCACATACCTTCGAAGACCACCGCGCAGGCGAAGACCACATCGAAGACCACATCGAAATCCAGATCAGCAGCGGTAACGGAGACAACTGCCACAATACCCGCATCTTAAACGAATTAAGACATATAAGAAAGAAAAAGAAACGCGCCGCAAATGTGACTTAAACAAGGAAGCACGATCCAGAACAAATTGCAGACGATAACCGCAGGAGCAACCGCAGATCACTTGCCTCCTTCTCTTTTCCAAATTAGGATAATTACAAGTATATTTGCTCACACAGAGCAGAAGCACACCTGCTTTATCTCGCGTGATTCACACTTAAACCCACGCACGGAGAGGCCTTCCACCATCCATCCGTGCAACCTGCCCTGCCCCTGCTCTGCCCCTTCCCCTTCCCCCCTCATGCTGCGACTCCCCCCCCCACTGCAGTCACTGAGAAGATATGCGCAGCCGTGAGCACAAAGTGACAATCCTATAATTGCTCATTATAGCACTACACGAGCGTGGGCTGTAGAAAGTACTGAGAGAACGCATGCAGAGAGAATAAGATGAGCCTACGGAGGTTGTACGGACCATGGCAGGGAGGCTGGCTTTCCCCCTCGAGACTAGAGGCAAGGATAGATTGGCAGTTTCCTTCGAGTCGGCTGCAACAGCTGCAACAATTCTAAGTGGACAAAAGAAAGAACAGAGCGCAGACAAAAAGCATTGAGCACAATAGGATAAGCCAGAGTTACTGGGACAAAGAAACCTCATTCTTTCGAGGATTGGATGAATGGAAGTCATGGAATGGATAATGGTGAATAGAAAAGAATATTTGCTCAAGTTGACATTCACCTGGAAGAAAAAAAACAGGTCCCTCTCTATGCTGTCAAAAAAAAATTTTGTTGGCCCCGAGAAAGCTCATATATATAAGTGAATTGTATTCTTGAGATCTATCAAAAAAAAAAAAAGACGCTTGGTTATAAGCCACAAAAAGTACCTTACTCCAACAAATCTCCCCACTTCTGCAGATCAGAATAATAAAATATAGAGCTATGTCTTCGATGTCTTCTATGTCTTCGATGTCTTCTATGATGTCGTCCATGATGTCGTCCATGATGTCGATGTCAATGTCGATGTCGACGTCGTCTGGAAGTATGGGATCGATGTCTATGTCGATGCCATCCTCGATGTCAATGTCGATGTCAATGCACTCTGGTATGTCTATGGATATGCCTATGTCGATGTCTATGTCGATGCCATCCTCCATGTCGATGGCAATGGACATGGGCTCCCACTCGCACTCCACCATGGCTGTAGACATGGGCCACAGTACAAATGCATCCGCTATGGCAGGTATGGATATGGGCATGGGCATGATGAAGAACATGCACATGAACATGTGGTTGACTCCAACTTACAATGACTACCCTGTCTTGTTTCAGCACTTGAGAGCTGACACAAACGGTAAGGCCTTCGGTATCTTCCTATTGATAGTCGTGGCTGCCTTTGTCTACAAATTCATCACCTTCACCAGTTGGTGTCTAGAGGTCCACTGGTTCAAGAAGTGGAACAAAGACTCCAAGTACGCATCCATCTTCCCAGCTGCTAACAAGAAGAACAATGCCAACGACCCTGAGATCATGGAGGCCCATGTCTCCGGAATGCCAAGAGTTCCTAACTTGCTAAGGGACATCTTCATGCCTTCTTTCACTGACTTGTTCCACGACTTCATAAGAGCAATCCTCGCATTCATTTCAACCATGATCATTTACTGCTTGATGCTTGTCGCCATGACTTACGTGCTAACATACGTGTTCGCCGTAGTCACTGGTTTGGCTCTAGCAGAAGTGTTCTTCAACAGGATCAAGATCGCTTTGATGAAGAGATGGGACATCCAAAGAGAAATCGCTTTGGCTGCCGCCTGCGGTGCTAAAGGTGAGTGCGAATGTGGTCCTAACGACCCAAGAAGCCCAAGCTCAGGAACTTCCACTGAGGAAGAGTACGACGAGAAGCACGGCGGTCACAACCACAAGGAATTCCGTTCCGCTTCTAACATGGACGATAATTGCAACTGCGAAACCCCAGTCATTGCAAAGTCCAAGCAGGAGAAGAGAATCGAAAGAGAAACACTAGAAAATAGTAGGATGCAAGAACAAGCTAACACCATGGCTCCAGACTTGACCCCAGCTGATGGTCTACACTAATTGCCCTTCATGGTGAATACTTTATTTTCTTTCTTCGATGATCAAAACAAAATATAGACCTAATGGAATTGTATGTTCTAGCTGCAGCTCGCTAATCTATTGCTCCACCTTTTGTCTCCTCGACCTAATATTATTCTTCAGAATTAAAACCAAACACATTAATATTCAAAATTTATATAATTAAGAGACAGACAAAAGTTATACTTCAGTGACTAGATGGCATCAATGCAGTAATTTTTTGTGTATTTTTTTTTTTTGCCCTTAGTACCTTAATTACCGTTTGTTAATATTGCCTTTTTATAATGATATTTTCTATTTTCTTATATACAGTAACCCCCCAATATCATCATACCTCCTTTTATAATTGAAAACTGTTCGAAGCTCCGAGGTATTATTAATTCCGTTATATTCATTGTTTATAGAAAAATAGAGTCAGCTGATCACTTTTTTTTCCACTCTCGGCTCATCTCAAAATCCGAAGGCGAATCAACAACTCATCAGTTCTCTTAATGAGCAATCCAAGATTCAATTATTTGACTAGAGCTATATATCTTCCTTATTACTTCTCCATTCTTGTTGATTTACTTGCCCAGACTGTAAAACTAATACCTGCTATCATTAACTGCCCCAAATATTCACAAAATTTGTACAGATGATGCTTAAAAGAGGAATAAGGAAGTCCTATGCGGGAATTACCCCCATGATACGGAATGAGGCTGCAATGACTGCCAGATTTGGTGTATATGGCACACTAACAGCCTATAGCGCTCTAGGTAGATCTTTCTCTTCCACGCCTATGTACTTACAAATGAAGAAATCTGAAACAGAGAGCAAAAAACTAACAATTTGGGACAAAGTCAAGAAGGAAGCACGCCACTACTGGGACGGTACCAAGCTGTTAGGCTTTGAGATTAAGATATCCTCCAGGATCCTTATGAAATCGATGACCGGATATGCCTTAACCAGAAGAGAGATGCTGCAATTGAAACGTACCATTAGCGATATCATCAGGCTGGTACCGTTTGCTGCGTTCGTGCTGATACCATTTGCGGAATTACTGCTGCCTATTGCTCTTAAGATCTTTCCAAATATGCTTCCTTCTACATACGAGTCTCGTAGCTCAAAGCAGAAGAAACTGGATAATCTAAGGAAGACCAGAGAGCTAGTTTCTGAGATCATGAGAGAGAACAAGACACAATTGAAACCAACTGGTATCAATGAAGAGCAAAAGACTGTATTCAATAGTTTTTATGAGCATGTGAGAGCTACTGGAGAGCCAGAGTCCCGTGAACAGCTTGTAACAGTGGCCCGTATGTTTACCGACGATACGGTGTTAGATAACCTAACACGTCCGCACTTAGTTGCCATGGCAAAGTATATGAACTTGCAACCTTTCGGAACAGATGTGATGTTGCGTTACCGTATTAGATATAAGATGCTTCAATTGAAGAACGATGACGTGACATTGTACTATGAGGGTCTTGACCAACTAAATGAGGCCGAGTTAAAGATGGCGTGCGCCTCCCGTGGTATTAGAAGTGCGCAGGTAGAAGATGAAGTTAAACTCAGGGAGAGTCTGAGGGTATGGCTGTCTATGCGTCTGAAGGAGAAAATCCCTTCTACGTTGTTAGTGTTGGCCACAGCCTACAACTATGGTGAGGTGCTACCTACCAATATCGGACGGAGTCCTGCTGACTCCGCCGCGGAATCCACGGATAACACCAGCTCGCTCTACGACGCCCTGTGTGACGTGCTGAGCGGTATCCCAGATGAGCTGTACCACGAAGTCAAGGTCAACGTGGTGCACCACGACGAGCCCGCACAGAAGCTAAACCAGTTGAAAGAACAGGCGGAGATCATGCGCGAGGAAGAACAACAGGAGAAGAACGAGCTTGTCCATGTCCAGGACAAGCTATCTCTGGATGAGCTAGACCCTGTCCAGGAGAAGAAGTAGTTTCTGTTCCCGTGCCATCATCCCCATCCGCCCTCTGTACCTTGTGTACCTTGTGTACCTTGTGTACCTAGTGTACCTAGTGTATGTTTTACCTATAAATCTTGCATGCTCTACATTACTAATACCCTCTTGATAGGCAGACATGTATATATCTTTGTTTAAGCCCATTAAGACAAGGCATTCTCTTTTAGATTACTAGTATTTTATTGCAAAAAGGTAAGATCCAAGTGATCTACGCTTATGTCCCCTGTTCCGCCGCGGGTTTAACGACGGACCAGTAGGTACAACAGATGCCCCCCCAACCCTCTGACTACGGGGTCTTCTACACAGCTTCTTCAATCGCCGGCTTCCTTTGCACTGATCTTCCTGCAGTAAACATGCACAAAAAAAAAGAAATACATTTGGAATGTGGCTTCTGCAGCAGTTTCTCAGCAACGGAAATTTTTCCGCACTAAACTACCCGTACGACATCCTACTTCAGTATATCCGGCAAAGCAGTCGCATAGAACAATTCGACGAATGTTAGGATCCCTGCGGAACTCTCACTGCATTAGAGTTTTTCCTTTAATTAATCCCGGGGAGGAGAACTTTGTGGAGCCGTTGCACGGTAGTCTCTGTGTGTTGCTGCCATTACCCCTGAGATACCCCTGCACAACTGATTCTTAATTACTGATTTTCGATTCCTCGAAGGTCCTCATCTTTAAGGGCAGCCTTACTGGCCCATACAGTGCTATCCATTGCTATCCTAGTGCTATCCTAGTGCTATCGTAGTACTATCCTAGTACTAGCACTGTGCCAATCAGCACACGAGTGGGATTTCATGGATTGGGCTGAACTGAGAAGTATAAAAAGGGCCTGCTATTTCATAATTCTATCTCGTTTCCAATTGGAAAAAGTAACCCACTACAAAATAAAAACACCATAGAAAACAGCAATAATGTCCAAGATTCAACAGATTAGAAACACCATTAGGAGCATTGGTACCGGTTACGGTCTGATGTCCTTGACCTGGAAGGCCGTTCCTACTGAGCAGGAACAAGCCTTCGGTGCCATGAAGAAAGCCATTGACCTGGCTCGTGCTTCCAACCACATTGCGTTCTTCAATGTCGGTGAGTTCTACGGTAAGGACCGTGTCAACTTGCACCTTGTCAGAGACTTCTTCAAGAAGTACCCTGAATTGAGAGAGCACGTCATTATCTCCTGTAAAGGTGCCATGGACTTGTCAGACCTGCACGCAATGGGTAAGTACGATGACGTTGTCAAGAGTGTTGAGGCTTGTACAGAGGCTATCGGTGGCTTCATTGAAATCTTCGAGCCTGCTAGATTGGACATGGACATCTGCAAAGAAGGCGAAGTGTATCCAAAGGAATCCATCCAAGCCCTAAAGGACTTGTGTGACAAGGGTGTCATTGGTGCCATCTCCTTATCTGAAGTTGACGAAAAGGTCATCAACGCTGTTGCTGCTGATTTCGGCGAGTACCTGGCCTGTGTTGAGGTCGAGCTTTCTTTGTTCTGCGACGACATCCTACACAACGGTGTCGCCAAGGCCTGCAGTGACCACAACATGGCTATCATCTGTTACTCCCCATTGGGTAAGGGTATCCTAACTGGTCAAATCACTAAGAACTCTGATATCCCAGATGGTGACTTCAGAAAGATGCTAAAGAGCTTCTCCGATGAAGCTCTACAACACAACCAAGAAATTGTCAGCTTCATTAGAACTGAGATCATCGAGAAACGTCCTGCCGGTAAGGAAATTACTCTACCTCAAGTCGCCTTGGCCTGGATTAAGCACTGGAATGGTGACAGCAGTTATCCAAACGCTAAGTTCATTCCTATCCCATCTGGTTCCAGCGCTGCTAGAGTCGCTGAAAACTTTGATGAGGAGAAATCCACCATCTCTGATGAAGAATTCAAGAAGTTGAACAAGTACGCTTTCAACTTCAAGCCAGTCGGTGCCAGATACGAATTTGTCTCTGACCCAACTAAGCACTAGAATAATCGATAATAGTCTTTTCCTTGATCTGACTAAGCATATACATAGATTTCTATATTGATTATATTGATTATATCTCTTATATTTTTTAGTAAGTACAAAAAAAATGTTACTTAAAAGTTGTGAACTTCACTTTAGTTGTTTCGAGCAGTCTTAAAATATGTATGCAAAGAATATGTAGTGGTTACTTAATGAGCTTTCTTTTATGCCACCAATTTGTTTCTTGCTATAATGTTCTTGTACAAAAACAGTAGTTTTCTTATCACCCTGACGATTTCATCCTTATACGTGAACAACAGTCCCTGAACGATCACACCCTTTGAGACTTGTGGGATAACACCCTTCCATAAGGATAGGAATCCCTCGTTTTGATAAATGTGTTGCAAAACCTCTTGAAATGTTTTGAACTTTGAACCTTTACCCTGCAAAGTAATCTTGGCAACGATCAGAGGTTGTGTTACGAAGGTCGAGATCATCTTGGAGAACATACCTAGAAGAAAATTCTCACCTGCTGAAAGCTGAGTAGAGATCTTCTGGGATCCAGAAAGACCTTTTGCTGTTAGAATCATACTTTTCAACTTCTGATAACTCCCATAAGTGATGGCAGGGTTGGTGGAAAGCACCAAGGCGACTTTGAAGCCCTTCCAAAAAGCTGTTAGATCTCCATTACTCTCCTCATAAATCTGTTTGATTACTGCCTTTAGTGAGGCATCCTCACCATCTTTAGTAAGTTGTTGTCTTGTGCTAATAACTGAAATTGGATTTGTCACTACTTGAGTCATCGCACCTGCACTCATACCCAATGCCAACTCCTCGATTGTAGAAAGCTCTATAAACTTGGAGTCATCCTTTAGCTGTAGTCTACCAGCCTTGAACACAAAATAGTTGCTCCTGATCAATGAGTACCAGAAGAAATAAATAAAATTCTGCACAAAATTTGCCGCAACGTTGGTAGCCAACCCTTGGTAAAGTCCCAGGAATCCTCGCTTCTTGAATATCTTGATTATACAATCAATAACATTCTTGTATTTCTCTTCTTCCTTAGAGTCACCAGAATCTGCATTCTTATGTTGGGTCTGTATCAATGTCTTCGCCAAATCCAAAGGATAAACTGTGGTTGCTGCCAAGGAAGACGCAACAGCACCAGTGAATGCACTTTCCAGAGAGGCCATCCTTTATACTACTGATCTGAATTTATCCTGAATATCTTGCTGGATGAAATTCGATTAGAATTCACAACGCATTCCCTGCAAGTACAAGGGTTTGTAATATAACTACCCAATATAATTTCTGCTATATTTCCTGATTTTTTGAAAAATTTCTCGGAGAGGCCATCGCTCGGATGACAAAATCGGTGTTAATGCATTTGATCAATGCAGTGCCAATGTTAACTTCTCATAGTCATTTAAATGTTGGGTTGGTTCTTTGGAGACAATGGATCCACCCGTTTAAAGGTTCCTCTTTTACCCTCTATCAACTTCACTCACTCCACTTTGCTCTCCCCTGTAATTGACTATCTTAGAAGCGGACGTCATGAGGATAGCACTTGTGTTTTCTGCCGTCCTTTCTTGTACTCTTACCTTTATCTCTTGGCATACTCTTACGCATGTCGAACGCGTCCTTGTCATCATTAACCTTCTTTAATGAGGACGGATAGCCGTCCTTTTGCGAGTTATAATAGCCTACAACTCGCCTAAACACACTGTATCCCAATTTCTCATACAATTTGATCGCTAGATCGTTGTTGCACTTCACAAACAGGTCAATGAAGTTCACTTCATGTGGATCTGCATCCGTGATAGCTTCTAGTGTATTACAAAGACGTGAAGCCAATGAGATACGCCTAAATTCAGGCGCCACAGTAACAGCAGTGATATGAGAGTGCCATTCGGGCCCCTTACCTTCTGTCTTTGCCATCATATATCCTGAGTACAAAGCATTATTAGAAGCTGTTTCATTACTCTTGAAGAACAATTCAGGCCACAGGATCAGATACTCCAGGTAGAATTCTAGCGGGAAGTTCTCTGTTAGAGTGTCCAAGTTCACATTGTTCAATTGGAATAGGTCAGAGGGCTCAAATGGGTCTATACTGGTCATCCTGAGTGTGTTGATCTGCTGTAAAACTCTTATTAAAACTGGATATGCGAAGGCTAGTGCACTCCAACCCCATGTCAATTACTTTTTAGCTCCTTCAGTTTTGGCACTTTTTTCACAAATTTTTCAGTTTGAAGCTCATCGCAATCCTCTGAGATGGAAGTCGACTACAAGGAAGCAATTAGTGATTTATGGCATTATACTTTATACTGTAACTTTGAATACAACCTATACATTAGATAATCTTAAAACAAACCTGTTTAACTTCTCTTACCAGGCTTGGCCAGTCTCGAGGACAATTTCTTATACAACTCGTTGTTGTTCAACGATGAGCCCACACCAACGGTTCTAGCGTTTGTTGGTACAGAAGTAATGTTGCTAACAGGAGCGTATTTGTAATCTGTAGTGGTCTGTGCAGGTGCTGCAGCTCTGTTCCTTCTTGCAGCAGCTTGTTCGTAAAGCGTTTGCGCAGACGAACCCTTCGATGCGGAGCTGGAAGGTTTTGATACTTTGTTCTTCTTTCTCTTCGCAGAGTCCAGCGCAGATTTCCTCTTCAGCTTCTCTGAGTCAAACTCTAATTGCATGATTCTCTTATCTCTATAGTTATCGGAGGCTCCGATGATTGGTCTTGTCCACTCGGCGATCAACTTCTCAGCTAGTCTAGCAAGCTGAGGCTCTACACGCTTGGACTTGGTATAGAAAATAACCACTCTACCAAGACCACTCTCCTTTAAGTGCTCCGTCTTAATAGGCAAGTCATCCAATGCGGCAAATAGAGACTTCTGGATCTCAAACGATGGCAGAGATCCATCTGGAAGTGGTTCCAGCCATATCCTCACACTCTGCAAAAGGTTGTTATCCAAAATAGTGTCTGCCAAGTTAGCCTTAGACAGTATGCTCATGACTTTTGGAAGAAGCTTCACCTTCTGGATGGCGACCAGGGGCTTCTTGTCCTGGCTCTTGTTCTCACCTTCCTCTATCCTCTTGTTCAGCGTCTCAATGTCCATCTGCGCAGCTATATTCATCTCGTCCTTCAACCTCAGAATCTTCTCGTCCAGGTATTGCTCCAGATCGTGCTCATCAGCCCGCTGTCTCCTTCCAGAAGTCTTCTTCAGCAGCCTGTCCAGCCTGTCCTCCAGTATCTGACGCTGGCTCTTGGGATCTTCACTGCTGTCAATAGTAACCTGCTCCTCCACTGGAGCCTGCACTTCCTCATCGTCATCATCGCTCTCTATGTGCTTCCTGGTCCTTTCAGGTGCCGGCTCCCCTGCCTCCACAGTAGACTCCACAGGTGCTTCCACAGGTGCTTCCACTGAGGGCTCCAAGGCTGCCTCCACGGGCGCCTCCACAGGTGCTTCCACTTCCTCTACAGGTGCCACAGGCACATCCTTAACTTCGCTATCAGACATTGCTCACCTTGCCCTTGTCTCCCCCACCAATGCTTATACGTCCTGCTTTCCCAGCCAAGTCTGCTCTTATAGTCCCAAAGTGAAAAATTTTGTTTGTTGCGACGATAAAATTTAAAAGGAAGCAGGACAAGTATAAGAGCAAAGAACAACTTAACAAGAGATAGCTAGAATACAAACATTAGCAGAAGCACCGAGACTAGGACAAGATGGATATGTTTAACATGGGACAAGGCGAGAGCGAAGAGGAGAAGAAGCTGCACCAGCAAAGAACCCAGCAGACTCTGGTGAACGCTACTTGCGTCGCTGCTTTGCTATGGGTCTCCCCTATGGTCTGGAACTTCGTCAAGAGACAATGGAAATGAGCTCAGGACCCATACTCTCGACAAATGTGTCGCCTATATATAACTTATAACTGCCCTTTTGTAAATATTTAAGAGTGAAAAATCAAAAAAATAATCTAAACTTCTAACTTCTAACTTCTAACATCTAACATTTAACTTCTAACATCGCAGCAACTATAGCAATCACAGCTAGTTAGACGTTGAGCCTGTGCGTATTTAAGATGATCGTTGCGTTCCACCTCAGGAGTTGTCGCGAGTTCGCTGTGTTCGAGTGCATATACAGGGAGTTGCAGCGGGTATGTGGCGTGGAGTACATGAGTGTGCAGCGGTCCGTGTGGGCACCGTTCTCTCGCCACGACCACGCTACGTTGCAGGCTGTGTTACCGGGTGAGAACGAGGTGTTATCAGAAGTCATTCCCAGGATAAGCGGCGTGGATGTCACCGGCGGACCACAGGACGCTGATCTGCACAGCATCGCCAGGGATCTTGCCGCTGGCGAGACACCCAAGGGCACCCTGTTCAGGTTCACAGATCACATCCAGTACATGCGGATGAAGGAGACACTCGAGACAGGCTACTACCGCAAACACTACATTGCTCCGCTGCTTAAGTCCCACTTGAAGTCCCACTTGAAGTCAAATCCGAGCACCACAGTACCCATAGTGACGCAACTGGCCACACACCCGTCCGACATCCCTCCGCAAATGGCGAAGTACATACGGGGTATGGATGTGACTACAGAGATGACCAAGAAAGACAGAGATACTCTAGATAGTCTGCTCTACGGGGGCATAGACGGGTTCTTAAAATGATCCACCTTCCGCCTCGGATGTTCCGATATCTGCTGCACTACAGAATGTACACAGAAATTCCCAATGCACATAAATGACAATGGGAGCACCACCGCTGAACAGCCATGTACCAGCTGATGCTCGCCTGCCTTGCTGCACCACACAGCTTATACTAGTTGTTGCTGTCTGATGCCTTGTATATGTGTGCTCACGTGATCGAAACGCGTGAACAGCGAGTTTTTTCCTGCTCAGTCAATTTTGGCGTCTCGATGTCTTCGAGAAAGCTGCAAGTTACAGTTGCTGTGGGACTGGAGGTATGTACTTCTTGGTTACATTGCATGTGCTATATAGGACTGGGATAGAGTTTTGTTGGATGGCTAGGATAGGCATTGGCTTTGAAGCAACGAGAAGGAAGCATAGCGATACGTTCGAGATGTCAGTAGTGGACAAGTCAGTATTTGATTCTGGTGGAAGGACCACGCTAGCGTTAGCGCAGGACAATGCGCACCTGTGTGTTGGTAGCAAAATTGGGATAGTCAAGATTCTGAATACGGAGAGAGTACAGGATGAGCCTCGGGTCTTGGAAGTTGTGAAGGACTTGACGTCCGTGTGCTTTGGCTCAAAGGACGACTCTAAGCTGTTGGTTACGTCGGTAACCGGAGATGCATACCTTTACGATGCTCGCGATGAAGGCTCTACGGGGAAGTTACTGACGAGGTCTGTGTTGCCATTGAGAGACTGTCAGATTATCCACTCTGACAAGTATGCTGTCTTTGGAGGTGACGACTTGCAATTGACTTTAATAGACCTCGACGGTGGAGATAGGAACACTCTTAAGACAGAGGAACAAGTGTCCAGCCTTTCCTATAGTAAGCAATCTAATATACTGGCGGTTTCCTTCATCAACGGGAAAGTACAGTTTTTCTCAGTATCCTCAGCAGTACCAAATAAGGTGCATGAACTAAAGGATTATATTCCAAAACACAGTTATGTGGACTCCGGGGACGATGCTTTACTGACAGATGTCTTGGGTAGCGATAAAGAAGATACCGATGTTGAAGCAGATACTTTAGAAGATGACAAGATAAAAGATCCCACTTTCTGTGACAATAATAGAATCTGTACTAAAGTTGCATGGCATCCAAATGGTCTGTTCTTTGCCTTGCCAACGAAGGAAGGGGGCGTTAGTATATTCGATATCAAGGATTACAAACTTCAAAAGACGTTGTCCCCTACTGCGAAAGGCAAACTCTTCTGCGACCTTCAATTCGATACAAAGAATGGTAATTATATGGCTGCGATAGATCTTGATGGTCAGCTAACAGTTTGGGATTGGAAAAGAGGAGAGGTTAAACTCGCTAGGAAGATAAAACAGGATATCACCCATTTAGTCTGGAAGATACAGGAGTCATCTGGTCAATTCGATTTGATACTTGGAACCTGGAATGGAAGTATTATAACTATAAAATCTGTCCTTCCTGTGATCGACAGCAAAGTCGAAGAACCACTAACTTCGGCAGGTGGAGAGAAAAACCTGTTTGTGGAGGATGACGGTAACTCAGACGATGAGGCAAAGGGCTCAAACTTAGTGGATGGAGAAGCAGAAGATGATAACGGCGAAGAAATCGATGACGAAAATTTGTTTACCCAAGAGGACGATATCAATGAAGGTAAAAGGAAATACCATTTTGATGACGAGGACGATTTTATAGATGATGATGACGGAGCTGGTTATGTATCGGAGAAGAAATACCGGAAATTCGAAGATACATCTGTAAATACATTTCACAATTACAATAGTAGTAGGAGTCGATATGCGCCAAAACCATTCAAGTATAAACCCTTTTCTGCTGGTGCAACTCCATTTGCTAGCGGAGATAGAAGATATTTGACGATGAATGAAATTGGCTATGTTTCTACTGTGAAAAATGGGGACCAAAACAGTGTAACTGTCTCCTTTTTTGATGTAGGCAGATTTAGGGAATATCATTTTGAGGATTTATTTGGCTACGATGTTTGTTTCCTAAATGAGAATGGAACATTACTAGCACAATCACGTATGGGTCAAATTAATTATAGACCACATAATTCATTACATTCTAATTGGACGAAAGTAATACCATTATTAGATGGAGAACGGATTACCACAATTGCAGCAACGCCTAAAATGGTATATATTGGCACTTCCTTTGGCTATTTCAGAATATTTAATAGTTTTGGTGTTCCTGTTGCATTAGAGAAAATGACACCTATTGTGGCCCTTACAGCACAAGATTATAAAGTCTTTACCGTCCATTTCTCACCATTGCATGGTCTTTCTTATTCATTATTTGAGGTACATACGGACACTTCTAAATACTTCCAAAGGGAATGTCCGCTTCCGATTACGATGCCTCAAGCATATGCAGGTAGAGTAGAACCAGACTTCCTTTCTAGTAATCCACTGGGAATAAAAAGTTTGTTTTTCTCAAGTTATGGGGACCCTTGTATATTTGGTATTGATGATGTGCTTCTTGTACTCTCTAAATGGAGATCTGGTGCTCAAAGTAGATGGATTCCAGTATTGGACAGTAATTTTGAGCTTTGGAAAATGTCTGGTGGTAAAGACCACACTGATGTGCACGTATGGCCATTAAGTTTGAACTATGACACGCTGAACTGTATTTTGGTGAAGGGTAAGCGTATATGGCCTGAGTTCCCACTGCCTTTGCCATCGGAGATGGAAGTGCAAATCCCAGTGCTCGTGAAGTCTCAACTACTAAAAGAATACAATAAGGAAAAGAAGGAGCGTGCCGAAGCTGGACTTGATAGTGATGAAGACGAAGATAAGGATGAAGAAACTGAGGTAACGATCCCACAAAACTTGGCTGCAGAGGAAGAATTTCTGCGTTCAAAGATTCTCTCTGGCCTCTTACAGGATACAATCGTCAATGATGGTGAGCTATTCGGTAATGAAAATAGGATTATCGCATCGTTGATTGGTATGCACGATAAATCACTGCTACGTCTCTTTGCAATTGCATGTTCTGACCAAAACCCTGAACGTGCGCTATCTATTGCTCAAGAATTGAAGCAAGATAAAGCGCTTACCGCAGCAGTTAAAGTCTCAGAGAGAGCAGAGATGCTCTCATTAGTACAGAAGATTAACGACATAAGAGAGGCACGTTTTAACCAGCAGATGGACAACATGTAGTGTATTATTAAAAACAATTATATATATCCCAAAATTCAAAGATATAGCATCGCAACTCTACTATAAGACTATTTTGATTTGATCAATTTCTATATGAAGAGCCTCGTACAAAAGCACCTCATCGAGAATTCTGAAAAATTTTGAAAAAAAAATCGATGAGCTTCAATAATCACAGCTTAAACCATGGCGTGTAGTGAGTATTAACAGTCTGCTGATATAGTTGCCAGAAGATATAATTGCTGCATTATCAGGTATTACTATTGACCTGAATTGCCATTGAAAAATTGGGAAATTTTTGAAGAACTAACATACAGGAACAACATAAGTTATAAGGAGATTTAATGTCTGGAATCAGAGAGAACAGGAAGAGAAAGAGACAGGAGAGTGCCACTCCTACAGTGACCGATGAGAATATAACGGATATATCTTCTAGTGAAGAAGAGGCTGCCAACGAGGTTGATGAAGACGAAGAGATTGATTCAGAGGAGGAGTTTGAAGGTGAAAACCCAGCAGACAAAAGAAGAAGACTAGCCAAACAATATCTAGAGAATCTAAAAACTGAAGCTAATGAGATTGTAAATGCAGATGAAGCTGGTGAGCTTGATGAAGAAAGCCGCCATATTGACAATTATAACAATTTTGATGCCGGGGATTTGGATAGGGAGATCATTAGCTCAAGGTTAAAAGAAGATGTTGCTGAACAGCAAGGTCGTGTTTACAGATTTATTTCAGACAGACTAGATTTTGATAATGTAAAGACAACATTCACAAGAGTAGGAGAAAATAACCCAACTAGTTTGAGTTGTTACCAACCTCAATTTAACAAGTTTGATGCTAGCAGCTTCGGAAAGCAAAGTAAGAACAAACTGTTCTGCTATGTTGTCAGTAAGGATATGACTTTAACAAAATACGATATTACAAACTTCAACAGTAGACCAAAGAAAATTAGATCTACCAAAGGAGGTAAGCAATTCATTCCAGAGACCAAATTTGAATATGAAAATACCAGTGAAGGTCATTACGATGAAATTCTTACTGTGGCAGCATCACCCAAGGGAGATGTTGTTGTAACTGGTGGCAGAGACAGAAAGTTGATTGTGTGGAGTACTGAATCTTTAGCGCCTATCAAGGTGATACCAACCAAGGATCGAAAAGGTCAGATTCTTTCTTTGACTTTTAGAAGGAATTCTGATCAGTTATACGTTGCATGTGCAGACTACAAGATAAGAACCTACTCGATCAGTCAATTTGCACAACTTGAAACACTTTATGGTCATCACGATATAGTAGCAGATATTTCTGCGTTAAGTATGGAGAGATGTGTTACCGTAGGTTCCCGTGATAGAACTGCAATGCTTTGGAAGATACCTGATGAAACACGTCTTACCTTTAGAGGAGGTGAAGATCCTGACAGGTTGTTGAAGAAATGGCTGAAAACTAACGCTACAGAGAAAGAAAATGGTGACCTAGAATATCCGCAAGAATCAGAAGCTCCATTATTCTTTGGAGAAGGCAGCATCGAGGTGGTCAGCATGATTGATGACTCCCATTTTGTCACAGGATCAGATAATGGTAGTATAAGCTTGTGGTCATTGGCAAAGAAGAAACCAGTCTTTATAGAGAGGTCAGCACATGGATTACTTCCTGCGCCAGAAGTTGATGAAATATCTGGAGAATCCTCTAAAGAGCTCAGAGAAAGACAAGTGCAAGATAGAAAGTTAGTAAAACCATACTGGATTACTTCGATTTACGCTATACCGTACTCCAACCTATTCGTCTCAGGTTCGTGGAATGGTTCATTAAAGGTCTGGAAGATAAATGAGAATTTGAGAGAGTTCGAGTTGGTAAAAGAACTTTCAAACTGTCATGGCGTAGTAACCAAAATTCATTATGTAGAGGCTGGTAAGCACGGTAAGGAAGACTTCCGTATTTTGGCAAGTGTGGCCAAAGAGCATCGTTTAGGTAGATGGGTCACGAGAGTACCAGGCGCTAGAAATGGTATTTATTCTGCTGTGTTAAAATCAAAGGCATAATTACATATATATATATATAAACACTGGCATTCATGTTTAACTTATACGTAATAATATAAGGAAGACTAAAGCATCATTTATCATTCTGAGCTTTTTGTTGTTTATTTTATTCATACAAGATTTACGAAATGTATACTGGTCATCTCCACCAAAACAATAAATTATCGTCGATTCTAAATTTTTAATAGTTTTTTAAATCGAATGCTAAAAACTACCATATAAAAGATACTCAGTTTTCTTTAAAACCTTCCTTACTACTAAACATGATAGCGATAATAATATTAATATAGATAAATAAACGAGAATGAATAAGTGTCAATTGTAATAAAAAAATTTTGAAACCAAAAAATTATCGACCTCGGTGAGGATTGAACTCACGATCTTGCGATTAACAGTCGCACGCCTTAACCAGCTTGGCCACGAAGTCGTTTTTTTATTGAAAAATGAAAGTTACAAGTCTGACTACATAGAGAACATAATATTTCACGTGATTATAATCAATAGTGTGGTTGGTGAGTCCGGAATAAAATGGGTAGATATATGCATTAAATAATAGTATTCAGAGCTTAGTAGTTCAACCACAATAAGGTTTTTATTGTCATAAAAGTTTATAAAATAGATCTATAAGTTAATTCATAAAATTTTGTCTATAAGTCATAGCTATTCATCTCAAATTTTGATGGATCATTCATCAGTGGATTGCTCATTTTCATCTTCATCTTCCTCCTTGCCCCATATATCAAACTCTCTTCGAATTTCAACAAAATCGTAGGCAAATTCTCCAATCTGATCATCATCCGTACCTTTCTCTTCACCATCGGCTGATACTCTTAATTGTAAACCTGGTATTTTGTCAATAATAAAGCAGAGTAGTGCCGAAACAGCAGCGCAATAACCGGTAACAGCTCCAATATATGCTATCTGCTTATACATTTGTTTATAGTTTTGGGTGATCCAGCCACCGCCATGTGTTGTGTGTCCATCCATCCCAATAACCCAGTCTGCAGCAAAAAATCCATTAAATAGTAAACCAATCATTCCAGCAACACCGTGCTCAGCTAATAAATCCATGGCATCATCAACCTGGAAAAAATGTTTGATCTTTGTTGCAAAATTACAACATATCCCAGCTACAATTCCTTGAATTAATGACCCATAAAGAGTTATACACCCTGAGCTTGGTGTGGCAGCGACTAATCCACAAATGATACCTGAGCATAGACCTACGGTAGACCATTTTTTTTCTAGTCTGTAATCTAAAATACACCATGTCATACCACCAGTAACAGCACTAATGTTTGTATTGAGGAAAGCATACACTGATCTTAAGTTGGGAGAAAGCGCAGAAGCTGCATTGAATAACAACCATCCGAACCATAATACAGTCGTCCCAAGAGTAACGTACGAAACATTATGAGCCCTAAAGTTAACCAGAAACCTCTCATTTCTGCAACCGAGGAAATAAGAATAGACGAATCCACTAATGGCACTCACTATTTCAACTGGCCCTCCACCAGCCCAATCTAACACACCCCATTTATTAGCCCATCCACCAGGAGCCCATATCCAGTATACAATAGGACAGTACACTAGAGTGGCAAACAGAAATAAATACACCATATGTGGGAAAAATCTGCCTCTTCCAGCAGTAGAACCTGCTACCAGTGAAAGAGTCACACATAAAAACATCATCTGAAAAGAAGCATATGCAACTTCCAAATTCTCAGTCCACACTGCATTCAACCCATATACGTTTCGAAATCCAAAGGAATCCAAGTTCCCTATAAATTTATTGTTCGTGGCTGTTCTGGATAACGCCAGTGAGTAACCCCAAAAGTACCATTGCAGCATACCAACCAATGACGCCATAAGCGTTACCCATAGCAACGAAAGCGCTGATTTCCGACGAGCAAGTCCTGAGTAAAGAAACCCTATACCAGGAACCATAAAGAACACCAGTGCACTTGCAACCACCAGGAACGCCGTCGATGAGACGGCTATTCCTGAATCCCACACATATTGCACTCCTCGGCGAGCTAGCATATATAAGATATTGAAAAGCAAGTCTCTTTGGTAGCACTAAGAGTGTAACAGGGCTTGGGACTTATTGATCAGTGGAGACACTTCCATAAAATAGCAACTGATGCATATATCATGTTTATGTCATCTGTCATTGCTGCATGTCGAATTTTCTTTCACTTCTCGATGAGCTTTTTTTCCAGTCCTACGCGTGTTCTCTCGTGATTAATTTGCAGTTATGGCAACCGATGAGCAATGGCTATGATCGATGGATAAATGGCACTTGGTATGTTATTTGTTGTACAGAATTTTTCTCTAATCAAATAATGCAATGCTCTAGCTCATGCGATTCTATTATTTCTATTTCATTTGTTGTTTTGAGACAGTTATCCTATATATATACGAAGAAGAAGTGCTTTCAAAGTTTGTGTTTCTTGTTAAACTCGGAGACAAACTTTCTTTTAGCTTCAATTCCTAGAGACTTAGATACAAGCTTATACTTATCGTCATCCATCAACTTGGCTCGTATGGAGTCTAAATTTTTGGCGGAATATGGCTCATGTGATATCTTGATCTTGGCCTTCACACCTTTAATGATACTACGTAAAAAGAACTCACGTCTTCCGATAGCTAGAGGTGTCACAATAGAGCTGTTTAATCTCAGTTGCACCGTGAAAATATTTATACGCTCCTTAACAGGGACATCATTCTCATCCTTTCCGTAAAGAAATTCACCCAATTGCTTTGAGGTAATCTCAAATGGTAACACGCTCTTACCATTGGAACAGGTACCTTCCAAAAACATGAAACAAACGTAACCTTTACAATCATTGAAACTAGTGATTTCCTTACCAAACAACTTCGCATCCAAAGACCCCGCTAGCGCATAAGAGTAATACTGGTCGGCATTCATCCTGTAAAGCGTCCCAGCATTGGGGACTAAAAACATCGCTGGCCCCTCAGCAATCAGACCCAGCAGTAACACATCCCAGGGACTAGAAGAGTTACAAACATAGACATTGTTACGCAATGGGTAGTGCTTCCAAGGTACAACTTCTCTTTTCTTCACCCCAACAACGACAATCTCCTCCCGAAGCCCATACAACACCCTATATATGAACCTATGCCAAAATTTGTCCCCGGTAACCATCACCAACGCCATGATGGGTAACAGCAGCACCATCTTCACACTGTACCATGCAACATTGAGCACAACAGAAACCTTCGATGATGCTGGAACAGGTGGCGGTAAGAAAGGAGCAATCCCCGTACCTTTGTCCCTCCAATTACTAAACTTTTCCATTATGCCTCTACTGCGACCTTTGTGATAATAAAGTAGAGCTTAAGCAACCCCATCCTTTGTTATTCACTATTATCTTCAAGAGGCCTCGAGGAAGCCTTTAAATTTTGGAAAAAAAATGGAAAATTAAGTGATTTCAACTAAATTAAAGTATAAAAAGGGTACCGTAAATCAATCGATAATTAGCTCTTCAGGGTCAGCAATAAAAGTAGAAGTGGTGAGGACAAATAACTCCTGCTGTGATGTCCTTTTATAATGTGCTGAAGAATGGGGATGACATGCTTCGGGAGTACCCTCGACGGAGCATTATATGGAGAATACTCTCCTATGGTACCTGTCTGTTCACATACGGGGTCTCTCGGATGATTCTATCCACATTGTACAACTTCAAAGTGTTCAATTTTGAGCGGTTAGAGAATGCCATGAAGCGGTCAAAGGCCGAGAATAGGGGTGTTCTTACGATTATGAACCACATGTCGATGGTTGACGATCCTTTCGTCTGGGCAACTTTCCCTATAAGGTTTTACTCCAGTGTCGATAGGTTTAGATGGTGTTTAGGTGCGGAGAATATCTGCTTTCAGAATGCTGCACTTTCGTATTTCTTTTCGCTTGGTAAGACATTATCTACTAGGAGGTTTGGAGCCGGTCCGTTCCAGGACTCGATAGACGCTACGGTGAGGCTCTTTAGCACTGATGAGACCCTATTAAAGGACAAAGATCCAAACTATAAACCTCCTGTTCGCCAAAAGAGTCCTCCTTGGGTTCACATTTATCCTGAAGGTTTTGTCCTGCAGTTACAACCTCCTCATTCCAACTCTATGAGGTACTTCAGATGGGGTGTAGCACGGACTATTCTCGAATCAACTGTTCCACCTATTATTGTTCCAATTTTCTCTACAGGGTTTGAAAAGATTGCTTCAGAAGAGGCCAAAGGAATGATGAGACAGCTCATGCCGAGAAACTATGGTAGTAAGATTAAAGTCACTATTGGTGAAGAGATCAGTGATGAGATAATCTTTAGATACAGGAAGGAATGGCAAGTATTGGTGGAAAAATACAAAGACTGTAATAACCCTGATGAAATGCCAGATGAATTGAAATATGGTGAAGAGGCTGAGGATCTGAGAAGTAGATTGGCTGCTGAATTAAGGGAACACGTAGCAAAGATTAGACACGATGAGTGCCACTTTCCAGAAGAAGACCCAAGATTTAAGTCAGTTTCCTGGTGGAAAAAGTTTAATTGCTCAGAGGGGGAGTCTGATCCTGACGTTAAAATAATAGGTAAAAATTGGGCAATCAAAAGGCTGCAAACACATTTGAAGAACAATGAAAATACAAAAGATCATTAACTCCAACCATCCTCACTCTATAATTCAAAGAAAAGTTTTCAACATTAATATATATTTCGAGGACAAATACCATGTATATAACTATATGACCAGGTACATCATTAAAAGATTATATTCTATAGTTTAACGACATCGTAACTAATTCCTAGTTATCATCTTGGTATTATTGACTTTTGATGCAAAACGCAACGAGTTTATAGTTTCGTTAAGATGTAATGCTGCTGGTGAGATGTTAACAAACATTAAAGTCTTGGAAGAGCCTATCAAGGAATATTGTAAGAGGTATGTCAGCTTGGAATTTCTAAACGGAATATGCCTCTTCTGTCCATCTGGGCTATTCAATGCATGTATGACATCACCTAGACAGCTTAATGACTTATTTATACTCTGCGTTTCTCTTAGTCTCTCACCAACTACCATAGAACTATTTAGTCTCTCTGAACCTGCTAGATCAACCAAATTTAAGATACCCTGTGATTTTTCTCCTGTGCCTTCATTCTTACCCTCCAAATGAATTATAAAGATACTATGAGAACGAGAAGAATGCTCGTTTGCTGCAGTACTTGCGGTGGATCTTAGTTTGTTTGCCCTCTTCAGTACCTTATCTACTGTATCCCGTGAGTCTAAGACACATGTGGTTATGTTGGTAATATATGTGGTTTTTAATTCTTGGTCATGCCTAATTTCATGTTTGCTATCTGCATTCCTATCATTATTTTCCTGAGAAGGTGCGCCACTTCTTAGCAGGTCGACAATGTTCTCATTATAAATCTCAATGAACTCACAGCTAACTTTATAACTCCAACCTCTTGCAGCCAACTTGTCAATCCAGGAAAATATATGGTTAATTGTGGCCGGCACAATACCATCACCTGGATTTAACATTGTATATGTTTTACCAGAGCCCGTTTGACCATAAGCAAAAATGCAGACATTATAGCCATCCAATGAACTCTGAATAAGCTGTCCAACCTCTTTGAATATTTCATCATTTGTTTCCTGCTGGTCAAATATCTTATCAAACTTAAATGGAATTACCTGACTGTTTCCTCTATTTATAGTCATTCCCTGATCTCCGTTATCATCATCAAAAGGTTGTACTTTAATATGTTCAATATTATCATCTTCATGAGGTAGAGGGGGTCGAATTCTACAGTATACACGTATATTACCTCTCAGTTCTTGCAACTCATTATGTAAAGCTCTTCTTAGCGATTCTTCTTTCACTAGAATTTTCTTAATTTCTTCTACCTCCTTTTTCGATTTTTCAATATAGGCTAGTATTTCTTCTTTTTCAGCTAGTAGCTTGTCCTTCTTTTCTCTTTCTAGATCAATATTTTTTCTAATTTCACCTACCTGTTCATTCTTGTTCTGTAAAGTATCATCCAGTTTCTTAATTTCACTTTTTAACTCTTCCAGTCTTTTGTTCTGTGTATCTATCCGTGGAGTAAGTACGGTTTCAATTTCGGATTTCAATTCCTTGGTCTTCCTTATGCTCTCTTGATTTTTTTCAGTAACTTCTCTCCATTCCTTTTGATAGTCTTTTAACCATTTCTCTTTCTCTTCTAAATGATCTGCTTCAATATCTTTCATTCTTTGCTGCAAAGCTACGTCATTCGTTATCATTTTATTCCTTATTTCTTCTATCTTTTCAATCAGCTCATTTTTCTCATTCTCGAACTTTTTGATCTTTTCATATTTTAGCGCTTCCAATTTCGATCTGTACTCATCGTTCATTTTATTCAATTCGGCATTTTTATTCGCCGTCAACTGTTCAAGCTTGAGCTTATGACTTTCTTCCAAGAAGGTTTTCTTATTCGCAAAATCATCTTTGATCTTCTTAAGTTCTTTCTCTTTTAACTCTAATTTCTGGGCCTTCAGTTTCCTCTCCTCCTTTTTCTGTTCCCATTTGAGGTCAAGAGCAGTGTATCGCGATTTTAAGTCCTCATATTCATCTTTCAACCCATCCAGGACGCCTTTCTTCTGAAATAGCTTATCCTGCAGTTCATTAAGCTCCATAACATTCTCCTTGTAAAATGACGTCAAGTGCGTCCGAGATCTGATCGATTTACCATCAACATTGCCACTACTATTCACCCCAAACGAACTCCTACTTTGATACTGCCGTATTTCCCGCGGTGGTGTCGTAGTATACCGCCTCTTTTGCCCAGCACCTCCAATACCAGTCTGCTTCGCCGGTGTAGCAGGCTCATCCATCTGTAAAAAATGCACTTCCCAGTCAATGGCTTCCTCTTATGCAATTAAAAATAGCAACTTTCTCCGAAAAGCAGATTTCCTGGGATCAGAATATAACTTGAAATATAAACACCCAGGTTTGACTCAGTTGAAAGTACTTTTAAATATGTAGACGCCAGAATAGTCCAGATCAACTTTCGTTTCTTATTTGTTTCACACCGGATTCGTGTCGCTACGTAGTCCGCGACACCCAAAATTTTCAAATTTAGCGATGGCCATGCGATGAGCATAAGCTGAAAGGTATAGATAGTTACAAATTATAAGACTATCGTCGGCTTTTTTCTTTCTTTATTTGAATAGAAGAGTATAGCGATACATATATCAGAGATGACAACGTTGAAACACAAGACCAAGAAGGAGGAGGAGACCAATTCGTCTGCTGAAGAGTACAGTGGAGCTGAAGCGTCTAGTTCTGATGTAGATGCTAGTGGTAGCGAAGAGTCTCAAGGCGAGGACAACGAAGATGAAGATGGTGATGAAGAGGAGGGAGATGAAGAGGAAGATGAAGACTTTCCAAGGAAGAAGAAGGCCAAGATGAACAAGCATGATGACGGTTCCGCTGGGTTTTCGCAGGCGTTGAATGCTATATTGGGCTCACATTTGAAGGCATATGACAGAAAGGATCCTATCATGTCTAGGAATAAGAGTGTATTAAAGCAGAATGAATCACAGAAATTAGAACTTAAGGCAAAGAAAGCACTGCTGGCAGAGAAGAAGAAACTTTTGAACAAGACGAGAAAGAAGGAAGTTATACCAACGGTGTCAGATGAGAACAAATCTGGTGAAGAGATCAGAAAAATCATAGAGAAAGAAACTAGATTGAGAAAGATTGCCCAAAAGGGTGCTGTTAAGTTATTCAATGCCATCTTATCCACTCAAGTGAAAACTGAGAAGGAAGTGTCTGAGGGCTTCACTGATATCAAGAATAGAAAGGAAAAGAAACAGTTAATTACAGAAGTTTCAAAGGAGAAATTTTTGGATATGGTTAAGGCTGCTGCTGATGACGATGAATAGATCGAATCTATAATACAAATCTAAAATGATACTTGTAACAATTTTTCCCGAACTGAAAGGTCATCACTGCCTGAGAGCTGGCATACGACACTGAATATATGCGATCGATTCATAATCATTTATCCATTAATGAGGTATATTCTATATATGGTTGTGAATTGGCTTTTCAAAAATAAATCCATGCATTATTTTTCATCCACGGAACTTGTCTTCTCCTACACTAGAAACTATCTAATATGTATACTAATCATGTTTTCCAATAGCATTTATTTTATTTTAGTCACTCTATTTCCACCTAGTAGACAGACTTTCTACTATAATTACAAAAGAGCAAGACCGCACTACAGTAGACTTTATGATCACGTGAGATACTTTCTAGGGATATAGAGGAAAGAACTTTTATCGTACCTTAAGAAATTAATAGCTCGCGTGGCGTAATGGCAACGCGTCTGACTTCTAATCAGAAGATTATGGGTTCGACCCCCATCGTGAGTGCTTTCTTTTTTTGCATTTTTTGGTTTTTATAGATTGGGAATATTGAAATACTTATAAGATTGATAATCGACCTGAATCACAGTAGATTCAATATATTCTGTTACATGATCATTAAAGTCATGCAGGTAGGTTATATCAGGTTGAAAAAAGACCGTTTTTGCTCTGAAATTATAATGATAATTTGTTGAATGCTAATGAATTTGTTTAAATAGTTAAATATGGATTTATGCGACTGGATGCGTTTGTAATAACAAAAAAATGCCTAGAAGCCTAACCCACCATTAGAATATGCCATTGGCTTAATATCTGGGTGCTTTACAGCCTCGAAAGTTTCTACAAGTAGGTCTTCATCGTCGTTACCGTTTTGTATTAGTTTACCTTTACCAGGGACAATATGAATAATACCACCCATATTTCCTTGAGAATCACAATAGTTTGGTGCGGAAAAGACAGTAGCTAGCTTATTGTTGTGTTCAAAAAGGACACCTTTCATACGCACTTCGTGTGATCTGAATACCTTCTTCAAGTTGTTACGCTTTAAGTAATCGGCTGTAATATCTGGTCCGAATGCGAATCCCAGACCTCTTTGAGAAGGTCCCAGACCATCAGCTTGCTGTGGATCAGACCATAGTAATTCCATGTACAGACCTTCTCTTGGAGGCTGGCTGAATCTATCCAGTTTGTTGATATCTTCCAATGTTGATGTCTTATCACTTGGTAAACCACCATGCATAACCAAATAGTCCTTGTTAATCAGCGTAGCCAAAGGCAGACTCTCGAAACTTTGTGAGAACATATCAAAAATCCTTTGGGAGTACTTGTATTTACATTCATCCTCGAACCCGTAAATTTTGTTCATGTTGTCGGTCTCGTGATTACCTCTATTCAAGAAGAAGTTCTTTGGGAAAAGAATCTTCAAGGAGTAAAACAACAAAGCCACTTCACAGGACCAAGAGCCACGATCAACAAAATCACCGTTGAATAGATATGTGTGGTTCTCGCTGACTTTGCCATACTTCTTGAAGATATTTAGCACATCATAAAATTGACCATGGGTATCACCACATACAGATATCTTATGGTCTGGGCTCTCTTTGTTTGACAGCTCAAGCAAGTTAGCTTCGTCTCTGAATAATCTGTCGGCGTGTGAGATAATAGCTGCTGCGTACTTCTTTGGGATATTCTTGCCCTGCAAGAAGACGTCGTTGACCAACTTTGTGATGAAGTCCTGCGACATGTTAGTGATTTTAACACCCGCGTACTCGTTCTTTTCATTCTTCAACTGCTCGAACTCCAAAGATGGCCCGTCGTATTTTGCCAGATCGCTGTTGGCGTCGAACGAGCTCAAGTTCAAAGTGCTGCACAGTTTGGGCTTACTGTCGGAGTCACCGCCGCCGATGGCCTTCCTGAACCTTTCCTCTCTGATGACTTTCTCACAGATATCCAGTGCTCGCTTTGCGGCAGCGTCAGAGGGCTTGGCCTTCAACACCACGGTCAGATCAGCTCTGGCCTTCTTGAACTCCAGCAGGCCGACGCATGCCAGACCACGCCTGTGGTAGGCCTTGACGTTCTTTGGGTCCAGAGCCAGCGCTTTGTCACAGTCCTGGGAGGCACACTGGAAGTTGTCGAGCTTCAAGTGGCACAGAGCCCTGTTCGAGAAGTACACGGACTGCGTGTCGTCCAGCTCTATTGCTTTGTCATACTTCTCTATGGCCTTGGCGTAGTCCTGCACCTTCACACAGGCGTTACCCTCGTTCTTGTACTCAAGAGCCTTGTCAGCATCAGTAGCACCCATTCCTCTATTATGTCCTTGATGTTGTTTGCGAGTTGTATCAGTAGAGAGGCAGTGAGCATCTTATAATATAGGCGAATCAAGCGATGAGCACTAATTTTTCACAATTTTTTTTTTTTCAACGATTTTTTTTTTTCGCAGTTTGTCGGAAGTATATAAGGACTGTCTGTTACAAATGTATAAAAATTGTATACACACACACCAGCTGAGCACAGAAATATAACCAATTGTCATTAGTACAGAAACTGGGTTCTATGCAAATGAAAATGAGGTAGATTGTATACAATTTCAATATAGCCACTTCCAGTGGCTATATTGAATATAACTACAGAAAGGCCACAAATACAGACAACCCTACCGCAATACATTCCACGAGCACTACACTCCACATCCAATGATACCAACCACGAACTTATTAAAGTGCTATTATGAGTAGGAGAGGGAGGGTGAATGGTGGAAAACACAGCCTACCTTTCTAATAGCGCATAGGCTAAGGCCAAGGCTACTTTCATTGTGAGCCCAAAGTACACACACACACGACAGAAATACACATGATATAACATCATTACACACGCAAGAAAGTGAGTCACATGACTAACCGTCACATGACTAACCCCCCTCGCTTTCTCCGAGACGAAAGAAAAAAAGAAAGAAAAAGCGGGAAATCATAGATTGGCAAATGACGTCAGAATGGGGGGGGAGAGTGGAGCTGCGGGGTGTTGAGTAAGTGTGGCAAACATCCCCTCCACCCCATTAACAGACCTCAGAGGTAACCGCAGTGTTTTGCAGTATACAACACACCAGCTACACCAGGAGCGCGGCGCAGGGGATTTTCTGATTCTGGAAGACTCTCTCTGTAGAGGAACTATCAATTTGTGTTATGCGGTGTAAGGGTGGTCGTACATCGCGGGCCATTTTGTGTGTTCTTCACTGTGTTCTTCACTGTGTGCTTCACTGTGTGCGCTAACAAAAGTGGCGCAAAACAAGGGTTGCCACTGTGACTTCCAGGGGAAGCAAACTTGTGCAGGAGGGAGGGGGGTGAAGGACGGAACTATAAATAGCGGGTATTTTTGAGTTTCTGGAAAACGCTTCGACCAACTCCATAAGCAGAGCAAAAAACAAAAGATACAAATAAAGCATGCAGATTTTTGTGAAGACACTAACTGGTAAGACTATCACACTGGAAGTGGAGTCTTCTGACACTATTGACAACGTGAAGTCGAAGATCCAGGACAAGGAAGGTATCCCACCTGACCAACAGAGACTAATCTTTGCAGGTAAGCAATTGGAGGACGGACGTACCTTGTCTGACTACAACATCCAGAAGGAATCTACTCTGCACCTGGTGCTAAGATTGAGAGGTGGTATGCAGATTTTTGTGAAGACACTAACTGGTAAGACTATCACACTGGAAGTGGAGTCTTCAGACACTATTGACAACGTGAAGTCGAAGATCCAGGACAAGGAAGGTATCCCACCTGACCAACAGAGACTAATCTTTGCAGGTAAGCAATTGGAGGACGGACGTACCTTGTCGGACTACAACATCCAGAAGGAATCTACTCTGCACCTGGTGCTAAGATTGAGAGGTGGTATGCAGATTTTTGTGAAGACACTAACTGGTAAGACTATCACACTGGAAGTGGAGTCTTCTGACACTATTGACAACGTGAAGTCGAAGATCCAGGACAAGGAAGGTATCCCACCTGACCAACAGAGACTAATCTTTGCAGGTAAGCAATTGGAGGACGGACGTACCTTGTCTGACTACAACATCCAGAAGGAATCTACTCTGCACCTGGTGCTAAGATTGAGAGGTGGTATGCAGATTTTTGTGAAGACACTAACTGGTAAGACTATCACACTGGAAGTGGAGTCTTCAGACACTATTGACAACGTGAAGTCAAAGATCCAGGACAAGGAAGGTATTCCACCTGACCAACAGAGACTGATCTTTGCAGGTAAGCAACTAGAGGACGGACGTACCTTATCGGACTACAACATCCAGAAGGAATCTACTCTGCACCTGGTGTTGAGATTGAGAGGTGGTATGCAGATATTCGTCAAGACACTAACTGGTAAGACTATCACACTGGAAGTGGAGTCTTCAGACACCATTGACAACGTGAAGTCGAAGATCCAGGACAAGGAGGGTATCCCACCTGACCAACAGAGACTGATCTTTGCAGGTAAGCAATTGGAGGACGGACGTACCTTGTCTGACTACAACATCCAGAAGGAATCTACTCTGCACCTGGTGCTAAGATTGAGAGGTGGTATGCAGATATTCGTCAAGACTTTGACGGGTAAGACTATCACACTGGAAGTGGAGTCTTCAGACACCATTGACAACGTGAAGTCGAAGATCCAGGACAAGGAGGGTATCCCACCTGACCAACAGAGACTGATCTTTGCAGGTAAGCAATTGGAGGACGGACGTACCTTGTCTGACTACAACATCCAGAAGGAATCTACTCTGCACCTGGTGCTAAGATTGAGAGGTGGTATGCAGATTTTTGTGAAGACACTAACTGGTAAGACTATCACACTGGAAGTGGAGTCTTCAGACACTATTGACAACGTGAAGTCAAAGATCCAGGACAAGGAAGGTATTCCACCTGACCAACAGAGACTGATCTTTGCAGGTAAGCAACTAGAGGACGGACGTACCTTATCGGACTACAACATCCAGAAGGAATCTACTCTGCACCTGGTGCTAAGATTGAGAGGTGGTTACTAAACTTAAAAAAATTGATCTGAGATATGATCGACTATGAAATATGGTACTGGTAACCATCTTTCCTTTTTTTTTCTTTTGATTTTTGTGTTGGGTGTCCCGTGTTCAGAATAAGAGATAGAACTCTATGTGTAGATACAAAAGTATACTATACTATATGTAACAGTTTATGTTAAATAGCAAAATCTTTTTCCCCCTCACATTATTAATTGTAGTTTGCAATCACTACTACTATTTGGTGCCTCTTGTAAGTTGCTCCAGCTATGTCATGGCCAGTATTCATCTACGTATTGCTATCATCGAGGTATGTAAGCGTTATGATACTAGTGCACTACATGTGACCTATCTAATTAGATTCGTAAGGTTGTAGGAAGCTTAAACGCGCTGATGAGTACACGTCATGCATAAAAGATGTTATTCATTTTCACACTTGATTAACGGATGAGATGTATCCTTAAAGCCGGCAACATATAAGGAGAAACCTCAGAAGTAGAAAGAGTGGTGAACTTACATACCATGACGAGGTCATAAGGAACCTCGGGAACCTTGTGGGGCATAATTGCTGCCTTATAGCTAGCAATTATGCCCCACTAAATTAGTAGAGTGGAGATTAAAGTTACGTCATGACGTACATATTGACGGATGAATCATGTAACAAGGTACGACCTAACCTCAAGATCATATAAGCGCTATATAAATGACAACCTCAATTTAGTAACTTCAAAAACTTGAAACTCCGCGGGGTAAAGGAGATCTTAAGATTCTCCATTTGGCCATAAATCTAATCCGAAAAAGATATAAATAGCATCTGAATTCTCAGACGTGAGGATTAAGATGCGTTTCTTCACTAAATTGTATTATTATACTTTCCTTATTCTTTCAGTAGAAAGATCACAACAAGAACAGTAATAACAAATAACAAAAAGTTTATTCTAGTCTAGTAAGACTTATTATTATTTAACATTTTAGTTTTGATACTTGGTATAAGTTACGCTTATATCGAGTCTGGCAGTACTTTAAGATTAAGAGTTATAAGTTTAAGTTAAACCAGAAGAATCTCTGTTCGAAAAACGAATCATTATAAGTCACGTAGATTTATTAGGTTCCTCTTCTGCGAAACGTAACGGAAAGTCCGAACTATATATCAGCGGCCTGTATTCCTCAGTCATTAGACTAACCATATCCTGGGAATTGCTTTGATCTACGATATAAAAAAACCGTTGAATGCTCGTGATGACCACGTACCCTGTATCTTACGTGGCAGTATCCGCCTCCAATAGGAAAATTAGTTCCGCTGAGGACCCAGAAAGGAGTTCCCATCTTTCTGAAAACCCCTACCCAGACTCTGGCTCATTGGCAGATACCTACTTACCCGATTCAAACCTTCTTGAAGAAGAAAGCAAACTACGCCACTATTTGAAAGACGAAGTCAAACAACTCACTAAGAAGAAAGCTCGCAATAACGACAAACGCAAGAAATGGCTGGCAGACATATGCAGTGCGGTCAAGAAATTCCACACCTTACCAAATAAAGTCTTAATCAATAATATTAGACGTGCCGCGGATGATGATATTAAGTACGATTTGACTGAAATCAAGGATGAGCTACCTTCGAAAACTACCATCGAGGAATTCTTGAAGGCTATTGATATACATTATCAGAAAATCTCAAGAGAAACTGTCAGACATGTCGATTTACTTGATCGCCCAAAATTTATAACAGCCGCCTCACTAAGACGTGCTCGCGATGCATTTGAAAAAATCTGTGATGAAGAAAATATGACTTGTGCCATTTATGCCACAAAGCATTACTTGCCTCCTCGAATTGAGCGCCAAATCGATGACTTTATATGGCCATCTCCTTCCACCATTCTCGATGAAATGGACAACGAGATTGAGAAGCGCATAGCTAAGGGAAAATACTTCAAACCCAATAAGTATAAGAATAAGTTTAATAAACGTAGGTACAATCCCAAACGTTTTAACAATAATCGCAGAACCAATAGGGCTAAGGCACAAAACCGCTGAATACTCGTGACAAACTCGTACCCTGTATCTTATACGTATAGAAGTATACAGATACAGTAAAACACTCAAATTTATTTTCCTGACAACGCAATTTAATAAGCCTTGTTGGCGCAATCGGTAGCGCGTATGACTCTTAATCATAAGGTTAGGGGTTCGAGCCCCCTACAGGGCTTATTTCTATTTTTTTTCGTTCCAGTTATGTCTTTCAATATGTGCTATGATTAGTGCCTATGCTAATGTCAAAAGTAAGAAATCTATCATCAGCAGTGTATTCATTACATTAGGTCGTTATATTTAAAGTTACTAGAGAGCTTATATAATAACTTTTTAAATTGTGGCCGTCTTACCTCCTGGGAGTCTACCACCATAAAGTGCCCTATTCAAGTACTCACCGGTTCTTCTACCAAAACCTACTACCATTCTTAACCATGGTTTCAACCCCAGCAAGAACCCAGTCCATAACACACTCTGTATAAATGGCATCAGCAATACATCTCGCACTACCACTTTACATATAACATACGCACTGGGACCACTTTTCTTATCGTCCGTGCTTTTTCCACTCAACGCATTTTGCTTCGCAACTTCCCGATCAATGGCTCTCCTGAAAGTCTGCTCAAATCTCGTATCAGGTATTTTGATAACCCCATTCATCGCGGATATAAAAGACAAGAAATGCTCCCTTATCAAGGCCTCTTATCTACAATAGCAAGTCTCTTTCAAATTGAAGTCTTTTTTTTTTCAGCTTTTGCTTTTTGGTTTCTAAAAAGCCTAAAATGAAGAAGTGATTGCTCATCACCTTTTAGCATAGAAGGGTAGAGACCTATAAGAGAAACCAATAGTAAAGTAAACACTACATAAACAATAAACACATTAGTTATCAAGGAAACAATGTCTATTCATATAGACATTTTCTTAGACCGGTATGCATTACCTTCTCAATTAGGAATAATTTTTTTTTGTATTTGACAGCAGTTATTTGTATAGACAGTAAGTTAAACACCGACTCTTAATCCAGACATAGTTGACAGAGTTACCAGCACAAAGCAGGATGTTCGCAACAAATTAGCCACAGGTCAAATGCCATACGAGTGTAATAATCGTTGGTGACTGATTCTGACTGGGATTCCGTGAGACGGACCTCTGTTAAATTAAATTAGTGAACGATGACTACTTCAATTAACTGCGAATTCCACTGAACGTCCCGTCCCGGCTTGTTCTCTCTTCCATGTGATATGATACTGAGATGGGCCAAGGCACCTTTCTCTTAGAGAATGCGCTGTTAGTGGGGTCCCATATGTGCAAATTGTAAAAGTGATGGCTTTTCACTATAACTAGGCTCGGAGAGTCAAACTCACGCCAAAATAAATTCTTATCAACTCTATACATTTGAGCATAGCACCCAACATTCTAATACCTACGAGAAAGATTTTTTCAACACTCCTGGAATACAGGTCGCAAGATATATATTGGACACTGACCAGCTAGACACCATACATAAAAACCGGCACGCAATAGTACTTATTTTCTGTTAGTGATGGGTGAACAGGTAGAGGATATGGACAAGCTGTATGAGACGCCGATAGACATGCAGACTACAATCTTTGACCAAGTAGATAACTATCTGCATATGGTGAACAGCGGATTACAGCACGATGAGAAAGAAGATGAACATAGGGAACATGAAGATGCGATTGATGGTGGGGCCAGTCTGAACATGCACCTTTACAATATTAATGATACATTAAATGGTGTTTCTACTGATAACGGTCATTTCGACATGGTTGATTTACATTTCGGGCCCACATTGACTACAGATGACGACCCAACCAAAATGGCCGAACTACAGCATACCACGATACATCATGGCCATCTAGACGTCAATGGAAACCGCAGTGATAGTTTATTCTCGCCATTCGATTCTCCATTAGTACATGACACTCCATCATTGGAGGCTAGGAATAGTATACAACTTACAAATGAGGGTTCCACATCAGCTCTTACAACACCATTTCTGAGCGGCAAGAACCACTATGACGACCACGGGAACTCTATAAATTCCCAGAGCTTTAACTACCATAACAGAAACTCAAGTCTCTCCAAAGTTAGTGGTAAATTCTCCCCAATATCGTCACCAGCACTGACTTCTACTAATCAGGAACAGCAACACTGGAACACATCCTCTAGAAGGGCTTCAAACAGTTCCTCTAGATCAAAAAGAGTGCTACCGAGTGGTAATTCATCTGTTTCTTCTACTTCAAACAAGGTTATAAAGAATAGTCCGTACATGAACGCCAGTTCTAGGAGATTACAAAAGACCATAAGTAATGGGAACTCAAAGAGGGATGAGTGGGACGAATTCATGTTCTCTTTACCGGAGAGTAGTTTAGCTAATGACTTAACAACTGGAAATGATGAAAACATGGATATTAGCTTGCCAGCGGGACACTCACCCACTAAAGAGTACAATAGCTACCCTAAGGTAATATTACCATCTCATGCAGCTGAAAACGAGAGTATGGAAACGGATAACTATGAGAGGGCCAGCTTGCTAGAGGACTCACAACCAGACGAGACACAGAACAATAACCCACAGAACAATAATCCACATAGCAATGGCTCTAGTATCAGTCCTGTTGGCAAAAACGACTCGGTGATGCTAGCCAGTGGCTCACCTGTGTTGAAACCCCAAAATTCAAGTTCTAATATTTTGCAGACACCTTACTCATCTAAAAGAGTTTTCAAGTCGCCAGCGGATATTTCAAGCACTGAACAAACTGCAGACGAGGCTTCCAACGATGCAAGTAATGATGCTAAGTCGAAGGACAAGAAACAAAGGAAACCTTCATCCAGTGGACCCAATAAGCTAAAGAGAACTAATACTGGTGGCAGCATCGGGAGAGTACGATCAGACAGTGCCAGCCAAAACAGCGACTATGTTCAAAGAAAGAAAGAGGTGCATAAGTACGCAGAACAAGAAAGAAGAAACAGGCTGAACAACGCGCTTAGCGATTTGAACTCTTTACTTCCACAAGACTGGAAAGACGCTGTCACAGTCCCATCTAAGGCTATCACAGCTGAACTCGCTTGCAAATACATAAGGACACTGCTCGAAGAGCTTGAGCAGTACAAGAAATGACTACAGATACTCCAAGACAAAACTTCAAATGACTACTTTTTAGCTAGAGTTTTAGACATAAATTATGATTTTTTTTTTCTATCCTCTTTACTATATACTTTTTGTAACACTTGTTCCTCAGGGCATGGGGTACCACGATTTGCATAACTACCTTAGAAATGTAGCATCAAAACCTTAATATATTCACATTTTCAGAACTAGTTGATATATTGTTATATTCCCCATTTTCTCGATATTTTTGAAGAGTATAAGCCACCAATAGTCCATATTTATATGATCCATATAATACTAGTACCTCAGAAATGGGCCACACGTGACTAGATTTTTCCAATCCCAAACTGCCCAACCCATCGCTGTCACTCCTTCGGGGAACGCAAGACGAAAATTTGGACCAATGGGATTGAAGGATAACTGTACGTAGTTTTCTCAGTTCTGTTTGGAGGGCACAAGATAATCATTGCGAATTTCAGTTTACAATTCCCAGCTGCAATCAACAATCATCTACGTATTGAATCCCCAGGGTATGAATAAAAGTTATCATCACCGAGCTTTCCCAGGATTTTTGAGTTACGAAATTCCACTTAACAAATCATCTTCGCCCAATAGGACAAGGGCCGACAATACCGAGGACCTCTTTTCCCACTGTCTATGAACAGAGACTCCCTCCCCCCTCGTATTGTGTACCCAGTAGAGAGTATCTTAACTGTACTTGGGTACTATCGATGAGTGGTTAGGGATTTGTTTGATTGAGTATTTAAGTAAGTTTGTATAATTGGCACAAGTTTCTGTTTTGGAGCAGGTAAAGGCAAGGCATTCCTAAATTGCTAGTCGCACTGTACTGTACATATATTTAAGGAAAGAAAGCTATTAGCATTTGCATAATAAATTTTTTTAGGTTTCAAGGACTATATACAAGAGTAAATCCAGAAGAAATGATCTCATCTATTACTGATTTGTTGGAAGAGTTGAAGGAGACTATAGTGCCAGTTGTCGCCGAGGCTGCTGAGGAGGACCCAGTTGAAGACGAGGAAGAAGAGGACGAGGATGAAGATGAGGACGAAGACGAGGATGAAGAAGAAGGTGTTGACCAATTAGATGCGCTTAGAGAAGAATGCAAGAACACTGAGGAAGGTAAGCATCTAGTACACCACTACATGGAATGTGTGGAGAGAGTTACCAAGCAACAAGAGGACCCAGAATACGAGAATTTGGATTACAAAGAGGACTGTGTCGAGGAGTTCTTCCATTTGCAACATTACTTGGACTCCTGTGCGGCTCCAAGACTATTTGACAAACTAAAATGAAGAGGTTAAAAGAATCATAAAACCCATCGGTTCTTTCCACCTCACCCAATCTTTTCAACCGTTAATGGCAAGAGCATATTCCCTTAAGAAATACTATTTCTTTCACTTCTATTAAATCTCTGATGTTATTTATTCCTTTTTTTTTTTCTTGTTTTTAAACTCACCTACAATTCTATTCTGTTATTATTCTCGATTGTGGAGGAACAGAAATGTCAAAGAAGGAACAAAGTATTTATTTATCAGCTTCTCTCTTTATTTGAGAGGGTTACCCAAACCAAAGAGTCTTGATTTCAAAGTAAATAACAACAAGAGACTCGTCCTTTATTTCTTATAATTTTTTTTTCTATCTCAAATATTCAATATATATAAAAAGAATGACTATCACAGTATAACTTTACCTTTTAAAACTCCCCACTCCTCCCACAGAAAAGACTAGTCTGTATACATTAGACAGTGTTATAAGAACAACATGACAAGATGACAAGATACGAGGTTACAAGTGCCAAATACTTTGTGACTGGAACACCCAGACACACTACCACAACACCCAGACACACAAAACGTTAGCAAGCTACGAAACAAAACAAATTTTCCCACTTTTGTAGTCATAAATAGTCATAAAATCTACTAAGAAACACACGCACACCTCGGAAAAAACAGAAGTCAGCTGCCCCCCTCCAACGCAAAACAGAAGATGCTAATCATCTAAAACGTATATCATGCCTTTCAACATGTGACCACTCGCACATATCCCCATATCATATGCACCAGCATACGGGGTCCTCTCTCCCTCTCCCTCTCCCCCCAGTGATTTTACCGTCTTCAACTCACTTTTGTACTGCACCTTCTGTGGAACCCACTTGCAAGAATACTTCCCGTCATTGGTAGTACTTCTCTCTTCTTTAGAGTTCTACTAGCATAACTAAGTCGCCCCATAAGCTGGCAGAAAAAGTGAAAAAAAAAATTTTTTTTGCAACTTTTTTCAGTCCGGGTTACTTTGTCTTGTGTTGCGTGATTAGCATCAAGATTGTCTTTGAACAGCAAGCACACACACACAAGCCATTACGGGAACAGCTTCTATTGCAACTTTTTGGCCAAACTTGCGCAACCTTCCATCGCTCTCACACTGTAATGTTTTACTTTCTGACCAGATTAACCGACATATATAATGAAATAGGTTTGTAAAGTGTATACTGTAAACTTGATCAATAAGACCTCCGTGACACCTATAACTCATAGAACGTACGTATAGAGTACCCCTCTCCCCACCCATTTTCTGGAGAACGGTTGACTTTTTTTGCGAAGTTGGAATAGTATATCTTACCTACATTTGCATCCAACCCTTGACAAGTGCATATTACTAACTAGTTGTTGTGCCCCAGACGGAAAATATTAATTTTAACCCGTGGAACTGAAACATTTGAACAGAAATTTGAAAAAATGGCTAAGTCTAAGAACCATACCGCTCACAACCAAACCAGAAAGGCCCACAGAAACGGTATCAAGAAGCCAAAGACCTACAAGTACCCATCTTTGAAGGGTGTTGACCCAAAGTTCAGAAGAAACCACAGACACGCTCTACGTGGTACTGCTAAGACTTTGGCTGCCGCTAAGAAATAAATATAAAGAGAACTAAGAATCCAAGGAGTTAAAAGCCCCCTTTAGTTTTTTCTTTCAAACAATTTACATTTATTTCTCTTCTACATATTATAATATATTAAAAGAAACTTTCCAAAAAAAATACTGAACCTGATCCTTCACACAGGCTATTGCCTTTTCCTAAAAAAAGGAAGGCCTCTGCACTGATAATATGCTTGAAAAGCCTCATTGTGATACTGACTCATATATACATAGATTATATCTGTATGTGCGCACCCTCATCGCTGTACTAAACCAGACATGCGTATGCGTATGCGTATGCGTATGCAGAAGTCTGCGCGTGACGGGCCAATATTGTCGTGCTGTACGTGAGGCGTGACTTTACCCGGTTATTAATCACCTGTCCCAATTCCATCTTTTGTGTCTCGGCGGCTATCTCCAGCTGAAAAGTAGCAAAACACAAAATGCATAGAAACTGGAGGGCACGGCAAGCGCCTACTAAATTACACCAAGATAGTACTAACAGGCGCTTGAAGAGCATATAGAGTTTTAATACCGTTTGCGGTAGGGGGTGGTACATAATACTAGTACAGCACACAGAAACATGTCAGTCTCTAGAATTTATATTGCGAACGTTTCGTATTCATCGAGTGAGGAGGATCTCAGGGAGTTCTTGAAAGACTTTAACTTCTCCTCTGTGCTGATTCCCTGTCACACAGTGCGGCGGTTTAGAAGGAACGAGGCCAGGTCGTTTGGTATCGCTTATGTAGACTTCACGTCGAGCGAGGAGGCGGTAAGGGCCGTGGAGGAATTGAACGGTAAGGAGTTCGGCGGACGCGTGTTGAGGGTAAGGACACATAACCCTTACCAACCACCAAAACCGATCAAGGAGAGGTTTGGCACTAAGCTACAACAATTGAAGAAGTTTGCCAAATATGAGGATACAGCGGCATCAGGTGAGAGAGCGCCAACCGACGCGCAGGATCATCCTGACCAACCGCAAGAAGGACATATGAGTCCAGATGTTGTTCTGGTCAATGGAACTACAGATGAGGAACAACAACTTGCCAATGTTATAAACGATCCGGTTACCAACGCGGACGCGCCAGGCACAGAACAGAATATTTCGAAGGAGAAAGCTATCTCAGAGGACACCGTGTATTGTGCATTTTTGCCAAAGGAAACCACAGACAATGACCTGAGAAACTATTTCACTGATTATGGATCCCGAGAGATTTGGATCTTCAGAACCAAAAATGTTAGCAACAGCCGTTTCCGCTTCCGTAACAGGAACCATACAGCGGCTTTGGTTACTTTATCCACAGAATTACCATTGAATAAAGTTATTGAAGAGCTACTGGGGAAGAAACTACTGGGTACCAAAATCTCAATCAAACCAGCTTACATCTACAAGATAAACGAAGTTAAAAAAATTGCAGAACAATCCCATATGCTTGCCACAGAGTATCGCCATCAAAATGGTAACAGTGATGTAGTTATAGGCACACCTAACGAGGCCCTGCTAAATAGTACACAGGTAGCTTCCCAAATCATTGGCTCAAATCCAGAAATTGAAGTTTCTAATCAAAATTCATCATCCATTGCCAATGTCGCAGAAACTAATGGGAATGTTGGGGATACTCCAATTACAAAACTAGACTCCAGAAATAACATAAAAATAGTTAATATAGGTAATCCACAAGATAAGACAAAAAAAAATCAACCAAATGACAACAAGGAATTGAACAAAATAGATTTAGAAACCAAGAATGATTCTTTACATTTGGAGAGTATCTGTGATCCGATAATTTCAATTGACATGAGCGGCATGACTAAACAAAGTGTAGGTTCCAACAAGAAGAAAAACAAAAAGAAAAAATCTGCCAGGGGAAAAGAAGTTAGAAAACTATCTGTTTCAAACACAACTACCCAATAGTAATTAGTTCTACAAATGAAACCAAAATTTCCCTTTTTTTAAATGGCATTGAATCATCAGGAATTTGCGAGATGTCGTCAAACTAGAAAGCGAGAAAAATCACTAAAAATAATATAATCGCGCCAGCTATCAAGTATTAACTTAAAAAAAAAACTTTATTTTCGTATTTGTACCACTATTTAAAACTGCTTTGCCTAATTGTCATTGCCTAATTGTGATTAGCAAATTGGTGAGAGCTAGTATTACACTAGCTCACATTACATCACTAAATACGTTATATAAAACCAACTGATCCCATCGCTCGGATCATTTTCCTTTTTGTTTACATTTCGGATTCATAAGAGATGAGCTAGGCGATCCGCCATATTATAAAATCAATTTAGAACTCAGTATCATTCTGATCAAAGACTAACAAATCTGTACGTTTATTTTAAGCTGCCGTCACGTATCTGTCACTGATTTAGTTATTCCCTAGTGGTAGCAGTTGGTATTCTTCTTCCCACTTTGACTAGAACCTGCAATGAAAGTGGAAGAGCTAATTATCGATGGTTTTAAGTCATACGCCACCAGAACTGTGATATCTGATTGGGATCCACAGTTCAATGCTATTACAGGTCTTAACGGTTCTGGTAAATCAAATATTCTGGATGCAATATGTTTTGTGCTAGGTATATCTTCGATGGCAACTGTTAGAGCATCGAATCTACAGGATCTGATCTACAAGAGGGGCCAAGCCGGTGTAACGAAAGCTAGTGTTACCATAGTGTTTGATAATACGGATAAATCTAATACCCCAATTGGGTTTTCCGAGTACCCTAAAATATCAGTCACGCGTCAAATAGTTCTAGGTGGCACATCGAAATACCTGATCAATGGTCACAGAGCTCCACAGCAATCTGTCCTGCAGCTTTTCCAGTCCGTGCAACTAAATATCAATAACCCAAATTTCTTAATTATGCAAGGTAAAATTACGAAGATATTGAATATGAAGCCCTCAGAAATACTTTCACTGATCGAAGAAGCCGCTGGTACCAAAATGTTCGAGGATAGGAAAGAAAAAGCGGAAAGGACAATGCAAAAAAAAGAAACTAAGCTACAAGAAAACAGGACACTTTTAAAAGAAGAAATCGATCCACAATTGGAAAAACTGCGCAATGAGAAGAGATTATTCCTCGAATTCCAAACTATTCAGGCGGATCTGGAAACAACCGAGAAAGTCGTCATTGCAACAGACTACCAAAAAATGTTGAATTCAAGGGACTCAATTAAAACTGTTCTAGAAACTAGTAATTCCAAGATGGACGAGCTACAAAAGAAAATAGATCTTGTCAATAGGGAGATTTCTAATCTCAACGAAGATTTGCAACAAACCATGAAGCAAAAGAAAAAAGAACTAGAAAATGATACAAATATAAAAGCTATGGAGAGTAAAGAAGATAAACTACTGAGCGAAATTGCTAAATTAAAGGCAAACCTTAAAATCAACGGTGATAATATCTTGGATGGTAAGCAGAAGCAAAAACGTCTCACAGTTAAAATTGAGAAATCCAAGCAACTTCTAGATAGTAAATCACAACTCCTAGAAGACTCAAAATCTAAATCAAGAAACTGTGAAGCCGATCTGACAAGATTAAACTCAATTTTCAAACAGAAGGAGGAGCTATTGTCGGTGCTTTCAACTGGTATTTCTTCCACTGGTGGAACAGAAGGTGGTTATGAAGCACAGATCTCAAGCGTTAATGACAAAATAAACGATAACAGCATTGAAATAGAAAAAAATAAAATGAAAATTGAACTTTTGAAAAAGGAGTTTATGGAGAATGAAGAGAAAATTGGAAAATCTCAATTACAGGTAGAAACTCACATGAAAGAAAGGAAGCAACTAACAGAAATTTGCAAGAAGCTGGAAGAAGACATATTCTCTCATGGATTTAGACCAGAAGCATTCAAGGAACTAAAAAATCGGGAATACGAACTTGATCAAGCCATTTACAAAACAAACAGAGATTGTGAAGGTCTAAGAAGGAGAGTAGCTGGAATTGAGTTTCAATATAGTAAACCATTTGAGAGTTTTGACCCTAATTCCGTCAAAGGTGTTACCGCCGAACTATTTAGTATACCAGAACAAAATATGAAGTACGTTATTGGCCTACAAATTTGTGCTGGTGGCAGACTTTACAATGTTATTGTGGATAATGAGAAAACTGGCTCAGCATTGCTTCAAAAAGGTAGACTACGCAAGAGGGTTACAATTATTCCTTTGGATAAGGTTATTTCCAGACCATTGAATCAAAATAAGCTTAAACTTGCCAAACAATTAGCACCAGGTAAAGTGGAACTTGCTCTAAACCTTATTGGCTATAGTGATGAAGTTGTTAAAGCAATGGAGTTTATATTTGGTAATAGTTTGATATGTGATGATGCAGAAACAGCAAAGAAGATAACATTTAATCCGGGTATAAGGACGAGAAGCATAACCTTGGAAGGTGATATTTACGATCCCGAGGGGACACTCTCAGGTGGTACAAGAAATAATACAAATACACTTCTAGTAGATATACAGCAGTACAATACCTTAAAAAAGGAACTACTAGCAATGAATGAAGAGAAGCAAAATATTCATAAACAATTAAAGATTCTTGAAGCGAAATCAAATGAAACATCAAACTTGCAAAAAGAACTGAGTCTGAAGAAACATCGATTAGATATCTTGGAGCGTACTATGAATTCGGAGCCCTCTTTGATGATGCAAAACAGAAATGGAGAAATAGAAAATGAAGTCAAAACTCTTGAAGACTCAACGAAGCAAAAAATGCTAGAAAACAGCAGCCTCGAAGCCGAAATAGAAAAATTACGGAAAGACATGGTAGACTTTTCCAAAAATAAAGGTGCTAAGTTGAAAGAACTCAAAGCTGAAGTACATGAACTAAATGAGCAAATAAAAGACCTAGAATCAGAATCAGAAAAACTAAATGATACATATGAAAAAATCAAGGTTGAAACTGAGCAGATCGCAAATGAGATTGATACAGATACAAAATCATTGGATTCAACTGTACAAGATATCGAGAAAAAGTTGGAAGAAGAGATTAAAATAAATAAAATGCTGAAGACCAGTGAGGAGGAACTCATGTCGGTTCAGAACGATCTTAATGTTGAAAGAAAAAGGATCTCGAATATAGATGATGAACTTGAAGAGCTTGAGCGAACTATAAAACAAAAGGAGGAAAGTAAAAATACCTATGAACTGGAACTGAAACAGTTACACCATGATCTAAGTAAATATAAAAACAGCACTGATGGTATTGAGAAGGCCTTGAATGATATTCAAGAAGAGCATGAATGGGTCACGGATGAAATGCTTGTAAGAAGTATATGTGAGCAGAATGCTGGCGTTAATGTCAATGAATACCGTCATCGAATGGAACAACTACAAAAAAACTTTGACGAATTGAGAAGAAAAGTCAATCCTAATATTATGAACATGATAGAAAGTGTTGAAAAGAAAGGTGAAGCTCTGAAAACTATGATTCGCACCATTGAAAAGGATAAAAAGAAAATTGAGGACACCATTTCGAAATTAAACGAATACAAAAAGGAAACTCTAGTTAAAACCTGGAAGAAAGTTACTAAAGATTTTGGTAATATTTTTTGTGATTTACTTCCAAATTCATCTGCTAAACTAGTACCTTGCGAAGGAAAAGATATTACAGAAGGTTTGGAGGTCAAAGTCAAATTAGGTAATCTATGGAAGGAAAGCCTGGTCGAACTATCTGGTGGCCAAAGATCGCTAATTGCGCTATCGCTGATCATGGCTCTTCTTCAGTTCAGACCCGCACCTATGTATATTTTGGATGAAGTAGACGCTGCGTTAGATTTAAGTCACACACAAAATATAGGTCATTTGATTAAAACTAGATTCAAGGGGTCACAATTTATTGTAGTTTCATTAAAGGAAGGTATGTTCACAAACGCAAATAGAGTTTTTCGAACCAGGTTCCAGGATGGTACCTCCGTTGTTAGTATAATGTAGAGCATTGTTTAAAAATAGATCAATTAGACTAATTAGCTTCATATTATTCAAAATTCGAAAATTCAAATCTCAAAAAAAACAGAAATGCTATATTTCTCTTAAATGAAACAAGTATATAAATAGTTATATCAAATTTATCAACTAATAGACTTCCAAGATATATCTGGAAGATTCCTTCAGTTCCTCGATGATGTCGCCTAGGTTAACCTTCAAACCCTTCTCACCAGCATCAGCCGCATAAATATCTTGCAAAGCTTGAGTAATATCAGGAACTGGCCAAGTTGGACCACACAAGTAGAACGCACCTTCCTTATCAACCATAGCAGACTTCAACGCAGGTAAACTTTCTCTGATACGATCCTGAATATAAATTTTTTGAGGTTGATCTCTCGAAAAGGCAGCACCAATATGAGTAATGATACCAGCGTCTTTGTAAGCTTCCCATAACTCACCATATAGATATTCTTCTCTTTTATGTCTGGAGCCCAAGAATAGATAAACTTCACCAATTTCCTCACCTTGTTCCTTCTGCCACAATTTCTCCTCAACAATGGCCTTGAATGGTGCCAAACCAGTACCCAAACCACTCATGATAACTGGCTGCTTTGGTGAAGGTGGCAACTTCATGACAGAAGGTTTGACGCTTACGACCAATTCTGAGCCAACAGAAAGTTCAGAGATATACTTAGAAGCTTGACCGAATCTCTTTCTACCCTTGTTGTCAATCCAGTCGACAACAACGATCAGCAAATGAACTTCATTAGGATGAACCTTTTGAGATGAGGCAATAGAGTATTCTCTTCTCTTCAAAGGTGAAATAATGGTAACCAATTCTTCCAATGGTGGCCTAGCAGAAGGATACAATTCAAAGATATCAGCGTAAGTGTAGTATTCAACATCCTGGTACTTCTTAAGCTCAACTGCACCAGCTGGTGTGACCAACTTTTGAAGCTTCTTCTTTTCTTCTTCGTCAGTGGCATATTCAACCAATGCTTCGTAAAATCTCTTTGGTGGCTTACCAAAGATATCTAGCTTATCAATGAAAGCATGTAGAACAGAACTTGCTTCTAATTTACCGTTGTTGTCCTTATTAGGAACGAAGACAATATCGGTTTCATCCAGACCGTAGGATTTCAAGAACTCTCTTACTTGTTCTTCATTATTTCTAGCATGGATACCAAGTGCTTCACCAATATCGTATTTCAAACCAGTACCCGAAATGTCAAACTCGATATGGAAGATGTATCTGTCATAGTCTTCTGGAGTAACACGTCTGTTTTCCTTAACCTTGACAACAAAATTCTTGACTGGCAAGTCCGGTCTCAACTCCTCAGTGGTTTCATAAGCTTCCTTAAAGGCCAAAGCTTTAGCAATACTTGATTTCGAGTTAACTTCTGCTTCTGGGTATAGCTTTTGGGAAGATTGGCTTACATTAAATGAAGTTTCAATTGGGAAGATTGGCAACTCTCTAATTTCATCTTCCTCTTCCTCATCCGTTTCTGCTTTTTCTTCAACTGGCTCTTCGAGCTTGGCAAAGTCAGGATATAAATCAGTAGAAATTACCTTCACACTGGATTCAACGCCCTTTAGGATTTGGTCAGCAAACTCAGGAGCAGTTGTCTTATCCTCAGCACTCGCAGAATTCCAAACATCTTGGATATGCTGTTCTAGTCCACGTTTGGTGGTCAAGTTCCAGACCAGTGCTTGAATGATGTAACCAATGAATCTCTCAGATTCGATTGCAGTCTTATCGACAACGTACAAGTTTATATTTCTTTCAGCGACAGCGTTTAAGAAGTGGACTGGGAACTTTAGGTTTTCAGTGTATGACTCAACCTGAGATAGATCAACATCTTTAGTAGACTTTGAAGTTGCTACAACTAGTACACCCCCTTTCTTGATTGTAGCGATGATGTTGAAGTGGTTCAGCAATGCACTGTCTTCAACAATGGAGACATCAGCTGCATCAATGTTAGATAGAATAGCAGTCTCATGGTCTGAGTTGACCAGTTGGGCCTGGTAAGTGCCAGCATTGTTAATGTTGTCGTACTTTGATCTGAAAGAGATGTGACTACCAGAGGTGAACGAGAAGGATAATGCCAGCTTTGAGGCCAGGTCGATGTTGATCGACTTATCGGAAGCCCAGTAGATGAAAGACTTACTTGTTCCCTTAGAGTCTTCGCCGATGCTGATCGTGTCCACAGGGCTGAAAGTCTCGATGATCTGTTTGATGGCAGCTGGAGACCAAACAAAATCAGGCTTGTACAAGTACTCAGAGACTTGGATATCTCTACGGTTGGAGTAGAACAAAGCAGCCGAGACCCTTGACTTCAGTAGAGAGGACGAGTCACCGGTCAAGGATTGGCCGATGACTACGATTTTCTTAGCGGTCTTTGGAATGACTGCAGTGAACTTCTCGACGTTGAAAGGCAAAGGTACTCTCACTGCGATAACACCCACATTTGATTGGAAGGAGTTCTTAACTGCGTCAATGAACAGTTCAGATTCCAATGAACCGTGAGTAACGTAGATAACCTCCGCAGACTCGACATTTTGGGTCTGGAAATTGTGAATTTTCAACCCAGAGACCTCGTTAAACTTACCGAGCACATCTTCAAATGAGTTTGAGTCGATGGAAGGCAGCAGTTTCTCCAATTTCTTGATGATGTCGGCCTGTTTGTCGAAATCCAAAGCTGGAACCACACCGATGGCTCTAGAGTAGTTGAGACCGTCGAAAAGGTGCACAGCACCGCGAGCCTTAGCAAACTTAGACACAGCCACGGTCAGCAAAGTGGTTGCTGCAACTTCTTTGGTCGAGACTGGCGTCACTACACCATACCCAAGCTTCGCAGCGCTATCGAGAGCAGTGACATAGTCGTTAGTCACGGCACCTGACTCAGAGTCATAGCCCAGAGCACCGACGTTCAACACCACTCTGCTGTCGCCAGCCTGGGCCAGCGCACGGTGGAAGTATGGCAGCGAGTAAGATGGCGCGATTATACCGACTAAGCCGGCTCTGCCAGCTTTACCGCTGGCGTAGCCCAGCGGTGTGGCACCGGCACCGGCACGCACATCCAGTTGGCGTATGTGAGCCTTCTCATCACCTGGGAACAGCAGATCAGACTGCGAGAAAGTCCTGTATCCGAAGACATCCTTGACCTGAGCGGTCAGCACAGCGTTTATCGCGTCCGTAGCTGGTCCATACGGACCTTCAAAGGGGTTTACCACAGACATGTTTGGCTTTTGTTAGTGGGTTACCTCTCATTCATTATGTACTAAAGTTGCACAGTGTTCAAACCATTACAGTGCAACAACAGCTTATTTATATACAACTACTTTGGTGTCTCGAGAATATTTCACAAGAAGCCACAGTAGCACTTTATCCGTTATTGCAGCAGCAAACCTTATCTAGTCCTCTGTGTGTATGTGATGTGATGTGATGTGATGTGATGTGTGTATGTGTGTATTTGTGTGTGTGGAGGAGATGTGGTCATGTGATATTCTTGTCCTCCTTTCTCTCTGTGTATGGACGTGTGAATGTGTGCTAAGTCAGGTGATGTTGTACTCGTATTTATGGATATACCAGGATACGTATTATATATCATATGATATAACGTGTATAGGTATATTATATACGTATAGAAGTACGTGTTCATGTGCATGTGACAAATGTTTGCCAAGTTTCTTTATGTTCTGCGGGAGTTTAGTGGCCCCCCCATTTTCTTGGTGTTTTTGCGCGTACAGTTCTCTGTGGTACCCACACACACAGAGAGAGGGACACTACACTGCTTCTACGGGGGTTTAAGTGGAAAGAATGGATAGAAGATCACTTACTTCCCAGCCCAATTTTGCTACTTTGATCTACACAAATGTGACACATACAGGCAAGTTGTATTATAAATTAAGCTCTGGCATTTTGAAACTTGTTTCAGGACTAGGACTTAGAAGTACAAGTCTGGTATACTGGGACATACTTACAAATAGATCAACAAAATGTTCACTGGTATTGTGGAGCTTATGGGCACTGTGAGGGAGTACAACCCTTACGATGACACTGAGAGTGGCGGACAAGGTGTGTCCATCACCATTGAAAATGCACATGATATCCTTGGCGACTGCCACATCGGCGACTCCATTGCCGTTAATGGTATCTGCCTGACCGTGACGGAGTTCGACTCGGACTCCTTCAAAGTGGGTATCTCCCCGGAGACCATCCGCCGGACCAACGTTGCCTCGTGGACTCCCGGCAGCAAAGTCAACCTGGAGAGGGCTGTGTCGCAGGAAGTGCGGTTCGGTGGGCATTACGTGCAGGGCCACGTAGACACCGTTGCCACTATAATGTCCATTACCAACGAGGGCAACTCTATATTGTTCGGTTTCAAGCTGCGCGACGCCCAGTACAACAAGTATATAGTTGAGAAGGGTTTCATCTGCATCGATGGTACTTCCCTGACAGTCACGGGTATCGACGAGGACGACACTTTCTTTATCAGCATGATCAAGCACACACAGGAGCACGTCGTGATGCCTCTGAAGTCCCTGGGTGACGAGGTCAACATAGAAGTCGACTTGACTGGTAAAGTCATCGAGAAACAAATAGAAGTCACTTTGCAGAGCCAGATCAGGGACGAAAACTCTGCATTGCACGCCGTGATCGAAAAACTTATCGATGAAAAGGTCAAGAAATACCTGAACGCCTAGTTACTTCTCTTATATATGCAGTTTCGACATTTACTGAAGACCATGTACTTTTACAAATACCAATCAGCAATATTATGTGTAGCATTGCATCATTTGCCATAGTGCATGCTGCTTCTCTCTTTCTACGCATTTATACTCAGGGCATCGAAAAACCCGACAAAATTCTTGACACCTTCTTATATAAGGGATCATAAGAACCAATAAACATAGTCATAGTTGCCATCCTCCTACTGATTGGCGTGTAAGCTATCCCCATATCATTATAATCGCAATGGCCGGCAAAGTACAACCTATTCACCATGACACCCAGACGGTGCAACAACTAACTAAAGAGGTAAGTTAAAATGATTCATCCTATTGGTAATCCTCGAGCAAATAATTTTACTAACAAAGAGTCATTATATTTGAATCCTCAGATATACTCGCAAAACTGAGAAATTAGCGAGTGATGAATGCTTGTGGTTTACAATATTACGACTAATATTAACAGATCGCCATTGCTGCAGGTATCGGTGCAGTTCAAGGTGCTCTAATAAGTATCACTACTGCACTTTTACTGAGAAGATATTCAACAATTTACAGAAATGTTAGAACACAGGTAAGAGTGTTCTATCATATATCCTGGATTTCGATGGGTGCTGTCTTTAGAGCGGATAAGCAACTAATCAAGTTCCAATCGAAATACTATGAGAACGAAGTGAAGAGAAGAGAGAGGATACTTGATGAAGCAGCAGAAAGGGGCATATTCTTGGAGGAAGAGAGTGTTGCTCAAAGTACTGTCACCAAGTAAAGGACTTTATAAAATGCATTCAACATAAGGCAATTCAAAGTATACTAATATCATTCTTGAAATTATGCAATAATATATTTAACAAATAAAATCCATACAGATGTAATGTATTTAATGTACCTGACATTCCTAATATATATATATAAATATGCGAACCCTCTTGCAAAGAAACTTTAATGAAAGAAAGAAAATGTTCTGAAATTAATATCATAATCGTAACAATTACTACCATAAAACGTTCTTGGCAATCTTCAACACGACTATCACTGCCAATTTGATGTTTTTTACAATGAATACAACAAGCCATACACTCCACAGAAAACCAACAATTGTGTATTCAAGTAACCGGTAGACCAATTTAGTCATCTTAGGTGCATGGACAACTTTAGAATTACCATAACGCTCTGAGTTCTCCTGGAATAATTTCAGTTTTAAAGTAAGTGTTGTATTGATATCACTTAAAATTCTATCACTAGACGAGATTAAAGAATCGACACGGATGGAGTAATCATTTAATAGTTTCGATGTCCAGTCATTACCGATCTTCAGTACTTTAACCAGTTCGTTTTGATAGTTGTTCAAAACCTCCGTTGTGCTGGCTATCGTGGCATCTGCATCATGATCAACTTTTACCATGTTCCTTCTATGAATCTCCTTCTTCTTAACTAAGTCATGTGTCATCCTTCTGTGTTTCATTAATGTCATAGTGCTTGAAATATACTTCATATCCTGCCAGTATCTTTGCAATTGCCAGTCTACGTTAGTGTTTTTTATGTTGGCACGTATAGATAATTCATTAGATGATTCATCATCACCGCCATCTTTACTATTTTCAGCAATAGTGTCAAATTGGTTATCGGTTTTTAAGTGCTCAACTGGGATGTCACTTAGTAGAATACTCTTCTTCTGGTTTGTTAAAGCCTCCGCTGGAGACATATACTGGACATTTCCCATTATAATACCACTGCTACTATTGCTGCTGGATTCACTGTTTATTACTGACTTTGTGGTTTCAGTTCCATGAGAGCCTGACTTCCCTTCCTTACTATTCTTTCCTTCTTTTAAAGCCTCCTTTAAGTCTTTTGCATGGGAAATATTACTTAGACTATTTTGACCCGTCAATGTTCCATTAATATTCGTACCACTATTGACTGTTATTGCTTTGTTGACTGCATCGGTTAAACCATTAGTTACTATGTTTATTGGAGCTCCAATTTCCTCTGGGATGTTGGCAATATTCATTGTTGTTCCAGTTACATCATTAACCTTTTTGGACAGTTTGTTAGCTGATTTTGACCACTTTTTAGGTTTTTTACCTATAACTTTCTCCAATCTATGTAGATGGTTTTTATCTCCATATTTACTGGAATTTACCGACTGGTTTGAATATTGGTCGGAAATTGAATTTATTGATGTTCTCCTTGTGTTAGGAGTAGCATTTATTTCCAGATGCGAGTGTAAATTATCGTCAGACTTCCCTGAATTGGAATTGTTCTTCGTACTATCAGGAGAAGATTTTCTTTTATCTGACAACAGACTTTCATTTGGAGAGTTACTGCTGTTGATTTTGGTTGGAGGAGCAAGACCTTCTGACTCGACCGTGCTTATATCAGCTGTCCCTTCATTCGTGCCACTATGAGCCTGAAATTTAGATGTGCTGCTTCCTAAATCGGTTGTACTACTGTTATATGACGCAATATCATTTGAGCCTTTGGATGTTGAGTCACCAACAATATTAATCTGTGGTGGTCCATTTTGCTGTGATTGTTTTTGATTCTCCGTTTCCTCATGCTCCTCTTTTTCAGATTGCTTCTTGTGATGGTGAATATGTGGTCTGTGGCGAATTTTTTCCGAGTAATGATGCTTAGTTTTACCAGACCAAGGCTTACCATCTGGTCCAATTAATTCATCCCAGTGTGAGGTTCTCCAAGTCATATCAGTATGCTTCTCTGTTATATCTACAAACCATGGCATCTTTTTGTTAGGTTTTGATGAAAACTGCTTTATTGCAATAAATGGTGTCTTTGATATTCCCAGCTCTCTGACGGGCATGTCATTATTCTTCTTCTTTAACTTTCTATTTCTAATTATTTGAAGCGGGTTATAAACACCCTCTACACCTTCATGTTTATGATCTTTCCTATCAACTTGTATGCTTCTTTCCAAGATACCGTAATAGTAATCTAGATAGATCCGGACTCTATCTGCTTTTAGTTTTGTAGTACGAGAAATAGCTTTCGTGGTTCCAGTTATGGGCAATTGCTTCTGTTGATTGATCAAATGCTGTATATTTACCCCACTACTATCTGCTACATCCTGTTCTGTTATTTGTTGCGCCATGGGGTTCATAGCATTTTCATACCCAGGCACATCTCTACCACTCCCAACGGCCTGTATACCATCTGCACTAGATATTAGCGGCCTGCTGTAGTTCAAATCGTCTAGTAAACCATATTTGTTGTCCATTAAAATCTTAGTCAATAGCTTCACCCTTTTAGGATTCACATTGCCAAACTCCAGGTTCGATTCAGTGTTGAGATTAGCTAAGTTTTGTAACTTTGAGCTTTCATCTTCTCTTACTGAGTTCATTTGTGAGTTTTTTTCTTTATGTATAACTGTAGAAACTCCGTCACTAATTTTGCATCTGGATCACTATAAACTCCTGGCAAATTTAATAGTAGCTTTCTGAAAACCGACGCAAATGAAACCTAAAAAAAAAAATAGGCGGCAAATATCTGGGATTACTTCCTGTCTAAATACCGTACTGTTAAAATTATCGTTGGGGTAGTTCAGTATTCTGTAAATCTTGAACCGCAGAGACCTCCAAAAATCAGAATCTGACCCACTGTTTTCCTCTTCTTTCAAAATTCACTTGTCTTCAATATCTTTTAAGTAACAGTTATGACTGGAGTGGTGGCAACGAGTAGTATCGCCAGGTCAAGAGACTACTCCTCCGAATTATGACCGTTAATAAGCCTTGCCTGCATGCCCAAAGGCCGAGATAAGTTACAGTGGCTTTTTTCCATGCACGTGTACCAAGCGTACTATATGATTTCAATTTGGCGAGTGAATAAAGTCAAGAAAAGGCATTTCAACAACAGTATATCTAATAGCGAAGTTGCTTCACCTATTCGCTATGGCCCAAAGCAGTAGAGTATTTGACAATTATCATGCCTCAGTACTTTGCTATTATCGGGGATCATGACAGGCCGCTTTATGAGGCAGAGTTCACACAAGGTCCGCAAGGGTTTGTACAGGAGATCAAAGAGCTGAATCCGTTTATACTGCATGCTTCGCTGGATATTGTTGAGGATTTGCAATGGCAACAGAATGCTGGAACTGGGGTAGCTGGTGGCGCTGGGAACTCTTTCCTGCGATCCCGTAACAATGCCAACACAGACAATTGCTATCTAGGTAAGGTGGATCATTTCTATGGGCTCGTAGTGACGGCGTATCTGACATATGGGGGTAAAAAGTTTGTGATGCTGCATGGCAGTAGTGTACCTGGTGGCAACAAGACCACTACTACTACGATTGACGATTCTATGGTACGATCATTCTATCAGGAAGTGCACGAGCTGTATATAAAGACTATAATGAACCCATTTTACCAAGAAGGTGATGAGCTGAGGAGTCCACTATTCGACACGCGGGTGAAAGCGTTGGCTAAGAAGTATTTAGGTAAGTAGATGAAAAAATTACTAAAAAGAAGAGATATTATGTAATTCCGGATAGAATATTGGTTTATGTATTAAAAAATAGTGTTATAAGGTTTTGTATCATAAGGTAAGCATTATTTTAGCATTATTTATTTCTTCAATTTATGGTCAGGTTTTATAATATATTCAATATTGTTTTAAATTACAATTGGATTCAAGCTTTCTGTTCGAGAACTTTGATTATTAATTAGTTGGACTTGTTGTACTCTCTTTCTCTGTGTATAACGTATCATAACGGAAATTATCGCAAGAAATGGAAAATAACCCGTCGAAGACAGTCTGGAAAGTGGTCAAAGCCGGCTATCATACATCTGATATTATTTCACTCACGCATGATTCCAGAAGTTCCGTGAGTTCCTCATGGTTTATAGAGTCCTGTTCCTTTGGAGTAAGCTGCTCGGGTATCTGTGTCAGCAGCCACTTCTCACGTATATTCCTCGTTAGCAATATGAGGTCCTGTACACCTCTCACCAGTTGTAGTGTTTGATTGTTCACCATCATTAGGCCATTAGTTACCACTGACAACTGGCAGTCTTCCGTATCCTCATTCGTCTCCATCGACGCCAGCTTTGCCAGCTCTGCGAGCTTCACAGACAGCAGCTCGGTGGTCTGATTTAAAGTCTCCAACAATGCTTGATTGCTCATATTATTGTATATGTAGTAGTGTTAGTTTTTGGTGTGTTTGTGTTTCTGTGTGTATTTGTTTTCTTAATCCTTGACTCAGATGATCTGAATTAATCTTGAAGTATTGATTCGCAAAAACCTTTTCAGCAAACAAATATTTTTGCAAGCAGGAAAGCGATGGGCTTTGAAAGTTGTGATTATATAGCGAAGACAAGAACTTTCAACAAGGAATTATAACACTGGTCCGGGTACAAGACTCGATTTTCTTGGCAGTATTTAAGGCATTATGGGCCATTCTCAAAAGAAGAGACTCCGAAGGGCAAAATCTACACTAATATATACAATTTTATATGTCAATCAACATTGCCTTGCCCTGAGAAAATCAGGAATTCTAAGAGAGAACTAGGAGAATATAGAGAGAGGCATTGTTCAACAATGCTCATCGAATACATCGCTATAATGGTAGAGAGCATTCAAGTTCTGAGTAGCCAGCACATCCACTTGTTTGGACAAGAGCAGTGCAGGATGAAACTGGCACATTTCCCTACAGACTTAAACTACATATATCATACCCTTTATGTTTTAAAGTCGTATTTAACGTCAACGTGACCGCGTGACATAGAGTTCCCGGTTCCTTCCACATCCAGCACCTTGGAAGCAGTTCCGTGAATTACCGTGAATTACCGGTTGTAGGTGTTTTGCCTCGGCAGGTCACCCTATGTATATGACAGTGGAACTGTTCCGCGCGTGGCTGTCTGTGTCGGTGTCTTGTGCCAACGCTACCGGGCTGAAATCACAGAACAAAGCGACTTGATTTCACCACACACTCGGCTGCGCACCACACAATCGCACCGCTAGGGATGCCCGCGTGGCAGCTGCTATAGCCCAACTCTCTCAGTATGACCGGATCGGATCGGAGGTAGTGGTGAGAATACACATCTATATGTAATCTATAGCCCTAATGGTACTTAGCCCTAATGGTGTTTTAACCCTAATTGTATTTAACCCTATTAGCTCTCAGAAACCCAAGATTGGGTTACACTCTCTACCCACCTGTTACAATGGAGTAGTCAACGATGATGAGGTGAATATTATCAATAGCAACCCCCAGCGAAGAGGGAGGGGGGACATCCTTGAGGTTGTTGGTCTGTTTCTTGCTAGGCTTAAGAAGAAAGCATAACATACTTTCGATGACGAATTATTATAGTTTGTCATATATCCTTATTTTTTTCTTTTTCTTTGATGTAGCTATGATGTCATAAATGTCTTATTGGGCTTATATCAACCATTGTCTTATATTAAGCATATACTGGCCTGTTGCGCAAGTTATTTGTGATAAATATCAAGGTTGAAAGACCAAAAATAGAAATTATGCTATCGAGCAAGTTCAGCTCTTTAGAAACCTGACAAATATGAACTCGATCATCACGTGTATATTTATAACCATCCCGGAATTCTTTAAAAGACAATAAGTGTTTCTGTGCTAAATAGACATGTTATCTACTAATTGCACATGTTTATTTTTTTTCTTGCTAATATGAACTATCAAAATTCCACTATCTCTTGTCCTCCGTTAGCACAGCTATATCTTAATTAAGACAATTTGCTCAAGGCCCTATTCCAAAAAAATAAAAAAAAGAATGTGCTAACCTCCACAAAGACTGTGGTTTTATTAATTGGTCTTTGTTGTCTGAGATATTAACATTATTTCTTATCGATATAGTTACGAATTCCGGGTTTTGTAGCGATATGCTGACAATTTATCCGATTTTCTAAACACTAGTAAGTCATGAGCACAGTTCACAAAACGACTTCCAACAAATAACTAGGCGCAAGTGGTTTAGTGGTAAAATCCAACGTTGCCATCGTTGGGCCCCCGGTTCGATTCCGGGCTTGCGCAATTTCTTTTTTTTTAAAGATAATTTTGCAGTGGTCACATGATTTTTTTTAATAGGATTAAGGCTTTCCCTTTGAAGCGAATATAGCACAATTAATGGATTTTGATGCTCTATGTTGTTAGGTTTTATTATTTACATAACATATATATATACAAGAAGAGCTGCAGAAGAATAAGTTCATAATGGTCACAAGGAATACTAACTGGAGTAATAGACCTTTCTAACATCCACCAGTTTCTTACCTCTGGCCATGGCAATGTCATCTAATGTCTTTTGTGCACCGATCAAGGCTTCAATTGTACCCTTCGCTATGTTCATATCGTTTCTCGATTTGTAAACTTTTCCACTTAGATCTTTAATACCAGCACATTCACAGATTTCAAATATAACATGGTTAACTCTTAGACCGAAGCCCGGTTTGGCACTTCTCAGATGTAGCTTGACACCATGGTATCTGTAGTCGATGTCACCGTAGATTGTTCTGTTCTCATATCTTGGAATTTCTTTCAGGTTTCTGATAGCATCCCAATGTGCCTTGAAAATGGCTTTTGGCATTTCATCTCTAGATTTACCTTCACCGAGACCGATCATACCATTACGGTCACCCACAATAACCAGAGCATAGAAGGAACCAATCTTACCTTTACCCGTTTGGTTTGAGACTCTCTTCAGCACCAACGGTTTCATCACCAGTTTCTTCGTTATGTAGTCGATATCTATCCCCGTCTGTCTGTTCAACCCTCTGGCTAGCTCAGCGGTCTTGCTGCCGCTGTTTTTACCAACATGGGCTTCCACAATCTCTTTCTCGAAAGTACCAGGTGGTAGCTTGCTGTTCTGCTGGAAGTTTATATCGTCCCATTGGTACTTCCTCACTTCCTCGTTCAGGGAGTCCATGTGAATGTGTGGTTCGTTCTTCGCGTAGTCCCAGAAGGGATGCAGCTTGGAGTAATCCTCTAAATAAGGTGGCGCAAAGTTCACACCAGATGGTACTTTAAACTCAGGTTTGCTATTTCCCTTGTAAATAACATCCTCAGCCATCTCTATGGACTTGATCAGGTTCGGAGGGTAGTACTTCAGCAGGTGGTCCCGTGATGTGGAGCTCAGACGCACTTGTCTTGTGATCCTCGAGGCCATCGGTGCCTCTCGAAACATCCTCTGGAACATCATCTTTTAGCGGTTGTTTGTATTGCTGTGGGGGTTTGCTTCTAGTAACTTCACTACTAATGTGTGAAGTACTCTTTTTTTCATTGCTTATCCTTTCCAGTTTTCGAGAGGACGACTTCAACGCAAACGTTCAGCACGATGTCAAGTTGGGCATTAGTAGAGCGAATTAGGCGAGGACTAGTTAGAGTTAGAGTGATCGTTGGAATATTAATTCAAGTACTTATAAAATAAAAGTTAAATAACTAACTATATGAGTTAGATCGTGGATGTAAATATATATGAAAATTTGCAATGCAACATTGCATGAAAAAAAAATAGAATTGAAAAGCAATGAAATAAAAATTACAAGTGCGAACGAAGTTATGCTAATGCAACACGCAACTCATCACAGTTATAACAGAATTGAATTGAAAGCTTTGGGAGGGGGAAATAAATGTTACCCTTGAGAGGAAATATCCCTTTCATTCTTATTTGGCAGGATTGTTTGAGAAAGGGATATCTCCAAAGTAAAAATAATGGCGGATGAGTCCCATTGAAGGTGCTCATCATTATTATAATATTAAGTTATGCTCTGAAATCGAAATGGCATAAAAAAACAACAGGAAAATACAGAATATGGTCATAAAAAAGAATTCACAAAAATAAAGAGTGTTGCATCAAGTCACTGAGCGTCTTGATGAGTCCAACAGCATACCGTTCAATAAGAATATTATGATTGTTGTGCATGTTCGGTGGGAACGATGCTATGAGATGAAATGACTAATAAAAAACAAATCTATAACACTAGTGGTGAAGAGTTTGCGTTCTTCTTTGTTGGTGTGTATTTGTAGTTTGGGTATTTCATTCTGTGCCATTCTTTTTCTTTTCTAGCGAGCTCATTCCAGTACTTCTTCTCCTCTGGGTCTAGGTTTCTCCATTTCTGGCCGATCTCTCTAGAGCACTCAGAGTTAGTTTTGAAAGAGCTGGAGTTGTCGCTGGACTTCTGTTTGTCCTTTGTTAGCTTTGGGAACAGTTTCCTGTGCATGTGCTGTCTGAACAGGATGAAAGCGTTCCTTGGTCTAGGGATGTGTCTTGGGGAAGCGGCTTTGGTGACAGCAGAGGACATGGAGGAGACGTTGCTCTTCTCTCTGTTCATCTCTAGCCCTCTTAGCGCGATATTCTGCGCGGTCAGAGGAGTGGTTCTCAAGTCCTCAGAGAAGCTCATCTTCTTGTGCACCGCGTTGCTGTTCAGCATGGCGCTGGTAGTGGTGTATGCTCTGTTCTCAAAGAAAGACTTTGCCGTGCACACGCTGCTCAGAGAAGACAAGGACGCGGTGGAGAGCGAGGAGTTGTTACTGGCCACAGAGCTTGGCGAGGAAGGGGCCTCGACCTGTGGCTGTGGGGTCCCACAAGAGGTAGCCGTGAGACTTATCGATGCGCCTGGCACAAGCTTTGACTCCAGACCCGAAGGCAGAGTAGCCAACAGCTGGCTGATAGGTGGAAGAGTAACGTTAGATTGCATGTGTAAGGAGTTGGAGGTATTGTATGTAATGTGTTTGGGGGGGGTTGTCGGGACTGCCAGGGCTAAGTTTCAATTGTGTTACAAATGTTGTTCTTAAATACTTTTTTTTTTTTTGGGCTTCTCTTGCGTCTAGAAATTTTTACTAATTATTTAATCTCTTTCAGTTGGGAAAAAGAAAAGTCCCTATTGTTATGACATTTGTCTAATTGCTTTCCTTGAATCACAAGTTGGTTGTCAATTGTCAAAAGCTTGTCAAATAATCGAATCAATTTCAAAGTTGTTTGAAAAAAAAAAGAGCGCAAGCTTATCGTGTCTTGAACATCCAAAGCCAATTTCCATGTTTTCGGTGTGGGAAATAGCGGCTTTTAAGAATCCTGTGTGGATCTGTGCTAGGCGTACAGAGAGGGCAGGATATCGGTCCTTGTTACTGCTAAATGTGCACCTTCTGTGGAAATATAACGGTTGATGGTGTTAAGAGACGTTGGGGGGGTGTCTGGTAGCAAGAGGACTACGTGGTAGACAAAGGAGCATGGATTATTGGTTGTGTGTTTTGTTGTAGGGGGGTTGCACTGAGTTGTGGATGAATGGGGGGGAGATGGATATGGAAAGGAGAAGGGAGTTAGTTGTCTGAGCTTGTCTGAGCTTGTCTGAGTTCGTCTGAGTTCGTCTAAGCTGTGATGCTTGCGAGTCTCGAGATTTTCTTGCGATGCGATCTACGTGCGTGTTCTCTGTGTTGCGTTTGAGCGGGAGTAAAAGGCGGTGCGGCTCTTTCTTCTGAGTTTGTAATTTGCTTTGTATTGATAGTTGACGTCAGATTGTCCAATGTCTCTTGCCTTTCGCTGGACACAGACAGGGTAGTGGGGAGGGAACGCATGATGGAAAGTGATGGCTCTCAGACACATGTGGAGAGAGAGAGAGGAAATTAGGATCTCTGCGTTGGTGTTCGAGAAAAATGGAATTTTTTTTTTTTAAATTTTTTTTTTAGGAATCTCTGTTCGGGCCAGATGCATGAACAAAGGAAGCCTTTGTCTTATGTAAGAGAAGGTCTCGCCCTAAGGTGTTAGCTGTCTCACGCATTACTTTGCATACGATTGTTTCTAAGAATGGTGGGGGGGAGGGGGGGGAGAGAGAAGGGCTATTGGAGATGTAATCGAAATGTCAAAAAAGTGATAGCTTTAGAGAAAGAGACATCGCTGCGGTAATGAGGTTTTGGATATCAAGTGTAGAGTGGGACGGATTGTTGCATGCTTATTTGACATCATCCTTATGTTGCGTTTTCTTTGATGAGGGTTGAAGAGGGTTGAGGTGTCCAATGATTTACGTCCAGTGGACATACATTTCCCATGCCTGGAAACTGTCCTGGGAATCCTGGGCGGGATCCGCTATGTGGGTGTTATTCTGTCTGGCCCTCTGGGAAAACAATGGAGCGAACTAGCTCGATAGCAGATAAATACGTATTGTTCCATTTCCCAATTAGGATAATCGAAGGTTTTGGCTGTTAGCAAACAAAAGACAAAATGTCTGTGAATGTGACGTGGGAGAATTTCTGTCTTTCTCTTTCTTCCTTTTTTCTCACACACACACACAAATTACACAGTTGCAGCAAGAAAATTGTGAATCATCGCTCTCTTAATTGACTTCTGGGGGTAGGGAAGCAAATGAAATCAATTTTCCTTCACGTCAAATGCAAGAAGGAAGCCACTACTGGTTCCCACTACTGTATCTTCTACAGAGATTTGGTTCCCTGCACAATCAATCAACATGCATCTCTGCGCAACTGTTTGTGTGGTCCTCTCCACCCCGTAGCCACACTCTTACATTCCCGCAGCTACTCAATCTATCTGCCATTACTAAAACAGGTTTTTTTATTTTTTGTTACGTTCATTCAAGATTCTTTTGCTACAGACAAGCAAGCAGAAAACGTATATCTGAAACAACCTACTAATATTAGCATTACGAGGGTTCTCACTCCCACTCATTCTAGAACTACCAAGTCTCCGGGGGGGGGGGCATGAGTTATATGAGAGCGGTGTTAAAATGGAATTTATAACGCCGATATCTGGGTTTTGTTTACTTTTAAGCGCAGAGTAATGTTCACCCTCTTCAAACCATACCTTACGGTACACAACCATGGCAATTATGGCAATAAATTATGGCAATGACTTATGGCTATGACTTATGGCTATGACTTATGGTAAATTAACCATGACAAGACAATTGGTTTATCTAGCAATTGGGAAATAGGAGAAGCGGCACAATGGCTTATCATATTTTATTTCCATTGATTTGAATCAAAAGAAAAAAGTGACTGGAGAAGGATAAGTTTAACTGTATTTACAGAGCTTTTATTGTATTGGATTATCAATTTCTTACTTATCTCACAAAAGTCGCCTCCAAATTCGCTAATCCCGTCTCTGTCCGCTTCCATATAACCTACACACATTCCCCTGATTTGCTTTATACTTTTTTTGCTCTCAGGGCCAGCAGTCCCTCTTGCACTACTTCTGTGTGAGCAAAATTTGGTTTCGCAGAAGCCTGTATCCGTCCCATTGAAGGCAGTTACTTTGCAGTGCGGGGGGCCTAGGGTACAATCACACAGCTCTGTTTTTTTTCAGCTACCATTGTCATTTCCTTTAGAAGATCCTACCAAACTTACAATCCCTCTTTCACTATTCACATGGAGAAAGAGCTCAAAAACGGCACTTTCGAACCTTCTCTTAAACACAGTTGCGCGAAGAAAAGGGCATCTCGAATTTTCTTTTCAGTGAGGGAAAACGTGTTCGCTGCTCAGTATAGAGAGAAGCTTGAGATAACTGATTTCACTTTCCAAGCTGAAACTGGTAGCCAGGATCTCTGTTTTGAAAAGCCTAAAAAATGTCCTGGTGATGTCACCACTGCGTCACATCGACGTCACAGTGACGTATACCGTCATAGTGACATCACAGTTACATCACCAGGACATTTTCGACATGACCCTGTCTCTAACAAACCCGTACGAGCCCCAATATTCCCTCCCTATCAGCTACCCGGAAGAAAGGCAGAAAGAGCAGACGGACATTTTGTTTTTTTTAGCTTCTTAGACCCTAGATGGATTCGCAACTCGGGACACTATTCCCGAACTTTCTTTCCTAATGTCCTTTTTGTATATTTCTATTTTCCGCACGATTACGCTTTTGAACCTCACACAATGGATGGAGTAATCCTTCCCCCCCCCCTTCCCAGAAGAATGAGGGAGAAAGAGAGACGGGAGACACTGCAAACAATTACCGAACAAATTCCCAGCATCTATCAAATATTTTTTTAGGCTTTTCGAGCATCTTTTTCCCTTCCCATTGTGCGTTGCTCCCCCCCCCCCCCCCCTCCCCCGAAACTTCGGTTTTTCCATCACAAAACACAGAACAAGAAACGTGATACGATAAATACGAATATACGAATATACGAATATACGAAAATGTGAGATCGACGAACCATAGCATATGCAACGGTGAAACGTGTCAGATGGTTTAACGTGTTGTATGATTAGTTGTCTTACTGTACGTGTATCACATGTTATCGTTTACTGGTTTGTACACTCACATGCTTCTTTTGAAGCCATTTCCCGTGTTTAGTGCTTAGTTGAGGGCCCCTTCTCCCCCGAAGCCCTGGATTTTTTCCAAATTGCATTTCTAAAGCACAGTACAGTGTAGAGTGCAATGTATAAGGTCTTGCGAGCACTTTGGTTTTCTTGCTATATATCTTCTAACCGCTAACTAGCTGAACGTCTTTCCTTATTCGCTATACTAAGGACGACAATGAGCTCGGGACGTGGGATTAGGACCGCCGGTGGGAGATCCGGTGACGGGCCCAGCGATGCATCGCCATTCATCAAGCCGGACAGGATGCGCAGGAACTTCCTGAGGAACAGGCGGAACAAGAACATCATGGTGAAGAAGAACGACCCTGAGGACATAGAGTCCCGCGAGAAGATGATGCTGATGGGCGGTGTCGAGGGTGTCAAGCAGGAGGAAGTCAAGCCAGACCTGAGTGCGCTGAAGGACAAGGATAACGAGGTGTACAATGAGTTCCCCTTGCGAGCAGTGAGCAGAGAAGCTCTGGAAAACATGAGGACGCACTTGCTAAAGTTCCAGAGCAAGAAGAGGATCCAGCCAACGGAAAACTTCCATTTGCCTGTCAGATTGCACAGAAAGGATACCAGAAACTTGCAATTCCAACTGACAAGAGCAGAAATCGTGCAGAGACAGAAAGAAATCGCAGAGTACAAGAAGAACCAAGACGGTTCCAATGCTCAAAACATGACAAAGCCAAAGACAACCCCGGCTGCTTTGACTGATCACCCTACAGCATCCAATGCACCAGCAGCACCTTTGGTAAACTCCTCGGCCACCATGCCCACAGGTGCTACTCCAACAGGCCAAGTCGTTGCTAGCGCTACGCCAACGCCTCAGGTGAGTCTCGATGAGAAACCCATGGGTGGCCCAGTTAATGCAGTCTCTGCTAGTGCAACACCGGGCCCTGCCACAACGAATGGTGCTACACCAGCAAACGGCACAACAGATCCAGCACAGCCAACTGTACCAGGTGCTACTATACTGGAGGATGCAGGTCCAGCTGAGGACCCCACTAAAGTCGGTCTGGTTAAGTACGACGGTAAAGAAATGGATAGCGCAGACCTTGCCGAGGAGCCTACAGTAGATCCAATGGCTGATGTGGCCCCTGATGGAGGTGGTAGAGCGAAGAGAGGTGGTCTGAGAAGGAAAACACGTCAATTGAAGGTACTAGATGAAAATGCTAAGAAACTGAGATTCGAGGAATTTTACCCTTGGGTCATGGAAGATTTCGATGGTTACAACACATGGGTAGGTTCTTATGAGGCTGGTAATTCTGACTCTTATGTTCTATTGAGTGTTGAAGATGATGGTAGTTTCACTATGATTCCTGCTGATAAAGTGTACAAGTTTACCGCAAGAAATAAGTATGCCACATTGACAATCGATGAAGCAGAAAAGAGAATGGATAAAAAGAGTGGTGAAGTCCCAAGATGGTTGATGAAACATTTGGATAATATAGGTACGACAACAACAAGATATGATAGAACTAGAAGAAAACTGAAAGCAGTTGCCGATCAGAGAACTGCGGACGATGAATATAATCATAGTGATAACTCAGAAAATGAACTTGATTATGATGAAGAATTTGCGGATGATGAAGAAGCACCAATAATTGACGGTAATGAACAAGAGAATAAAGAATCTGAGCAAAGAATAAAGAAAGAAATGCTACAGGCAAATGCAATGGGTTTGCGTGATGACGAACAAGTATCAGAAGCAGAAGATACTGAACTCTTTGGTGAGAAGAAGATTGATGAAGAAGGTGAACGTATTAAAAAAGCATTACAAAAAACCGAATTGGCTGCTTTGTATTCTTCAGATGAAGATGAAATAAATCCTTATCTATCCGAATCTGATCTGGAGAAAGAGGACGAGGCAGAAAAGGAAGAATCAGAAGATTCTCAGTCGAAGAAGGGCTCTCCAAAGAAACAAGAGGGGAAATCTAGACAAGGCACCCCATCCGCACACACCGTAAGGGAGCAAAATATCAGAGTTAAGAGTATAAAGGACTGTGTAATAGTGCTTAAGGGTAAGCCATCATTGCTAACTAGCTTTCCTGCTGGGGCATGGAATCCTAATGCTGTATCTTTGAAGCGTACAGCTGATGAAGTCTCCATTAAAAAAGAACCAGGTTCCGAATCGCCTAATAAAAAAATCAAGGTTGAAAATGGTGAAATTCCTTTGATTACTGAACAAGATATAATAAATGCTATGAGTGGTGGAAAGGTTAATGTCAAAGAGTTCGGTAAAAAGATAAGAAAAATGTTTCCCGGTCCAGAAAACAAGAAACTTATGTTCGTTCTTGTTAAGAAACTATGCCGGAAAGTGGATGACGAACATATGGAACTAAAAGCATGAAAAATTTAAATAGTTATTTATAAAGACATATAAATAAAGTTTTCTCATAAGCAATTTATATGGGATATTTTTATTCTGTTAGGGTGGTATGGAAACGGTATGCATAAAGAAACCAAAAACTTGCTAGGGCCTAGTGGAGATGCTTATTTATTGTACATTTAAGTGTTATTATATTATATATTATGCTTGCTGTTCGTAATTAATAATGGCAGTTAATCATGCTACTTCCATCAATGCATCTTCATCATCTTCATCTTCATCATCACCGTCTTCCACACTCTTGGCAGGCATTTCTTCCACAGGTGCATTAGGGTCACCTCTCATTAGCATATTTACAATTCTGTAACACAGTTCCCCAATATCTTCATCTTCCACATTTTTATGCAATTCTCTGATCAAAGGATATACGGATTTACTTCTCATGAACTCTCTGGCTGCCTTAGTGGTACACAATAACAGAATACTTTCTAAGTGTGTGCAAACAATGGATGGGACAGGATCTCTTGTTTTGTCTTCCGGAAGCAGCTGTAATTCATCCGGCAAATTAAACATATCCTCTTCATCAATTTCTGAGTCCTTAGCACTAGCAATTGGTAGTAATATATATGGCAACAAATTGATTTCTTCATCTGTAAGTATTCTTTCATGAGTCTCTGAATCAAAGAGAGAATTCTTGATTGTCGAAGCAACACCTTCACGTCTGGTCTTTGAGTCATATTTCTCAGTAAAAACAAGTAGTTTAGAGATTGGAACCACACCATCATATTCTTGGGTTTCGATAAAGTATGTTCTACCGATTTTAAATCTTGAAACATCGGCAAAGAAATAAGACAGATAGTCATAATTGGCAAATTTGTTAAGTTCCCTATCATAGCCTTTGACAAAACAGTCCATCAAACAGTCAATAACTCTTTTGCTCTTAAACACATCCTTGTCAAGTGGTGGTAAATCTTTGTCATTGTCTTCTCTTACAATTTCAAATACATATGTGATAGAATCCTCCTTTGACAGATTACTCAACAAAATACACATAATATCGGAACTTGTATTTCCTAAATCACAGATCTTCCATGTCAAGTATTCTAGAAACTCCTTATCGTCTGCCAACTTCTTTCTCATAACCGCGTCATCACATAAGTTGGCCAAAACAGTAGCGGATTGTTGCACTAGTGTTCTGGATTTCTCCTTCATCAAAACTTTCAAGTCATCCAAAGCTCTATAATTATCATATTTGAATATAGAAGCACTAGGACCAGTACTGAAACCAACCAAGTTATCGAGTGCAATCTGTCTCACAGCAGGTTGAGGTGAATGCAAAAATGAAACTAATTCTTCTAATTGAGTAGGCATCTATGATTTGAATGATGTATGTCAACCTCTTAAGGACGGTTTACTGACTCTGTATGATACTGCAAAGAGATCCGCACTTGTACATTCATGACTATCGGATAAATACTAAAATTGAATGTTCCGCCACTATAAGATGCATTGACGATGAGAGTGAGCTCATCGCTAAATTTTTCAAATTTTTGTTTTTTATGCTCATGTGATTTTAGCGTTATTAATGATCTTCATTTCTCACTCATCAATGTCCAGTTCATTGTGCAATGGGAACAGTAGTAGCCACAAGATATTACTAGCTCGAGCAATCATTAATCAGGTATGAGCAACAACTAGCAGATTTAACTCCGTTCATAATTTAATCTTAGGACTATGCACTAAACAGCTGGATCACCAATTGACTGTTTATAAACCTTTGTTTAATCTATAGGACAAGATAAGATACACTGAGGTTCTGATAAAAGATGAGTACAGATGAATCATACAGCAGTTTGAACTCTGGTTCAAATATCATGATTAATAAGAAGTCACTATTATATGTACAAGACAGTACATCGTTGGTATTTGGGCTTGCAGCCGGTATCCTGCAATTGGAATCCTGGGACGGTTTTCTTGCATTTTTGGGTTGTTATACTACAGTTTGTCTAATCTTTATACTCTGGACATGCCAACTCAAACCACAAAAGTTCTTTCAAAGTCCAATTCAGGATATATTCATAGAGTCACTTTTTAGGGAGCTTACAGGTTTTGTAATGGCTTGGACTTTCTCGTATGCATTGGTTGGATGAGATTGCATTTATGGTCTAATGATTCGATTAGTACTAAGACAGATTCATGAAGACGCTCTACTGTGGATTAGCATCGGGTTATGTTCGTCCTTAGTTCTTAAAAGTGTATGGTTTCTGCCTTTCCTTCCCTTCAACCGCATGGGACTCGTTTCATGGAGTGTATTGGCAAAAACAAACGATAATTCTAAAGTGAGAAATATATGTATTTACACATTTGATAATAAATAATGTTATTAACATAATATAGGAAATTTAAATTCAACTCAAAGAAGATTTAAAAAAACATAAAGACAGGATCAACAGCAGTTTTTGTAAATTGTGTTGAATATTGTAGCTGTGGAGATATAGAGCAACAGTTTATGTTTAGCATAAGCAAGTGTGTCAAGGATGCCCAACACAAAATAATTACCACCTTTACATTAAATAGCAACGATAAGTAAGTACCAGAAATTCATATGTAGGTCGTTAACAAAATCAATAAAATTAGGCTCAGTTCCTTCACATTTACAAACACGGTTAGATATGTCAGTACATTTTAATATCATACATCAATATCCACAACCCCAAATCATATCAGTGAAGCTATTGCTTTTCATAGGAAAATTCATTACCATTGTCATCAGATTTCAACAGATTCAACTAAAGATGCCAGTTTCTCAACACTAGCAAGATGTCTATTACCAGAAGATGCAGATTTGTTTAGCTTATCTAGGTAAGCTCTTATAGCAACAACAATTAATTTCTTGTCGTCACCTTGAGAGACAACTACCAATTTTTGCACAACGTAATTTGCAAATTGATCACGCATCATTAAAATTAAAGGAGAGTCTTCCTCGAGGTTAGCGGCATGTTCCTTGTCTCTTGGTAGTATCATCTTCATTAGTTGTATCTTTTGATCATCTGTGCCATAGATAATGGCTTTCTCTACCACATTTGAAGCAAATTTGTGTTTGGAAAATTCAACAATGTTATCCGCTACATTATTAATTATTTCTTGTTTGATCACTCTCATATGCTCTGATGCCAAGTTGACATCAGATCCGTGTTGCAAAATATGCTGAATCACGTAATTACCATATTGGTCCTGGATCAGATAGGGAATAAAGTCTTTTAGTTCTTCTAGTATTCTCTTTTGATCTTCTAAGGTACCAAACTCAAGTAATCTTTGTACAACCCTGCAACCATATGAGTGAGTCGAGAGATGGTATATGTGACCTTCAAGAGAATTTAAGATAAATGGAAGCAGATCGATTGGTATACATTCAATTGCCTTTTGAATTACGTGATTACCATTTTGATCTTTGATCATCTGTAAGACACAGTGAGATAGTTCTCTTACAAGATCTATCCTTTGCTGAGCATCAATGAACTCTAAAGCTCTTTGAATGACACGACAAGCGTACATTTGCAGAGAGAGTTCTTCCATCTTACCTCTAAATTGCTCTACTAAAATATCTTTTTGAGTCTTGGACCCATATTCAAAGAATTTCTGAATAACGTAGTTACCAAAAACATCATTTGCTAATGATAAAGCATGGTCTCTGATTTCGTTAAACACAAGTTCTCTCTCTGGAGGAGGTGCTGTAGCCAATTCTTTTTGAATGAATCTAGAGCCATGCTGATCTTTACAGAATTCTAGAGCGTGACCATAAATACTCTTCAAAGTCAAATCAGTGTTAGTTGGATTTGCTCTTAGTTCTTCCAATAGAGCAGATCTATGGAAGTTATTATTGTTATTAGCTGTATTCTTTGAATTTTGTGAGCTAGAATTCGATGCAGACGATGTAGTTCTTTGTGTTCCAGCTGATTGCCCTGATGGTGGTTGTTGCTGTTTCTTGTAAAAGTTGATCGGTTGATTACTTAGTGGTGACATTGGTCTTGCTGCTGGTGGAGATGTTGGTGTCTGGCCCTTCTTTTGGGCAAAGGGTCTTTGTAACTGGTGATGTGAGTCCAGATATGGATTCATATTACCTTGTTGTTGTTTATGCAATGCTTTTTTATCACCCCCTCTCTTCTTTTTAGGTGCGGTAGATGCGTTACTATTTATAGGTTGCTGTGCTTCATTTGGAATATTAATAGGATAGTAGTAGTATGGAGATGCGTTACTATTGTTTAAGTTGTGATCACCATTTTCATTCAAGTTCTGTGCGTTTATCTGTTCTTGTTGTGTTTCAGTATTTGCAAGATTAGGGTCTCTATTAACTGTATCGTTACCAGGGTTAGTATTTGCAGGATTTATATTCACATTGTTATTGTTATTCAAACCAGGCGGATGGTTTTGAATACCCATAGGCAAGAAAGGATTAAACATAGGAAAATTTGGATGAGGGCTTTGAAAGTTTGGGTAAGGCAAAGGACCGAAGTGGTTCGGCTTGAACGACTGTGAGTCGGTGAAATTTTTCCAAACTCCTCCCGGGCCCTTTCTCATATTCATATTCGAGTTCACATAGTCTGGTGATTCCAAAGTCAGCTGTGAGTTTGAAGATGAAGATGATGCCGTATCATCAATAGCAGATGTTGATAAGTAGGCTGCTTGTTGGTGATTTGGAATAGGTTCCACTACTGGAGTGTTTTCATTATTGTGCAATGAAGTGTAACTCTTGGAGGAGTGGATAGTATCGGTATCATTAGCGTAATTAGCAGATTCCAACTCCTTGGTGCCTTCCACAATTGTTTTACCAAACTTCTCAAAGAAACCACTGTTGGCGCCCATCTGTTGGTTATTATTCTGGCCAGACACAGATCCGTTGTTGTTTGAGTGGAACAGGATAGGGCCGGCGATACTGGCTGAGTACTGGTTGGAGTTCAAGTAGTTCAGTCTTTGTGATGACAGCGAAGTGGTCAGCCCTTGCATGTTCCCAGCGGAACCTGCGGTGTTCCCGCCATTATTCTGGTTGCTGTAGCTATAGTAGTAAGGTGGGGCGGTACCGACAGATAGCGAGGCCGTTGGGGTTTCGGATACGATGTGCTCGGGACCGTAGTTATGATCACTTGTGAAACTAGATCTCCTGAACCCCCCGATGTTCGAAGATGTCGCGGTGCCAATTTTCTGCAAGTTAGGGGAACTCAACAACGACGCCTGCTGTTGCTGCTGTTGGGGCATAGTGTTGGTGTTGGTGTGCGACAGCGCACTCAGCGAGGAGACGATAGACGCCAGCTCTGCATCAATAGACGCATCGACAAGGTGGCCCTGGTTCGCATTGTTACCATACGCCATCGAAGACAGACTCAGGTAACTGTTCGTGGACATATTGTGGTCATCACTCGTCCTGGAGTTGGTCTTGGAAAGGGAGTGCAGCAGGTCTGCGTGCGCACCATCCGCTGGACTACCCCATACACCATCGTTGGGCATCATGTTGGCTATCTCTGGTATACGATTTCCTATTTTTTTTCCTTACCCTATAGCACTCTCTCTACACACAAAGCCTTTATATATTGAAGATCACAAGAACTTTAAATTTTTCTTACTGTTTCCCCCTCCCCCAGGTTCCCAAATTTTTTTTTTTAGCACTGACCTTAGAAGAACCACTACCGTCTCGAGATGAGGGACAATAAACGTGATCACCTCTTCACCTCTTCACCTCTTCACCTCTTCACCTTCTTTAGCTCTTTAGCTCTCTAGCTCTAGCTCTTCACCTTCTTCACCCAATGGTTCCCCCAAATCCCAGCTCATCGCATCGGTTCTCATCAACCTAAAATCCCTCCCAGCCTCACTGGCCACTCTCACTGGCCTCACTGGCCTCACTGGCCTCGCTGGCCAATAAGCACCATTTTCCTTGTTGGCTTTTCCACTCGGAAGGTGAAGACCAGTTGCTTGTACACACTTGTCTGAGAGAATCCTCTGTACCCTTGGATGGAAACCCCCTTCTGCCTCAGAAACTGCTGCACCAAAGAAGTATAATTTAACCCAATTTTATATATCTTATTACGTAAACCCTTTTCCTCGAGGAATTTCAATTTTCCTTCTCTTTATCGAGACCCTTCCATAAAAGACCCGTACAGGTGTTTCTGCGGTTTCATTTCCTTTTCTTCCATTCCTTCTCTTTTGGGGGAGGGGTCTTGCGTCCCCCTGCGAGCTGTTCTACACAGAAGCAAGAATTGCTTTTTTTCCTGCTTCTTGCTCTTTTGAGCTACGCTTTCTTTTTTCTTTCTTTTTCATGTTTAGATCTGTTCTATGCAGCTCTCCTATGCTTCTGTGCTCCACCCATTGTTCCCCCATAGTGCTATACCTCGGGTGCGACACAAAATGGACCTCGGGATTATCTCCGATACATGTGAGGCATTTCATATACGAGTTTGATAACATGTACATATATACATATACTACATATACTACATATACTACAAGTATTACAAGTATTACAAATACTACATACTAGTAATAACATTGTAAACCAATAAAGGTAAATACCATATTGCCTCTACCTCATATATGATTGTGTCGCTGTGCAGGAAGGTGTTCTCGCTGGTGGTGCTGCATGCAGCGCTGACTGTGATCACAGTGCTGGCTCTCGTCAAGCATTTCCTGGCGATATACTGGATAAACTCCACGACGCATGAGGACTCGCGGGATACCAGGCCCGCTTCCTTTGCGAAAGTCATAGACAGCAATCTGAAGGCCATCAACAGAGACGAGCAGACCACCGCTTCAGACCAGCAGCGCACCGGCGGCGACTATATCCACTTCGACCACGCGACGAACAACCCGTTCGACAACCTGATCCTCGCGGAGGACCTCAACCTGGTGCCGAACTTGCAGTACTACTACAACCAGTACAACATCGACATCGAGGAGTTCAAAGTGTTGACCAACGACGGGTTCCTGATCGACCTGTGGCACTTGAAGAGCAGAGACTACAAGTACGGCGCCGGCTCTCCCGGGCCAAGACCTTACGAAAGGGAACCCGTGCTGATGCTCCACGGCCTATTGCAAAGCAGCGGGTCATTCGCGTCCAGCGGGAGAAAGTCCTTGGCCTTCCACTTGAACGACTGCGGCTACGACGTGTGGCTGGGAAACAACAGGTGCGGGTTCAAACCAAGCGCCAAGACAAAGCTGAAGGATTTCTGGAACTGGGACATGACCGACATGGTCAAGCATGATCTGCCCGCACTCATCGATTTCATCCTGCACCAGACAAACAGGAAAAAACTACACTTGGTGGCACACTCGCAAGGTACTACACAGGGTTTCATGGCTCTGATTAACCATAACCACGAGTACCCATTCTCATCCAAGATCGCAAAGTTTGTGGCTTTGGCACCCGCAGTTTATCCGGGACCGCTACTGGATGAGAAGTTATTCGTAAGACTTATGGTGAAGTATATTGATAGCCCCTGGGTCTTCGGCAACAAGTCTTTCTTAAAGACTATGATGGTCGCAAGAGACCTACTGATCGGCCAAAGCTCTTTCTCCTTCATATGCTACGTTTTCTTCAACTACTTGTTCGATTGGAATGATAGCCTGTGGGATAAATCCTTGAGAGATAGACACTTCCTTTTCTCTCCAGTTCACATATCAGTGAAACTGATGCAATGGTGGCTGTCCCCAGACCCAAATAAGGTGTCTTTCAAAAATTGCTCCCACGTTCTTTTCCCAGATGATAAATCCTGGTTCAATAAAGATATTGATTTCGATGAAAACAGAACGAATATCCTAATGATCTTCCCAAGACAAGACCGTTTAGTCGATGGAGAAAGACTGATCAATCATTTTGTTTATCACGAAAACCATAATTCTTTCAAGATTTGGTACATTGATGAATATTCCCATCTAGATGTGCTTTGGGCACACGATGTCATCGAAAGAGTAGGTAAACCAATGATCGATTTCTTACGCGAATGAATATGATCAATCAATCTTAATTGCCACTATCCTGGCCTAATCTTACATTATGACCTCCGATTCATGCATTCAGTTTCTCCTCATAAAAGAAAATGAATGAACTCACACACTTTATAGATGTGCACTAGCCAGAAGCACAGTGCACAGGTTTATGTTATGACCTTGTAATATACTCGTCTCAGAAATATTATGTTAATATCTACACAACAAACTATATACCTTACAATACAAATGTGCCAGTCACAATTAAATATACACTTTCTTTATCAAATAAGTCCATCTGAATCCTGCCATTATACCATCTCAATTATTGGCTTTACTATAGGAAGCTTTCAATGTGCCCGGTATACTACCGTGATTTTTAAATTATCATTGACACTGCGCATCTTTGTTAGCCATTGGAAAATTTTGCCAAAAAAAAAATGAAGCTCATCGCAAACTTTTATAAGAGATGAGCATCAAATTATGATATAAAATGGAATCTTTAGGGAACTGCATAACCAACTTAGCAGTACACATTTGACGCAGAAATGAAGATAAAGACTATAAAGAGAAGTGCAGATGATTATGTTCCGGTTAAAAGCACTCAAGAATCCCAGCTCCCAAGGAACTTGAATCCGGAGCTGCATCCATTTGAAAGAGCAAGAGAATACACAAAAGCTCTCACAGCAACTAAGCTCGAACGTATGTTCGCCAAACCTTTCGTTGGACAGATGGGCCACGGTCACCAAGACGGTGTGTACGTGTTGGCCAAGCACTACAATGATTTGAATAAGATAGCTTCCGGTTCTGGTGACGGTGTCATCAAGTACTGGGATATGAGTTCAAGGGAGCAAATTGCATCATTCAAAGCACATTACGGTACTATTACCGGTCTGTGCATTACTCCAAAAGTTAACATAGATTCAGCTTCTAGCGGAAATCAAAATTTTGTTTTGTCTAGTAGTGACGATAAAACGGTGAAGCTTTGGTCAGTTAACCACGAAGATTTTGCACATGTTGATAATGATCAAGTAATCAATACAGACAATGGTTTAATAAAACACTACTATGGTGAACATGCATTTCAAGGTCTTGATCACAGTAGAATGACATCTAATTTTGTTACTGGTGGTCCAAGAATTAATTTATGGGATATCAATAGATCGAAGCCTCTAAGTGATCTTTCTTGGGGTGCAGATAATATTAATACTGTTAAATTTAATCAAAATGATGCAAATGTATTGGGTAGTGCAGGTAGTGACAATTCCATAGTCTTATATGATCTTAGAACAAACTCTGCTACTCAAAAGATTGTACAAACAATGAGAGTCAATTCCATGTGTTGGAACCCAATGGAAGCATTCAATTTCGTTGTTGCCAGTGAAGATCATAATGCTTACTACTATGACATGAGAAATATGAGTCGTGCATTGAATGTTTTTAAGGATCATGTTAGTGCGGTAATGGATGTTGACATAAGTCCGACTGGTGAAGAAGTTGTCACTGCATCTTACGATAAGACTATAAGAATTTTCCCAATCAATAAAGGTCATTCGCGTGAAATTTATCATACAAAAAGAATGCAACATGTATTCCAAGCAAAGTTTTCCATGGATTCCAAATATGTTATGAGTGGTTCCGATGATGGTAACGTTAGATTATGGAGAGCCAAGGCATGGGAAAGATCAAATGTGAAGTCAACAAAGGAACTTAATAAACTACAATATGATGAGAAGCTTAAGGAAAGATTCAAATATATGCCTGAAATTAGAAGAATTAGTAGACATCGTCATGTACCTAAGGTTATCAAAAAGGCTCAAGAAATTAAAAATATTGAAATTAGATCTATTAAAAGAAGAGAAGCCAATGAGAGGAAGACAAAGAAGGACAAAACAATTGTTCCTGAGAGAAAGAAGCAAATTGTTGGTACAGTGTTTAAATATGAAGATAAAAGGCGAAAAGATGATGATGATGAGAATTAGTTTGATAGTATTTACGAATTTGTACCTACATAACTATACTTAGTTCGGATAACAGCAATGTGAAGGCACAAGTTAGATACCTCGGTCAAGTTTCCAATTAGCAGACTAATGCTAGCATATTTATTAATGGAGAGAATTTATATGATGATATTTAAGAGCATGCTAATTAAGCATTTTGAATTATATAGTTACATCCAAAACCTTCCCAATATCAGGTAAAGAAGGTTTCGCTAGGTCCTCTAACAGGGGTAAGATATCCAATAATTCATTGTCATGAGAATCAGAAAACCAAGATGAAATTGGAATTGCATGCTGAGGATGAAATATGTACGATGGTGGTGAATTATCCAATATGATTATCTCTGACAAAGGTCTACCTATTTGTGATAGATTTTTAATATAGTTCCCTTCGTAGGTATAACACGCATCTCTGAAAAGTCTATGATGTATGTTGTTAGATTTATCAAGCACATCTAGCAAAGGATCCCCATATCTGGATACACTTGCAGTAAATACTACAACTTCATATAATTCACCAACCCGTTGGAGAAATTCGTCAACACCTGGCCGCTTTATCACGTAAACATTGTGGATCTGGTCATCGATATCGACAGGAAGAACGAAATCAGCTGTATGCAGATATTTGAAAGAGGAATGTACAAGAGTCTCATCTAGATCCAAAACAAGGCACTTCTTATGCTTGAAAGCATCTCCTTTGGGGGATAATAAGGTATCCAAGCCTGGTGCATGGTATTGTCCCGGTTGCAATACCGTCAGGTCGATATATTCCTCTTCCTCCTCAACTTCATCTAGATCTTCTTCGTCATAAGTCGGTACTGAATCGTAGTTTTCTTCACTGTTATCAGAGCCAACTGAATTGACTTGTGATAGTTTTGTACCATATTCCAATTGATTTGCCAGCTCCTCTTCTTCTTCAGTAGATAGCTTTTTATATTTTTCTCCATCCATATTAGAATTGGATTTCTCGAGGTCACTCCCAGAAGGTTTGACATTGTTTGAATTGTTTGAAGTTGATTTCTTTGAGCTGTTTTTATTAACGGGCACAGGTACTTCCTCTTCAGTAATTTCATCGACGTCATCATCTCCTTTTTTGTTATCGGAATCTGCCAATCTTTTCTTATCGTGCGTTTTACCATTTACTTGTGACCTTCGCGTCGAGTGTCTTTTCTGACTATTTTCAGCAGCGTCTGCATCATTGATATGAGATTTATTGTTAGCATGTTTTCTATCCATATGCGCATTGTCGCGGCTACGGTCTCCTTTTTTCTTATTTGAGTCGGAGTCTCTTAGTTTTGGTGTGCTCCCGGATGAAACTGTTGTATCTGTGTTCTCCTCCTTGTACAATTCAGCCGAGCGCACTTGGCGTGAGTCACCGTTGTTCCGCGGTAGATCTCTCCGATTGGAAGGCTTACTTTCTGTCCTTTCGGTGTTCATAGTTTTCCGCTGTCCTGATTCTTGAACTTGTTCATCTGCACAGCAAAAGAAAGAAGAGATAATATCCATGCTTTGAGTTCTGGAAATTTCCTCTATTGATATAATTTGGATCGTGTGTGTTTCCTTCTTACTGCTTCTATCAAAATTTTAATTTCAAGTATTATCCTACCCAGTATAATATTAAGACCTGCCTTTGTCAACTGAGTTTTAGTGGTGTAGTCTGACCTCAATGTCCCTTACCATAAAATGAAAAAGTCGCAATAACCCTATAGATGATAAGATCTGAGCGTCGTATCCCACTTCTCAAGATCCTTTCCCCCAAGGTTTTCCTATTTTCTCGCAGGTCAAAAAAGAAATAGACTGTTGTGACCCCTCCGCAATGTAATATTGATACAAAGATTTGGTTTCTTGGAGTATATACCGGTCATGTAAAAGTAGTCCCTGATTATCAACGCTATTCTAGATAAGTTAGGAAGTCTTCACTTTTGGTGGGTTTTCCCAAGAAACTTCAAATTTTCACCTTTTCGCTTCTCGAGAAATTCGTTCAAAGAAGTCCCCTGCGATGAGCTCAATATTGCTTGAAGTAACATCATATTATTAGCTGTAAAAGTTGAATACTTGACAAAGTTATTGGATATATACATGTGTGATGGTCATTAAATAATTTTATATACAGAACAGGTAGCTGTGGATTTAGATTCTATCTTTTATTTCATGGGCATGACACTGTTCTAGATGTTAAACCCGTAGGTCTTCATGCAACTCTTGTACTTCTCAATCAGTTCTTTGCACTTTGCAGATTCTTGGCCATCAAATAGCAAGCACTGGTCTCTAGCTTCCTTCTCAGGAAGACAGACACAGCATGGCTTTGGTTTATCTTCTTTCTGTGGTTCAGACATTTCTTCTTATTGTCGTTATATTGGTGTGTATAATACAAGCAATGGTCTTCACTATAGAAAGATAAAGGAAACAAATGTGAATACTCCTTATTTATACTACTTACTTGCGTGGTCTACTGTTTAAATTTGCTCAGTATTACGTTATATTTACGTCTGGAGATACAGTACCCTTCCCTTCCCCCGTATTCAATATTAACAAATTCCCTTGGTGCTAACGGTGATCTGCAAACTAGATTGCTCTCGAAAAGCCAGTAACTATCAAAAGAAGAGAGGCTAGCCTATCTCAAGTCGTTGCACAAATGACCTATATCACGTGTAGTTATTCGACAGGTATAATGTAGTTGATACTAAATCCCTAGAGCCTTTCCACTTCAAATAGCCACTTTAAACAGTCGTGTTTGACCCTAGTGAACAACAAATAGAAGAACTGCGAAGTGAGCGACTTTGTTATTAAGAGACCTAGTACTCCAATACCTTCTACACATACGTAACCAGCCGACACAGAGCATACTCTATATAGAACCACCAGTGGGATTGGAATTATTAAAGTAACAAATGTCAGATGGAAGAGGGACTCCAAGCATTTGTGATCTTTAGAATCACGGCATTCTTCTTTCTTTCTTCTCTTCTTGAGACAGTCTACCACCTGGCTCATGTTACAATTTAGTCCATCCATGGGGATTAAGACAGACTCCATGAATTTTGTAAGTGGTAGGCTGTATAATTGGTTTAATTTGTCCTTTACTAGACTAACCATTGTTTCGACTCTGGTATAAATGTAGTATAGCTCTTGCTCTGTTACCTGGCTATTACGCTGTGTTAACCATTCTAACCGCCACAGATAATAGCCAAGGTAGTTTTTAGCTATGTTGTCAAATATCACCTTTATCACATACTTGGTATTATTTATTTTAATATCGTTGGTAACAGCTAGATAATCTAATTCAACTGCAGTATTGATTAATTCTTGGGTTTTGATCTTGTCGATGATGCAGGCCTGGATTTTTAGTGAGTTTAGTGAGATATTCCTGGTCGCCAATCCTCGAAGAGCAAGAACTCTCTCAAAACTGTCAACAAATTTTGTGGTTAAGTATTTAAAGTTTGACTGTTCGTTAGCTATATTGTGGTATCCACTTAAAGTCCATATCCGAAAAGTCTCCCCGTCTATTCCTATTTGCTCTATTCGATAAAATAGTCTTTCAAGCTTATGGTATGTTACAGGTTGAATTATTTCCAGTTTTAGTGGTTGGAGTAGAGAACAAATTACTGTTGTGAACCAAAGACAGCATAGCAATGTTGACCTCACCATTCGCATTGTATAACTAAAATGCCAAGCAAATATGTTCTCCGATTCGTACTTGCCTAAAAGTTATCCTTAACTCATTGGAACTGTATTGCCCATTCATATATTAGGAATGCACTTTCATGTGCATTCTGCTTTACCCTCTGTTACACAAAAACTCATCCTCAGAGTAATGGTTCACTTCAGCGCTATTGTGACTCAGGTAATAAAAAGACAAGCTAAAAATATAATATGTTTTTGTATCTATAATATTATAGTTCAGTATGGATGGAGCTATTTCTAGTAGATATTTATATATTAGGTAAAAGTATTATCCTGGTTTGTCATGCTTAATTTTTATCCAACTGATGAATTATTGGTAGTAAAATTCGTTCGGCAGATTCTTCAATGTGTCCAGATCGTAAAACTCCTCTTCGTCTATATCTTCAGGACTCTCTTGGAGTTCCTGATGAAACGGAAGGTTTAGTAATTGAACATCTTTTCTAAGGTCAATCAAAGTTTTTATTTGAGACTTCGTATTCTCTGAAATATTTGCTCTTGATTTCGACTTAGAAATCAGCATAAGTCCATCTAACCAAATATATGCCGCTTCCTTTGTATCTAGATACATCTGCAGTAAGCACTTCTGAGATTTATCGAGTAGTTTAACCTCTGTATATATGTTTTTCTTCGAGATATTAACCACTTGGGGGACTTCAGCTGCATTGTTTTCGGCCCGTAATTCTTTGCTGGCAAATGAGTCGATAATTTTGATAGGTACTACTATGGTACTATTGGGATTCGGAAATGAGTTGGCTTCAGATTTAGTACAAATTACATTGTCCTCTACAAAAGGCGTCTCGTCGAGTTTGTGGTCAAATCGTCTAGCCAATAAATTGGCGTGATTATCTGATACCACAATGAAATAGACTCGTGGATTGGTTGACCCCTCATCGATTGGATTTTCTGAGTATGCCCATGTTCCTTTCTGTAGCAAAAGTAGACGTTGGTGCCGCACATAATCATGTACTTGGTTTGACAATATGTCTACGAATCCTGAAATTTGGCCAGACCACTGCTGATAATGCAAATTTCTAATCATCTCTAATTGCCATAGTCTTGCCGTGGAATAGTCAAAAGATTCTAGAAGCTCAATTCCGACTTCGAAAGCTGATCCAGACCTCTTCAAATTAGTATCTCGGATAGAACAATACATTTTGTCCAGTATAATAGGCACCAGTTGCAATAAAGAATCCATATCATTTCGACTAGTTGACTGTGATTCCGACCAGAATCGAAGTATGCAACACATTAAAGACTCTAGTAATGACTCTCTGTTCAATATATGGCCTGCCATGGAAATTTTGGAGTCATCATCTTCATCAAAACGGTTTAAAAAGTTTTGCATTTCTGAGGATACTTCAAATATAACCTTAAAAAAAGGAAAGGGGCTACTCTTAAATAGTAATTGCTCTGTTAAATTCTTGATAAAAACGGTATTAGAATTGTCAAGGAAAGACAACATATCGTAAACTTGTAGTGTATTTAGTTGGTTAAGCTCAGCCATAGAGTCATTTAGGGAACCAAATTCCATTTCGTAGCTTCTCAAGAAAATATTTGTGTTTCTTATAGCATGGTAAAGGTTTTGTTTAAGTTCTATTGATGCTTGCTGTAATGTTTTTGATTCCAGAAACTTTGCCAGCTGCATCTTCACTGGTAAATACTCGTCTATAATTAAAGGTCGTAATTCATCAATTGAAAGAAGTAAAGTTACCACAGTAGGAAAATTATACTCCAGGAGTAAAAAACATATGGATGGAACTATGGAGATAGCCTTCTCCGCATCATATTTGGAAAGCAGCATTGAGCATTTCAAAAATGAAGCAATACAACGCAAAGTATCGGCAACTAAATTGACATGTAACGAATGCAGCGAAAGATTGATCAGTATGTATTCCATTATGTTGTGTCTCTTCTGTAAATGGTTGCATAGAGAAGTGAATCCTAACTCATGAACATCTTGACCGCTAAGAAAAATATTAAACAAGTAGTTTAATATTGAGCTCAAAAGTTCGGGCTCCATATTTGTTGCACAATCTTTGATCAGGTCCCAAAAATCATCTTCTGGTATAATTTGAGAGCAGAGGACATCATCCGGGCATGCTGAGACGAATTGCCATATTAAATGTTGGAAACTTGAAGATTTCTGGTCCCTGGCACTATTCCTCAAATACTCAAAGCAGCACTTCGCATAATCTGCAGATAATGAGTTCTCAGTAGCCGATTCAAGCACTTTACTTAGTTCATTGTTAATATCAGCATCATCAATGGTCATCGCATGTATAATTAGTAGGGTTGTATGATAAACGCTTTTCCTTTACTAAAGTAGCAATTCTTTTATGCACAATCAACAAAAATATCTAACGCAAAAACTCGAAGATGAATTTTAATGTAACTGCCTTACCATATAATTGTGCTTCAAAAGGTAGGAGTTAACAATCAGTTCAGTATTGCTTCATAGTTCACAAACTCATCATTTTCAGTTCGGTGATTCAACGGTCTTTTCATTTTTTTTCACTCAAGCAATGCGGGAAACATAATAATTGGGCTAGTTGTCCGTATCCTATTGGCAATTAATTAAGCTTCAACGCAAGTTATCTTGAAGATTCTGATTTAAATACATATTTTATTTCCATATAGTCTGTGCTTGTGGAGCTAACGAGAATAGTTTAGAGATCAAATGGTTTCTGCACTTGAAGTGAAGTCAATTAAGGATTCTAATGAGACCCTGATCTCTTTGGATGATTACATTAGAAATACACTGCCATCTCAATTGCATGAAATACTGCTAGAAGAGTTTCAAAATCAGGATTTTTCAAGAGGCCAAGATGTTTCGAACTCCACCCATGATCAAATGATAGACCATACATTGGAGCTGACCTCCGATTTGTTGCGAAATGCACTAGACAAACAGTTGATGGAAGTGCAAAGTCGTACGCTACCTGTTAGACAATCAAACCAGTTAATATCGTGGTCTTTTGCTCAGGGTTTGATAATTGGACAATTGAGTGTTGTCATCTTTTTGATATTCTTTGTTAAGTTCTTCATCTTCACTGATGCATCGAGTAAAATGGACAACCCATTGCCATCAAAGGTATCCAAATCCTATTTGAAGAATAGGCGAGAATCTAGCTCTATTAAGGATAAAAGGAAAGGTGTATTAGTAAAAGAAGAAAGTGGGGAAACGGATTTGCATGGATCCCTGCAGTTAAACGACATTCTTGAGAAGACATACTATAATGTTGATACTCATTCTGCAGAGTCTTTAGATTGGTTTAATGTGTTGCTAGCACAAATGATACAGCAGTTTAGGGAAGAAGCATGGCATAAAGATAACATACTAACATCCCTGGACAGTTTCATTCAAAAACGTTCCTCAGATTTACCGGACTACCTTGACAAAATCACCATTACAGAGTTAGACATTGGTGAGGACTTCCCTATATTCTCGAATTGTAGAATTCAGTATGCACCAAACTCAAGTGATAAGAAGCTGGAAGCGAAGATAGACATTGATTTAAATGATAAGATTACTTTTGGGATGAGTACTAGATTGCTACTAAATTATCCCAAGAAATGTACTGCCGCTCTTCCAATTGATCTTGCGGTATCTATGGTACGTTTTCAGGCCTGTTTAACAGTATCACTCATTACTGCTGAGGAATTGGAGTTTACTACAGGGAATAAGATTGACGATAATGAAAAAAACGGTTATTATTTAGTATTTTCGTTCACACCTGAATATAAAATAGATTTTGATATAAAATCGTTGATAGGAGCTCGATCCAAACTTGAAAATATTCCAAAAATAAGTAACATTATCGAATACAATATAAAAAAATGGTTTGCTGAACGTTGTGTTGAACCGAGATTCCAGTCTGTGAAACTGCCAGGTATGTGGCCACGCAGTAAGAACACAAGGGAAGAAGTTATTCACAAAACGGAGGATGAATCTTCAAAAACACCTCATTCTTGAGGACCCAAAAGACTAACTCAGAATTTCCAAAATCTACTGCTTGAAGGGTACAATGTTTTCGATATATCACTCTGATATATCTGGGTTGATGCAAATATTCCCAAATTTGGTAATATATGCTTTTTCAAAATCGCATTTTAGTGATAGACTAGCTTGTAAATAAGGCCTTTCATTCTCCGCGATACCCATTTGATCTGTTGGCACCCATATTTCATTTGTTATCGGCGGAAAAATATAACTTTCAAGAGATTCCGCTCTTGGTGAAATTGAGTCACTTGAGGTGTAATCATGTAAACTGTTCAAGTGTAAATTATGAAGCCTACGAATAAATTTTTTTGATATTTCAGCATGTATCAATACAGTTAAAATGCTCATAAAGGCCATTGAAGTAGAGAGTTTGTAACAGTTGAACAAAGCAAACAATCCGATTAGGGAGAGTTCCATACAGTAAATACCAGCATAAAGCTGTGATAGAGCTTCAGGGTATAGTTTACCATGCGTTTCTGAAATATTCTCAGAATTGAATTGATAAATGAATAAGTACTTGAATGAATAATAGACCAATGACAATGATAGGACTGCTAAAGGTAGTATAAATGGGGCAATAATGCTGTAAATAATACAAATACATCCAATAACTGTGAAAAGCGGATAAATACTACCCCACTGAAAGAAAAGATTCTTTTTAAGCCTTTGCATCTTATTATGGGGTGTAGGCATCCTTGGTCTATAATAAACTATTTCGAAGAATAGCTCTTTCAAACGTATGATGTTTCCTCCAGAATAGGCAAAACCTCTTAACAAAATAAAAGAGCAGAAGAAGTTGGAACTTTTAGGCAAATCATGAGCCAAAATGTTCGGGATGCTGACAGGGCTTATAAGTAACTTTTCTAGAAGAAGTGATAGGCCTGATGAAATTGTGACAACAAAGAATATATGGACTAACAAAAACATAAAAAACCATCTCTGAATATCCATTTCTATTTCCGCACCAGTTCTACAACCTTTAAGATAACTTATAACCCTAAAGATATATGGTACAAATTCAGTGAGGAAAATTAATGTTACGAGGGGAAAGACAGCTTTAGTTACATCCCTCAGACACTTGGAAGTTACATTAAAATGATTGGAATAGGGTAAGAGATTTGTCAAATATGGAATTTGAGTGACTAAACCTATGAATGCGATAGGTACTATCCAACCTAATATCACAAGCACACCTATCAAACGACCTGCCAACTTCCTCAGTGTAATTGTAATTGGGTTTCTGCCCACTATGTTAATCCATATTATATCCTTCGGGTGAGCACCTATCATTGGATAATTCCATTGACAAACTGATGAAGATTGTAATAACTGATAAAATTGCATGGCTTGAGATACTGAGTTAAAAAGAAGGAAAGCTTTGTTCGAGTATTCCTGCATTTTTTCATTGCCAGGTATTGTACTCGAATCTGGCTCATTTTTCTTAGGGAAGTATGTCAACCATAAGTCCAAATATTTTTGATAATAGTGTATTTCTCTGTCTAGTGAATCGTATTGATATTCTAAGGCTGATTTTCTTTTAAACTGTGGAATGTAAACGAAGTATTTACTCGGCTTTATTTTTTGGAGTTTAAATTTAAGTTCGCAATAAAAATACTTGTCAAATGAGCGCAGGTTGAATAAAATCTTCTGGCAAAGTTGATGGTACGATAGCACCATTAAAGATGTTGGTGGAATTTCAACTGAAGGATCATTTGTGCTTAATAACAAATGGCCTACCTTGAAAAATTTTTCAAGTATTATTTTTGAAATAATTTTTTCGATTATGTAGGCATGCCTTTCAATATTCTTATGAGTTTTGCGTATTTCGAAAATATTATTTGGGAGCCTTGCTGCCGCAACTACACTGTTAGGTTGTATTTTATTGAAATATTCCATAATTTTACTGTCATCCTTTAAAACTTCGGCAGGAATGTTATCAACAAATACTATGTTTTGGTAGCTTTTAGTTATGACTGTTGTGTTTATTTTACCATATGCGTATTTAAGTTCAGCCACAATAAAAAATTGAAATGCAACGATTATGATTAAAGCAAAGATGAAATGGCATACCAGTCTATCTGATTTTTTCATTGAAATATTAGACATATTTATCTTATCTATCCTATTCGATTGTGGTTGTGTAGAGTTGAAGACCCTTGTGAGATCATTTTTATTGTTATCACTAGATGTTAAATGCAATGGAATTAGTACAGGTACTATCCCCAAACTCAGTAGGGAAAACAATAAAATTAGCTTTTTAAGAAATCTCATAAACAGAAATCCATCCAAGCCCACTATCGCTTCGTAGTTATCTATACTCTCTTTGAAAATTCTAGGGACATATTTCGATGTGAATCTTTCCCAGATGCTTGGATTTCTATTGGAAAAATCCAGAGTGGAATTATTTTCATATCTTCTCAAAACACTATTCGATTGGTAAATATTAGACGCAATTCTTCTCAATAACGAAAATGCAAACAGTTGGAACAAGAAGTAACCAGCTGAAGCGCCAATACCTAAAAAAAAGGAATTCACTGACATATCAGCATCCTTATGTGCTGATCCTGCTCGTGCTGTATTTAAAAATGAAGAGATTAGCTTGTGCGTTAAATTCCAGCTTTTTGTATCAACATAAATGTCATTGCTTGTAGCAACACATTTATGATCTTTGATAGCGGCATCCATATGTGTGTGTTCACCAAAACTTAATATGACAATTAGTCTACTAGCTACTAAATTTATATCAATTTCATAGTTATCTTCAATTTATATTAATAGTAATAGAGGCAAGATTAAGTACCTTGAATTACTCCACTATCAAATCGATATTTTACCGAGCTTGTTTATAAATTTTATGCTTTGGTGATATTTTGTGAACGTGTTAGACAGTAACACAAAACCTAAAGATGCTAAAGTAACTTACACAAATGAATAACTTGATAGTGGTACAAGAGTAAAATTTGTTAATTTATAAAAATGTATTTACCTTTTTAATCTTCTCTACAGAGTACCAAAACTAATTCTTTGATACTCTTAGGTTGATGGAGTTTAGAAGGAAGATAGCCATAAGGGCAATAAACCCATATAGAGAGATGTTTAAAAACTTTCCATAGAAGTTAGCATTTGTTAATTTGTAAGTAATCAAGATCTTACCATCTGCCAACTCACTAACCAAGTTTCTAAATTTCAAAGTGACTTTAGTATGACCATTCTTCAAATCAAAGTAGGAACTCTCGAATGAAGTAGTTGTTTGAACAACAGGTAAAGGACTCTTTGTATCGATTACAGTGGCACCTTCTGGTAGATATACAGAGTATTCAACTTCATCATAAGCTGTGTCCTTTGGACCATTTAGTAATGGTACAGCAAGAATGAACTCCTCTGAATCCATATCACTGACTCTCAAAAAATCAGATAACTCATTAGTCCAGCCAATAGTATAGTTGTAGAACCATCCACCAAAGATAGGGAACCTGGGTTTCAAGTAGAACAAATTGTTGAGAACTTGTGAAGTGCTCACTTGCCCCACTTTGTCGACGAAATAATGTTCGGTGGCTTGTTCTGGTAGATGATTCTCAATGATTCCTCTTACTGTTGGGCTATTAGCAGCCTGTACATTCTTCATAACTTCTAATCTGGAGAAACCATTCTTTAGTTCAGCACCCTTGTTGTGATATTCATTGTATTCTACGAACTGTATGGTTGAAGCCCAATGAGATACCCAAATGTCTCTCTTTAGATAAATAACCTCATTCAATGCCAAGTTATGTAGATAACGCAGTTTAATCTTATTTTCAACGTTCAAAGCATTAATGTCTTCAAAAGGACCAAAAGTCATGACATTATCATCAAATGTGCCCTGATATTCCTCAGGGACGGATCCAATATCCAATTCAGACATATCAGTAGAACCTGTGATCTTTAGAATAGACATTTTGGTTGGATATTGTGATAGAGGCAATCTATCTGTCTCATATACCAAAAACTGATCTTCACCAAGACCAATTTTTTTTGGTTTTGGAGTTCCACAATCGTTGAACTTGTAAATCAATCTCAAATTAATAGTCTCACCAGGTTCAACAGATCTTGGCAATCCCAAGAAACCATAGCCAATGGCTGTATTGTTCAATTGCTTTAGTGTAGCTGATAGAGCTCTAAAGCTGACAAAGGAAGAATTATCAGCAGTGGCGGTGAAAACAGATAGATTATCAATAACATTGCGAGGAAGTAACATGTGATAGTCAGTAGCTGGCTTGTCGCCGACATTCTTAGCAACTATACGTATCTCCTCTGCCAAACCAGTACCACTCAAATCTAGATACCTTTGATACTCTAAGTTCTCCCATTCTGGCTTCTCCTGGGCCAGCTTTTCAGAGGCCTCACCAGAATATGGTTTTTGTTCTTGGGCTTGACCAAAGACTTGGCCTAAAAACAAGAAAAGAAACGCCCAATTGATAGCAAACGCCTTCATTCTCTTCGTTGTGATATTTCCGGTTTCCTCCTAGTTCTCAGCTAATAATCACTAGGAATTGCGTACGTCAATTGTAGATATGTAAGCTTCCCACTCTAGAATACCAACTGTATGCACTTTAATTGACTTTAAAGGACAAATAATCAGCCAAACGGCAGTATTACCAGCAAACTACTATTTGTCGATCATTTGGCTGCTCGACACCTACTCTTTGTTACTGCGAATTGCCCAACCTGTCGTCTCTTCCGTCATTTCGTGTGAAGTAATATTAAACAATCAAGTTCAATAAGAATTGACAGCTAAATTACGTGGTTTGCAGACTTATATCTTCATTACAGACAACGGGGTAAGACATATCAAAGTTATTTGTTGTATATTAACGAAGTAAATTGCCTATGTTTCTATGGCAGTGCCAGTAATATGAACAATGAAGAGGGTAGTGTATCGACGGAAGCACTGCTTAATGGTGATTTGGATGCTGCTACGGATTCCCTAATTGCAGGCAATGTCTCATCCTTGATGGACAAAGTGCATATTTCACACCCAGTTGGTGAGTCAATTAATACTATTCGTGGAGGAAATCGTTCAACAGAGTATCAAGTGGTTACAGATTCCTGGGATGTGTTAAGAGATATGCTTGATCCTTTCTTCCAGCGCATAGCCAAGTTTCTGGAGTTGAATGGTCTGTCACCCACGTTTTTGTCAGTATTTAAGATCTATTTGAGGATACTAAAGGATAACAATTTGGATCCACTTGCTGATGATTATCTTTTGTGTTTGCAGAATGAGCTTGGTAGATCACTTGTTATGAGCAGTGTGTTAGAAGAACTGCTTGTATACTTTTTAATTAGGCCTGCTAATATGTATATCTCTATGGCACTTTTTGAACACAAACAAAATAGATCAATCTCCTTTTCGTATCTTAAGCAAATGGAATCCATATATCTTCTAAAATCACAGGAGAGGAAGATGTTACTGGCAAGAGATCATGCTCTGATACTGAGAATCTTGGAACGGTGGAGAGATGAGTTAGACGTGAAAGGCAATTTGTGGTATGAAAAGGCTAATGAATTTAAAGATGTTTGCTCGAAGATTTTAGGGTATGACCTATGGATGAAAAAGGCTGAATCAAATCAAAATAAAATGAAATTGGCCGATGAATATTTCATGGATAAATCACTGAAAAGGGTTATAAAAAGTCTACAAAAACTGAAAAATGCTGAACAGTCCTTACAATTTGTTCAAGATAAGATAATGTTAAAACACTATATGCAAATATGGCAATTGTCTCATAGGTCAAAACAGTTTTCAGTCAGAAACAACAATATAATGAAGATTTCAATCAGGAAATGGCTTAATAGAATTCAATGTGCGACAAGTAAATGCAAGATTGCTTATAGATTCAGAGAAAGACATGAAATACAGATTGCATTTACCAGGTTTAAGAATGAATATGATAGAAGACAGCACTATAACGAAGGCTTAGAGGAAAGAGGTGATCAATTGATCAAGAGAAAGTCTTTTAAAATTTTTTTACATACATTTGAACTTCGAAAACTGTTGCGAAATGTACTCATTAGAAATGAATACAACTCACAGCGAAAATATATGGAAATATGGAAAAGGCGCACCAATCAAATTAAGCTAGCTGATGATATTAGACTGAGTCAGTTGGTAAGAAAATCTAACCAAATCATTTCAATGTGGCACAAGAATGTTATCCTTGAACAATTGCTAACCAAACACAATACCGATAAGTTACGGAAGCAATTCATACTTAAATGGAGATTAGCAACAAAGTACAAAGTTTTCATGAGAAATACAGACAAACTCTTGAAATTGCATAAACTAGAGATTTGGAAAAGCAACTCAAGAGACTTACAGAGGGCAAACCATTTTAGAAAAACTAAGATGCTACAAAATACATACACTAACTTAACTAAGATTTATGGAAAGATCAATAAGATGCAAAGAAATTCAGCATTACTATGCGAGTATCATTTGAAAAGGAATACATTGTTACAAATGAAGATTTTTGAAAATAAAAAAGTCGTTTTGATGGGACGGCAACAGAGGTTTGTGAAAGTAAAATATTGGAAAATCATTAAAGACATATATGATACAGATATAGCTCTTAAAAATTTGGAAGCTACATCACTATCAGCAAAGTTATCACGCTTACTACTAAAAAGATACTTCAGGATATGGATGGAAAACTATCAAGATGTAAGGGAGATAAAACTAACAGTCATCGAAAATGAAGTGACCAAGATAATGCATGATCATCTCAAGAAGCGATTTTTAAAGACCCTTTTATTCGCAGTATACGCAATTGAGGCCGATAAAACTTATGAGCGGTCATTAAAATTAAACGTATACCTGAAATGGCTAGTTAATTCAGAGTCACTTAAAGAAAATGAGAGACAGCTGACCACATTATTAGCTAAACAGAAGATTCGTCATCATTACCTTTTGTGGAAAGAACATTCTAAGAAGGTAAACCAACTAAACATCATACTGGATAATAAAAAGTCAACATTATCTTCCCATCATTTACATAAGTATTTGCAAATTTGGTCCAACAGACTGAAAAATAACTCTTCCCTTATCGAAAAAATACAACTAAGGTGGTCGAGAGCCCTTTTAAGAGGGTGCTTACAATCATGGAAAGAGAAATCTAAAAACAGAGGGTCAGCCTCCCTATCTGATGAGCTTGATACAGCTTATAAAACACCTCACAGAGAAAATGTACGTAAGTATGACGTGCTTAACTTCAGTGATGCAAAATATAGACAAGCAATGAGAACAAAGAAGATTGCGAGCCCAATTAAAGCTTCATCTGTTCTCGAATCTGTATTAAAAAGACGAGTGGATAATCCATACAAACTTACAGATGAAAATGCAACTCAAATGACAATAGAAAATGGTAAAGAACAAATGAAGAAAATAGAATCTAGCATCTCAAAGTTAGCATTCAGTGACGTTCCACAGTTGACACCAAATGATGCGCGCCTCAGAGGTTCACCCGGTAGAAGAGCGTAATTCAATATGACATCACTTCTTATAAATAAGTAATATAGAAATAAGATGTATGGTACTAATATTCTAATATATTTTAATGAACTATCTTAATAAGTTGACTTATACCCATTCTCTCATTACCAGGGTGAATCGCGAAAGTTATCGCGCAAATCGCGTCGTAATCACTTTCATAAAAGTTGTAAATAGAACAGTTTTTGCTAACATAATATAACAACATATAATAGATACTATGAATCAGAAAGTCCAATCAAAATACGTTATTTATCTGATAGGATAAACCACCAATGCTCCAAGCAATTCTCAAAGAAGTTCTTCCTCAGGATAGTTCATTTGAAATATTACACCTTCAATCACCACCATCAGAATCAGCACCTCTGGTAAACAATACAAGCAAGCAGAATAGAGCCACCACTATAAAGACTGAACATCTATTTTGCTTAGCTTACAAAGGAAGGATATTTTATGGGCTGGAGTTGTATGTGTATATAACATGCAATCACGATAATGAAGTTGAAAAAACAGAACGGTTGGTCTTTGTCTCAAAAGCGGATACCAATGGATACTGTGATATACGTGTTAACATAAAGCTGGTTACTCTACAATTGATAAGATATGTACTCTCAATTAATCCCGATTATTATTTACATCGAGTGATACCGAAAGAAAGAGACTACAAAAAGAGCGGTAGGACCAACCTGATAACTAAAGCAACTAACTCAAGAAAGGCTCTGAAGATCTTAGCAGATAGATTACAGAACCACAATCTTATAGAACCAGAAATTTTTAATGCATTCTACACAAAATTTCATAGTGGAAAGGAATTGGTAACAAAGATTGCACTATTTACAAGGCCTGCAGACCAATATCTATTCCCCAATTCATCTAAAAATCCCAATAAACACAACCTTGATGGAGATGGCTTATTGAAATGGTGGGCTTCCTTATTAGACAATTTATTAGTAAGTGATTTTAATCTAAATAAAACTAAAGCAAAAATAAGAATACCTGGAGAAGATAAATATCGTTTTAGAAGGTATACAAATGCTTTGAAATGTGGAATTTGGACACATGGTGATATTTTCAGCGATAATGATAGCGACTCAGTAATAAAATGTATTCCAATGTTCCCTGATGACCCTAAGTCAAGATTTATGAAGCAACTCTTCGAAGAAAACCGCATCCAGACCACCTCATTGGATACATTCTGGACTGAACTACAGGAAAGACAGGAGTTTAAGCTTAGTGTTGTTGTATCAGTGATGGGTATTTCTGGCATTTACGAAATTGACACCAACTATAAACCTTCTACTGATGTGTACAGATGCCGATCCAAGAGGCAATTCCATTGCATAAAGAACTACATCACTGGTGAAGAGTATGACACAGAAGAAGGGGCGCTAGAGAGTTACCAAAACGTAAACGACTACTTGTCAAGAGAAGGCACCAGCTTACTAACAGTGACAGGTAATGCAGATTACTCAAAATTTAAACAAAACCGAACAACCACTTCTACCCCAGTAGTAGTTAATACCCTCCAAGTTCGCAGAAAGAAATAGAAATTCTGAGAACTAAAGAAAAACTTCAAGTTAGGGAGTTGCATAGACTTTCATATATATTAGATATAGCACTATAATAATAGCATTCAGGCCGCATTCACATGTCCTATTTCGAGCTAGTTCAATATCGAATCATATTGCTCCATATTAACTTCATCATGTGACCGAATCAGTGGGTCTCGGGCAATGTTCGAAATCTCGGATCACACACAAAAAATATTAGCTGCGAATGCCAATTTTGTAGGGATTTAATTTCTAGAACTTTAATAATAAGTATCTTCGAGAAGTAACGAGTTATTTTCCATTAAAATTGGGATTTAATCTTAGGAAATTAAATTATATCACTGTCTGGCTTTCATATTCCTAAATCCTTAGTTTTGGACAAGTTTGCTGGTGCAGAAATTTCGGATCAAGCGAGTTGAACCAAGCTGCCAAACACATTTAACATTAGGTAGTCGCGTGTTTGAAATAGCACATTTGGTCGCTGCGAACCCAGTTATCAACGTTTGCTACATATTGTTGATATTCAGAAAAAGTTGAGAGCCCTATCTGTTGGGTTGCTGATATTTTTGATTTAGAAGTTGAATAATACTAGATTTCAAAATGGCTAGCCTTGAAGATTTAATTCCTACAGTCAATAAACTACAGGATGTCATGTATGACTCCGGTATCGATACCCTTGACTTGCCAATTTTGGCTGTAGTTGGTTCCCAATCATCAGGCAAGTCTTCAATTCTGGAGACTTTGGTTGGCAGGGACTTCTTACCAAGAGGTACAGGTATCGTGACTAGAAGACCGTTGGTTTTACAACTAAATAACATCTCAGCCTCATCACCTTTGATAAAGGAAAATCCAGATCTTATCATGTCTTTAAACAATGCCTCAAGATCACAATCATCACTAAATGGATTTCAGAACAACAACGAGTCCACAACATCCTTGAACGACAATAATGGTGCATCCTCCGCAATCGGTGGAAGTAACGCAACCGAAATACGTCGTGATGAATGGGGTGAGTTCTTGCATATTCCGGGAAGAAGGTTTTACGACTTCTCTGAAATTCGGCGGGAAATTGAAAGCGAGACCGCTAGAATTGCAGGTAAAAATAAAGGAATCAGCAAAATTCCTATCAATCTTAAGATATACTCTCCCCATGTCCTGAATTTGACTTTAGTGGATTTACCTGGTATAACCAAGGTTCCAATTGGAGAACAACCCCCAGATATTGAGAAACAAATCAAAAATTTGATATTAGATTATGTTGCTACTCCAAACTGCATCATTCTTGCTGTGTCACCAGCAAATGTTGACCTCGTTAATTCTGAATCATTGAAACTTGCTCGTGAAGTTGATCCTCATGGTATTAGAACCATTGGTGTCATCACTAAACTGGATTTGATGGACTCTGGAACTAACGCCCTTGACATCTTATCGGGAAAACTATATCCATTAAAGTTGGGTTTTGTTGGTGTAGTTAACAGATCACAACAAGATATCCAAATGAACAAAACTGTGGAGGAAGCTTTGAACAAAGAAGAAGAATATTTTAATAGACACCCCGTTTACCGCACAATGTCACACAGATGTGGTACAAGATATCTAGCAAAATTACTGAACCAAACCTTGATAAGCCATATAAAAGAGAAATTGCCAGACATTAAAACACGTTTGAATACTCTAATTAGTCAGACCGAACAAGAACTGTCTCAATATGGTGATACGGGTGATATCACAAAAGAGAACAGGGCTGGGTTGGTGCTGCAGTTGATGAACAAATTTGCGACAGCCTTCATATCATCAATCGATGGTACGTCCTCTGAAATAAGCACCAAAGAACTCAGTGGAGGGGCTCGTATTTATTACATTTATAATAACATTTTCGGTAATACACTAAAATCCATTGATCCAACAACCAACCTTACAATTCTTGACATCAGAACTGCCATTCGAAACTCTACTGGTCCAAGGCCTACACTCTTTGTACCAGAGCTAGCTTTTGATTTGTTAGTCAAGCCACAGATCAAGCTTCTTTTAGAGCCTTCCCAACAATGTGTAGAATTGGTTTACGAGGAACTTGTTAAGATATGTCACAAATGTGGAACTCCGGAATTATCAAGATACCCAAAGCTTAAAAGTAAGTTGATTGAGGTGGTTAGTGATTTGTTACGCGAAAGGTTATTCCCCACTCGTTCCTACGTGGAAAGCTTGATTGACATCCACAGAGCATATATTAACACAAACCATCCAAATTTTTTGACTGCCACTGATGCAATGTCTGATATAATCCAATCTCGGAAAAGAAATCAAGAGAATCAGAGAGCACAGAAAATGCTAGAGAAAGAAAAGCAAAATGAAATTCAGGAAAACGGTACCGCATCTCAAAATTCAAAATCTGATATTGAGCCTAGCATCGATGGTACTGAATTGGATAGCAGTAAAGACGCAACAAAATCGAAAGACACTTTCCTGAATTACTTTTTTGGGAAGGATAAGAAGTCGCAACTTTCCTTATCAAACAGAGATGGAAGGTTTAGCGAATTAAATGGATACAAAGATGATTTTAGTTCACAATTCCAACAACTAAACTTCAATAGCAATCTCAACAGTGATGATGATGCTTTTGAAAATGCAAACCATCCTAAGCTGACCGAAAGAGAAGATTTAGAATGTGAATTAATAAGAAGGTTAATTGTTTCTTACTTTGACATAGTTCGTGAGATGATTGAAGACCAGATACCTAAGGCTATTATGTGTCTTCTAGTGAATTTCTGTAAGGATAGTGTTCAAAACAGACTTGTTACTGAATTGTATCGTGAAAGCATGTTCGAGGAATTATTGGTTGAAGACCAAACACTAATGCAGGATAGAGAAAATGCGTTGAAATCATTAGAGGTTTATAAGAAGGCTTCTGCACTTATTGGTAATATTCTTTAAATATATAATATGTATATATCTGTACATCAACTTTCAATAAATTATAGGTCAACTTACGACTAGATAATAAGTGATACGTACGCTATTACTATATTCTAATTATATACGAAAATAAAACAACACAATTTCAAAAAAATTGTCAATTATGTTTTTAAAACATAATTTTCAGTTCGGAGGACAAGCACTTTCCATTATTTTGCTTTGCATTTGATAATTAATATTATAAGTATTTAAATATATTATTTATACTAAATGAAAATCAGATCACATGATTATATAAATGTTACTATGTTATCATTATAGTTATAATTGTTACACTTTTGTAGCTTCCAGTCTTTAATTAAATTACGAGATATATAGTGTTGGTACTCATTGATATATGATAAATAATTACGAGAACCTAGCATTAGCAATTGTACTGTTTGTAGAACGTTGCTGTTTAATTGGTAATCTTTGTGCATTAGCTGAGTAAGAAGCTTCGAAACTCTGTGAATTCTGGGATGCATTATTGCCAGCGTTTGTGGCTGATATTGAATTATATTGATCACCATGTGCCGCGTTTTGTTGCAAAAGGGGATTTCTTTCAGTATCATCTGGACTTGAACTTTCCGATGTTGGAGTGTTTGCCAACAGCCGGTCTGCTCTGGAGTTCATTCTCATTAAAATAATGAAACCTAACAACAGGACTACAAACAAAGAACCTAAGAGCACACCTATACCAAGAGCAACCCCAGGCAAGTCCAACCTTGTTCTCGGTATTTTTAGCCAATCTGGTGATATTGGTTTATCAATTAGGAATATACACGAATTGCTTTTTGAGGATGAACAACCCATTTTCAGAATTCTAACTTCCTTATCTTGCCCATCCATGAAACTCAAAAGCCTACTTGTTTGTGAAGCCTTACGGCAGTATATTGAATCACCACTTAGACTCTTTGATACGGAGTTACAGTCTAAAAGCGACTGGGTATAATTACCTGGAATAATATGTATCTTTAATATCTTTTCAAGGTTAGTTGTATTTACTGACAACCCATCTGATATTATGGAAGATGATGTCGGAACCAAAATAGAGTATTCGTCATCATTATTTAGAATTTCTCCAATCTGGTTGATACTTTTCAGTAGATGTTTAAATACAGAGCAATCATCTGATTTCATGAGATCATTCAGTGAAATATTAAGCGAATGTGGAAAAATAATCTGATCAATTGGATGGATGACACCTTGGTTAAAAAACACATCGTGTAAACTTTCTATTTTAAGTATACCATCCATACTATCCATTTTTACATTAATCACACCTTCTGATGTGTCTGATTTGCTGAAATCAACAGTAACCTCATCTCCAAATTTATTATGAGCAGTAAACTCAGTAGTATCATTGTTTGTGTAATGTAAACCATCTATGATCAAGTTTCTCATTAATTCATTTAGTGCTGTTTTATTACCGCTTAGGTATTCTAAATTTAATTCCATGATATCCCATGATTGGAAACATGGTAGGAAGATAGTATATCCATTGTGGTTAGCTTCCAGATCCAAAAGATTAAGTTCATTCAAAAATCTCAAAGACTTGTAGCAGTGATACAGTGGAGGTATCGCAGAAACTAAATCTCCTGGTAGCTGTAGGTTATCAGATATAGTGTATATTAATGTGTTTTTTATTACCATTGGGGCAATTGATGTAATCTTATATCTGTCATTGATAAAATAATCATCACCTTTCTTAGTTATTTTAAACTTTTGGCAATGACCTCCTAATCTCTTATTTGATGAACAAAAGGCTGAATCATATAACTTCGACGCTTGGCTTCCTTCACTAGTGATTTCCCTCTCTATCCATATCTTTTCTTCTGCAAAATGGTATAACAAGGACGGCTTAGTATATCCGGTAACGTCGTCGTTGCCATCTTCGGAAACAAATATCGTAAGATTCTCATCCGATGTTATCATATTCTGTAATTTCCGGAAATAAAGTTCCTTTACGAATTCTGATTTATTGAGTCCATGCAGATATTTCTCTGCATTAAATTCTACAGTTGAATTCAATCCACTGAAATCACGAAATATATGTGAAACACCTCTATTATACAATAAATTCCCCTTAGTTGATTCAATGGTGTCATTAATCTTTACCTGATTCCCATTACTTATAGAGTCAACCCGAATCATTTTGTTATTTAGATCAAAAGATATAGCCTCTTCTTCTAGTGAGCCCGCTACCATTTCCCTTAGAATCATTGCTTGCATAAGCCTCAAGCTATCTTCTTTCCATGTTCTTGAAATATCTTCACCTATACTATTGGTGCTATTAAAACGGTCCAGCAGATAGTTTAGCTCAATTTCATTGAATGCATCATCAAAGGCCATGTCCTCTATCATCAGTATCGTCCTATTCTGGATCATACTCTCTAATGTTGCATATAAGTTGTTTGTTAACGTCTTGAAGATACCCAGGTCCTTTCTATGCTCTCTATCAATCAATTCAGCAAATCCAGGAGGGTTATTTATCAGTGACGATATGCCTTGTACAGTAGCGTTCTGAACGTTTGGTAAAAGATCAGGCTCTATAATTTCTATGCCATTGACGTAGGCAGATTCTGGGCTCCTTCGACTCAGGAAGAAAGGGAATTTGACATTCTCTGACAAAAACTGCGTCGAGTTGCCAATATCGGAGGTTATCACCATACAATCTCGTATAATATAGTTATCGATGTCGAATGTACCCATCAGCAGCTCCTGCTCATCCTCCACAAAGGCTGAATTCACTGGTGCCCACAATGTGAAGTTATCCAGCTCATTCAAGTACGGAATATACCCGCCTTTCTGAATCAGTGTCAGGAATGTCGAGAATTCGACGTTCTGAGATAGTATATCTACTACTGTGGTGAATGGGAAGTCGTCGTGCTCGTCTTGTCCTCTCCCATTCCTACCCACTGCACACGTCCAGCCAATAAACCATATAAGCACAAAGATATTCATCAATGCTTCAAGCAGACAAATATATATATATCTTTTCGGTAGCCAATTTTGTCAAGCCAAGCCCACCAAAGTTCGTTTGTCCAAAATAACTCCAATTTACCTCACAAAAAAACCGCTATAAAACCCAGGAAAAAGCCTTGCCCACAATTTCACACACTCTAGACACAGTTAAGCCCTACCTATGCGCCAAAAACACTATAAAGTAGTCCATTTTAGCCGCCTTTTCCTCGTTGACTCACCTCTAGAAGTCCCGGGTTCAATTTAAAGGTCCAGCCCAGGCAAACCGAGAGATTTGGGGATATCCACACATGATCTTCTACGTACATCGCTATTTTTGTTTGAAAAATTCTTCGTTTTCAGAAATTTTTGAAAAATTGCGCGATGAGCTTCTGGTTTGTGTGATGCATAAAGGCCATCAGTTCGATGCTCATCGCAATTTGAGGAATGAGTATTCAGCTGTTATTGGATGGGGATTACAAATTTGTGAGCGGGCTTTACAGTGGATAGTCAATTTGTCGATTGGGCGGAGAGAAGTAGCATGTCGTTTTTAGAGAGTTTAAGTGACCCGGTGAAGGTTGTCGAGGTTTCCAGCGAGGCTCCGCTAGAGTTTGTGAAGGACCATGTGGACAATGTGATCAAGCTTTCGAAGCAGAGCGGTCTGCGCAACAAGTTTGATCTGGAGGAAGTGACCATCAGTGGTCTGGATGCCAACCAGGTGTGGTGGCAGGCCAAGATTGTGCAGGATAACATAGAAGGTGAGCTGCTGGACCGTATACAGGAGCTGCGTGAAGTGCTCGGCGCTGGAGAAGCCTCCGATGTGTCTGGCGAGGAGAGTGAAGAGCAAGTTAGTGAAGACGAAGAAGATGATGAAGACGGAAGCGAAACTGAACCACTGGAACAGGACCAAGCAGTTGAACAAGAGTTATCTGAAGAGGAAGATGTCGAGTCTGATAATGGTGAGATCGAAGGTACTGATCTGTCTGATAAAGAAGAACAAGAGGCAGAAGTGTCGGAAGGCGATGAAGTGATAGCTGAGAGTAGACATGACAAATCCGATGAGGAAGTTATCCCAGAGTCCAAGCAAACAGAGAGTGAGGTGAACGATCAGTTCTTCAATATAGATGAGTTTAACAAACAGACTGACGACTCAAAGGACCCGCTAGCTCCAAAGGTGGAAGACGATGATGAAGACGATATAGACTATTTCGGTGATATTCCTTCTGAGGATGATGAAGAGGCTATATATTATGATGATTTCTTTGACAAGCCCGATGCTAAGTCCTCTAGGAAGTTGAACAGAAATGATAAAGAAGCTGAAAACAATGAGAGTGAAGACGAATTTATGGATGAACCGGATCTTGAGGACGATGACTACTATAATGAAGCTATGGATTCAGCAAAACTTGATCTGTTTGCGGATGCCGAGGATGAATCAGAGGAAGACGGAGAAAATGATGAGGAAAAATTATCTACATTTGAGAAGAGGCAACTAGAGCTAAAGAAACAAATTGAACAACTAGAAAAGGAAGCTATTGCCGAGAAGAAATGGGCATTGAAAGGTGAAGTAAAAGCCCAGGATAGACCGGATGATACGTTGCTGACAGAGGAGCTAGAATTTGACAGAACTGCAAAACCTGTTCCAATCATTACACAGGAAGTTACAGAGTCTCTAGAAGAGATGATTAGAAGAAGGATCAAGGAATACAATTTTGATGACTTACAACGTAGAACTGTTGCCGATCTAAACCTGGGTATGCGTAGAGAGAAATTCGAGCTAAGTGATGCCAAGTCATCGAAGTCATTAGCTGAGATCTACGAGGAAGATTATAAAGGCGTTTCAGAGGAAACAGCAGCATCTGAGGAGCTACAGAAAGAGCATGACGAGATATCAGACATGCTCACGAACTTGTTTTATAAATTGGATGCTCTATCTTCTGCCCATTTCGTACCAAGGCCAGCAAAACAATCGTTGGAAGTGAAGGTGGAGAGTGCTGCTATAGCGATGGAGGATGCCCAGCCATTGACCATGACCACAGCATCCACTCTTGCACCACAGGAGGTTTACAAAGTTGGCAAAGCCGAGAAAGACACAGAAATCCGTCTCAAAGACGGTACTGTCATGTCCAAGGAAGAACTTTCCAGAGAGGACAAGACCAGACTACGCAGAGCTGCAAAGAGAAAGAGATCCAAGGCTTTGCAAAACAAATCACAACAACCACAAAAGAAAAGCAAAAAATCAGATGTTATCGACACCTTGTCCAAGGCTAAGAACGTCACTGTTATCGATAATAAGGGTCAAAAGAGTGATGTTGGTGGTAAAGCATTAAAGGATAAGAAGTCGCAGCAAGCAGACTTTATCAAACTTTAGTTAATTCCAGCATGTATTTCATAAAATCTATCGCCATCTAGTATAGTTCTAATAACAAACCTGCATCTTAATACGCATTTTGACATAGCAATCAAGTTAAATCTTAGTTTTAAATGGTGTTCCACGTTCAAACGTTTTGTTTAAGAGATAAGTAAGTATATGTTGCCAAAAATTGACTGAGATATGATTCCCAGTTTTACCTAGCTATTAGTAAACTCTATTAGTTTTTGTAACTTAGCAACCATATTGCTGCTGTTAATATAATTGCCATTATATTAGATTCGCCATATACTGTTATACGACATGTTGCATCTGACAGGTTTTAGGCAAGAAAACCTGAATTGACAGGTGCTTGACATGAAGGACTGAGGGAATTGGCAAGCAATGGTGAGTCCGCTTGGACTTACATCTGTCGAATGCTTGAGACGGAGAACTAGTTTTGGGAATTCATAAGCTTAAGGTTATTTAAATTTGAGTGAGGTGGTTCTTCATTTTCTTTTATCTTTTGAAAGTCCTCTGAAGTCCTGGCCGGCGGTTTCCTTTTGTTGTGTCATCCTAATACCCAGAAGATAATATTGTGCATATATCTTAGGATTAGTAAAAGAGACTCTTGAAGGAGAACCAAGATCTTTATTTGACCCGACTGACTTTTTATAAAGTACCAATTGGGGCTGAACAATTGAAAAAATAGTATTAGAAAAGTCAAAAAGGAAAGGAAAGAGATATGAAAGGTTCCAAGGGAAGAACTGATTTCAATCAGAGGAAGAACTTCAATGCTGTGTCTCAATCTTCTGGATCTGGTTTGTTTCACGAAACTGGTGATGTTACAAGAGGATTTAGCGATAGGCTGGATTACTTATTGGTGAATGGTATTGGTTCCAATGTGAAGGTGACTACTACGGCTGGTATCCAGTATGAAGGTGTCTTGGCAGCTGCGAATACCGAGTCCACAAATGGTATTGATGTTGTACTAAAGCATGCAAAGGTCATTGATAATGGTATGGTCAAAGATATTGATGCATTGGCTAAAAGCATTGAAGACACGCTTTTGATCCAAGGTGAAGATGTTGCAGAAGTTGACTTGAAAAGTATTGATTTTAGTCTGGATGAGAAATGGGAAGCAGCTCAGCAGCAACTCGAAGAAAAGAAGGCAGCTGCTGTTGAAGCTGAAGCCGCAAAGAAAGCTGCTAGTCCACCATCTAGATCCACTTCCAATACACCTGCTGAAGGTAAAACTGGATTTAGAACCGATGTTGACATTTCTCGCGCTAACAAGGACATTAGGGAGCGTGAATTACAGAAATGGACACCAGATACAGACTCAGCCTTCAATGTCGATACTGTTGCTTTGGAAGATAGCAATGAGAAATGGGATCAATTTGCAGTTAATGAGAAAAAGTTTGGTATCAAGTCTTCTTTCGATGAACATTTCTACACAACTAAAATAAACAAAGATGATCCAAACTATGCCGAAAGATTGAAGGAAGCGGAAAGAATAGCTAAAGAAATTGAATCTCAAGATGCTTCTGGTAATGTTCATTTAGCCGAAGACCGTGGTATTGCCATTGATGATTCAGGTATGGATGAGGAAGATTTATACTCTGGTGTCGACAGAAGAGGTGATGAGCTATTGGCATCCTTGAAATCAAATGCCAAGCCAGCAGCACCGAAGCCAAAGAAATATGTTCCTCCAACATTGAGAAACCAGCCGCACCACATGGATCCTGCTATTATTTCTTCTACTGGCACCAAGGCTGTTTCACCCGTTACCAAGCATAGCGCAGGTTTACCAAGAAAGGAACACAGACACAAGAAAGTACCAAACTCAAAAGAAGCTCAAATTGAGGAATTGAGAAAATTCTCTGAGAAGTTTAAGGTACCATATGATATGCCCAAAGATATGCCAACATCTTCAAAAAGCACCAGTTCTTCAGAAAGTGCTGCTACAGAAGCTTCGGTTGACACACCAAACACTACAACTCAATCTCAACCTCAAGCCACTGTTAACAGCGGTTCTAACCTAAAGTCTGACCCAAGTTTGCCTCCAAAGCCAGTCAACAAATCCTCCAGTACCAAGTCGTCAGTTCCTCCAACACCTTCAACTGCTAAGGGTGAGTTGAAGAAAAGTTCCTCCTCTACATCTGGTGCTTCACCATCCTCTGCAACATCACCTCAAGCCACTGCGCATGGAGTCTCGCCAGCAGGTGGAAGAGCAAGTGTGTCATCGAGAAGACGCAATGCTGGCTCGTTCTTTGGCTCCAAAAAGCTACAATCCAAAGACAATGTGAGAAAGGCATTTGCTACTAGTTTCAACATGTTCCTAAGGTCGAAGGAAGCGCATGACCAGAAGGTTGCTGAACATGCTGCTTCTTCTTCTGATGAGAAGAAGCATGAGAAGTCACCAGCTGTTACTGAGCAATTCTTTATTGAAAAGCCTTATTTCACAGCCCCAACTTGGGCAAGCACTGTTGAAAAGTCTTTCAAGGAATTTTTCCCAGACGAGAGGAAGGCACTGCAGAAGGCCCAATCAAGACTACAAAAGAGACAAATGAACGCAATGAATGCAGGCATGATGGGTTCCCATGCACCAGGAGTTATGAACCCTCATATGGGAGTTATGGGCGGCATGGGAGGTCGTGGCAACATGTCAAACTTTGCAATGGCTCCAATGTCAGGTTCAGGTGCTAACCCAGCAATGATGAACAGCTTTGGTGGTATGTACATGCCATTCCAACCTCAGCCGGTATTTTATCCGGGTATGGTTCCAATGATGGGTACCTCTACCAGTGCTAATACTGGAAGAGGCAATGCCGGAGCTCACTCTGATGAGAGTGCTGTCCCAAGTGGCAGCATGTCTCCGCAAGCGATGTCACCTCATATACCACCAGCTTATATGGCTGGTGCCCCAATGGCCTACCCAGCACCACCAGGTGCTGCTCCATTCCACGGAATGATGGGTGGTATGCCTGATAGAAGCCACGGTAACTACTATCACAATAACCACGGCCACAGAAACAACCACCATCACTACCACTCTAAGCAGTATAACTGAACAAGTATGTACAAAACAACTTTACGTATTCTAAATAGTCTTGCCTCTATATTCCACGGAGGGCAGAACAAATTTTAATAAGTTTTCTAATTTCTTTTCATAAAATATGTCATACAAATCTCCGTATGTCAAATATGCTTATTCCTTACTTCCGATATCTGAGGATAATCACCAATCCCAGCTGTGCACTCGAGATCACAGCTTTATTTATAAGCTTTGACTTGTTCTCCTACATGCATTCGTCATCGGATGGTACATATTCTTGAGCCCGACTCATCCGATTTTTTGTTTGTTTTTTCACTTTTTCACATTTTCACTCGAGAAAAGCTAAACGACTATAGACAAAAAAGAAATGTCTAGCGATGATCAAGCTAGCAGAAGAAGCAATTCGACTCCCTGGTGCCCTGGCGATGCTGATCCGCGGACCATTTGATGAGTGTCGAGATCGGCCCTTGAAGTGAGCTTTTATATTTGTAAGCTGGGACAGGTAGCCGGCATATATAAAAGACAGCAGGTAATCTGGTGGCACTATAACGTCCCATATCCGAATACTACTTGGAGTTCATCCTGGTTAGAATAATTTCCACGCAGAAACACTAGTAACGACAGACAATGGCGCCAAACACCAAGTCGATTGAACAGCCGCTGATCTCTAAGGCTAAAATTTCCGGGAAGGGCCCGGATGGGTTTGCGATTGAAGAGTCCCTGCTTGAGAGAGGCCATTCCAGAAGGATGGGGCATCTGGAGAACTATTTTGCGATTATGCAAAGACAGAAGCTTTACACCAATTTCAACATGTATGGTGAGCTTAACAAAGAAGTTACCCGTGAGCAATTGGCTGTTGCGATTCGCCAAATTCTGCTGAGACATCCCATAATGATGCAAGCTATCATTCCTAAGAAGTTCCCAGAGCATGAGGAGTACTACACCAGCGATGATTATTACAACACTCCGTTCCCTGAGAACGACTTTTTAAGGGTAATCACCAGCAAGATCAAGCTGAGCGATATCATAATCAATGAGCAAAGCGAGGACTACGGTGAGATTATAGACATGATCCTTTCGGAGTACAAGAAGAACGGTTACAAGTTTGACGCGTACATGCAGGAGCTCATTGGGAACATTGTTATTCCTATCGGCAACCCAAACAAGCCTAACTGGAGGCTGCTGTGTCTGCCAAGTGCTGAGGGAGGCGGGGCCCAGTGGAAGAAGTTTGTGTATATAAGCAACCACTGCTGCTCGGACGCCATCAGCGCTGTGAACCTGTTCCAGGACATTGCGGAGAATGTGTCTCTTATAGAGCAGAACTCCTGGGCGGTTCCGTATGCGGATGATGTGATTGTGGACTATGAGCAGGACGTTGCGGACATCGCCAAGCTGCCGGCTCCGATCACTGAGAGGGTTGAGTACAGGCCGCCCTTGAGCAAGCTGCCCAAGATCATGCTGGTGTCGTTCCTGAAGACCGCGCTGAACTTCAAGAGTGATGCGCTGGAGACGCGCTGCAACGACGAGTACAGCGGCGAGCCCGAGACCAGCGCTGTGCAGATGGGGGATGTGTGCTACGACTCCATCCTGAACTACACGTGTGAGGAAGTAGCGGTCATCAGGGACAGGATCAAGCACAACGTGCACGGCAAGTGTACGGTGACGCCGTTCATCCAGGCGGCGTTCTTCGTGGCGATGCACCAGTCGCGGAAGCTGCTGGGCCAGAAGCAAGGGTTCAAGGAGTGGATGAGCGAGTGGGGGGTGGACATGGCCACGCCCAGCAGCACGAGGCGGTACCTGCCAGAGGACCCCGAGGTGCGTGACATGTACAAGTACGGCTCCAACGTCGGCGGCATACACTACCTGTACATGATCTCGGGTATGAAGGTCGAGCGCGAGGAGACGGAGAAGTTCTGGAGCCTCGTGGAGTACTACCACGACATTCTACTCGCGTCGCACAGCAACGGTGACCAGACCGTGGGGCTGGGCACGCTGATGCTGGACGTGATCGTGGACAAGAAGAACGTCGACAAGCTGATCCGGGACGAGTACCTGTACCAGAAGCGAGGCGGTGTCATCATGAGCAATGCGGGGTACTTCCACCAGGACCCCGCGCAAGCCTACCACGTCACCGACCTGGTCTTTGGGCAGAGACCCGGCGCGCTGAAGTTCAGCTTCGGCGTGAACGTGGTGTCGACGAACATCGGCGGCATGAACCTAAACGTCGGCATGGTGCGCCGCACGCTGAGGGACCGCGCCGAGTTCCGCGAGTTCATCGGGATCCTCGACAGAGTGATCCGCGACTTCACGGGGCTGAACTAGCGGCTGAACTAGCGGCTGAACTAGCGGCTGACGTTCTGCCAGCAGTGCTGCCAGAAGTGCTGCCAGAAGTGCTGCCAGAAGTGCTGCCAAGCAAATGGAGAGAAAGAGAGAGGGGTAGAGGATAAGAGGCTGGGGATCAGTCCTCCTTTGCCACAGCCCTTTGCGACAGCCCCTTGCGACAGCGGGTAAGTAGATGTATAAGCCAATGTAGTAACAGATTGCCGAGACTTTCTATGGGCACACCGACTCTATCACGTATACGATCGTATACGTGTGCTACCAACACCCAGACATGCACAGGGCTTGTTCTCGTACAGTGTCACCCCCGTTTAGAGACATCTCTGCTGTGCCATCCAGTGTCCGTAAACGACTAGCGACTCTTTGAAGGGACCACAAGGCAAGAGCGAGCTATACGAGCGGTGTGACTGCTGCGGTGTGACTGCTGCGGTAATCGGCTGTGATAACGCTGTGATAATCGCTGCACGCACCGCCTTATAGAGACCACTTCGGTCAAGGAAACACGTGATCAGCGAAACTAGCTGAGTCGTCTATGTCGTCTATGTCGTAGCAGTCGCGCAGGACAGCCAGCGACAGCCAGCGACAGCCAGCGATTACCGCAGCAGCCGATTACCGCAGCGTTATCACAGCCGATGAGCCAGCCGATGAGAGAGAGAGAAAGAGAGACGCAGCCCTGTGTGTGACAGATAAAAATCACATGGAGGAGGAGCCATGGGCATGTCTTTTGTGCAGGGTGTTCTGTGGCAGGATCGATATTTCCATTGTCCTCACAAAGAAGCGACCCAACTTCGTTTGCAATTTAACGGTGTTTAACTTCATGCCCGTCGTAAAAAATTTTCTTGCTCCATTGTTCCCACTCAAGTATATATAAGCTGGGATAAGTATAGTCAAAGATTTCGGCAATAGGTTGCTATTTAGTCGCTTAACACCTTATCAAGTGCTCTCCTGAAAACAATCAAGGACCAAAAAATTTATAAAGACTATCCCTCCCAAAATGTCTCTCACGAATGCTGATGAAACTGTTACTTACGATGCGCTGATCGTCGGTGCTGGTGTCATAGGGCCATGTGTTGCTACCGCGCTTGCCAGAAAGGGTAAGAAGGTGCTGATTGTCGAGCGTGAGTGGTCTCAGCCAGACAGAATCGTCGGTGAGCTGATGCAACCAGGTGGTCTGCGTGCTCTGAGGTCTCTGGGTATGATCCAGTCCATCAACAACATCGACGCTTACCCAGTCACCGGTTACACCGTCTTCTACAACGGTGAGCACGTCGACATCCCATACCCTTACAAGGCTGACTTGAAGCCAGTCGAGAAGTTGCCAGGCTTGGTCCGCGACGGTAACGACAAGGTCCTGGAGGATGCCACCGTCCACAAGAAGGACTTCGAGGACGACGAGAGAGAAAGAGGTGTCGGTCTGGTCCACGGTAGATTCCTGAACAACTTGAGAAACATCTGCGCCGCTGAGCCAAACGTCACCAGACTACAGGGTAACGTCGTCGAGATCTTGAAGGACAAGAAGAACGAAGTCGTCGGTGCCAAGGTCGACGTCGACTCCCGTGGTAAGGTCGACTTCAAGGCCCACTTGACCTTTGTCTGTGACGGTATCTTCTCCCGTTTCAGAAGAGAACTACACCCAGACCACGTCCCAACCGTCAACTCCTCTTTCGTCGGTATGTCCCTATACCACGCCCACATGCCTCATGACATGCACGGTCACGTCATCCTAGGTGACAAGCACATGCCAATCTTGGTTTACCAAATCTCCCCAGAAGAAACCAGAATCCTGTGTGCTTACAACGCTCCAAAGGTCCCAACCGACTTGAAGTCATGGATGACCAAGGACGTCCAACCATACATTCCAAAGACTCTAAGACCATCCTTCGACGACGCTTTGGCCCAAGGCAAGTTCAAGCCAATGGCCAACTCTTGGTTGCCAGCTAGACAAAACGACGTCACCGGTCTGTGTGTCATCGGTGATGCCCTAAACATGAGACACCCTCTAACCGGTGGTGGTATGACCGTCGGTCTAAACGATGTTGTCCTATTGATCAAGAAGATTGGTGACTTGGACTTCAGCGACCGTGAGAAGGTCTTGGACGAATTGCTAGATTACCACTTCGAAAGAAAGAACTACGACGCCGTTGTCAACGTCTTGTCTATTTCCCTATACTCCCTATTCGCCGCCGACAGCAAAAACTTGAAGGCTCTACAAAAGGGTTGTTTCAAGTATTTCCAACGTGGTGGTGACTGCGTCAACTTGCCAGTCGCTTTCCTGGCTGGTGTCCTACCAAAGCCATTGCTATTGACCCGTGTGTTCTTCGCCGTCGCTTTCTACACCATCTACTTGAACATGGAAGAACGTGGTTTCCTAGGTCTGCCAATGGCTCTATTGGAAGGTATCATGATCTTGATCACCGCCATTAAAGTCTTCACTCCATTCTTGGTTCGTGAATTGATCGGTTAATTTCAAAACAATTACGGGATGAAACGGACTAACATTTGATATAGACGTGTTTTGCACTTAAACGACTCATTGTATTTTCTCTTATTGAACTCATTTTTTTTATTTTTCTCATTTTATTTAAATATTTATTTCACATCTCTTTATTTCATTTCCTCACACAATAGAAAACTAACGATTAAAATACTAACTATACATCAACTCATATATATTTATGATCTCATTGTAATTAAGAGTAATTATTTATGCTTCTTACTTAACACTCTTCGCTCACTATGACCTTTTGTTATTATCACTAGGCTGGCTCATCGCTTTGATCACTCTTTCGGGGTTAAAGTGGAAAAAAATTCAGAGTGACTTCAAATAAAGTCAACTAAATATAAAATATAAAGTGAAGTTACTACTGTTTCTGTTATAACTTCAAAACCACAGCAATTAACTCAGATAATTACACTGCTCATTATTTATTAACGTGCTTCATAATGGATACCCCAGTTTGGCGCCGTTGGCTGAAAATTTATATCTATGGTGGTTCTATTATACTAGGGGGAGTGTTGCTGTTCAAGTACACAACACCTACTGATGAAAAACTAATAGCCTCGTTATCCCCAGAACTGAGGTTGCAATACGAGAAAGAGAGGAAGTTAAGACAAGAGGAACAGAGAGAGTTGATGAGAATAGTTCAGGAAACTGCAAAGAGTAACGAACCTATCTGGAAGACAGGACCAATAGATTCTCCATGGGAGAAGAAGAAGGGCGGAGAAGTTGTAAAGAATGAGAACTTCTTTGACAAGATACAGAAGACTCGTGCAGAAGAGGCACAGAAGGATGAATTGCAACGGATTAGAGAGGAACTTGACTCATTAAGAGCACAAAGTATGAAGAAGACCAGCGATATAGTCAATGAAAGGAAAAGCAAAGACTGGTGGAAGATTTGGTGACTAATTGTCTTGCCTTAGTTGCATTGAGCTTATTATTTATTCTATTTTATGACTTCTTTTATTTATTTGATGCATCCCGAACAACACTGTATATAGAAGGGATATCGCTTTAAGAATTCTTGTACACAGAACTTGATATATTATCATTTCAAATGGTGACATAACTCTTCCACAACTATATAATAGTAACTAGTGAAATCTGAGGGTTTCCCCCAACCAAATACAGTCGATGGAATACATATAATCATCGATTATTAATGATTATATCGTACATTTGAACTCTGCCAGTTTCAAAAGATATAGTGAAATACAGAAAATTCATTGACGTTTGTTGATATTTAATAATAGTAAAGCAAAACCCAGTGCGTTAAATCACTATAATGCCTAGATTGATAGAATTGATGGTCATAAGACAAGCGCTAAATTTACCTTGCCATTCTGCGCTATACCCATTTGTTATACTTTGACGATAGTCACATGAAAATTATATTAGGGAAGATCATATACGCAACTTTTACCTCCTGTTTTTAACAAGCACAAGCGCAAGTGGTTTAGTGGTAAAATCCAACGTTGCCATCGTTGGGCCCCCGGTTCGATTCCGGGCTTGCGCAATTTCTTTTTTTTCCATGTGTTTTTATCGTTTTTGACACTTGAAGCTAATTAAAGACATGTAAAGAATGCGATGACCCTTACTAAAAAAATAGCGTGAGATGCCTGACAAATTATAGCCGCTCTTAACTTTCACACCATATTATTAACAAAGAATAAAGTAGAGCTATTTTTGTTAAGAACAGACAAGAGATTTTGCCCATTAGGATCTTCAAAAAGTTAACAGAGTTCTGCGCACAAAAGGAAATAGATAAAGGTATATACAGACCGAAGTCGTTACAATCTCATGTATAGGAGTCGGAATAGAAACAGGCAAGGTGGGCCTAACTCCATCAAGGGCCCCAGCTCTGCTTTGACTCAATTTTTGAAAGAAGAAGGTATTAGTGCAGAAGCAATCAGGAATCGATGGTTGCAGAGGCAGGTTAAGGGTGGCGATAAAAAAGAAGGATCACCAGATGAAGACAAGGACACAGCATTCACAACAAATAACGATGAAGAAGTTAAGAAGGACTACGATTCTGAATCCACTTTATCAGATGAACCTAGACTGAAACGAGAGGCACTTGAAGCGAATATAGTCAGTGATGAGGAAGATGAAGAGGATGTTGAATACAAGGAGATCACCCCAGCTAAGGATGAAAGCGTCAGCTATGAAGAAAGGATGAAGCGCTTCAATCAAGACAGTGATGAGGAAGAGTACGATGAAAGTGCTTCGGCTTCTATCGAACCCCTAGTTTTACCAGAAAAGAAAGTTGATAAAGCAACAATTGAAAAGAAAGCAAGGACAGTTATTCAAAATAGAAGGAAAAAGCAAAGGAGGGCTGCAAATTTGCTGGATAGAAAATCAAACGCTGTATTAAGCTTACAAGCTTTATGCATAGCAAAGATCAGTCAGAATATCTACAAATGGCAAAAAGACTCGGAAGAGAATAGAAACAATGATCACAATGTGATGTTTAGTCATTTACGTGAGGTGCTTGGTGGTGTCTCAACTGAAAATTTGAACAACTTAGCCAATGCCCTGTCAAAAAACCGAGCATTGAATGACCAAACACTACAGCTTTTCCTTAAGACAGATCTTGAAGCATTGACTTTTCATGATTGCTCCAAAGTTTCTTTTGATGGTTATAAGACCTTAGCAATATTTACCCCTCATATCAAGAAACTTTCATTGCATATGTGTGGCCAATTGAACAATGAGAGTCTCTTGTACATAGCAGAGAAGTTACGTAATTTAACTTCTCTTTACCTAGACGGTCCATTCCTAATAAATGAAAAGACATGGGTTCAATTTTTTGAAATAATGAAAGGTAGATTGGAAGAATTCCACGTTTCCAATACACACAGATTTACGGATAAGTCACTTGCAAGTCTATTAATTAACTGCGGATCATCTCTGAAAGCTTTGGGTCTTTCAAGACTTGATGGATTATTCAATTATGCTCTAATCCCTCAATATTTATGTAACGAGGAATTTCACTCTTTAGAATTGGGCTATCCCTACAATGATGAAGATATTACCGATGAAGTTGTGATAAACATTCTAGGTCAAATTGGGCACTCGCTAAAAAGGCTGGTTCTTTGTGGCTGCTCAGATTTAAGTGATTCCGTCATAATAAATGGCATTGGGGCATTTATTGGGGAAAATAATCGGTTAGAAGAAATTGGCTTAGAGGAACTTGATCAGATCAGCAACGACTCTCTACTATATTTATTCAGTCAAATTCAATTTCCTAATTTGAGGGTATGCAGTTTCAGAAGATCTATACAAATAGGGGATGATACTATAATGGAATTATTTCAGAATGCAGCTGTGAACACCCTAGAAATACTAAATCTTAACTCGTTAAACAGCCTCACAAAGGAGTCTCTCTTGTTACTCAGTTGTCCACACCTGAAACATTTAGACGTAGCATTTGTGCGAGCTGTTGATGATGAAGTAGTAGGTAGACTAGGCAAGCAAAACCCAAAATTGTCACTCATGGAAGTATTTGGTGATCCACTTGTAACCGAGAAAGCCAAAATCAGACCCGGAATCACACTAACTGGCCGTCAAAGCGATAGCATATAGGTGATGAAAGACATAGAAGTTATTTAATATATAGATTGATGCATATATATTAACTACTGAACATTTAGCCCAATTACCAAATGAACAGAGTTATTTCTAGTCTTTATGACTACTTAAACCATTGGCAATATGGATGCCATCGATACCGTATGTAGCGATAGTTAACAGCACTAAAGGACAAAAACAAACAACAACGTGATCATAACAACAGAACCAGCTGCTGTAAAGGTACAACTCGGCATGCATGTAGTACTTGGCGCCATTAGTTAACTAATATTTTCAAAATTAGATACTATAAACAGATTTTATTACACTTTACCTATTATTTCCTAGCGAGCCTATTAGAGAATTTCAATACCGCCTTCTCCATGTCGATCAGACCGGCAAATATGATGGATTATGATCTTCCAGAAACGTCCTTTGAAGATATTGATGCAACGTTTAGTAGAGATGTCCCAACATCAAGTGTACGGAATACTTTAGATATGCAACAAAGCATGCCGGTAGAAGATAGAAAGGTGTTGCAAGAGATAGTACAGCCCACGCCATCATCTATAACAACATCCGATACTGGAACCATATTCTCAGGAAGCAGGAAACAGAGTTGGCTCAATAATCTAGCATCTGATGAAGACAAAAGTGATGGGTTTGAAGATGGTGAAGAGTTCTTGAGCGATTTCCAGGAATTTCAGAACAGAAAGGATGACTTTGATGAGGCCATTAAATCTCATTTCAACCTACAGAAGAGAAGCTGTCGGGGAGACTACGATTTGGCTACAGATTTTGAAAGAAAGGTTAATATCAATCCAAACAGTCAGAGAAGATCACTACGACAGCCAAGATCAATGATGGACATGCATCCACTAAGATCTGAAAACTCGTTCAATCCTCATAGACTTCAAAATAGTATATCAACAAACAATCTACACCGTCCTAATAGACTAGGGTCTTTACATTTTAAGAAATCAATGCCATCTCTTTCGTCTTATAATCCTGTAATAGAAGAAGAACCAAGGTATTGGAAAAAGTCTTGGGATATAGAAGAAGCTGAAGAAGATGACGACTATTTCGATGAGGACTTCGATGAAGATGGACAAGAGACATTTGATCTTGATGAAAAGACTCTAAAAAATAGAGTGCAGTCAAATATACCTACTAGTAAAACACCATTTAAAATATCTCCGACTCAATTTGATATAATCCAACAAGATGATCTACTAACTCCACGCTTGCACAAGAAACAGAAAGAGCTGAGGTATAAACATAATCTAGAAGCGTTTAAAGAAACTAGCAAAGCTAGAAGGCGACGTCATACTGCCAAGTCGAAAATACAAACTATCAAACAACAAATTGACCACAACACACCAATGAAAAGTGGCCTTATGTATTATAATCCAAAAAAAATGGCATGGGAAGGAAATGAAAGAGTACTGGATAAATTTCAGGATATTATATCTATTGACAAGCGTCCATTATTGATCAGGAATAAAAGTAATATTTCACCTAATGAAACTTTAACATACACTGGAAGTGACAACAACAACGTCCAAGATAATGGTTCCAACAGTACGTTCTCTTCAACCACAAATCCGCGAGTCGTAGGCAAAATGATGTTCGATGAAAGAAATCTAAGGTGGGTGAGTGTCAATAACGATGAAATTGATCCATTTGCAGAGATAGAAGAAAATATTCCTGAACCTATACTAGGTAAACCAAAACGGTCTTCACCATTTCTTCGATCAAGAAGTCAACTAATATCATCTAATAACCCAGAAGTGTCATTCACCGAAAGTGACGTCCCAGGAAATGATAAGTTTGCAATTGGCGTCAAGAAGAGGGATAGGTATGCATCCACATCTGCAGCCATAAGCAAACGTGCAGGCGATAGAGCCGATATGGAGAGAGTCTATCGCCTTTCTTCAAAAGAACTGGAGAGATTATATCATGAAGAAAACCGTTGGCAACGCAAAGTCGGTGGATGGTTTGTGCTAGGAGATGGCGACCAACAAGATCGAACAATGGCACAGTATGACCCCTCAGATAAGGGCAACAACTTTATGTATGAAATAAGAAAGATGGTAATCAACTCTACGAAAAATTGACTCCACTCCGTTAATAATCATGATCTGGAGAGCAACAGCTAGCATTCCATTTTGACCTGGCTATTCATTACCCCCAAATAAATACTATACTTTTGGTATGCTATCTATGATTATCACTATCAATGTCACATGAAAGTGCTCAAAGGAATTTCGTGATTTTTCCTAATCCGGACACAAGACGCGATTTTCCCCTGCGCAAATATTCTGGATCACCGAAAATGCTCGATATCGAAAATCATTTCATTTCTTGTTTTAGTATTTTGGAAAAAAAACTAATCGGGAAAGCTTTTGTGGTTAAAAATAGCTTGGGAGTCGTGATGGGCTTATTGATATTTGCTTTATTTGACGGATTATTGAGTTTAAGAATACTCAGATTTTTCATATTCATCAAGAAGGTACTTGTGTCTTCATATATATGGAGACTATCTACTGAGAAATCCGATTGTATCGTCGCTGAACTGGTTCAAGAGTCTATTCATCACAACATATTACTAACGGAAACTATCCTCATTGAATTTATTTTTGCATCACTGTACACTCGTTAACTTAAGTATAAGTGTCTCATTCCATTGGGGAAACTAAAAGGAAAAATACTAGCTTAAAATGCTGGGGAACGACTGGAAGTATTCCATCAACTCGAGAACATTTGATGATCTGGAGGAGGAAGAGTTTAAGAACTACAAGTTCAAAACTGTACTAAGTTATATCTTTGAAATTGGTGTAATGAATGGTCTGAAGGTTGCATTCTTTGTATCGGATATCTACACCTGTGTTAAGCTTTTGGCGTATAATAGCTGGTCTAATAATGTCATCAAGCCATATATTTCATTCAAGGTGACCAAGTGGTTATTTACAGCCTGTATTTTTGCATCAATTGTTATCCTTCTCATAGAGGCAGCTATTGGTTTTAGGATTTATCGTACCAGAAATATTTCTTTGACTTATGTGAACAACTTTTCTAGAAACACATACTCAATTAAATCATATTCGAAATTCTGCGTTTACAATAAGATAACACCAAAAGGGTTTTTTCAAAAAGTTTCTTTCTTCACATTTTTTGAGCTCAGAAATTGTATAAGGCTCCTTTTTACCGACACTCCAAGACAGGTATTCAACGCGTTGACCCTATGGTCTGTACTTGTCACAGTTAATAACGGTGCCGACTTGGGAAGACTGGAAACATTTCATGGATTAATCAATAAAATCAAAACTATCGCTGATACAAATCATGCAGAAGCGGTGATATTATCATTCATGCTGTTCTCTTTTGTATTATGGGCATTCTTTATGTTTAAGTTTTGCTTAGCCTTATTGTCTTCCATTTTTGTTTACTATAACCTAATTAGAAGACACAGATACGGTAGTCTAAAAGCATTCGTTTGCATAACAATCGACAAGAAAGTCGACGAGATGGTTAAACAGCATAAGAGTAAGTCTGCATTCCAGAGTATCACTAAAACAACATTATTACAATCGAACTCGATGCTGGATATCAAGCAAGATTTAGAGAAAAATACAGCAGAAACAACTTACGAGATATACAAGAAACCCAATTATGATTCTGTAAGATCTAACTTACATCTAGTGAATAGCAGTATAGAAGACGGGTCTACTTCCGAAGAATATGAATTGATGTATGAGGAACCAATGGTGAGGAACTCTGTTATTGACGGCAATGACTTATTGTTGGATTCTAAGTTTAACGCTAAGCGTGACTTCAACCAATATTATCAAAATGCTGCACGTAACCAGAGTAATTCCCAAGATGTAATCAAGGAAGAGTACGAGCCCAACTTTGACGTTATGGATTATGCATATAGTAATGGAAGTAACGAATGTCATGATGATGATACGGTTTGGAAAGATTCCGTACGTAGTGGAATCAGTGATAATATAAATTACGGCCATTCGTCTTCACGTGAACTCGATGACGTTACCCAATCTGTATACCCCCCACAAACTATCGAGATCTCAAGACAGATGCCAATTAATATGTCTACACATACCTTAGAACATGTCAGTTCTTCTGTTACATTAGATCAGCAGCCCAGAAGATCTAGAATACCACCACCACCAATCAAGACAGCATTCATTGACCAAGATATTCAACAACTACATGTATACACACCGGATCAAGCATATTTTAATGAGTTCACAAGAAACCAACACAAATTCTAATTACAGTAACTCGCTTGTTTAAATTCGCAAAACAACTAAACACACACAATACCCGCTATACAGTAGCTTAAATAATCTGCATATAGACTTTATCATTCATTAATCATTAATAATATCCTCTTTTTTTAGCATCGATTACGTGCTGAAGGTGTTTTTGTAAGACTGAAAAGATAAGCTACATTGATGATTGCTGCAGAGTTCTATCATCAGAAAACTGGGGAACTGTCCAAAATGGTCAGGAAGCATCATATTGTAGCGATGTGATCTTAGTTCATTGAGGTATTTTTTTATTATAGCATTGGTACTCAAAAAGTCACTAACTGGTAATCAACTGGAAATTTTGTAAGCATTATGATATTAGTGCACTACATGTGACCTATTTAAGTAGATTCGTAAGGTTGTAGGAAGCTAAACGCTCTGATGAGTGTGCGTCATGCATAAGTCATGTTATTCAGTTCACACTTGATTGACGGATGAGATGTATCCTTAAAGCCGGCAACATATAAGGAGAAACCTCAGAAGTAGGAAAGTGGAGAATTGACGTGACATGACGAGGTATCTCATAAGATACCTCGGGAACCTTGTGGGGCATAAACGGATGCCGCCTAATAGCTAGCAGCGTGCCCCACTAAATTAAAGATGCGGAGATTAAAGTTATGTTAGCATGACGTACATATGACGAATCAAATCTGAAGCAAGGTGTGACTTAACCTCAAGATCAGATAAGCGCTTAATAAAATAATTACCCCAATTACTTACCCCAACTAAAAGGAAACTCCGCGGGGTAAAAGGAGATCTTAAGATTCTCCATTCGGCCATAAGTTATCTAATCCGAGAAGGATATAAATAGCATCCGAATTCTCAGACGTGAGAATTAAAATTCGTTTCTTCAGTAAATTGTATTATTATACTTTCCTTATTCTTTCAGTAGAAAGATCACAATAAGAACAGTAATAAGAAATACCAAAAAGCTTATTCTAGTTTTCTAATAAGACTTATTATCATTTAACATTTTAGTTTTGATACTTGGTACAAGTTCAGCTTATATCGAGTCACACATTACTATTGTTTCAGAGTTATAAGTTTTAAGTTAAACCAGGAGAATCTTTGTTCGAAGAACGAGTCTTTATAAGTCACATAGACTTATTAGGTTCCTCTTCTGTGACACATAAGTGAAAGTCCGAACCGTTTATATATTACTGACCTGTATTTCTATTATCCAAACTATTACATCCCGTGATACGTACCGATCTACGGCTATAATCCGCTGAATACCTGTGACGAACTCGTACCCTGTATCTTACAAATTTCTCCAGAATTTAGAAAAATGAGGCTCGACATGTTTGCAAGCGTGATCAAGGTAACATCTGGTCCGTTGGCGTAATGGTAACGCGTCTCCCTCCTAAGGAGAAGACTGCGGGTTCGAGTCCCGTACGGATCGTTGCATAATTTATTATATTTTTTTTGTAACATAGATCACAGAAGTCACATGACATGACTTCGTCCATCTGGAAAAAAAATTCCAAAAAAGCGTTCTAGTAGAGCTCATCAAGCTCATCGCATATACTGCTAGTATACATTCTTTTCTCTAATGTAATATAAACCACAAATATATTACTAGGTTTTCAATACTGTGAATGTTTTTATATATAAAGCTAACCTAACTTGCATTTAGTTTAAGTTGATTGAACAACTTTTTGATTTAGATGAGTTCTGGTAAAGAATGTCAAATTTGTAAAAAGGATGACTTTAAGTATAAATGTCCCAAATGTGGTATAAAATATTGTTCACTAGCATGCTACAAGAACGAGGAACTGCATATACATAAGGATGCTGTTACAACAGAGCTTAAAACCGAACAGGAGGATAAAACGAGTGCTAAAGATAAAACTGAGTCTTCAGTGATAAAATTCAAGACGGAAAAATACCAAAATATATACGATAACAGTCCAGAGATACGCGAGTTATTGAATTATAATACAGTAAAATTCCACTTGGCCAAAGTACACAAGATTTTAACGACGACTGTTGCTGATTCCAACGATTCTACAACGAGCATGTCATCAGAGGCTAAAAAACAACTAGCAATTGACTACCTTAATACATTAAGGTATGGAGGTATCCATTATAATGAGGCTCTTGAAGAGTTCTGCCAGCTAACAGTTGCCAAGCTTCACAAATAGCACAATTAAATTACGAATTAGTTCTCCGGATATTTTTATTAATTGAAGTGCCAGTTATGCATATTATGCAAATTATTATGATGATCTCCTAATACTGCAAGTTTTAAAGTAGAAAGAACCAGATGATGACCCGACCTTCAGTTACCGGTTCTGGAGGTTCATATTCTTTTTTATATAGCACCGCTAGCTGTATCATAATCCATACCCCAACCCCATATTTAAATGAATCCATGGATGAGATTATTATAGTACATAGGATCTGTAATGAATGCTATACTTCTTTACTTAAATTTGCCTCAGAAGGCGATAAATCTGCAGGAATTGATATAAATATTTGAAAATTCATTACCTAAATATCAAACATGAAAGTTGAAACTTAAAAAGTTAATATATAATTGGGCACATGGCGCAGTTGGTAGCGCGCTTCCCTTGCAAGGAAGAGGTCATCGGTTCGATTCCGGTTGCGTCCATAATTTTTTTTGTTTATTTCAACTATATGGACTAGTAATCTAAAATTACCGACTTCTCTTCTATCAGAATAATAAAACTAGATGTAGCTATGATGATAATAATGTTTATGTAAGTTCATTATCATAATATCGATGATGACAACTGACGATAAATTTAATCTTAAACACTACATCGTCTACTTATGGACAATTCTACCTCGTCTACTTCTGTTGCCATTATTCTTCTAGAGTCAAACTTAACTGGGTTGACCACTCGTCTTATTACTAATATGTAAAGGCTTCTCGACCCTTACACCCTTGAGATGCTGTCATGTTCAGATTATGTCACCGATCGGTGATATATTTGCCAAAGTTTAGTCACTTTGCCACAATCGATGCAATGAATTTTTACGAGCCGTCAACATGAAATAGTTATATAAATATCCTGTAATTGTAAACTGATATTTAGAATACATTTACTTCTTTCAACTACGGTAATCCTGACAACTAATAGGAAATGCACACTGCAGACTTTCTGGACATCGAGCCTACCGAGATTTCATCAATCTTGAGTGGTGGCTACAACCACCCGCTGCTGAGGGAATGGCAAAGCGAACGTCAGTTGAAGAAGAATATGCTCATATTCCCATTGTTCATCTCTGACATTCCAGATGAGGCAACTCCAATTGATTCTCTACCTAATATCAAGAGATTCGGTATCAATAAATTGGTGGACTATGTCAAACCGTTAGTCGAAAAGGGCTTGAGGTCTGTTATTCTTTTCGGTGTTCCTTTGAAAGAAGGCACAAAAGACCCAGTAGGTACAGCAGCTGATGATCCAGAAGGTCCAGTTATTCAAGCCATCAAACTTTTGCGTAAAGAATTTCCAGAGCTTTACATAATCTGTGATGTGTGTCTTTGCGAATACACTTCTCATGGTCACTGTGGTGTGCTCTATGATGATGGAACCATCAACCGTGAGAGAAGTGTTTCAAGAATTGCTGCTGTAGCTGTCAACTACGCCAAGGCAGGTGCCCACTGTGTTGCACCAAGTGACATGATTGATGGTAGAATCAAGGACATCAAGAAAGGCTTGATATCTGCCGGTCTAGCCCACAAGACCTTTGTGCTGTCTTATGCTGCCAAGTTCAGTGGTAATTTGTATGGACCTTTCAGGGATGCCGCCTGTTCCAGTCCATCGAATGGTGATCGTAAATGTTACCAATTACCACAGGCTGGTCGTGGCCTTGCCAGAAGAGCATTGGCTAGAGATAAGAATGAGGGTGCCGATGGTATCATCGTGAAGCCTTCTACTTTCTATTTGGATATTATGCGTGATGCCAGTGAAATCTGCGAGGATTTGCCTATTTGTGCCTACCATGTTTCTGGTGAATATGCTATGTTACATGCTGCAGCCGAAAAAGGTATTGTCGACTTGAAGAGCATAGCTTTCGAATCGCATGAGGGGTTCTTGAGAGCAGGCGCAAGACTGATTATCTCCTATTTCACCCCAGAGTTTTTGGATTGGTTGAGTAATTAATGTTGGCTAGACGCTAAATTCAATGATTCTCTCTAGTTATTCAGTAATGATAACTTGCATTATTAACGTTGCTTGGGCAAAAGTAATAATTATTTATAATGAGAAAGACTTTATTAGTCACTTCTAATGGTGCTATAACGAATATTAGTTTTATGAAAGTACTATAAAGATGTAAATAAATAGTAAATAATTAATGTTTCATAACCACATAACAATAACTACCCATCATTATTTCTTTTCCTTTTCAATGCCCAGGACCGTCATTAGAGGTGCCAATTGATCCGGACCGAGCTGAATACCTGCCTTGTCCAGGGAACTTTTGAATTCATTCATGGCAAGTCTCAGATCCTTATCCATTAGAATCTTGATCATTTGCATTGGTTTGAAACTTCGCTGACCATTGGCATCGTGGTTGTCGCTATTAATGAGATTCTTCTCGATCATAATCTTACTAACTTTCTCCAGCTTTTCCATAACTGCAGGATTAGCATGAATCTGATCCATCAATTGCTGAACTTTTATATGCGCATCCACTTTGTCGTTATTATAACGGTTATCCCAGGACTGAGCGTATGCCCTTTGGGTTACCCTTACGCAGGGTAGAGTTCTCATTACGCCAGCGTACCTGGACCTGAAAGCTGCTCTCGAAGCCAAAATTGACCTCAACATTATTTCGTTTATTTATTAATTGCAATTTGTGTTTCGATATGGTACTAAGGGTAGTCCTCGTCCACTACCGCAACTACCTCTTATGCTTTATTTGTAGCTTATTGGCCTGAAATTGGCTGAGGTCTGGAGGTGTTCTGTAGAACGAGAGTTGAAGATGCTCTGTGATTCCAGTTATATAGTCAATCAGATGATGTTTTGGTAATTGTTTCTAAGTCATAATCATTCTAGTTACATACCACAATCCCATATACAAAACCGTTGTATTTTATATATAACATAATTGGTCTTACACCGAAAGAGCATCTAATGATAATGCCACAGGGCATCAGTCAGTTTATCAGACTTAATAAGAAGCCATCTCGGGAAGAGAGTTTTACAAATCGATGGAAAACAGGGTAGTTTATCAAGAGAATTTCCATCTGTTACCGCAGGCCTCACAAGTACAGAAAGTTGTAAGAGGTTCATCCGCAGATCTTGTTTGTAGTTGGTAGTAGGAGACTTTCTTTTCTTTACACTTACCACAAGTGAATCTGTCTGTCACCGACCTCTCGATAGTGGCACCTTGGGCGTTGAACAAGTTCTGTTTCTTAATCTCCTCCATCTTCTTCTTTAAATGCTCAGGGGCCAGATCCTTTGGATCGCTGTTGACCAATTGCTCTGGGGAAAGATCTCCATTAGCTATCTTAACTTTTAAATCAGGGTTATTTCTGGAGATGATGTTGGAGTAGATCACACGATATTTGTCCTTATATTCTTTCTCCTTTATGCTACTATCGTTCAACTTATGCATTTCTTCCTCTATAGCAATACTTGTCTGTAGAATAGACTTTGGTGGATGTTCGCTGTCCTTGGCCAAGGCATCGTAGAGTGCTCTTATCACTTGGTCTCTCAGCTTATTGTTATGCACATTAGGGTCCACGCCGTCATTCTTTGTATTTCTGATTTTGCTGCTGACGAACTTGTCAGTCTTGCGTGGCTCATCGCCGGACTTCGCACCGTCGTTATTGCTACCATCAGCGGCACCTCCGCTAGATGCAGAAACACCCTGCTGAGGTGGCTGTTGTTGTCGTAACTTTGCCTTCTTGTGCTTGTTGATGGCGTCCTTCCACGCACCAATCATACGCTTCACCAACTTCGATATCTCAGCATTCTCGCTCTTCTTGAACTTGTTCACCTCGACACCGACTTTCGTCTCTCTGAGTAGCTTCTCCGTAGGGACTACTTCCTTCTCTAATATCCGCAATATCTCCAGCACCGACTCGTCGTTGCCCTTGGACTTCTCTAAGTTGCGGACATGCACAACCACATCTTTGGCGTCCATCATTCCAATTCCACAAAACTAGGCAATTTATCTCACTGAAAACTGGGCTAAACAGAAATATGTCCACACCAATTCGAATGCACAGTGACTCTCCAAATAGAAACCAGATGAATATCCTATTTCTATGCAACTTAACATCTTATAACTGCCAAAATGCCAGTTTTTTGAAACTTTTCAGCTTTTTTTCAGAAAATTTGTGAAAAAAAAGCGAATAAGCTTGAACTTGCTGGAACTTTGGCTTAAGATAGGTATAAATCCTTCTGAAGCCAATAATAACAGTGTGTTACTGAAGTACTGTGCTAACAGTCGTTTTATATACTGGATAATTTGAGTGCAAATTGAGTGGGGTAGATTTTGATAAGAGACTATGGCACCATCACAAGGGAATGCTGTTCAGAACAACCCTCCATCGAGGGTAGTGTACCTTGGCTCTATTCCATATGACCAGACGGAGGAGCAGATATTAGATTTGTGTAGCAATGTGGGGCCTGTCGTGAGCTTGAAGATGATGTTTGACTCGCAGACGGGGAAGTCGAAGGGTTACGCTTTTGTGCAATACCAGGACCTGGAGTCCAGTGCCTCTGCGGTGCGAAACCTGAATGGGTACCAGCTGGGGTCACGGCTGCTGAAGTGCGGGTACTCTTCTAACAGCGATATCACTGATCAAGGCGTTGGGAATGCGAACAACAGCGCTATGGATGAATACAATGAGGAAATGCTGTCCAATAGTATAAACAGAAGATTCCCACAACTTCCGCAAGGTGTGGACGTCAATATAAACATGACCACTCCAGCTATGATGATCAGTAGTGAGCTGGCGAAGAAATCTCCACAAGAACAGAAAAACTTGTTAAAAGTCTTCCAAAAGTGGACACGGGAGAATCCTGAGGATGCTGTATATTTGTTACAAGAATGCCCACAACTTTCCTTTGTAATTGCAGAATTGTTATTGACCACTGGCATAAGTAAAGTCGATGAACTGACGCAGCTAGCTGAGAGTAACCAAACTGGCTCCCAGGGTAATATAACTTCAGATATTTTGAATAATGACAAAACAATAGACCCAGCTGTGCGGGCCAAGAAAATAGAGTTACTAAGACAAGTTCTTCAACTGAGTGACGGAGAGATAGCAATTTTGCCTTATGATGAAAAAATGGTAATTTGGGACTTGAAGCAAAAGGCTTTGAGAGGAGAATTTGGCGCATTGTGAGACATACCATTTTCTTTTCGTAATGATATGCCGTTTTTCTTCCACTTTCCTATATTTAGTATTTTGATGTTGATGGTTCTGAAGTCGTTGTGCTTTGTATATATTTATAGAAATGTCTGTATGTCTCTATAGCATGCATAATGAAATTTATTCCGATGAAAACTTTATATAGAGTAGAGTGATGTTTATAAATTTGATACAACTGGCAATATTGCAAAGGCAATATACCAGTAAGTGTTCCGAGAGTAAATGTTTTGTTTTTGACTCTGAATCAGATTCATATTAATATTGAGCAATAAAAAAGGTAACTTAAAATTGAGGAGGATCACTCTCAAGCTCGTGCAAACGCTTGTATTCTAATTCCTGCTTATCTTCAGAAGCAAAGACATTTTCATTTGCGCTGTATTCGGGTACCGGATAATATTCCTCATAGGCATTAGCAGGTGACAGCCATTCGTTTAACTGATTACCCATCTTCGTTATATCTTCGTCATAGGAGTCAGTAGATGACTGAGTATCTTGTTCGAAAGAAATGTATCTATAACGCACAATACTGTTCGATTCTATCGAACCCGAAGAGCTTGTGTTTTTCGATGTTCCATTCGATTTCATGACCTTACCCTGAGATAATTTTGATATCTCTAGCTTAGCTAAATCAATTGCAGGAGATGACCTCTTATTGCCTATTATTGTTTCAATGGAGAGACCTGCAACATTTCTCATGCGTTTCAATCTTTCTACATCAACCATGTCATCAAATATTATTGTCTGTTCGGCCACATGAATTTCATCAATATTTTTTAAACCGAACAATGTAGACTTATTGAATGCTGAACCAAATTTACTCTGGAAGTCATTTCTCGAACTGTCTATACCACCATTCGACTTTTCGTTATTAAGAGAAGGTCGTGGTACTTCCCATGCGCCATTTTCATTGACGGATGCCGGTAAGTTCAGCTCTTTCAAATCTCGTGGTATCGTCAGAGGTTTTTTTGTTTTTTGCTTCTCCAGTATATACGATAACGGTTTCTGGGAATGGGAATATATTTCAAGCTTCCTGGATAAGTTTATTACCACTTCAACGAAATATTGAAAAGTAAAATGTTCTGGCAGGCTAGTCATTGATGCAATAATGTCATTCGGTACTTTTAGATAAGTAGAAATGGTATTTTCCAGTTTATTGGATTCTATAAGCAATGGAGAAATACTCTGGCATATATCTTTTCTATAAATTTCCTTTGTATCCTCCTTTCTGCCACTAGCAACTTTGCATACCCTCACTAAAGTTGCAATAACTCCAGCAGGGTGGTAATATTCCCGATAGTGACTAACATTGATAGTTAGGGGAATGTATTCACCCTGCACAAAACCTGAATGCGGTAAGCGGACATCAATTTTAACAGTTTGATTATCTGCATCCCTGTTCATGCCATTGGTGAGCACAGCATTATAAGATACTTGTGATGATGTTTCAGGAAGCTGATTTATCTGGCCTGTAGATGCCTGAATGCTCTCGGATTTTGAACCTTCAGATTTTGATTTCTGGAGAACTTGCCTTTGTGACAAATTGTTAATTATTTGCGATTCCGAAATAGTTTTCTTTGTACCTTCGCTTGACCCATCGCTAGTAGTAAGAGTAGTCACATCACCATTTAGATGACCATTGTGGTCGTTGCTATTTATTTTGTGAGATTTACTCTTAGCATTCGAGTTCAGCAGTATGGTCTTGACAACTACATCACTATATCTGTAAACATCTATTGGCACGAGTATATTAACTTTCGTGCGAACCTTTGCGCTAACACCCTCTGGCTCCACAACACTCTCAAAAACTGCCATCAGATGGTAAGAAACGGAACCTCGCTCAAACTTTATAGATGAATGTATCTTTTTGCCGCTCGGTACTCGTATACTAAAGGGGAACTTGTGCACACCTTTTGTGAGCCCATTGACTGTAGGCTCCATTTCGTCTGTATCCAAGTCACCGTCGTCTCCATATAGCACTGTCGACTTCTCCATGAAGCAACCACCCCGCTTGTGCGCCGTGCCGTACTTGGACTTCACCTCGCCGATAAATGTCAGCCGTACCCTCACATTTGCCACGTTCTGCTTCAAGTCCAGTAGTACCTGCCCAAACAGTACGTCCCTAGGTCTATATGTCGCATGGGGGTCATCCAGCGTAACTTGTAGGTGACGCACCGCTTTCGCCAGCCGCGAGGGCTCGTCCTTGGTCTTCCTGAGCAGCTTGATGAACGCCATCCGCACTGTCAGCTCCTATCCCGCACTAAATCTACTCACCCGCAAGCTGAGCTCTTGTCTCAAGCAGAACCGTATAACTTTAAGCATTCTGTGACGCCCAAGAGGGCACTTCCTTTCAAGAACTCTTATGGTGAAAGGACAGCTTGTGAGCTGAGGGGCAGAGCTGCCCTGTGTGTGAGAAAATATCACAACATAGAGTTCTGCGCTAGTTTCACTGGATAGCCTTCATATATGCTCAGAAGCCAGCGTGGAATAAACTGCTCAGTATTTGCCTATTAATAAAAGCATTGTATTACAAAGTTGGAGTACGTGGTGTGGTAATTTCTGTGCAGTACCTTAGAAATTTGCGCATGTCCTAGGGTGCTGGATCTAAATGTTTAAATAAGCCAACAGGCATAGAAACACCTGCAGTAAGTAGCTTTTATTAGGGATGAAATGGAATTAGTTTGGATACTGCGGTGCTCTCTGCGACAAGAGAGAAACTGTCCCTAGAAATACCCCCAGACAGCTTCTCCTTTGTGGTGTCCCTACAGCTCTTCTAGCTTGTGTGGCGTGATAATTAGTCTTCCCTTACAACTCTGTGGAGGTGCTGCGATTTCGTATTATTTTCTCTTGGTATTTTTTCCCCTTTGGGAAATTCCCATACAACCTAGATGTAGCAATGCTAAGACAAGTGCGTACATCATATACTATATGATACTGTGTAATTACTGTGGCTCAGCATGTGAGTTGTGATACACGGTGGGCTGTCATGTCATACAAGGATGGACTCCAGGATGTGGCCAGAGAAGAGCAAGGAGAAACAGGAAGACAAAACAACCTTGCCATGGAAAACGCCAAGAATTTTTGGTTAAAAGAGGATTTACTAGATACATGTCTGCAGGGCTTCTGAGAGATGACATGAAGCTGTACCTGGATCTCTGAGGGCTTCTCCTGTATCGCTATTCAATCGAAATTTCCTCTCAGACCTCAGTGGGTTTGACACTTTCTATTGTTCCGATAAAATGCCGACAGTGGGCCAATACCTGGGTGACGCACAGAAAGGGCGCGTAAGGGGCACAGCTGATATCTGTCAAATTCTTTTGTCGGCAATAGGACCTGGTCGGCATTTCAGAGGTAAATAGGCGTGCTATGACATAATCAGGTTAGTCTTTAATTAGTTTCCTAGTTAGGCGATGTCTTTTATATTAAACTATAAATTTGCATAACGTACTACTGCTGAGAGCTATACTCAAAGGGACGAAAATAATGTAGAGTGTGCGGAGCTGGGCAAAAATGAGCGTGAACTGAAGAAACATGTATTAGATATGGATAACGAGTGTAAATATAATCAGTATGAGTCTCCAAAACGACTTTAATGTAGTAGCTTCTCCTTCAAATATCGACACAGAGTGGGAAGAGGTTACTGTTCTCGAGGATCCCACCGGAGACACTATAGTGGGGCTGGTTGGTAGGTCAGATTCACTATCCGGTGTCGATGTCTCCCCTGCTGACTCAACGGTTTCTCTTGCTGGCGATTTCTCAACAGCAGTCTTAGTTGATGGGATTGGAGCAGTGGACTTGGCCTGTGTAATCACTGCAGTCACAGGGCAACTGTGCTCAGTAATTGTCACTGTCTTAGCTGAACCTACGTAGATACTTTCAGGTGGACCAGCCTCAAGTTCTACAGGAATCATAGAAATACCAGTTACAGTGGCATGTACAGTCTCCTTGATGTACTTAGTTACCGTTATTGGAGCATTCTCTGAGATAGTAGATAGCACCGAAATGTTTCCGTTAATGGTATGTGTCACCGTTTCTCGCAAGACAGTAGTAACAGTGATATAATTGCTAACCAAGGCGCTGTCCTTACCCGTATGTATTTCATTGGAGGCGTTATTCCAAGGTGAATTTATGGAAATATTTGTTGCTGCCAAGTTCTGTTGCAGGGTCGTTTTATAAACTGTCGTGATTATCATTGATTCAATGGCATGTGGTGTAGTCACACTAATAGACCATGTGCTGTTATATCGGCATCTTTCTGGCAAGACCGTCAAGGTTGAAGTTGTTGTTAACGTGCGTTGAGCTGTTGTAGTCGTTGTGACTGTGTCTGGTGTGTTTTCGCAATCTGTGTACACGGCAGGAGGGCAAGCTAAGAATTCATTGTCAAACACGGTAAAAGTTGTTAACACAGTCTCTGTTCTGTTATATGTAAATGTTACATTAGTTGTTAAAGTTGATAGTATACTTTCGACAGCTGTTTCCGTTTTGGTTTGAGTTTCGACAGCAGTGACCCAAGTTGTATTGTTCAACTGAATAAAAGAGGTTATATTTAGATATGCTGTATCAGTTACAGTTACTGTCGCCGTATCGGTCATTTTTACCGTTTCTATTGTAGAGAGAGTGAGACTAATTAGCTCCGTGATAGTACTAAAAACCTCTTTAGTTGTATAGTGGGTTGCTTCTTTAAAAGTCGTTTTCTGGACCGTATTAGTTACAGTCTCAAAATCGGTTTCTGTTATCGTTTGATTTTCAAATTCTGTAGTAGTAGTTGTAGAACGATCAATAATTGTGGATGTGATATAAAGAATACTGTAATCAATGCTATTGACGCTTAGATACTTTGTATCATAAACGATATTTGTGATGGTTTCATTAACATATGAAGTTATTGTACGAGATGTTATGTCCGTCCGTGTTACTACATCTGTGGTGTGAGTAACAGACGTGATGTATATTGTCTCGCTATATGTTTCGGTAATACTAGCAGTATTGGTGATCGTCTCTGTTGTTTTTTGAATTTCTGTCGTTGATTTTGTTTCTGTTGTCAGTGTGGTTTTAATTTCAATCTCAGTCTGCGTTTTAAACTTAGTTTCCGTGGTTAAAAGTGTCTCAACTTCTATGGTTGTTGTTGTCGTAAACTTCGTCGCAAGTTGTGTTATTGTTGTTAGTTCGGTCTTAGTTGTAACTTGTGTATCAATTTGGATTTCGGTTATCACCTCAACTTCTGTGGTGAGTTTAGTTTCCGTAGTTAGTTCAGTAGTGACCTCGGTTGCTGTCTCAGTAGTTAATTTCGTTTCAGTGGTCACTGTGGTCTCAACCTCGGTCTCTGTTTCGGTGGTGAGCTTAGTTTCCGTAGTTAGTTCAGTAGTGACCTCGGTTGCTGTCTCAGTAGTTAATTTCGTTTCAGTGGTCACTGTGGTCTCAACCTCGGTCTCTGTTTCGGTGGTGAGCTTAGTTTCCGTAGTTAGTTCAGTAGTGACCTCGGTTGCTGTCTCAGTAGTTAATTTCGTTTCAGTGGTCACTGTGGTCTCGACTTCAGTTAAAGTTGTCAATGAAGTTTCCAAATCAGTTCTGGTGGTACGAGTAGTTTCCGTTATTGTGACCGTTATTGTTACTTCAGCAGCATGTGGAGGCGGATCTTCTGGCTTCGTTGGAGGTAGGTCTTCAGGTATCATGGGAGGCGGATCTACTATGTTGGGTATATTAGGGGGAATAGATGAGGGTGACAAAACTGTCTTAATAACACAAGAAGGGCATATTCTTGTAGTGATTGTAGTTGTTACTTTTATTGTTCTAGTCGATTCCTGTGCATTCCCTTGAATAGCACCCAAACTTAGTACCAACAGATATACTAAAACTTGTGCTAACATTTCACTAGTTTGATGCTAGAAGAGTGTCAGTTCACTCGAAATCCAGCTCATTAGTCAATTTTAGAGAAATCAAAATACGCCTGATGGCAATTACATTTCATAAATTACATTTTAATTCCTTTTATATTTCATAGTATCATTTAGCATTATAATAATCGTAAAAACCTCTTGACTTTCACTTAAAATATTGCCAAAAACATGTTATCTGATCAATTTAACCACCATGCACAGTTTTTAGCATAGTTGATAACCACACATCCATGATTTGAGTAACCTCATTCAGGGCTAGGCCGCAAGACGCTTGTGTAAAGCGTACTCTATCAACGCGACAACGGAGCTTTAGATACCTTAGAGCGCCATTATCCATTTATCCATTATCTTATTCGATTTGAAACACAGTCTTGATTGATCTGACATAATATGTGTATTGAAATCCAAGATCAAAGCCGATCCAACAAAGCTTTGTTATTGATCATCGGGTAAATTTCTGATTATCATCAAAAGGATGTGCATCCCCAAAAAAGAATAATATGCAAAACTGCTCAAAAACACAAGTTATCATATAGAATCTCTATAATCTTGTAATTTACCCATTTGGGAAGATTACATGACCTAGCAAAATAAGTCTACTCAAGCTGAGTGCTAAATTCTGTTTCAGTAGTTTAAAATCTTAGAGTTGCGCTACTTTCTTTCAGTGCTTTCTGAATTTCCAAAAATGACATGAATTTCTCGACCTCAAAGACCATGGACTTGATGCAAGGTTATATTAAATGCCATTTAGTTAAACAATTACCATGATGTCACCAGTGATTTACCATGAAGGAGCCAGTTTGGGTGGAGTTCCCATTCGCATGAAATCAGATTTACACTTTAAGATTGTTCGATATAGTCTTTAGAGCTAGGCTCACCAGAATCTATACCCCAATGCTCTAACACATCTTACAATCTAGGTACATAATAAAGTTATGCAGTTGAATATTCTGGGTTGTAGATATCAAGTCAGGTTCGCAGAAAGTGTGCGGTATAGATAGATTTTCAGCTTGTTTTAAGTTAATGAATTGCAACTATGGTTACAATGGAAGCATTGAAACAAGCTGGGAAGTGTAAAAGTTGTTGTATTTCTGGACGTTCGAGTATAAAGTATATTTCATTTTGTTAGCTCGAACTATGGTAGGCATATGTTCTACAAATATTCAACCAATGTTTAGCTATTGGGTATAATATTGCAGTTGCTCCTATGACTGACATTTTGAGGTATGGAAGTTTTAGCAGTACCTGTAATTAATCCTTTACAAATATTTCTACAATAAGTGTGACTCAGTCTTATGTTCTATGGTAGTTATTTAATAACAAAAGTAAATGTAGCGTTTGCATAAGGGCATGAACAAATGCTCTACTGAAAGGCTTTAGTGTATCGATATGTGGCTGTAGATAACCTCTCACAGTTACAGACTATGTATCGAATCTTTCTTGAGGAATATGCATTAATAAATGAGCATGCTAAGATTTTCGAAGAATAATCTTAGTGAACATGATGCAATACGCACCATCAACATACCATCAAATTAGTATGGTTTCGTGGTCTAGTCGGTTATGGCATCTGCTTAACACGCAGAACGTCCCCAGTTCGATCCTGGGCGAAATCATTTATTTTTTTGATTCCTTAGTATTTGCTAAGGCACATATTAATTGCAGGTCATTGGAATAGAACAAAACATTAAAGCTAATTTAAATTACATCAATAAAGTGATTTTTTAGCGGTTCTCGACTCACACTATGGGCGATTCCTTCATGAGGAAATCATCGAAAATACTTTAAAATAATTCTATTATATTACAAATATCTAACATAGTCAAAAAACTGAACGATCGAGGTCGGCATAGTTGTCTATTTCAAGCCTTCATACTTGTCATACACATTCAACTAAGCACACTTCGATAAGAATTATGCTATATATGATGCTGCACTTTCCCTCAAATTTCAAGAGAAAAGGTTATTAAATTAACAGCTTCAAGCTAATTGTAGTGGCTGGAAAAAATGCATAAAATACCAGATTCTATCCATTTTAGAAAGTATTCCACATACCAATCCATCGCTTGTATGAAGCATAATAACAAAAACGCTATTCGAATTTGAAATTTGAGGTAAAGAAAACCCCTTCATAGAGGCTGTAAGTGGTCAAATAATTTGCAGTGCAAAACAAACTATCTGCCGGGAAGGTTGCTATTAGCCGCTTCTTCCTCACCCTTGGAGATACACATAGATTTGGTAGATCTATGATGTAGGTAATAAGGGATAGAGAAATCTTAGGCATCCAATTATGCACAGGTAGTTAAGTTCAAGTCGATTCACCATCCCTGCAATGCTATGAAATTAAGCAAAGCATTTTAAGCAGCATTTGGATGACAATTCCCACAAAACCGTGTTTCTCAATATGTGACTGTAGTTACCTTTCTCTTATTAATTGTTAGACCAAAGGTAGGAGACAATCAATAGCATCGAAGCATTGATATTAGGGTAAAAACAGAAATTGAGATTGTAAACATATTCATCTAAGCAACAAACATCATGTATAGCGGTCTTCTCAGATCCAAGGTATGGATTAAAAATCTAAAAAGTTAAATGGATCAGAATGGGATCATGAACTAAAGAAGACAATGCATATTGTCCATCTACACATGTACAATAGTCTGCTAGTAACACACTATCAGTATCCATGCAAATGAAAAGCAACCCTCCCTACTTTCATACAAACAACCAAGAAAGGCACAGATATTTTTAGTTTTTTGCCTCTTATGCTATAGCCCTTTTATACAAGTATTTCAGATATGAATCGCATCTCAATTTATGAAAGAAGAAGGGTTCATCCATAAATAATGATTGCACACATGGGTTGTTTACGACACCGAAATTTACATAATAAAGCAAAATCTCTACCAACTGTAGAAAAATAGAGGGAGCATATGCAGAAGAAACATTTCAGGTTGGCTAGATCAGATTTGATCTTGATGGCCTTCGCAATTACATACTAGAGAATGCTTTTGAAATCTCGGGGGAAATATTACATCGCTGTTTTAGAGCTATGACCATCTATGATCTAATGTTTTAAACATCTTCAATAAGCCTCGCGGTGAACAGTTTCAGTATATCAACATATCGGACATATAATACACTTCCCATACAAGTACTAGAACAAATTATATAAGAGTTAGGACAAATTTGGACAATAGAATTGATGGGATATGATTTCACAAAGCTGTAGATCAAAGCATATTTAAGCTTCTCACTGATGAATAGTGTTAGGCGGTCTCAACAAATGGACACCGACTATTAGGCACTCTTGACTGTTCGTTGATGAATAAAAAAATTCATACAATACAGGTCGATGAAAAAAGAGTTGCGACCCATGATTTCTCGTAGATTCGTGTTTAGTACTCTCTCTTGAACAACATTTCAACTAGCGCGAAGGTGATACGTGTCCTTTTAATTATAGGCACATGGTAGACAAAAGAGCAATCATAAAACATTAACATAGAAACAAGTAATACTTTAACTAGTCCATAAATAGGGTTACAATTTAGCGGAGTTTCATGTATACTATGCTAGTAGAAAAGGCCCAAATCCAACAGGTTGAGTTAACTGTCTGCTACCTATTGCCAGAATAATCACAACGTAAACAATGACATGATGACTACCGTTTAGTAATTTAGTAATAAAACAGCTACAAGGCCCAAAGTAACTGGAGAAGGTGACGTATACCACTGTTATAAGTCCGAGTATTGTATAAGTCAAGGACATAACGACAGAAAGTTATTGCTCTTCCTTTCTCGGGAAAGTGTGCAAAGATTTCTAATTTAATTCATGAGTAGGCAATGCTCTTCAATCTCTCCATGAACTCGGTATTGGTCTCGCTCGAGAGTGGTATCAAGTCTTCATGTTTCAACCTCTTCATAGCATCGCATAGTTCAATCGCAGTAGGATTAGTCGCCAAGATATGACCAAGGTTTTGGAACTTCTCTGCGATCTGTTTCTGGTGGTTATCCATCAGTGTGTGATTAACTACCACTATAAGTTTTTTATTCAACCTGAGCGAGTCCAAGATCGACCCCGTGCCCGCATGCGAGATAACCACATCCCCGTACCGGTCGATGATTTGTAGGATATTGTTAGAGTACGCGAAGCCCAGCACCACGACATCTTGCACTTTGTAACCCATCACAGTCACTCGCTCATCCCGGACTAATTGCCTCAGCTCGCTGACCTCTGCACTCTCCAACGGCATACGTGTACAGGTCACCGACGTAAACTGGGCCTCAAAGTCATACCCACGGCCAAACTGGACACATAGCACCCGGTAACCCTCCCGGGACAAACACCCAACAAATTCTGGCGCCAGAACAGCCTCAACCAACGCGGGAAACGGCACCGTGGCCCCACAAGTAACGAACGCACTCATTCTTGATACTGCCCCCCTCAACCACTGCACTGAACGCACTCGACAACCTTCATATAATCACAATCTTCTACTGCTTAAATCCCAGTCGTCAAGACTACTCCCGGAAGATCATCGAGGACCTTCTATTATTGTACACACATACGTAAAAGCACATGTGTAGCGTACACAACGATTCTTCAATGTGGCGAATAAATCAGAATATCATTAAGTACGCCATACTTAAAAAGTCGATTTGGTTTCTCGCTGGCTGATGGCCCCCCCAAAGCGCTGCAACTCAGTGGATCCACGGCGTCTACTTATAAGAGCAGGGCTTTGGGGGAGAATTGCGTCCTCAATTGGGAAGGCAAAAGCGCTGAGAACACGGTATAGCGAATATGATTAGCAAGGGTATGGTTCATGAGAGCGGTATCAAGCCGTACTTTGAGCATAAGATACAGGAGACGGAGCTGAAGATCCGGGGGAAGACAGAAAACCTGCGGAGACTGGAAGCCCAGAGGAATGCGCTTAACGACGAGGTGCGTTTCATCAAGGATGAATTGCGTCTGCTGCAGGAGCCGGGCTCGTACGTTGGTGAGGTCATAAAAGTTGTCTCTGACAAGAAGGTGCTGGTGAAGGTGCAGCCTGAGGGTAAATATATAGTCGATGTGGCGAAGGATATTAATGTCAAGGACCTGAAGGCCTCTCAGCGTGTGTGTTTGCGTAGTGATTCCTATATGCTGCACAAGGTGCTGGTCAACAAGGCGGACCCACTAGTCTCGCTGATGATGGTAGAGAAAGTGCCAGACTCAACATATGATATGGTCGGTGGTCTTACGAAGCAAATCAAGGAGATCAAGGAAGTCATTGAGCTTCCAGTTAAGCATCCTGAGCTGTTTGAGAGTTTGGGTATTGCACAGCCTAAGGGTGTCATCCTATATGGTCCGCCAGGTACTGGTAAGACTTTGTTGGCAAGAGCAGTCGCCCACCACACAGACTGTAAGTTTATCAGAGTAAGTGGTGCAGAATTAGTGCAGAAGTATATCGGTGAGGGTTCCCGTATGGTCCGTGAACTGTTTGTGATGGCCAGAGAACATGCACCATCCATCATCTTCATGGATGAAATCGACTCCATAGGTTCCAGTCGTGTTGAAGGTGGTGGTTCCGGTGGTGGTGACTCAGAAGTGCAAAGAACGATGTTAGAGCTACTGAATCAACTAGATGGTTTTGAGACTTCCAAGAATATTAAAATCATCATGGCTACAAACAGACTGGATATCCTTGATCCAGCTTTGCTGAGACCCGGTAGAATAGATAGAAAAATTGAGTTTCCACCACCAACCGTAGCCGCAAGAGCAGAGATTCTACGTATTCACTCCAGAAAAATGAATCTGACCCGTGGTATTAACCTCAGGAAGATTGCAGAAAAGATGAATGGCTGCTCTGGTGCAGATGTGAAAGGTGTATGTACAGAAGCAGGTATGTATGCTTTGAGAGAGAGAAGGATCCATGTTACTCAGGAAGATTTTGAGCTTGCCGTCGGTAAAGTCATGAACAAGAACCAAGAGACTGCCATTTCTGAGGCCAAGCTGTTCAAGTGATTTCACTAATTTTATGTGACTCATTATATTCATTGAAACTATTGCATCTGTGCTGCATTAGCACATGCATCGGGGTCAAGTAGAGCATTAAAACCATATTTACAATACTAATATATATAGACCTGTATCTGTATAACCATAACGTGAAAATATATGAAAAAAAATAACATAAAAATATTTCACCCATGAGAGGGGCAGCTTGATAGCAATCTAGATTTGCTATTGCGTCAGCATTATTCGTATACTCTATTGCTTGTAAGGCTTGCCAATATTGCCTCTCGTTCGATACTCATCTCAAACGAAATCAAGGACGCTCGCCTTTGAACTCCCGGACGTTCTTTCAATTCGAAACAATGGCAGTCTCATGTAAACTGGTGTCATAGAGAATAAAGGTCTGGCACCGTTATACCATACAATTTAACGGGTCTCATAGCTATACTTGATTTCTAAGGAAAACAACCCAAGGCTCTGAACCATAGTTCTAATCATTGATCATCAAAAGCGATCAGGACATAGCTGCATAGAACTTACACAGCAAAAGGCAATCAAACAGAAGCAAGTATTCTAGTTTCAGAACCAAGGCGTTATTTTTCCCCCAATTCTGGTGAAAGTATCTATACACTGCAGAGCAATTGGCGATTATCGTGTGATTCTTTTACAGTACTCAGAATCGACACTAAACCATAGCAAAATAGCTGCACCACTGAAAGTTGAAAGAACGGTTCTCAGAACGCGTTTTTGATTCAACTTTCCATAGGAATTGATCAGGAATTTAAACAGCTGAGACGGTGAAATCATTGTGCTCAAACATAGATTGATCTCAACGGACATTCAATATATTGATCCAAAAGAAGAGTACCGAACCATACTTTTTTTTTTTAAAATCTGAACCATCCTTCTTATTAAGACCTATTTGCATTTCCTGTTAAGTTAACTTCTTTAGACATCTGAGCAAGACATAAGCTGCATTTTTTTTCAAAATCATACTTAATTAATAATTAGAAAGATTGACATTAATAAAACTTGCAACATGACAGAACAAGAAGCTAACGCTATAAAGAATGAGGGAAGTAATGATTCTATCCAGACTACCAAAATGCAAAATGAAAATCCTGAACCCAGTAAGGAAGACAATACTAATACTTCTTACACCAATGGTAATGATAAGGTAAACAATGGAGGAAACAACTATAACAACTACAACAATTATAATAATAGAAATTCCTACCACAGCAATAATTACTCCAGAAATTATCAACAAAGAAATACTGGAGGGAGGTATAATAACCCAAATAAGTTTAACAATGGGGGGACTCGTGTCAATTCCAAAAATGTTAACCAACAAAATAATTATAACAACTACAACGCATCTGGGACCAATAGATACATGAATAACTATAATAAGCACAACAGAAACCAAAAAGGAACTCCGGGAATAAACCCAGCTGCTGCAATGCAATGGGCCGGCTATTATGGTAATCAAATGTACTATTTCCCACAAGGTATGGCTGCCATGGGTAACCCAGCTGGTATGGATATGGCTGCTATGATGGCTGCACAACAAGGTATGATGACTTCACCACAACCAGGTGTCACAGCATCTGAAACACCGTCTCCACCCCCTATAAAGATTGAAATAACAAAGAAGACTGGTGAACACTTAGACCTTGATGAGATTCGTGCACAACATAAGGCAGCAGCGGCAAATAAGGAAAAATCCCCCTCTGCAAGCATTGAGAATGATGTGGCTGACAAAAAGGAGTCGGAGAAAGAAGGCAGTTCCATTGTAGAATCGAAAGACGAAGAGAAAGATAAACAAGAAGTTAATGCTACAAAACCAGAACCTGAACAAAAAGAAGACGCCTCGGAGGTTAGACGTTTGTTTCTTGAACAGGTTAAGCTACGTAAAGCCGCTATCGAAAAAGCGAAACGTGGAGAAAGTACAGAGGCATCTGAGGCATCTGATTCTACTGATAAAGCTGTAGGGAACAATGAACCTTCTACCGATGAATCTGATTCTAATAATAAAGATGCAGAAAATAGTGAAGACCAAGACACATTTTTTGACAGTAAAGACACCATAACTGAGAAAGATAATGAACTAGAATCAGGATCCAAGGATTCTTCACCAAGGCCTTTGACTTTTGCAGAAAAGCTAAAATTGAAAAAGAAACAAACAGAGGAACATAAAGAAGAAGACTCTAACAAAGAAGAACATGAACAAGTTAATATCGACACTACAGAAAATTCTGGCGATAACAATCAGCATGTCAACGAAGTCGAATTGGAATCTAAAGAAAAGAATGAGAGCGATGTTCCGATAATAAAGAAAGTTACTTTGGAAGAACCAATCAAAGATACTACAGAAACTGTCGAGGGAGTTACTAACGATGAAGAGAATGTTACTGGACCGCTTGCCAAGCAGCCAGCTGACATCTTGACCATGACTGAATTTTTGGCAAAGTTAAAAGAAGTTGAACCAGTCGATGACATCTATACCTTCACATACCCACCTGAATTTGAGGAACCAGATCCAAAATACAAAAAACAAACGGTTAAATATACATATGGACCAAGCTTTTTACTACAATTCAAAGAAAAAGCTAGAGCCTTCCCAGATGATCCTTGGCAATTAAGCACCGCAGCTAAAATTGTCATCCCACCAAGTATATCAAAGTCTAAATCAAGAGATTCCAATCGTTTTAACAATGGTCCATCTGGTCGTATGGGTGAGTTTAGAAACGGATCAATGAGAAATATGGATATGCGTAGCGGTTCTAAGGTTTCATCCAAAAGAAAATCCAAGAGAATGGATGATAGGAAGTCAACTAGAACATCTTACACATCAAGAAAAGACCGTGAAAGGATGGCTGAAGAAAACAGAAGGGATGAACCTAAGGTGGAAGTGGCTCCTCTTGTACCAAGTGCTAACAGATGGGTTCCAAAATCCAAACAGAAGAAAGAAACTGAAAAGAAGTTGGCACCAGATGGCACAGAGCTACTAGATAAGGAAGAGATAGAAAGGAAGATGAAATCCTTGTTGAACAAGTTAACCCTGGAGAAATTTGAACCTATCTCTAACGACATCTTAGCCATGGGTAACCAATCGAAATGGGAAACTGAAGGTGAGACCTTGAAGCTAGTCATTGAACAAATTTTCCTCAAAGCTTGTGACGAACCACATTGGTCTTCCATGTATGCACAATTATGTGGTAAGATTGTGAAGGAATTGGACGCTTCCATTTATGATAATACCAATGAGGGTAAGACTGGTCCAAAGCTGGTTTTGCACTACTTGGTTGCAAGATGCCACACCGAGTTTGAAAAAGGTTGGACTGATAAATTACCAACTAAGGAAGATGGTAGCCCATTGGAACCTGAAATGATGTCTGATGAATACTACCAGGCAGCTGCCGCTAAGAGAAGAGGTTTAGGTCTAGTCAGGTTTATTGGTTTCCTATACCGTTTGAATCTGTTGACTGGAAAAATGATGTTCGAATGTTTCCGTAGACTAATGAGGGATCTTACTGGTAACCCATCAGAGGAGATTCTAGAATCTGTTGTCGAACTATTAGAGACTGTTGGTGAACAATTTGAAACCGACAGCTTTAGAACGGCTAACGCAACGCTTGAAGGCTCTGCATTATTGGATAGTCTATTCCAAATCCTACAAAGCATTATTAATGAAGGCAAGATATCAAGTAGAATTAAATTCAAATTGATCGATGTTAAGGAATTGAGAGAATTAAAGCATTGGAATAGCAGTAAGAAGGATGCTGGTCCAAAGACTATACAACAAATTCATGAAGAAGAAGAGAGGCAACGTATGTTGAAGAGTAATTCTAGACAAAGTTCAAGACGTGTAAATAACAATTCCATGGGTAACCATAATAACAGAGATAGAGGCTTTTATAGAAGAGAAAACACCATGAATTCGAGAGACAATTTCCAGTCTACACGCTCTCCATCCACCAGATATAACTCAAAAGATACAAAAGAAGATCAAGCTCCAGCTCCGAAAACTACGAACATGTTTAGTGCGCTAATGGATACAGATGAAGAAGAGTAGTTATATTGGAATGTCAATCTTCTTACTATATTCACCGCTTTTAAGACTACCTACCTTTGCATTTTATTCTTGTACGATATATATATATATTTATATGTATGCCTTTTATGTTAATGCTAGCCTCATATTGAGGATCAACATTATAAACACGATATCATTATTTGAATACTCAATGCCATAACACCCATTAGGAAATTAGATATTACTTCTCAAGGTTGGTTAAATTCTACCAAATATCATATACAGTCATTTGCCTATCTGCTTCTGTTGAAGAAGACGTTGTTTCTCAAGTCCCTCTCTTCTTTTCCTTTCACGGCGCTCCTCTTTTGTCTCCTCTTTCACTTGTGTATTTACATCTTTTGGTGATTCAACTATCTCAGATTTTATCTTGGCAAACAAGACTGTCATTTTCTTTTCGTTTTCAATAAATTTTGCCTTTGTGATTCTATCAAGAACAGTAATGTAGGAGGGATCAACAATTAACGCCAGATGGCCATTTTCCTTAACGTATCCAATTGGAACATCAAGCTTTATATTTATTCTAATCGCAACAATAAAATTTGAGCCAATACCACTTTCTCTAAAGCCACACGCCATTGCAGTGTTATAAAGTTTTGATGCACTTTCAAAATCACGACATTTCACATGCAATATGAAGGGCTCGTATTTGTATAGGATCATACTGGAACTGCCATCATCGTTGATGTCCTTTGTATTAGAAGCATCTATGACCCAGTTAAGATTCTTGGAAGCAGTAGTTCTGTCAAACCAATTATCAATATCCTTGAACTCATGACTTACAAAGAGCCAAACACCTCCGTCACCTTTACCACCAACTTTTACATCTCCGTTAATAGCTTTTTGACCTTCAATAAATACACTGATTCTACCTGAACAAGATGAAGTTGTAACCATATCAGGTGAACTATTTATTAGATCGATTATTGGTAAACATAACACATCTATAGTGCCTTTGGGTGACAGATCAAGCTGATCTGAGTTTATTTCCTGCAGGATCGCTAACTTCTTCTGGTCAAAGGCATTCTGTTTAGACATCTTTCAGTATTTTAAACCTGCAGTAACCCTGTAGTCAAATTTTTAAGCAACAATAAACGTACTAGCTCAATAAAATATCCAATATTTTACAATTCTGACTAGCCTCTAATCAATAAATATTTGCAAATACGAGCCCAGAAACTTCCCGTCTGCACAATTTTTTAAAGAACAGTAAAACTGCTTTCGAGATCACAATGCTATTCAGATAAACTCTAATTCCTACAAGCAATTGTTCCTGCATCATGCTCTGTATTCAACTTTTGCACTATTAGTGCTGATATGGGCAATGCTCATCGCATATTTTCAAAAAAAAATTTGAAGAAGTTTAAAAAAAAAAGCACTCACGATGGGGGTCGAACCCATAATCTTCTGATTAGAAGTCAGACGCGTTGCCATTACGCCACGCGAGCTTAGTAATTAATATAATAAAACATATAGGTACTAGAAACATATCTAGCAGGTCCTCTAAAAAAAAGAAATGTGAAAAATGCACTGGGAACAATGCAGCTAACTCATATTTAGTGCCAAACACAAAACTTGAGTATTTAGCAAAAATGGCAAATATACCAAGAATTCTACATAAATTGTTAAATATGATCTAAAAATACCACATATCGACCCTAAATTCCCATAGCGGTGACACATTTAGTTTTACGTATAGACCTTGGTTAGTAAAGTCCGGAGTTCTTCCACTGGGGGAATTTCCATTTGACAGCAATTTAGATTGGCAAAGAAATTATTAGAAGCCAAGCACATTTAACTTGCGTTGGAAATGTTCCTCACTCTCGGAGTTTTTACGTAGAAACTCGGACTACCCAAATTGGAATTTTTAGGTTTAGGTAATATTTAGCTTGACTTGCCAATGTTATCTATTGGCAGAATTATAACTTGAGAGAGTCTATACTATTAACAAAATTTATATGAGTACTTACATCCTAGAATCAAATACTTAGCAAAACAGTATTGCTAATATCAGTCTCGAGTGTTGGACTCTGAATTTTTGGAAACGTATAAATAGGCGTCGAGGTTCAGGAATTTTCCATTACAATCCATATTCCATTATAAACTCTTTCTCTCTCTCACATTATATATTTTTATATATATTTATTTTAATTCTTATAACATAACAAGAAATCAAGGAAAGCTACTAAGAGTCATGAAAGTTTCTAATATCAACTCCGTTTTATTTCTCGCTTCTCAGTTGGCTTCTGCCGCTGGCGGTGAGATTGTCACTGTGACTGAGACATCTACAGTCTGCTCCACCAAGACCCTAACAGTGCCAATGACTGTCACAGTCACGCCAAAGCCGGCGCCTCCTGTGCGTCCTTCCAAAGTCGCGAAGCTCGCCAATGAGATGAACTTCATCTTCAACATGGCTGGTGCCATCAAGTCGTGTCTGCCTGACTCTGGCATAACTGTGCCACCCAGCTGGGCGCGCGTGCAATGCACATTCTATGTGTTCAACCTGATGCTTTCCCTAACCATTAACATCATTGGTGGTAAGGACCACCACGAGTTTTGGAAGAAAAGGCAACAGCAATGGAGGGAGTGGGAGGAGAAGTACTGGCAAGAAGCGGGCGACGGCGAAGACGAGGGCGATTGCTCTGATGAGGAAGAGAGCTCCACTGACCCTCACGGGAATGCGGTGGCCACCAACGACAACGCTTTGCTATCTTTCAAGACCACGAAGATGCTCATGGACAAGCTCGGTGTGCAGGTGTACCCTTACATGAACGAAACCACTTTGCAAGAGTGTGTGCACTACAAGTTTGTCAAGGACCGCTACAAGGACTTACTGGGCCAGGACCTGGTCGAAGGCACCGTGTGCTTGTCTCAGCATGGATTAGCAACTTTTGTGAAGTTGCCAGACAACAGTGCAGAAGACACAGAGGACGGCAAAGACAGCGGTACTGGTGCTACGGGTGGTGAACTCTTGGACTACCAAAGCTTCATGAACAAGTTGCGGCCACAGATGTACGTGAAGAAGTTCGACAAGTACCTGCACAACATCAAGCAGGCCAAGTTCATGACCACCTGGCAGCTCATCAACTTCAAGCAGTACTCCAAGGACATCATGCGCGAGCTCGCCTATGTGACGGACCAGCTGCGGGACCCCGACCACAAACACATCTCCTTCGAGCTCAAAAACAAGGAGGACCCAGCGGATCTCACACCAATGATGAGTTTCAACATATTGTGAAGAACACGGACTTAAATGCAAGGACTCTATGTATGGGGGGGGTTACTTATACTCTTTTACTACATGTACTTTGATAATACTATATAAAATATAAAAACGTTACTATGCAACCAGCGTCTACAAAAACACCATGTGACTTTCACGTAGGTAAATATAGAAATATATACCACATATACACCCATACACCCATACACCTATACACCACAAAGTAAAACGTACAGTCGAGGAGGAAGACCACACTGTAGAGCAAATACAACGTGACTCGCTGTGGAGCAGCCAAGGGAAGGGGAACTGCACGCTCGATAGCGCTCGGGACGACCAAAAAGAAAGTGTGACAAGGTGCAGCCACCACAGTTAGCCATATCCCGTGTCCCCCCCCGGTGGGTTAGGGGTTCCCTGGGAGAGCAGAACAGGGACTGTGGAAAAGAGTCACATGTCTCCTAGCCCCTCCTGGCCTCCCCTTCACTTCCTGGATCCCAGGTCACGTTCACCAACTCCCACAATATAGAGACTACACACTATACACTATACACTATACACTGCACACTGCACACAACAAATGGCTGACATGCCCCGGTCAGGATCACATAGCCCTCAGGAACCGAGACGAGACTGTGCTAGGAATGGCACTTGGATATGTACCAATTCCCTGTGTGGTGTCGCTATACCCAGCTACACCCACACTATTGGGCACAATTCCTTCGAGCACCAGGTCCCTTCCCTTTCCCACCGGGGTTCATAACATCGAATTGCTATCACGAACGATGGCTCTAAACTGTGGTGCCCACCCTGGTGGAAAAATCAAAGGTATATAAAGCAAAGGTTCCTCCATACATCGAGGAAGGTAATTGTGACTAACATAGAAACACAAACCAAGAAAAAAACACCAATGCCATCCCACTTCGATACTCTTCAATTGCACGCTGGTCAGGAGAACCCTGACGACAACAACCACAGACCTAGAGCTGTGCCAATCTACTCCACCACTTCCTTTGTGTTCAACGACTCGCAGCACGGTGCGCAGTTGTTTGGCCTAGAAGTGCCAGGCTACATCTACTCCCGTTTCCAGAACCCTACTAACAACGTCCTGGAGGAGAGAATCGCTGCGCTGGAAGGCGGTGCCGCTGCGCTGGCTGTATCCTCGGGCCAGGCTGCTCAGACTTTGGCCGTCGCTGGTCTAGCGCACAACGGTGACAACATCGTGTCCACCTCTTTCCTATACGGTGGTACTTACAACCAATTCAAAGTCGCTTTCAAGAGACTGGGCATCGAGGCAAGATTTGTCGAAGGTGACAAGCCAGAGGACTTCGAGAAGTTGTTCGACGAAAGGACGAAAGCTGTCTACTTGGAGTCCATCGGTAACCCAAAGTACAACGTCCCAGACTTCGAGAACATCGTCGCCGTCGCCCACAAGCACGGCATCCCAGTCGTGGTCGACAACACCTTCGGTGCTGGTGGTTTCTTCTGCCAACCTATCAAGTACGGTGCCGATATAGTCACACACTCCGCTACAAAGTGGATCGGTGGCCACGGTACTACCATCGGTGGTATCATCGTCGACTCCGGTAAGTTCCCATGGAAGGACTACCCAGAAAAGTTCCCTCAATTCTCGAAACCTGCCGAGGGTTACCACGGTACCGTCTACAACGAGACATACGGTAACTTGGCATATATCGTCCATGTCAGAACTGAACTGCTAAGAGACTTGGGTCCAGGTATGAGTCCTTTCGCTGCCTTCCTGCTGCTACAAGGTGTCGAAACTTTGTCCTTGAGAGGTGAAAGACACGGCCAGAACGCTTTGGCCTTGGCTAAATGGCTAGAAAAGAACCCACATGTCGCTTGGGTTTCCTACCCTGGTCTTCCATCCCACTCACACCACGAAAACGCTAAGAAGTATCTATCTAATGGTTTCGGTGGTGTGCTATCCTTTGGTGTTAAGGACCTACCTAATGCTGACAAGGAGACCGACCCATTCAAGCTAGCTGGTGCTCAAGTTGTTGACAACTTGAAGATTGCTTCTAACTTGGCCAACGTCGGTGACTCAAAGACTCTAGTCATTGCTCCGTACTTCACCACTCACCAACAACTTTCTGACCCAGAAAAGTTGGCTTCCGGTGTCACTAAGGATTTGATCCGTGTCTCCGTCGGTACCGAATTCATCGATGATATCATTGCTGATTTCGAACAATCCTTTGCCAAGGTCTACGGTTCCAACTAAGTATAGTAAAAGCACATACCAAGCATGCAAATATGTATGCCAATGTAAACCTTCCACAGAAGCACACATGCACTCTAATACACTGTCTCTAAGAATCATATTTTTGAACAATGTATTAGAAAGAGTTACGGATATTTGAGATGTTCTTAATTCTATGTAGTATTTGTCATTTACCATTTCTGTTTTAATTGTTATGTATATTTTTTCATTGTAAGTATAAATTCTAATATCGTATCATTTTTAATATAAGCTACATCATTCAGACGTTATATCGTTTTTGAATATAGGGAAGAAAGGCACACACACACACACACACATATACACACACTCGATGGACTAACCTAGTCAATCATGCTTACATAAGAAAGTTAGTTTTTGAGTTAAGTCCAGGAATATTAATTAATTGCCCAATAAAATTAGGTTAACAGAAATAAATAAGTTTGTTCATATAGACAATATATACTATTATCTTGATCCCAAATTGCAAATTCTAAGAATAAAATATCAATCAGGGTATATTAGTATTGGGAATGAAATAAATACAGTTTTCGATTATGTCTAGCTCGATGCATGCGGTCTTGAAACCAAACTAGGATGATAAATACAGCGGAAGTAAAAAGGTGACAAATTACTTTAATGGAAAATGAAATGAAAAAACAATAATAAATAAATAAAGGTAGTCAAATCATGGCATACTAATAAAGTTTACCAATTGGTCCCACATTTGTTTTAAACAAAAAAAGACAAGACGAGTTGCTAAAATGTCTTTATTAGAAGTCCCATTTAATCAATTTTTTTCGTTTGCTTAAGCTTTGTCAGCCTTAATCTTGTTTAGAGCAGAACCGTACTTGAACCATTCGATTTGCTCGCTGTTGAAAGTGTGAGTCAACTCACAGTCCCAAGCTTCACCGTTCTTTGGATGAACTCTCATGGTGACGTTCTTACCTGGAGCAAGCTCGGTCAATCCTAGAATATCAATCTTGTCATCTGGGTTAATCTTGTCGTAGTCAGCTGGGTTCTTGAAGTTCAATGGCAACAAACCTTGCTTCTTCAAGTTAGTTTCGTGGATACGAGCAAATGACTTAGTAATGATAGCGAAACCACCCAAGAATCTTGGTTCCAAAGCAGCGTGTTCACGAGAAGAACCTTCACCGAAGTTCTCATCACCAATAACAACCCACTTAATACCTTCGTCTCTGTAGTCTCTGGCAGTGTCTGGAACACCCTTGTATTCACCAGTGTAGACGTTTCTAACACTGTTGGCCTTCTTGTTTTCAGCATTGATAGCACCAATCATGTAGTTGTTAGAAATGTTTTCCAAGTGACCTCTGTACTTCAACCATGGACCGGCCATAGAGATATGGTCAGTGGTGGTCTTACCCAAAGACTTGATCAAGATTGGCATGTTTAGAGCATCCTTACCATCCCATGGCTTGAAAGGCTTTAGGACTTGTAGACGGTCGGAGGTTGGAGCAACCTTAACATCAACAGCGTTACGGTCCTTTGGTGGAGCTTGGTAAGTGTTCTCACCTGGGTCGTAACCACGTTCTGGCAAACCGTTACCGAATGGTTCCTTCAACTTGAATTCGTTACCATCCTTGTCCTTCAACTTGTCAGTCAATGGGTTGAATCTCAAGTCACCGGCAATGGCGAAAGCAGTAACAATTTCTGGAGAAGCAACGAAAGCGTGGGTTTGTGGGTTACCATCGTTTCTGGAAGTGAAGTTTCTGTTGTAAGAAGAGACAATAGTGTTCTTGTCACCCTTCTTGATGTCTTGACGGTCCCATTGACCAATACATGGACCACAGGCGTTAGCCAAGACAATACCACCGAATTCCTTGAAAGTTTCCAATTGACCATCACGTTCAATGGTGGCTCTAATTTGTTCAGAACCTGGGGTAACTGTGAAGATGGACTTAGCCTTCAAACCGTGAGAGGCAGCATCCTTGATGATAGAAGCGGAACGAGACATATCTTCGTAAGAAGAGTTAGTACAGGAACCGATCAAACCGACCTTGACTTCCAATGGCCAATTGTTTTCGACAGCAACTTCCTTCATCTTAGAGATTGGAGTGGCCAAATCTGGGGTAAATGGACCGTTAACGTATGGTTCTAGAGTGTTCAAGTCAATTTCAATGACTTCATCGTATTCAGCACCTTGGTCAGCGGACAATAGATCCTTGTGGTACAATTGAGCGAATTCGGCGATCTTGTCACGACGAGTAGCCTTCAAGTAGTCAATCATAGACTTGTTGAATGGGAAAACGGAAGTGGTAGCACCGATTTCAGCACCCATATTACAGATAGTACCCATACCAGTGGCGGAGAAAGTGTCAACACCTTCACCGAAGTATTCGACGATCTTACCAGTACCACCCTTGACAGTTGTAATACCAGCCAACTTCAAGATGATATCCTTTGGAGAGGTCCAACCGTTCATTCTACCGGTCAACTTAACACCCAAAATCTTTGGAGCCTTTAGTTCCCATGGTAGACCAGCCATGACATCGACGGCATCAGCACCACCGACACCGATAGCCAATTGACCTAGACCACCAGCGTTTGGAGTGTGGGAGTCGGTACCGATGATCAAAGCACCTGGGAAAGCGTAGTTTTCTAGAACAATTTGGTGGATAATACCAGAACCTGGCTTCCAGAAACCGATGTTGTACTTAGCGGAGGCAGAAGCCAAGAAGTCGTAGACTTCCTTATTTAGGTCGACGGCTCTCTTCAAATCCTTCTCACCACCAATTTGGGCTTGGATCAAGTGGTCACAGTGGACTGTGACTGGTCTAGCTACTTCTGGCAAGCCAGCGGACATGAATTGCAAGATGGCCATTTGGGCGGTAGCATCCTGACATGCGACACGGTCTGGTCTTAGCTTCAAATAGGAAACACCTCTCTCGATCTGTTGTCCGTGTGGGTCGTCCAAGTGACCGTACAGGATCTTTTCAGCGTAGGTCAATGGTCTGCCTAGCCTCTTTCTCACTATGTCGACATACTCGATGTTTTGCTTGTAATTGATGAAAGAATGGTCCTCCAACAAGTTCTGGTTGACCTTAGAGTCTCTAGTCAAGTTAGAGACTGTAGCCAGTCTCCTGACACCAGTGTTTCTCACCACTGTTCTAGCAGACAACATTTGTTATAGTGTATTGTGTATGTATATTCCTCTCAACCTAGAAAAAAAACAAAAAGAATATTATAGCTTTGTCTTGCTCCTTTTGTATTTCAATTTACCAACGTAAACTTCCCTTCTTCCGGCTGTAGGCGAGTGTCCTGCTCTGTGTTGTATATTATATACTCAGCTATAGTGCTCGACAGCGCCTAAAGTCGAAAATCCCGAGAAGAACGAGAACGGCGAGTTTCCAGGCCCTTTTTATACTTCAGGGAACTGCGAAATGCTACTCCTTCCCCCCTCCAACGGGCTCCTACCTTCCCCCCCAGGCCACGATTATCAAATCCCTGCGCAGATACACTGCAACTGCCATAACGCTCAATTCCCACTTTCATGGCCTAACCACACGCACTACGCCATTTTACTGCACAAACTGGAACTCACACCGCAAACTCGCTCCAGTGTCCTTCACTGTGCCCAGCAAATAGCCGCAGAGCCCGCTCTGCCTGAAAGCAAAACGGAGTTCCTGCCGGCGTTTCTCTCGTAATTCGACTGTTCTCGTACCTTATTGGTCCATTCCTCGCTAATAGTTGCTCCCTTTCTTTGTTCCCATTCGCTGCTGTGCAGCTGTTTCTGCGGTGGGGGGGGGCAGGACGACCGATCACTCCCTTCACTGTACGTTCCATTTGTCCGTTGTCTCTGTTATCGTGCAGCACGTCTGTGCTTTCATTGGTCTCATTGGTCTCATTGGTCTCATTGGTCCCTCCCCGTCCCCCGTCCCTCTCTGGTGCGAATTCGCGGCCACTGCTGTTCCTGGCACCGACAGCCCAGCTGGGCCGAGTTCTCGGTGATTACGCTGTTTATCCCCCGACGTGATCACTCTCTTGGCGGGAAGCGTCACGGTTGAAGACGTGGGTTTTCTGGCGTTCGCAAGCAGAAGCCGAGATTTCGGGTTTTCCAGAACCTCGGACTTGGCATCGCAACTAGAATCGGAACTGCAATTGTAACAGCAATTGTAACAGCAATTTGGACTACTAAAAAAAATTAGGGCTATGAATTATTATGAAAAAAGAGAATGCTACTTAGATCTAGTATGGGATACCGTTGGTGATACGTTGGAACTCGTCGTAACCCTTTGTGAACACGGACTCGTAACTCTTGTTGATCAGTTGTTTCATGTAGTTCGCTGCCTCTTGGTCTGTGCGGTGCGGTTGGAACCGGTTCTCCAGGTTGCGCATTGTCTTGCTGCCTTTGAAACAGGGCAACCCGCTGCCTAGCATGGGCTCGACACACGACAGAATCATGTCCATGTGCGGCCTAGCCGCTAGGTACGCCTTGATGCACAGCTCCTCGAAGTCCTGGTACGCTTGCGTGTTCTGCGAGCCACCCATGACGCGCACCATCTCCTTCGTAAGCTTGAATGGTACTGCTTCGAATTTCACACCACCGGGAACAATGTCAAAGATAAAACCGAAGTCAATGTGCAGACAGTGGCCATCCCCATCATACATAATGTTACCATTGTGACGGTCCTTAAATTGCAACAGATAAGAGATAACACTGTAACCAGCTAGAGACTTGACAAAATTGGTGCGCGCTTTCTGAAACTCAATGGTGTTCTCATGGCCGAACTTTGACACGAAGTACTCGTATAACCCATTCACAGCTTCACGGCCAAGCATGTCCCTCGATATACTGTTCGGCAACACATCGATAACACCACACCCAGGTGCAGTAGCAGTCACCCTGTTAGGATAGACGTACACGTCAAGCCCAATACTGGACCATATGGTCTTGAAAACGGAAATCAATTGCAACGCCAACACATCTTGTCTACAATCATCACCTACTTTGAAAATGGCTGCTTGCCAGTTCTCAACAGTAATACGATCACCAGTCTTAGAGTCTTGCAACTCCTTTTTGATCTTAAATGTAGCCATAAATGGTGCTTTGGCATGGGATTGCAAAGGCTTACCACTCTTCCTATCTATGTCAATAACAATACCATCAGGGTTCGATGGCAGATATACACCTGGCTTAACGACAACCTTGCTCATCTCTTCATCGATCTTCTTCTTCTTTTCGGCTTTTGTCTTCTTGATATATGGCTTCAATTTACCTGAAATACCAGTGACTTCATTGAAGAAAGAAAATTCCTTTTGATATAGCTCCAATGCGGGCTGATCAAATTCGGATACCATATGTGTACGTACCCGATCCAATATGGGCTTGATGTCATCCTCAATGATACCCTCATCATCTTTGTAGCAGTTAGCAAGCATGTTCCAAATAATTTGGTGTGAGAATAACATACTGATCTTTGCAGTCTCCATGATTAACCTCTCTACATATCCTGTTTTATCATATCTCAAACATTGAACAATCTGAGGAACATAAAAGAACGTCAAGTTAACATCATGTGATTCAAGGGCAAAAATACTGTATTGCAAAATAAATTCATTCTGATTCCAATTCGGCAAAAAGAGATTGATAGCTTTTAGAGGAGCAACAGGTACCCAGTATAGGATGTGATGTAAATCGGAGTTTTTGTTTAACCTTCTTTCATCCAAATACAAGCTTAACGCAGATGCAGTAGTAACGGATTTTAATGGCTCCTTGATTATCATATCAACTAATGCTTGATCCAACTTCTTACTCTGATATCTTTGCGCAATATTGAGAGCTAAATCAGGATTAATATCAAAAGCTGTTTGTAGCATATTCAGTGGCAAGTCATTACTATTTGCGCCTTGAATTTTATCCAAAGGCGTTAACCAAACCTGTATTTGCTGTATCTCATGGGCAATAAAATACTCAAACAATTTGAAAGACTTACCAGAGTGTTCTGAGAAGACTGAACTTAGAGAATCAGTCGCTTTATAAACGTCACTCAAAATTGACAGATCGGCCCTAATTTTTAATTCATTTGAACCGAAAGGCCATGAGAATGGCTTTCTAAACCATTCTAGACCGGCATTAATGATTAAACGACATAAAGATGACACTGTATTCGTATTTCTTCTAACATTAGCCCTTAAAATAGATATACCAAAAAGCAAATATTCGTTTCTAATCAGACGAGCAAAGGGATGTAATGAGGCCTTTGAAAACTCTTGAACACCATAAATGAAGCAAGTCGTGAACAGATTCAGTAGATGATCACTTTGGTGTTGAGTACCAGCAAAGTGTGAAGAAAAGAACTTGATAATATGTCTGTGTGGCTCAAAAGTACTAGATGCAATTCTTGCATCTCTATCAATTTTGACTTTATCATATGGTGCATACTCCATCATTTGATAATCTTCCGGTAGTAAATCATGCTCACGATCGAATAAACCCTTCTTTGAAATTATAGACTCCTTCCAACACAAGATCACATCACTTAAAATAACATGAGCAAGGTCAGGTCTTTCAGTTATAACTGTTAGCCAAATGTTTGTTGCGCTTTTCATTGAGAAAGATGTGAAAACTTCGAAAGGGATACGCACTAGATTATACAATACCGACTTCCCATTATAATTACCAATGATTAGAAGAGCAGCACAGAAGTCAAGCAAATCAGATACTTCCTGGCCTGAAACAAAACGTTTTGCTTGAACTTTCACTCTGATATCATCAGCTTGCTTTTGAATTTCATCAGCAAACACCTCAGGAGTAAATGAAATGCTAGTATCGGCAAGGAACTTGGATCTCCAAGATTGCTGTGATATAAAACCTGCAACTGCATTTGGTCTTTGGAAACCTCCAAAAGACATTTTACTTAGTTCTCTATCGGCATTTAAAATAGAACCCGCCATTTCAATCGCAAAGGATACACCATATTCAATTGTATTTGATCTATAAAACTGTGCGACACCAGAAATGTATGTATTCAACAAAATTTTCGAGTTTTGATTAGCTGTCTCCAAAATTATCAATAACCAAGTCCTGGCAGATTTATGTAACCTTGCCAAAGTCTCCTTTCTCCAATATATGGAACCCGGTAGTAATACTCTCACTTGTGAGTATTTTAATAAAAACTCATAGTTCGGATCAAATTTTGTTCTTTCACAGTCCTCAATACTATCAAAAAGTGTAGTTAGTAAATCCAAAAGAGTGTATAACGAGTGATGATGCAACAATGAAGATGGAATACTCTTGATAAATAGATCACAAGCTTGAAATGCTATATTCTGAAGGTTTTCATCTCTATGAGCCAGACACAATAGAAGATTGTTCAGTTGGTCGGCAATACGAGTAGAATTGAATTGTTCAGTAGTTTCTCTTTTTGCTATTTCAGCATATTTTTTAATCATCGCAATTGTCATAAAGCTAATGCAATTTTCAACAGAGCTAGAAGTCATAGCTGGATCTGACAAGTATTGGACAAGCTTAGAGCAATCCCCAACCTCGCATCTGATTGTTTCTAGAAGTTTAGCAGCGGCTAAAAACATCACTTTTGGAGTAGAAACTGTTCTGGCTTGTACAATGTTCGAGTTTAGATATTCTGATATTGATTGTCTTTGCTGTTTAATATTTGCACTTGAAGAGCTTCTTCTCAAAATTGAGTTTAAGTCAATAGAAAGTTCCTTATTATTTGATGGAAAATCTGAAGTCAAAGGAGGACTATTAATTGCAATTCTTTGAAGTTGGTTATAGTTGATTTTCACTATGTCAGATTCAAAATAAAAACCATGAATTACCATATTGAACCATATATTTCTGAACATAGTCGTTGTCTTAGCATCTGTAGAAAGATCCAATGGTTTCTGACTGATGGGGGGAAGTAGTGCAGCCAAAGGCTTCAGATAAATTACAATTTGATCTGCAACTCGGGTAATTTCAGATTGTGTACGATGGTGATCTGACCTTTCAACATCTCCACTTGAGGTGATACTCTCGAGCAAGTCGTGTAAATAGAATTTATAATGGTCAGTATTAAAGGACTTTTCTAGTAAGACAGCAGATAAAGTAATTTTTGATCTTATCAAACAATTGAATAAGGCTTCATTGTTTTGCTTAATTGCTGCATTTTCCGTTAATTTTAAAAATTTCAAGAACAGAGTGAATTCATTTACCCCAATGTATGGAGCAAGTTTAGCCATCGACTGCAGAATAATATCATCTAGCTCCTTAGAGACAACATTCACTTTTTGAGAAAGAACTGAGATTGTTAACGCTGTGATTGACTGTGTGTTATAATGAGAGGCAATCCTTGTTATAGCAGTGACACAGTTTCTAAAAAGCATTCTGTGGTATGTAGCCGGTGTCCCTGTTAAATCTTGCACGGAAGATTTAACCGGGTGGATAGATGCTGTTGTTGCTTTCAAATCAAAACCTTCTAATATGTGAGCTGATGGTTGATTAAGCACTTCTCTGTCACTGGAGGAAGTAATCGTCTGCTTTCTTTCCTTAATAATTGGCATTATCAAACCATCTTCTGTTAGAGCAAGCAGATTGTTGATCGAGTAGATTGTACTAACTATAGCATCTTCGCTTAGAGGTTTTAAACCCATACTGAAGTTTCTAGTTACATTTGCAATTATATCCATACTAATATGCTGAGATGCAATTAAAATTGGGAAGAAACGTAATTGAATTAAGGAAACCTCTTTAACAAAATAGTTTAGGATAGAGCTCACAGATATCAGAGTTTTGATCAGAAATGGGATGGATTCTTCAAACAGTAGATTTTTTTCAAGACCTGATGAAACCATCATAACCACCACATCCATAAAACGCTCTCTATTTGCTTCAAAATCTAAAAATGGAATAACTGATAACATCTGTAGCAAATAAGCATCAGTTCCAAAAGTGTAATTAGATCTAGTTTCATTAGATAAATCGTAGTATTCCTTAGCTTCATAAGCACTCAAAGAAAACTGACATAATGACAACAACATCTTATGGTTGTCTCTTAACAACCGTTTGAACTTTTCAAACTTTGCCGATTCTTTACGTTCAGAAACTGGCTTATGCATATCCTTAAAATGCTGATATTGCAAATCCAATAAATATTCAGAGACCAATTCATAACTTTCTGGAACTTCCAACATTGTTCTCAATATTTTGACCTGCATGGAGGACAGTAACTCCCAGAATTTGACAGAGGAAATTTCGGCTCCCGCATCAAAGTATTGAATCAATAGAGATTTATCGAACCCATTATTCGAGGACAAGACATTATCCAAGTCCTTAAAGAAGTTTTGATTGATAAAGAAGTTGGACACTAAATCCCATACGATGTAACTCAACTTTAGAGGAGTTTCTTCCAATATGAAAGCATTCAAGAACCCCAGCAGTGAAAATAGACATGTGTTGTTATCGAAGATAACTTCGGTAACAGATGCAACAAATTGCGCAAACAGTTTTTCAACCACTGGAACTACCTCTGGGAACTTTCTAGCGCTTCTGATCAGAAATCTGGTCAATTCAAATGTACACAATTCGTTTGGGTTTTTCAATGATCTCATTCTGAACTTGGAGTACATCAGATCAGAGATACGTTGCCTTGGTGAATGCAAGAAGTATGGTGCCACTGTGTTCTCCAAGATTTCAAGAGTCCTCGATAGTGAATCCGGAACAGAGGCACATATACCAACGATGATTTCCCACTCATTCATATTTAATGGGATGGTATACAGCTTTGCAGGAGATGTAGAGTAGTAAATTGGCAGTGCCTTAATGATCATCTCCAAAGTGTCATCAGCGTCATTCATATCATTTTTGGTAGTATCAGTGTGCACATTCGAAGAGCCTACGCATTGCGCCAGCTTCTTCAAGGCCTCACCACGCAAAGTCCTAGTAGCAATTGCCATTGCCCTTTATCTATTGTTAATTAGTTGCACTGCGTGATGTAATTGCTTGAAACTCTTTTGGAGGGGAGGGAGAAAGGAAAAGTAGAAATTACAGAAGAATAGCCTATTAAAGATCCAAACTATTGAACTAAAATTCTATAGAAGGCAAATACAATTGAGAGAATGCGCCATGCAGATGCACAGTCCAAAGAATCATCATACCTTCCATTCACTGAGCTAGAGTGAGCCAGTGCTCGGATTCTTTTTTTCCAAATTTTGGCGTTGCCAGTGCACTGTAGCAGTGTTGTGACAAACGGGAAACCATATGAACCGGCAAGCAGATTACCAATATTGTCTCGTCTCCCCAAAAAAAGGGTCACGTGCCATGTTGACATCGACGAGACAAAAACTATTTGGAATTTTGATTCTCAGCATCACATGCCATTTACGTATACAATGACAGGATCATGTGATAAAACACCCATACACTTATCCGGGTAACGTATGATCATTGTGTCTATGTGTGTGTGTACGTAACTTGATACGTAGCTATTGGCTATTTGCTGCTTCTTTCTTTTTTCTACGTAATGGGAAGAGTCACGTGACTCTTCTATTGTTCTATTTTTCTCCTTTCTGTTTTTAGTTTTCTTCCTTTTTTTTTTTTTTTTTGAAAAAAGAAATTTGTTTCTACGAGCGTTTCTGTGTGATTTACACTAAAATGAGTGTAGTGCAGAGAATTGAAGAATTTCAGAAGAGAAATCGAAGCTTTTTTCTTTCCCTTCTCTTCCCATCTGTTGCCCATTTGTCTTCGAGAGTTTCTCTTTGTAATCACTTTTACTTACAAAATGTATTTGCAATAGTTCTGAACAATGGGAAACTACCTTATTATTGGTTTCAAAGTATCATTCCACCCATTTGGTTCTGCCATTTGTGAAATCTTGAAATTACAGGTTCTCAAGTTTTTCTGTGTAGTGGGCTTTATTTTTACCCAATACAATCACTCTCTGTGCTTTCATTTGCGATCCTGAATTCACTACACAGCTAGAAACAGCTTTATATTATCCGGATTGCCGTCAAAATCACTGCTGTTATTTTCATAGTTACATTTCTTTATTCACTACTGGGCTTGCAAATAGTATACCCTCACCCGATATCACATTCGTAACTACACATGTTGAAACTACGCCAATTGCAACAACAGAAACAGCAACAACTTGCTAAAAATGCTGGTTCAAGTGTCAAGGCCAATACAAATAGCACATCTCCAGCAAAACTTAGACTACAAAAGGACATCGAAGAGTTAGAGCTGCCACCAACCGTTAGGGTCAACATTATCTCTCTAGATAACCACAAAGAAATGTCACTCAATATAATAATAATTCCAGATGAAGGTTTCTATAAAGGGGGCAAATTTAGATTCACAGCAACCTTCTTGGAAACTTATCCAATAGACCCTCCGAAGGTCATCTGCAACAACAAGATCTTCCATCCAAACATTGATCCTCATGGCAAAATTTGTCTCAATATCCTCAGAGAAGACTGGTCACCAGCACTTGATCTACAATGCATCGTGTTAGGGCTACTCTCTTTGTTCCAAGAACCCAACGGTAATGATCCACTCAATAAAGAAGCTGCAGAGGTCCTTAATAAGGATAAGCTAGAGTTCGGAAACTTAGTAAGACTGGCTATGTCAGGTGCAATGGTTGGCAGCACATACTATGAGTGCGTCATATAAATTATAACTCATCACAAAGAATGCTTATAGAATATTTGGTGTTAATTTGCCTACTTTTCTTAAACGTCTGTAAGTTTTCGTCAAATCCTCAGAAGTTTAATGTTTCATCGGATTAGACACAAAAGGCAATCAACGAAAATTTACTGAAGAATTGGAAACATATTAATGTCTAACTGAACAATTAAATGTATGTGTGCTAAAAACATGCTATGTTCGTATTTACTATGCAATTTTTCGTTTGGATTTCATTTGTGCTTGCGACACGCTGCTTATACAAGCACTGTTGTTTTTCACGTTAAAATCAAACTATACTCATTTCATGCCATGCTGATCAATAAAATGAGAGAGTTATTGGTTTATAAACTTTTAGTGCTTACAACTATATCAAATTTGACCAAAATTGTGACTGCTTACAGTGTACTTAACAAAATGAACACAGAATTAGAACAACAATTCTCTAAAGCCCCCTTTCCCGAGTGGCTTGCTCAATTTACACAATTACAGGACTGGCCTGGAATGGACCCGCCATATATACCATTAGATTTCATTGATTTTAGCAAAATACCCGAAGCAACCCATTACAATCAATTACAGTGTGAAACGGTACCAAGAGATATATGTTCCTTTGATTGCCATAAATGTGTTGCAACCGACGATATATTAAGTTGCGATTCTCTCACTCAGACTTTTGATGATGGACCAACACCTGCAACTACAGATCTATTAGGGAATTTGAATCATAAGGCAACCTTCTTTACTCTAGGAATCAACATAATAAACTATCCTCAAATTTATAAAGCGATTATACAAAGGGGGCATGATGTTGCCTCACATACTTGGTCACATGCACATTTGCCATCATTATCTAATGAAAAGATTATTGCACAACTACAGTGGAGTATATGGGCTATGAATGCTACTGGAAATCACATACCTCGGTACTTTAGACCTCCATTTGGAGGTATGGATAACAGAGTCCGTGCTATAGCGAGGCAGTTCGGCCTTCAAGCAGTTTTATGGGATCGAGACTCATTTGACTGGCAACTTTTAACTCCCAACCCGAAAACGGAAGAAGACATTCTTAAGGATGTGTGTCTTTGGAAAAAGCATGATGGAAGGGGCATAATTCTAGAACATGATACTACTAAACAAACAACAGATCTGGCAATCAAAATTGAAAGAATAATTGGCTTGTCGCAAAAGACCGTTGCACAATGTGTTGGAGGTTCAAATTACATTCGACAATTTCAATAGAAATAAAAAAATGATTAATGGTTTGTAAAAGAATCCTTTCATACCTCTAAACGTATCTTTGCTTATAAATATCGATCAAAGAAATGACACATTGCTTCCGTGGTACTAAACAGGTTTTTATTGTATTAGAAATGCAAAATAAATATTAATTAAACTAATATGCAAAGTAATTTATAGCTACAACTCCCTACAGGGACGATATTTTTAGATATAGGCCGACTATAAATTTGCCAGCTAAAAAATAAATTAGGTAGTATATCAATGCCCTTGATTAAGATGCATCGGTTGAAATACTACGAGATTTTCTAGAGCCAAAGAATCTGAATCCTGAACTCTTTTTCCTTGATTTTTCTTTACCTTTATTGACAAGAACCTTATTTTCTGGATTTTTAGATTTCATATGAAAATGCTTTCTTATTCCTTTCTTTGGTGTCTGTTGACTCTCTTCCTCCTTCTTGACATCAACGATAGTGGCTGTGTCGCCAGATGAAGATGTAGAAGTACTTTTTGATCTAGGCTCCAACTGGAGTGACAAGTGATACTGATTCTCAACATCCGGCACATTTTCAGCTACATTCATGATATGGTGTATTATATCTAAGTCTGCTTTGTATTCATATTTCACCTTCTTATAGTGAAAAATTTCCTGAATAATATCAAAAATCCGAAATCTTTTTGTAAAATTTACTGTTCCCCTGCTTTTATCAACATAATCTGGATTCCCATTGTGTGTGAATAATAAGTCTGAAAGATATACTCCAAAAAATGGAATACATGGTCTGTTACCAACATTCTTAAGCGTCAATCTGTACTTCAAAAAATTTTTCGTAGATATCATCAAGTCATCAAGCTCACGCAAGGTGTTCTGTAATTCTCGAGATACCAACTTCCAGCTTTCATGTAAACGATTTACTGGCGATGCATAAATACCTGAGATGATAGCAGTCATACTAGAGAAATTATTAATTTCATAGCTAATACGAGCGACCTTAATGAAATAACCGATGGCCTGTCCTCTTTTGGCTGCTGTATCATATTGTAAAATTTTATAAGACACATATTTAGTGATGCTATTCGCAAATGAAATAAACTCACTAATATTCTTAGAACCTCCGAAATCACATTGCTTACATCCCCACACGCGGTCAAGACAATCAAATATTGTAATTTTTTCGTAAAGATTTTCTTCAATCAAAGCTAGTTGCTGAGCAACGTTTTCAGCTGGTATATCTAATATTGACTCATAGACATTAGCTGTAAACTTTGCATCATGCACAAGGTTTGAGAATCCTATCCGCTTCAAATCATTATTATATTCAAGGATTTCGGTACTAGGCTCTAACAATGACCAGTAGCTATATTCAGAAGTCTGATTGTTAGCTTTGATTTCATTCAAAGATGTGTAAAGTTCATTAGCATAGGCGATATTTTCACGCTGTGCAGTTTTAATACAGTTCTCCAATAGTGCTACAGGAAAATCCATATACCGTTCATTCCAAAAAAATGTGAACAGTTTCCATAATAGATAAATTACCCGTTCTTTGTTTGGTAAGTATTTTTTTTCAATCCAGTCGTTATACTCTTCATAACTCAGATTTTCTGGTGGTGCTTCTTCAAATCTCTCAATTATATTAACAATAAATTCAGTAGAAGTAAATATTGTCCTAAAAGTTATCAACATAGTTATCGCAAAAGGCATATCGAGAGATGAGGATTGAAACAAATATTCAAACAAATCTCTCTTATTAGCTCCTTTCATTCTTCCTTTTGAATCAAAAATAACTTCGGCGGTATAGTTTGGCTGAAGGTACCATGGCACAAACTCAATTTTATCATCGGGACATACGACTACATTGGACTCATTTTTATAATAGCTATCCTCCTCTTCAATATATTCATTTATTTCCTCATCTTCTAGTAATTTTGCAACAAGCTCACTTTGCATCGTCCTTGCGGCATAATTAAGGATTTTGTCCCTTTCCTCAACTAGTTTTGAAACAACGGCACAAGCTGCGTCTGCCATTTCAACATACTTTTGTCTAGCATCTCTAAAATCTGCACATACTGAATAGTAAGTGTCATAATTAAATTCGGCATCTTCCCTCAAAAGTCTTTCGTATAGACTTTTTCTGATAATGTCCTCTTTCTTTAACAAATAAGAGCCATAGGCGCTTATATCTGCTTTCGAGCATATTGTCAAAGTATCAATTGAAATTGGATCCAAGGCACCCACAGGGTAATTTGATTTCATTGTCGAAAATACATATGGATCTTCTAGAGTTGTGTGTTGAGAGCACATAATTAGTCTCATTGCAATGTCATGAAAGGTTTGTTTTATTTTGTAAAATTCCTCAACAGAATAAGCAACAGAGACAAGAGTATGTCTCATCAAGTCCTGATATTTCTCAAACTCCCAACCATAAATACCACCATTCACTACTATATGTCTCATTTTTGTAAACATCGTTAGATCCAAATTTTCCAATATATTAATAATCAGAACGGTTGTATTTATCTCTTTGTAAGTCCGGAAATTGGCCTCTAAGCTTTGTATGACCTTCGATCTCGATGGGGCTGTGGATGTCATAGTCTCAATACTACTTGGTTTTACGGGAATATCTTCTTCTTCGTTTTTATCCAATTCATTAAACTCGCTGAAACTTACATGTATCTGACCCTTCCTCTTTTCCAAGAGTTCCAGCGTGTCTCTACTCAAAGGAAACTTTCCAATCTTATTATCATAATTCTTGAACTTATCTTTGCAAGCATTAATATTGGAAGGATTAACAACAGGATAATTCTTGTTTGCATGAAGATATTGAGCAAATAGACCAGTGCTTTTACGAGAGGGTTTATCTGTGTGCTTTGATGTTGTCGAGAATGATCCAGCGCTAGATCTTTGCTGCCCAGCAGCAGATAAATTTCCTGACGAGCTGTTGCGTGAACTACCTAGAGAGTTAGTTCCACTGAAAGGAGACGACAGTACAGAATTTCTCCTTTTATTTCTGTGATAACCAGAAGTGCGCCCCAGTACATTCTCGATAGCAGGTGGATAGTAGCTAGATATCGGATTTTGACTGGCAAGTTTATTTGGAGGCAAAAGGAATGGGTTGGACCACGATCCTCCGTTAAATGACAATCTCATGAATCTCGGGAAAAGCTGAGGAATGATGAATGATTTATGCCTCACAGAGAACTCATTTAGCATATCAAACAGAATATTAAATTGATCATGAATCTTATCAAAGCTCTCGAGGGCAACATCGTAACATCTTGAAATAATGAGTGTTTTATCTATATCTGTATCATTGGTACTATAATTTCCTTGCTGATGACTGGAACGTGAATAACTTGTATAATATGAATGGTTATACCAAACATGTGCCGACTCAGAAATGACACCTAGACAATGTATGAGATCTTCACTTAACAACTTTATCACCTTGTGTTTCTTTACCGGGTCAATAGTCTCAGGGGGGGTCGATTCTTTTAGTATTTCACAGGCTTGTATTAGATACGTAACATATGCCCCCAGAAGGGTATAATTATACCTGAACTCCGGCCTATAGCTTTTCCTCTTTTCGCTTATATGACTTACTTCATCATAGCTCTTGGTAAAGCATTCTTTCGTCTTGTCAAGATAATGATTCAACACCACAAATAATTGATTCCAAGTCACAATATCACTGTCGTTTAGGTAGAACAGGTTGCGGTCTGCTGGGATATAATATGAAGTTGCATCATCATAGCATTCAGGGTCTGGTTTCAATTTTGCCGCCTTAGGTGCTTCATTAATCATTGATGTAATAGAGTTTCGTAGTTTTTCCGTGTTATTCAAGACTGATATGTCTGGTGTGATAATTTCAGGCACAACTTCAGTACCAGAGTATATTGAACCCGGTTTGTTTGCTGTATCTGTGGTGAGAATCAGCGACCTCACATAACTTGAAGGTAACCATCCCCTGACCACAGAGCCAGTCTTGGATCCTCTGGAAGTGTAGACTAGGTTATCCTCAACCAGGACACCGTCCCACCATCCGGAGTCTAATTTGGTGACAATGTATATTATATCTCCTTTGAAAAAAGTGAGCTTGTTGTGGTCTTTGATTTCGTCGTGGATATAATAGTCACTTATGGCTCGTACTATATCTATGGGTTTAAACCCTACTTCGGGTTTGGGTGTGTTGGGTGTGTTCATAATATTGTTGTGAGTGGGCTTGCTATATATGCAGCGCTTACATTCACATACAAATATGCAGTGCGGTGTTAGTTGTATATCCTGTTGGTGATATATGTTCTTTTCAAAGTTGCAAATGCTAGTACTGCTTTCTATTATATATATAAGGCTCTGTTGATCGAATATGGGCCGGCCTGTGTGTAATCACATCGATTTTCCATCACTATGAGCAGTTCACGCCGAGAAAACTGAAGATCATTACATATTAGGGGCACCATGATGTAATTTAGGCACCTTCCTTAAATAGAATGTTTTCTTAAGAACCATAAGAAGGTATCTTGATAGGGAAAAAGGGTATATCAATGAATAAAGGATGACTTCACCATTTGATCAGGGCGTTCCATGTACAACCCCCCCCCCCCCCCCCTTCTAAGGTCATGGCGAGTGATGGATAAGGGACATAACAAGTATCCCATCAGGATAAGGCTTGATCAGGATAAGAATCAACCAGGATAAGAATCGATCAGGATAACCATCGCTGCTAGTGTTAAGGATCAACCCTATTAGCAAGGCTCCAGAGTGAAAAGAAAAGCATGGAGGGCAATAAACTCAAACTAGCGATGTGGGCATGTTAATATCGAATGATAGCCCACAAAGGCGGGGGGTGTTACAGAGGACCCTTGCGCATGAGAACAATGGGGGGGGAGGGTGAGAGGGATAGCGCCTAGTACTAAAGTTGGCTTGACAGCGGAGAATATCCCGCAGGAGCATTGTATTTTTTAGGGGTACCTCCCTCACCTCCAAGTTGGCAAATGCTGTTTAGATAGACTTCTGTGCATCTAAGTGTGTGCGTGTTTGTTCTGAGGACTTCAGGGGGGGCGGAGAAGTACCTGCACAAGGCGGAACACTGTGATCGAATGCTGGGAGATGCAGAGAAGAAGCTGGTTGATAATGTGTAGCTACGCTAGTTGTCTGCGGAGGCAATGCTAAACGTGTCGGCTGGGCAGTGGGAAATGAAAGATCCGGCTGCTGTACGTAGGAGTCTGTGCCGCAGAATGACTGGAAAATGCCTTTCACACGGGTATTGACGACATGGCAGGAAAATACCTGTAGAAGAAAGCTGCAGAGCACCATCCCTGTATATCTGCCGTGGACTTGTAGTGAATCGGGGGGAGGAAGTGGAGCGTCTTGTATCAGATGTGGGTGGTGAGATGTGTACTGTCTTTTCTACGGCTGTTTGTGTATTTTTCTTCTTCTCACCCTCACTGGCTGCTAACCAAGGGAGTGCGGGAGGATGTCCCTACACGGGTTTTAATTCTTCTTCCAGTTGCAAGAGAAACAGCAAAAAAAGGCAGGATCTTGAGAGAATAACTACGGTTGTACGGGTTATTGTGTGGAGGGCATCTCAAAAATATGTATAATCCCGATGCACATGCCCGTTCCACTTGAGTTCTCTGTCTAATTTACTTTTCACGGAGTTATACAACCACGCTATCCCGGAACTGCCTCTCTTCTGCGCTGCATTCCTGCGTGTATTCAAAGAGAAGGCCAAGTGAGGCAAGGGAGAGGACAGTCACCGTTGGGATCGAACACTAGCAATCCACACGCGCAGCCGCAGTGGCACAGGCAGTGTAGGACCCACTTTTCCGATTCCGGCAGTTCCGCGGTATATTCCACTTTCGAAAGCACTGGCGTGACTCGGAGATACTGCACAGTGCTCCCTCTACCCGCTCTACTCTTCGCACGACTGACGTTGCAGACAGTACCAGTAAAGCCGAAAATGCAGCGAATAGGCTCAGCTATCGAGGTTCCAGCGATGTCATGACATTGTAGTAATACGCATTGTGATCTACAAAAAATATAAAAGTATATTACAACTGTCGTCAACTTGTGAATATATTGACATCAGTGTACAGTTATGAGCCGACATTCGCTAATTCTATTTTTAAATGTGATCAAATAGATTGCTGTTGAAGAAGTTAGAATTACCACCATAGAAGTTGATTAGCAATGACGTCTTGCCAAAACCGTAACAGTCACCAGCAATTGAGTTTGTAAACAACCGGTAATATATTACAATAATACCAACTTTGTTGAAACATATGTATCTACATTTTAAGATAGTCCTTTGATTTTTGTGTATTGCATGTGACTGAGACGTCTCATATTATAAGTTTTTTTTTCACGATTTTTTTATGTCACTTTTACTCAGAACTTAGCTGTTCCCACCAATGCCCGGCGATGAGCAATAATCCTTGCCAGGATTGCAACGTTAAGAGCTCTCGAATATGTATGTAGAATGCCTTATTCGAATGGTAACTCAATTGTAATTGCAATTAAATTGGTTTTTTTTTTTTTGGATTTGATTTGTAGATTGAAAATTACACAGCATCACATACCCTAATATAATCATGTCTGCAGAAGAAGCTAAAGCTGCCTCTCCAGAAGCCCCAAAGGAAGTTATCCTAGGTGAAGATGGCCAACCATTGTCTAAGAAGGCCCTAAAGAAGTTGCAAAAGGAGCAAGAAAAGCAAAAGAGGAAGCAGGAACGTGCCGCTCAGCTAGAAGCCGAACAAAAAGAGCGTGAACAAGCCAAGGCTAACGAAGTTGACCACTCTGCTGAGAACTATGGCCCAGCTCCATTCGTCCAATCCCAATTCCGTACTGGTGAAAAGCGTGTTAAGTTCGAGGACCTAAGCAAAGAAGATGCCGACAAGGAAGTTCTATTCAGAGCTCGTGTCCACAACACCAGACAACAAGGTGCTACTCTAGCGTTCTTGACCCTAAGACAACAAAGCTCTTTGATCCAAGCACTAGTCAAGGCTGACAAGGCCGGCGAAAAGATCTCCAAGAACATGGTTAAGTGGGCTGGTTCTTTGAACCTGGAATCCATTGTCCTTGTCCGTGGTATTGTCAAGGTTGTTGACGAGCCAATTAAGTCCGCTACTATCCAGGACCTAGAAATCCACGTCACTCAGATCCACACTATCAGTGAAACTCCAGAGACTCTTCCAATCTTGATTGAAGATGCCTCCAGATCTGAGGCCGAGGCCGAGGCTGCTGGTCTGCCAGTGGTCAACTTGGACACAAGATTAGACAACCGTGTCATTGACTTGAGAACCGTTACCAACCAAGCTATTTTCAGAATCCAACACGGTGTCTGTGCTTTGTTCAGAGAGTTCTTGGCCAACAAGAAGTTCGTTGAAGTCCACACTCCAAAGATGTTGGGTGCTGCCAGTGAAGGTGGTGCCAACGTTTTCGAAGTCACTTACTTCAAGGGTAAGGCCTACCTAGCCCAATCTCCACAATTCAACAAGCAGCAACTGATTGTTGCCGACTTCGAGAAAGTGTTCGAGATCGGTCCTGTCTTCAGAGCCGAGAACTCCAACACCCACCGTCACATGACTGAGTTCACTGGTTTGGATATGGAGATGGCGTTCGAGGAGCACTACCACGAAGTGCTGGATGTTCTGAGCGAGCTGTTTGTGTTCTTGTTCACTGAGCTGAAGAAGAGATACGCCAAGGAGATCGAGCTTGTCCGTAAGCAGTACCCAGTGGAGGAGTTCAAGTTGCCTAAGGACGGCAAGATGGTGCGCATCACATACAAGGAAGGTATCCAGATGCTGAAGGAGGCCGGCAAGGACATTGGCGACTTCGAGGACTTGAGTACCGAGAACGAGAAGTTCCTGGGTAAGCTGGTGCGCGAGAAGTACGACACCGACTTCTACATCCTGGACAAGTTCCCACTGGAGATCAGACCATTCTACACAATGCCAGACCCAGAGGACCCACGCTATTCCAACTCCTACGACTTCTTCATGAGGGGTGAGGAGATCCTGTCTGGTGCGCAAAGAATCCACGACCACAAGATGCTGATGGAGAGGATGAAGGTTCACGGCTTGGACCCAGAGGACCCAGGTCTGAAGGACTACTGCGACGGTTTCAGCTACGGCTGTCCTCCACACGCCGGTGGTGGTATCGGTCTAGAGAGAGTCGTGATGTTCTTCTTGGACTTGAAGAACATCAGAAGAGCCTCGTTGTTCCCAAGAGACCCTAAGAGATTGAGACCATAGTTTCGTTGTCTGCGCTCTCTGCGCTCTCTGCGCTCTCTCTGTATACCGTTTATACTTGTTCTACTACACTACATACGAGTATCACAATACACGTCTATAATAAAACACACACCAAGAACACGCACACGCACACGCACACGCGCACACGCACACACAATATATATATACATAGTACATGTATAGGGAGAGGGAAGGAAACTAAACAAGACAAGCAAATAGCAAAATGTCTAGTGGTAACCCTGGAGGAGCACTGAGGGCGCTGTCGCCCACGCCGCCGGAGCGCGGGTCGTTCCCGCTGGACCACGACGGCGAGTGCGCCGAGTACATGCAGAAGTACCTGCAGTGCATGCGCCTCGCAGCCAACGAGAACGCACACAACTGCCGCCTGCTGGCCAAGGACTACCTCAAGTGCCGCATGGACCACCAGCTCATGGACAAGGACGAGTGGAAGAACCTCGGCCTGCCCCCAGATGACAAGCAGTAAATACCTTTCCCCCCCCCCCCATAGCCCATAGCCCATAGCCCAGTACATAGTAAATAGCAAGAACTACGAAATAAATATCACATGACACATCACCTCCCACAATAAAGAAAACGTTCCAGACCCGCCAGAAAAGCAGTTTTGGGCCCTCTCCGCACCTGCCCCCCCATCGCCGGCCCTCCGATCACTCCCCCCAGAACAGCCCCCAGAACAGCCCCCAGAAAAAGAAAAAGATAAAGGAAACCCACACACCACCAGAACTCGAGCGGGGCTGTCCCGACTCCCACTGCCGGTCAGAACAGCAACACGACTGATCTGGAAGAACAACACGCACAAACAGCCAGAGGGCCAGCGATCCCCCGGGGACTTGCACCTGAGCACAGAGCGAGCACAGAGCGGGCACAGAGCGGTGGGCACAGGGTACTTTGGGAGTCACCTATCGTCACTCTTACAACGTATGTGGGCCCCGGTGCATATGGACCCCCCCCAGCTCATCTCAAATAGTATATTAATGAACCCCCCCATAGGAAAAAGAAAACTGATCTAATTAAATGGGATCAATAAAGCAGATATTGGGAAATTCGGTATATATTATATTGGTGGGAGACAGGATCCTTCAACTGGGGACCTTATAGACACCTACGAGAAACCAACACAAATGCTGGGGTTCAAGAGGAAACGGACGAACACCAACAACAACAACAACAACACGATGAATTTCGCTCCAGACTTGCTGGATGATCTGATGCTGGATGACCGCTACTTGGACGAGAACGCTATCCTGGATGACTACGACACCGCCGAGGCCGCCCTCGACCCCGTGCGGTACAAGAAGCAGCGCACGGTGTCCTTGCCGCAGCTGCCACACTCGCGGCTCTCTTACTCGTACTTCGTCAACACCCTGGACGGCTCCAACAGCGCTGCGATGACTCACGCGACTGCGAACTTGAGCTCAGCAAACATGGGCACAGCAAACCAGGGACTGCCACACCAGGCACTGGGAAGCGCGTACACACACCACAGATACCCGGCCGACGACAACGATATGTCCTCGCTCCTGGACGCATCGCTGTACATGGGCCAGAATGCGCACGCAGCGCTGGCACAGCCGGCGCTCAAGTCCGGAAACTGGGTCACCCCGCCAGCACGCATACAGAACGACGACGAGCTGCTGCACTTGACCGGCTCTTCAAGCAAGACCCTCGAGGGCAACAGAAGCGTGCAGCTGAAGGTGGCCCACAGCGTCTCCCCTTTCACAAACGAGAACTCAACGGGCGCCGCCTCAGGAATAAGCGCAGGTTTCAAAAATAGCTTCAAGAGACTTCTCTCCCATGAACAACAACCATACGACGATAACATACCAAGACGCAGCAGTATCGCGTCCAGAAGACGCAGCAGTGTGAAAAGGGTGCAGGACGCCCAAGGATCACTTCCGAATATGAACTACTTCCAAACAGACAAAGACGGTCACTACATATACCAGGAAAACGACGTGTTTGGCTCAAACGGCCAGTTCGTCGTTAAGGAATTGCTGGGGCAAGGCACCTTCGGGAAAGTCTTGAAATGCGTAGATACTTACTCCCCAAATAACAAATTTGTGGCAGTGAAAGTCATAAGAGCTGTAGACAGATACAGAGAGGCAGCCAAAACAGAATTAAGAGTGCTAAGCACTATATTAGAAAATGACCCAGTAGGCCAATTCCAATGCTTACTGCTTAGAGATTGTTTTGATTATAAAAATCACATATGCCTGGTAACGGACCTGTACGGAAGATCGGTATACGACTTTATGTGTTCTAATGGTGTGGCTAGATTTCCTGGGTCCCACATACAGGCAATAGCTAGACAGTTGATCAGATCTGTATGTTTCTTGCATGATATGGGCATTATACATACTGATTTAAAACCGGAAAATATCCTGTTGGTGGACGAATCTTATGTGGAGTATGACCTTCCACAAAACGTGATAGATTCTATGAGTAACAGAAGGCGAGCTGCCTCTCAGGGAAAGAGAAAGATACTGACCAATCCGGAAATTAAGATTATTGATTTTGGAAGTGCAGTTTTTCATAAGGAATATCACCCACCAGTTATATCAACAAGACATTATCGTGCTCCAGAAATTGTTTTAGGTCTGGGGTGGTCTTTCCCATGCGATGTTTGGTCAATAGCATGCGTATTGGTGGAGCTAGTAATTGGAGAATCTCTATACCCAATTCATGAAAATTTGGAACATATGGCGATGATGCAAAGAATTAACGGTACTCCTTTTCCTACAAAATTGATCGATAAGATGTTTTACAAGGTAAGACACAAACTAGGAAATTTGCCATCAGATCTCAATACCACGGTTGTTAGACACTTCAATAGACAATCACTAACTTTGCAGTGGCCAGAAAAAAATAAGCGGGGCGAAATAGTTACTACAGAAAAATCAATGAAAAGAGTAATGGAGTCTTGTGATAGATTGGATGTCTATATATCAAGAGTCCTAAAACAAGATTATGGTGAACGACTAAGTATAAACTGGAACCTTTCACCCGATAAAAATTGGAGTTTAGTCAGTTCAAAACTTTTATGGAGGGGTCATCAGCATTATGATGGCAACATCTACGAGGGCTCTCATATGTTCCCTCCACAGCATAAATTAGATAAGGACTCTTTCTTGTTCTGGTACTGGTTTGTCGATCTATGTCGTAAAATGTTTGAATTTGATCCAACTAAGAGAATTACAGCGAGGAAGGCATTGGATCATGAATGGTTCAATTTGGGAATTTTTGATGAAGGTATTACAAACTTTGCAAATCCAAGAGCAAACTATAGAAACTCCATTTAAAATTAAAATGGAAATTCGTAGGAGTTCTCAACATCTGATAGTTAATAGGCGCAATAAGAAAAAATAGTTACTATTCCCACCCCTTTAGTCAAGTATTTGGATTAAATTTTAAGAGATCATGAAACATATTAGTCAATATTCCTTTAATTGTATGAGTTTGAACCTAAGATACGTAGTAGTAGTAAATGTTTTTAATATTCTAAATCAGTTAGTTAATGTGAAGAATTCAATATTACATTATATTTTATCATTTTGTATTATTATCCACTTTTTTCAACGAACTAGCTCTATCATTAGATGAGTTGATGCAGAAACAGAAGCAATTTAAAGGGTATACACTTTCCAAAAATAACAAATAACATAAGTACTGCTCCTATGAAGTCAAATCCATTCGTGCTCGCAACTGATGCAAAGAGGATTATTAGTATTGATAGTGAATAGCAACCAATCAAAATTACAATAATACATATAATAATACATTAGGTATAACCTTTTAACTTAAAATAATAAAGAACAAGTTTGTAAACAGATGGAAGCTGTAAAGACGCAAAAAAAATTTCCTAGAAAAGGTCATCTATTTTAATCTTGCATTGAGATAGTCAATTTCTTCCTTCAAACTTGCCTCCTCAACAGTTTTCACCAATTCCTTTGTACATTTGGCCACATCAAAGGCAATACCTGCTAATCTTTGTTTAAAGTTCTTATCAGCATAATCACCATCATTATCTTCATGAATTAGAGTACCATTCTTGTTTAACTTACACAAAACTGTCAATCGCATAGCACAATCTTGCAAACTTTGAACAACCCAGCTACCATGCTCTTTTAGATTAGCGTTACGGCTTTGGTTCATAGAAATACTTGTTGCATCAACCATTTGTCCTATAACTTCATTAATAGCATTGGATTCTGAACGTAGGTTTCCTTTTGTTGCTTGCGGTTCCTTTATGGATGTCAAGAGACTTTGAATTGTGGATATAACTTGCATTGTTTGATGTTCTAGATAGAGTAACAACTCAGATAAAGTATTATCGGGGTTTTCAATGTCAAACGCATCAATATCAAAATTTATATCACTAGCATTTTCATTGGCATCCTCATCCTCATCCTCATCCTCCTCATCGTCTTCGTCTTCATCGTCTTCGTCTTCATCGTCTTCTTCATCATCATCTTCGTCTTCATCGCCGGCCTCGTTGTCATTGCCGTCCTCTTCTTCACTATCGGTTTTTGTTTCAGCATTCTTACTGGTGTGAATGGTATTTTGTTGAGGACTTTCAATAACAGAATTCAGAGTATCTGCTGTGGTTATACTGGAAACTTTTTTGACATTGTCTTTTTTAATATCCTCAATAGTTTTTGTTGGCTCATCAGGCTTCTTGATGTCAACATTCTTTTTTATTGAGTCAACTGCCATTAAGTTTTTTGTCTCATGAGAGGTTATTCCTTCCATGGTATTTGGCCCAGCTCGAATGTCATCCTTTAGGCCTGAATTATTTGCAGTTCCTTGAGACTTTGTAAGCGGCTCATATTGCACACTATCATCACCTTCAAATGAACTTCTTGAGTGAGATTCCGAATCTGATTTAGGAGCTAAGGAACTTTCTTTTGCAGATGTAGATTCGAACTTTTTAAGTTCTATAGGGTGCTGATCTTTAGAAATGTCAGTATCCCTTTTATTTTGCTCTCCGCTGAGATCTACCTTTCTTAGTGATGACTTCGTGAAGCTACCCATTAGCGATAGTCCTTTTGGAGGTGATGGTTTTTCTATAGAGGGTTCTGTTAATTCTGTAGAGCTTGGGTCTGGTTTCAAATTATTCATAGAAGAAGTCGGCTCTGTAGCAACTCGACTAGACTGCACCGTATCAATAACAGGTTCAACTTCTGACTTTTTATTCGTTGAAATAGGAGCAGGTTCTGCTTGGAGTTGAAATGTATTATCATTTGTCTTGTTCGAGTCTGTCTGATTTTTCAATTCAACGACAGGAATAGATTTACCAGCAATGTTTGGATCAACTGAACTTGCAGGGTTAGATGTTTTCGGGTTATTATCTATGTCCTTAGTTACATCCTTTGATGGAGTTTTAATCTCTAAATGTCCTGATTCTTTAACGTCTCTTGAAATTTTGGAAGGAGTTAAATCAGGTCCATTGTTTTCTTCTTTCCATCTACTTAGAGTATCCACAGATTTGCTCTCAATTTTTAGTGAAAATAAGCCTGTCCCTGAAGGCTTTCTTGAAGTTGATGCCGGGGTTAGTTTTGGACTATTTATTGCTTTCTGTGTAATTTTCAAAGGTTTTACAGGCGATTCCTCGTTTTGATCAAGAAAGGAATCCAGTTCACCTGGCTTTTGGAAGAAGGGCGTCATTTTCTGCTTTTCATCTACAACTGGTGTTGAAGGAAAGGTGGGCAATTTTGTTGATTCAGATTTTGCCATGTTATTTGTGTTATCACTGTTTAACCTTGCAATTTCTTTACCATCATACTTAATTTTGGCACTTTTTATTAATGTACAAAAAGAAAACAGTATTTCAGTAATAGATGCCTGTAGAGTAACAACCGGTATAAGTGGACCATAAGTGGTATAATATCTCAAAGTTGTAATAGCATGTGAAACTGCTGCCTTAACAATTACATTCTGGTCATGAAACTCAGGAAGTTGTAGCTCAGACAACACTCTTGAAATTGCATCAGAAATGTAAGCCAAATACTTGAACAAAGTTTTACCCTGTACATCAAAATGCTCTTGTTCTGACTTGTAGTTTGCATAGATAGTAGAATATATCAGATTCACATTTTTTCTAACTGTATCTACATGTTCAAAAGAAATGTATCCATTAGGATCGAAGAATTTTTGCAAATTATCAGAATCGTTAAGAAGATTATCTTCCATTAAGTTTTTAAGTGTTTTTTTGGTATCAACTGGAGGCAAATATGTTTCTCTCTTTACAGATTTTGTTGGTGATTTCATCTCTAACTCAAGTTCAGATATACGCTGTTTAAGCTGTTCATTCTCAATGGAAAGATCCCTTATTTGAGAGTTTAGTTGGATGAAGTCCTTTTGATACCTATGTTCAATGTGATTAGAGGAGTCATCACCGTTACCTAATTCAAGAGATTGATCACCTTCTTTGACATCTGAAATATCTTCCGCAGATCTGTATAAAGAAGAAAAGTCATTTGTACTGCTATATACATCTTGTGGTTGGTCAAATTCAAACAGTTTTGAAGCTAAATTGTTCTTCTCTTCATTACTATTCTTTGTTACCGGGGTATCATTGAGATTAAAGTCATCATTATCAGTTGAGCGAGTAGACATCTTATTATGGGCTTCCTCTTCTTCTTCTTGTACTGCTTCAGCATTGTTGAAAGTCTTCTCAATCAAATCAGATAAATTGGTAGATTCATTTTTAGTATTACTTGTAACATCGTCAGTCTCAGTAATTGGTTTGACTTGCTTCGTAATACCATCTAAATTTTCATTATTATCTTCTTCTTCTGATGACCAATCAATAGAGGCTTTTTTGGGGATGACTACTATAGGCTGTACTGTAGTTGATGTTGTAGTTTCATTGTTAGAGCTACTATTTTCATCAGTATTGGAATGCCGGTTTACGGTATTATCGCCGTTATCATCAACTCTGTTATAATTATCAACTGTGTCATCTTTAGGATCAAAAGGCATCTCTGATTTAGTACTTTGTTTCTCGTTTCCAAAATTATCAAAACCATCTGGCTTTTTAGTCGAACCGTTATGATAGTCTCTTCTATAAATCTCAAATAATATGTCGTCTATGAGATCGTTAAATCTAGTTTGGGACAACTTTGCAAGTTTCTGTCTTGCTTGGTTTCTTTTCACATGGAAGTTTGTCTTAGGTAAAAGATATTCCGGCTGGTCCTGGTCCTCATTAATACGCCTATTTAATTCATCGGATACGTCAGTACTCAGTTCATAAAATTGAGACGGACTCAATTTTAATAACTTGGCTCTAGCTTTTTGAGCTCTAGAAGAGCTCGACCTATCTTTATTTGAGTTTGTAGCATTGAAGAAAGTTTTCAAAGCTACAAAATAGCCTTTAATGTCCTCCAATTGAGATTGTGTGAGCTCAGACATGTTCACTTCAAGGGAAGTATGGTTGTGCTAACCAATTATTTGTCACCTGGTATAGTTGTAAACTTGAAGTTGTATGGTTACTTGTTCAATCAATTTGACGGTCTATAGTTATTCCTATAGTAAATATGGAATAAATAAAACGCGTAAAAAACGGCACAAATTTATGTCAATTTCAAAAGGAACCTGTTTTTTGAAACACTATTGGATCCTATGTGTCAGTATTGATTTAGATGGTGTAATTGCTACCGGTTTGAGCAATTGAATAGAGTATAGTCCTTAGCTAGGGCGGACCTATTGTCTCAACAATGTTTGTGCTGATAGGAGCAATGCAAAATGCTATAAGGTCCTCAAAGCAATTGTTTTATGCCTCATCTACATTAAAGTAAGGAAATATATAAAGACAATAAAAATATTAACGAAGCTGAGACTATTTATTAAACTGAATATACTCACAAAAGAAAGAAAAATCTCTTCGTCGAAGCATTCGATGAATAACCTTTGTCTCCAAGGTTAGTCCCGAACTGCTACAATGTCTTTCATAGTTGATGTGGAAAAAAAATGTCGTTTTGGCGTACGCAAAAATCGTCCATCCTTCCACGTAACTATTACGGTAAATTCCCAATGAACAAACACGTAAATTATCATTAGCATTTGGACGTTCCCGGTTTTGAAATTCCAAAGTTCATCACTTAAATTTTGTATTTTTCCTGAAAATATTTGTTCATTATTGAAGAGTAATGCTGCTGGATAGTTCTTCTGTTGCACTTGCGATTCTCCTCTCTGTCATCTATATCACAACCAATTATAACTTATAAATCTTATGGTTTAATTATATATTTCTTAACTTATGAAATGTTATTTAGTTAGTTTAAAGAGTTAGACTTATCTCTCTTTCACTTTATGAAACCCATCACTACCCATTGGCTAAATGGTTGATATGATATTGCTGAATTCCCGTTACGCTTGGTGTTAAGAGTAGCAAAAGTACTAAATACATAGAGTACATAGAGTACACAGATTGCTTGCCACACCAACAGGTTCCTCTGTCGGTCTGTATAGCTTTCCTGTTAACGTGGACAATACTTGCATCTCATTAAGCCGGGTAACAAATACACCAACGCGATGAGCCCGAAAGATGAGCATTTCTTTGTTTACATTAATATTATGTGGATAATAGTATGCGAAAGATAGCAATAAAAGAAGGCTTTATGCAATAGCAAAGTATCTCAGCCATTAGAAACAAATCAGGCACTGTTCTAACAAGGTCTCGGATCAGAAATATCTAGTATTCTCTACTTTCCAACTTGGTGATTTTATGCTGGGCATAGAAAATTTTACAAAATTCATAATATAAAACAAGATAGATGAATAATACCGATACTAGTCTTCTGGGTAACATGCTTTTGCCTAGGGGGAATGGCACAAAGGCTTATGTTACTAACAATGAGTTTTCGGACTCTAAATTCATGTCACAACTAAAAGAGGAGGATGAAATTGAGGATACTGGTATTGATGACGGGTTAAATAGTAACAGTAGTAACAGCGATAGTGTACAGAGGGGAAATCAAATGGAAAATGAAAACGAGAATAGTGTTATGTATGCAACGGTACAACAGAGGTCCAAGAAATATAACTCTTCCAATGATGATATACCACAATTCAGAGCCTTTTTAGGGAATCCTAATGATCAACAAAATCATAACAATACACATGTGACAATGGATTTAACCAGTTCGAACATAAATAATGATATAGAGATCAGGAAAGAATTGCCTAATGAACTAGTAGTTACCCAAGCACTGGATGACATATCGGGTTATTTGAATACAAACACATTTAAGAGACATGATAAACAGAATATAGGGAAAGATAAGAGAGTAGAAGAGCACTCTAATATATCTGCACATTATAATGACACTGACCCAGCGCTGGAAGCTGTAAATATATTTCAAAATGTCCTGAAAAATCAGAAATCTAATTACGCCTTTAATGAGAGAATTGTTAGCAATCCCACCGTATCAGATTCCAGTTATTCTGATGATCTTAGCGCTAGCCGTTTGACACGTTCCAATGGCATTAACGCTGACCATGTAAATATTTCCAGACAAGAAGTTACTTCTGCTAATAAGCCTTTAGGAGGAAAGAAGCAAAGTAGGCCTGAAAGTGAATACCATCCGTCTGATAGAAACAATTCAAGCTCAGAATCTTTATCTAATATGTCAACATCTTCCCAAACTCCGCCAACATCAGCAGAAAATTACACAAATGTTACAACAAGCCGAAAGCCAAAACCTCAGCAGATAAGTGAGCTGCCTTTAATTACTCCAGAATCTATAGGATTAATCTTTAATCAGGAGAATGGTGTTTGGCAAGAACCAGATTCACATAATCATGATATTACAAATAGTCATACAGTGGAAAACACAACTTCCAATTCAACGACGCAAAATACTGAAGACTCTTCGATTCACATAGATACTCATTTGGCTGAAAATTCGAATGAGGATATTCGTGTTCATAGAAGAAGAATTAATTCAAGAATTCTTCAAAGAGACGATCAATCTTTGCAAATTCGTGGACCAGTAAAGCCGAAATTTCAGAACATACATGAAGAAGATGAAGCAGACTACTTATCTGATGACACTCCACTTGATCCACCTAAAATAAATAAAAAGTTTTTAAGGAAGCATAGTGATTATTTGCAAGAAGGTATTCTAACTGGAGATCGCAAGATATACCAAGATGTTGATTATAGAGAAACGCAATTTACTGAAGAGGAAAATATTAAGTTTAATGAAAACCTGGAAAGGTTGACATCCAGTCAAGAGGGGGGGATTGCTAAAAGGTCATCTTCACCTTTACATCATCCAGGTGATTTATCTTACCGGCAAAACAAAACAGACTTAGTCTCAGTCTTAACTGACAAATTAAAAGATATCAGTGATTGGGAAGCTGTAAAGGAAATAGTATTGAGTGAAGAAAACCTTCCTAGTGTTGTTGGCTTGAATGCATTTTTACCTAATCTGAAACACTTTGAAATCTGTAATTCTAGATTATCAACATTAGAAGGTACACCAGAAGGCGTAGTCGAACTGTTTGCGTCCAAGAATTGTTTGTCCAGTACCCATATTTTATCAACTAAATTCAACCACCTGGAGGTCATTGATATTTCATTTAATACAATCAGTTCCTTATACCACTGTTTTGATGGGTTACTGCACTTAAGAAAAATAATAGCACACCACAATAATATTAGTAGTATAGCGGGTCTATATGATATTCCAAGGTTACAATGTCTCGATCTGTCCCATAATTCATTTGAAGGTGTAATTGATTTTTCGATGCTTCAGGACTTAACTGGCGAGTATCCTTCCTGGATGAATTCACTAAAATTCTTGGATTTTTCAAATAACCCCATTTCAGATATGAGACGAATTAATCATTTGACAGCACTCGAATCTTTAGATATTACAAATACAAACATCAAGGAATTAGAGTGCCAAAATACATACAGCTCTACCAATTTAACTTCGATTTATTTTGATGCGAAACTAAGCATAGAGAGATGTTTATTTAACAATAGTTTCTCGTCTGTCATTAAGTTGATCGTATCAGGAACTCCAAATTTTCAGCTATCTGATATTCCAAAACATATCCAAAGACTTGCAATACGAGGTGAAAGTAAAGATCAATTGGATAACAGTAAACTATCAGAGTTCATGGGGTATATTGATGGCCAAAGTTATGATATTAAAACTACGGATAAGATTTATCACGGTAATGACAGCAATCCTCTATTAGTGCATTTGGAGATTACAGGTCATTTGAAACTAAATAAGCTACCTGTAACTTTACAGCAAAAGCTTCCGTTTTTGAAGACACTAAATTTGGATTCGAATGCACTTGATAGTGCCTACAATATAATTGAATCAATCCCGACTACATACATACAGGATTTATACCTGACAAACAATAGCCTATGCTCCCCTTTCTCATCATTAAGTTCATCAAAATTGGAAGAAGCTTTAAGAATTGCATGTCCAAACATTAAGGAAGTGTTAATTTAGTTTTACAGGAATTTTATACTTCTTATTTACAGACTCTAATTTGTTGATAACAGTTTTCTAATCATTGCATTATTCTCAAATATAGTTTAAAGTCTCTTAAGTTTGTTACCATTATTTTTTTCAAAGTATGAGCTGTCTGAAAATGTTTGTTTTCTTCATTTTATACAAGAGACATTCTATCGGGACGTATTTATTAGAAGTATAATTTTTCGTTTAAATCTATAGTTAGTATTAAGTGAAACTCTCGAGATATAAAACTGATCTGAAGGTATTAGTCATATAGGCTTCTTTTCGTCTACATTTCTGTTGATGGTGCTCTACGATCTAAAAATAACCGCTTGAAACCGGTTGCAATCAAACTTGAGAAGTTACATTTAGTGAATCTATAGTAATGACACTATCACTCGTCATAGATTGAGACATTATTGCCCAAGTCATCTGCTTACCAACCGATCATCAGCCTATTCAAATGATAGACGTACCATAAGGACAATAATCCAATCGTCAGCTTTTTTCTTTTTCATAACTTCTTTGTAGTTTTTCCGCGTTACCTATCCACTAAAACAGCGTGCGGTAACATGTTGAAGAACGGCTGATATTTGCGAAAGGTTTGATTTAGATCCGGAATCTATTTTGCCCCTCACTTTTTTCTCACAACGATCCTAGTGTTATGGGGGTCTAGAGATTCATTTTATCTCTATTATCACTAGGTTCTTCATAGGAATGATCAGTGTAGTCGAGAGATTGATCTAAACAACCCCCGCAAAAGCTATTTGTGATTTGCAATTAGCATACTCGTATTTATTATAGAGTTCCACGATAAACTAACATGCATTTATCGGATTTGGGCACGACACTAGATGATGGTTATAATTGGTATAGATAGCTTACCCGCTACGTCATTATTTACATAATGTTTGCTGACGCTGAGCATTGAGTAAGGGAATGGAATATAGTCCCCAAATAATTATATGGTTATCTTGGGTTGTTCAGAGATACGGGTAAAATAATATCACGGAAATCTACATACCAATATAATGAATAGATTTGGCAGCCTATGATTATATCATTAATTTGCTACAATTTAAACTACTATGCACAATTGTCTTAGTGTACTATTTAACTACATTGTGGCTTTGGTGATTAGTATACTCCATTGGTAAAAGCTCTTGGGAATAGTATGGGAAATCCTTCTTCACTTGAAGATCAAAATTACTGATCTATCATGGTGAAGTTAGGAAATCTACAGCCTATCTGAACTCGGACTAAAGCAGGTTATGGTGTCTTGATCATATCAAATAGTATTGCATGTGTGTATAGTTCCTGCTGAAGGCCCACATCAACAAAATTGCGATAGATATCTGGACAGGCAATGTGGTATAATATTTTTTCAGAGATTATCAAGAATGTGAACTTCTGCCCTATAGTCCAAAGAGAGTGATAGCATAAGCGGGTCAGATATAAGAGGAGATTAAAGTTTTCTATCCAAAGTGCACCACAAAGTGTCATCCTGGAATAGCTGCTATCATTTTTATGTAGAAGTATGAAATATCTGTGTAAAGAAATGACCAAAACTCCGCCAGACAACAAACATATGCTCATAAAAATAGATGAAGATGTATAAGCTAGCCTTGATAATAAAGCAGCAAATATCAGCAATCGCTGATGTTTGGCATGACAAATTACATGCCTACAAAGTGAAATGCACACCGTTCAGAGGTTTCTTGAGATTATGGATGCTCCAACAGAAGAGGCCTCCGTTGGCAGTTGTACCCCACTTATTAAAGTTTACTCCAAGTATCATGCTCTGAAGTGATTGAGGCTCACTAGATAGTTAAAAAAAAACTGCTGGAGGGTACAGGAGAACCAATGTTACATTTTTTGTTGGAACATTATAATCAAAAGACTCTCATACCTCTGAGAACGGTATTGAGAGAAGAAAAGTCATCGTCACATATAATACAATCTTCAAGGGTCCTTTCCCTTTCTTGTTGAATCGATATTCGCAGACTGAAAAACCAGTAGCATATCTAATCTAGCACTTTTCACATCTGATACACCCCCTTCGCAAGGACGAAATTCAAAGAACAATCAAATGATGTTACAAGAAAGAAGGGATTACAACAAAATCCTTCTTCATCTGCCTCATATTATTTTAGTTTTTCTAATTGTCCCGCACTACTTTCTCGCATGACTCCCCCTTGAGAGACAAACAAGTCCCTCACTCTAAAGAGTTAAGAACATCGAAATAAAGAGGGGTCGATTCGGGAGGAAGGTTTGGGACAGAGTTAGGCCAACTAAACATCGTTAGAAGGCAAAGGGAGTGTGGAGTTTGTGCGATGAGGTTGATATTTCAATGAGACAAGAAAATGTCTGTACCCTTCTCTAATCCGATACTTTTCCCTTTAGTGGCCCCCAACAATGACGAGTTTTCTGTTTTATGATGATTCTTGTTACCCCTCTTTATTTTGACCTTTCCCACACCCACATACATACAACGTATTGTTTCTCATTTGTAATGCTAGCCTATTCATAAGTGTGTGTGTTCGCAGATGAATGCGTTTGGAAAGTGCTAAGCACTTAACTGGCTCTCAGAGAATGAGCAGAGATCGTCCTTTTTAATACTAACACTAACTTTCTAAATAGTACTAATTCTGGTTTCAGCTGGAGCACATCCCTGAAAACTAGAATACTTTTGATAAGCTGTATATAAAGAGATGCGTTTAGCGATGAGGCTTTATTTTTCTTTCCTTGTGTGGTTACTTCGACGTAATATCTTATCTCTCAATTTGCCTATTCTGCTAAAGGAAACAAGGCGCAATCAGCTACTAAAATCATTTGACTTTGGCGGAACTATTTTTGTGTGCAAAAGTTTCCTGTTGTTCATTTATTTGTACTTTTGTTGCTACTTATTCACTTTAAAATCAGTTGAACTTTTATTAAAATATTCGACAAGATGTTTAGATCAACTACGTCAAATGTCTTGACGAGGGCTCTGAGAACCAGAAATGCTGGTGTCTCTTCTGTAATGGTCCTCAGAGCTTACTCTCATTTGCCTCTACATGTTCCAATTAAGTTGCCTAATGGCTTGGAGTATGAGCAACCAACTGGTTTGTTCATTAACAATCAGTTTGTCCCTTCAAAGCAACACAAGACTTTTGAAGTGATCAACCCAAGCACAGAAGAAGAAATTTGTCACATCTACGAAGGTAGAGAAGATGATGTTGAATCTGCTGTTCAAGCTGCTGACACGGCTTTCAAAAATGGTAGTTGGACTGACATAGACCCATTTGAGAGAGGTCAAGCTTTATACAAGTTAGCAGAGTTAATTGAGAAGGACAAGGAAATCGTTGCATCCATTGAATCCTTAGACAACGGTAAAGCCATCAACTCTGCTAGAGGCGATGTCCAGCTAGTTATCAACTACTTGAAGTCATCTGCAGGTGTCGCTGATAAGATTGATGGCAGACTAGTCAATACTGGTTCCAACTACTTCAACTATGTCAAGAAGGAGCCATTGGGTGTCTGTGGTCAAATTATCCCATGGAACTTCCCACTTTTGATGTGGGCTTGGAAGATCGCACCGGCTTTGGTTACTGGTAACACAGTTGTATTGAAAACAGCTGAATCCACCCCATTGTCCGCTTTATATGTTTCAAAATACATCCCTAAAGCTGGTATCCCACCTGGTGTAATTAACATCGTTTCTGGTTTTGGTAAGATCGTTGGTGAAGCCTTGACTACTCATCCAAAGATTAAAAAAATTGCTTTCACTGGTTCCACTGCTACTGGTAAGCACATCTATTCTTCTGCTGCTCAAACATTAAAGAAGGTAACTTTAGAATTAGGAGGTAAGTCTCCTAATATTGTCTTCGCCGATGCTGATTTAAAGAAGGCTGTTCAAAACATTATATTGGGTATATACTACAACTCAGGTGAAGTTTGTTGTGCAGGTTCAAGAGTTTATGTAGAGGAATCTATCTACGATGAGTTTGCTCAAGAGTTCAAGACAGCATCCGAAGCGCTAAAAGTTGGTAACCCATTTGATGAATCTACATTCCAAGGTGCTCAAACTTCTCAAATGCAACTAGATAAGATCTTGAGTTATGTGGAAATTGGTAAGAAGGAAGGGGCAACCTTGATTACTGGTGGTGAAAGAATCGGTGAAAAGGGTTACTTCATTAAACCAACTATTTTTGGTGATGTTACTGAAGATATGAGAATTGTTAAAGAAGAAATTTTTGGTCCCGTTGTTACTGTTACAAAGTTCAAAGATTTGGATCATGTTGTTCAAATGGCTAACGACTCCGAATATGGTTTGGCTGCAGGAATTCACACAACCAACATAAACAGTGCCGTTAAGGTTGCTGATAGATTAAAGGCTGGTACAGTGTGGGTTAACACATATAACGATTTCCACCAAAATATTCCATTTGGTGGTTTCAATGCTTCTGGTTTGGGTCGTGAAATGTCCAAGGAGGCATTGGACGGATATCTACAAGCAAAGGCTGTCCGTGTTAAACTGGATTAATGTGCTAAACTTTAAGGCCATTAAAGTTGTCAGCTTTGTCAATCTATGTCTAACTGAGATGAGTCTCAATCATTTCTGTACTATTATGGTTGGAACTTCATTCCAATGGAGGTTTAACTAATAGAGGAAAAAAGTCGTCGGTGTGTGCATATTAGGAGAGCATCGAGGTGAGTAGTGATACATCCCATGTTGCGATGGGATGTATCATTTGCCTAAATAGATATCCTATTATTATGCAAATAGCAATAATATATTCTTCAAATTGAGATAATGATTTTACTTCAACTATAAATATATCATTCATATATATTCTTAAAAGTATATTCAACATAAGTGCTTTATTTATTCTCCTCTTTATATGAAGTATCAAGGTTGTTCATGCTTCACTTCAAGATGAAAGAATAAAAAAGGTTATGGGTACTACTATATGAGGAGGATATGAGATTTACTTATGTATTACTTTTTTGTTTGACTAAGAATATATAATTTGTAATGTATGTTACGTAATTAGATATAACCTTTCTCTAATCCAGATGTAAATCGCTATTACACAAAGCTAGCTCTGGTTGACAAAAGAGTTTGTGTTCGGACTTACCATTTATGTCAAAAAGGAACGCGTTTGTATCAAGAAGAAAATCATCTTGGAAATTATTCTCTATTATCTCAGGAAGCTTAATTTTCCAATTGTCATCGATAATGTTTGCAAACATTTTAGGAATAAATAATTCGAGAGTTGTAAAACGCTTGTGAAAAGGCATTGCCAAGAAAAAACGCTTGTTGGAATTTGCCGAATCAGGTCGTTCACTATAAACCAGGATAGGTTCATCTTTTTTCTTTGCTATCAAAAACATCATTTGATCAATGTAATTTTTACCCCAATAGGACAAAGTCATAGGCTTGATTATATTCGGAAATGCTATGAAAACATCTGATATTAATGTATTAAGTTCTTCAGATCTACTAGGGTCTAAGTTTCGTAATTTCAAAATGCATTCATTAACATCGTTCTCCAAGTTAATTTGGTTGCCATCATCTCTCCAAAAGCAAAGTTCTGATAGGTTAAATTCTCGATAAAGCAATTCTAGTCTACTCTTAAAATTCTCTGGTAAGCCAACATCTGTATGTGTTATAATTCTACCATGTAACTCGTTCCAACCCTCATCAAACAATCGTCCAATTACTATGTCATGTCTAAAATCATTTGGTTGTTCATTCCGTCTATATATACTCAGTACGGAATATAGAATATAGCATTGCCTTTTAGAAAGCCATCGAACAGAAATGTGATTTACATTATAATCAATGCTTTCTAAGTCGATTGATTCAAAAAATATTCTCATTTCTAAATCTAAATCCACATCATAATGCAATACATTATTTATTAATTCTCTTATATTGGGCTGGTTCACTTTATCTTTCAAAAATTCAATACCCATGTCCCTCTGTGCTAGAGTTCCTATTGAGAATATATCACTTTTGCTCTTCGCTGTAGTCTCACACAGATCAAATGCAGACACATTTGAACCCAAAACTGGATATATAGTCAAAAGTATCAAGGATAATAAGAATATCTTGCTTATGTTGACTCTAGAATTTGACGAGGTCACAGAACGATTTATTGCATATGCCAACTGTCGAATTAAGTAACCAGTCAAAGCATGGCTTTTCATGATACATAGGATTTGGGATATCGATCAAGCATCAATTGTCAAATGTGTTCATACAGCTAACTCACTATAAATGGTAGTTTTCATATAGCGTTTTCTTTTAGTAAGCAGTCGATGCATGTACACAGCGATGATTTTATATAACACGATTGAGCGAGAAAAAGTTTAACAAGAAACAATTTTCTTGAATGGCAAGTTAATACGGCTTTCAGATAAAGTAGAGAAAAAGCTAAAAAAAAATCAATGAGCTGAATAAAATCCTATTTGAAGACATAGTTTTATATGACTTCGAATATATAAGCTAACTTTGGTACAATAATTTCTATACCAACTATCTTTGAATGTTTATCTTGAAAATTTTTTAAAATGCTGTGTAGTTGGAAATAAATTTTGATATCTTCTCTCTAGTTATCTTGTAGCATCAATACCAAAACATTAACTTCAGGTTCTTATTTAAACACCATCATCAATTTATAATGATTTGGTGCCAGTCACAACTATTACCTGTGGAATATAAAAAATTTTGGTAACCCAAGGTATATTTTACAAAATTCAACATTGTTGTTACTTGCATTGAAACATTTTACTCCAATATGACCATAATTTAAGCCTACCCAAGTACAACGTAAGCTGTCTGTACAAGATATGATAAAGCACTGGAATTCTATCCTAGAATACATAATTTTAAACTCTACGTATAGCGCAGTTATTGAACATAAAAGTTGCATTACCATTACAGTGAACTGATAAAATGCCCATGCCTGAGACACATAAAGTTTAGCGTACTGAAAAAAACACAATAATCCACATTAGGAAAATCTATAATTCAACTGGAGACAAACGTTTCCCAAATATGCATTTCTCACTTCAACCGCAAATATTCATATATCGGTTAATCTACATGTATAAAAATATTCACAGATTTTGGTTTTTGCCTCTATGGAACACCTTTGCTTTTATTTCATTTCTAATGCGTAGAATTCCTGTATTGTCCTATGAAACTCTATACAATTTCAGCAAACAAATAAATATTGTGGTCTTGTCATAATAATTAGCAATATTAATATTGACACATTATCATTTTGTTTAATCTATTGGACTAATTAATAATAACAGCCTGAGGGTATTCATCAAGAACAGTTTAGCTTTGACATCAATAACATCGGAAATAATCTCCTCAGATAACTATCACCACTAATATGCTATTATATCATGCTACCGAATACCTTAATAAATTAATACTGTTTGATCCCTCGTGGTGACAAAATACTGTTGTCTTTATCAAAATTATGTTCTTCCCATAAGCCCACAACCTGAGTTAGCAGTTATCATGAAAAATCATGATCATATATTCTACTACAATAATTGTTGAATTGGTGCAAGAGATTTTTTCAAGTTCTCAAAAAAAAAAAACCTTCCTAAAGAGAAGAAAAGTACCTGCAATAGCAATAGCATAACATTGCACATGATATTAAATATTTTATGAAGGGAATCTTCTTAAAATATAGACGAGCAACAAAATTTTCAGAAGTTTGAGCCAATAAACCTCAATACTAACCAAATGTCTAATGGATCGAATAATACACATACAATATCCCAGTAAAATATAAATACCGATCCTATTATAATGTCAAATATTGAAATACCAATAATATGGAAATTTTAAGTGACTGCCAGCTAATCAGAAACACAAAAAAACTGTGCTAATAACAACGAGTTTGTTAGGCAATTATAAATCCTGGCTAATATTCACCATCAATAACAAACCAAATTGCACACATTGACTTCATGAGCATCCAATTGAAAAATTTTCAACATTATTGTATACTTGAAAGTATACGCTAAACTGACAAACAAAGAGAACATCTATGACTAATTCCGCAAATCCGATACCATTATTCAATTGCTTTTCAACTGGGAGTTCTAATCCTTAAATCATGTCCTAAACACCACTATTTAATTCAGATAACACCTTCTATGAATGACACCTGTGTAGCCAACTACACCTATCAGTTGAAACAGTCACAGCGGAACTCTTGGTGTTGTTTGTACATTGTTGTATCAAGTAAGGACTCGGGCGATGGTGGTTTATCCTTTAATGATACTACACAACCATAACTCAAACCAATCTTAAACTGAATGTATCAATTGGTCTCCATAAGCTTTCATTCTAGATGTAGTCAATAGAAGAGAGCTCTCTAACGAGAGTGGAATCCTCCTTTTTAGCTCTAAACATGTGCGTTCTAGAAACAATTTGAGGCAGGGTAATTTCATACCCACAATTGGATAATTTTAATCAGATGATCCACGTATCTTATTATATATCTTTTTTTTTGCGTAACCATAACTGCTGCCAATGCTGGCTCTAAGGGTGATACTCCAGCTGCAGACGCTGGATTAGCTGTTGTAGCTAAGGACTTCACAAGCAACTCAGTTGCTGTGCAGCAACAATACAGTGTAAGGAGCACAAGCTATTGCTTCTACCGCACCAACAGTACATCAAATAAACAAGATTACTGCTTTATCCATGAAACAATTTAAGTTTAGTGTTAATACAATTGTGACCATTTTGATGTTAACTATTTTTTGAACTAAATATTCTTCTACTCTCAAAATAAATATGTAAAATATAGATTAATTTATAACAATTCCTCCATGTTTAGCGTATGCAAGTAACAGATATTATATGCTTATACTACTAACATCTTTCTCATTGTTGTTTGTATTTCAGTGTCAACACTAATGTTAGTTATGTGTTCACAGCCATCTTTTTCAGTAAGCATTTGAAAAGAATAATTAAAATTTATGTAAACCAAAATACCATTGGTCTTGCTCCTGTTGACATATCTACAGAATATTGGTTTTGTACTGAAAAAACTGTACTATTTTACTTTCGCAGTATTAGTGTTATTAAAAACAATTATATTTAAAATTCATCTGTCAATGTCACGACTGTCACCTCATATAATTGCTGTTTTAGTTTAGTTAAATCATTATTATATGATAATATGTACTCTGAAGTAGTACATCCTCTATGAGTATCGCCATTAAGGCACAAACTATTTGCCGAAGTGTTTCTTTTTTGTTTAGAACCTCTAATATTCCTTAGGATAGTTGTCTGAAATATTTATACAATAAATGGCGTAGTTTCGTTTACATTCGGAAGATATGGCAAATTAGATGTCAATAAATAAAACTATGTTAGTGTGCAAATTGGTGTAAGATTGAATCTTGATTATCTTATTAAAGGAGTTTCGATTGAGCAATACAGAGTATATTATAAAAGTTCTGAAAAATAAAACAAAATCCAAAACTATAAAATTTTCCGGCTGATGTCAATTTCGATACTTCATCTGTGTTTTATTCTTCCAATTGAATAGCAATCCGTCAAAAATTCACGAGGATACACATACATGAACAGTGTGTGAACTTATAATGTTGTATCTTCAAGCGCGTAGAAGCGTCAATTGCAACTAAAAGGTATTGTGTAACTGCAAGATTCTGACCGGTACATACCTTAGTAAGTGCGACGTTGTCTACTTTTCTCAAAAGTCCTTCAAATCGATAAATAATTGTTTCTTGAAGTCCGCAAAGAGGACGATGGCGACAAATATTTTGAACTGCTCAACAACCTTGATTGGGTTATTAACAAGTTACTTGTAGTTGAGGATTATGTAAGCAAGTATTCTTCTCCATATTGGAGGATATTTGAGAAATACTACCTATTCTACTGTGTTGAGTTTCACATTGTAGTCAACGAGTTAGTCGATGGTGAAGCAGAAACAATCATTACATTAGATACTATAGATCTTGAAAAAACATTCCAGAACACTTTGGTCAAGGACTGTGGCTTTAAATGGAAAGAAACGTAGACAGTTATTGACCCACAGAAGAGAATATTATTTAAAGGTTATCTGAATTTAGTTGTAAACAAAAAAACAACACGGTTTGGAAAATTACAAAATATGGAGTTCATAAGTTCAAAGATCGTTCTATTCTTCCACAAGCAAATGGCAAGAACTTATTACTATTATAAGGTACAAAGAACTGCTCTCGAATGTTCAGTTAGCAAGTTAAGGTAGCTGCCTATTCAAGTCAGACAAAGATTCTACTTGTGTTCTTTAGACGTTTTCTGAACTTACTGAAAATAGACTAAGCAATTGGATATCTGTTATAGACGAATAGGTGAGAAGACTTATGGTATATATTGAAATGCAATGAACCTTAAGGCCTTGATCCTAATGCTGTCTCCTGAAAACAAAGTTCCAGGTGGCATACCTGACTATGTTATTGTTCTCGCCAATGACAAAAACTGTTCCAACTTTCGGGCAGCCTTATAGGACAATTATGAAAGCCGAATTACGTCGGCCATCTGATCTTCTGATCAATAAAGTGATCCACATTATCAACAAAAGCCAAAAAAAACCTCGAATAAAACGGAAGCCCATTGTTTCCAAATGAAATGCAGATAATGGTTTGAATCATATGTGTCAGGATTTTCCAGAGCTTGATTTTCCGATCATGATTTTCCACTCACAAGATTATTTGGAACTCTAAGGCTCTTATATTTGCGGTAGCCTATTATGTGGGTGCACAAGAGATAGTGGAATTTCTTGTTTTACGAAGGTGCTGGACGAAAGGTTCTTATTTCAACAATTTACATAAGATTTTCTTTCCACTTTCTGTGGAGTAGTTGGGAATTTCCGTGATTACCTTGTGTAAAATCGCATTAAAAAGAAATAATGGAAGAAGTCTTCTAAGGGATGAAAGTACTGACCAACTAGCTGGGGTGCATGGCCTTAGAACAAAAACTAGTCAAGTGTTGTTCATAGAAACCTTGGCGATCGCAAAGTGATAGCCAACGTTTATTTAACAAGATAGTTGGATAGTTGTCAATGTTTCAGGTAAATCCCAAAGGATACCCCCTTTGGGATTTACCTCGCTATATTCAAATGCCCTTGCGGGATATCTTTCCCCGACATCTCGAATGAGCAGTAGATTGA